TCACCAAGCATGGTCTTCCTATCTGAGCAACCATGGCTCCAATCTCTGTCTATAATGCAGATAGGATAAAGAACCAAGCTGGTTCGATCACTAAATATGTCAAGCTTAGACTTACTATCAAAGATCATTCTGAACAAATTGATTTGACAGTAACTGACCTAGAAACCAAGGAAATTTTTCTTGACCATGATTGGCTAATTTGACATAACCTGCTAATCAATTGAAAGATCAGATGCATCATGTTTGCATAATGCTGATGCCAGAAGATTCCATTTGAACTGCCAGATAGGGATCTCAAAGATCAGTGGGACAAAGAAATAGAAGATAGCAAGACAATTCTTGTCATTGACCTACAAAAGGCCATTCGCATCCAAGCTGTTTACTATGCCAATAACCTAACAGCAAAAGCTAATGCTGACAAGGGGGAAAAAACATTCAAAGAGATGGTATCTGAATAGACATGAGACTATTGAGACTTATTTAAAAAAGAAAGTTTCAATGAATTACCCAATCTGAAACTCTGAGACTATGCTATAGAATTGATTTCTAATGTGAACACTAACTTAGATTGCAAGTGCTATCCACTTAGCAATAATAAACAACAAGAACTAGACAAGTTCTTCGATGAGAACTTGTCCAATAGACAAATCTGGCCATCAAAGTTATTAATGGCTTTTCCCTTTTTCTTTGTCAAGAAGAAGGATGGAAAACTCCAACCAGTACAGAATTATCAGAAGCTCAATAAAATGACAATCAAAAACCATTATCTGCTTCTTTTAATTTTGAAGCTAATAAACAAACTCTGAGATGCTAAATACTACACCAAACTAGACATTTAGTAGGGGTATAATAATGTGTGCATTAAAGAAGGCAACAAATGGAAGACTGCTTTTTGAACAAACCACAGTTTGTTTGCACTGATGGTAATGTTCTTTAGACTCATAAATTCACCTGCTATATTCCAGTAGATGATGAATGACATCTTTAGGGATCTCATTGCCACTGGAAAAGTCACAATCTACTTGGATGACATCCTAATCATGTCTAAGACCAAAGAAGAACATTGATGCTTAGTATGATAGGTACTAGTATTGATGAGGAAGCATCAGCTTTTTCTCAAAGCCAAGAAGTGTGAATTCAAGGTACTCAAGACTGAGTACCTTAGAGTCATTATCAGTGAAGAAAGCATCAGGATGGATCCTATCAAAGTGGCAGGAGTAACTGAGTGGCTGGAGCTGACAAAGAAGAAGGAACTGCAATCATTTCTTGGATTCACCAACTTCTACTGATGGTTCATCTAGGACTACAGCAAAATAGTCTGATCTATGACACAATTGACCAGAAATTCTCCATGGACTTGGGGAATTTCCTAACAGACAGCATTTGATGATCTTAAACACCAATTGGCTGAAGACATCATCCTGGCTATACCAAATTAAGATGGAAAATTCAGGGTAAAAGCTGACTCCAGTGAGGGTGCTATCAGAGCAGTTCTTTCATAAGAACAGGATGGCAAATGGCAACCAGTCACCTTTATATCAAAAGCACTCACTATTATGGAGCACAACTATGAGATTTATGACAAGAAACTCCTCACCATAATGCTCACTCTTGCTGAATGGCAGCATTATCTCATTGGAGCAGTCCAAACCTTTGAGATCTGGACAGATCATCAGAATCTCCAATACTTCCATCTCTCACAAAAACTTAATTGCTGATAAGCTCAGTGGGTCACAGAATTATCACAATATGAATACACACTACACTATAAGGCTGGTGCAGCAAACAAGAAGACCGACTTCCTCAGCCAGAGAGCTGACCATGACTAGAGAGGAGATGACAATAAAGAAGTCATGCTTCTACAACCAGAACACTTCCATGCTATGATTATGCTTATGGAAGAAGAGATGCATAAACACATCAAGAGTGCTACCAGAGATCCTCATAAGTGGGATCAAAGAATTGCCCCATCACTCAACCATGAGTGAGGATTAAAGAAAGAAGAGAGAATGATCCACTATTATGAGCAAATCTACATCCTAAGAGATCAGAGGCTTCATCATGATATCATCTCTACATGTCATGATCATGAGACTGCTGGACACTCTGAGATCACCAAAACAAAAGAATTAGTCTTGAGGAAATACTGGTGGCCCAAAATAGACTATAATATCACCTGATATATTAAGACTTGCAAGGTTTGTCAATATGGCAAATCCTACAAGATGAGGTCTATGCAAAGTATGGCATGCCTCAGATAGTAATCTCAGACAGAGAACCACAATTTGTCTCTAAATTCTTAGATGATTTGTATCGACTCCTCAACATCAAGTGAAATGCCTCAATGGCATATCACCCTCAGACAGACAGCCAAACAGAACAGATCAACTAAGAAATTGAAAAGTACCTCTGACTTTTCATCAACTACCGACAAGACAATTGGACTGAATGGTTAGCACTAGCTGCCTTCCAACATAACAACAGGGTCCACTTAGCAACTGGCAAGACACCTTTCTTTGTCAACTATGGATGAAACCCACTAGTTGTGCAAAGTGAATGAGTACACACAATGATATCAGCATCAATGGATTTTGCCACTACAATGGTAAAAATCCATGAAGAAATAAAGACAGCCCTCAAAAAGACTGCCTCGACAATAAAAAAATAGTATGACAAGCACTAACGATCTACTCATAATTATTCAATCAATGACAAGATTTGGCTGGACACAACCAACCTGCATCTCCCTCATTCAAAACAGAAGTTGGCAGGCAAACAAATAGGACTATTCAAAGTTGTTGTCAAGATTGGCAACTCTGCTTACAAGTTGCAATTACCAACAACTTAAAAAGTCCATAATGTTTTCAATGAAACATTATTGACACCATACATCACACTGGCCTTCCCAAATCAAGAATGACCACCACCTCCACCACCAGAATTCATCAATGATAAAGAACACTATAAAATCAACAAAGTGCTAAACCACAAATTATGTAAGGTTAGAGCACACAGTGGTGGAATGACAACAACCATTGACTATCTAGTCAGCTGGAAAGACTATAGACCAGAATCAAACCAATGGGTCAATGAAAAATACATGAATGCAGAGGAGATGATCTACAACTATAAATAATGAATCAACAAATTGGATACAAAGGGGTTCATGTCCAATATTATGGGTCCAGCAGATAGGCCATCTGTGAGTGGCCAGGATGACTTACCCCTAAATTAGCTATCAGAACAATGATCTTAAAGAGAAGATAATGTTATGATTTTTCTTTATTTCTTTTTCTTTTCTTTGGATAACCTCTATTTCTGCTTAGTCAGAGCACTTAGGCCAGTGCTTAGGACCATGGGAGGGTTTAGTCAGCAACCCAGTTGGTCATTGTCTTATTGCACTGCTGTGTGCTGTGAAGAGAGAGACAATACTCCTTTTGTCATTTAACTGCAGTGCAGCAGTAACAGCACAACAGCAAGACAACAGCTTTTGTGGAGAGCCTGGCAACAGCAGGAGTAACAGCTCTATGACAGACAATATCTTTTGTGAACTTCTATTAATAGCCTAATAACAGAACAGTATTTAAGTAGCATAGTTTTTGCTGTAGTAACTCCAGCATTAAGCTAAAGTTTATTCTTCACCATCTACTCTCAAGTGACTTGCAATGCCTTGACTACACAACCCTATTGACACATCAGTGAACTCTGTCAGTCTAACCTAAAGTGCAAGGTTCTGAACAGTTTATCACATGTTGATAGTCACATGGAATTTAGGCTTAACACTGCTATCCCAAGTTTTCTCCCTGATTACTGAGGCTATGACATTGTTCTCAGACAACCAGTCAGCCATTGCACTCTCAAAGGACCACCAGTATTATGCTCAAACAAAACATATCAACATTCATTTTCATTTTATTCACTGGGTCAATGTTAGTGAAGAATCTCTTCATCTTGTTTATTATCCCACTGAGAATATGGTTGTCAACACTCTCACTAAGTCTTTGTCTTCAGCCAAGATGAAACACTTTGTTGCTGAACTTGGACTTCATTCCACTTAAGGAGGAGTATTGGATTAACAAGCAGGAGCTCCATCATATCCCACTGACCAAGCTCAATATCCTTTTATGTTGGGATGGACATTATATACTGAATACAGACTGTCAAGCATCCTCACTGCATTTTCACTTATTGACATGCTGTGTGAGAGTGAGTATTTACCTATGCTACTATGTTTACATTACTGATTAATACCTATAGTCTACAAGACAGCTAACATTGTATACTATTAGATACTGTGATTTATACACTGTATTTCCACTTATTGCTATGCTGTGTGAGGTCTACAAGATAATCTAACAGTGTATACTATTAGGTCCTACAAATGCATATCACTCTTAGACAAATGGTTCCAGCAGTGCTATTTCAGTGAGAGGTGACATTGTATTTGATAAACTTGTCATATCATCACTAAAAAGAACTTGAGCACCATAGCAGTAAATAAGACTGAAAATACCTTACAGATGTATTATTACGATAGTTCATCACCCTGAAAGATGGCTGAGAAGGTAGATATCAAGTATTATTTGTGGAAAAGACTGATTGCTGGGAGAACAAGTCAGAGATCATTTGGGTTGGATTGGAAAAGGAATTCGTGTTCTGAGTGACATTTTCTAGTCTAAATACATTTTGGTACCCTTTATGAGGTTCCATGGTGAGATACGGAACACTCGACAGATGGACAAGAGATATAGATGCGATGCGACGTGAAAGAAATGTAAGTGATCGTAGCTACACCAGAACCCAAATCCGGAAACGCCTCCCCAATTCGGACACCGGCAACGCCCGTAAATGTTTCTGCCAAGATCGGGGCGAGTTTTACAGGTCCCTCTAGCAAGGCTTGGGACCGGTTCAGATCTAACACGCACTGGACACACTGCTGAAACCTGAGTCAAACCACCTGATAGAAGAGTCAGGGAAGGAAACTTTTCGATCCAACGGTGCTCTTGTAGCAAGCCCGGTGTCGGATTCAGTCGTAGACATGTCGTAGACCAATCGCAGACCGCTCTAAATCTGAGAATAGAAATTGCCGACGCCCGATTGTCACGTGGATGTTTGGACAACTCTGTTTGTGCTTATTATTCGTTGCCACCGACTCGTTGTTGCGGACGACATTCACCACACTTTTTCGCCCCTTACTCCTCTGTTCTAGTCACTGGAGCGCCGACCAGTTCAAGTCGTCGGTTCTTGCTATGGCCCAACGCCGCCCTTCGCCTCAGACAGTGAACTCGTCGTCGGTCAGTTCACCCCCTCTGGCGCGCAGAAAATACCCTCTGCGACCTTCTCCCAGTTCTCGGAGGCGGAACAATAATTTGCTTTTGGAACCATCCATCGGTCATAAACCGTTGCGCGGCTCGACATCATCCACAGAGTCACGTCCTGTTTTGGTTCCTTTGCAGTCCAATCTTCGGCGCCTCCCTTCTCGTGTATTCACGAACCAGAATGGCGCTCCAGAAATGCATATCGGCAGTCAAACGGACCCTTGCGTTGGTTCGAAACGGAAACGCGTCGCGAGCAGTAATGAAAATGCGCAAAACAACGGTCGTCGGACGCGTGGCTCGGGGGTGCTGAAGAGACTCAGGAGCAGCTCCGGATGTCGAAGGGAGTTCACCAGCGATGAAAGTGACGCTAGCTCTATGGACATTGACAGCGCCGTTCCATGGTACTTATCACGTAATTCAGATTCCGAAAGCGGCGAAGAAGAGCAGAGTGTTGAAGACGACGAGAACGAGGAGTCCAGTATGTGTCTCGTATGTTTGTCAAGAAGACTCTGGACTCATTGAATTATTTAGCTGATGGTCACCTTATTAATTCTGCACAACCTAACCAATTACTTCGCCTTCGCAAAGACGAACTCGTACGGCTATATTCTCTCGCTGGCCTATCTGAAGATGCAGAACAACTTACCAAATCGGATATTGTTGACGCCATCATTGCGGCTCGAGATGACATTGCATCCTTACCTCCATCATCTCCTCCTGGGCATGGCAATTCGAGCGACTATTCGTCTGACGACGGCAACGTCGCTGAGCATGAAAGGGACGATGCTCGGAGTCTACCTTATCTCCCCAGTCTTCGTCGTCGCGCTACGACAAATGACTTAGGAAAGAGTCGAGGCAGACCCGTCAAAGGCAGAAGTTTGTCCATGGGCACTTTTCATGGGGACGTTGCAGTTAACACTACGGCATCGCATACGTGCAGAGGAAACTCTAGAAAACGTAGCGGTGGATCTTCCGGAAGTAATCTGACTCGGTGAGGAGGCCATAACTCGTTTTAACGTTTCTCTGACCGTCTATTAGTAGGCGTACCACCTCTAACCGTTCATCGCCGCTTGCGTCTACGTCCTCGTCTGTACAGACACCTCCCGTGACTCGTCTCCGCTCACGCAAGGTTTCTACTGAAGCTGCCGCACAAGCTTCAGCTCCAATGCCACCGGCCGTCCGGAGTCAAAGATCAAGCAAAGAGAAGAGCAAGCAGGTCGAATTTGATGCCCATCCAGTACAACCGCCACCCCAGCCCCATATGTCATTGGAGGAAGAGAGCGATCTGACCGAGCTAGAGGACCTAGAAACCCGTTTAGGCCCGCGCCCCGAACCTAGTCCACGTCGGTTGAGGAGCAAAGACAAGGAGAGGGAACATGAGAAAGATACAGGGACCGTGGATGCACGGAGAGTGACTCCTATGCGCAAGGCGAAGGGACGAATCACGAGTCTAAGAGAATTGGAAGATGAGGCGGAGGACAAGGAAGATGAAGATGAAGAGGAGAAAGCAGTCCTAGATATTAGTGTGAGCGATGATGACGTAGAGATCGAGGAAGTGGATGAACTTAGTTCCACCGGCTCTCCTTCACCTGAACCACCTCGCGGACGAAGTACGCCTCTCCGGCGCCGACTTCGCTCTAGACACACGCGAGAGGACACCGCTAGTGATGGGGACGATGAGGGTGATGCTGATGAAGAAGAGGATATCGATGAGGCGGAAGAATCGAGTGCTGAGGAGGAAGAGGAGGATGCCAGAGATGAAGATGACGAAGTCACCATCGCCGTTGAGCCCCGAAGATTACGCAATGGGAAGATTGTAGGCGAGGAAGAAGAGGATATGGATGTCGATTCTTTGGTAGAAGGTAATGAGGATCAGGACGATATAGATGCTGAAGGCGACACCGAAGAAGAGGGGGAGGAGGACGACGGTAATCTTCCTGTTATCATGCTGTCAACGACAAGTTCTAACCCACTTCTTAGTTGACCTTACCGTTGCTACAACAAAAACCCTTATTCGTCTGCGGCGAAACGACCTCGTTCGCCTATGCGAAGTCCGAGACTTAGAGCCTGTAGGCACTAAACCTCAGCTTGCAGAAGCACTCCTGCAATGGCGAGATAGGCAAGCTATCTCATCGAGGTCTTCTTCGGGTACTATACGTCCGCCGTCAACCATCAAACGACGGCGACGTAGGCTCAACAGTTCTGACACCGTCTCTTCGCCTATTCTCCTTCGCTCTGAGCGTATCCATGCGGACGAGCCGCGTACTCCACAGATATCCCAAGAGCCCGAGCTGGAGTTGGACCTTGGCACACTTGGCTTGGAGGACCGGGAGATACCTCCCGACAAGCTTCAGAAATTGGAGAAGATAGGCAGCGGTGGATTCAAGGATGTTTTTATAGGCAAATTTAAGGGTAGGAGAATCGCCATTTCAGAATTTCGAGGACAGCTCACTGCCAGTGAGTCATTAGCACTCTTTTCTACAGCATACTGACATTGTGGTAGTGGATATCAAAGAATTGAAATTACTTGGAGGCTTTGACCATCCGAACATCGTTCGTTTCGTAGGTTATCTATTACACCGCCATGTGTCATGCTGATAAGGATCAACAGCTAGGTGTCAGCGTTCCCGAGAATACCAAGGACGTTCCGGTCATGATGATCAGCGAGCTTTGTTCGAACGGTGATCTGTTTGATTACATTCGTAACGTCCAACCCCCCTCTTTGCATAAAGTTGTAAGTGTTGTGTTTTGCTCATATTAGCAAAGGCGTTGAATGTCTCCGTTAGTTGGTTATGATGTTAGATATCGCTCGCGGTCTAGAATATCTCCATCTTCGAAAGCCTTCTGTCATTCATCGGGATTGCAAATCCTCGAACATCCTCATTACATCGAAGGGAACTGCTAAAATTGCCGACTTTGGTCTAGCCAAGGTCAAGCAATCTACGCGATCCATGGTTCGGAGCCTAGTAGGTACAGTCAATTGGCAAGCTCCTGAACTGTGGCATGCCCATCCCAAGTACAATCATAAAGTCGACGTCTTTTCTTGTGCTATGGTGTACTGGGAGATGCTCCAATGGCGTCAGCCGGCCAAGAGGTTCCCTTGGGAGGTACTCATCGCCGTCATCAACACATTGTCCACATGTACTGAATGTATCACTTAGGGTATGAACGAGCATGCAATCTACGAGATTGTAGGAACAAAACGACAACGGTATGTTTCACGATGTTGCCTTATCAGGTTTTTACCTAACGACGCACACAACGTAGTCCTTCGATATCTGGCCTTCGAAAACTGTGGTGCCCTGATATCGTCGGTCTCATCGAACGTATGTGGGCCCACGAACACGAGAAACGCCCGACCATGTCTGAAGTGGTTTCGGAACTTGAAGATATGATTAAGCAATGGTAGCATGTAGACATTTGACATCTTTTCACGTTTCAGTAATTCGTTATTCCCCTAAGCCATGGACAACAGTTCGAGTTTCTCGTTGTGCCTGGTTTCTCTTTATGATTCACTATACAATTCTCACATCTATTGCTCCAATGTTCAATATCACCACACTTGCATCTGTATCTTACTCTACAACAGAATGTCGAATCCCCAGGTCATATACCTTCCTGTTCTGATGGCGGTGGTGGTGGTGGTGGTACCGGCACAAGGTCCTAATAAGGAACGGCCGGGTCCACAGCCTGACATGTGCTGTCAGACCCTGTGCTATGGTTGTTTCCTTTTGTTACCAATGTAAAGTCTGAAGCACCAAGCGTGCACTTAAGTACTCATAAGCCGGGATGGTCAAACTCAAGGTTGTTTAGTTGTTGTGTAAATTGCGACGAATGATACAGACAGTGATTAAATAAATGTTAAAAGAACAGCTACGATCTCTCTGTCAGAAATCTCGATACTTTCTTGGGTGGTTTGCGTTCTCCAACCGATTGACCGCCCGATGGATTAGTTTCTTTCACCATAGAAGACACAGATTTTACGGTAGGTGGCCTTTGAGGACGAGCCGGTTCTCGCCTTTGAGGCTGAGATGACTCCCTTACTGCAGACGACATCACTATTGGACGAGACGGCAGCGCAGCTTGAGGCTTCGGGAAAGAAGGTGACTCGACGATCATGGACACCATGTCTCCTGTAGCAAGAGACGAAGAGCCCGTAGGTGGGAGCTTGGGCGAAGACCTAGGTACTATGGATATAGGTGTAGATGAGTCGCTCTGAGACGAAGGCGTAGCCGGTCTCCCAGCTTGTGATCGCGCAGCCTTGAACCTTGACGGTTTCGCTCTTGGTAAAAGTGGGGGAAGGTTTTCGGGGAGAATGGAGTCCTTCGCACTGTTAGCCTTGGTCTTGCTCGGTCCGGCGTTGTACGCTTCGCCCTTCTTGAGGTGCTGGAGGATTTCTTGGACTGCCTCGTTGTCTCCTTCACTATCGCTCTCCGCTCCCCCCATGAGCCGGTCGTCTGAGTCGAGTCTGCCCATACGGACGGCATTGCGTAGGGTCTCTGAGTCTAACGCAGGGAGTACTGAAGCGTCAAGACACTGAGATGTAGGAGGTAAGGACGATGGAAGGTTTGAAGCTCCGTACGAGGACGCTAGTCGTTCAGATTTGAAATGGGATAATGACGTTTTCTTCTTGAATGCAGAAGTACTTAGCTGTTCCTGACAATGTTATGACTTTAATGAGCATAGGTAACAGGACAAGCTCAGCCTAACCTCCTCGGATTCTTCATGTGTGTGTGACTGCATGGCAAGAGAGACGTCGCGGCTAATGGTCTCTCGTTTCTTGTGGTACTCCAGGGCAATCTCGCGCTGGTGCTGGGCATAGTCCATGTCAAAACCTTCTTCAACTTCCTCATCTGCTTCAGACGGAGAATCCGTTGACGACCCAAATTCAGATAGTGGAGGGTCGGATTCGTCATCAGAGTCAGCCATAATTTGTGGCGGCTCTGGAGGCGAATTTGACTGACCAGGCGATCGCTCGACAACGGACATCCTCATAGGAAGGGTGTTATCATTCAATCTTGAAAGCAGTGTGGGTCGTTTTGTCGAAGTCAATCTTCCTTGTGCCACGTCGCCCCATTCATGCATCGCTCCCTCTTTCTCTTTCTCCTCATCTTCCTTCTCGGGTTCAGCGAACGTAACCGTCTTTTGAGGTCCTTTCTTCCGTCTTGCCTTTTCCTTTTCCAGATCTTCTGCCTCTTTTTCAGCCTTCTCTTTCTCATCCTTCTTCCTGGCAGCAGCCATATTACGCAACAGCGCTTTCCCCATCTTCTTCTGCATTTCTCGCGTTTGCGCAAAATTCTTGACTCCTTCACGGCTGGCTTCCTTCATGTTCTTAAGAGCCTCGCGTCTCCGTTCTGTTTCAGCCTCGTTTACCTTTCGTTCCAACGTCTCCTCCTCCATCTCGAGCATGTCCAATATTCGATTCTGTTCGCGTTTGCGGACTTCGAGTTCTGCCGGAGACATCGAGGATAGTGGGATAATATCTGACTCGACTAATGGTAAGTTCGAAGACGATCCGGTCGATCCAGTCTCGAGGTCAGGTTCGCTGATGTCGATAATGGGGAGGCCCTCTTCATTTACCTGCTGCACGACTGTGATTAGCAGCTGTATCCCTCCGTCCGCCATGAACATACCTCACCCCCACGGTTCCCATTTATCATGCCCTTTGCAGCATCTTCCCCTCCTGTGAACTCCGTCAATTTCTCAGAGAGCCGCTGAAGCGCCTCCGGGGAAATGCTTTTGTCCGCGCCCGGTTCGATTGCATTGAAGAGGGCACGAAGAGCTAGATACTAGTCAGCAGATTATAAAGTGCAGACTGAAAAGGTTGTTGAACCTTCAGGACCACCCTCAGCTAGCTGTTTGGCAGATGTCATGACAATAGGGTAGTAGGCGCGAATTGTCCCAAACGTCGGAGTCCGGCCCGAATATCCCGCAATCCAAGCACGTCCAAATACTTGGTTCCCACTCTACTCAAAAAATCTCGCCGTCGTCGTCGACATCAAGACCCAAAACTATCTATCCGTCATGTCGGTGAGTGAGACATTCTTTCATGCTCACAGGCCGGAATATGTCACCTTGAGTGCAAAAGCGAAGTAAAATGGGATGGATTGGAGAATTCAAACATGGATGACGTTTGGCAGGAGAATGCTGCAAGGACATTTGCTGATATTCTATATGCAGGAATCCAACTTCAAGCGCTTTGTCGAGGTGGGCCGTGGTGCGTCTACTAGCTTTGTTTTATTATTGTCTATTAAATAATCCGCTAGTGGTCCTACTGAAATCTGGCCCCAGCGCCGGCCAGATTGCTGTCATTGCTGAAATAATCGACCACAACCGGGTGCGTCGACCTCCCTCTTCGAACAGTCATAATGCTCATCTGACATGCACATAGGCAATAATCGATGGCCCTACCACCTCCGTTCCTCGCCAGGCCTTCCCCTACAAGCACCTCACCCTAACTCCCCACAAACTCACCAAACTTCCCCGGGGTGCAGGATCAGGTGTTATCAAAAAACAACTTGAGAAGGAAGCCACTGTAGCCAAGTGGGAGGGTAGCAAATGGGCGATGAAGCGGGCGGCGCTCGAGCAGAGGCGGAAGCTCAATGACTTCGGACGGTTTGAGGTGCAGCTGTTGAAGAAACAGAGACGGGATCTCGTCAGGAAGGCTTTGGCGAAGAAGGTATAGACGTTGGATTGTATGACTTATCCATGCATGCTTTATCCATGCTCATGCTCAGTCCAATGATATTTCTGAATTGGGCATGATTTCGGCTGCTCTAAGAGAGGATTTGATTGAAATCACACCACAGGTTCTGCGACAGCGAGTACTCAGTCCATGCAAGTTATCTCAGCGATTCCCGATGTTGTATCCAACGTGCACATGCAGGTGAGCATGAGATCTCCAAGTGGCTTGGACTTGAGGTGAGTTCTAGTACCGATGTCAACACGCTACAGTGAGCTATAGTCATCTTAGTCCATGCAATCTACATCGGCATAATCATCATGCGACAGTTTGTAAGTGAGATGCGAATCGTATCAAGCTGCTTTCTAATATCCTATATTACATTAAGACGAAGATGGGTGGCCATACAGCCCTAGGCGGATAAAATCATAGTGCTCGCTGCCGCATGCGACTACTAACCGTCCTCAAGCCAGCATACACCTTTCCGGGTGGTGATCCCAGAATAAGCGAAACGATAGCGTCTCGGGCAACTTTGATATTTTGAAAGGACCCCATGATGTGGATTTTTCTACCGTATACGAATGATAAGCTTGACCAAAAGTATGCAGAGACATACATACGTATCCGCTAGAACTATGCGTGTTCTACTAGCATTTTCGATTGTGAATTTTGTTTTGCCATCTTGACCCGCGATTCGGCCTGGGAGGTGGAAATATGAGGGAGGCAGACTAGTAATTGAGCAAAATTCCCACCAATGGCTCGTGACAGATGGTCTCCATGCAGGGTTTTCACGTCTTTAATCTCAAACGAGTCAAGGTAGAGGTCATCCAGGCGAAGAAGAGCGATGGCATCCTAAAATATGTTTCAGCGTGACGAACGCTGAGGAGTAGCAGGCACCCGTACATTAACATCAAATCCTAGGGCGTAGGCTTTGATGAAGTCAGCACCCTTCTGTATCGCGCCGATATCCTTGGTATGTTTTGACGTCTACAGTCGAGGTGAAGGAGTGTTAGATAGAATACTGGACCCGACTTACCCGTGCCTCGACACATCTACGTTGGACGTTCATCCGTACTTGCAGTCCCAGTATCTCTGTAAGAGGCCCGAATATTAATACCCAGTCCCTTTTTAGAGGCGTCATCCGGTGCGGTGGTATAGGTATCCGCCGCGTTTCTGACTTGAGTATCGTTCTACCTGCATTAGCAGGTAATGGCTCAAACGTTGGTGCTGCTGTGGGTTGGGCCATGGTGGTAGGGTCAACGTCAAGCATCAGCTCGTCGTCATCCGCCGCGCCTGCCAGTGGGACAGGCTGAGCATCGGGCATATCTTGGTCGGCATCCGCAGTCTTGCGCTTTTTCCTGCCTGTTTTTCGTCGGTTCTTTTTAGGTGTGGCAGAGGTAGATGGAGAGGGTTGTTGAGCGTGAGTTGCGACCATTTCAACTGAGCTGTCCGGTTAAATGTGCTCTGTCCTTTCGAGATGGAAAAAAATGGGACGGCTTGGCTTCGGCATTAGATTCAAACAAGTGACGCATTCCGTTGTTGAGGATCACAAGGCTTCTGCCGCGGACTTTGGCGACTCCAATGGTTCTCGATGGTACAATTACTCCTATTCGTATTTTACTTTTCCACTCACAGGAACTATCAAGGTGCGTGCGTTCAATCCTTGCGCCTATATATTTTTTGACGCCTAGAATGCAGTCGCACTAATGGATCTTGGATATGTGCCACATTCGGTCCACTCAAATTCTCGGCTAGTACATCTGCCGTTATGGAGGGCGTAGAGCTTTGTGTAACCGGTCCTGGATGGATTTACGTGCTTGTCGATGATGTTCCAGGTAAGGGTCTAAAGACCATGGTGGGCGATGACAAAGGTCCGGACATCGACAAAGAAGCGCTGGAACAGTGAGTTGCTTTATTCCTTATTCCCAGCAATTTTCTTACGGTGTATTTACAGTGTCCTAAAACACACGGAGACCGTTTAAGCACAATGGAGTGTCCTTCCTTTCCCCTTGTTTTCATTCGCATTCTAGTCTTCGTTACAGTTGGGCCTTTTACGATACTATTTCGCATTGCTATACCCTAACGTTACCTTTTACCAGTACAGTATACCCTCCAATCTAACTACTCATGTGTACTTAGTTTTCTAGTCGACTGAGAACCAATCAAAAATGGTGTATTCCCAAATCGGTAGAGAAGCCGGCAAATTCGGCAAGGATATGCAAAAAAATCGTACTCCTAGTTTTTGTCTCCGTCCTTCGCGTTCTCGTCGTGCCTTGCGTTTTGCATGTTTTGTCGCCGGCAGGGCCTCTCTCTATTCCGGTACTACACTGCCAGCATACGGGTGAAAGTACAAACTGAGCCTTCAACTTTCAAGCCAACATTTGGCAGAGCACCTACGGAAGCGGGGAAATTGGGGTCTATAGCTCATCACAAATTCGAAACCCTGCGAGGGATGGCATCTAATGTTATTGAACAGACCGTAGTGGTGAAGGAGCTAGAGACATTCGAGATTCAGGCCGATTCCTCGAAGGAGATGGAGATTCAGACTGAACCTTTGCACGATATTCCGATGGATCTAGGAAAGACTCCGGTGGCATCAACGGATATCGAGAGTCCTGTAGGGCATATTAGGACTGTCGAGGAGCTGGGAGATGAGCCGGCTGTTGGCCCTCCTCCAACCAAAAAAGCACGGGTCGACAAGAAGAGCAGCAAGAAGGTTGACAAGAAGATGCGAAGGTTACGCAAAACCATGCCCGACCATTGCTCGCCTGAAGATGTCCAGTGGCAAGACATTGTGGCGCTTTTGGGAAGGGACGTTGTGGATCATGCTATAGAGTCGGAGACGGAGTTCTCATCGCCATTCGAGAAATTTGAGGAGGTCGAGGTGAAGGTTGTTCATATGTGCTCCAATGGTACGTGGTTCGCGCTACGTTCAGATTATTGATACTGAGCTTTCGGATGGTAGCAACTTCATTGGCGCTTGCACCCGAATCAAAGGGCCGGCCGTGGGTTTTGGTTATACCTTTTTGTTTCCCTGGTGAAACAGTTCGTGTCAAGGTGCATCGTCATGAGAGAATGCACTCACTTTGCGACCTCTTGGAAGTTGTGGAACCCAATTTGGAGGTCAGAGATGAGAACTTGGTGAAATGTAAATACTTCAGGACATGCGGAGGGTGTCAAAGTCAGGTGAGAATGATGATTGCGCATTCAATATTGCTTCTGAGCCGTGGTCTAGATGGTTCCTTATACGACACAACTAAAATTCAAAAGAGACGTTGTGATTAACGCATACAAAAAATACTCAAGTAAGTTCTCGTGGTCTTGCGATACAGCAGCTTACCCTGCTATAGAACTCCCTGATTCTGAGGTTCCCGAAATTTTATCAACGATTGGCTCGCCGTTACAGTACGGATACCGGACGAAAATTACGCCGCATTTCCAGTTGAAGTCGGACGGCACCCCCGGTGATCCGTTTTGCATTGGTTTCAACGATGTATCTAGGCCGCGTGTGGTTGACATTGAGGCAAGTAGATATTGAAAATATCGACCCCTGACTGACTTTCTCGTTAGGAATGTCCAATAGCTACTCCTGTTTTGAACGAGACACTACCTATCTCTCGAAAGAAAATTCATGAGTATGTTTTCTGCTCTCCGGTTTGGAGTATTCAAACTAACCATTTTGTCAGTACTCTTTCAACGTTCAAGAAAGGCTCAACCCTACTCTTGCGGGAGTCTCTAAACACCGATGTGCCTCTCCCTTTATCTTTATCTCTGACACCTGACGAGCTCGCCGATGCGATGAACACCAAGATCTGCATAACAAACAATAATTCTTCGGTGCGGGAACGTGTAGATAACACATTTTTCGAATTTAACGGTGGATCGTTCTTCCAAAACAACAACTCCATCCTTCCCACTTTTACACAATATATCCGCGAAGCCATATTCCCCCCCGGGATCGTCTCGAAACCGACTCACCTTATCGATACTTACTGCGGAGCGGGTCTGTTCGCCATCACTCTGGCGCCCTACTTCGACGTTGTCTCAGGTATAGAACTCTCTGCAGACTCGATCATGTACGCCAAGCGTAATGCGCGACTCAATAACATTCCCTCGACGAAATGTTCATTCAGAAAAGGTGACGCCGCGAATATATTTGACGTTGTCAAAGAATTTCCTCCGGAACATACAGCGGTGGTTATCGACCCACCTCGAAAGGGTACAGATATGAATTTCATCAATCAACTGGTCGGCTTTCTTCCGCAGACGGTGGTGTATGTGAGCTGTAATGTCCATACGCAGGCGAGAGATATAGGACTGCTCTTGAGGGCGGTGGAGTTTGATTCGAGAGGGAAAAAGTATGTGTTGGAGAGCCTCCGAGGATTCGATCTGTTTCCTCAGACTTCGCATGTGGAGTCTGTAGCAGTACTCAGGCTTTACAATAAAGAAGGTTAAGGCAGGTGCTCTTGTCTTATTTCGCCCGACGAAAGTCCGATAAGTCCGATGGCTGATGTGATCAAAATAAGCCTGATAAGATAAAAAAAAATTGCAGAAAGTTTTCCCTGGAGAACGAATCAAACTCATTCTGTCGCCAACCACGATCTCCCACTGCCATCCGACTCGATTTGAGCTGGAAGCGAAATGTCTCTCTGGAAATCTGTCGGTAATTGCATCCTAGAGGGTGTTTCGAACGTTCCGGATCTTGATGTGCGCATTCCACCGAACGCTTTGTGTGCGGATTGAAATTCTGACTCGATTTCTAGGCATCAAAGCTCACCGTTAAACTTTCTGACTTCCTGAAACCTGTACCAGACAATGAGTCGTTGGTTTTTGGTGCTGTAAACCTCTCTTCAACTTCAGCATGAATGTTATACTCATTTATCCTTAGGTCACCACTGACCATATGCTGGTCGTCAGTTTCGAGCCTTCAACCGGATGGTCCGCACCCGAAATAAAACCCTATGGCCCTCTCAGTCTGGATCCGATGAGCTCTTGCTTCCAGTACTGTACAAATCTCTTTGAGGGAATGAAGGTGTGATAAAGCAGTGCATTTTACAAATGGACTTGTTTGCTGAGCCCATCAACTGCAGGCTTACATGGGCCCAGATGGGAAACCTCGTTTGTTCAGACCAGACAAGAACATGGCACGTCTCGCAAGGTCCGCTGAGCGTGTTGCCTTGCCCGTACGTCTCATCCTGTCCATGTAGGAAGCGAAATGCAACTAACTCGGGCCTATGGGTCAGCCATTCAACACAGAAGCTCTCCTGACACTGATAAAGCGCCTCGTTATGATTGAAAAGCGTTGGATACCCACTGCCGAAGGACACAGCTTGTATATCCGTCCGACTATTATTGGAACGCGCGCCGCTTTGGGTGTTGCTGCTTCCGATCAAGCGCTTCTCTACGTGATCCTGTCTCCAACAGGTCCCTACTTCCGTACAGGCCCCAAACCACTTTCTCTTCTTGCCGTGAACGAGAACGTGCGCGCTTGGCCTGGGGGAACAGGTGGCCACAAGCTTGGATTAAACTATGCGCCTGGGTTCCTTCCCCAGCGCCTTGCGGCGAAGAAAGGCTACGATCAAATTCTGTGGCTCCTTGGAGACGCCGTCACTGAAGCTGGCGCCATGAACTTCTTTGTTGTCATCAAGCGGGACGACGAGGATGGCATGGACGTCGTCACTCCAGAGCTAGACGGTACAATTCTTCCTGGAGTAACCCGCATGTCTGTTTTGGACCTCATGCAGGCACATAATGAAGGCCGGACGAGTCTGAACGGATTGCCCAAGCTTCATACGCAGGAGAGAAAGGTGACCATGTCTGAATTGCAGAAGCTGAGCGAGGAAGGCAAGTTACTGGAAGCGTATGGAGTGGGGACGGCGGTTATTGTGGCGCCTGTTGGGAAGGTTGGTTTTGAAAGTGGTGATTTGACGTTGCCAGCCCATGAGAAAGGGTTAGGTCCAGTGGGGAATGCACTCTGGCGTAGACTGGTAGACATTCAGGAAGGTCGAGTGCAGTGGGAGAACTGGGGAGTTCTTTGCGAAGGCGCTTAAAGCTCACGTATCTAGACAGTTATAGATCTGAAAGCATCTTGTTTACTTACCTGCGATATTCAGCGCCCACGGACCTGTGTGTAGTAGTATACGATGGATTCTAATTCCTTCGGTGACTTGAAACGAGATCTGCATGTAAGAAAAGCTTTCGTGATATGAATTTGAATTGAGAACGGGTTTTCATCATCTCCGCGACTTATTTTGGCATCTACTACAGATCACTCATGAATCTAGCCGTCCCTCGCTCGACGTGTAGGCCCATCTCGGCGAGCAAAATGTAAAGTTCTTTTCGAAATGGTATGCAGACGATGTTCTCTGATTTCCGTGTCCTTGCACCTTCCCCGATGTCACGGATTGATTTGTGCCTCAGCAGTCCTTACGGATTCTCGTGACGATTGCCATCCAAGGTTTCCTTACTTGACCTGATTCCGCTGCCCCGGTCGCTCGAGGTATATCTCTTTTCACGCGTCCATCATCATCATCATATTTATTTAGACACGAAAATATTTTGGGGAAACGGCGTCCAAGCTTTCACTACGATCAGAAGATTTGGCTTGCTCTTTTTGCCCCTACTCCTGCTGTGATAATACTTATTATCTTTGCGACATGGCGGTAGCTGATTCAATACTCACTTACCATGAGCGACAATCTGGGATTGTCGATTGATAGCGACGTTCGAAAACTTTCAACGATGTCCAATAGTGTTGTACATTCTGGTGCTTGGTGATGAGCTACTCCAGCAAATTTACCCAAAATGGTACAAGGAACTTCTCATTTCAAAACGGAACCTGGCGTTCAGAAAGCCTTTTTTTGGATTCTGCATTTAATGATTAACCTATCCTAAGGTGCCGTGTTGGGTTCTGTCCTCAGGCCTGTCCTGTTCTCTTGATCCCAGTCCCTTCTCTCTGTCATAATTTTCTCGGGTGTGTCAGTGTGTAACGTCGACGCGTAACCTTTCATTGCCGTCTTTAACCATCATCATTAAAGGACACTTTTATTTCAAGAATTGGATATCATGATACTGTATAGATCATTGATGTGCAACTGCAGGTAGCGATTTTTCTCGCCATTTAATTAAGAACCTCCAATCACACTGCCACTTCTTCTATGTTGTTCGATATCAAAGAGACAAGAGCTGGGAATGTGTGCCCGATTTTGTAGGAACATTCAGGGAAACTGAAGGCAATATTCAACAGCTCGAGAAGCCAGCGAAAAGGCCGTTTCATCTGATGATATTATGAACTGGTATGTCCAATTTTGGTACACTCTATTATTGGCTTTCGCCTCCTTGGGTTCCACGACTTTTTCGTTTTTGCAGCGGAATTTCACTTCCTCGTGGGCTCGTTAACTTTATCCCCTGCTCCCTTGTACCGCAATACACCTTCTCCGTTGATTACTCTCACATATACATATGGTATACTCCTGCCAGACACCAACATTAAACGCTGTGCGTTCTTTGGTAATAGATTATGCGTCTTCTTCGGGTTCAGTGTCCTTTTCTGACGAACGATAAACCTCCTCTCTTAGTCTACGAAACCTTTACTCTTTCCTCCGCAACGACCAAGGCGTCGAGTACACTCCATGGTATTGACTACCAGGACTAGAATACCAGAGGGCCAGCTCTCACTATTTACTTAGCCAGCACAACGGCCCAGTCTACACAGCACTCCCGCTAATAAATTTCCTCCATGGTTGGACGACCTCGACTTCGCCACAGCGAAATCCAGGGTACTAATCCTGTACATGGTAATTCCAAAAATCATTCTTCAGTGGCTCATCTCAATCTTTTCTAACAGAGGGTTATTTTTATGACGGACTATCATGGACAATGGGTTGAATACGCTCTATCCGATTCCAATTGACTTAAAAGACACCCCTGGGACCAGATCTTACAAATTTCATCTGACAAGCGTCGCCATAAGCCTGGTATAGGCTACATCGCTGGGGCTTATCGACACACGATCACAATCTGCCCGACCCATTCATTTGCAAAATCCCATTCTCATCGGTCTAGAAAAAGCCCAACAAAACTTGAACAATTCCCTAATTGCTTTGTGAATTATCCCATCCATTTCCATACACAAACCCCGCCTTTCCGTTCATCACTATCGCCTTCCCAAAACCGGCCTCGATGCCATACCTCCGTATAGCCCTTTCCAATCAATAGGTCTTTCACGCTTTGTTCTCTCAGCAAAGCGCCAAAAAAGATCAGGTGACGGGGCCACTCGTGAACCCAGGGGTATGCGTCAAGGGTCGGAACACCTGGAAGCGACGCGGGGAATGGGGAGACAGGAAATGCTGGATCAACCGCAGGCGGAAAGCGTTCCATCAGATATTGGTATGGCGAAGAAAAAAACACGTCTGTCTGATCACGATATGTAGATAAATTTTGCTTTCTGTTTTCCCGCTTTAGTTACAGTCTATACGCTATCGAATTGCTTACCCGAGCGGAGGCTCACAACCCAAGGCCCACATCCCTCCATTCTCAAGCTCTTTGCGATGGATATACGCTTGGCCAGGCAAAGAATGGCAAGGCATCAAAATTCCGACGCTCCCCCCTTGGAGTTCGTGGGTAGGTATGCTCCTGATGTAGGATGTGACACTAATTGGACCGCTGCAGTATAATAATACGACGTAGCCCGTAATCGGTATAGGCATCAGGAGAATTGCAAGGAATTCCTTGCGAACTGGTGGGAAATGCGTAGTTATTGATGCACGAGGTTTGGCAACGTGAGTTTTCGTCGTTACAGTTATCGCAGATAAATCGACCAAAGACTGAGAAGCCAGTACGTGAAGGATAGGAAGCAGCGAATGGATGAAACGCCACTCTTTGTGCCCTGTGAAAGAATAGACGCCTATCGTCCACGCCACTGTTTTCCGCATGGTCTTCGTGGCCGTGTTGCTTCCACTCCCCTGTGTCCATAAGCTGTGGACAGTGAACGGTAATGAAGTGATACAAAGCATCGGTAAGGCTTGAGAGAGGTAGTAGTGCCACGGATTTCCGCCGTAGAATAAGGCAATACCGGACAGATTTGTGACGAGAAAATTGGCTGGAGCGAAAGTAAAATTGGCGTAATAGACGTAGTCCAGCCCGACGACAGATGTCAGAACAAGCGTTCTACGGTTCTTTGCGTTAAGAAAAGGCTTCAGAGTCAGTGCACGAAGCTTACCCTATAACAATGGTGTCACACAGAAGGAAGAGTAAAGTCCGCCGATAGCCCCGAAGAGCCCAAACCAAGTTGGAAAATAGATAGATCCAAATGACTGCGTTCGTCGGCCGGATGGCACAAGCAAGAGCTGCAAATGCGAGACTTTTCCGTATCTTTGATCTGGACCATATGAATGTAGCAACCATTTTCAATCGTCTTGCAAGTACCTGTTGTATATCAGCTGGGGACTTAATCTTGCGCTAGCATCCCAAGGATAGTATGAGAAGGCGATGGTCGTCAAGGAAGTCTCCAGAGAGTTCGAAAACGACCGTGAAAGTGAAAGGGCGTGAAAGAACGAGGTGAGCGACAAAAACAACTAGTACGTGCCTTAGTATGGAGGCAGAAAGAAGAAAAGAAAAGCTTACGGAAGTAGACACGTACCGTTCCCCAATTGTTCGTCGAGTCAGGGAACAGATCCAGATGTCAGTGCCGGCCGCTAGTGTTCCGTGTAAGATGCGCGGTCCAATGATCTATGTCAATTCTATGAAATAGAGGCATAAAGCCGTCATGAGCATCATACCAGAAGAAAGTCACCCCAGGGTCTAATTTCATGCATCCCAGTGACCTTTAACGCCCAATAAATGGGTACGTTCAAAGCCGGATACAGGATGCTTCGGATGGGAAGTGGGCTCAGCCATTCCCATGTAAGATTCCCGTACCCAAATACAATATTATGCGCCGGTTCAAGGGCTTGAAAGTATTCGTCTGGCTGAAAGAAAGTTCGGGTACACAGTGCGATTACCAGTCGAACAGTCAAAGCATAAAGAATTACGGACATGCGCGGAAGAAGTTCAAAGCAAACTTCGAAGTCCGAAGCAGGCGCTAAATCATCGGTGACTCGGACCGGACCTTGTTTGTCTGCAGCCACAGCGGCAGCACCATACGAATTGACGCAGCAATCGCCACTCGTCTTCTGCCCACGACACTGAGCGCTTTGCATGGACTCGATACGTGTTTCCAAGGTATTACTTGCGTGGATGTGCTCATTTCTCTCTCACGAATTCATTTAGGTAGAACATGTCTCTTGCACCAAGTCCGGATCCACCGTAACCGGCACGATTCATCTTACGGCCCACCACCTCATCTTTCAGTATGACGAAGGCAAAGAGAAGGAACTTTGGGTGAGATATTATTCTGCTGTTACTGACTGCGTACTTACTATACCTCAGGTTCCATATCCCCTGATATCACTTGTTACGCGCCTCCCTCAGACAATCCAGGGCCAGAGCCCTTTGACATTCAATTCACGAACTTTCGAGACTTTTACAGTGTCCTTTCCAAGGGACTCTGATTCTACAGATGTTTTTGAAAGCGTGAAAGAGCTCACAGTAACAAGTGCGTCCGACCTGCTTCTTTCCACATGGCTTGCTCCCTTACTGATTACAATCAGCATCTGTCCAGCAACTATACGCATTTTTCTATACCCCAAAACCTCCGTTCACACTAACGGATGGGTGGAATTTGTATTCTTCGCGAGAAGAGTTTGGTCGCATGGGGGTCGGGACGCGATCCAAGGCTTGGAGATTCACGGACGTCAACAAGGACTACTCTGTGGGTACTGTGAATGTTTCTTCAGATATCACATATAGATGACCCTCAGTAACCCTAGTTTTGCCCTACATATCCTGCAAGACTAGTCGTCCCAACAAGAATCAGCGACACTACTCTCCAATATGCGTCAAAGTATAGGAGCAAATGTCGAATACCAGTCCTCAGTTATCTTCACTGGTCGAATTACGTGAGGCAACTGGCTTCTTTCGATGTATCGTGTCTCATAATTCTTGGTATGGGTGCAGGGAAGCATAACTCGGTCGAGTCAGCCCATGGTTGGAATCACACAGAATAGATCCGTCCAAGACGAGAAGCTAATCGAAGCAATTTTCCAATCACATCATTCGCCTGAATCTCGAACATCAAAGGTCCCAGTTTATGGTGCAATGGCAACCAATCTTATCATTGATGCTCGTCCAACGACTAACGCTATGGCGAATACTGCCAAAGGCGCCGGTACAGAGAATATGGATCATTACAAAGAAGGAAAGAAGGTCTACCTTGGAATTGATCATATTCACACAATGCGAGAATCTCTGGCGAAGGTCGTAGAGGCATTGCGGGAAGCGGAAGCTACTTTAGCGAGTATCAGCACCGATCTCTCAAGCCAGGTTTCGGGTATATCCGTTTTGGACAGACAAGCTCTTCGTCGCTCTGGTTGGCTCCGTCATATATCGGCCATACTGGAGGGCACAACTCTGATCGCTCGAAACGTCCACGTTAACTCCTCTCACGTTTTGATTCATTGCTCCGATGGATGGGATCGTACTTCACAGCTCTCCTCGCTTGCTCAGCTCTGTCTGGATCCTTTCTACCGCACCATGCGTGGATTTGAAATCCTCGTGGAAAAGGACTGGTTGTCATACGGACATAAATTTTTGGATCGCTGCGGGCACCTCTCCTCTGACAAATTCTTCATCTCAGCACTTGAAAACGTAAATACTGGTAGTGGCGCAGATGCAGCGCAGGCGTTCTTGGCGTCCATGCAAAACCGATTTACGTCGCAGAATCACATCAAAGAGACCAGCCCGGTCTTCCATCAGTTCTTGGAGTCAGTCAGACAAATCCAGCGCCAATTCCCGGAACGTTTTGAATTCAACGAACGATTCCTCCATCAGCTCTACTACCATCTTTATTCATGCCAATTCGGCACTTTCCTTTTCAATTGCGAGAGGGAGCGTAGCGTGGGAGACGGTGATGGGCCACCTCCTTGCGAACGTACAGTCAGTGTTTGGGATTTCTTCAATTCGCCCAGCCAGACAGAGCAAAACCGGAACACTCTATACGATCCTTCCTTCGATGACCCTATGAATCGAGACCCGAATGCAGACATGGGCGTTCTCTTTCCCAACCCTAAGGATGTCAGATTTTGGCATGAGCTTTATGGGCGTACAGACGAAGAAATGAATGGCAGGTTGATTTTGGCACAAGCGCTGGAGGTAGACGCAGCTGTTGGAAGCATCCAGGACAATCCGATCCAAAGCTCTAATACCCCTTCTTCCATTCCACTGCCGCCCTCTCCATCCAAATCACCTGCGCGCTCTTTAGTACCGTCTCGCTCGACGAGCATATCTGTCGCGCCAGGAAGTGCATCATCGATTCCGCCGTCTTCTGCTGTTCCGATAACAGACTCATTTCCACTTCCTGGACCTCCATCTCCGGTAGACAGCTTCAAGCCCTTCGGTGCGTCCACATCTGCCATCTCCATGAAACCCGCCAGCGTCTCTACAACTCCCTCATCTTTTTCAAATCGCGTAGCATCGAAGTCGCAAGATTTCTTTGGGAGTAGCGGGGTGAAATCCGTATGGGGAAAACTCTCGTCTAACGCTTCCGCGGCATTCTCAGCGGTACAGGAGGCTTATGTGGGCTTATCCCAAGATCCCCGAGGAGACGATACGAAGACGGAGGAGTTACGTGGGAGGGATAATCTTGACAATTGGGGAGAAACGAAACCGACTCAGTCAGTGGTTACCCATACAATCAATCCTTGGTCGACGGTGCCTTCAAGCACGTCTTGGCCTGCCCTTCCCTCACCATTCGACAACCCTTGGGGTTCCACTCGTGGGTCCTCACTGAAAGAATCAGAATCGTTGAACCCTTCAAGTTCTCTTCCCTTAGACCCTACTATATCCCCTGCTTTGCGCTCCCCACTCCCCCGCGGTGTCGTCGAAGAGAACCTTGGTAATCCGACCTTGGCTGGGTCCTCACCAAAAGCCCGAGAGAGCACGCCACCCCTGCAAGCGTCAAACAATGGTAATACAGATCCCCTTGGCGTTGGTATATTTTAGTTTTTGAGTCGATAATTATGGCATAGCAATAAGTTTCCATTCGCATTCAGCTCTGGGCTGTTAGACACTCGTTGTGATATGAGTATTCAGATTATATTCAATTCTATGTTTTTATCTATTTTTCGTCATTGAGTTGGCAGTCTTCAGAACGTCTGTCCGTCATGTTATCCCGCACGACTTCGATATTGATTGACCACCACGGTCGTCAACCTTCACAAGGCGGCTCGGATATCCGGTCCGGAACATTACCCAGGTCCCCAATCAATCTTTTTCTCGACTTCGACTTGCACTTTTCCTTTGCTTGGAAGAAATGAACTCTTTCCCTTAATGTCAATAAATTTGGCATACGTGTGGCGCTCCGCCTGTCTGCGGGTCGTTTCACCCTGCAACCATCGCGTTTTCAGCACCCGTGCTCCTTGGAACGCAACCAAAAGCCCCGAGGTGCATATTCGCATGGAGGATTTTGCTTGTGACGCCATACGGTAAGCTTTATATTACAAGAACAAGAATTGTAACAAGAAAAGCTATATGTGTAGCAATTTCTCCATAATAGCGCACATCGGTGAGTTAGTGTCATCTTACGATCTTAACGAGCGACACCCCGACACTCACGCTCAGATCATGGAAAGTCAACGCTTGCCGATAGGTCAGTTCTCGTTTGATTCTAATGTTTCCTTTACCTAACATGAATTACTAGGCTTTTAGAGGTTTCCCTTTCTCTATTGTATGCAGGGCTTCTGCTTATGTGATCTCCCCAGCTTACCGGAACGATTCAGAAGAAGCGGACAGGGAAGAATGAGCAGGTTTTGGATAAGCTTAAGGTGGAGAGAGAGCGAGGAATCACTGGTGCGGTCGCTTTTTCTTCTAGCGTCCAATAGGCTTACTATTTGTGCATATAGTGAAGGCCCAAACGGCCAGCATGTTTCATAAACACGAAGGAAAGATGCATCTGTTAAACCTTATCGACACTCCAGTGAGGTACCCCGACTGCCCTGTTCTTCACTTAGCTAAAAGTCTCTAAGGGACACGTAGATTTCGCGTGGGAAGTCTCTCGGTCGTTAGCTGCGTGCCAGGGAGCTTTGTTGTTGGTACGGACATCATCCAACTTCCAATTTCCCTGTCTTACAACTTCTCAGGTTGATGCCAGTCAAGGGGTCCAAGCACAGTCTATATCAGTTTTTCATATAGCAAAAGAACGAGGGCTCAAGATTATCCCTGTTCTGAACAAGGTGAGAGCTTTGCCTGGGATTATGAATTTATACCGACAATAAAACTCATAGATCGACCTGCCTGCTGCACAACCAGAGCTCATGGCTGCACAGATAGAAACCGCCTTTGGCATTGATCCCACAGATATTCTTCACATATCGGCCAAGACGGGGCAAGGTGTAGAAGAGGTCTTGAGGGCTGTTATTGAACGAGTACCACCACCAACGGGAGACCAAAATACGCCGCTGAAAGCCTTTCTTTTTGATTCTCTGTGCGTGCTCCTTTGCCGTTACGTGCGCGCAACGTGTTGAATACTATCAGGTACGATCGTTACAGAGGTGTAATTTCTTTAATCAGCGTACAAGGAGGAGTTATACGGAAAGGTAACTGATTGCCTTAGAGTGCGCGTGTTTTCGCTGGACTAAGGCTGTTTAGGCGACAAAATATCTTCATGTCACACACGGAAAAGATACGACGTCACGGAAGTAGGGATAATGCACCCGGAAGAAATCCCCACAAACAGTCTATACCCCGGACAGGTGGGCTATATTGCTTGCAACATGAAGGAATCATCGGAAGGTCAGTGATGATAACCTAATGCCTATCTTTGATAGCATCTTATTCAAGATTAGCTCATATCGGTGATACATTACATCGCCTCGGCGCACCCGTTGAGCCTATGCCTGGTTTCAAGCCATCGAAAGCCATGGTTTATGCTGGGGTTTTCCCAGTAGATAGCAGCGACTTCCCGAAGCTCGAAGAATCCATCAAGCGGGTATTTATACCTCCCTCATATAAATCTTTCATTATTCCACTGACGCTCTGAATTTCCTAGCTTACTCTTACCGACAGAAGCATAACTATACAACGTGAATCTTCCTCCGCACTGGGACAAGGCTGCCGTCTGGGCTTTTTGGGGACCCTGCACATGGACGTATTCCGGCAACGTCTGGAGGACGAATACGACGCGAACATCATCATCACGGCTCCCACAGTACCATTCAAGATAATCCCGACGAAGGGCAGTGACTACTTTATTAGTAACCCGACGGAGTTCCCAGATATTGCTGAAAGCATGGGCAAGGTCAAGGAGGTTCAGGAGCCTATTGTCAGTGCGAGTATAATCGCTCCGGAAGGTACAAACGCCTCATTTAAAATCGACGAACTCCACTTCGAGCTTACAATCCATTCTAGAATACTTCGGAGAGATCACGGACTTGTGCTTCTCTCATCGGGCTGATAAAATAGATCATCGGTATCTAGATGCTGGTTCGGGTATTGCGTCGTCAAGGGTTATCATTACATGCGTTATGCCTCTAAGCGAGATCGTAACGGACTTTTTCGATCAGCTGAAAAGCCGGACCTCCGGGTTCGCCAGTTTTGAGTGCGTGCATCTTCATCTGTTTCATATTCAGTTCAATTTTGACCGTAATATTTGCCAGTTATGAAGATGCTGGGTATCAGAAAAGTGATTTGGCTAAGGTAAGAAGAGTGCATCTTCGCAAATGGTATGCAGATGGGCGCTTACATCAATCATGCAGATGGTTTTCTTACTAAACGGCAAGCCTGTTGACGCCCTTGCACTTGTTGTGCATAAATCTGCACAGGACAAAATCGGTCGCGCCTGGGTAAAGAAACTTCGTGAGTCCTCATTTTGCTACTGATGTTGAATCTGGCTGAAGGCGGAACAGATAAAGTTATTCCTCGGCAACTCTTCGAAGTCCCCATTCAAGCAGCGATCGGTAAAAAAGTCGTCGCCCGGGAGACGCTCTCTGCTATGAGAGCTGATGTCACCGCAGGACTATACGGAGGTGAGTTGTAGAGAATGTCAGTAAGAAGACCTCCGAAGAGCTGACGTTGGATAGGTCATTATGAGCGGAAACTAAAACATCTAGAGAATCAAAAGGAAGGGAAGCGAAGGATGAAGAGAGTCGGAACGGTAGAGCTTCCACAGGAGGCCTTCTTTGATATTCTCAAGAAATAGTTGGATCGTGTACAACACTAGCACTACTCTAATTATACTGATATAGGATGACTGGCTGCTGTAATGTATCGTCAGATCTATAGCACTGTATCTTCGTCGTCGTAGGTTTCTTTCAGAAGCCTAAGAGAGCGATAAATAAATCGCAGATGACAATAAAAATGCGATGACAGACCGATATATTGACGAAGGGGGATGATCACCGCTGAATAGAAGAGGCATCAGAATGCGTTGTACTGAAGATTTATGACATACTGACTCGTTCGTGATGTACGCATCTACCAATTCCGGACAAACGTAGTCATAAAAAGGGTTGACAACGTCCACCTTATCAACCAAATCACCTTCCTCAAACCCGAGAACCTTGCTGGGATCACAGAAATCCAGAGCTCCGTATTCATGGTAGAGATTCCAAAGTGGGGTGACTTTGAATTGCCCTGCGCAGACGACAACGGGGGTGCTATGAGCTCGGGCAGCGGTGGCAGCTATTTGTGCACCAGATGTAGCAAACATACCACCGTTTGCGAGAATTGCGTGAGCACCGAGAATGACTTTGTTTACTCGAGACATTAGGGCAAAGATTGACGAATCGGGAACTAGAAAGGTTGAGATGCCCGCAGATGAAAGGGACGCAGCTAAATCGCGGCCGCCGTAGCTAGAAAACGAAGGTTAGCGTAGTCGGAGTTTTGTAGAAGACCTGATACGGACGTAGGTGCGGTCTCGGCAACAATGACCGTGTATTTTCGATAGTGTGCAGCAGTCTTGAGGAAGGTCTCTACAGTTCTCGACGCGCCGAGAGTAAGAATGATTTCACTGGAAGCAGGTTTAGCGCTGTGGCGTGGATGGAACGATTATCCTACTCTGAATGTACATGGTCTTTGGCATTTTTTGACACGTTATCGTATACAGTTTCCAGCTCGTCGAATATATCTTGGATGGCTTCCATGAGGACAGGCTTTAGTCCCCGCGCAAACGAATCAGGATCGTTTGGGTCATCTTCCTTGAGCGTGCCTTTCTTTTCTGCTTTTGTGACGATGATATGCTTCCGCGGCTGCCCTTGCAGAACGAATTTCGCTATTGAAAATGATTCTGGCCTGGACCTTGTCGTCCCTTTGGTAGCGGTCTGATATTCCTCTCGAATATGATGCAAAACCTTTCGTACAGTGTTACCAACAGAGTGTTCTACGGTCATGAATTTGATGAAACTCAGTGTAATGATACAACAACGCACGAACCTTTAGGCTGCGCTTCCACGAGTCTTCGGCCCACAGAACGAATTATATCCACGAGTTGTTCAAAATTAGAGAATCGTGCTTTGGCGACAACTTGGCGTATTACAAGCAGAGTTTCGAGAGCGGCTGCACGTGAGCCAACGACTTGTCTATAGAATCATGAGAGAGAAACAAGGCCGTTTCTTATGAACACTGACCGTCGTCGCAGTCGCAGTGCAAGACTTTCGACGATGCGTTGGTCAGCAACATCGGAAGTCATCGTAGAGGACGTGCAGAACGTTGAGGACAAGTCAGTTTTCGGCTATCCCCGTTTGGTACGGCTCAATTGAGGCACCGACGACATCATCGCTAGACACGCGTCAGGGAGCTCAACCTCCTTAGACCGAAACATCATCGTCCTTGCAAATGCCGCCGCAAGTGGACCTCGTCATCACATTCAGGGCGTCGCAGAAAATCGTCCTGTCGAAGCAGCAAATTCGCGACGATGCCCAGAAAGCAGAGCAGCAGTATGCTTGTCTTCTTCAGACATTGAAGTATGGTGGCCTTCGAGCAGTGGCAAGGAGGGGAGAGACCCTTGGACATCTGCTTATCTTTGTATATTGCCCTGAAGGCTTGGTCAAGAATCTAGTTAAAAGGGAGCGGTATGTCTACTTCGCCGTGGCTCAGGGCGTGGGGCTCATCGACTGCCAGGCATTCGGATTTTCTTTCCGGCCTTCTGACGACACCCATCAAATCTGGCACTCTGTTACCACCACTCAGTATTTCAGATCGCCTTCGTCTAGTGCATTCATACATAACGTCGACGCCTACTGACGGTGGGTTGGGAATCACACCAGAAACCTCCCAATGGGATCTCGTAGAGTCTGTTATGTGTTTGCATGACCGAGATTGGAACGAGCAATGGAAGCATACGTGGAAGAGCCGAAAAATTGCTTCAGTCTCAGAGGATAGGATACGGGACCAAGTACGTCTTCATTACTAGCAAGTCAAACCAACTGACCTATTTTAGTTTGGCGATACTGTGGCTCTCTACTTCTCTTTCCTCCACTCGTACACTCGCGCCCTCATAATTCCCGCTATCCTTGGAGCTGCCTTTTATTTCTTTTGTTCGCCTTATTCGCCTGTGTACTCCTCCTTGCTTCTGCTCTGGTCAGTCACGTTCGTCGAATGGTGGCGTGTCCAGGAACGCATTGTCTCCCTCCGTTTCGGAACGCGAGGTTCATTCCGCGTAGAAAAACGACGCGCCCAGTACAACTCCAATTTCTCATGGTGGAAGCGAGAGCTTCGGATCCTTGCAAGCCTTCCGGTAGTCCTACTATTCGCTGGCGTTCTTGTTGCCCTTTTGACTGCAATATTCGTGTTTGAAGCCTTTGTCACGCAATTGTATACAGGTCCAGGGCACAAGTATATTGTGAGTCGAATGTATATGTTGGTGACATCTATAACGAACTTCCTTCAGAGTCTCAGCCCTACCATTTTATTTGCGATTCTCGTCCCACGTCTACTGGATGTCTACCAAGTGATAGCTTCAAAACTCACAGCGTGGGAAAACCATGCACATTATTCTTCCTATACCACCTCACTTAGTCTGAAAACCTTCGTCCTGACCGCCCTTGTAGCATACCTTGGTCTCGCCTTGAGTGCATTCGTCTACGTACCGTTTGGTGAAGGTGTCATGCGCGTTGTACAGTCGTCAATCTTCTACACCAATAGCACCTCCAAGGATTCATCGGACAAACCAACCGATAGCGTTTGGGAAAGCGATGTTACGACAGCTGGACGCAAACTTAATCCTGAACGACTACGCGATCAGATGTTCGCATATACGGTGACCAACCAGGTTGTGGATACGCTCATGGAAATCGGGTTGCCATTCGTTCTGCGTGCAGTTGAAAAATACAGAAACAAGAAAAAAACGAATTTGGGGACGTCATCTCCAAAGGGCAAAAAGAAGGTAGTGTTCGAAGACGAAAAGGAAAAGGGGGGCGCGGAAGAGCGAGAATTTCTGGAAAGGGTTCGCAGTGAAGTCGCTCTACCCGAATACGACATCTTCGGGGATTACAACGAGATGGTGATTCAGTTTGGCTACGTCGCATTGTGGTCGACGATATGGCCATTGGCACCTTGTAAGCTGTATTGCTCTGACAGAGGATCTGATGCTAACTCACCATTCCAGTGATGGCGCTAGTCAACAACTTTTTCGAGCTTCGATCGGATGCCTTCAAAATCATCACTCACGTCCGCCGGCCCATTCCCATGAGAGTTGACACGATCGGACCCTGGCTAGACGCGCTCACATTCCTTTCCTGGCTGTCTTCACTGACCAATGCATCGCTTGTATATCTGTTCTGTCCCAGGTCACAGACCTATTGTAATACCACGCCGTCGTCAATCGAAAAGGTCAGCCAAGAGCTCTTCTCTTCCGCTGTTGTTGCAGGGATCGAGGCACCGGACGCGACGATGGATCTACTGAAAACTGCACTGTTGATTGCATTTGCTGCCTCCCATGGATATATGCTCCTGCGTGTCGTCGTTCGACATGTTGTTGAGAGAATAGTGTGGAAGGGCAGTGAAGAAGTGAAGGAGAGGGAGAAATTTGAAAGAGAAATGAAAGAATCATTTTTGAAGAGTACAGCGGAAAAGGAGGAGGAAGATGTGGTAGAGGAGAGGAATGAGGATGCTGATGCTGATGAGGTGTTTTGGAATCATGATGAAGGGCTGCAGGAGATTCAGAGAATATCGAAAGAGGCATGAACAAGAATGTACACTAGGTTCTTTATCTTGGTACATGTATATAATGAGGTCTGATGCTTATCGCTTCTGTGGACTGCTTTAAGTGGGTTTTTAAATCATCAAGGCCCAAAGCCTGTGGTGAGGTGGTGGTGTAAGATAGACAGAGACCCACACCTCTCATAAGACCACACTGATCCGGACCGGATGTCCCGTTCTTGCCTTCAACCCATCATCTGAATCATGGCTCCCTTCCGAGCTGCACCGTCGACCACCCATAAAACGCAGCGCAGGCTGTATTCACGTGCATTTCTTGCCATATTATTCTACTCTACCTCATCATCGTTTCTCTTCCAGCTGTTAAACCCTACAGACGATCTCCAATACAGTACAGCCGCAGGCAGCGTGACGCTCGACGAAGTACCCCTCCAGAATCCCACTCTCATCGAGTCTCGAATAACTGGCACGAACGACCACCTCATCTTGATCCTATCTATGAGAGCTTTCCGAACGGGCGGAGACAAGAGGTATCGTTCGACTTTGAAGACTCCTTTCGCGCGTCTGGAGAAAAGGAGGAAGACGACGACAACGACGACGAGGGCGGCGTGTTGTTTCCCTGGGAGGATGAGCAGACGCTCATAGCGGATCTCTCGTATGATGGGTGAGCAGGGATACGCATACACCCAGTTTTCCCCGTTCTCAATGCCTCCAAGCCGTGTCGAACCAGATGACGAGGACATTGTTAAGCTCATCGACTCGCTCCAAAACTCTTTTACGCGCTACTCCAAGACGCTTGTTGACGACATCGCCCAGACGCTTGTTCCTGCTGTCAGACGCGTCAAGGAAGCTCACCACCTTCTCAACACCCGCGTGGACGAGGATTTTGGCAAGGGGCTCTGGGAGTTCCATGACACGTGCAAGAAGATGGAAGTGATGACGTTGAGGAATGAGGAGGAGATACGAGAAGAGTATACGGCTGCGCAGGTGTGTGTATCTTCGATGTTTCGATCGTTCTGTCTTGAACGTTTATCTTTCTAGACGCGCATCGCGGATATCATGGCCCAGCTTGAGGATGCGTATGCTCAGAGGGACCAGCTCTGGGTCGACTTTGAAGTCAAGTTCAGTAGCATTGGTGCGCTCTATTCCATCTCTTCACACATAGCCCTTGACCAAGTCGTTAAAGTGGACCCGACGATTGACATGCTCAAGGATCTTCCTGTCAGAATGGAACGTGCGATTTCAGAGGTCGAGAAACAGAGCAAGAAACTGAACAAGGACGACGTCGGACCAGAGCAGACGCTCAAGGACCTCTTGGCCAAACTGAATTAAGTTGTGCTTACTTGGACGTGCTTCTTGCTGGCGTTGGCGTTGCCCTACTCCTTTGCCTCTAGGGATTTTCTGGGGGTCCGATATGCTTTTGAACTCTGCTTGTAAACTGTAATCGAATCGTGCTTGGATTCTTGTACCTTGTCATACGGTCTTCATGCCTCACCCTCTCGTTATGCTGTCAGTGATAGAGGCGACCTACTTCTCCCGGGTTTCGGAACTTTTTTTCTCGTCAGATTCTACTTTACGCATAATGTGAATGAATAGCTGTAAACGTCATGCTCGTAAACGGTGACAGCCTCACGAGGTGTGCATGTGCACCTAGAACATTAGGAGATTATAAGATACAAGCTGCCGTGAGAATGCTGTGCCGTTACTCGATGGTCAGGTCGATACTCGGTGTCTCATCGATGGAAGAGAATGATTGATATCGGAGTAAAGCATGGTAGCAAGCCATCACCTGTTTCAACCGGTGACTGGCTCCGTCCGTTGATTGATATCGTTGACGTTTAAACGTTTGCGTTTAGCGTCGAGCATTGGGGCGAATGCTGAAGTTTTCTGGATGCTTTGGTCAGCAGTAGACGCAAATGAATGACTCTGAAACGCTTTGGTTGCAGAGATAGAACTGCGACGGCTCGGAGCGTAGACAGGTGTCCGACCTGCGCTTTTCCACATACTTGGATGATTGGCAAGGTACAGTGCTACACGACTTCGATCAGAATCTGTGGTGCTGTTCCTAGCAGGGGCAAGGCGCATGAATCAAGCAAGTCGCCTCCAGATCAAGGTACACTCGGGATTAATAATAATAAAGTGGCGGGGGCCTGAATGCGATGATAGAGGACGAGAAGGAAAGGATGATACATACAATGCAATACATAGATAGTCGGTGTACATACAACAACAGAATCCATAGATAGAACATGTTTAAAGAAGAACGCTACTGCAAAGAACAGCACTGGCAATCCGTTCTTTGTTGTCCATAAGGATCCTCCGCCCGTCCAACGGGACCCCACACCGACGGGACCTGTGTTCGGGGTGTGAGCAGGAGGCAAAAGATAAATCGACAGGAAACGCACGAGATGATCTTTTGTTGTTTTGCAGTACCGTATGAGACTGGGCGCTGGTAAGACACAGACAGATATCAGATACGGAGAGAGGAAGGAACGTACCTCGCACTGGCCTCACTGACCCTTACCCTCGGCCGGGCCAGGTCCTCCCTCAGCCGCTGATTATGCTCTAGCAGGCGACGGAGCTTGAGCTCGGACATGGCCTGGCGGCCTCCTGTGCGAGTGCTCATAGGAGGTGATCGGGGCGGGCGGTATCCGTATTCGCGATCTTGGCTGAACCGTGAGCAAGTGCCAACAATATCACGACAGAAGGAACAGCTCACTCAGCGTGGGCAATTAAAGATGCAAAGGACAACCGTGAGCGACGGTATCCTTTGGCTACAAGGTGGATGGGTTGACCGTCACAGGCAAAGATACATATATACCCGGCATCAAATGTGGGACCCGGTATTTATCAGCACTGCATATCACATCCCTTTTTTTTTTCTTTTTCTTTTTTCAAAGTTTAGCTTGTCCGCCCGTATTTAGGATTTGCGTTCCACGCTATAGACACACTACTTATTTCTAACATAGGATTCGGGCAGCACTGCACGGGACAAGCGAATCGAGCCGATGACCAATAAATTTATAGTAAAGCAACGACCTGATGATATACCAAATGATGATGATGATAAGAAAGCAGCAGCAAAGAAAAATAATGTAGAGGTGAGAACTGGATGAAAACTGGATATTGGTGATGGTTGGGTGCCAACCGAACAGGATCGGGTGGCGGGTATCCTGTTGGCGAGGGACAGGGGAGGGGGTAAACGAATGTGAGGGTTGGCTTGTTGAAGAGCAATCCGAATATCGTGTCTGCCTTGGCACACATTCCAAAGTAACGGATGACTCCTCCATGAGTGATGAAAAATCCGAGTAGAAAAGAAACAGGAACGACAGAGAGCAATCACATAACGACGCAACTGCAGCCCTGTGCTGGCGGTGCGTACGGATCTTCTCCCTTTCCGACTGGTCCCCATACTGAAGGCACCTACAACAGCCGTGAGAAGGTTGGCAAGCGACAAGGTAATAGGCATACGAGGTGATCTTTCGTCGTCTTGCAGTAACGTATCAAACTAAATACAATCGGGCAAAGTTGTCACCGCTGCACAGAAAGGAGATATCTGAACCCGTACCTCGCACTTGCCTCACTCACTCGAACCCTAGGCCTCGCAAGGTCCTCCCTCAGCCGCTGGTTATGCTCGGTTAACCGTCGAAGCTTCAGCTCAGACATAGATTGCTAAGAATGTCCGTAAGCCAAGGTTCCTCCAAAAACCAAGACAACGAAGGCGCACTTTGTGAGGCCGGGCATTCATGCTGATAACGGGGATTTTGAAGTGGATTACAAGGAAAGAAAGCTGGAAACGAGAATGAGGTGAAACCTAGAGAAAGGGACTCGCGCAGCTGACCTTTTGAAGAAAAGGAGAGGAGGTCAAGGGTCGACAGGTTGGCTGGAAAGCTGGATCAGCGGACTTTGAATTTCCGGCACTGATGTTGAATCAACAGCCATCAACAGTCTGCCTTTCATCAAAGTACGTCCTCCAGTCATTTTACATGCATTTTTGTTAAATTTCATAGATATAAAGCTGATGCCACCGGTTAATTATCAGTATATTTGTACAACGCCCCGGCCATCCGCTGCCGAGCCTCGCTTATTTTTGCTAAGCACCTCATATTTACGAAAGTTTCCGGCTATCGCAAAAGATTACTCTATGAGGCGGATGTACTGCTCAACTCACAGATTAGAGCCTTCAATTCCACTTTGCTCCAAGGACGAAAAGCCGTTTTCTTCACACCGAGTTCAACCCCGTTATTCAGCACGCGATTTGAGAGGGGGGAGGGGGGACGAAATTGGGTGTCCCGGCCACGGGCGACGTGTGCTTATTCTGATTCTGATGATGCGACGGCGACACAGCGCTTCCAGAAAAGACTGCACTGTTCGACCTTTTTTCTGTGGAATGATATGTATGGCGCAACTTGCGTGCGCGAATTTCCCATAAGCACCGGGGCTCACGACCGTAAAGGCGTCTTGGCACTAGGGCTTCACGACGCCGTGTCAGATAGTACCACAAGGAACACTTGGCCATCGAAAAAGAGCTACTTTCTTTATCCACAACTTCTTTCCCCGTAGCTCAAGCTTCTGCGGACACAGGCGAGCTATTATTCGTTCCTGCATCATTCATTCCCTCTTGGCATGCGTGTACATAGGCCAGTTCTGCGAATAGTGCGCGTGTGATTTTGATGCTATACGGAGACACGGCGCTTGAACCATGCCATCGTTCGATTTCTACTCCACATGTGGGGTGCTCACACATCGCTGCCCCGATCACTTTTCTCAACAAGGTGCCTTCAAATCGGGCCCAGTCAAAGCTACTTTGATACACCGGAGCCGCGGCAGAAGGGATACGCCTCCAATGGATCGATTTAATTCCCTCAAGTTCCATTTAGCAGTTAGAACCCAGCCCGGGCAAGGGTCCACCATGAGCTCGTGCACTTTGGCCATGACAGTTGGAAGTGATTTTGATGAGACCGCGGCGAAGACACGGCGCCTCTAACGAGGTATTGATCTATTCTGAAGAGCGCGTTGTTATAGGTGGAAGGCGCGTGAGCGTCAGCTCTTGACCTTTTACTTCAAATTTTCAACCCTGAATTTACATCAAAAGATGCGATTTCGGTTTGGCATGGAATGAATAGGTTATGGATCCGAGTATTCGTGTTCGCGTAGTGATATCCGTCGACGTTTGTGATGATTACCGGGGAGTAGAAGTGAATTTCGTGTTGTGATCGATCACGTTCCTCAGTCCTGATATTTTTTTATTCAACAGGTCTCACTGGAATCATGCACCGGCGGCATAGCAAGTTCGAGCACCCAGGAAGAATTGGCCCTAATTTGTGCGCGCCTACAATAGATGTATCGGTGAAGTCCTTCCATCCTATGAGATATCCTGAAGTGCGGTGTTAGAAACGGGGGCGACAGTGGGTTGTGTAGTCATTCGCGCCGACTACCGGAGGAGAACAAACAAAGTCATCCTCTTTACCACCACGAAAACGAGCTAGTCTGTTGTACAGGACGGGACGTGCATAGTTTCTCGCAAGAGAACCAGCTGTGCTATTCAAAGATAGAATGTCTTGAGTTTGGGCGCTGATCATTTGCAAGATATGGATCTCACTTTTTTAGATGGTCTTTTACTTTGGTCCTTCTTATAGTCGGCTAATGATCGAGCACTGCGTTGTGAAATTCAGTCATCGAACTACCACCAACTATGAACTGAGTCCTGTTCCTCTACCTCGACATGTCCCTGCCCCGACCCTTCGAGCATGACCCCTACATCACGGTCTTTGCATGCAGCAGAAATTCGAAGAGTATCTTTTCTTGTTCGGTCTCGGGACTGTGAAGGTACCACGAGAAGAGTGGCAGGAAATGCAGAGTCGTCTCAAGTCTCAGGGGGGGATGTTGATGATTTGTCTGCTCGGCCTGATGCTTTGGCGATCCTTGTCTTGTCTTTCGTGATCGACAGAACCCGCACGCAAATCGGCGAGTGAGCCTTCCTCCCGACTCTCTTCAAATTGTTGCCCTAGGATCGCAAATTTCGAGTAGTATACTCTGATTCGAAGGAGATACGAGCGCCAGGCTTCAGAAATTAACCCAAAGGCCGCCCAGCGGGCTAGGAATGCCCTGAGAGTACAATTTTGGGTTAGAATTACAATGGGAAACCATCGACATTCGCGTGCACGCGTTTTCTACCACTTTGAAAATCTTGGGACTGCGTACATTGTGTTTTTTGTGTGGCTGTAATTGGACGGCGCCGACACTTGGTTTTACCTCTTCTGACACGCGTTTTTCTTGATCACTCCGAGGTCACTGGACGATACGGACAAGTCCTTACTGATTCGGTCCCAGTTCGATGCCATATCCCTGGAAGAAGAAGAAGAAGACGCGTCAAAGTGAGTCGAATTATATTCCTGTACAATTCTCTAGATTAGAATACCAAAAATCAGAGCTACTACTGTGAATGCGACGCGATGTATGCGCAGACTGGGGGCGGCGCGGTTGCTAGCTGCAGTAGTGTTGAGGGTGGTACTGGAAGCAGAAGCCGAGGCAGTCGTGCTAATGCTGGACACCATCCTGGACGTGCTCATGGTGGAGGACGCGCTCACGGTGGAGGACGCAGTAGTACCATTGCCTTGTGCATTATCCAAAAACGCCTGAAAACTCTTCTCCTGGGTGGGATTAACGGCAAAGACCATGCCTGCCTCACAATGGCCTGTCTGTGCGCAGAAGAACCAGAGCGGGGCAGAGCCGTTGTCGACGGTAAACGACCACTGGCCAAAGAGGGTGCTGTTGGCCGGGATGGGGACAAAGCCCGAGTCGATGCCGGATTTTGTGCAGGGCGAGGCGAACGTGGACTGGGTTGCGGACTGGGAGGCGTGTTAGATGCTAACAACGCAGGTAATGATGATCTGACGTTGACGTACATGGTTGTTGGCGCGGCTGGGGAGGGTATCAGCAAGGGTGGTTGTGTGGGAGGATGGCTCACAATGAAAAGGTGACAGTGTCTCCCTGGACAGCAGTCACACTGCACACACACCATGTCAGTTGCTGCGTGTAGACCTGTAGGCGGACGTGTTCACCTTGTTGGGTTGAACGCCAGCGCCTAGCCAGACTCGTGAGTGATACAATGTCGCAAAGGCAGACAACTCACTCCTCCGTCCCCGACGGTCACCAAATGGTCTGCTGCAGAAACAAAAACAGCTGACACCAGGACAGCAAACAGAAGGAAATGCATGACGAACGAAAGAGGGACGAAGAACAGGCGTTTATACGTTCCCAGGGATTACCATCGTTATAGTAATATCAGAGTCCGAGTCGGCCAACCCGGCCAACTTTGATGACATCACATCTCTAATTTTTCACCGCCATGTCCTCGCTCACCCTCAGATCCCTCGCGTCCCGTCTCTCCCGCCGCAACTTCTCCTCCACCCCTCGCAGCTTTGACCACTACCTCGATGCCGACTTTCACGTCCGTCCGTTCCCTCTACACTCCCTACCCTCCTAACCCACTATAGACCTTTAAAAAAGTGACCACAGCAGAAGGACGCATCATCCTCGTCGATTTCTATGCAGAGTAAGCTAACCTGCTTACCCATGATTTTCTAGGCTCATGCTCTGCAGCTGGTGTCAGCCTTGCAAGGTCCTCTCTCCCATCCTCGAACACCTCACCCAAGATCCTGCTACCGAGACTGCCTCTCGCCAGCCGTTGGATCTAGTGACCATAAACACTGATACCGAAGAGGGAAGGGAGCTTTCTCAACGCTTCAAAGTGCGTTTACTACTTGTGTTGTATTCTCACGGCTTACCCCGTACAGGTACGCGCACTTCCAACCGTCGTGGCATTCCAGGGAGGCAAGGCCATCAAGACCTTTACTGGCGCGCTGAGGGAACATCAAGTTCGCCAATTTTTGAGGGAGATATGATCACCTTGTTCATTACTCCCTTAATGATTCGGTGTTGTGAAAGCAAATGAAACCCTGACACCCAGGATTGAACTGCACTCGCGGTGAACGTCATCCTACAAAAGTACCAAAGTGACGACGGACGATATGTATACTGCGGCTACCCAGGATTGAACTGAGTAAGATCCCTACATTCTCCATTCATCCTCCCTTCCCTTAGCCAACTCCCCCAACGTTTACCTTGCCGTGCCCATCGACATCTTCGATGAGAGTAGTCCTCGCGACGTGGTCCTACCCCAAGTACTGAAAACACTAGTAGTACATGCCTCAACGATTTCGTATTGCAGGAACCAAGCATCGCTCTCCCAACTGAACCACATTCTCTACATCAGGTTAGGTCCTTCCCTGATCCGTACATACTTCAGATTGTCCAGTGGTTGCATACACCGCCGCGAATCTGGAGGCCCCAGTTAAATCCTGCGAGCCTCCAATGTCCGGATTGCCAAACAAAGTCTTTTCATCAACTCGTATGTAGACTTCTGCCGCCGCAGTGCGACGTATAAGTAACAGGGACGTTTCTTGCTTTCAATTGTGTATCAAAGCCCAAACTGCTTCTTAAAGTTCCGTGTCCTAATACATCTCGAAACAAAGTATGAACACTCAAGGGAACAAAAGGCCAACAGTTACCGGGTTTTGCCCAACACCGATGTTCCTGCAACCCGTTGAGGCCGAGAAGAAGCGACTGAACTATTATTTGGGGAGTGTTGCCGACGTGTTCTCCTAGCTTTGAACTATCCCGTGTGGGAAATACACTTCTTCTCTCGTCGAGTGGGGTCTAGCAAAGTTGGACTTTCATAGCAACGTTATCCTTTGTTGCAAACGCTAATTTAGGTAAAAGACTGCGCCGTCTTGCCAGGTATTATTGCGACCGGTCAGCGCCATAACGCAGTACGTACCTCACAAACGTGATTCTCTTACCAACAACTACGGGGAAATAAATATCTTTATTGCATAGTAGTGTGTGCTGAGTATCCTCAAACGTCCGTTCTACTTTGGCGAAGTCCCATTACTAATATTCTTGACTGCGTCGTCAGAGAATCGCTTCCGAACAGCCGCAATCATCTTCCCGAACCTATCCAAGCTTCAGTTTGGCGACTAGGCAGAATCTGAAAAAAAAACTGAAACGCACCACAGCCAGTTGAGACTCTGTAACACGACATTTCCTCCTCCATAGATGAAGATATAGGCGAGCGGCACTTGATGCCGGACTTGGTATAGTGTATGCGCGAATTGGTATGACTGGTGGTAACCGAGGTTTAGGTTGAGCGCCAAGAAACGCGCGTAAAAACACGTACGACAGACATCCCTCCATACACGAGCCTCACGGCGAAAAAGGTCACGAGGAGGAACATGCCATTGATGAGCTGAAAGTTGCTCCCGGTACGTTTCGTCTTGTCGAGGAACCAGTGGATGTTGAGGAAGAAGGTGCTCCTGGCGTAGATGTCAAAGGCGAGGTCGGATATCAGTCCTTGATTAGATGAACATACGCTTCCCAGAGAAGACACCGCGCGGCGTAGTACGCCAAGAACGGTTTCTAAACACACGAATGAACAAAAGAAAAGAAAAAGAAAAACCACAAACAGACAGACGTACGAAGGACCCAAGATAGATGGCCAAACACGCCAGGCCGTGTACGACAAAACCGATATCGACAAAGTTGACGATGGCATCGACGGTGTCCCAAATGAAATACCTGCTCGCCCAACTCACTCAGAACCCCTCCGTTCCTTCAGAGGCACAGCAGGAACCGGACTCACCCACTAGAAATAGCAATCAGCCTCCCCACCCTGTCGTCCCACCCAAACGCCCGATCCCGGTCCAGCGCCTCGAAATTGAGACATCCCAGAGCGAGCGGGATGACCATCGTGACGTGCACTTGGGACACGATGTGTATGCACCTGCGCCTTTGAGCTTGAGACGCGAAAAAAAAGAGCGACTCGGCGACTGACCAGTTGTTCCTCGCCCTTTGTCCCATCTTGCCGTAGGTGTCGGGGAAGAAGGCATGGCTGGCGAGAGGCGCGACGAGGAGGTGGATGAAGGTGAAGAAGGCGAGGGCGGCGAGGAGGGTGGGGAGGTGGGGCGGGAGGGCGGTGAGGCCTGCTTGGAGGGCGTAGGTGGTGAGGGTGTCCATGGGGTAGTAAGACACAGGCGTTGGGGAAGGTCAAGGTCATGGTCATTACATACGAGTCCCGGGTCAGTGCCGATCGGCTTATGCCAATCGTAAGCTAGGCGAGGTAACACGAGTGCTGAATCTAGCAAAGTCATGAATGGAGGTCGACAAGAAACCTGGGCACCAGTTAGGGGTAAACCTCCTGATCCAAGGACGATTTGCTCTCTTGTTTTTTTCGATTTACTATCAGGCCTCTCAACTTGAATATTTACCCAAGAAAATGTACAGAGCTATTGATAAGAAGCAGATCCTTTCAGTCCGAATCTCTTGCTTGATCATTTGGCAGGATAAGCGTATTCATACAATGCGTAGTGTCATTTTCTACTCTGTCATCAGTGCCAACCGAGATTTCAAGCATGAGCTCTTGACATCACCAACGAGGGCCTCAGAATGTGTGGACATTGTGGTGGGAAGTCAACGACGATCGCACAGAGGGACAGAAATGTCGTGAGTGATTCCAAACTCTGCCCTGTCGACCTCACTGGAAATGACGGAAGAACAGCCAGAACCTTGTGGACCTTGCACTGTAGGGACCAATATCATTGCGCAATGACCTCGCTGAGCCAAAGAAAGTGATAAGCTATAGGAACATCATTAGATACTGGGGACGGACATCACCGCCTCGGTATAAACGCTGCCCTAACCAGTCCTCTCACCCTCCACTCCCATGCAACCAGATTCACCCTGCGCGTCACCTCAATGCGCATCGAGTCTTTCGAATGCAGTATACAGTGCAAATATGCAAAGACGAGCGCGTCGAGTGGTGTTGGGGCCCTACCACGCGTGAGCGCTACGAAGGAAAGAAACAGTGAGAACGCACTCGGACGACAAGAACCACTTGTCAGTGCCCAGCCTCTCGGAGAGCGCCCCAATAGCCTCGCGGTAACGCGACTGGATGGCTTCTCGGGGGATACGTGTACCAAATGGCGGGAAAAGGGATGTGAGGCCTGATAGTGGGGGCGGGGGTGGTGTGAGGATGGACTCGATTGGGCGGGATTTGATTTCCGCCAGGGAGAACGGCGTCGGCGTCGGTTGAACGACGATCAGCGCAGCGTGCACGCATCCCTCCAACAACGCGACCCATGCCCGACTCTCATCCCGTGACGCCTCGTCTTTGTAGTCTTCCAGCCCGTCATCGCTGTCAATGTTCGCCTTGATGTCCACCCAGGCAGGCAACTCCCTCGCCGCCAACAACTTCTCACCATCCCACAAATTTGGAAGCTGCCCGTCAATAGCACCTTGTGGGTCAACGTCGGTACGCACGCCAATGCGATCAAGGCCTCGCAGAGCAAGGTAGGCTTGCCATTTGAGGCACTCGACGTCGGAGCTGAGGACGCCGTCGGGCGAGTGTGGGGGATGAATCCATAGACAGGGTGTCGGGTGTGTGTTGGATTGGCACGGAGGGAGTATTGGAGGGTAGGTGTGAAGGGGGAAGGGGGAGAGCAGTTTTTGGATGATGGGTGGGACTTGCATTGTCACGCTTAGCCTAATTATTCGTTGTATATTTGGAGGTTGGTGCTGCGGTTGGACTATATTATTATAATATTAAAAATTGAGATGTGGAGGTATAGCTCAGTTGGGAGAGCAACAGACTGCATCGTTAAATAGTCTCTTCTGGAGGTCCCCAGTTCAATCTTGGGTAGCTCCATAGCTTTTTCGGCTTTCTGCTAAGCCGCAACTCGCAAGGCTCTGGGGCCTGCGGCTTGCACCCCTGGCAGGCCGCTTTAAAATTTAACACACAAGCAGTAGGCCCAATCGTTAGGTTCTACACCGGAAAGCTTACATTTTCTAGTAGTAAATGCTTGAATTAAAAACTGCATTCTGCAGCTGGATCTTAGAAATTTTGAAAGCCGGTTGAAATTTGGACCAATTTTTCGCCTCTCATCGATCCAAATCAACGTCGCTCACATTGCGGCGGCTTCCTTTACACCTGAAGTGGAGTATTTTTGGTCTTCTACAAGTAGAACAAGGGGAGCGGACATTGAGGATAACACTCTACGCGTCAATCCATACTCTGTAAATTTTGCATTTCGGCCTCCAGTAGCACATACGCAAACAGAATTATCCGACTTGGGACCGAAATTGAAACCATCCTGACCCGAATGCTGTTCACATCAGTGTCGAGCTTTACAAGGCTTCAAGTTGGTTAATTGCAATTTATTGACTAGTGACAGTCAGTGGGGAAACATTATCGACGTGATCACTTCACAGCGCAGACCCCATTAAACGCATTACGTCGTAAGAGGATCCATCTGCCGACTTAATCAAGAATGTCAACGTCATTGGTAGACTATGAAGTTGCCCCGTCACCGTAGTTGATTGGCACCAGCGCACGGTCTCAAGTGAACTAGGCGTCATCAAAATCCTCAGGAAGGAGCTGGATCCAATAAACAAATTGTGTATCCCTGACAATAATAAGTGTTCATGTCGTTCAGATTCATTGAAACTCACGATCCGACCGTAGAAGTCCATCCTCGTGAAAGGGGTGGCGGTTTTGATTGCGGCTCGTGTGACATATACTGAGGCTGATGAGACCAATAGGGCTCGTAGTTATCATCAAAAGAAGTGTGCAAGTACATGGGCGTTGCCATGGCTGGCGGTTGATGCGGGAAGAAAGGCCGGGGGAGTTGTCGTACGCCGAGAGGCTGAGGACGCCAATGCGAGGGTCCAAGCTTGACAGAGGTTGCAAAGTCGTTGACGTAGGCGTGTCTAGATAGTCCGGTCTGGGTGACTAGACAGGTCACTGTCAGAATAATACGAAACGGACGTGATAGATGGACTGACTGAGAATCAGGTCATGGGGTCGTATGCCCAGCTCCTCAGCAAGGGAGCGAGACTCTTGTATGAGAAAGCGCCAAGCGTCCGCAGTATTGACTATAGACTGCTCATGGGTTATGTCACAGTCTATCTGCGCTCCTGGAGGTACTACTATAGGCCAGCTGGAAGATTTCAACCGCGATTGCATTTAGTTAGTGAGAAAAAGAAGCCTCACCATTGAATATCACCTGTCAAACTGAACGCGCTGACCGGTTGACGGGTCATAGGAAAGTCCTTCCAGCAGAATTGAGTACCATGGCATGTTCTCTCAACAACGAACTTGGCAAAGTCGCCACGGAGTGTGTTTCCTAAAAGCACAAAGTCCTTGAACGATTTACCCGACTTCGTGAGCCCTGTTTGTTGAGGAATATATCCAAAGTCTCCCACTGAAAACCGACATGGAAGAACTCCCAGGTTTGTGCACCAGGCATGGTCGTGAGTCCCTGCCTCTAAGCTTGACAATCTCAGCTGGTGAAGTGAAGGCGTTTTGCCCTTCATTAGACCGTTCAAAGGTTCGCCAACGTCAGTCAGCAATGCCCTTGTCCTTTCAGGAAGGCCATGAGGCTCTCGTGCTTTGGGCATAAACCCCGCGACCAATGCCGCAACATGATGGAGTCGCATAATCTCGTCATTATCTAAGGATCAACATCCATAAACGACTGGCAGTCACACTATGAATAAATAACTACTCACCAATCACCCCGTTTCTGTTCAGTATCACCGAACCTCGGGGTGGCAAAAACTATACGAGGTCATAAGAACCGGTTCGACTTTCATAGACCTTTTATAGTTCCAAGTGAAACGCACCTTCATAGCAGCAGACCCTATAGTATCGGCCAAGCTGTAATTTCTGGCGGTCACCCACGTGCCTTCCTTGGGCAGCGGGAGGCCCATGATCAAATTTTTACCCCCGTCTGCTACAAAGGCTACACTCTGCACGTTTATGGTGAGTCTCAACTGTTCGCATAATGAGTGAGAACGACCCGACCTCAATGACGTCTTGTACTTGCGAGTCGGTCAGCTCAAGCTGTCGTTGAAGATATGCGGCGGCGTTCTATAAGGCGCACGAGAAAAAAATCAATAAGATCAGAATTAATCAAAAGCGGTAGAGCGAACATGACCGGAGATGTGACTTACGGAAATGTCGGCGTACTATGTATACAGGCATAAATTCAATTCGAAGGTCTTCCATCGGAGTAAAGTGCTCACAAAATGCAGAACGGTGTTTATGCATCCAGCTAAGCCGAATTTGTTCAGGGAATCGATCAAGAGATTCTCTGGAGATCTCCATTGGACTGAAGACGGTGAATTACCACCACCTATTTTCGCCACTGAAAATTATTTCGTACCATGGGATAAGACTATGAACGGCGTCCCAGCCTCATTTGAGGACACCCCGATCATTTGGGGTAGGTTTGGATGGCTATATGTATCCCAGCTTGATGTCAGCATACTAAGTTTGCATATGCATGAGGAAACCCGGGACTTGCTATAAATTTTGAAGGATCCTCACGTCATGGATCCATGCCTAGGGAAGAATAACGTTAACCAGCAGCCAAATATGAAGTGAGAAACGGTATACTCGCCTTAACAGCACCGGTCTTGGTACCTTGATCGTACCTTCGGACGAGCGAAGGTTCTCCGTACACAAGTGCATCGTTCACATCTGACCACCAGCCGTTGGAAGTGGAAGCTCCGAGTGAACCCTTCAAACGAACTTCTGACTTGTGATATCTTTGGAACTAGAGACAGGTGTTGTGAGATGCGGGGAAAGATGTGGCTTGTTTGTTCACTTACACCATGGTTGTCAATGTCATCGAAGGCGTATTGGAAGTCGTCTTGTACACTTTCTTCGGTTACGGCTCTGTTGGTGTTGTGATATGGTGGAGGTGTCGACGAGCGAGGTTGCGGCATATGAAGGACGGTTTCAAGGGCGCGACTGCCCTGTGCTTCTATAGCGAGCTTAGAATTCTGTTTCTGGGCGGCGGACACTTCGACTGTATGCTGAATGTTGATGAGTGCTGCAATCTACGCCATGGGGTCATTGACATAACAAATCATAGGTGGGAAACATGCCTGAAATGCCTGTGACGCCTCGTCCAGTAGTTCGGAGTAATCGTTTAATGCGCCTTCAATCGAATTCTTGCGTAACAAGCGGCTGCTCCATTTAGCCTGCGTTTCTTTTACCATGAAAGCATGTATCATGGTCAGTGTCCTGCATACAAGTGAGTCAGGCAAATTCTCCTGAGCAATGAGTACCAGGACGCACTCCTGAAAACGACTGATATTCTTGAGTAGCAACGGAGACGCAGATTCCCATCTCCCTTCCATCTGTTCGTTAATGTTGAACAAAATCCGAGCGCATTTGTGGACAAGGCGATGACAAGCTTCTTTGTTAGACTGGAAAACTGATTTAGACGCGTTACTCGGTAGATGCTGACGATTCGACGAACTTGAACGTCCTGAAAGTCCCTGAGATTCGCCAAAAACAAGTGTTTGATAGAACATTTACCTTGACTATCTGCAGTATTTGCTCCAAGATAGCGAAAGCAGCACACGCCGGAGGAAAGATGGCCATCGTCGACATATCCTTGGTCAATGATGATGATAAGATCGCAAGATTAAGCGCCGTGCTTGTACGTGCTATTACGCGAATCCTTCTCAAAGCCATTGCAACGTCAATGATTGAGCTGTAGCGCGTCTGAGCGCCGAAGTTACGATGTGTAGGGAAGAGTGCTGTCGGAAATTCAGGAATGGTAACCCCTGTCAATGTCCTTTGTACCGCTGACCCTGGAACACTTCGGTTTTCCCTGATGAGATGCTTAACAGTGCTGTGGATGGAACAGTGATAGCTGCAAATTCATCGTTACTATGCGGGCCGACGTTTGTCTCCCACGATAATTATCATACGTGTCATTCGAGGCCAGAATATTTCCTGCTGTGTCCACAATTCGAATCTTTGAATTTTGTGCTAGGTCTGACAGCGATAACGACGACGACCGAGAGAAACTTTGGTTGCGATGGTGTTCTGAATTATGATTAGAGGCCGGCGATCGCGCCGAAGTCCGATCTATCTGAAAAGCGAAATGTAGGTGGCTGTGAATTCAGCTACGGTGGCATCAGTCGCGACTGGACAGTTACATTCGCAAACTAAAAGAAAGAGCGTTCTCAATCCTGTCTCTCTTGGCCTTATGGACTTATCTTTGTGACAACACTCTTACAAGCGATCGTCGGATGCGGCCTAGATCTGTGTTTACGACGGACGATCTGGGGGATCAGAATTTACTACTCAAGAGATGTCGATGGACAGTAGGGGCGTATAATCTTCGCCTTCCCAAGGGCATGAGCATTCCCGCACGGTAACGGGGTTGATCTCAACAGGGATACGACGAAATCCTGTCGAGCACCATGCGGAGTCTATTCACGTTTTAGGCTCTGGTAATCAATAACCCTATAGAAACTCGCTTTGCGGCGCGAGATATGGTTGCTATGATCGGTCTGTGCCTCTGTACGTGAAAGGCTTGAAGCTACGGTCGCTACTGCACATTCAGGGTTTTGCTGAACCACAGAAGCCTACCGAATCTGAGTTGTCTCCAACTTAGTCTCCATTCTTGAGTGGTGTCCAGCCTTGTACTACGAACTGCGGATGGGCCATGATTGACTCCGACAATTTGGGGGAGCTTAGTCGGCTTGTGAAGGAGAGTTCCTTGACACTTGCAAGCACTTACTGATTTTGTTTTAGCTCGAGAATTTATGGTTTCTAGCCCAGCCTTTTTATCACAGGATCTACGGCGGGGCAAAAGAAGCTGGATCTCCTAAACTCGGCTTGGATTGTTTCTGCTGTTAAGGTGGGACCCAAACCGACTCTGGGCAGTTCACGGACCACCATGATCGGAGAAAGTAAAAGTGAGGCGCAGTAAATGGATGTCAATACCGCCGGTACCGGTCTGGTGGTCTACCCTCCTCAGGTCACTAGCAGTCAGGGGCATCATCCCCGTTGTCCTTTGCGGTTCTGTTCTTTGTTACTTGCTCGTCTTGGACGACGTAACTCGCCCTCTCATATTGAAGTTCTCCGCGCTTTCAAGAGGCGACACTATTGCTTGCGGCATGTTGGTCCGCATCTGTAATGCAGTTATTTTTGTTGCCCATGACCCAAGGAGATGTTCGCTCGCAGATGAAAAGCACCTGGACAACGGTCATTATTAGTTACCCGTTACGAGGACGGAGCCGAAGCAACGGGCCGAAATGTCATACATCGCTAGTTCATATGCCAATGGGGACATATTGTATATACCGCAGTCTAAGCTTGGTACGGATATCGTAGCTGGGTTTGCGAGGCGAAACCAACGGATATCCTATAATTATGAGGGACTCCACCGTGAGCATATATGACGGACGAACAGTTTGTGTATACGCCTGGGATTCCAGTGGCCCCGATACAGTATTTCGAACTAGGTCGATTTCCAAAGAGTTCCGCCAAGCCTGTAGTGCCAAAGGTTGAACTGGGGTACAATCCTAGGCGTCCATTATTCAATAACTACTTCCGTAATAATGGAAGGCGACAAGCAAAGATTTACTCTGTGTCCTTGAACAAAGAATCAGATTCCTCGGACTCATTTGGTATTTTCACTGGTCCGCTACAATGAAGTGTCACACATACACGGCAAATTTGGGGGAAGAGGCGTACACGCATGACATACCGTATTACTCCATCTTTTATGTGATTTACTTGCCATACTACACGCTTGTTGTCCCATTATGTTCACTAGTAACGTAGAGGAGGCAGACGAGATGCCCATTTTCTGGATGGAATCCGTATTTGTCTTTCAATAAAGGCCCGTCAATTGTCCTTAAACCATAGGCATGGCTCCCGGAACCGAAGGATTCAAAGGGCCCAGAGTTTGGACAGGGTGCCTTCTGAAAGGGTTAAAAGTATAGCTGGCTCAAAGGCAATCCCCCAAAGGATAGGTTCAATCAGAATGAATACAGTTACGGTTGAGATACACGTACGGAGGTTATACTGCTTCCTATTGTCTTCCCAGAACTCTTTAAAACGGGAGAACAGAACTTGAACCTAGTCTTCGCGTAGTGCCGACGCAGTATATGGACCGTAGACCGGGAGGCTAGTGCAACTATAGGCCTAACGGATGATAACCGAGTACTGCTGCGCTGAATGCCAAAAGCCCGTCGAGTGGGACACACATTTCTGGAGGAGACAACGTGTAATAGGAAGCATATGCGAGACCAGAGAGCGCCATGCGAATGATCTAATATACACTCTGTGATGTGAACAGAAAATTATACATAGAGTGTGAAGCAGCTAGAGAGCCAAGCCGCATAGATGGCCATGGTACAGGAGGAAGCCGTTGTGCGTGGTGGCGGCCGTGGTAAATGTAACCTGAGTATTTGCTTCCATGTCGGACTCGAACACCAGCAGCGTTTCACGCCCAACATCGCCAAGAACTGCCCTTCCAGATACCGTACGGCAGTATCGATTCAACTGGGATCCTGCATCACGACAACCTGGCCCAGAAAGTGTCTCGGGAACGACGACGGACGGCAGAGGCCCAGATTACTTTAATACCATCCCACGCCTTGGTCACCTCAACCTCAACTCTTCGACAGCGACCTTGTCGTTCGGGGCGTTACCCGCTGAGTGGAGTAGCTCAAAACATGGATTTCACGGTACTTGGTGCATAGAATAGTGTCCTATTGGTCGTGCTAACCCAGACACGTACTAGCAATCTCTACTGTTCTCAACAATCCTCACAAACAACAAGCTCCGCCTAAGGCACATTCAGCATTACCTGCAGTTCCTCCAGCAGAGCTACCTCGAGTTCGCAGGAAGGATTTCGACCCTTACCTTTGTGCGATAAGTTCAGAATGGGAGCGTTTCGAGAATGCCCACCAGCCAGAAGCCGGTCCTTCGACACCTCGCCCTCCATTTTCCCGTGCATCATCATACCCCACAAATGCCAAATCATTCCCTTCCTTAGATTCTGTTCCTGCGGTTTTCTTCGAATCTAATTTTAACTTGGCGGACCCGGGGACCTTTGCTACTGTCACAGAACAGGATGGTCAAGACCCAGATGTGGATCCAACAGCACTCGCACATTCTCTCCCCCTTCTCGACAAGTTCTCTCACTACGCGGACACCATCGAACTTCATCTCACCCACGAAATATCTCTTCGTTCGTCGTCTTTTTTTGCTGCGTTGTCCAACCTTCATCATCTCCAGTCCGAGTCTTCCTCCTGTTTGTCTCAAATTTCGCGCCTACGAGAACTTCTGCAGGATGTTGACAATGACATGGCAAAGAAGGGTCTGGAAGTCGTCGAGATGGAAAAGGAGAAGAGTAACCTAAAGAAGATCAACGATGGAATAGAGGGTATCAAGGGAATTGTGGAGGTTTCTGCGATGGCCCGCCAGCTCATTAGCGAAGGTCAGTGGGGTGACGCCTTGGACATCGTGGATGATCTGGAGCGCACATGGGCAGCAGAGGAGACACACCTGGAAAAAAATGACGTCTCGAAATCTGTACCATTGACACCAGTAAACGGACGATTATCTCCTTTACCTGCAACGCCTGAAGAGACATTAGAAGCGCCAGAGACGCCAGAAATGCTTCCCGGGAAACCGCTATCAAATCGACAGTCACTCGCCATCCCCCTCGCCTCTCTGCAAGCCTTCTCAGCACTCCCTGGCCATCTTCGAAGCCTCACCATGGAAATAGTGTCTTCACTTTCCAACGACTTTTCCTCAACGCTTCGCGAAGATCTACTTGGTAGAATTGATGTGAACGAGGGCGGTTCCCCTCGCCAGATGAATGAGGCACTGAAAGATAGGCTAAGTCTTCTGTTAGAGGGTCTTGTCAGAACCAAAGGTCTTCGGCAAGCAACATCGTCTTGGAGGAACGGTGCTTTGAGCGAGGTGGGAATGATCTTAGAAAAGGCGCGCTTGTATTCTTCGTGATTGGTGCTACGTTTGGGTACTTACAATTCGTTCCAGGATTTTTCTGCTATTGGTGGGGAAAGTGACACTGCTCTGACGTCGGACAGACGTCCTCGGAATGGATCTGAACCTCGGTGAGCGGAGACGCCTCTGTTCCGAACCTGATCTGAGGATATCATTTCAGTGCTGGTCTAGGCAATCATCTTCGAGAAATGACACACCTAGATTTCATGAAGATTCTGCATGCTACATTCAAAAGCCTCCTTAGAGCTATCGAAGGTCTCCAGACCCAAGGAACAGTAATAGGCGAGGTACTCGAGGCTATTTACAAGTTGAAGTGCGCATTTTCCCAACCTGTCTGATCCTTCCTTCAACGCGCGATGTTTTCTTGTAGATATCAGTCTAGTCCGGATCCCAGCGTCCAGAGCGATTTGATAGACATCCTTGGTTCCGTAACAGAGCTCGCTCACGTCATGGTCGCCAAAGTCATTTCTATTCGATCAGAGCCACATACTTCGTTGCCGCTCCACGAGTTTTGGGAGTTTTTCAACGAGACATGGTCGTTCGTAATTGGATGTGAGGTAATTTGCCGCCGAATGGTGGTTGGGCTAAGAGGTGTCGTGGTTGGACAAGTGAGTGTAATTAGCCACGTTCGTTTGGTGCAGGTAAACTCATTGCCACATTCTAGGGGAAGGCATTCCTTCAAGCGTTTCACCAGACTCGGCTGACACAGTCCGCAAAACTCGTGGAAGATGAACAATGGAATCCTTGCGATGTTCCTCTGCCTCTGCAGCATCTTGCCGACCTTTTGGTTGATTCGGCAGTGAAGGATTCTCCTGAATTGGTTATACAGCCTCCGCAACCCGAAAGCACTCCCGCTTCTCCGTCTAAATCAGCTGCCAACGGTATCAAATCATTCTTTTCTTCCTCTCCTATGAAGACGCTAGTAGCATCGTCATCAAGCTCGTCATTCTTGGCTGGTGGATCCCACAAGCATCTCCATATTGAGGATCGAGCTTACTTTACGGTATATGCTACCTCCGAGGTGCTATATTTACTCTTGGACTACGTCAAGGTGATAGTAAATTTTGGCATGCTCGTCACGGACACTATGAGCCGAGTGATTGAATTCCTCAAGGCGTTCAATTCGCGAACATGCCAGGTTGTACTAGGGGCCGGTGCAATGAGATCGGCCGGGCTAAAGAACATCACGGCCAAACATCTAGGTGAGTAAATTATCTTCTATTCTGCTGCTTACCGACAGAAAGTTATTTCATCTATTCTTAGCCTTAGCCTCACAGTCACTGTCGATCATGATAGCTCTCATTCCATATGTTCGTGAAACATTTAGACGTCATTTGAGCTCTAAGCAAGCTGTTATGTTGGTGGTGTTTGACAAGTTGAAGAGAGTGAGTCTGGCCACTTCTGGCTCACGATAGCTTCATCATTAATTACCTGTCTGCAGGATTATCAAGAGCATCAGAATGAGATTCATGCCAAGCTCATCGCGATTATGGGTGAGCGACTATCTGCTCACATCAAGTCTCTTCGGGTATGCTTGCTGCCTTTTCATCAATTAATTGCCTAAATGACTGTGTTACAAGGCTCTGGATTGGAGCACTCTGAAAGAAGGGGGGGGCGCCAACGAATATATAGTAGTCTTGACTAAGGAAACGGTCACATTGCACAAAGTGCTGTCTCGCTATTTGTCGACAAATGTCGTTCAAGTGAGTTTTGACCAGGGCTCGCGCCAACTAACAGCCTCTTATATATACAAACATTAGGATGTCATGACGCAAGTCTTCGCAGCAGTCAATCATCGATTATCGGAAGAGTACACTAAACTCGAGCTGCCACACGCCGCGGCCAAAACGAGGTATGTTGACCTATAATGTCGACTTCTCCGGCTTTGCAAGGTTTTACATTTCGTGTCTATTTTAGGCTCCTCGCAGATGCCAGGCATTTTTACCAGAAGATCGCTGAGCTTAAGAATGTCGGAGTCCCGAGTAATATGCTGGAGGTAGTCATTTCGGAGAAGAGTCTGCCTCGGCCGACTGTCCCTTCAACACCTGCAAGAAGCGATTCTTTGGCAGTGAATTCTGCGGCATGGGGGTCAAGCACGAATCTTCGGCTGAAGGGTCTGCTTTCTGGGAGAGGAAGCTCGTTCGATAAAGTACCGCCTATACCGACATCAGCATCCACACCTCCGCCATCGAACGAAATCAACGGAACTAATAAATCAGGGATAAACGGTCGGGAATTGCCCTTACCCCCACCTCCAATTCAAGAAGAAGGGGCAGGTGGTGATCCCCCTTCTTCTGGCTTCAAACAAATAGAAGTATGTGAACCTGGAGCTTCAGAGTCCGCCGGACCACAGTCTGGACCGCAACAGGAGGATGAGGGCGGTCAGGTATCTACTCCACCAACTCAATCACCCCCTTCCGAAGCCCCTTCCGAAGCGACAACATCTTCCGAGGAAATTCGGACAATGGCGACTTCAGTGCCATCAGAAGGGCAGGGGCCCTCCCCTCCAACTTTAGATGGGCCATCTGATTCGTCCCTCTCCAAGGATGATGTTCCTGCAGAGATAATTCAGAATCCTCGGGTAGACGGCAGTATACCACCTGCATCCGCTTCTGAAGCTGTACATTCTGCATCATGACCGCCTGCCAAATGTCTGGTAGGAAGCCTGGAGAAGCAGGCGTCAGGCGTCCGGTTCCCATGTGCAGGTGTAATAGGCTTCCACGAGCCATAACATGAACGTGATGAACCTAAAACGCAACTCCCGGACACGCACGGATGTCTATGAGATTTCTATACATTTACGACTCGAACACAAGTCGTCATTTGCGATCATAATTATATGGATTCCTTGCTTCGTCGCCATCAATTTAGGCTTGACGGTGACGAGGTATGGCGAATTTAAGCACTCTCGACACTTTCTGTATATGGGGCATAGAGTGTAGATTGATTCTGGAAGACGTCACTTAAAAATCCATGGATGACCTCCGTGGTCGCGGCTGGCACAGGAGTGGTACTCAGTGCTCCTCACTGGGCAGGTCGTGTGCTGTTAATCGTATCATTGAAAGGTCTTCTATTAGTTGAGAAGTGGTTTTAGTGCTGCGGTCCTACTATTAGACGATAGGGTGCGTGGTCATCTCGGGGCTCATTGAGGCATTCGAGTAGGTGGATCTTGTTGAGAGGGCAGCTCGACGTAATTGATCCCAGCAGTGCTAGAGCATGCCGCGTGATACGGATGTAGGCTTTTGTTGGTCCAAACGAAGAAGAGATGACGCGTGAAGGATTGTTAATATCGCGACTAACGATGGCTTGTTCGGCATCTAGCTGGAATTTGACTGGAATGAGGGGGGGGCCATGGGCGAATTAGAATAGATCGTTGATCAGATAAAGTCACATCGCGACATGTTGGGCACTTCAAGGGAGCGCAGTCCTTGTTCTCAGCTCACCTGACACAGTTTGGCTCGGTTGAGGAGGCGTTGATGGCGCTTTGGTTCAAATGATTTCAGACCTGTGAACGGATGGAATCAAAAAAACATATGAAAGTTGAGTGAGCGGCGGGAAAGGTGACTACTGCCACTGCCAACAGGAAGACTTTTATGCTTACTTTATTTTGCAGTTAAGAGGTGGTCCGCTTGCCGGAAGCCTAGACAGTTGAAAATCGCAAGTCTCCGGGACTGGCATGGATATGGCCGGTAAGGAGATGAGATATTATAGACTGCTAGGTGGGGGGGGGGGGGAGCATCGGGTGGGAATTGAAATGATTTGGGGTGATGACAACATGATGCGCAGTGCCGCTGCTGTCCAGAGTCAGTACATTGATGTCTGGTCCGGAGCAGACGGCGCCAGGTGAACTGGGGCGGTCGTTGATGATCTACAGCAGCAGTCTCGACATTATGCCGTTTCCGGGGGACCTTCAAGGTTACTCAAAGTCGGCATAGTCGCACCATTGACATTTATTGGTGGCGCCGTGTCTTCGGGTGGCCCATCTCCGAAGGTCCCACCCGTCCGAAGATTGGCGATATCAATATCAATAGTGATTTATTTCGTAGACGTTGCAATAAAGTTTTCTTATTCCCTTTAACGATGCATGTACGCGGGTAAATCGCCATCGGTACTATGGCAACATCGCGGCAAAGTGATGCTATTTCAGAATCGAGGCGCCATTTCCGTATGCGGTGACGTTTTTCTTTGAAATGGAGGATAGCCGAGAAAGGCAAGTCATTGCGGGAGCGGGGGGGAGGGGGGGGGAAAGGAAAGGAGAGTCCTTCAGGGTTTGCACAGGGTGTGATAAGATTCAAAGAATACAAACGCGATAAATGGTGGGAATGCGGCACAAATACGCGGATATAATGGACAAAGGCATCAAGAGATCATGGAAGAAGGGTTTGAAATTCAGATTTACGGGTGACACACGCTGGCCAGTGAAGATAAACGTGGTACGCAGGGACCACGTTCGAGGAGGCGAGACACAAACGTGAATAGCGGTTAGTGAAATTTGAGTGGAATAGGCATGCAGAGGGGACGTGCATTTCTTGCGTAACTGGTGCAATTGATGCTTCCAAATGTTGGCATGCCCGGTTCGCGTGGCTCGCTTGCAAGCACAATGACCGATCTGCTCACCAGATCTCGAAGGGTCTCGCCGGCGATTCGCTTCTTTGGGATCCGTGACAGCTGTGACGCGACCAGAATTAATTCCCAAAAAGGAAGTCACATCGCGCTGCTTGACTCGAATTTTTGTCTTTTCTTCGGTATATAACCGTCGCCTCTTCTCTGGGTTTCCCACCCTGTCGCCTTTCCCCTCGTCGCCGTTCGCAATTGCGACCATCTCATTCTCTTTATTATGTTTGAAGAACGCTGTCTAACATGCGGAAGCCATCTCCAGGATGATGGGTATGCTTGTCGCCGCTCTTCCTCGTCGAGTCGTTCATATTTCTTTCAGGCGAGCCTACTGCAGTGATGAATGCCAAACACTGGACTCGGCATCACCGTCCATCTCGTCGACCAGCAGCGCCTACTCGTCGCCTTCATTGGGATATGCCGTTGGAGGCGACGTTCCGGCCCTCATTCCGTCCATGCTAGGCACTGCGCTCAGAAACTTCCAGCAGGATCGCCATTCGGTATCGTCATCTTCTGCCTCGTCGACTGCATGGTCAGTGGTCACTGATGATGACGATGACGACCCTATACTTGGAACCGGTAGTGATCCCGACAGCGCCGGAGAGTCTATCTATGAAACGACATCCAAATGCTCTACATCACATAGTCTCTTTCCGAAACCGCTCGCATATGCGCGCCGTCCTTCTGGTACCAACACCCGCTCTACTGTACCACATCTTCACAGCCGCACTGGTTCACTCTCTGCCCACGTGCGAGGTCTTCCAAGCGCCACTTCGCATCCCCACACAGCGCAGGACGAAGATACCCTGGGCGACTCCGGCTTCCCGTCCCGAGAACTTGAGGATTATATAGAGCAGATGATTCCCCAGTCGGCGCCAGAACGGCAACATAACCAGTTCGCTCATGAGCAGGACCACTCTACTACCATCACAAAGACCAAACGGTCTCGCAATCGCACCAGTCTTCCGGCGTACTTCTCATTACTCCAGATGAACGGTGCACAAAACCCTTTTCCGATCTCCCAAACATCAAAACGGGCCTCGCCCTCTATCTCAAATTCTTCAGGCCAGACCGTGGTCAAGCCTTCACCTCCTACACCAAAAGTGTCCTTAGGACTTCCCCCATTCGTCCCTCCTCGCGGCCGTCGTCGGGATGTGGGTGCATCCCAGAGAAAGTCCCGGTCTGACGATTCCTTTAGTTGCAGCTCTCGCTCAACCAGTGATTCACGACATGACCCCTCCCTTGCACTTTCGCCGCCACGGGAGACGCGTTTTGTTCCTCGACCACGCCTGGATAGCCGAGGTAACACGGATTCCGTTTTCGACTGCTCTTCGGTGCCAGACCCTCGGCGAGGACGGACTGCTGTAAGGAGGAACAGCTCTCCACCGCCGAAAATGACGGCACCGATGTTTGTGTTCGAAGGCCGTGAACGTTACAGGGACAACACCGCCAGGCCCCATACACGGGGACGGGCCAGGGTTGAAGAGCTGGATGGTGTCGGCGGGTCCGAAGACGCACCGGGACTTGGTTACGGGCGTAGTGGACTGGTTGATCGGGAGCGAGGACACAGGGCAGGAAGGTTCCGGTCATAATGAAACCCGACTTTTCCAACATGCTCTCTCGCTCATACCTTGCTTCCCGTCACTGTATTATCGTCCATACTCTTTCTAGCTCAAACTCCATCTCAAAAAAGCACCGCATTAAAGACAAGACGCCACACGATTTGTATCAGCGACTACCGAACATATTATCAACGCATCATCACGAAAAGACCACCGGGACGTGGTTTCATCTGCGCTTTGCCTGTATAGAATGAAGATTTTCGCATCATCCTCATCAGCACTCAACCATCATTGGTCATCACCCTCTCATCATATTATTTTTGCTGGCATACTCTCTCCAAGTCTTCATTTTCGGGTTATTTGAGGGCGTCCCGGTTTCGCCATTATTCAGCAATTTTGTCGCCACCATTACCCATCTCAGCACATATACCTTGTCGTTTGCGGTCCAATGCTATTATTAGTACATCTTTTTCAGTCCTTTGCACGTTCTCATACACACCACTCTTTACAATCTAACGCACGCATCATCCATCACTTGTTTTATTCTCATGCAAATTGAACGGAAATACAATCACACAGAATTCTGCTGTTGTCATCTTAAAGTACTGCTGCTATATATCTACATGCTGCAATATAAATTGAAAACATGGATGATTGTCATCCATCCGCATTCACCTTTTGTGACGGAACTGAGCCTGAACTTCGGTTCGCAACTAGACGCTAGACCACGGAAATATTACGATGAGCTCGGCGTCTGAGTATTTTGCAATAGTCCGCGCCGAGCGATCGCCCCTGAGAAATTGTTGTCAGCAGTGTGATTCATGGCGCAAGTATGGCGGAGGGCGACGAGATATTCAGGAGATTCAGAGGCGTTAGTGTTGGAAGATAAGAGCGAATCTTCTCCATGGATTACCAAAGTGGCTTGACGTTCAGGGGGTACCCCGACCGACGCCCTCTCTGTGGGGGTGGCACGTGACTTGAGCACGTGCATCCGTGCGTAATGATGCTATCATCGGTCGATCGGCCCGGAGCGAACGTCGTCGTCGGCAAATATACACGTTTGATGAGAGCATTTCGTGTGTAGGTCTGCTTAGATGGTATTCTACGGGTAATTTCATCGAGGAACTCATGGTTCCTGGAACTGGGCCGGGCTGGATACATCCGTGTCGCGGGAGGGATGTGGATCAGGCCCATATTTATATACTTATTTGAATCATTTTTTTCCCGGTGTTCCTGTGATGTCTGTCGCAGAAAAGGTGTTTCTGTGCATCAACTCAACGGTGAAGACACAGCTCGCCGGTGACGCGCTTAAAGGGATATTTCCGGCGCAGCCGCGGTGAATGCGAATTCAGTAGTGCGGATAATTCCTATTAACGAGTATTTTATTTCCGGATGGTACTTTCCGTACAGTACGGCTCGGTAGACGAGTAGGGCCGTGGATAGCCGTCGAGTATGGGTGGTTGGAATGCACGGAGACAGATATACAGGCTGCGACTAGAATAAAAAATTTCTGTCACATAGTCTCGACCTACTTACTACAAGAACGAGACTGAACGAGACGATATTTATCTCAGACATACGAATCTGATAGTCAGTCGTCGCGGCAAAAATATATCGACAGTGGCATGGCACGCTAACTTTGAACGTAAAGTTTTCACAGAATGTTTCCGCAGCAAGAAGGTATGCAAATACAATACAAGCAACAATCCGCCGTACGGGGGGGGGGAACCCAGCCTTGGCCTTTGAAGGCATGCCTGTTGGGCGCAGGACAAACATCCACTTTTTGCCGATTTCATCCGAGCAAAGTTGATGGCTTCCTGATTGGGCCGTTTACCGCTTTCTTCTTGGACCAGCATTGTCGCGACCGAACCTCTGGGGCAAGTTTCTTGTCTTGGAAACTGTCCATATCTATCTGGGCTGGTCTCATTGTATTTAGCCAACGTTTAGCTGAGAGAGCTCACCCCCCCTTTGTCTGTCATACACAACCTCGACACTCTCTGGTGCCACTCTTCGTCCAAATCCTACCTAGAAAAATAATCAAGCACAGGTTGCTGGTCTGGCTCAGCGACCCCAAGTGCCTGATAAGGAGCAACGGTGTATTATTGTGTTATCTATTGGCGCTATCGCTGGTCCTCGTAGAGTGTAGATACAATGTTAGAGAACACTGTCAATATATCAGAACGATTCGTAGTCGTTAATGTAGACAAAAAACGAGAATACCTCGTGTGAAGATCCACGCGCGAGTCGAAACGCGGCAATGAAATATCGGACAGGATTGGCTTAGAACCACACTACAAGGTCAGTGAACACAAGTATATATCCACCGACACCATCGTCCACGGCGCAGCCAGCGCTGCAGAAACAGAGAACCGCCCGTAGTCATCGTCGGCCACCATTGATTCAATTACCAACAGACTCCCTCCGCGGGACTCGCTTCCCCATTCCTCGTCATCCTCTCTATCACTGGCATCCCTTCCTGCCACTGTTGCTGCGTCGGATTCCTCATTTTCCTTCTCTTCCCCCCCCCTCAACTCTTCCGTTGTCGCTGCTGTCTCACCCAGTCTAATTCCAGCGACTCGTTCCAGATCTGAACGAGAGCAGGGCAGCACCAGCTCTCATTTACCTCAACTCTCCACAACAACCGGTACTTTCTTTTTCATAAAATCTTAGCCCTAATTCCTCAATATCTGACATGCACTTCTTCCTTTCAGACGACGATAATCACAGAGCTCGCAAGAGACAAAGAACAGGCGACATCTCTTCTACTACCCCAGCCAACATGAGGCAGCCGGATTCTGATATCGATTCTCAACTCTCCGTTTCTCCTGATTTCGCTATCTCCACCATGCACGCTGGTCCTTCTTCATTAGGCCTTGATGGACCGACCCAGTCAGCGACCAATGGCCATACCATCACCGCTATCAATGTCACCACCAAGGGCAGTACTAGTCATAACGGTCAGGTGCAGTCGAACGGCACTAGCAATGGCTTAACAAGTGCACTATCGAACGCGCTTGCCCAAAAGCACGGAAAGGCGGTCGCCAGGGTGAATTTACCGGGTACCATGTTGTATAATGATATGACTCTCGATCGGGAGGAGTATGTCAGGCTCGTTATACAGAGTCTGCGGGATGTGGGATACACGTACGTCCGTTCTTTCTCTTTCTTTTTGTTCTGTAACGCTCACATGCCTTGTCTGCACGCAGTCAGTCAGCGGACACGCTCGAAGCAGAGTCAGGGTTCTCAATGGAAATATCAGATGTAACGCATTTCAGGCAGTGTATCTTGGATGGTGTGTGGGACAAGGCAGAGGCGGCTTTGACACGCTTAGGCGTTACATACGCAGACGGGCTGATGGTGCGTAATTATCCGTCCTCTCGACCTCTTGTGTCTTCATATCGTTCTAGGACGCAAAGTTTCTGATCATTCAACAAAAGTACCTGGAACTCCTCGAGGCAGAGAAGACAACAGATGCTTTACATGTCCTACGCAATGAACTCGCACCTTTGAACGTTGAACCGGATCAGCTTCATACATTATCAAGGTAATTTGATTCCTTTACAACTTCAACGTGCGCCACATTTGACTATTTTCTATAGTCTGATAATGTGCTCGGAACCTGATGATCTTCGGCAACGAGCAGGTTGGGATGGTGCTTCAGGCGCCTCCCGTATGCATTTATTAGACAACCTGCAACGTAAGCGTTTCTCAACAACGCGTCCGGCCGCCAAAATCTGACTTTTAACAGGGTATATCCCCTCTTCCGTCATGATTCCCCAACGTCGGCTTGCCACTCTTCTTCAGCAATCGCGATTATACCAACGCCAGCGATGCGTGTACCATAATCTCCCCACAAATGCCGCAGACTTTTCATTGTACAGTGATCACCAGTGCGATAAGTCGGGCTTTCCAAGGGTCACTACGACTATTCTCGACGTGCACAGTGACGAAGTATGGCATATTGAATGGAGTCACGATGGTGCGTATCTTGCGAGCGCTAGCAAAGACAAATCGGCCATCATTTGGAAGATCGGTGTAAGCAAAGTTCTCTGTGTCATTTAATAATGTCCTGGTGCCTAAAGACTTCTTTGTAGCCTGAAACAGAGCCTTCAATACGACAATGGGCTACGCACCAGATCTTGCGGGAGCACCCGTACCCTGTGGGGTGTCTGGCATGGTCAATAGACGATACTATCCTTCTGACCAGTGCTGAGAACATCATAAAGTTGTGGAACGCCAAGGTGGGCTCTTCTTACTTCTAGGCTCGCGGACTAGACACTGACTTATAAGTCAGACTGGCGTGTGCTTGAGAGTGCTCGACAAGCATTCAGAAACAGTGACATCCCTAGCGTGGCTGCCGGATGGCTCGGGATTCCTTTCCGCTGCTCTGGATCGAAGGATCATACATTGGGTAGGTCGAATTCATTTCATGTGTTAGATTAGCGGCTCGCTCGAGAGAATTCGAGTCTCATTTTCATCCTTCATTTCTTGGCCACATTCTCCACGTCGGACTAACTCTTCAATGTACAGGACGCGGATGGTAAAGAGCGGGATTCTTGGGGCACAACTGCCATCCGGATAACAAGTCTGGCTATCACGCCTGACTTTACGCGAATGGTGATAGTCGGAATGGATTATATTTCCAATACGCCTTCCGGAGGCTCTAGGGGAAGTAGTCGTCGTTCCGGGGAGTTCGCGACGATAAACCCGACCGGCAATGGTGGGAATCCTGCCCATGGGCCGGGGCAATATTCGGATAACTGGCTTATAACATACGACTATGCAACGAAGCAGGTAGAATCGTAAGTCGGCTCTCCTTCCTCTCCTGTTGTTCCCACGCATTTTGCGAAACGCGTTGTGGCGTTTACCTCAAATTTCGCCCTCGCCCTTCTTGTGAGAAGAAATTTTAAACTCGATCCATTCCTTTTTAGATCCGTGCGACTTGAAGGCGAAGTCACAAGTGTAAAGGTATCCCAAAATTCGCAGTATGCATTGATCAATCATGCGCCAGATGTGAGTTTTTTATCATAACATATGCCAATGACCCGGGTTCTGACCAGATCATCCATTGTAGGAAATCCGTCTCTGGGATCTAAATCTTGGGCGTGTGGCACGCAAATTTACTGGTCAAAGACAAGGCAGACATGTTATCCGAAGCTGTTTCGGGGGGATGGATGGAAACTTTGTTGTCAGTGGGAGTGAAGGTCCGCGGTGCTTTTCACCCCTCTTTTGGTGTCTAACTCTCACCTAACCTATTTAGACGGCAATGTATACGTGTGGCATCGTGATACGGGGGCATTACTCGAGGTCCTTCCTGGGCATGGCGAAGGGAGTGTGAACTCCGTGGCATGGAACCCTCGGAACGAGCGTATGTTTGCCTCTTGTTCGGATGATCATACGATTCGGATATGGGAGGCGTTGGGTGATGACTCCCCGCCAATGAGTCCGGTTCTGGGCACATATGCTGGGAAGGAGAAGGGGAAGACCAGACAGCACTGGGATGAAGACGGCGTGGAATCCGGCTCGAGTGTGACGCGGCTGTGATTCATTGACCAAGTTCGTGCATCTGAGGACTCTCTCTCTAGACTCCAACCATACATTCATTCCTCCTTTTTGATGGCCATCCCACCTCAAGTTTTCTGTCCTACATACCTATCACTAATACCAACGCTCTTTTATTGTTCTTTGTATTGGCTCCTACTTGGTTTTTTTTTCATCCCCACATCGCATCTGAACCATATCCGTTTCCCTGCACACATTTGTTTTATAACGGTCTGTCTCAATACTTCTATAAGCAAAGGTTTTCATTTCCTCTTGTCATATCACCATTGTCACAGTAAGTATTACTTCCTCTTGCATACACATTCATACATAGCTACACTGCTTCTCCGATGTGGAAGTCCAATGCAATAGAATTTTATATGTCGTTGACATGTACATAGACACCGACCAATAGGTACCAACTATCGGTCAAGTACCTCGTCGCAGAGACCATTGAGAATTTGAAACGTACCAAGGTGAGAAGCAGGGGAACGTCGGTAATATTGGGCCAGTTGACTTGGGCAATATACTTTTGGGGCAACATTCATTTTTCCTGAGGCCAGGGGCAGCCATGCATATAAACCACCCAACCCGTTAACACCAGATGACCACTATCACTTCATTAACCGGGACTGGTATATTTGATAAGGATCGAAGACAGACGTAGACATATGACAGGTACGCAGTGGGACGCTGGGAGAAATTAGTGGGTTTTGATATCGGGAGCGGATGTCGATGCGGAATCAGATTGGAAAAATGAAATGCGTAGTAGTACACGTATGTTCCGGTGGGATATACCTACCGCTACGACCTGAGCGTAGTCGGGAAATTTCTATGCGTATAGTGTACACGTTGTAAGATAGGAGTATACTGGTCAAACAATAAGGAGGAGCCATTATGCTGAAAGACGATGCCGATGCAAAATTTTTTTAAAAAAACTATCTTGAAACCGTTGGACGTTGCGAGTAAGCACGATCCTTGGGCATGAACATGGAGGTCATGGGGTTCTTCTTTGGCCGTGGCGGCGATGTCTGATTGAGCAGTGCAGATTTTTGAATAACCTTAGGTTTCTTTCCTGCAGATAACGGAGATGGCCCACAGTCGTCTGGTGGAAGCGTACAATCGGAAAGAAGATGTGGCGGATATGTCGTAGTTTCTCTGAAAGACGTTGATGATAATGCGGTGGTGGACGACGGATGGTTCAAATTTGTATTGCTTGGCAGTGAAGAGGAGGTAGGTTGTCGGTGCTTCACAGTGGTGACCGTCACTCGACTTGCATAGTTAGGAGAAGGCGTCGGTAGCAGAGGCACGCTAGGAGGTTTCGAAAGAGGTTTGCCCTTGGCGGTGAACCTAGCATTGTACACGGTCTTGTGTAGTTTAGAAGCTTCAGAGTAGGTCCTCTGCATCAAGGTCTTGGGTTGACCAGGCCCCGACCCTAAGAACAACGTGGCATGAGAGCAGGTGCGTGGTATAAACGTCACGATCAGCTTACATGGTCGAAGACGCTTCTGCGGAGGAACTTGGTCCGTGATCTTGACCTCACGCTCCTTCTTTTGCTGTTCGTGCTCGAGTCGCTGGGAGCGCAGACGTGATCCCACTTCTTCTAGATGTTTCGCTTCGGCTTTTTGGAGAACCTTAATCAAAGAATCAGAAAACACGGAGAGCATATGGATACCATTAGAGAACGTACGAAGTAATGATCTCTCCAGGACTCTGGTTCTGGGGCATCCCCTGAGAGATATCCCTGGAGCTGAATACTGTACTTTTTGATAGAGAGGATCTTCCATAATTCTGGACCACAGACCAGGTTAGTCGGCAGGCAAAGAAGTGATGAGATAAATTACTTGCCTTGGGTATTGTGCTGGAGTCTCTGGAGAGAAATGAAGAAAGGTACGTAAGGGCGAGACATGCGGCTCACCGTTGAGCCACGTTCGAGCCGCAGGAGGTCGTGTGGCTCACACTGCTGGAGGATAGGTTTGACAAGATCATAGCGAAGGCTAAGTTCTTGGCCGAGTGTGGGGATGACTGATAGGAAATGAATGTCAAGAAGCAATCGGGAATAGCTATGGACGCTGGCTGACACTCAGCATGTTTCCCGGCAACTGATAGAATGGAACAAAAGTCACAACGAGTCCAGCTAGAATTATAGGAATAATCGTACCTCGTTGGCAGTACACAACCAAAGCTGGAACCTTGGTCGAAGAAATGAAGTCGGCAGCCATTCGAGAAGTACTAGTATATATATCGCAGCACCCCAGGGATCGTTCCGAGGAGCTGTTCAAGGACAAGAGGGGCACTGATGATGGTCGGTGGCAGACAGTGGCTGAGCCACGTTACGCGAATGCCGCCGTATGCCGGTCCTAAATTTGGCAGTTCTCAAGGTTTGCCGTGCACCTTTTGCTTCCCACCAAGACAAGACATTGTATCTCCCCGTGCTTCACTGACTATTCCCCCCGAATTTGTCAGTTTCTTGTCAGAGAATCCTTATTCTCTTGTTCTGCACATATATATCTCCTTATCTTCAGCTAGGCTCCTACTGGCCGGACTCTCAGGAATAACCTCACCCATGTCTATAAGGCTACATGATGTTCTTTCTAGACGACTTTGGTCCTGAATTTAGCAGTCAGGAGCATCCCAGTCCAGTTCCAGATCAATGGTAGACTTTATTTTTACCCATCTCGTCTTTTCAAGCGTTACAAAGATGACTAACTTCTCTCACACTCTCGTCGTCGGCTTTACCCACACTCTCGCGCGTCAATGTCATTTGTGAACCCGGTAGTTGGCCCTTCAAATGTGCCATTCTCCAACTCATTTATTTATTACCCACAATGGGGATATCACGTATATATATGACACGCGCGCTATGCTTTCCCCTATCCTCGCTGCTCTGGTTGCGTCTTGATCGCCTGCCTGTCTCCTCATCGCGATTTAAAAGGGCTATTGTCGTGCATTTGTCCATTCCCGACTTGCCTTCCATGCAGCAGGCTACTCATCCCCGTCTTCATCTTCGCGACACGCGCGACGCCCATATTATCTTTGAGGCCGTCAGGCAAGGCTTTCTTCGGCCAGTTACCAGACGTCTTAACGAGGCTGAGAGAGCTACATCAGTACGTTCTGGCGCTGTGTTCGTTTGGGAAGAGCGCGACGACGAGTCAGGTCTCAAACGTTGGACTGGTAAGCCCACATTAATATCCCCCCCGGAAGTCCTTTTGACCTTCCCTCCCATAGATGGACGCCTTTGGGGACAGTCCCGTATGCGTGAAGTATGTTGGACCTCGCAGATTCTCTGACAACCATGTTGCTGATCGATAACCATTGCAGCCATACTTATTCTATGATGAGAAACTTCCTTCAGCGCCAGGCGGTGAGACATCCACCTCCGCACGGTACTGACAGTTCTGGGGCGAGGTCACATACGCTAATGTTTCGGAATAGGTCACCACCCACCTTCAGATTTGTCGATGGTGTGTCCCGCACGATCCCCTCATCGTCAGCTCTTCTCCATCAAGATCGCAGTGGCGGAAATCACCCCGGTTTAATTAAGCAGGCATATTCTGCTTGGGTGCAACTTTCACCAACAGGTACACCGCGTAAATGGCACCTTACTGCCTATTTCACGTATGCCGATCTTCCGACAATACCAACTGTTGATGCGGACGCGATCTTGCGAAACATTATCGTTCCGCCGGGGATTTACCAGAGTGGGAAAGCCAGGAAAGGGGACGATGGTGTCGTGGAGACCTTTGGGCACTCGGCGCTGCCACCACTTCATTCCGCTGTAGGGGGATATAACATGGGAGTCATATCTGGTAGCTCTTCCCAGCGGGGTCATCATCGCATGTCAGAAGACCAAAGAGTCATACAAATACTGAATTCTAGACATATATCATAGCATGCGTCAAAATGTCCTTTTTCCTTTCTAAATCCCTTGTATTTGAAAATTATCGGAGGCATCGGGAAAAGACGGACCGGGAGGGATTAAACTTCGATGACATAAGCATTCCACTTTACGTTTCGAGAAGTACCCCTAAAAAAAATGGACTTTGCAAAGCACTTCCATCATCGATCCATCCAATTCGCCCCTAAGTTTGTCCGTCCCCTTTTTAGTTTCTTGGTAGCACTCATCTTCGATTTCTAGTGTGTGGAATTCTTGGTCTTCTCCTTCATGATCCTACTACCGACGTTGCGCTGGGAATCTGCGACGGCCTCTCGCTTCTGCAGCATCGAGGACAAGATGCATGTGGCATAGTTACGTGTGGACCGAGAGGTCGCTTTTATCAGTGCAAGGCGAATGGTATGGTCAAGGACGTTTTCGATGAGAAGTCTATACGGCGTTTAGTTGGAGGCATGGGTGTCGGACATGGTGCATAGTCTCCTTTTTCCTGAACCGGCGGATCTGATTTATTCGATAGTACGGTATCCGACTGCGGGCAGCTTCAATAATGCTGAAGCTCAACCATTCTATGTAAATTCGCCATATGGGATCGTCCTTGCACATGTATGAATTCTTCGCACATCTTCTGTTACTTTTCACTGACCGTATTGTAGAACGGAAATCTTATCAACACTACGTCTCTGTTACAATTCCTAGACGCCACTGCCCATCGCCATATCAACACCGACTCGGACTCGGAACTCCTTCTCAACATCTTCGCTAATAACTTGCAACAAACGGGCAAGTTCCGCATCAATGAAGAAGATATATTCACCGCAATTGGCGGGTTGATGAGACAGTGCAAGGGGGCATACGCATGCGTCGCTATGCTTGCTGGTTTTGGAATAATAGCCTTCCGAGACCCGAACGGAATCAGGCCCGTGGGCATGGGCGTCAGAAAATCGTTCACCACACAAGGAAAGGACTACCTCTTTTCCAGTGAGAGTGTTGTTGCCGATGCCTTTGGTTTTAGTGAGTGGAAAGATGTAAAGCCTGGTATGTATCTTTCTCTCTCCTCTTTAGTCTTTTCTCATTTTTGGCTCAAGGTGAGGCCATAATTATCACGCGCGGGAATGTATCTCGGCGCCAGGTAGCTGCACGCGCGGTTTTCGCACCGGATATATTCGAATATGTCTACTTTGCGCGTCCCGATTCCGTATTGGATGGAATTAACGTTTACCGAAGTCGCATGGCTATGGGTGATGCTCTCGCTGATGAAGTCAGGCGCATATTAACCGAGAAAAACATCTCCGTTGATGTTGTTATTCCGGTAAGATTTGTTTCCATGCAGGCACAAATCCTATATAATGCGTTCTGCTCAGGTACCAGATACATCCCGGGTCGCAGCTTTGAACCTTGCACAAAAACTGCAACTCCCTTATCGCGAGGGCTTTATTAAAAACCGTTATGTCGGCCGAACTTTCATTATGCCTGAACAGGAGATGCGTAAGAAGAGCGTTCGTAAGAAACTTAACGCCATAGCGATTGAGTTTTGTAAAAAAAATGTCCTCTTGGTCGATGGTAAGTCTCGTGATCCATCCTCGTGTCTTTTCTCAGTTCAATGCCTAGACTCCATTGTTCGTGGGACTACATCAAAAGAAATCATTCAAATGGCCAGAGATGTCGGTGCAAAGAAGATTGTAATGGCGAGTTGTGCTCCTCCCATCAGGTATGTCCATCTTCTGGCATTCGTCGCGGTAAGCTCAAGGTTTTGACGCATCATAGATATCCCAATGTCTATGGCATTGATATGCCATCCCGAACTGAACTCGTCGCATACGGACGTGACACCAGGTCAATAGCCGAAGCTATTGGTGCTGATCTTGTAATCTTCCAAACCTTACCCGACTTGATATCATCCGTGCGGCAGTTCAATCCCAACATCTCAACATTTGATTGTTCTGTTTTTACGGGTGAATATGTTACGGGGGGTGTTGATGAGCCATATCTTGCAGCTTTGGAAAGCCGGCGTGCGGATAACATGCGAGAACTCAATGGGATCAATGACTTGGGAGAAGAGGATGTCAACATGACATCCAATGGACCAATGAATGGGGTAGATGATACTGTGGGATTGCACAATACATGGCAAAGTAACTGATGGGTGGCAGATTCATGGTGCATTTTTTAGAAATATTCTTATCAATGTATATGTAGTCTTAGAGAGCCAAACTGTCATTGACAAGCAAATAACATGGCATCTATTTTCTATTTTCTGACATGCCAGTCAAGGATGTCTGCCCACTTAGGAAGAAGCTCAGAGATCTCCTCTACATCTTTGTCACCTCTACCGGAAAGACACTGCGAATGTGTGAAATTAGCAAAAAGTCATTTACCATAGATAATCCTTACAATGACAATATCAGAATCCTTAGACATCTTTTTTGCAATACGAACACCTTCCCAGATAGCATGCGACGACTCGAGGGCTAAATAATAAACTTCAGTCTCGAATTTTCCCCATGACTGAAAGAATATTCACCCGGAATTATGCCCTCCATTTGTGTGAGCATCCTGAACCCTCTCAACGCTTCTTCATCTGTAGCGACAACATATTCTGCTCTACCAGAATCTTTTAGCCAGGCATGTTCCGGTCCTACCCCAGGATAATCGAGCCCTGCACTGATAGAATGCGTCTCGATGATCTGGCCGTCCGGGGACTGCAGAATATACGTCCGCACGCCATGAAGGACACCAGGCTGACCCTTGGAAAGCGTAGCACTGTGTTTGTCGCCATCGACGCCTTAAAAAGTGTTCATATATGATATACGAAGCAATGAAAGCAACCTACCCTCACCACCAGCCTCCACACCAACCATTCTAACACTTTTGTCACCGATGAAATCGTAGAAAGTTCCGATGGCATTACTTCCACCGCCTACACAGGCCATGACAACATCAGGGAGTTTACCTCGCTTCTCCTTCAGCTGGACTTTGATTTCCTCTCCGATGATCTTTTGGAAATCACGAACGATCGTGGGGAAGGGGTGTGGACCAATAGCAGATCCTACGAGATAATGTGTCGTAGATAGATTAGACACCCAGTCCCGCATGGCCTCGTTTACGGCATCTTTGAGGGTACATGACCCAGAGTGGACAGGAATGACCTTTGAATTGAGAGATTTAATTGCAATAAATGCCTGTAGGAACGGCGCACCTTTCCTCCGAGCATCTCAATACGGAAAACATTGAGCGCTTGGCGCCGGACATCCTCAGCTCCCATGTAGATGATACATTCCAGACCGAATTTGGCGCAGACCGTTGCTGTTGCGACACCATGCTGACCTGCACCCGTTTCGGCGATAATTCGTGTCTTGCCAATGCGGCGAGCTAGGAGAATCTGTTTTTCCGAGATCAGTAAATTAGCCCAGGGATGTAGATGAAATGACATGCTTGACCAATCGCATTGTTGATTTTGTGGGATCCAGTGTGGTTTCTGCATTGAAAACGTCAGCCGGGAATGTTGAGGGGAAGGTAATTCGCATACAAATCTTCGCGCTTTAGCCAAATGTTAGCGCCACCAGCGTGTTTGGTCAAATTTTCTGCTAGATAGAGCCCTGAGGGTCTGTTGATATATTCATAGTAACTTTGGAATTCCTTCAAGAACTCAGGGTCGTTCATAGCAGATTTGTGTGCCTCCTCGAGTTCGGCCAAACAATCAACCAAAGACTCTGGGACATACTGACCGCCGAATTGGCCAAATCGCGCGGGTAAGTCGGGCTTCGAAGAGACCTTGGAAACATCGTTCTTGCTGTTTGTCACAGGTGCAAGCGACTGAGCTTGAGAAGATCTTGTTCTAGGAGGCTGACCCTTCTGAGTAATTTCACTACAGAAGGCCTCAACACTGTGGGAAACTTTATCTGCAGGGGCGTTTTTAATAACGTTGACAATCCGGCTGCCAACGACAACTCCGTCTGCACCGGCATCGGCGACATAATCAAAGTGACTACGATTGGATACACCGAAGCCGACAGCGATAGCAACGGTCGCATGTTCTCGGACGCGGGCAATGATATCTGGGAGCTCAGTGTTTATCGCCACCTTGTCGGACGATCCGGTTGTACCCATCTAAAGAATCATGGGCGCGATATCGGAATGAAAAATTAAATGAACTGACTTTGGACACGACATAAATAAAACTGTCAGCAATTGACGCGAGGAATTTTATTCGAGATAGTGTGGTCGACGGAGCAATGAGAGGAACATATGACAAGCTATGTCTGGCGTCATAAAGATGTACCCTAGGTATGACTCGTGTACGCACTCTGCTTTTGTGCACTTTTCTCTGAAAGTGATAGCTTCTTCGGGAGGAAGGTCGACCATGATAAAACCATTAGCTCCAGCTTCGCTTGCATCTTGTATGGCTTTGTCCTCGCCGTATGCCAGCAACGGGTTATAGTAACCTAGACCATTTCAGTTCCTATGCTGATATTTGATTGCATGTTTCGCACCCATAAGAATGACGGGAGCGGTGAGTCCCTTGCTTCTTGCCTCGCGAAGCTGTCCCAAGACTGTCGCGTAGTCCATGTTATTCTTCAGTGCAACCTACGGGAAATGAGTATCGAAGACTCGTACAAGTCAACCAGGTCGTACTGTATTGCTCTCTTGGATCACAGGGCCATCAGCAATGGGATCCGAGAAGGGCATTCCCAGTTCAATGATATCAGCGCCTCCGTTCTGCATGGCGAACATAATGGGAACCGTCGCATCTTTCGTAGGGTATCCTGCGGTGACAAAAGTAACCAATGCAGGCGATCCCTACCAGGAAAATGAATGGACGAGCAAAAGGTGCGACGAATAAGGCTAACCTGAGACTTCTTGGCCTCGAAAACATTCTTGAGAGCGTCCATGATGATGGCAGCAAGTCGAGTCAGATTTGGAAGGACCAATAAAACTTATTATCTAGTGATCGATCGCTTTTATCTTATCGGCGCATTTCTTGACCATCACCATCTTTTTTCTCCCTGATGGACACGGCCACTCCAATTCTGTCCGATGAGTCCAGAGTCCTTGTTATATATACCGGTGGCACCATTGGGATGCTTATTGGATCCAGAGGATACGTCCCGGAGCCGTACTTTTTGACCGAAACGCTTCGCAGCCAGACACGGTTCCATGATCCGCTGCAAAATTCTCTGTTCTCGAATTCTGGTTCCGTGCAAGGCTTTCGAGAATGGAGCACTGGCAGCGGAAGATCTAGTCCTCTTGGAGGCAATGCAACACCTAGCGCATCAGTTATTTCGACGCCTCAACAGCCCACCCTACTTGTTCGATCATCTCGTCCCATCGGAACGTCATATGGGCTGACCCCAAATCAATCATCGGCGGTAGCACACAGCATCCAGGTCGCTGAGAACGTATACGAAGCACACCTACCCAGCCTTGTCACACCTCGAAGCGCAGTTCCCGGGGGTAGTGGCAGCAAGTCCATCAGATATGCTATTCTAGAGGTTCGTCCAATGTTCGCGGACCACGGGCAAATTTAGGATTGATTATCTTTTGTTCAGTGGAACCCTTTGCTGGATAGCAGTAATATCGAGATTGACGGTAACGAGTATTCATGTCTTTAATGGGCCATTCTTATCCATATTTTGCGCAATTTAGACTGGATACGTATAGCATCTGAAATAGAACTCAACTACTCCTTTGACGCTTTCGTTGTACTCCATGGTACCGACACCATGTCATACACCTCAAGTGCATTGAGTTTCCTTCTGGAAGATTTAGGAAAAACAGTCGTATGTAAAGCTTGACTACCTCAATGTAAAAACCCTGACACGATATGTCAGATCGTCACAGGCGCGCAAATACCATTGTCGCAACTTCGAAATGATGCTACAGACAATTTAATGGGTGCGCTAACCATCGCGGGACATTATATTATCCCAGGTACCTGCTCTCAATCTCCTCATGTGAATATCCTGTTAACTCTTCAGGGTAGAATGTTCTCTGTACTTCAATCATACCCTGTTCCGGGGAAACAGGGTCTCAAAAATATCTTCATATGATCTTAGCGCCTTCGATAGCCCCAACTTTGCTCCGCTTGTGAATGGTATGACTTATACATAACGTTGGAAGCGGTACTGATTACGGCTAAGTTGGCATCGACATCGTAGTGAACTGGAACGATGTGATCAGGCAAACCAGTCTACGGCGTTTCCGAGCTCATAAGCGTGAGCTTCTCTTTCACAATAAAGTGATGATATTCTGATCGTTTCGATTGCAGAGATGAGCCCTCACGTCGGTAGGTTCCCAAATTCTTCCGAATCACATTATACACGCGTTCACACGCCTCCACAGCCACGCTTCGTCTGTTCCCAGGAATTACAGCTGCAACTGTTAGCGCCTTTTTCATGCCGCCTATCAGAGGAGTTATTCTGGAGACGTTCGGAGCTGGGAACGCTCCACAACGAAAAGACTTGATGCTGGCCCTGAAGGAAGCCTGTGAAAGGGGGGTCATCGTTGTTGCAATCTCGCAGTGTGCCAAGGGTACAGTTTCAGACGCATATGAGACTGGAAGAACGCTTCTTCAAGCCGGTGTTGTTCCCGGGCATGATATGACGCCTGAAGTAAGATTGATCCAGTCGAATCTGAGATCTACAATTCTAACCACGCATTCTACAGTGTGCTTTGGCCAAACTAAGCTATCTGTTGTCAAAGCCCGAGCTGAGTACTGACGACATCAGAAAGCTCATGGGTACGCCACTTCGTGGTGAGCTCACCCGACCAATGTCTGGTGCTGTTCCAAGTCAACCCACCATTGACCAGAACCTTGAGAAAATCCAAGGAGTTCTGTCTCAGTTCGTTCGGCTATTAGAACAGTCTGCTTCACCCGTACCAAAGATAACCTTATCTGCACCTGTAGATGAAGCGTCTCAGGATGCAGCTGCGTCTTGGTCCTGGACTGCAGCGGAGGCTGCTTCAACAGAAGCAGTACTTTTTCCATTCCTTATCCATCTTGCCTCCGCGAGGAACGATACTTCAAGTATCCGATTTTGTCTGGATTCATCATCTACTCCATCAAGATATTCAGACCCAGATTCTGTGTTGAGTCCGTCGGTAGATGCTCCCCAGTACGGTAACATAGCAAACGGGCTAGTGAATTCGCTAGAACCAGGATCTGGTCGATCTCCATTGCATGTAGCAGCTTTGAATGGCCACACTGAGTCTGTCAATGTCTTATTGCAGTCGGGTGCTCTAGTTCATCTGCGGGATACTCTAGGACATACACCGCTATATTACGTACGTGATGTGATATTCAACAGCAGTTTCATCGGTGTGTTTATGGTTCAATATTTACAGGCTGCCAGACAAGGCCACCGAGATGTCGTTGAAGTCCTGGCTCAGGCTGGGGCCAGCTTAGGTGGCATGGATGAAGGCTTTGCAAGTACGGCAGCAAAGAACGCCGTCCGAGCCAACGACCGAAAATGCCAAGAGACATGGGACACCATCGGAGTAAACATATCTATATGAATAGATAGAGCGCAAACTCAAAAGTTCAACGTTTACAAGATCTGCGTATCGAAGCACTTGTACGCAGCCTGTCAACCTTTTAAACCCCGGTCTTCCTTAAAATCCCTGACCTAGATACCCGACTTCTCCTTGGACCTACCGGAGCCGTATAGGATAGGAAAAACTAGATGGCGCTCTCTAGCCATACTTCGTATAGCGTAAAGCCATGGAGATGCAAGAAATGTTGATGATGAAGAGATAGATAGCGTGGTATCGGACATTCAAAGCCCTCTGCTGACGGGCGTTGCAAGTGGATTTGAAGCCTTGAACTCAAGTCAGCTGAGAAGTAACCAGACCAGACGGTTTAGTTTATAAGAGTAGCAACACCAGAACGAGCTTAGCAAACCTTTAGGCTTTCAGAGAGCCGGTTTTGCGGACAACAATTTGAAGTTACATGAACGTCAGCTTCCGAATCACTAGGCGAATTTGGCCTAAGCAACATAAACGGGATCCAGTCAAATAACACTAATAGACGCACCAAGATGCCCATAATCTTAGAAAATACTTACAGTAAATAATGGGAAAAACATCACGAACCAAATCTGCTACTCAACCATTTGAACGTCATCGTCTTCCGCTGCCTCACCCTCGCCTTCTTCCTCTCCTTCCTCTTGCATCGTCTTCCCTATGGTATTATTGATTGTGCGTATAAAGACTGGCAACTGTCGCCGCGGGAAAGTGAACGGACCCGACAAGAAGTCTAGTTGCTGGACGAAATCTTCGGGTTCCTTGTCCAACTCGAGCGGGGAATACAGTACAGCATCTGCGTATTCATTGCCTTCGGCGAGTTCATGACATAAGCGAAGATTGAAATTGAGGCCTGTAAATAACGATATTCATACAAGTGAGTTCGACTAAGGAGGATTGGAAACATACTTTTGCCGTTGGAGTCCGGATCTCCAGGCGAATCTTCGTCAACGTAGGTATATATGCACGTCAAGATCCAATCCTCTTCTTTGTCACGCTTGCTACACTTCTCATTTCTGACATTGGTGATGAGAAGGTTGGTTACATCCTCGTAGAACTGTATGGTTGCCCCGTGCTTTGGTTCTTGCGCGCCCAGGATAGTCTGGCCTCTGCTTCGTTGAGCTGATCCAGGCGGACGACGTGGATCTTTCGCGAGGGCGTTCGCTCGGTCAATTTCTGCCTGGAGTTCTATCCGGAGGTCCTTGACTAGACAAAGGTAAGATATCGTGTTCAAGAGAAATATATGTAATAGACGGACTGGTCTGGTCTTGTTCAAGGATTCTCTTATCCTTCTCCTTCAAATCCCTGTCGCACACCTCTACCCTCCCTTTGTATCTCTGAACATCACGTTCCAATGTTTCCTTCTCTTCGTCCACAGCTTCACGTGTCATAAGGTGTAGCATAGACGTCTTGCCTTCCCTCATTAATGGTTCTTTCTTCGCCAGGTTAGATGTCAGCTCCCTGATTATCGCGTCCTGGGCTGGAGGGATTTTATGAGAATTCATAGTCATTTTAGCTTGAGAACAACCAACCTTCCATCTTGGAGTCAGATTGTTTCCGATACTCAACTAGTAAACGCTCTGGTTCCGTATGTCTGATCGCGAAGAGCTCTTCCAATTGTTTAGAATACTTGTTGGCGCTGTCTCTGGTCTGTGGAAGAACTGGTGGTTTGAATGGGGAACACACGATCTGGAGCATACCTCAACTAGTTCACGACGAAGACGTTTCATTTCGCTGCCCGAATTGCCATCGATCGCGCTATTTGTCACGGCAGCCACCTGCACCGCGCGGTCGTCCTCCGAATCGTCAAGTACTTCAGGAAATAACGGTTGCGTCATTTTGGGCGATGCGGCCTTGGCTTTTCCTTTTCTCTTCACACGAGGCATACCGTTTATGCCAGGTTTTCTACCCCTTCGCGCTGTCTGGGGTTTGCGGGCAACCACCTCTGTCACCGACTCTTCTCCGTCATTGTCGTCGGTGTCATCGTCATCAGGAACCACGACGGGATGGCCCTCATCACCGGACGAGCTTGGTGTCGCATCCTTCTTCTGTCTACCTGCCTTGGATATTGGTCTTGACGGGCCTGCTACCGCACTCCGACCCTGCGCCGCACGAGCCATCCTTGAGTTTGCTGCTGGAGTCGTCGGACCCAGGCCTCCCAAGTCTAAATATTAGTAAAATTTCTGATTAGTAAAGGGCAGAAAAGTAGGCCATCGATGGTCATCGTACCTAGTGAATCGTCGGACATGCCCTTGTCGGACGACGCGTGAGCGGTTGTGTCACGTTTGTGATGTTTGTCACTAACGCGTAATGACGTGACACAATGTGACATCCTCATCTTGGCCGACGACGTGTCGCTTCGTCACGAACGCCCTCCCCTCTCCCTTATCATGCATAGCATAATATCTCGCGTCAACAATGTATCTGCCTTCTTGTCTACATGCATGATGTGTCTCCTCGGTGCTATCGCGCTTTCATCATTTCTTTTCACTGCCGATCCAAAGGGCAAGCTAACGGTCGCCGCTGTCAAAGTGTGAGTCCCTCTGGACACCTTTGCAACGGTGGAAAGTCCAATATCTCTATAGATATAATGCAAAAGTCCCTCGATACCCTCGTAGGAAGCAAGAGATGGCGTTTGTAAACTTCGACCTCAAAGCTGGTATGCGCCGCAGTATGTCAGGTCGCCAATGATTACATGTGTTACAGACTTGACCCCACTTTTCAACTGGAATACGAAACAGCTTTTTCTTTACCTAGAAGCAGAGTATGTCAATACCGAAGGGGTCGGTGAAGGTGTTGCTATGTTGCTTGCATTGCTCTGATCAACCCTCCCAACAAGGTGCATAACGAAGTCGTGATATGGGACCGTATTGTGCGGAGAAAGGCAGATGCCATCATCAATGTATCGGGCAAGAACAAATATGCGTTCCGGGATGTCTCGCGAAAGTTCAAGTAAGTCCGTACTTTGCGTTTTGTAAGTGAAAATTTGACCTGTTGTTTCAGGGACATTCCGACATCAAACTATACCCTCAAATACAACGTGATGCCTTACGTCGGTCTCTTAATTTACGGCGAAGCCGCTACTACTCTGGAACCGGTCGAGTTTCATGTCGAAGATCACATATCATAAGTGATGTATAAGCTGCTGACTGTGTTCCATGGCTACAAAAAATATATACGATGGTACTCATGGATATGCTGCCTTGCTTGATGTAGTTTATGACGAAATAAAGACTTTGCCGATGTAACAGCGAGTAGCCCATATTCACCGTTTTACTCTTGAAGCTTGAAGCTTGAAGGTTTGTGTAGTTGTGTAGACACGGCAAAGAATATCTGCGTTGTATAGACGTGCGCTGAGGTTCTCCTACTTGGCCCTGTGCAAAGTTTAAATGGAGCATACAACTTGCATTGGTGAGCGGGATGTCCGTATTTTCGGTCCGACATCCCGGCCGCTTTGTGAACCCGCACCACGTTGCTGGTAAGCGGCAAGAAAAGTACGACCATGTCTTCTGCATCTGCACGAGCACAGGCTCGTCGACAAGCCATCCTCAGTCGTGGCAGTGACCGGCTCGCGAAACTCACCACGTCTGGTCGAGGCGAAGATGCGCCTGCGTACGTACATGACGACCCCCCTGTTCCAAAACTTTCTAGTCTTCCAAACTTTGTAGGAGAAGAGACGTCCATGCCGACGCCTCCTTCTCTGGCAGAACCAGTTCCCAATTCTACGCCGGATCCATCAGTATGGTCCGAACAACAGCAGCAGCAGCTCATGCAGGCGCTCATGGGGCGGATGCCTGCAGGAGCGGAGCCTCCCATACCTAATCTCGCAGACAATCCTCTTTTCTCACATCTTCTTGCGGCATCTGGAGGGGGAAATGGAAAAGGTGGTTTACCAGGTGGTATGCCAGCCATAGGCAAGGTTCCAGAGCCAGTCGTACAGCCGAAGTCCCTTTTGCAGAAATTGCTGCCACTGCTCCATCTCATAGTCATGTGGAGTTTCCTCGCATTCTTTGTGTTATACAAAGAGCCCAAAGCTCAAGAGTCGTTAGGAGGATTGATGAACGAGCGAAAGAATGTGCTGTGGCAGAGGTGGGCTGAACTGGGGAAGGAGATGGGTCGTATTCAGCTAGTGGTCAGTTTTCTGACTTCCTCCCTTCTTGAGTTTCCTCAGACGCTCTCTACAGCCATTTTTCTGGGCGTTGATGACAATACAAATTGTTCTGCACTCCACCCGCATATTCGTTGGCACAGTAGGTCATTTTAGTGCCGAACGAAATATCTTATATTGACTCTTCTCACAGGATGCGGCACCTCTGCCTTTCTTGCTGAATATGGCTGTTCCTTTTTTACCACCACAACTTTCATCTACCATTGTCTACGGGTGGAAATACATTTCGCTGTTCTCAATGCTGCTTGATGACCTTGCAGGACTGATCGTCGGATTGGGGTTCATAGTATGGTTGGCACCATGGTTCGCTGTATAGTTGTTTAATCGCAGATATTTGCTGCATTATGTTCATACCGTAAGATATCATGGGTCCGGTGGCGCCTCAGTCGCTGGTGAAGGCTTCGGTGTCATCCGTGGTGGGTTAGCCTTGGGATTAGCTGCCTCTACCCTCTGTTTCGCTGCTCGGAATTCCTTCAAAGAGGGCAGTCGCCTGACATCCGTTGATACTCTTGCCCTTGATTCGTTCTCCTCCCCAGGAATGACTGGCAACCCATTGGCCAATGCATTCGTTTTCCATCTGGCCCATCCTTCGGTACCCGCTGTATCCATGAGTTCTTTCAATATCGTAGTGGACCATTTCTCATGCAGGTCGAGTGTCTTCTGTTTGCTATCCTCTGTGCCAAAATTCAATGCTTAAATACAAGAAAACAAGGAATTCACCCACCAAATACAAGCTCGATCTCTGGCCTCCATCCTTCCGACTTTGTTTTTAAAGCCTTTTCCACCTGGATATCGAGATTCGGATTGGCGAAACGGATACGAGGGAGTTGTTCTTTCACGAAATGCCTAACAGACGTGAAGATATCCTTAAAATACAGGAAAATGCAAACGAACCTCGCGCCAAAGTGGTCGTTGCGGTATGCTAGGGATATCTTCAGCTTCTGCACGCCACGTAGTTGGAGCCTTGGCGGCGCTCTCAACCAATCCAGCACCAAATCTATTTTCTGCGGAATTTTAGGCGGCACCACCTTCGCGACTGCTTTTATAGCCATTGCAGTGAAAGGAGGACGAGTTTATGTTTGTTGATCTCGGAAGCCGCCGAGCCGTTTCTTCTTCCACCTATCGTCACCGTTTGGTCACCATTTGCGACATGTCGACGGCAGATACGACAATGGTGGAAACACCAGTCGAAGCACCAGTCGAAGTAGAGCTTCTTGTAGCTCGACGTTCAAAACGGAGCACAGCGGGAAACAGGTATTTCGTTGTAGTCCTTCAGTTATTCTATGCCCTGATAAAAATCTGGACAGGATGGAGGCTGCACTGGCTGAAATGTTAATAGATGACTCGATAACAGACCTTGATGATGACGTCGATTTTTCTGTCGACAGATGTACGTTCTTGTTTGACACTTAGAAGTTCTCGCCAACTCATTTTGTTTCACAGATGAAGAAGATGTCTTCGAGTCCGACTTTGAGAGCACAGACGAAGAGCCTCAAGGGGAAGGTGACGCAGGGGAACAGGAAGCACTAGACGAAGAAAAGCGAGCACGTAAGGTTTGTTTAACCTGTCACGGTGTTCGTCCTATTAATCGTCATTCCCAGGCTGCTCGGATTCGTATAGAAAAGGCGACTGCTGCCGCTCATGTCCGCCAGAAAGTCACATTTAATCCTGAAGCCTCGGCATCTAGTGCCCCAGCGACCAAATTGAGACCAAACCGTCGCGTCTCGTTGGGAACCGCCGTCGATGCAGAGACAGGAGAAGTCATTAAACGTGACGCCAAGGGGCAGCGACATAGTAAAAGAACACACACAATAAAGAACACATCAGCGACAGCCAAGCGATTCAAAAAGGGTGAAGAGAAGCGCGTAAGTGTCATATCCTTATGCTGTATCTCCTTCCCTTCTCATTTCCATATATACAGGCTGCTCAGACACCGAAGAAGGTCAAGGCTCTCACCCGCGAAATAACACAAGACGAACTCATTGCCCGAGCACTCGATAATGAGGAGGGCAACATTGTCGAACATCGTGACTATCTCAAACTCGAGGAGGAGAAACGGAAGCGCGCCCGAGTGGTGAGAGCTGCTGCCGAGGGCCCTCTACTGCGGTGGGTAAGCCGGAGCGAGGAAGTGAAAGTCCAAGTGGAAGTCACCCCGCCTCCGCCACCTGCAACCACGCCAGCATATAGCTACGGACACGGTTATGGAGCTTACAACGCACCCAGTACATCTACACCACTGACCTACCCCTACTACCCTTCAGCTATGACAACGCATTACCAAAATCCGTACATGCACTATCTTCCCCCTCCTGCACCTCCTCCTGCACCTGTCTTCGAAGAACGAACAGAAAAGGTTAGCAAAAACTATCTCGTCTATGAACTTGCGCAATACGAAAAAGCGCCCAAGCCATCGTGGACCGAGTCGATGGAGGTTATTTTCGGTGATCATGTTAGATGGGATCAGGTCAAGGTGTATAGTGGAAAGGGAAGACCTATTTGTGAGATTCCCGTGTCTCTTATTTTTTTGTATCTGAAGGGTTTCTGTCACAGCGCGACCCAAGCAGATCTGCCCATTGACTGGTCAACCCGCGCCGTATCTTGATCCAAGGACGGGGGTACCGTTTGCTAACATTTGCGCTTATGAGACGCTCACGAAGCTGTTGAACCATCAATTTGTGTGGAGTACAGCGCTAGGGTGTTATGTGAGGGAGGAAGAACCCACAGCAGAGGATAATATGGATACTTCGTAAAGTGTCTAATTATGTCGTTTACTCTTCGTCCCTATAGCTAGCTATCGTGGTCCCGAACGGTGATGCAAGGCGTCATCTTCTGAGATGTGCCGTCGAATGAACAGTTGCAAATCAGCTGTAGCTACGTGTATGCTAGGATTGATGGGCCATCGATATTAAGTACTTGTGCTTCCCAGAAATGAAGCCACGCCAGTCTCAGCCAAGCCTTAAGCGGCCCGATTACCGGCTGACTAATCCATCACCGAAATTTTGACCTACCACCGTCAGTAACACGCTTGACCTCTGACCAGTTCCTTCTGCATGGCCTCGATCCTGAAAGCTCAGAAAGTGAATGCTTCAAAACGGGATGCTAAAGTAAAGGGTAAGAGGAAAGCTGACGAGATGGATGTCGACCAGGACATCGAATCTTCAGCGCCCAAACCCAAGAAGAATAAGCAACGAGTTCTTCTTTTATCGTCTCGGGGTGTTACTCATCGAATGAGGCACCTGATGACTGATATTGAGGCCCTCCTTCCTCATGTCAAGAAAGGTACGTCACTTCCTTCCCATTGTTAGCTGTTTTTGAGCCTCCCGTTTCTGATAGATTCGAAATTGGACTCCAAGTCGCAGCTTCATCTCCTCCCTGAACTTGCGGATCTCAATAATTGCAACAATACCCTTTATTTTGAGGCCCGCAGGCACGAAGACCTCTATCTTTGGGCTACAAAGACACCGAACGGGCCTTCAATAAAAATGCACGTGCAAAACATCCATACGATGGATGAACTCAAGATGACCGGCAATTGTTTGAAAGGAAGCCGAGGGCTGCTTAGCTTTGATAAAGCATTTGACGAAACTGAGTGGGGAAAGTTGACAAAGGAGCTTTTTACGCATGTGGGTGTGGTGGCTCAATTGCTACTTCCTCTCTAATTCAGGACATTGGAACTTAGATATTCGGCGTTCCCCCGACAGCCCGGAGAGCCAAGCCATTCATTGATCACATTCTTACGTTCTCCATACTTGATTCAAAGATATGGTTCCGGAATTTCCAGGTACGCGTTTGCGTTCTTGTTGTCCAATTTGTGCCAACAATGGAATATTTATCGACTAGATAATGGAGAAGGATCCCTTACAACCAAATGGGCCTCCCCAGACGACCCTCGTGGAGATCGGCCCCCGATTTGTTCTGACTCCCATCCGAATATTCGAAGGTGCTTTTGGCGGGGCAACAGTATACTCGAATCCCGGTTCGTCAATGACGCACTGATCCTGGGCTCATTATCTGACACGATCTGCTAGAATTTATCTCGCCTGCTGCTATCAGATCAAGCATCAGACAAGAACAGAGCAAGAAATACAATATCCGGAAGGACGCCGAGCAAGAAACGTCACGTCGCAAGGAACACCGGAAGAGAGAAGAGGATGAACTCGCTGTGTCGAAAGTTTTTGCTTGATAGACCCATCTAGTGCACTGGCTAGATCTGTCTTAATCATGACGGCAAATATAAATGGAGCCAGGATCGTGTACGATAATTGAAACTGCCGGGTCGTTGGCACGACGAGACTGCGCTGTCATGTCAATAAATTCTACACGAATTATTACGCTCTAGTTACATCCCGATCGAAGGCGGATGTTAAGAAAGTAGACTGAAGCGCTGGTTGTTATCTACCGACCCGGGCAAAGGAACAGGAACGCGCAAGAAACGGCCATTGTCCGCGAAGAGCTGATCATTTGTGGTTACATAAGATATCAACCAGAAACGGATGTGAAACAAAACAAGAATGACGGAAACAAGGATCATTGACGTTTCTTCCCCGGAACCGACGGCTGTCCTCGGCTGTCCAATAAAAAGGCATAGCATCTATTCAGGTTCGCTTAATTGTCCCCTCCTTTGTTCTCTTTTCGCCACTCCCTCGACGGTACTATAATTCACGAACTAACGACTTTACACCACTCTTATTGGCCCTACCATTATGCCTGTCTCTATCGATATCGTCACTCTCGCGCCTTCCCTTGACATGTACGGAGATCCGGATTCTTCGTCAGTTTCTTTTGCTACTATTTGTTCAATATCTCCGTCGCTCATAACGCGTCTAGCTCTGCATACTCATTGTCAGGCCATGTCACCGTTTCATTACATTCGCCTAATTCTATATTCGAACGTCGTCGAACGACATCATTTCTCCTCCAGTCTCTCGAATTGACCTTTGAAGGCCAGTCCGAAATAGTGGCGCCACAGATTGGCTACTCTGGCATTCGCTTATGCAGTATAACACGTCAACTCGTGTCCACTGAACCTTTGGAACTCTCAAATGAGGGCCAGGAAGAGTCCAATGCGCCTTGTACGTTTCACAAACATCGTCACCACCCGCTTCTATTGACACAATTATGAATACTTAGGTCGTTGGAACTTGGTTTTTAATATTCCGATTCCAGGATGGCTACCTGCTTCGTCAAAGTATGGTGTTGACGACATGGGAACGTCGTATACCCTTTATGCAACAGCCAAATTCCTAGATCTAGATAACACCTCGCCGTGGTCATTGAGCGCGTTATGCGCACCGTTTCGCTCCCGAGAGAGGGAGGTCCACGCCGAGAAGACGATTCCTATACGCCGTTTTGTGGATTCACAGTTCTTGGACCCCGCAGAAGTCCCTCTGACGACATTCCTTGTCAACTCAAAGACAAACCCACCTAAAAGAGACGACGACCGACCCCGTATACCGCAAGAAATCATCTCAAAACTCCAAATTCTTGCATCTATTCCGGAATACGTGGATGTTCTCGAAGACTCTATAGATCTGACACTCCGTATGAGGGTCCACGACCTGGAAGAAGAGCAGTGCAGGAGGCTTCAACTTTCTGCCTTTGCTGTTAACGTCCTGCAAAGAGAAAAGTGCCGGTAAGTGCTCCCGATGCAGACGGAGAAGCATTCTTGACGCTTCTCCTGTAGGCATCGACCTTCAGCGGAGTACCGGCGAAGATTTCCCCTTCCATCGGAGTCCCAACAGCCTCCTAACATTCCACTTCGCAGCTGTCACCGACTGGGATACCTGTATGACGGTTTCTACTCCCCTCCGATCAACAACGATGCAGCGCATATCCGCACGTTCTCTCTTCTTCCATCCGAAGAAAATGGAGAATACATACTCGGCGATCATAACTACGTTTTCGCACACAATGTTCCTGGGGAAACGCCAATTTGGTACACTTTGCAGACTAGCATCCCCTTCATCCCGGATCCGGACGTTATCAAGCGGGATGAATCCTCTGACTGGATTGGCCTGCCATCTCTTCGGCCAACGGGCTCCTCGCCATTGTTGACTTTCCGTCACGAAGTTTGCATATCTTTGATGATAGGATACGATCTTCCTGATCAGAATCAGCAAGCAACTGAGACGCTTACCTTTGGTACGATCAGTTCAATTCATTGTTGTCGTCCGTCACTGACGTTCATCTTGTACAGCCATCCCTCTCCGCTTCGCTCATGTTCCTCCACCTCCGCCTCCATCGGCGCGCACTTGTCCACTCCCCGCTCTATCACAATCTATGATTATTCCTTCCGCAGAGTCATTGCCGGCCATCTCTTCCGAATATTCCGAAACGGCACTGCCTGCCTACTCACAACTTTTCCACTCTAACGGTGACCGCAAACTCGATTCCACCCCTCTGCCGCTATATACTGCACATGAACAACCATGTCCTTCTGAGTCGACCTCGGCCAATCCTGATGAACCATGTGAGCCATCTGACCGAGGTCACAAAGTTGAACACGCCGATGACGACGATAACTCAAGTGAAACGACACCGCTATTATGATTTTAATACCCTTGCTTTGCGTCTATCGTACTCTTTTGGCCTTCTGTCTAATCTTGTTTTCGTATTTCGCATTGACAGTTCGTTTCGTACTCGTTTTGACATCTCTGTATCCAAGATATATTTTTTATTTTCCTTCCCTACCCACTTATTATTATACAAAAAGGGATTTGGACATAGCACTCATCCGAGTTCTTAGTTTCTTGTAGTTGCACCTCAAACGATGATTGTAGCATTTATGGCTTGTATCGTATTCCCTGATATCAAGATCAGTTGAGTGCTTTGTATACAGTTACGGGTTCTGCCTCTGTAAATCCGGCTACAAATTCGTGCTATGGTTGCTCGTGACATTGATTAAATGATATGAATTCATACTGTTTCTCAGGCCTAGGGGCGCTGACCGTGGATAGCGTACTCGCAAGAGTATAATGTGCGAGCAAGCTAGTGCTCGGGAGTAGCACGGAAAGTAGGCTAGGACTGAAGGTACACATTCAATACTATAGACTTCGTTATAACTTTTAGCGTAGGAACGGTGTCTACTCCAGTTGAGCAACTCCGGTGAACCTTGACCATAGCTGAATCGGAGATACCACAAGGGTCGACGACTTGACCTCATACTCAACGACAGCTGTTCCGTATACCATAGTTATGCACGAAATGATGCACCTGAATACCATTGCAACGTAATTATCCTTCGGACCAGAAGAGAAGTCGTTCATGGACAATCAATGGATGTAGCAGATTGGATAAAGCACAAAGGCTGTGCAGGATAATTGACACATGTTTACTGTGGCTAGATCAAATGGCCTGCGCCCCTACGATGGACGTTGATCTTGACCATTTACCATCACCTTGTCGTTGAAGGACAGACCGACAGAGACAAAGCTAGCACTAGATATCCCGGGAACCTGCAAGGTATGTAGCATTTCTGTGCCGCAACCCTTCCTCCAACTCCGCCCCCCCTCACACCGTCCCCCATGCCTATCCATTAGACTCCTTCCCGAATCCCCATCCCAAGTCCCTGCATTCAACGGAGAGAACACTGACAATACCTTGAATTATTGCTGTCATTGACCTTTGTCGTGCATCATTTTCGCCATGCCAGACGTTGACTCGACTCGCAAGCGGTCTCGCTCGCCCTCCGACTCTGAACAACAGAAGCACAACAAACGGGCAAATACCGGCGCAGCTGTTTCCTCGGATGACTTTAATCCTTCAGGTTCAGTTGCTCGCCTCACACAGACTGACGTAACCATGACTGACGCCTCTGCCGCCTCGCCTTCGTCTACTCCAGGTTCTACCAAATCCAAGTCCAATGATGATGCCGACGCCGCCCCAAACAGTGCCGACTCATCGTCGACTAGTAGTGCTCCCTCAGCCAACATACACATGCGATGCCTCATCGTCACCCAGGACGCCTCGATCATCATCGGTAAGGGCGGGTCTCATGTAAATGAGATCAGAGAGAAAAGCGGCGCTCGTGTCGTCGTTTCCGAAAGCATACCCGGGAACCCCGAGCGTATCCTTAATGTCAGCGGGCCTCTTGATGCTGTCTCAAAGGTGTGGGCATTCGTTTCATATAATTGGTTGGTTTCATGAACGTGTATAGGCCTTTGGACTCATCGTGCGGAGGATTAACGACGAACCATTTGATACGCCGTCGGTCCCTGGTAGCCGAGCTGTGACTATCAAGTTTATGATTCCCAACTCCAGAATGGGGTCAGTGATAGGCAAGCAGGGATCCAAAATTAAGGAAATACAGGATGCCAGCGGGGCACGCCTTAACGCGAGTGAAGGGATGCTCCCTGGATCCACTGAGGTTCGTCCACAAAGTGATTTAAACTTTGGGTATTAACTTTTATCAAAGCGAGTCCTCAGTGTTGCCGGGGTCGCTGACGCCATCCACATAGCAACCTACTACATCGGCACTATATTGATCGAAGCCCAAGAACGCATGCCGTCTGCCTCCAATTCTTCCTACCGACCTACCAGTCATTCTCGTCGGCCATACAGTGGGTCGTCATACGTGCCAGGGTACTCGAACCCATACTCCCCGCCGTCCCATCACAACCCTCCACAGCAGATGCAGACACAGCAGATATACATCCCCAATGATTTCGTCGGCTGTATCATTGGCAAAGGTGGCAGCAAGATCAACGAGATCAGGCATATGAGCGCCAGCCAGATCAAGATCATGGAACCTGGAGCTGTTGGGGTTGGTCCGGGAATACCAGCTGCGTCGCCAGGCGCGGAGGGAGAGCGCTTGGTTGTCATCACTGGCCAGCCATCCAATATACAGATGGCTGTACAACTGCTTTATCATGTGAGTGCCTCTTGTGGCATTGCTGTATACAGCTGCCGATGGTCATTACAGCGCTTGGAGCAAGAGAAGCAAAAGCAACTTCGTGCTCAGTCATCTTCATGAAAGAACTAAACTGATTTTTTTTTTCGAATTCTGTTTGCACTCGATATCTGTTTTGTTGGAAGGCATCGAAGTCTCGTTGTACTCGTATATCTCGGTTTTATTTTCTGACCTTTTCTTGTACGTTTGGTATGGGTAGCAAGTATTCATGTTATTGTCCTTTGCAACGTAATCATGTGACGAAAGGGAAATCGGCACATTCCCGACGTAGAAATTATGTCGTTCCTAACGACGATCCTGGGAGACAGGAAGTTGTAATCGTACTCACGGCACACACGGTATGCACATCGCCGTCCTTATTTCTGTCGTAGCGAAAGGAGTCGGGAAGCTGCTTACTGTTCTTCACTAGTAAGGAGATCTAAAGTCACTTACTTTACATTCATGCAATTTCTTTATTAATCTACTATTCTATAAACCTCAAAACAGCACCAATTATCCAATGTATGCAGGTATATAGTAACACTACAGTTCGTGTCGAGGCAAGACGATCATCCTGCGTGTAAGCTCGGAACTCCTCAGCTTGGAGGAGTTGCGACAGATATTGTCGACATTCACAAGACGGCAATCCGGGTAGGCGGGAATAGATATTTGTTTGAAGTCGTTGGAGGGGTCAGACGACGAGGCAAGGGTATACACAGTGCAAGCAAGAATTTTTTAGACACAAAACCCGTTTCAACCGTGTCTTATGCCTGCGTCGATATCCCGAAGCTGATGAGTTCCTTCTGTACGCTCATCAAACGTTTCTCCCGACTAGTCAGTTCCTCCCGTCGAGCAACCAGCGCCGGATCCTCCGCCAGATACCTGCCGCATCTCTCATTCGCGGCAGCGGTTCCCAAGCCGAATTTGGAGATTAAGAAGGGCTGCAACTCCTTCGCCAATTTTCTGACAAACAATAGGTCTATGAAGGACGGTATGTTGTCGATGACACGCTTGCACACGCCTATCAGATCCTAAGACTCGTTAATAAAGTGGTGAAACATACCTTGTATGCCACCTGGAAGTACCCTCGCACCTCTGCCATTACTTTGAGCTCCGTCTCGAATATGTCCGTAGGATTCAATTTCCCCAAATCTTCTGGCTTCAAGCCTTTATAGCCAAGAGCGATCAACGCAGCCAAAGCCTCCTGAACTTTGTCGGCTTTTGCAGCAATGTCAGCTTCGGAGATCAACGGAGCTTGTGCAGGTTGAGTAGCCGCTACGGATGCTCTAGACGCCTCTTGGGGCTGAGCAGGAGAAGCGAATGGCGAATTAAATACAAATGGCGAATTGGGGGTACCGGCACCGCCGAATCGGACTAGAGAGACGTTGCATCAGTCATTTACAAAGAAAGACATAGGACTAACAAGCTTCAGGCTGATGCTGCTGATTATGAACCGCTTTTTCGGCACCCTTGATTCGCGGCGATGTAGTGTCATTAACCTGCTGTGATGAATTAGTTATCTCAGCTGGTCCTGGCATGGCACTAATGCCCCCGGGTGGCGACGGGCTTGCAGACTCTTCAGTCTTCTGTCTCTTCGCTGGATGATCCACTGAGCCATGGGCATGGGTCTTCCCCGCTCGAATGTTTTTGTATTTCGCCAGCCATTTATCGGTTGTATCTTCTAGATAGTGCGTGTTTTGCGTGAATGGGCTCTTCTCAACCTCTAGCGTGGCATCCAAGACAGCTGAACAAGTTGCGCGGCAGTCATTTATCAATTCCACGATGAACGTCCTGGAAACAGAGATAAGCAGTCATGTTGGGCAGAGAGATGTTAGCATACTTCAGGTGTCCTTGTAGGATTACATATCGAGAAAAGTCCTTTTCGATACATTTTATCAAGACTTCGTATGTGCACCCTTGCACGCGATTGAAGCAGTTCATGACAGAGACGTGCCACGTAGCTTGGAAAGCATTAATTAGCTCGACCTTGGCCTCGAAAGGGACATTATTAGGAAGCTCGCGCGTCAGGGACCTAAAACCACTCAGAACCATCTTATCACGACGCAAAGTGAAACTCACGATTGAATATGACGCTTCATGTCAGTCAGGGTAAAGGGCTCGTCCGTGCTAAGTTCCGGGGCCAGAACTTCTTCTTCCCCATCTTCTAGTGAGTTAACCATGGCTGGCTGAGGTTGCCCATCCTCCATAGGGACAAAGTTCGGCGCAGTACGCCGGATTGCAATTTTCAGATCTTTGAATGCCTGCCGGTTCTCATGGATCAGATGAGTTGCATTTGATCGACCACGAACAAGGCTTTGCACCTCAGTGGAGAACGAGGTGACAAGTTTTAGCATGTATGTCGCGGGTTCTTCATTAATTGCTGTAGGGATTGTGGTGAGCTCCGTACGGCATGTCTCTAACGCTTCCATTGTCTCTGATCGGATAAGAGGGAGGCTGCATACATCATAATCAACCAAATTCCGAGCAAAGAGAAGAAGACAAACGTTTCGTTAATGACTTGGATGAGGAGACGACTGAGAATATCAATCAAGTTGTTAGTACCAAATCGTTTTGTTTGAGTACTTTTTGACCAGGGAAGAGAAGTTTCGAAAAATAGCTTTTCTTTGGCTCGAGCCTGCTCAGGCGTGATAGACTCTTGTCTGTCCCTGTCGTCAGGTTGTCTTGTGCAATAGTAGCCATGTGTGAGAGGATGACGACGGCCTTCGATCACATCTAGCCACAAGTCCAAGGCTTTGGTAGAACCAGCAGTAAGCATGTCGGGTTTTGTCAAGACACCTGTGCTTTATTAACAGGAGATATTAGAGTTCTCCACTGTATTGCATACCAATGGTACGTCGACCTCTGGGGTCTTCTCTTCGCGCCAATTGCACGGCTTTCTGGTTCTCAATGTCATCTGGGAGGAGGATTAACTACTTGATCACATTGGCAGCTTAAGTGGGTGCATACCTGTCATTGGAAGAGCAACCAATATCAGACAATTCCCCTTGATGTGCGACACTACAAGGTCTTCTACAAGGCTTACAACGTTGCTTTCAGCATTCTGGATTAAGCCTATTCGTCCACTATGAGCGTGCATATGAAAGCAGAACCAAGAAACTTACCAGGGAGATCAATGAAAGAAAGATCTGTTAGGTCCGGTCCGCTCAAATCCACACACACGACATTGCGCGAAAAGGGTTGCATGCTCTGAGATTCCTTAGACCACTTGGTAAGCTCGTCCAACGTCGAAACTAGGATTTTCTCGATGGGGATTGCAGGGTTCAGAACTGATAGTTGCGCCCGTCTGAGAATAGATTCAACAGCGGACTTGTCTGTTATAACTCCACCAAAAGGCGTCTCTGAAATATCATCCATACGTTCCCCGTTCTTGTCAAATTCCCGTCTAATGGAAATCTTGCATTGCCACAGCTTGGAAGAAGATGATAGACGACATTCCATGGGGCAGCGTGTACACGTTCCAACGTCTCTTGGAACATTGATCTGAAATGATTGATTATAATTGAGGCGGGAAAGACCTGAGGCATACGGAGCGCTTACACCTGATATAGCTTCTACGACACTCGATTTTCCTGACCGCCTATAAGTACAGAAATGCAAATGGAGAGAGAAGTATAAACCTGCACTTTGATTTCCTATTACCGCGATACGTGGAAGATCAAGATCTCGCTGAGCACTGGTAATTGCCAGTAGTCAATTCTGGTAAGGCACTGTTGTCGATTTATCAAGCAGAACGCACCCTAAACTGTGCAACTGGTTGACCAGGCCCAAGAGATCCTTTGTCTTTGCGGCGTAATGAGTATCAGATATCATCGCAGGACTGGACGCGGATAGAGATAAATTTTATTGCAGAATCGCGCCCACGTGCAAAAGGCAACTAAGGGCCAATCCTTGACACCGTGTGAACTCCGAGAGATGGCACAGCCACTAATATCACGTGGTTGTATTATTTGCCATTGTCCTCTGAAGGGAAGACCTGGTTTCCAAACTTCCCCTTTTTGTTCTTGGGCGATATCGTAGTGCTGCTAGGCAGACGTATGTCTTCACTAGCTCGCTTTCTCCAGCCTCTACCGGCTGCGAGGCGAGCCTACTCCTCATTCTTCTCATCCAAGCCGGGCGGTGGGCGATATTTCAACTCTGCGAGGCCGACAAAAACTGTCGTAGCAGGTGGCGTTGCAAAGAAGAGCAACAGAGGGACTCGAGGTATTGTCGAATCCGGATCGTCAGCTGGTGAGGCGGCCAGTGAAGCAGTTCAGGCTGCACAGGGAGAAGATGCATCAGGTAGAAGTGCTCAGATTGTGAAGGCAGCGGATACGGAAGATCCTTCCACCAACCGGACCGCGTCGTCGTCCTCTGGTGACGGAAGCTCACCAACATCTCCCACAGGGCCGTGCGATGAACCGACTCGACCATTTTCTCTTTACGAATCCAGTCATCCGCATCCGGTGATAGAGACGCGAGACTTCAAGCTCCATCAGTTTTTCTCTCTTCATCGACCTCTTCTTTTGCTCTCGGACCCTGCTTCGATTTTGCAGACTGCCCCTATGATGGGGCCGCTTTACCCAACAGAAGGAGCGGCTGCTGTGAATGGGTCTGAAGCACGATCACCAGGGGCCGAGTTCATGGAAACCGTGGCTGATGCGGACGCTGATGCTGCACGTCAACTGACTCGTGCATTGACGTTGTCCCTGGCAGGCAGTGCAGTTGCATGGGAGAACACGCTTAGGCGTCTGGGCTTGGATGTAAATGCACAACCGGATCGAATCGGTTCGCAACGGGAGATAAGGAAAGTCTGGAGAGACATTGTTATGGACAGCGTGAAGAGGAAGAGGCGAAAGAAGATGAAGAAACACAAGTGAGGTTTTATCATCTGATTGTGTTATCTTTATTCTGATATATTTTGTCTAGGCGGAAGAAACGAAGAAGAGTGGGTTCAACGTTTCTTTGAACTTTGGTTATATCTCACCGTATCACACAGTTGACCCGTGCTTCAAGGCAAAGATCGTCATAATTCAAGTCGTAGTCTAATGTATCGACGGTCAGTGGATGCAAGGTCCTTAGTCGCTTGCTATCCGTAGTTGTAGACCCAATATCACATCTCATGAATTCCGCTACAATTCAACATTGATTTATATTTCATCTGCATGCTTGGATATTCAAGGGTGCCTACTGGGTAGTTGTTCTGCTGTTACTGTACCAGCAGTCTTTCGAATACTCGGTATACAGTCATAATAAGTAAATAGTCAGAAATATTCGTGGTCGCCGCAATGGATGAATGACCGATCGAGACAAGTTCTACTCGGACCACCATCTGGCTGCGGTATGGCGATGCCACCATCTATCATCAACGTTCATACTCCTTCAGAATCCTTTGCCATCGTTCACTCCAGCAAGTAAAAGCGGTCATTTTCTTCAACATGCTCTAACATAATCTCGCAGTAACCCAGGAATCACTGGAAGCTTTGTATGACAAGCTCAGCCGAAAGGCTCATACTGCCTATCATGGCAGCCGTGTCGGACCTGGCTGGCTCAAATACGAGTTCAATGATTCCGTCTGGAACCTCGACGATGGTTAGTACGACAACGTCGAGGACCTACGGCGCATGCTCATTCTGGACGGCGTAGATTCAGATTATACCATTTTCGTCTGGCGCCAGCAACAGAGCTCTGACGATCAAGAAGCTTCGACGTCGACGGCAGTGCCATCAATAAGTATCAACAATAAAACGACACCAACGCCGACACTTTACCTCCACAATCCCTCACAATCCATTCCTGCTCCGCCGGAGTACCGGAATGCAGCATATTACCTTTTCCACCCTTCTCATATTTCTTCTCGAAAGAGCCCATCGCCACGTCCACACAGCACAAAGTCTCGCAAGACCAAGGGCAGCAGGCGCACGAACAACTCTACGCTGAGCGATGAAGACAGCGGTGTGCCCAAATTTAAACGGGAATTCGAGAAGTTCCACAGTGCCAATGGAGTTCGAACCGTCATGGGAAGCATCGGTCCTGTGCAAAATGGTACATCCAGTGATTGGGATTTTGGATGTCATTTGTACTAATAACCACGTTCAGTGCGCATGCTACTCAAGTCTGGATACCGACATGTGTACATTTCTCGGGATTTTGCCAAAGCACATGGTTTTATACCCGACGATGCGGCACCTGGGCATTATGGTTACGGCGGGCTAGTGAATATTGGCACTTGGCCTATAACACTTACGCCATCTTCCACAGCGTCTAGTCACCCGAACGCTCCACCCCCTCCACCCGTGCCTACTTCGTCTAAATTGAATGGTGTCAAGAAGAAAAGCTCTTCTGATGGCAACCAACCCACGAAAACCGTGACCCTCATAACTGTGTACCTCTCAGAAGAACCACACTTCGACGTTGTACTTGGGAGGTCGTTTTTTGAACGCCGGCAGATACAAACAAATCCCATTGACCCGACAGATATCGTGTGTCTTGATACTGGGGAGAAGATTGAGTGCGAGTTGATCATTCTAAAGGATGGGAAAGGTGAGATTGTCACTGTGACGTAGGTCGTATTCATGTTTGCCGATGAGGCATATCTTGTTCATTCTTCATATAGCACTCAGTTGTAGTTCAGCGTTGCGAATAAAGAAACAGGGGGTCGCCGCAAATTGACTATCTCGAGAGAGATCATCAGGTAACTGAGATTAGGACTCGATGCTCTAGAGGAACGTCAGAAAATCTGGCCAGAGAAGAAAAAGTCGATTAAAATCCTCCGTTGTGGGCGACTCTAGCATTGAACATGAAAAACAAGTATACTGGGAAAGTCGCATAGGCAAATGCCCAACAAAGCAAGCACTTCGGACGCACCTCAATGGAGCGTGTGATTTTCGACGCAAACTTCTCATGGAAGAGATTATGTCGTTCTACTTGTAAGTTCACTGACATAGTCTTCTGTGAAGTGATGAATGATTGCGGGATTGCAGACATATCACCATTTTCTGTTATCCTGGCGATTTTCTTGTTGCGATAATCCCTTGCATGGGTTGCTGGAATCATCACTATTATTGCGTACCTAAACTACTTCGTGGTGCATTTCCCTGCTCTCATCTTACCTTAATGCAACTCGTGGATGCTGCTGTGTGTTTTTTTTTAGCAGGCATATGCTATAGGTTCCGTCAATTCGCAGTATAAAAGCTTCGAGTTTCACCTAATCTGCAGTCGACACTGTTGCGTGGAAGAACTTGACGTAGGCAAGCAATCCAGTCGGATTCGGCAGACGTATCTATTCAAGTACTTATTTCACCCAGTCATCCAGACCCACCGTACAAAATATTGTGGACCAAGCTATATACTGTCGATAGTTCTTTCAAGTGCGGTTTGTTACTCCTGCTTCCAGTTAATTCTGATTGGGTCTTGGTTTGGATAGGAATTTTTCATAGTGCTATGTTGTTTGAAGGATACTCATTTTAGAGGGGGAAAAATCGAATCTCAGAGAAGCGTATCCGTGTTACTTGAATGTGTTCTTCCTTGGCGAACTGACAAGTGTTCTGGCATGTCTCATACCGGGAGGCCAACCACGAACGTGCAGCCTACCGTACCCAATTGCCCTCTTCTTGAATGCATTAGTCCAGTAATATGCATCGACCATTACCTCAACATAGAAGTGAAAAGGCGAGCGACAACTGAGGCACAGGAAACGGTTCGTCGAACATCGAAAAGCCAATTCATAAAAATACAGTTTCATACACTTCACGTATCCACTGGATTGGAGGAAGAGTAGGCATCTCGTCGTCCTTGGACGTTGGCGATGATAGGATTCCTCTTCACCCTGGAGAGCCCAATCTCTTTTCTGCTGCTCCAGAATATGCGCCACCCCAATGCGGCTTGTGTGATCACCACATACAGCACTACCCATGTCCGGGACCTCGATGAAAGGCGTGGTAGTGAGTAACTGAGCATCAATACGATGAGGATGAGTGAGATAATATATGCACAAGGGGCGACTCGGACTCTACGGGACATTGAGACGTGACCGGGACGGTGCAACGAAGGGTTCATGTGTTCTGTCGTCTATCGAGGTTTCAATACTGTCAATGCCTCGGATTGATTCGTGAGGCGAGTAAAAATTCGTGAGGTCGACTTGAGTGATGGAAGGTGGTGCTGATTACGATTCCGGTTCCGACGCTCCTATTCACTTCCTTGTGTGGCGTCTCCCACCAACCGATCGCACGCAATATTAGATATATTTGAATCAGTTACAAAGTCGTATTCGTAGCAAGGACGAGAACATCACTACATCACCGTAGCCTCCGATTTACATCCTACACAAGAAAGCTGAACTCCCCTTTACATCACCACGCACCACGATCCTTGGTCTTGGCGTATTGGCTGAGGAGGCTGCTGCTGCCAATGGGTTTGTCGCCCTGGTGTACCTTGTCGAGACCTGTCGTTCTCATCTGTGCGCCATCGATTGACCTGCTCTCGATACAAGCGATCAGCCTCTTCCTGTTCTCTTCTTTGTTGTTCAGCTTGTTGCCTCCTCCACCGTGCCTCTCGCTCCAACCTCAGCTCTCGTTCCCGGTCAGCCTGTTCCCGCCTCCACCGTTCCATAGCTTCTGCGTGATGAGCGGCATTTCTATCCTGCTCCCTTCGTTCATGATCATATTGCTCTTGCGCAACCCAGCGAGCTTCTACCTCGTTAAGAAGCCGAACCTGTTCAAGGTAATCGATTCCTCGAAAAGCGTCTGGGTTTTGGTGTAGTAAAGCGGTCTGAGGTCGAGCAGGGGCCGGAGCAGGCTCATCACCAAATATACCTCCATGCGCGGTACTCATGTGGTCATAGATTTTGTCGGCATCGAAAACTCCCATGCAACGCCAGCAAATATGAGCTCCGCATCTAGAGAAGCCAGTCAGTTCCAGCAAGCAAAAGGAAGGATTAAACACGAACGGGCACGACATATGATTACACCCTTCCGTCTTCTCCAGTAGGCGTGAGCATGTCGGGCATTTCTTGATGCCACGTTGTTGCAAAAGCCATGCCTCGCTCATTCGTTCCTGCTCCGCTGGATTATTATGAATGCGAGCATCTTCACAGCTCAATCTTTCATGCGAATCCTCGCCACACGAAGAACACGTCTCGGAGAAACAAGATGGGCATCGTAAAATGGACACCGCTTCCGACCTGCGGTATATCTGCGTGCAATCTGGTGTCTTGCAGTACCTGAATTCCTGCGGACGTTTGTCAACATGCGTCGTGAAAACAGCTTCTAGGAGATGGTCGAAAGCAGTTGGTGGAAGGAACTTTTGAATGACGGGGATGGAGATGGGTGTCCCGCACGTCGATTCGTTCCCCATGCATACGAGTGGGAAAGTCCCGGCTTCGGAGGCAGAAGTGAGGAAGTGGCGGATACAGCCTGTGCAATACACATGTTCGCATACCAATTGAAACGGCGTCAAGACGTCATCGTAACATATAGGACAGGTATGGGATCCGGCCGCGACATTCACATTGACGGACTTGAGGGATTCGGTGATGTGATTGTTAAGATGAAGTCGAACCTCCTCACCTCCTCTAACCATGATGACGGCAGAACGAATATCCAGCGCTACGTTGTCCTCACCGAAAATTTCTTTCATCGCTGCAAGACCAGTGCGTACAAAATATCCAACCGAGGAACGTCGCAACGTTACAGTAAATTCCAGAGACGCAAGACGCTCCAACTCTTCCATCACAACGGCCTTGGCTTTTTCTACCGCCTCCGGCAGTCCGTACAGCTTGAGCGTCCGCTTCTGAGAATCTGAGCGTAAGAAAGCGCCCACCTCAGTGATTTTCTGCATCAGCTCGGCCTGAGGGTAAGCTAAATGGTCGTGCCAACGGTCGATCTTTTCCCCGGCAGCTAGGCTTTCAACACGGACTTTAAGTGCACCAACGGCAGCCTTGATCATCCCTGATACTTGGATGCGATAATTCCCGCCGTTGAGCTCGCGTATAATGATGTTACAGGCTTTACAATCTTTGGTGTTCCCCTGGAGCTCGCTCCAAAGGGTTTCTTGGGCACGATATTGTCCGGATGGTATAGTAATGATGTAAAGTGCTTGAGGGGGGATTCGGAGCCAAAATATGGAGTTGCAGATAAAACTGAAACGACGGTTGAGGAGAGTATCGTGAACCTTCTTAGCATCATCCCATGAGTTGAAGCGAACGCGAATTGAAAGTACCCCAATTTCATTCTCACCGCGGGAGGTAACATCGAAAGATTGTGCTTCAATGCCCTCTAGCTGATTGATGTGCAGCTGTAAAGAACGAATCGCTGAATCGACGTCGAAGCTATGAGGTTTAAGAGCGCGAATTGAGTGAGACTGGGCAAAGTCAGCCACAACAGAGGGAGGAACAACATCAGGCAGGTTGTTTATCTTGATACTGTTTGGTCGGAAGCTGGGTAAAACACGCCCTGGGGGGGCTTGGTTCATTTCCACCTTCACCCGCCGCCCGGCACATATACGACCGTCGAGCTCCCTCACTTTGGTGTGACAGAAAGCAATGTCAGGATATTCGACGACATATCGAACAGAAGGTGCGCGGCACGAGATCGTCAATGTGTTTTCATCCCTTGAGGTCAGAGCACCCATGGCACCGGGTGCATTGAACATCCCGACTTCGAACTCCAACCTCTCATCTCTGAATTCGAGACCTTCGAGACCAACAGCTAATGATTGTGCAACATCAGCGTTCGTGATGATATCTGCTTCCTTCTTCCCATGCTTCCCGGGGGTGTCTTTGACAGATATGACATGAAACTCGGACATATCAAGACCCTGTTGGGTAAACAAGGCTATAATTTCTTGCCGGCAGGCGTCGGGAGGGATATTTTTGACGCGGACTCTGCAGGATTCAAAGCCGGTAATGGTGTTCTCGATTGCGAGTCCCGAGCTGAACGTGACGATGGAACCGGCGAGGACGACGCGCTGCATAGTGACCTGAGCATCAGTAACACGACGCTGCTGGTCGACACGCCGCTGTTCCTCCTCTTGACAACGTCGTTGTTCTTCACATCGACGTCGTTCTTCTTCTCTCCTTTGCCGGGCCTCTTCCTGCCGTTGTTTTGCTTCCTCCTCTCTTCTGCGATGCTCTTCCTCCATTTTGCGCTGTTCTTCTTTCAGTTTACGTTGCTCTGCCTCTCGCCTTCTCCACACCTCCTCTCTGCGTCGTCTTGCTTCCTCCTCCCGCTGACGTTTCTGCTCTTCTTTGCGTCGTCTTTGTTCTATCTTTCGCTGACGCTCCTCGTCTACCTTGCACCTGGCATCCTCATGGCGCTGTCGCTCCTCTTCCTTCCTTCGTTCTTCAGCTTCGAGAGCCAAACTTGCCTGTTCTATTTCAAGCTCATTCTGATGCGTCCTTTCAGTCTCAAGCAATCGAAGTCTTTCAATCTCAACACGTCTTTGAAGTTCGATAACTTTCTGGACCTATCCCAATAAATGAGCAATTGCGTGATCGAAACAACTATGGAGCATACCCCAGGAGTATGGACCTCCCGTTGGTGGACGAGGTCAACTGAAGTGTTGGGGGCCTGATAGGGTTTTAAGATCAATATCGAAACTCGCGCTTGAAGCAGGAAGACCACCTCGAGATCATGGGTAAATCTGCATCGTATTCCTTGTACACAGTCCGGGTCTCCGCGCTGCCACAGAGGATAGGGTGTCCTGCCATTCACGTCGCGATATTGTGACAATTTCGTTGAGCTGGGACTTGGTTGCGCATCGACAATGGGAAGAATGCGCTGATTAGAGCCAGTAGCACTCGAAAGAACAGGTTTCTTGGACGCACGACCTCGTCGTTTCGCCCTTTTGTTTTCAGTATTATTATAGGCACTATTCTGTAGTTCCTGCTACCTACGTAAGTGAAAGTTGAAGTGAAATTATCATGCTGAGGCTTACAGAAGTTCCACCTGAATGTTGTTTCCTACAGCGGTCTCCGAGCTTGCAATTTCCTTGGAGAAAAAAACTGCATACTGCAGAGTTTGTGGTAGACATGGGAAAGCTGTCAGCGTCAATTTTGAGGTGTTTATACGGATGGCACGCGTCAAAGAAGCTCAAACCTCTCCCGGCTACAGCGGAGTCGACGCATTGGAACGAGCAGCAGGACCTAGATCCAGAACGAACAACTCTACTTTTCGTAAATGCCAGTCAGTATTGCGCTTTGGGGTCATCATGGTTGCAGGGTAGGAAGGAATTCTGTCTTCAAATGTCGAAAAAGTGGTTTGATGTGTCGGACCGGACACCGGGCCGAGCGTCAATCATCCGTGTCATTTGCTTGTCTTCGAGTCATCGTAACGTGTAGTTACGTTTGTATGATGCTCAGACTGTTCTCTATCCACAGGTCGACTGGCCGGCCTTGAAGCTTGAGTTCCGAACAGTTTATCAAATCGTCCCCGACAGACAATTAAGTATTCTCATTTATTTCCCCAGTTTATTTTGGAAAATAACAAATAAATGAGTTAATATGCCCTTGCAAAAGGATTGTGAAGCCTCAGGCTGTATACAGAAGGTTTTGTTGTTTTATGTTGGAATATTGAGGATACTATCTAGTAGATAACATAGATTTCCTTGCAGTGACATCCCACGACTGATATGCGCAAAACCTCGTGTCATTGAGCTAAGCATATTCAACGAAGGTATGTTCGATGATACGTAAAGTATTCCCCAGTAACATTAACCAATCAAGGCTTCCAAGCTTCAATTTAAGCCCCAAGAGGGTTTTCGAGGAAGTCAAGACAGATAATTTCATGTGTTACAGTAGACACAATTGCAGATGTCTTGATCCTTAAACACTGCATAGCAACATCTATATACTCAGCATCTATTCTAGCCAAATGACTATCGATGTCCTCACTTGCTGGTACAAGACAAGAGCGAGGAAGTATTGTAGCCCGGATTCTAACAAGTCCTGGATGAGGCCGGGGACGACGGGCGCCGTCAGATAATCATGGTGCTGAACAGTGAATTACAAACAAAAAAGTGGAATTACTTGAAGCGTAGATAATAATGTCAATGTGGGAGATGTAGCGCTCAGCGTAGAGAGCAAGACAATATTTCACTTCATATAAGCATGCGCAGCGCTCTTTAGCTTTAAGACTTTAATTCAAATTTACTGGTATTAGAAGGCTCGTTAGATATCTGAATGGACATGGGTGTCAGCGGTGTCAAGAAGTGGACATGATAGTGCCAGTGGCTGAGACTTGATCCGCTTTACATATGGTCACTTTGAATAAGTCTGATATGTTTTTAAATGTTCGGCAGAGAAAAGTACATTGAATAAGTACTCGGTCCGATTCTTACGACGCCACAATGTACACTATTGCGAATTAGACGGCTTCCGAAAGATGCCCCAATAAACATCCGTAGTTTTTGCGTTGTTTCCACTTGAAGAACGCGTGAGACAAGCCTGAAAAGAAAGTTTCATTCCGACTAGTAAATTAATATTTATAGAAACATTTAAGACTGCGAAGGGTTGTTCTCTGCAAAGTATTCGTGGTTGTCAGCGTTCTCGATAGCTTCACTGGGGTTGCTCGACGCGAGGGACTTGGCTGCAGTCTGACCATACACGTAGTCTTCAGTACTACCGATGATCGTGAAGTGGGAGGACTCATGAATCAAAGTTCCACCCTGGAAGGGCGTTAGCTTAGCTGTCGCAGGACAGAAAACAAGGTAAAAGAACATTACCCTGGAGTCGGTGCCAGTAGTGGTGGTCTCCCAAAAGACTGGGCAGAGATAGATAGTCCCGAACCTGAAGATTATCAGTACAATTCACCCGGCTTTTAGATGAACATACTCAGAGGGGTAAACGTAGGCGTAGACATCAGACTCTGTACAAGTACAGTCGTATTCATAGTCAGCGTAAGGGTGAGCGAGCATGTTGGAGTAGTGCGAAAGGACGGTGGCGTGGCGAGCGCTGGTATAAGTCCCGAACCAGGTGACATAACGTGTGGTACTGGCCGTGTTCGAAGACAGGTAGCTATCGACATGGCATTGGTGCAAAAAAAGATTGAAAACTGTGAAGCTTACGTGTAGGATCCTTGGGCGTAGGTCTGGGCAGCAGCAGCAGCCGAAATGAGGGTGGTCTGCCTGGAGGAAGAGCAGCCATTGTAGCTGATTCTCTTGCTGAGGTTGGAGCGGCGAGGAACCGCAAGCGTGCCGCTGATCTTAGCAGTGTGCTGTTGCGTGTCAGCGTTGATGCTGGCAAGCACATTGTTATCGGGGTCAACATAATAGAAGAGACTGGAAGGCTCGATGCTGTATGAAGCTTCGCCAGAGGCGGTGAAGTTGTAAGCAGAACCCACTAAGGTGATATCAGTACAGATTATCCTTGGGATCGCAAAAACACACAAGCATGATTCACGGTGACAGATTCACCAGGTGCAAGGACCGTGAAGGATGAGGACACGTTCTTCTTCACGACGTAGTCGGGGTCATATTTGACCTTGACACCAGTGAAAGTGGGGGATCCATTATCGCTGCTGATGGCGAAGGTATGGGTCGCGAACGTCGACAAGATGCTGGAAGGGTCGTTTAGGACCTTTATTGTCGTGTCACCAGTGTTAGTTAGCGTTGCGGCTACATTAAGGTTCTGGACATCAACCACCGAGTCGGCACCTACGATGACCGTCACAATAATCTGTCGCGGAAAAGGCTAATAGAAACTGATACCAGAAAGTGAAAGAGAAAGTCCCGGAGCGGCAGATACAGCAACCACGGAGAGACAGAAGGAGCACAAGAAGGAACGAACAGAGGGGGGGAACATAGCTACAGGTGACTGCTTAGTAGACCGGCGATGAACCTTTTCCTCTTTTTTTCCGACCTTTATACACGCAGGTCGACGAGGATGCCAAGATAAGACCGAAAGCAGTTTTACACGCGACGCGAGCACCATGTTGTTCGAGGCTTCTTTTGAACATCCAAAGGGTCCTGCACATGTGTATGTACTACACCGAGAGCAGACACCATGCAGGCGGAAGCGCAGGAAACCAAGGTCGCAGCAAGACGATTACACATAAGTGATACAGCGCTTTACGAGGTCGTTAAGCAGGCGATATGTCGTCTAGAGTCCTAGAAAGCCGGCCACAAGGCTGTAAAGGCCAGAAGGAGCGAATTCCAGAAATGGTGCCGAAAAAAAAAACAGCCTGACGGCGCAAAATCTCCGAAATATACGTTCGAAGAACAATCGCATGCAAGTAGACTCGGATTACCCGTTGACAATGTCCCTGTGATATGCATGCAGTACACTGATAAAGCTCTTGAGGCAAGTGGTAAGGCCCGACAGCCACATACGCACATGATAGAAAAATATTCGCCCCCCATGTCGGACAGATGGTGATGGACTTTTGTGCGTCTTTGTGACGGTTACAATCATGCCAAGGAGGTGCCAAGTATTGGCAATCAGTTCCAAATTACAACTTCAACCGGCAGTCTCCGGTAGTGTGTTGCGCCTAAGACCCGACTATATTCCTTAAAATGTGTACCAGGTAGCCTCCATCAAAGCACACGGCCTCCCCTCTTTCATTTCAAGTTCTGTTGTACATCTGACCAGCCTTGCCAGGAGTAGAAGCTGCACTGGCGAATATAGTCTCTTTATAGCTCTCTGTTGATACGATACGAGGTGGGTCTGCCAAACTCCTTAAATCGAATGTAGCTCCGAAGAGGCAGAGACCCCATTGATATCGCAGAACCACCAAAAACTTGTCGTTACTGTCCGAGCGCTTCCCAACTGAATGCTTATCTTCCCAGCGTAAATCCGGGGGAAAATGAGTCAATACCATCAAGATGGAGGCATAACTTATTCTATCATGCAGCTGACAACAACGCCGAGGTCATATCGTCGTTTTGTTCATACAGATCTTCTAACCACGGCTTTGACCACCAAATTTTGCGAATGCGACATTCGAGAAATCAAAGTTCGAAATGTAGCTTGTACTAGACTATGACTGCTTATTTCAAAGTCGTAATCTTCATACAGTTACCAAAATTTTCAACCAGTCGTGGAAAATAGTATTTATAGTTTAGTTTCGTTTGTATCCTTCTTTTTGATTTAAGAGCTTAAGCTCATCGAAATTTTTCAGGTTGACATCGTCTCCTCTTTGCGGCACAGTCCGAAGCATTATCTTCCTCCCGAACGTTCCTGATGTAAGACGGACCCGAGGGCCTCGGTTCAGGACTGACTCAAGTCAGTGTATATATCAGATGGTTACGATCCGCTAATATTCATTGATCACAGTAGTAACCCAAGTGTCGCCATCGCCAGCAACACCGTACTTATGGACGTTTTATACTATTCTGCCAGCCGGGAGTTCCCTTGCGGTGTTTCGGGCGGAGAACGCACGGTTGCTCTGTCCATCATCGATTCGACAGTAGGCAATTTCAGTCCCTGCGGAGCCGTATGGTTCTACGATGCCTCCCCTTCACTCCCCAACCCTGAAGGCCTTAGATCCGCACTCAGGAAAACCCTCGACTTTTATCCGCAGTGGTGCGGCCGTCTTTACCATCTCCCACCCTCCCACACTACGATTGACCGACTGGCTCTAACTTTTGGTTGCGCCACGGATCCGGGAGTTCTTTTCGTTGACGTGCAAACCAATGTACGACTCGCAGACCTTATCCCTTTGCCACGACCCAAAGAATGGGATGCCTCTGATTTACCTGCAGCTCACTTCCTCCCATCTACGCCGTTAGCCCCCGTTGATCCCGAGGGACCAGTCATGTCGGTACAAGTAACAACGTTCGCATGCGGAGGAATTGCCATCGGCATTCGTCTAGCGCATCCTCTCTCCGATGCACAGACATTAGCCTATTTCGCGAGAGACTGGGCGTGCATTGAACGTGTTGTTCCCAATCCAGTTTTTGACCCCCAGCTCCTTGATGATCATGCCCCAGGATCAGAGGTTGATGACGCTCTGGTCGCGGAGGCGCGCAAGCTACCTTGCAGCCGTTATGACTGGTGGATCTCTGGGTCTGATTGTCCATTTGCATCCCAAGCAGCTGTCATACCGCCTGAATTTTCCCCCCCTCCTGATGTTGGAGGAACTCGAATGCCCTGGGACCAATGGAACGTCTCAGCACCCGTCTCCCACTATGTCATTCATTTCACCCAAGATGAAGTGAAACAAATGGAAGGTGGAACGCGGATGGAGGCCATCTTGGCACATGTGTGGGGGTGTATCAATCGTGCTCGTGGCCTTGTGGAGGGAGATGAAGTCCACATGGAACTCACATTTGGTTTACGGCCACGGTTAAAACTACCGGACAGGTTTATCGGGTCGCCTATCATGCTTGCGGATGTGCGTACGCCTACATCGCAAGGCATTCACGACACGTTGTCGCAGTTTACTATCAATGCGTTGAAGGCTCATTTGCATGAAAAGAAGTTTGAAGTGGCGCCAAAGAGGTTGTGGCAGGCATTCCTGGGGCACCGGCATGTTTTAGTCACGTCGTGGGTGCATACTGGAGTCTACGAGGCCGATTTTGGGGGCGGAAGTCCACGATATGTCGAGGCGGTGATGCCTAAATTGGATGGATTACTGCAGGTCATGGAAGTACAGAATAGACATGGGGAACACTGTCGCTGGTACGATGCGGGAGTTGATTTGCAGCTACATTTAGAGGAGGAAGTTATGGTAAGATTGCTGGAAGATCCCTTGTTGAGAAAATATTATGCTGCATAATTTAAAAGACCTTAGAAATATTGGCAAAGTGCACGCTAGTAGTCTCGCATTCTACAAGGGCAATTTGACTATATATTAGCCCGATAGTACATTGAAAAAAAAGGTGAATACATGCAACGATCAGTACTGAAAAAGGGTACACAATGGTGACTAGCGACACCGGCATTCTACATTTATAGCCCACCACCACCAAGAATATATTCAATTGCTGAGTGCACGTTACCGCCTGTCGCCAACAAGGCTCGAACATTCTGTGATGCATTTGTAAAACCCATATCTTGCAGTTGCTGTTGTATGCATTAGAAGCGAACAAAGGCGAGTGAGTAAAGGAGCACAAACCTGCAGTTGAAGCTGGAACCGTTCTTCGGGCGACCTCGTGTCTGTCGGTGCTGTGGGTGCAGCACCAAATGCACCTAGTCCACCACCAAGTCCAGCAGGTAGTCCGCCTCCCAACAAAAGCTGCCGTGCCAACGCAGGATCAAGCGCAAACGGAGGACGTGCATTCTGAGCCGGTGCGGGGGGTACGCCGTAAGGATTGAACAAATTTGTCGGTAGCGGCGTCGCTCCTGTTCCGGCTGCTGCAGCACCTGTCCCAGCCCCTGCCGTCGCCGCCCCAGCAGCTGGTGTGCCACCACCTGGTACACCAGGAGCAGGGAAACTACTTCCACCCATTCCAAATCCGCCCAGTCCGCCAGATCCACCGCCCTGAAGCATTGACGCCATCTGCATCATTTGTTGAAGCCGTTGTGGGTCAGAACTAGACATGAATATTCACCATCAGGACAATGGAAAGAGAAGGATCACTGAACACTCACATCATCTGCCGGAATCCTTCGCTCTGAAACATCTCTCTGGCCTGGGGAGCCATAGCTTGCAACTGTGGATTAGAGGCAATGATTTGATCAAGAACGGCGGGATTTGCCATCATCCCGGCCATCTGTTGCAGGAATTCGGGTGAGTTCATCATCGTTTGGAGCTGTGTAGCTGTTACTGCCAGCGAAACAAATGCAATAGCGGGCGCTACACACCATATTGGGATCGTTCTGGTTTAGTCCCATATCAGCGAAGGGGTTGATGCCTGCCATAGCACCATATCCAAGGTGACTGTTGAGCAGCGTAAGCGGGTCGTGAGGGTTTTGTCCCGTTTGCATGGTGGGAAGGGGCTGCGGTGCCGCCGCTGACGAAGACGTATTCCCCCGCGCCGCTCCTTTCACCATGTGAATCGTATGCCCTGAGCTGATTTTGTATGTCGAAAGAACATCTTCGTCCTGAAGACAGTCAGCATGGGTATACTGTGAGAAAAGCCTGATGCCACCTTCAAGACACGTCCTAATCATTCTGTCAGCAATCTGTTCCACGAAAATGAGAGAAAAATCAAGGAACACACCAGAATAAATGAGTCTCTGCCGCTCCGCCTCTACATCCGATTTCTCAGCGACTGCCTGCTTCAGCTCGAGGACCGTTTTATCTGTCGCGATCGTTATCTGAAGCTTGATTTCGCCCGGTCCTAACACACGGCGCGAATCAGGATGATGCACGCAAAGGGAAAGAAGTAGATGGGAGACCTTTGACGTTTATTTCAATCTCTTCCGCCATCGTTAAAGAGTAGAAAATGGGAGAAGAGGAAGGAAGAAGGTACAGTGGCTGTTGTAAAGAATGACGTATAGCGACGGATGCCGGCCAGCGGCATCATTAGGTAATAGATTAAAGATCGGGATTTACTAGTGACCTACTGGGTGCCATGTTTGTTAGATACACGAGGCTAACAACTTAAGTATTTCAATGCCGCCTTCTTCCCTAACTTTGGCCCACTTGTGAACTGGACCTGCGTTGAAAAGTGTCAAGAGTCGTGTCGGTCCAAGTATACTTAAAGTATTTACAGAACAGATGCTAAGTTACATGGAAGCATAATAAATCAAACACAAAAAATATGGATAAAGTCCCAAAACGGTGAAAACGAACGAATGTAGAATTAAGGTGAACTACAATTAGATACAGCAAAATGATGGTATGCGAAATTGTGAAGAGATAAATGGTCCGTTGCAGCCGCAGAGTGTGAGAGGAAAAAGTGAGAAATAAATTAAGATGCAATGTAGAATGTTCATCTCAGTCCAAGTTCAGACGCACCAGCTACGTCGATAAATCTTGTCACTCGCCTCGTAGATTTTATCGCCGCATAATCATCCACGTCGTTCGCGTGCCTCGCATGTAGCTCACACAGCATTCGCCCATCTACTTCCCAGTATTCCTCCAGCTTCTCGTGACATCCGGAATGTTCGCATAAAAGATGTTCAGGATGGTACCGATCTCCCGCATGCGAGACGGCACACGGTCCTTCGATGGGCTGGCCACAAGGAGCAGCAGCACATAAGGAGTCATTGGCTTCGTGATAGTGATAAGCACATAACGGTCGGCCGTCAAATACGTAGAACGTCTTGTCGGGAAATGATTTCTGAAAACAAGAATTATTAGGTCAAAGCTGAGATATGGGCGCGAAAGAAACGTACGTGGCATATATGACAATTAAAACAGTCTTTATGATACTTTCCTTTAAGTTGACCGTCGGACGACGATATTGCTTGTTTCTCTATAGGTAAATTACAACGACGACACTGAAAAAAAAATGAACAATAAGCTAGTCATCCTCATAAAGAGAAAAACACTTACTTTGGGCAAATACATATTCTTCCAACACTGCTCGCAAAGTACACCTCCAGTGTCAACCTGTATCCACCTCCCATCCTCGATTCTCTTATCACAGCGCACACAAATCCGAACCTTCTTGGCCGGTCGCTCTATACCACGCAGCCCTTCCTTTCCCTTCCGCACTCTCTCCAAATCTGAGGACCGCTCCTTCTCCGTCCTCGCGCGCGCCGGCAGCTTCACAGCTTTACTCTCTGGACTGCTCGTCATCTGCATCGTATTACTCCGATACGGTATTGGCACAGTTGAGGTCCTCGTATCATTACCATCCTCTTTGTTGAAATATCCTTGTTTCCCGGTGGACTTGCTTGTGGACAAGGACTTTCGCAAATCATCCGATGTAACGTCCTCCAATAGTGTCTCCATCGCCCTTTCCAGTTTACCGGTGGTCAGACTAGAAGAGGATTGCGAAATCATACCCAGTCCGGCCCCAGAGGACACCGAAGTACTACGGGAGTAAGCGCTACGGCTACCACTGCTACTTCCACTGGCACTACGTGAAGGCGGTCCACCAAGCCGTCCATAATTACTCGGCGGTGTTTGAGAAAGCCCAAGTGCCTGAGCGATAAGAGAAGAATTGCTCCTATCCCTCCCTATTCCAGCAGCAGCATCGGCACCAGAGACAGACGACACAGAACCAGAGTTCTTCTGATGTGGTGATGGCTGTTTAGTCGAACGATCATGATCCGAGGCTGACGGAAAACGAATGTGACTTTGCTGGCTGGTCTGAGAGGTGGATCGGAGGATGGAAGTGGTTAGGGGAAGTGGAGGAGGGGGGTTGGCTTTCGTTTTAGTGTTGAAATCGACGTCTCGATCATCTTCGTAATCTGTGGAATCAGCGTAAGCTAAGCCATATTCTGATCCGGAACTGGGGGATGTGGGGACATGATCATCACGCCGTGAAGCGGTTGTGCTTCGACTGACAGAACGCGCGGGGGCATGATTCCGGGAAGTAGAGGAAGAGGTTCTAGAGCGAGTACGAGATGTCGCTGTCGACGGAGTATTAGGTATAGGTATCGAGCTGGTATCAATAGGCGTAACAGATTTGCGAAATTTATCGGGGAAGGGGAGGCGTATGGCAAGCGGCGATATTGGACTGGCATCGTTATTGACATTAAGAGCGGTGGGTGAAGGCGGCTTGGAAGAAAGGATAGGGGAATGGAATTGGGATAGTGGTGAAACAGGACCTGGAGATGTCGAGGAATATCCGGATCCCGGAGATAAAGGAGGAGTGGCGTTCGCTATAGGGTACGATGAGGAAAGAACGAAATGCAGTGGAGAGGATGGAACATACAACTCAAAGCAGCAGCAATATCCAGAAATTGAGGAGCATTATCACGACTCCTCTCGCGTGGAGGTTGCGGCGCGAGAAATACTGTTGCCCGAGCTGCAGCAGCAAAACCACGACGGCCAACACCAGCCATGCCCGCTTCTCCGCCGATTTTGGTATCAATTTGAGGCCCGACATACGGAACGACAGGCTGTGGTGTTAGAGATTTAGGCGGTGACTGCGGCTGGGGTGAAGGGGAATCCCTAGTAGAGATGAACGAAGGACGAGCAGTGCTCGGTGATGAGCTGCTAGAGCTGGTGGAGACGGTGCGCGTACGAAAATCAGATGAAGGCGTCCTGGAACGGAATGAGGAATTAGTAGACAGCGCGGAGAGGTCTTGTCGACTGGCTGAAGACGACGTGTCGCGTCTGTCTGGGTCAGGGCGAGCCAAAGGACTGGATCTGTTTGGAGTAGATGATGGCCCAGAGGTGGTGCGCGCTCGTAGGTGTTCACTGGCGGTTGATGGGGTAGAGCGATGTTGGGGTGTAGGTGTAGGACGTTGTGATGGGGCTGAGCGACTGGTAGGACGCGGCTGAGCTGGAGGAGAAGGGCGGGAAGGGGGACTAGCGGGTAAAGATATACTGTTAGGTTTTGGTGACGATATTAAGCTCTGTAGTCGCTGGGACAAGCCTGACGGAGCTGAAGGTGCAGGGGACGCCGGCTTTGGGATAGGCGGTAGTGGTGGCGGCTTGACGCATATATGCTCGCCCAGGTCTGCTAATGGGACAGGCTGATGGCAGTTTGAGCATTTCACGGTGGGCAGCAGCTGGGATATGCGACCTGGTGGGTTTGCCGGCGTCGAGCTGAGGAGCGAGGCCATCATGGCGGGATGGTCCACGTCCACAGGGCAGGGAGGGCAATGTGAGAAGGTACGGCCAGCGCTGATGGTGGTAGTGAAAAGGAATGGTTGGAATCACAGAATAGCAGAGAGATAGGATAAGGTCAGCCTTCGGGGAAAGGGAGGGAGACAGGACTTTGGCAACGGGAAACCAAGGCGGCGAACAACCAAGGTCTGAACCGTTAACCCAAGGTCGTGGTAAGAAGCCAGTCCGCCAATCCGGCAACTCACCGGCCTCCGTCATATTATTCCCATAATAATTATCTCCTGACCTGGAATTATATATTCTTCGCAAGTGTAACATGTATCTATCAAAGCCAACTATCATCGCCCCATCATCCATCATTCTCTAACCACCAGTAGTTTCAGGCGTACTGATCCATTTCTCTCTTCTTATATTGACATCTTGCTTGGCTTCTTCACCTGTTTTTATCTTCCAAAATTAAACTTTCAGGCTTAATGCTCCCGCGAATATGAACCGCCTTCTCACATGTGTCCAACTAATTTTCGTTGATGGAAGGTGATGCACAAGGGAACATACCTTACTTAGTGCCTGTAACCCCGTTAGTTTTCCATCACACCTGCGTTGCCAGCCTTCATTCCAGCATCAATGATTCCCGGTTATTGGCGACCTGCTGCTTTATACTCGGCCTCAAAGCTACATCATCTCAAGCCAATTACCTGTCCGAACCTCGCCAGGTGAACGGAATACGCAGCGCATTCTTTTTTTCCAAATCAAATGTGGCCGAGTTCCAGGTATAGAATTGGACAAGATGTAGTACCGTGCTGCGTGCACGCAGTTATCGTGCATAACGCGAACCTTACTGTAGCCCTCGTCCGAAGTCCTCCGATTGGCCTCGTAGGAGATACAAACGAGCTCAGCGCCTGGATTCCGAATGAGATTAACGCGATGGAACACGGGCGTCAGCGAACGTTCTGCACTAACCTGTCCAGTGCTCCAATCATTCGTTATAGCCTACGCTAGACGAGACAAAGATGAAGTAGCTTGCTAGTAACTACCCTCCCTTTTGAATTTCATGTCTAGCGTCGGTCCCGCTTGTCAAATGCAAATGCTAATGCTTGTGCAGGCCCGGCATCAGTGTCACCCTTGCCAGTGGTGTCCCCCTCTCCTGATGTACCGATCTGCGTCATCAGCTTGATTCGAAATCCTCACCAATCTGGACCTCAGACCCGTTTCAGGTGACGGACATGCTCGGTCCAGCTGCAGGCAGTACAAGGACAGTAGTAAACATCCTCAAACTTGGATAGCGAATAGAAAACATGACTTAGTTTAGGAAATGTGTATTTCTTTTTTTGATGCATCCCAGATGAGTCCTCAGGTATCGGTACCGACGGTGCGCAGCATCCTAGATATGGCCATTTCCTGAGGGAACCGAAGACGAGAGAAATAACATCAGCAAGTCTAAGGGTGAGCAGCACCAGATCGAGGACCAAAAGACATCCAGTATCCGAGTGGGCAGATACCATACTATCGTGAGCTTGAGAATGAACTGGCAAAAAAGCAAAACAGCACAGCCACCAATTCGTCTGTTGACCATTTTCTGTGGCACGTCGTTGAACGAGTCTTGCTGGTTACATCCGGTATTACTTATTTTCTTCGATGCCGCAACAGACCACTGACTGTTGATATCAGTTCGTGTTATTTAAATCATCATACTGCACATTCAATTTCGCGTCAATTGCTGCTCGACTGTACTTTACCCGAGCAGAGGCATTATAGACGTCAACCATCCTGCTGGGTCGTGCAACAACAGAAATAAGATAAGTTATATATACGATAAGCTATCTCCCATCAACACGCCTTCCAGATCGCACACCATCTGTCCATATACTGGCTCCTTTGTCTTCCCTCTAACACCTTCCAGTGCATTGGTACCCTGACAATTAGCCAGAGCCAAGCCCTACAACCCAAGCCGGGCTAGGGCCAGCCGCCCTTTTCGTCGACTCCACAAGTACTTTATCGATTATCCATCAAAAGGATCACATGCAATTCCTCTTCAGTTCCTCTCGGGCATCAGTTGAGGCCCGTATTCTATATAATGACGTGCTTCCCGGACTCGGAACTGTATTAATTTGTAGGTACTATCGCGAAAGGACGTTGGATTCGTACCGCCATGAGCTTCAAAGACCGCCCGGTAGACGACAAAGAAATTGTCGAAGAGACTTTGACCTATCACGGGTCAGAGAGCCTCTATTCCAATGATCAGACCCATCGGAAACTCAAGGTGTGTTCGTTCCGTTCCTTTTCGTCCTTGTAATGGAACACTGACTCCTTCCACAGAGTAGACACATTCAACTCATTGGCATCGGGGGTGAGTTGTCATACCCTACATGCGAGGCTGTCATCTCTAACGCATCTTTCCAAAGGAACAATCGGAACAGCACTTTTTGTCCAGATTGGCGAGTCACTGACCAAAGGAGGACCTGGTATGGCTCTTTTTAATCCGTGGTCGCATATAAAACTCCAAATTCCCACCTAGCTAGCTTGTTCCTTGCCTTTACGATATGGTCCACCTTTATTCTTGCGGTCAGCAACTGTCTCTGTGAGAACCCAGGTGCTTCCCAGACCAAAGCCCCAACTCACCCCACCTCCTTCCCCAGCTGAGATGGTCACCTGGATCCCCATCTCTTCCCCATTTGTATGTAACCATGCTCCATCTCAAATTTAATTTCAATACTGTTGCCACAGGTGCGGTTCGCCGACCGCTTCGTAGACCCAGCCCTTGGATTCACTGCCGCCTTCAACTTTTTCGTCTTCGAAGCAGCACTAGTCCCCTTCGAGATCGTGGCCTTCAACGTCGTATTGCAATTTTGGACAGACAAAATCCCTGTTGCTGTTGTTATCGCCTTTGTGATTGTGTGCTATGCGTACGTTACAATATGTTCCCCATTTAGTGATGATGATTGACGGGAGTGCGATAATAGTTTTTTGAATGTTTTCGCCGTAAAATGGTATGGAGGTCAGAAATTTCCCTCTATTCTCTATTTCGCGTATCTGATTTCCTACTCAAGAGTCCGAGTTTTGGTTAGCATTTGGCAAGGTTCTTCTTGCCCTTGGCTTGATAGCGTTCACGTTCATTACCATGGTGGGTGGTAATCCATTACACGACGCGTACGGATTCCGCTACTGGAACCGTTCGTCTTCCTATTTCGCATACCTTCCGCTCGTCACTCACCAGATAGTCTCCAGCGTCCAAAGTATCAGGCGCACCATTCGCAGAGTTCATCCAAAAAGGCGACCTGGGCCGCTTTATGGGCTTCCTCGCCTGCCTTATCCAAGCATCTTTCACTATCGCAGGTATGTATGCTTGGTTACTTCCTCTATTTTCTCCGCCTCCTTATCTCCCTATCTCAGGACCGGATTATGTTTCAATGACCGCGGGCGAGGCAGAACTCCCGCGCAAAACCCTTCCTCGAGCATACAAGAGCGTGTTCTACCGGCTGACCACCTTTTTTGTCCTTGGTTCCCTGTGCATAGGAATCGTGGTACCTTACAATGACACGAACCTCTTGAAAGCGCTCTCTGATGCCCGGCCGGGGGCTGGGTCTTCTCCCTATGTCATTGCGATGCAGCGCATGGGGATCCCAATCCTGCCCCACTTCGTCAACGCTTTAGTAATGACGTCCATCTTCTCAGCGGGGAACAGTTATGTGTATTGCGCTAGTAGGACGTTGTTTGGCTTGGCGCTCGACGGCAAGGCTTTGAGGATCTTTGCTAGGTGCACAAAGTCTGGTGTGCCTATCTATTCCGTCACTTTGACGCTGGCGATAGCTCTCTTGGGTAAGCTACGCTCGTTCGGAGGATCTGCACTAGGTTTTGACGAGTTCCGGTAGCTTTTTTACAGGTCTCGACTAACTCGGCTGTGGTCCTTAACTGGTAGGTTATGTGATCAATTCACTGTCCATCGTCTTCAATGTTTCGTCAAGGTTCGTAAGCCTTGTGACAGCCTCGCAGTTGTTGAACTTTTCTTTCATCTCGTTCACATATATACGGTTTTACAACGTGGGTGAAAGCGTTCGTTTCGCGTTTTTAGTTTGGTTAATACGATGCTTTGTAGGCGCTTAAGGCCCAAGGCATTGATCGCTCGACATTGCCTCATAAAAGTTTCTGGCAGCCTTTCTGCGCGTACGTGATCCTCTCGCTTGTTCCAACAAGTCTCTCAGTAGTCTTACAGATACTACGCACTCTTTGGTAACGTGGTCATGGCTTTCGTTGGTGGCTATACCGTATTTCTCAAAGGCAGATGGGATGTACCTACTTTTCTCTTCTCCTATGCAATGATTGGAATCTGCCCCGTCCTGTTTGTGGCATGGAAGGTGTATCACCGAACACCAGTCTGTATATTTTCTTTATGGTCACGTTTGAAAACTAATGCTCTTCTTTCAGTGGCGGAAACCTACCGAAGTCACCTTCTTCGAGCTAGAGCGATCCCAGATAGACCAGTATGAGGAGAACTTCGTAGATGAGGCTTCCTCAAATCGTTTCCTTCGATTCTGGAACTGGATCTTTTCATGACCGATGCATAGCACTAGCACTACTCCCATCAAGCGTAGAAGATTGGCATATAATTTGGTTTTCATAATATATGATACATATCCAATAACTACGCCTGGGCTGCCACAGGAGGATTTGCCGAGCTAAGCCCTTCAACCCGCAACTCGTATCCGTATCCGCCACCAGTAGCCCCGAGTACATTGCCCGGGCCATCGTAGTGCATCTTGGATATATCATAGTTACCTATAGGATTCAATTTTCTCAAGTCAGTAAATGTATCTTGACCTAATGAGGTAGGTACGAACCAATGAATTTCCATCCGTCTTCTTTGACGTGGTAGAGATTACATGTGTTTCCAGAGAAAGCGTCTCTGTGACCAGCAGCATAGATGCTACGCCTGCCGAGTTCTTGGGCCTCCTCATCCGTCAAGTCCCAGCGGTAACCTTGATCCAGCACACCATACGCGAATGTACTGCCGGAGCCTACAGAGAACAGGTCGCCCTTCAGGCGCGTGCCATCAGAGTCAACATAGAACACGGCTGGACCCTAGATGCTGTCATGAATTTGCGAAGAGCTGAAGCCGTATTCAACAAACGTACAGTCTTATCCCAACCACAGATCATCGTTCCCTGGGTGCGATGATACGTTAAGAACCGATAGAAGGGAGGATATCACAGTGCATACCATACTTAATCCCATACCCTTGTAACTGTACACGAGGTTGCTTAGATATTTGCTTGCTGCAGACACGGATATGCGCTCCCGGTTTCGAAGCTCGTGAAGTCGACAGTGCATTCCAAGGTATGTTTCCCAGTATTGACAATCGGCTGTAAATAGCTGTAAGCCAAATGCACTCCAGATACACTGAGAACATACCTGCACCACCAGCCATGGTTCCAAGAAGGTAGGGATTGATTTCAATGACCTTTTTTACAGTTCCCGAGGCTTTGAAACTTCATTAGACCGAGCCAAAGAATTAGGAAGTTTACACTTACCGACGTAGCTGCCTGCAGTAGCACGAGAATCGACTGCAACAATAACACCTCCTTGGAATCTGAAAGCAAGCGTTGTTGTTCCATGAGAGATCTTGATCTTGCAAGTGGGGTCGGCATGGTCATCGGTGTGTAGCCTTAGAAAGGCTGTTGGCTGGTAACCGAATTGTCAGTCCTCTGGTCCACATATACCAAACATCCTGCTCACATCCGGAATATTCGGGACACTGAAAGTTGGTACACCTTTTGCCAGACTGCCAAAGCCAGCCTCAGAACCCCACATAGCATCAGAAAACTCTTCCTCATCAGCAGCCTTCTGCGCCTTTCGCAACTCTGCCAGAGCGCCTGTTGTCGAAAAACGGTCGGCGAATGTGTTCATGATAGTAAAATGAGAAGACGTAGGCTAAATCCAATGGTGACGCGGCCGTGTTGTTTGGATAGTTGCTTGGACTGAGGGTCGGAGGCAAATACAGCTAGATTAACGGTCCGAATATCCGGACCAATTATATTCTTGCCCCTCCGCGCGGAACTGTAAATGATGGTTGGCACATCCAGATATTCGTTTATATTCTCCGTGATAGTAACTGAGACAAGAAACCTCGTGAGGGGGCAAGTTGTCACCTATTTTGATAGATACCGCATATATTCCTCATCTCTTTCTTTCCGTTACCACCTCCTAAGCCCTTCTTCCTCTCCGGTTTCGTCAATTCTTTTCGTCGCTCCTAGTCGAGCGACGTGCAGCCTGGAGCTGGTTTGAAAGATGACTTTCATTCGGTGTCGCACTTTTCTGGGGTGTCTACCACTTGCGTCGGGGGTCTGGCTACTCTCCCTGGTGGGGCTGATGCTGGGGGCGTCTGCGGCCGTAGGTAGTTGGATGGAAATCAATCTCATGGGTATAACGTTGCTTTATCTCTCGTTGCGAAATTGCGAGTACTAACACCCCTGTGCAGCATCCCATCCATTGCCACTTCAAGACGAGATTGCCCAGTTCGTTCAAGCCATCATCTTCTCCTTGTTAGGACTCTTCTCTATTCTTGGGTATGCTGAATTCTTTAAAGAAGTCTTTTAGAACAGAAATCTCATTGTGACATCAGTTTCGCCGAAGGCATCTGCAAGAACCGCAGCCTCGCCTTCGTCTATTGCAAGCTTATTGCAATTCATTACGCTGCGACAATCGTGGCTTTTGCATTCACATTGTACTCAACGTTCAGACACGTTGATTCGTTGACCGTCGCGTCCTGTATACAGGGAGACCTCGATGAATTTGCTGTTCAGTTCTGCAACAAGGGTTGGTCTTTCGTGAAAGGGCTTCCGATTATTTGGTACATCGTCGTTTTGTTGGTTCAAGCTTGTATGTATGACCTAAAAATGTGCGCCCCGACTAATCCGCAATCTCAGATGCCTATATCCTTGCAATAAATTTTGCGGAGCAGTTGGACATCGATGACATATCTCGTATATCAAGGCATTTTACGGTCCTATCCTCCGATGGAATCCCTTTCCATTCCAAGAACATGGAGTATGGTATGTCCGATCTGCCCAATGCAACTTTCGTGGCAAAATTTGCTGATCGCCTCTACGTGTCAGTATAGCCTAGGAACTGTTTGTTTCGTACTAAGCTATCAGATACAGTACTATCCCTATGCTAGTGCTCGTCTGGAATATATCGACGCAGGTACTTGTCCGTATAATCCTTGGGAATTCCTTCATCTACTGCATCTCTGATAACTTTGTTCATTCGTTCGATATATTTCACCTTTGGTTACTATCCAACACCCTCTCCGTATTCGCATATGAGGCAATTTATGATGGTATCTGCCTTGCTACTTGTCCTAACATCACAGGAAGCATTCTCTTCTGATAACTGGTGGGAACGCTCTCATATTGGTCCAGAACTTTCTCCTTTGCATTGATCTTTGCACGGGACAATGTTGGCATAACCACTGCGTTTGTTGATGATCCATCGCCTGTGAGCGGCGATCACTGATCAGGACAGTGCTATGCAGATTATACATACTACTCTTTAAGCAACCCAAGGCCGAAGAAGTTATTCGTGAGAAGGGGGGAGGAGCGGGAGGCGCGAAGGTCCATTCGCTCTCTCCAGAGATTGCTACCATATCCAGGATAGACTGTTACAGCTTCAGTTATCGTGCTGCTCAAGTTTGAAATTTGGAAGTCGTTGGGTGCTAACGTGTGTCCGCGTGCACCCACCTTGACGCTTCTATCAAATTTCCGATTGGCAATCACATAATATTCCAGTCCGAAGTACAATATTCACAAGTACAATAAGAGGACCTATGTATTACGAGAAATGTATCGAAACTGCATACGGAAACTGGAGTTTTGACCTCTGCTCATCGAGAGAATGAATGATAAATCTCTAATAAAATACACGACGCGAGGAGAGGAAGTAATTTATGTCATTATAAGAACAAAACAAACGTGCCGACCAAGAGTACAAGAGAGAAAGAGATATATTAGCTGTACATGAGAACCCGAGAAAACGCAGAAGAAAACATCAATAACTGCCTTGTGTTGCCCCCACAGGCTGTGCCGTTGCCATCGTTGGCGTCGAGGGTAGGCGAGGCGGAGATTGTGATTGTGAAATCGAGGGTATGGGTGAGGGGCTGCTATGCTGAACATGGGGTGACAACATGTTTCGCGACAAGGCCATCCTCGTTCCATTCGCCGACGCTGGTGTAACATGTGCCAGATTCGGCGAGAGGGACCCACTGATCATTGTGACGTCCAATCCATTAGCCACAGCCGTTGGCCTTAGCATCGGAGAGCCATTGACTCCGTGCGACCACTGTATCTGTTGGCGCACCGCCGGAAGCTTCATGTTACTGATGTTAGCTGGATTGTAGTTCACGTTCTGTGGTACAACGTGCATATATGGACTAGGAATAGGACGCACGCCATTGATCTGAATAGCCGTCATATCCTGGTTACCAGGGGCTGCGAACACCGATTTCAGATTTTGCATTTGTTGGGCACTCAGTCCACTCTGGACGTTCATGTACTGCGCATGATTCGAAAGGGGGGATCCTTGGAAGCCATTAATATGGTATCCAGGATGTAGGATATGAAGCGGCTCCTGTAACTTAGCCAAGTTACCTTGACCATTGATATTGACCTCTTGCACATGAGGAACAGCTTCCTGCAAATGTGGAGACGGAGATGATTGCGGAATAGCCACTGCACCGTTCGGTATAGAATATCCAGATTCGATCTTGACAGCATCAAGGTGTGGCATATTTATAGCGGCGCGGGCGACACCATTTATACCACTGAGGGGAGGAGAAAGTTGTAGGGCGGAAGAGGGCGAGGATAATGGAGGCGAGGCACTGTGCATCCCATTAGGAATCACCGGCCCTACGCGCATGCCACTAGAAGATATGCGCATGTGGCTTAGACCAGCGCTCGACATCTTAACCTGTTGCTGGGAGGATATGGGGGAACCGTTTGGCATGGGCATTATCGTACCCTGCTGTGCGGCTACTTGCGCTTGCTGGGCAGCGTGGGAAATCATTGGCTGTGGTCCAGGTCTGGGGCCCATGTCGCGTCTAACGATGGCATTGGCAAGACCCAGCTTGAAAGGAATGACGACCTCTTTACGACCATCAGAGTTGTATTTAGTTATGGAAGGGTCCGTCAAAAGACTCTGGTCTACGTCAGCCAGAAGGTGAACAGAATGCCGGATATATCTAAGATAAAAGTAAGCCGGAGTATAGAACACATGTAAGCATTGGACTCACTTGAGACCGTAGTCGTCGACGAGTTGTCGATCCTGCTCTTCAGAATTTGAAATGCCAATCGATGGTGCGTCATCGGAGTCGAAGCGCCAACGTTCTTGCAATCGCTTCGTCTGCTCGGTGTCTACGTCGACATCCATACCATCCGGGTCGGTAGGACTTTCCCGCCGAGTTACCAACCCAGAAAGTGTACCTCGTCGATCTAGATGCATACGACCGCCTCGCCCGATACGTAGACGAACTGGTCTTGGTTGTCGTAGTCGCGTTGAAGCAGGGCTTGAATCCAGAGTTGATGATAATGACACTGCTGGCCACTTAGGGGCATCGGAAGGTCCCACATGCTTGAAGACTCGAGAAGGAAAAGACACAAATGATGGAACATAGGAGTTCTATGTATATGGATGGGCAATGACCGAAGGAAAAGAGAAGTAAACACTTACATCGATAGTGTCCTCCCATTGATGATCTTTTTCCTTTCGTTTCTGCAAGGCGTTCTCGACTTTCGCGTGTATTGCAGCACATCTCTCTTTTGGACGAATGGACGGTTCCGTGCGAATAGCAGGTGAGGGTATAATAACCTCTGGCTTGACTGGTATACGTGCGCGGCTAGAAAAAAAAAAAGATGAGTTTATTATAGTCAACAAAAGGGAATGCAATCTAAACACTAACAGGTCTGGTTTCTTCGCAGGAGGTTCTTTGTCGACTAGGAGCTCCTCATTCGAAGTATCACCAGCAAGAGAAGGATTTCTACGTTTGAGATCAACAATTGCAATACGGCGTTGCCAAACGTTCAACCCAAGCCGCCCCAATTCGCATTTGGTACACTCTCGTCTGATGATATCCTTCGAAATTTCCAAGGGTTCAGAAAGTTGTTTGTTCAGAGCATTCAGCCTGTCAGAGGAATTTACTTGCGAAGCGCGAGTTTTGCGGATGGCCTTCGCTTCTCGCCGACGGAAGCAAATGTAGGATTCATTCAAAATATCCGACTCATCACCCTAAAATGATTGTGAGAAAAGAAGAGCTGATAGGTTGCACAGAATTTACATTAAGCTGAGGTATAATCCGTTGACCACCTCGTTCAATTCTGCGCTCCTTCCAATACGGATATATCAAACGAGCCATGCGTAGCAATTGCAGAGGAGGGGGGATTCCCCGAGGGACAAAATATCGGGCGAACAGGGAATCCGGAAGGGTGTTCGCGAAGGTATCGTGATAGTTCGAAAACTCCGGAAAAGTCATGCCCTCTTTCAGACTCTGCGTATGACTTATCAGTGAGCTGACAATGCAGTATAAGCATCTCCTGCGTACATGATGCAAATACTCTGTTTCCTCATGCGTAATCAGCTCGAACAATCCCATCACCAACTCGAAGTGTTCCTCTCCAACCTGAACCGGAGTTGCAGTATCAGGTTCCTTACCCTTGCTCTTGGCACTTCGCGCCGACGTCCTCGTACTGGCTGAAAGTGATGCTTGGGTACTAGTTCCTTCACCTCTGGCTTCCTCATTGTTCTTGTCCAGCCACTCTTTGTCCCGTTCATCCATGTAGTAGGTGCATCCATGGGCAAGTCCGATCTGACACTTCTCCTCAACAGTTTCCGAGGAGAACACATACGAGGCTGGATCCCTCCATTTATTAGCAGGATAAAGAGTCTCGTAATTATCGACGACTCCAGTGGAGTCGGGGGTCGGAATATATGCGACGGAGCTCGCGGTCTTATCAGATGCGCCCCGAGCGGGCCGCACAGAGTGCTGGTTGCGCAATGCTGCCTCACTGAGGACTTGTTGCAAGTGGTGTTCCTGAAGAAGTCGATTAGTCAGCAAATCCACGGATCGCACTGCCACCCAGTGATGGCGGAATGAATGACTCTGATTGGCTCACAGCGAGCACTTACATTCGCATCCTCCTGGTCGACACCTGCAACGCTCTGGAGCATACGGTGCTTCTCGTCGTCCTCATCAGGGATAATCGGATCGGCCTCGACATTTCCAATGTGAATTCTGAGACGGCTCTTGTTCGTAATCCGGTTGCGATTCCTGAGAGTGGATGGCACCGGTGGTTGAGAACGGGGCATGTCATGGAGAGTGTTGCGTTGGAATCAGAGGGTAGTATGGGAAAAGTCCACACAATAATGCTTGAGGTCGTTGACGATGTCAATGCCCACGCCCTCGTCGTCGTGAGGCGTTGTCGGATTTCCGAACTGGGTGGGTTCGGCTCGGCGAATTCGGCACAGAAAATTCTTATCTTAAACAAACAATGACGTCACATGAGATGCTGCGCCTTTCCAATGTATAATTGTATTCAGAGCTAAGGGAGTTTTGAGAACTATGGTAGGAAGGTAGGAATGAAGATAAACATACCTAAGGTTTTCGACAAAAAATGCTTTACGACTCTACATACAAATTAGGAGTTAGCTTTGTTTATCTCCGATACTTGTCATTGGAAGCGTACATTTGTTTCTCAAGTCAGAAAGATGGGCAGTGGGATGATATGGTGAAAGACAACATACAAGATGTATACTGAAACTGCGATATGTGCGTCAAGGCATGAGTTGCGGTCCCAAGACGTCTCCCATCGACGAAAAATGATAACGAGAAGCATCGACACCCAGAAACATTCCGGAAGCCCTGGCATATTTTAAGCCATGGTGGCATCGCGGAGGGCTGGGTGGGCTGTTGGACGAAAGTGGTGGGCGCACATCAAGGATCGAGTACTCGCATCCGTGCCGAGCCTGCGAAAAAGTTCGCGCTGCACAAAACGGCGAGCAAAAGATGAAAAACGTCAAAACGTCTCACATAACCACCCAGCAGAAGGACAGCCACGTCTGTGTCCAGGCAATTGTGTGCATTGGACGAGGTCGCGCTAATCAGTAACCATGGTCAGAACGTCTTTTAAGCGAGTGATCCTGGTGTAACTGGCAAAGAGAAGAGACAAAAGAAAGCATGAGAGAGAAGTCCACGAAGTAGATAGAGCCTGAGAACCCTGAGTCATCGCGATGGCTATCTGCGGCGTTCAGTCGGAGCAATCGTCCAGCAGAAGACAGGAAAACAAGGAACCAAGGGACTATTCGCACGAAAAAAGAGATCATGGAGCGACGCAGCCCACCATGGCATGGTATCGTCGAAGGGATGCCGCGCGTTCTAAACCGGTGTGAGAGAAGGACGCCCATGAGCCACTGCAAAGATGCATCAGTCTGGGAACGTGTATGTAAGAAACGGGTAGAAGAGATGAGGAACATAAGAAAGACACTTGTAGAATTTTGCCGCTTTTCTAGATTAACAAACACCCAACGTCGCCGCAAACGAAAAACTCGGTGCCCTAGGAGCAATGCCCAGGAAAAAGGCCAGAAAATGATATAGTTCGCAAATATGCAAAGAGAAAGAGGTAAGGAAAGTACACGCCAGAGCAGGATAACAAGTATGGACAGGCCACCTCGCTAATGGTGCATGATGCACCCGGAAGTAACATGGGTAAGAGAGAGAAACCTGGAACAGGATTTTGCCCATACGCCACTGACCACGTGGGGGATTCGGCTGTCGCCGGACGCCTTCGACATTTCGTTCCTTCCCCCTTTCCACTCCCTGTCTTCCAAATTTTATGGTGACAACTAGTTTGGTCTCGTGTTGTTTCATGACACATCTCTACTGCAATACTCGATGCAGATAAACAGTAGTTTGTTGATTGGGGTAACGACGTATGACTTGGACGGGCAATTTCCGCAGCGCGGTAACATTTCCGATCTCTCGAATTTATCCTAGTCAAGGGCAGCTGCTAGCAACGGTAGCTACACCGTGATGGCACTACATGTAAGGATTGTAGAGTCACCAAATCACTACGCCAACTAGGATCTATTTGGGCTTTCGTCTCTACTTTCGTAACTGAACACGAATCAGTGGCATTAAAGCCTTCTCTTGCGCTCAGCTCGGCCTCCATGCTCAAAAGATATCCCAATTCCATGGTAATATGTAGCAACGCGTATCGCCGCTGTAATTGCCCTGCATTGCTTGTTGTTGCCCGTCGGCGCCTCTGCGGCCAATGTAGTGAACTACTAGAGCTGTGTTGTCGTCCGGTTGGCGCACCACAGTTCTAGATGCCGGCGGCCTGAGACATCGTCCACGCGGTTACTCCTGGTCCGGACATGTCTTCGCTGTCGTACGTAACCGCTTCGTACAAGCTTGACTCCAATTTGTGAATCACCTCAACCACGCTCTCTACGCACGTCGAGGAATAGTCGGCATCGTGGAGTGTGAGAGCATCAACACGGATCACGTCCATATTACACGATGTATTCACAAGGTTAAGCTTCTATATTTCGATATTCTCACCTTGTTAATCCATCGCTACGGCGGGAAACCAGTTCAAATCAGCATAGCAGGCTTTTTCCGAACGCGACGCAGGAGGAACAAAGGAGGGAATTGAAGCTCGTAGTAAGTTCATAGAAAGCTTGAGGGCATTCACAAGAATGGGCAAACCCAGATTGCCAAACTACGCTCCAGAATATGCAGAAGCTGACTTGGCTGTGGGACCGAAACGCAGATGCGACAAGACAAGCCCGCCCTTGGGTACCAAGGGCGGGAAATTAGTCTATATGTTCGCTGTTATACATGTACCTGTATCATAGTAATGCGCCACGCCAATATACCTGAGGAAACTGGTTTCAGAAGACGGAGAGTCAACAAGTCAAGAGTCATGCTAAAAAAGGCGATCGATCGGTGATTTGGCAGCAAAGACCCTTTATGGACATTTCGAATCGGCCTGAGAATTTTTTCAAACGTCATCGACGCTCACGCCCAGCGACGACCAAGGATCAATCGTGAGGTCAACTCCAATCTTTTCATACTCAAAAGACATCCAACTGCAATGGCTGACGATGCGGGAGGAAAAGGAAAAGCATGGCCCCTTGCTGATCCCGAATTGACGAACTCTGTGCGTATTCTTATGCAATTGGTGGTTCGCGGCCTAACCGATACCATATAGATTCTTGACCTGGTTCAGCAGGCCACCGACTACAAGCAGCTTAAGAAAGGTGCCAATGAAGGTATAATTCTAGCGCTCTTGGTGAATGTTTTTGTTTCTGATCATCAGTTTCTCACAGCGACGAAAACTCTGAATCGGGGAATTTCTGAGTTCATTGTGTTGACGGCTGACACAGAGCCCTTGGAGATTTTGCTCCATCTTCCACTCTTGTGTGAAGAAAAGGTGAGTTTGTAAGGCTTTTATCTCGCCATGTATCTAAGGGTTCCCTTAGAATGTCCCGTATGTGTTTGTCCCGTCAAAGGCAGCCCTAGGACGTGCTTGCGGGGTCACTAGGCCGGTCATTGCTGTTAGCGTCCTCAGAAATGAGCAGAGGGAACTGGTCAGCCAGATAGAGACCATTAAATTTGATATCGAAAAGCTTTTGGTGTAGATCCATTGTGTTTTTGTACGACAATAAGAGTTTTGAACCAGTCTTTTTCTTTGTTCTTCCCCCCCCCCCACCTAAGCATTATAAAAGGCTCCTTGCAATTGTAGTAGAAGCCGCAATCCCAATACCCCAGCAGGGAAAACTTTAATTCAATATAACTTTTAGCATTAGAGTCAGTCTCACCAAGCTCTAGGCTGACTAAGCATATTCACTCTCTTCCTTCGCCAAGTTTCCAACGGCTCAGCATGTCGGGTATCTGCAGGCCGCGATTGGCGGAAGAGCGCAAGCAGTGGCGGAAAGACCATCCCTTCGTGTGTATCTCGCTGTGAACTGTTTTTCGCAGTGGTGACTGATATTGATCCAGGGATTTTTTGCCAAACCTTCGAAGGCGTCCGATGGATCCATGAATCTCATGGAATGGGAAGTCGGAATCCCAGGGAAATCTGGTGTACGTAGATATATGGGCTGTGCTCTTCGGCACGCCTCTTGTTAACTCGAATAACCTCAGACTGCATGGGACGGCGGGTTATTCAAACTAACTATGATTTTTCCTGAAGGTGTGTTCGTCTTTTGGCGTTTTCTGTCGCTCCCCCTCATCCTCGTTGCCCTGTCCAGATTATCCCTCAAAGCCACCCAAATGTCCGTGGCATATCTTTCCTTTATGTCATCCTCTTACCTGTCATACAGGCAAATTTACACCGCCTCTGTTCCACCCGAATGTTTATCCCTCTGGCACGGTTTGCTTATCGATCCTAGATGAGGAAAAGTCGTGGAAGCCAGCTATCACGATTAAACAGGTGCGGTCAATCGCTGGGGCGTCTAGATTTATCTCATGCCTCTGTCTAGATTTTGCTAGGTATACAGGATCTTCTTGATGATCCCAATGTGAATGACCCTGCCCAGAGCGAGGCATACACGATGTTCAAGTGCGTACTTGCCGTAATCCCACGTTTGGGTTGTTGGTTAAATCAATCTCCATCTCCAGGAATGACAAGGTAGCATACGAGTACGTTTAAAGTTTGTTTCGACTGCCACCTTGCTAATATCTTGCAGGAAGAAGATTCGTCAACAAGCTCGGGAGAATATACCCAAGTAGTTGTCAGCTTTTTTCAGCCGCCACCTCGGTCCTGTGCGCTGTCCTTTTTTTTGTTTCTAGTTTAATTGGTATAACAGTCTACTGTATTCTGTGCAAGAGTTGTGTGTACAGTACTGCCAAGCTGGCGACGAGGGTTACACCCAGTGTCCGCATCAATGTCATCCATCAACAACGCGTACTGATGGCTTCGCTTCAAGTTGCTCCTTCGTTGTTTGGAATGTAGAGAAAACATGTGTGAAGAGTTGCATGTGTGCCCTTGAAAAAATAAAAGAAAATATGACTGGCATCTCGTCGACATCTAACTTAGGCGGGCCGGCGTGCTAATACGTCACTCGTGTGACGAACGTTCCTTGGCTTAAGCTGTCATCGTCGTCCCCAACGTCGCTCTCCCTCCTTCCGCGACAATGTACGCCTCCCTCAGGGACCACGACTCGCCACCGCCGACGTCTCAATTTCGGAGGCCGTGGTCTCCTGAACCTTTCGACCCAAATCCACGGACTGAATTCTATGATTCCAAATTGAACTATCCTTGGTTCCCGACATACAACCCGCCGGCACGGAGGAGGGAGCCCAGTGTAGAGGCACTGGACTTGGCGGACTATGCTGCGATGCTGCGTAGGCAGCCACCTGCGCAGCCAAATTACGACTATAATGAAGATCCGAATGATTTCGACCATGATTCTGTGCATCGGGGAGTACCCAGCTTTGTGTCTAGAGGGGAAACACGCTCGTCAAACTCTCGCAATAATGCATCTAGGTTTCGTCCCTTTCCTTTGCCGTCACCACCACCACCAGCGACAGCGGCGCAGGCCCATATCGCAGACTCCGATCATGACATTGACGCCTCCCGCTTTCCTGCCTTTACTCGATATTGGTATACCTCACCGCCTCAGAATTCCCTACCATTCGACGAAGACCCATACATTCTACCGCCCAAGCGAATATCTCATAACGGGACACCATTCGATCCGGGCCATACCTACAACTCATTTCCGACACATTCCACTCAGTATACTGACTCAAATGCTCTTCCTTGGTCATCCGATCCAGACCCCCCTTCGTACCTTGATCCATCTCTCAAAGAGGAGCGCATTCGAATGCTTGAAAGGGAGTTTGCGAACACTCCCAATACTGCGCAGCAAGGAGAGGAGAGACCGCAGATTGGTATGGCAGATGGAAGAGGAAATCTGATTACACAAGGGCCGAGGAAACGTACTACAACGAGAGTTCTTCAGGTGCTGCTGTCCCTGGCTGCTGGTATCCCCGGGATATATGCTGCTGTGGTAGGGCAATTGACTTTGTCTTAGGTTTCCTCTCCAATAATGAATGCTTGATTAGGCCATCAAAACGAAGGGGACACCTCCGCCAGCGGGTACACCAGCTGCGTACGTTCTTTACATTGTCGCCATCATGACATTTCTTCTTCTCTTCGGGATGTTCGTCGTGCGTCCGTGTATCAAGCGACCAAAGAAGGAGCGAAGCGCTCCTGGACTTAACGGGATGATGGTGCTACCTGTATGTGGAAACGACAAGAAGAAAAAGAAAGGGAAGAAGGAAGGTCCACCGTCGCAAGATGTTCAGGTCAACCTCATCGTCGACCCGACAATGTTTCAACCACCACAAGAGGAAATCTCTGATTCAGAAGACGATGCTACACGGTGGGAAGGATCTACTGCCTCTTCGCGCCGCAAAAAGAATGCAAAACCTGCTAGGAGGAGCGTGTTTACTGGGCTTCATATGGAGGCGGAACGGCGGCGGGCGCGGTCCCGGGCTAAGAAAGTTGCCGTGGTCGACGTCTTTGGGCTTATCATATGGGGTGCCGTGTTCGTGGTTGTGCTGCTGGGCAAGAGGTGTCCCAGTGGTGACTACGAAGGGTGGTGCAACGCGTATAATGTATCCAGTGCTGCCGCCTGTCTTTTATGTGTGGCGTTTGGCATCAGTGTCTTTTTCGACATCAAGGATTTACATGCGAGTAAGATTTCCCCAAGGACGAGATGACCTTTCATTTCCGTTATGTTAACGATTTTTGACTTACCTTATTGGTGGATTCATCACATTTGTCAGGCTCTTGGTTGTTTATTTTATTACAGGCACATTTACGGACTTTTAACGACTACTGACGCACGCACATATCCATCTTATTCTTAATGTTATCACCCTGTATTCCTACATCCGCTACAGAGAACTTGAAGGAAAACGAGAAGTGTTGTATTGATGCGTCACCTCAATTGATGATTGTCAGTATTGACCATGGAATAAGTATAAACCCTAGAACCCGAATACAAGAGGGGTTAACAGTATAATCAAGGAGCGAGCTAGACGACATCCACCCCGATATGCATTCCAGGATTAACCTCTCTCCTGTCCTCCATTACTACTCCCGTGGGATCAAGCCAGGAATATCCTCTGGGTCTACATAACACAGCAACAATATTTCTCCTCCACGAGCCATGTGAGAACGGATTGGGTGGTGCAGGTCCAGCGACGAGCGTCTTGTGGGCCTGGTTTCGTATCTGTTCTATCGTCGTAATATTGAGCAGGAGTAGGCGCATATGATACGTCAGGAGCGCGCCAATAGGCCAAATGACCGCGATGCTCAGACAAAAGGCCACCGCGCTTCCTGTACCTTGACCGTGGCTCAAGGCCTTCCGGAAAGCGATGTCATTACGCCGGGTGAGGAAGTAAAGATGCAGAGCAGAAGATATTATGACAACGACGAGGGTCATGGCGGCGGCAAGAAGAAGAGTGAAGAAAGATGTATAATTGCGGCGACCGACACAGTTATTCACCCACTGACAGTGATGATCGCAGCCGTCGATACAATTGTCGCAGAGTTTGCAATGAGTAGATCGTGGTGGACGGTATGTTCGGCACGTAGGGCAATATTTGACGCGTACGCTGAGGAAGAACGTGAGACGCGCTAAGGAACAGTTTTAGAGTACATACACATCAGCTCGGACCTTTAGGATTCTCGGCATGGGTGCACTCGATCCATCTCCACTCTCCACTTCATGATACGGTGGATCTTCATCCAGACCTCTAGGCAAGATGCCCGGGTCAGTAAATGCTGTTACGAGCATACTGACGATCGTCACAAGGGAGAGGTAGGCAGTTATCACCACTAACACAATACCTCCCGGACCTTCATTATGCCACCACCAGACAGCGGTTGAGCTAAAGAAGGCTCCAGATATGCCAAACACTATGCACAAGGCGGCGGCGAATGCCCAGGGCGTATCTCCGCTGGTCAGAAGCCGTCCATGAAAGAAAAACCGATTGCGAGAAGGGTGTTGCGCATAGCGTCGAATTGTTCGATGAGATATGGGGTCTGTAGCGATAATTGAGTTGAGAGGGAGCGGGGGGGGCGTCGGATTGAAAGAAGAAGGAATTGGGCTCGGCGAAGAGACGGAAGAGGACTTAGACGTCAGGCGGAATGGCCGGTGGTCGTCCTCGTCAAGTGGGTGGAGCCGCTTAAGTGGGAAAGCGTCTGAGTCGTACTGCTGCTCATCGGGCTGCGACGACGACGACGACGGTCGCGAAAAGGATGGACGTGATGGACGGAAGAAGGATGTGGAAGGGTTGATGCCTGGTAGATGAGTGCGTCGAGACCCGGGCGTTGCGGTCATTGTGGACGGCAATGGAAGCTGGCTGAGCGACGTACGCTTCGTCGTCGACGGCGTTCCAGGCGGCGAGAACGATAACGAGTGTGGGGACGCCGGCATCACAATGGATGAGATGGTAAAAGCACAAGTGACGTTACCTCTGTGACACCTTGACTCGGGCCGCGACCTGTTCAATATCTACTGTCAAAAATATTACTTAGGCTGTTTTCAAGCTTCACTGATCATTCTGTGTCTGGCCGCCCGTTTACCGCAATTTTAGTTGCCAGGATCAGTTTCTAAAGAAGAGGACTCAATGTCGACCTTTGAATCTGCTGGTAACAGGATAGCATCTCGATGAAAACAGTTTATGGCTCTACTGAGCGTGAAGTTGAGGATGTTTAGTAGGTTACAAAGACATCCCACTCAGACAAACAAAGGCAATTTGCATGTCTTCGATTTGATGCTTAGTCGTTGAAGTTCTTCAGCCGTATATCACACACCCCTCAAATGAAGAAGTTTCGTTAGATATCGACGCGTCTCATTGTAAGGGACTAGTCACAGGTCTACTATTTCATGTTATCACACTGATCTTCGCACCTCCTACCCCGGACACTACTCTCTTTATATACGCTTCGCTGTTTCTGTTCTCTGTCTCCTGTCTTCGACGTCGAGGAGATCTGATCTTTGTGTTCAATTACCCTACATTTGTAGCTTAGATCAATGGCAAATGTAATCTTTGTCTTGGCTTTCATCATGGCTTGTACGCCTCCCACCCTATGTTTTCTAATCGCTCGACTTTTCCAAGGACCTCCTTCTCCAATCCGTTAAGGTACGCGTCCATCTCGTGAATAAGACGAGGCTGGCCGGCCGAGAGAATCCTCACAGCGAGTAAACCAGCATTCATGCCGTTGTTGATGGCTACAGTCGCTACCGGGATACCTCGCTGAATGTGCATGAGGGAGATGGCAATCGATATGTGGTAGGATGAAACTTACAGGCATTTGAACGATACTATGGAGTGAGTCAACACCATCAAGTGAACTGCCCTTGACGGGCACGCCTATGACAGGTAGAGCAGTTATAGCAGCGACCATCCCGGGGAGATGGGCGGCACCCCCTGCTCCAGCTATTACGGTGCGGAGACCGCGTGACGAGGCCGAGCGGGCATACTCTACAAGTCTGTCTGGAGTGCGATGCGCAGAGACTATGGTGAGTTCGTAAGGGATGTTGAACTTGTCCAGGATACGCGCGGCAGGAAGCATTACTGGTAGATCTGAGTCAGAGCCCATGATAACTCCAACGAGGGGGGTTTTGTTGGAGTGGCCAGACCCGGGACTTGGGGGGACGGGGGCGTATTTGTCGAGTTCCTCGGGGGTGCTTCCTGGGGTGGCTTCAAGTAAGGGCCGGAGTTTGGTACGGAGGTGCGCATCTGACTCCGCCACGATGGTTATGTGACCCATTTTGCGGCCTTTCCGGCATTCTGCCTTACCGTAGAGATGAGTAGAAGCACCGGGGATTGTTAGAGCAACGTCTGTGACGCAGGTGATACCGGTCATGGAAGAGGAAGAACCGATCAGATTTAACATGGCGGCGGAGGGGACTTTTAGGTCTGTCGATCCCAGCGGCAATGATAGAATACTTCGTAGATGGTTCTCGTATTGAGACGTTTCGCAGGCTTCTATGGTATAATGGCCGGAATTGTGTGGCCGCGGAGCGATCTCGTTAACATATATATTATCTGCGAAATGAGATTAGGAGAGCTCTGAAAAATTAAAACGAGTACTTACTATCTTCCATAAGGAACATTTCGACGCCAAAAACACCAGCGCCCTCAAACGTCGCCACTGCAGCTTCAGCAATATTTCGAGCTCTCGAAGAGAGATCAGGATGCCGACTGCGAAGAGGTGCGAATACCAGGTGACATACGTTCTCCTTGTGAACGGTCTCTACGGCAGGATACGACCGAACCATCCCATCCGCCGACCGTACCACCATAACGGCGATCTCCTCAATGAACGGAACCCACTTTTCTGCGTACAGTGGTCGGCCACCAAGGACGGCGAGAGCATCGTCTGCGTCGGCCAAGTTGCGCAGAACATAGTTTCCCCGACCATCATAGGCTAGCGTTCGACTTTTTAGCATGAGAGGGAGGCCGAGCTCCATCGAAGCTGCAACAATAGCTTCAACAGATGACTGAACTTCTCTGAATGCAGATACCGGTGATCCACAGTCTCGGAGATGCTCTTTTTGACGGAACTTGTCTTGTACTATTCTAATCGTTCGTGGGCTAGGTTGGATAGTTAAACGACCATTGGTCGCAGCAACAAGACCCTCCAAGGCACCGACATCAACATGCTCGATTTCTACCGTCAGGACATCAACTTTCGCTGCCAATTCTCGTATCTTTTTCGGATCCGTGAATGAACCGTCGATATGGGAAAGATCACCGCTGGGCGCGATAACTTGCTTGGCAGGTGCAGATTCTCCAACGTCGAGGATTACCACCGGTATATTTAGAAGAGACGCCGACGCGGCTAGCATGCGACCTAGCTGGCCTCCACCTGAGCGAAATAGATATTCAGGGTACTATTCTAGAGATTGCAGAGAAATCTGTTGAATCATAAGTAATGTGTCGTCAAATTGATACTACGACTTACTCCCACCAAGGATCCCAACAACTTTCTTTGACATGGTTGCAGAAATGAAGATGAATCAAAGATGGCCAAAAATAGCACTTCCGAGAAATTTTGTATTTGGCATCGAAGATAATACCCATCTATTATTTCTCCGTCTCTCCCCTCCACTGCCTCTCTTCTGCACTGCGTCTTTTGACGACGGTGGCCATGATTGTGATAGAACGGGTATGTAAATAATGAAGCTGAAGTTCAACGCCTTCGCCAACTGTTTCAGACGTGCCAAGTTTCAGTGATGTTGGTTTTTATTTGAGAAGAGATATTCATCGGTATTCGCAGGAATATTTCGACATCAAATTCTAAGGTTGAAGATACCGAGTAGAACTTGAGCTTGAGTCTTGACCGTCATGACAACATTTCATTATACAAGCGTTTGGCTTCCTCGGTGTCAACGTTGGACCTATGATTGTCAGTTTTGTGAACAATTTCAAGACACCGAAGAAGGGATTATTTTCTTCTATAGAATTTGGTTTTCTGGAGCTCATACAACTAACTGGACAAATAAGTAAATAGAGTGGTGGGAAGAAGACGAGCATGGGTAACCGCCGCACACCCACCACACCATGGAACATGTCCAATACAGCCAGCACCCAAGACACGCTCGCAAAACACCTCAGGCTTTAGCCAACCGCAGAATCAAACTAACCAATTAGCCCACCACGGGGGCGCAAAATACCCTTCATGTCCGTTACTCTACTCCACATTACACGCCAAAACATCCGGGGAACTCAGAAGGAAGAGCGGAGGGACCGGAACAAGAGGGAAAGAGGATCCTGAGATCCTGTACCTCCACCACGTCTTAGTGGTTAGCTTACTTGTTGCGGTTAATCAAATGCTGAAAACCAAAAAAAAACATAAGTAATTTTTGTCAAAATAATTATTAATATTTATTGCTCAAATTGGTGAGGCGACGTTCAGGGGGGATTATCTTTCTCGTCGTCGTCGCCACCACGACGACGAGGCGAGATGAAACGTTTCTTCAGCAAGTCACCAAAGCCCTCAGATACCAGTTCTGTACCATTTCCAGCAGCAGTCCCTACCTCCTTGCCTCATCCTCACTTGCAGCCAAAATATGTCATTCCACCAGTTCCTCATCCAGCCCCATATGACCATGTAGCGCTTCTGGTGACAAAGGAAGGTCTGTTGATGAGACCATATGAATCCGGTGCAGAGATGTCCTCTGTCCATGGCGCCAAAATTGCCTGGGGTCTTGGCGGAAAAGTTGAGGAGATGTCTGTCGTTGGAGAGTGGGAAGGCTACATCATCGTCTACGGTATTGTCGGTATTCTTGAACTTTTTTCATGTGCGTGTCATTTTCTACATCTCTAATACTCCACTTACGATTGATCAGCATCGTATCTACTGGTTATTACCGCCAGGACAGACGTTGGAAATCGTAAGCCACGTTCATTCTTCGCTTATGGCTGCATAATATGCTTCACAGTTTTTGAGGAAAGCCATTCAATATATGGTGTCAAGGACGTCATGGCGATACCTCTTCATGAAGAGGGAGCTCGTGAAAGGATTAGAATGCTTGCATCAAGTGTAAATCTGGGCCATCTTCCGACCAGCCGTACTCTGGATACCATTTCCTCTTCGTGCACCACCAATTCGACAGGCGATTTGTTACCCTCATCCGCAGATCCTACCATTCCTAAATCAAGCCCACGTATTCAATTTGCACCGACACCTGTTTCTGATTCGAACGCCGACAAATATACATCAGCCTCTCGTCCGCGCTCTCCATCTGACGCGTCGTCAATATCGTCGGAGTCATCTACGGTGTCTCCTGTAATCAAGGTGCTGGCTTCGCGACTATCGTTTTGGAATAGATTATCTTCTGGTGCAAATGACTTGAAGCAGACCAGCGACAATGTTTTACCCCCAAATTCTGAGCGAGGCAAGGCCGAGAAAGATATTCTGGAAGGGAAGGATCCAGAAGAACTGCTAACTAGTATCGTGGCTCCTGAACCCATCTCACCGGAAGAAAGACATTCGGAGCTGGAGGGAAAGATTATTAAAGAGTGCGTCAAGGAGTTCACGAAAGGTGGGATGTTCTTTGCATACAATTTTGACATAACACGATCTATGCAACATAAACGCGATCTGATGGCCAAGACCCAGAGACAAACATTCTTACTCGCGGATCTCAACGTTTTCTCCTCTCATAAATTAGACAATACCGGTAATTTGTCTGAGCCAAATCCAACGCTGCCGCTTTGGCGAAGAGTGGATAGGAAGTATTGGTGGAACGAGTGGTTGGCAAAGCCGCTTATCGATGCTGGGGTTCGTCGTCTTTCTCTCTGCCTTGATTTACTATGCAAAGTAGAATTTATTTTAATTCTAGTTGCACGCATATGTCTTGCCTATCATGCAAGGTTACTGCCAAATATCCACATTTGATATACCAGAAGATGGTGCTGAGAATTCGGTCCCTGTTGAATATGTCCTCCTATCCCGGCGGTCAAGAGACAGGGCGGGGTTGAGATACCAACGGCGCGGAATAGACGATGAAGCTCATGTGGCTAACTTCGTGGAGACCGAGACGATAATGCGAGTTGCGGTAGGTGTGCCTCCCGTTCGTTGGTCACGCTCAAACTTAACTACTGTGTAGAGAGAAGGGCATACGAATACGTTTAGCTACGTGCAAATTCGAGGCTCAAGTCCGTCTACTCACCCATCTGTTTGTTCCCACGTTAACTATCTTACAGTACCTCTTTACTGGACACAAACCGGGTATGGTTTGAAGCCTCCACCTGTACTTGCTACGGACCGGACGCATGAGCAGAACCTCGATACCATGAAGAGACATTTTGGGAGAACGGTACCTCTTTATGGGCCTCACGTAGGGATATCAATGTCTTCACTGATGAGAGTTTTGTTCTGACAGGTTTGCAAATAGACAGCAGTGAACCTCGCGGAACAGCATGGTAAAGAAGCAGCCGTTACGCAGGGGTACAGAGACTTTATGGCGGAGTTGGCGTTACCTGATGTACAGTGCGTACCACTTTACCTTGTGAGATCTTTCGGCTTATGGTGGGGCAGGTATCATGAGTATGATTTTCATATCGAAACTAAAGGAATGAAGTAAGCACACGGCCTCCGCAGTATATGAATCTTGGTCATCTGGCCTATAGGTACGAGAATATATCGAAGCTCATCGACAAGATGGACAGAATATTCGAGCACCAGGGGTGAGAATTCAGTTTCAATTCTCCTCCTATCTTTCTGACATCAAATCTGGCAGATTCCTGTGGATTTCGGACGCGAATGTACTCTCCTCGCAAAGAGGCGTCTTCAGAGTGAATTGTGTTGATTGCCTTGATCGTACGAATGTAGTCCAAAGTGCCTTTGCTCGTCATGTGCTGCAGACACAGCTCAGGGCGGTGGCGTTGGTGGGCGGTACGAGGGATAATGATGCAGTGTTTAATGACGTCTGGGCCAACAACGGAGATGCTATCAGTCGCGCTTAGTGAGTCCGATCTTACGGTTCGGTGCGATCTTGTGCTAACAGGTGCCTCATGAATAGTGCGGGTACGTCGGCGTTGAAGGTAAATGTTCTATTCTTTGTCATGTCAACTGTTAAAGCTTTTCGGGGATGGTAGGGTGACTTCACAAGGTATATCTTTCTTTGGTGCCCTGCCGTCTCCGGTGGTTGATTGCTATTGAATAGAACTGGCAAACGTGATCTGAGTGGGCTGCTCAACGACGGTGTGAATTCTTTGGCTCGGTAATCCTTTTAGATTCCTGTCTCCGTTATTCTAATTCTCACGTTTGGTTCTTGTAGCATGTACACCTCTATATTCAGCGACTGGTTCTGCCAGGCTGTGATCGATTTCATGCTTGGCCATCGAACACTTAGCGTGTTCAGCGAATTTTTATTGAAATTACAATCAACAGATCCCAGAGACTTGATACGGCTGTCGAAGATCAGAGCAGAAGCCATAGCTACCAGTGTAGCAAGGGTTTTAGAAGAAGGCGAGAGGTTCTTGGTTGGATGGACCATGTTTGCTCCGGAGGGAATGGCCGTAAAAGTTGGAGATAAGTGGGAAGAGAAGGTGTTACTTTTAGTGAGTTAATCTTCAAACTTCTCTTTTTCGGAGGCTTGTGGAGCTTTCGCTAGTCTCTTCCTTCAAACTGTTTTATTTCTCGTACTGATAGGGTCTGTGTAGACTGCGAGAGCTATTTATATTATTGTAAGTGTTGAGCTGTTACATTTGGCGACCTGCATTTGTTGACTTGGCCGAGCAGAGCTACGATTATACCTTACAGAAGGTGAAGAGGTATACGCGTGTACCATTGGGCGATATTATTGGTATTACAAAAGGCGAGTGCGATTCCACGGTGATCGTGCGGTGTACTGATTACATGGACACCTTTCTTAGGTGCCTACATACTGTCTCCATTAGAAGAAGCGAGTAGGGATCCAGAGCAGAACGCAGGGTTTGTGATCGAATGGCTGAGTAGTCGAGAGATCACACGTGTGACGAGCTACTCGATGAGGAACTCGTTGGAATTGTTAACCAATTCCTCGCCTCTCAAACCGCCAGGGAGCAGGTATAAGTCCATGACCGTTGGAGCGACCAGAGCAGACCGGGTCACGCTAAACTCAATTTTAAGGAATGGGCATGCTAATGCCGCAGAGAAAACATTCGCGGCGTTCAAGATGCTACCTATCGATCCTACCCGGTCCCGGTCACAGAGCGCAGGCAGTGAAGAGGTCGAGAGAGCGGGGAACTGTCGCGAAGCTGTCGATATGATGGTTGAACGGATTAAGCGGGCGTGTGAAGATGTTAGTGGAGTGGATGATGGATTCCTGAGGGAAAGGGATGTGGTAAGTCTCGCCGAGGCTCAGAGAATGACGAGTATGTATACCAAGATGGAATATGGGGTAAAGAGGCTACTCTGGCTGGGAGGTTAGTTAGTATCCCCTCAATACCCAAGGTATTTGCCGTATATTCTTAGGTCATGCCATCATTGCTTACATCCGTTGAAGCATTTCGCCGCGCTTCTTACAGTTTACGATGTCACGACATGTTTACGAGAAAATGAATGATGGTGCCGCAAACATGAGGTCGTTTTATAGTCTCAAGCCCAACCTGTCATCGCCTGGGAGCATGTACAAGCCCATGACTGTAGAATCGGCCAAAGTAGATCCGGAAGCGTGGCGTCAATTACGCCAGTCAAATTCATTTTGCAACTAATGGAGCGTCCAAAAATCATCAGATGCAGCGCACGTGCCGTAAAGGGACTAGGATGAAGTGGGCCTTCACGGTGTCACCTAAAGAGTTTCGCCTTCGCGATGCTTATTTTGAACTGATGTTTTGCTTCTGTGTGTTGTCCGCGTTGCTGACTGAGATTTCTGTCAGTATCGTGGACAACAACTACATCGACGCAAACATATCCTGAACGAACAATGAGGGGCGGGAAAATCCTTAACGTTGTGAGCCCTTCAGTACTGGCAGGGGCTGACACCGAGAAAAGCAGTGGGTCGGCTCCTGCAGTGGGCCCGTGTTTAAGCTTTAGGGGGCAGGAATACTGGGGATGTATATAAGAAACTTGCAGGAAGGCTGCATAACGAATGAATACTGTAAGCAATAGGCAGTATTTATCTTGGCCGCATATGCTTTTCCTGCGCACTACTAGAATACCTATATTAAGGCTAGCGTCACACGTGTGGCGGGGATCAAGTCTGATTAAGCACATTAGGTAGAACAGGTTGGCAGCATTATAGCGAGCCGCGATTGTAGAGCGCAGGCAAGGAAGGGGACCCGGAGCTGTGGGTATGATGGTGGACGGATTAAGCAGTCGTGTGAAGATAATGTCGTAAACCTGACTTCATAGTCCGTCTGAAGATAAGTCAAGTCGTTCAATGGATGTAGATGTGAAGTATTCGAGGAGTAGATAGTGACTCCTGAGGGAAGAGGCAGAGGCTCAGTGAATGATGAATAATGTATGCCAAGATGGAGTATGCAGTTCGCAGGTTACCCTCTCGAAACCCAAGGTAATGCCCTAGCTTATTCTTAGCTTTTTAGCGTCATTATTTCTTGCTTACATCCGTTCAGGCGCATGGCCGCGCTTCTTACAATTTACGATGACATGATATATTGTTTACGGAAATATTGAATGATGATACTCCACAAGCATGAGGTCGCACTGCTTCTAAGGAACGCAGCGTAAATTCGGGTCAACAGTTGCAAGGAGAGGTATACAGCGTATGTGGGAAAGGCCGTCGGCACGAAAGGACGAGGTTTGAAAGATTGAAGCAGCGTTGCCGGACAACGCCAAGGCAGGGATGGGCCGAAATGGAAATAGGCGGATTAGTCATGGGGTGGACCAAGGCGGCTGTCGGAGTTTTTCGGAGTTTGAAAACTACCCGGCAGAGGTTCGTGCTGCCCATTGTTGACAACAGCGCGATACAGCGACAGTAGGACGACCAGCACGAGCGAGAGAACTGGTAAGCCCGCTATTTCTCGTGTACACGCATAAGGATGACCGGGGCCAGCTAGGCCGAAAGGAGAGACACGGAGGCAAAGTCAAAAAGAGTCTGAATAAGCGGGATTGGGTATATAAGGCATGAGTAGGATGCCATCCCCTCCTGCAGAGCCGCCGACACCACAGCCGACCAAGGAGGCCCCGAAAAAAGGTCGGCAGAAACGCTCGACCCAGCCGACGCCGGCACCTCCCCCGCCGCAACAACCTCATTATCCGACACCCTTCATCATGAACCCGGCGTCCTATCCTTCTTCCTATCCTCAATATCACACCTCCCCGCCCCCCAATGCCTATCCTTACCATATGCCCCCATATCCTTACCAATATGGCCAATATCCACAGCCAGTCGTCGGCCAGCATCCCGTTCAGCCAGTCGTGATGTACCAACAGCCGCCGCCGCCGCCCCAGTCGGCAGATCAGCCGTCTGCCTCCTCGTCTGGCAAGCGCAAGCGCAAACCGGAGCGTGGCGGAAAGGATGATGACACCGACGATGACGCTGCACGCCCCACCTCGACTGTAGATATGAAAAAACGCACCAAAACTGCCCGTGCTTGCGATTCTTGCAGGAGTCGCAAAATTCGTTGCGATGTCCTCGCCGATAGCGAGCCCGTCATCTGTCAGCACTGCAAACAGTACGGGTTCGAGTGCACCTTCTTTTTACCTATCACCGAGACGCGTTTCAAGAAGAAAAAACTCGCCGATGACGAGCATCAGGACAAGGACAAGGCCGGCGCGTCTGCGGGCAAAGACCTTGCTGTCTTCGGTGTGTATAGTTTTGTCCTGTTCTGGTGAATGCTAATTGAACAAGGTCCTACCTCTGTCAACCATCTTCTTCATTCCACAGCTACCGTGCCTCCAAGATCATACGAATCATACGATCTTCGTTACCAGCACACCTTCGAAATCAGTGAATCAGGCGACAGGATTATCGTTCAGCATAAGCCCCCCGCCCTCGACCCTCGGGGCGGGTCCCTCCCGGGCAAAGACACTCATATTGAGCCAGACCTTATCCAGCAACTTGTCAACGCGTATTTCGAATATGTGGCACCGCTACTGCCCGTAGTGACAAAGAAAGAGTTCCTTGCTTCTTCACCGCCACCGCCGATCCTCCTCTATTCCATGTGCCTCGTCGCTGCTGCGAGGAGAGAGGTTCCCCAAGGTGTTTTCGATTCGATTCGATACACCGTCAATGCTCTAATTAGAGCCGATGATGTTCTCTCCACCGCTTCAATCATCAACGTCCAGAGTCTGCTCATTTTGTGCATGACTGGTGACTGTCATTCACAGTTTGTACCTAATGCTCTCTCGGCATTGTGGGTTCGTCTGGGAAGCGCGATACGTATGGCCCAAGACCTCGGATTACATCGCGCGGAGACCGTTATGCAAGACATCGAACTGCGACGCAGACTCTGGGGTGCATGCGTGATCAGTGATAGTACGTAACTTTCGGCCTTATCACTCGACTTCGCCCTGATATTAAACAGGATGGCTGTCTCTAACCTATGGACACCCGCATATGATTGATGTCCAAGATTGCGACGCACGATTACCGAGCGGTGGTTCCGTGGGTGATATGTATATGGATGAACTCGTTCGACTCAGCGTTGTACTTGGACGAGTCCTCAAGACCATATACACCCCGAGTGGATTGACTTTCACAACTGATGAGATGCTCGAGAAACTCTTGGCTGATATCGAGGCGTGGAAAGCAAATCTTCCCGAAAGTTTGAGATTCAGGGGAGAATCAAGCTCGTTAACATCTGGTCAGTCAATGATAATCTGCCATATGCCTAGCATTGATTTCCTTTCTTCGTTCAGGTATCCTTCACCTTCTATACACATGTGTCTGCATGATTTTCTGGCGAGTCTTTATGCGGATCTCGTATTCTTGTCCGTCACATCTCAAGTTCGGGTTGACTGTCGAGCAATGGAGTGCCCTTGTTACACTCACCGGAGAGTCTATTGACTGGCTGGACGCGAATGAAGGCGTGTACGACGTTTGGCTACTAATAGCATATGGTGCTACTAGCTGTGCCCTTGTACAATATCACACATGGGCAAGGAGGCGAGACGGGGATGCAATGGGAAAACTGAGGAAGCTTAGGGACTGTGTGCGGAGGTGGGAGGCGAGCCTGAGTCCCGATCATATGAGTACCAGGAGAAAGGTAATTCAATCATTCTTTCTTCTCTTCTTCGACAGGTTCTGATTACAACACATATAGACCGCCGAAATTATCGGTCTCTTGTACGAAGCAACCCAAGGCGATGATCTTGCTGTCGGTGGTCCTCCAGTCCTCAATCCCACGGGAGGAGTCACGGGAAAGAAAGCGCCGGAAGGACTCGACTACAAACCTGATCCATCTCGTCCCGGCGGTGGCGTGTTTGTCGCTAGGGACGGATCGAACCCTATCGCTTCGCCGTCAGCGTCTTCGACCCAAAATGGGATGGAGATGAGCTCATTTGTGACCACGTCTGCGCCCAACGACTTTGGATCTCTAGGTATCAACGTGAATCCTGCCATGAATTATGTGTCCAAGGGAGGCTTAAGCCAAGTGATCAATTCCTTGGATATGAGCGGGACGGTTCAGGAAATGGCGTTGACTGATACTGGACTACTCGAAGGAATTCCAGGCGGGATGTTCGATTGGGGTAAAGTATTTAAAGGCGTCATCACTATCTGAGTGCTCATGGTACATTACAGGCCAGTGGGATACGTTCTTTGCCAGGCTTAATGGCTCTGGTGTGCCTGTGGATGCGCCAGTCGTTCCCGAACCGCCCAAGTAAGAGAAGGACATGGGGATGATGTTAAATATAATTGTGTATTGATTTCCTTGTTAGCGCTATCGTGTTTTCTCTGAGATGATAGACTATCTTTATTTGGTTGTAGCTATACATATGTTGCAACGAACGTTGGCTTCGTCAAGCTAATGTCACTTGGTTTGTCGAGTAAAGTACTATATTATTCCTTTTTAGATGACTCTTATTAGCCATCAGCCCTTTAGTTCTTAGCGGCCGGGGTCCAGAAGATCTTGTGAGGTGTCATCTTTCATTTGAAATTTGTTGCCATGTGAGATTTGGGTAAATTCTTATCGGTACTCATATTTACTGAGTTTTGAGCTCTCTTGAGACGACAAGAATTGGTACAGTCACCGTCGCGAGTTTCATGGATGGACCATCTGTTTTGATAGCACCAGGGATCACGAAAAATACAAGTTTTAACCCGTCGGATCCTCGGTCCGCACCACATTTGGAAAGTCACCTGCCAAAACAAGCCCTATCCTCGCCGTTGGCAACCTCCTAACGGTCACTCGTGTTTCGGATTGGCGTCTTACCAGCATCCCTTCTTTTCCCTTTTTCCCTCACATTTTTCCCTACCCGACCGGCAGCCTTTCTTTGGATTGACTTTTTACGCTCTTTACAAAAGAAAATAGAGGAGATTAGAAGATGGGAGGCTCGCTGCCTTACAGGGTTGGCCATGCTGGTGGAAAACATAAAAAAAGGGCCACCGATAGTGCGTTTTTTCATTTCCTCGTATTGTAATGTAATGCTAACAGATGCGCAGCCTGCTCTACCGGCGGTTTCTATATTTCCCCGGCCAAGGGCGCCGTTGTAGACTCACTTGAACCGACCACAATTTCTTGGGATTCCTCCTGTTTGGATGCAGACGACGTCGATATCCATCTTTACGCCCCTTCCCTGGCCAGTCCCAAGATATACGTCTGGGAAAGCGTCACCAACAGTCTCGGGACCTACAACGCCACCTTGAAGCCGAGGTGGTGGAACGACACGAGTCCCATCCAACTGCAACTTGCCATTCTTCCATCAGGAGATGCCCCTTTCCTTGCTACTCTCCCTGCCGGCCCCCTCTGGAATGCAACTTACACTGAGCCTTCGACGGGTGTCCCTGATTCTGCTGACACATCGCTAACTGACTCGGGCAGCGAAGTTGTCGGTTCCCTCTCTGGGGGCAACAAGTCTTCGTCCATGTCGGCTGGGAAAATCGCGGCAGCAGTTATCGTTCCCCTTCTTTTCGTTGGCCTTTGTGTTGCCGCGTGGATCAAATGGCAACGCATGAAGGGCCAGGAGAAGAGAAAGAGGTTCAGCGAGGCCGTCGACAAGCGCATGTCTACCATCAGCCAGGACTGGAAAAGTTTGTCTGCTGCTGGCGCATCCGCCGCCATTCGCAACAGTATTGCGGTCTCAGGAACGGGCTCCGGTGGTAACAGGGCGAGTTCGTTCAGCTTCGGCGGCATTCGCCCCAGCTCGACCTACACTACTGATGGCGGACAAGCTGGCGTCGGCACCAGTTTCTATAATCAAGAGAATACTTCCGTTGGTCCAGAGATGTCCCAGTTCCGCCGACCTAACTCCTCTTTCACCTCGGCTGATCGGGTTAGTCGTGTATCATTTGCTGAAGGCACCAGGCCATCGGGTGAAGTAAGGCGCTCAACTGTTGGACAAAGCCGCGCATTCCACCATTCCTTCGTTCCCCCCATACCCACTCAGAAGGATAGTGACGAAAGATTGTCGGATGGCTCAATGAGCCCGACTCAGACTGCAGGACCCGAGAGTCTGACCATTGAAGCTATCAGAGCTCGCGTTGCTAACGGAGATATCTCGGTAAGGGCTAGTATGGATGAAGAATTAAGCCCGGCTATTAGCAGTATGTGTCTAAATTTTCTTTTTCTTTCTTGGGACAGCATACAGACTTACTCCCCGCAGTGATACGATCTATTTCGCAGGCCGATTCCGCTACGTACGTCGCCTCTGATGCCGATCCCGGAGATATCGGTTCGCAATTCATTGTCCCTCCTCCTGCTGCCAAGGTACATGATGACCACTATGGCGAGCTGCACAACGAAACCCTCTTTGATGCCACTTCTGATACGCCCAACCCCTTTTCGGCTACGAATACGATATCCTTCCCTTCGTCTCATACGCCCAGTAATGGAATGTTTAGCGGCTTCAGCAGTTCGCCTTCGAACACCATGAGTCCGGATGACATGTTACGTGCTTACGCTGAGAGAAGGAAGACGAATGGAAGCCCTACCGTTATGATTCCCGGTGGCGTCCAATACCCAAGTGCGGCTGCAGCAAGAACTTTGGTTCCTGCAGGTCCTGGCGCTATGAGTCCTTCTCGAGGTGAGTATCATATATAAAAGATTGGACAGCTACTGATTGTCTTGTAGGTGCCTATGGGGCTACGTGGGAAGACGACAACAACAGTGGCAAGACCATGTGAACATGATCTGCACAGCGCACTCTCTTTTTATCTTATTCATTCTTTTTTGGCCTGTAACTATCGTGACGCGGGTTCTGTTTCGTTCGTTGTCGGAGCCTCAAACGCTAAGCTGCTGGACAAACGACATTTGATGGCTCCGGTGAAGATGCGAGAATGAGGTTAAGGTGTTGTATATACTATATACCCATTTGATTTGTGTCTATGAGATATATTTCTTGTCTCATAGCATTTTGTTCAAATCATTCTTTTGGCACTAGCAATGTCTTGCGTCCTTATCATTATCAAGCTTTGAACCGTGATTTATAGTGTTATCGACTGATTGAACTGAGTGCGAAGGAAATTTTTGTCCAGATGGCTGTGTAGCTGACACCTGGGACCCTAACCCCAGAATACACGTCTCACTCCTTTACCAAAAACTATCCACTGTGGAGCCAGCGGATACATTAAGTACTCATATTCTTTCTAGTGAAACCGACGGCTTCATTCCTTAACTATTATATGGATGGGAGGGTGATGAGGGCATGCGGATACTGACTTGGAATATTGTGAGCCCTCCGCGTCAACATGGTCGCAGCAGCTGAATATAGCACCGTCGGTCCAACAGAATGGGATCCGAACGATACCCCAATATCACCCGTAGGCAGTCATGCTCGTTAATAGCATTCAATGACCTGTCGCATGCAGATGGAATACGCTGAAGAAGCAGGAAGCAATCTTGGACCACCTGGATGCCGACATTATATGCTTTCAAGGTGTGTTTTCTTGAAAACGGCTCCTTCATGAGCCTTACTCGCCGTAGAGATGAAAACTTCGCGTCAAAATCTCAGCAAGGACATCGCGACGCCAGAGTCCTACACGGCCTTCTTCTCATTTCCTGCAAAGAAAACTGGCTACTCGGGAGTGGCAACTTACACACGTATCATACCTCAAAAAGCCGAGGAAGGACTGACTGGGCTATTGGATATCAAACCACCGCTCGCTCACGAAGAACGAATTTCCCCTATTGCGTCTTATCCATGTCATTCGCCTGTTGAGGCTGAAGGCGACGGAGATGGCGAACTAGACCTCAAGGATTTGGACAGCGAAGGCCGTGCTCTTGTGCTTGACTTTGGCATGTTCGTGCTGATCAATGTTTACTGCCCCAACGACGGTACAGATGCAGAAGACCGTATCAAGTACAAGATGGATTTTCATCGACTATTGTCGGAACGAGTGAAGAGGCTAGTCGAATTGGAAAAACGAGAGGTTATTGTCGTTGGTGATCTCAATGCGTGCGCGTCGTTGATTGATCACTGCGAGGGAGAGATCGTGCTGAAGAAGCTCAAACTTAAAGGTGCAGGAGACGCAGCTGTTGCAGAAGAAACATTTTGGGCAGAGAAAGAGGGTAGGCATTGGCTGAGGGAGTGGCTTATTGAAGGAGGGGGGTCGATGGTCGACGTAGTGAGGCGACAATGGCCTGATAGGAAGGGTATGTTTACTTGTAAGTGTCATCGCGTCGTGTCATCCGATTTTCTCGCAGCTAACGTTCATTAGGCTGGAATACCAAGATATCTGCCCGAGCATCAAATTATGGTACGCGCATAGACTACATCCTGATCACCCCCGGTCTACTTCCATGGGTGAAAGCGGCGGACATACAGCCTCATGTCAAGGGTAGTGATCACTGCCCAGTCATGCTCGACCTTTATGACCAACTACCGGGCACGGAGGAGCCATGTCAGTTTCAACGTATGCTGGGCACAAATGCCGTTGAAGTGCCTAGACTCTCCTCCAAGTATTGGGACGAGTTTTCGGGGAAACAGCGTTCCATTGATACGTTCTTCGGGCAAAACGCACCTACACGTAAATTCGCTAGTGACACCCAACCAGCATCGCCAATATCGCTTTCGCCTTCACCAACACCCTCGTCTCAATTGTCCTCGCAGGCCTCGTCATCAAAAAGCATAGGTAAATTACAGCTGTCGCAGCCTGTGCCTGTAAAGCGTAAGCAATCTCAGCTGCAAGTTTCATCCAGCTGCAAGAAGGCGAAACTCGACCCCGAAGGACAGACAAAGCTTTCGTCATTCTTCAGCAAACCAAAGGAGCCAGCTAAACCAATGACAGTGCAAGATGATGACGATGATATGGAAGATGAAGATTACCGATTAGCAGTGAAGCTCTCACTGTCAGTCGACGCAAAGACGACCTCCTCGTCTTCATCAAAGAGCCGCAGTGCATGGAAAGCACTTCTGGCCCCTATCCAGCCACCCCACTGTCTTGTTCACAACGAACCTGCGAAGGAGTTGACTGTTACAAAGCCTGGAACCAATAAAGGAAAGAATTTTTTCATCTGTTCGCGGTATGCGTTCATATTTGATCCCATTCAAGCGCTGATTAGGCTATGCAGACCTGTTGGCCCGGGTTATGATAAAGGAAGAGTTGAACGAGATAGAGAAGACGTGGATCCGAGATATAAATGCAACTTTTTCAAATGGTCAAGTGAAGTCAAGAGAGAGGCTTTGAGGAAGGAGACCTGAGGTATATGATTTTTGAATGTACACACTTTTTCTACTGTGCCTGCATACACACTGTTTCAACGGTGGTCATTGCTGGCTTTTCGTGCGGCTTTCAATGCTGGATAAGCTAAGTATGGCCTGAGAGGGAAGGTGAATATGATGTACACCGGATACTTGTGTATACGGTGGGTTGTCTGAGGCTTGGACTTTGCGAAGGGAGGAGTGAGGTGAGAATTGCCGACTTGTAGGTGTCCCAGAGTCGGGGTACCGTTGCGAAGTCACAAGTCTGGAGCGCTTGCGAGTGAACGAGAGGGCGGAAAGAAAGGCGTAGGTGGGTGAGTCAATAAAATTGAAGAGCCTGGAGACAGTGAACGAAGGAGACTTATGGCAAAGGTCTCTTATCAATGACATGCCTCTGTTCGTACCTTATAGGATCGGCCCGAGATTCCGAAAGTACAGGAGAACACTTAATCTTCGAAGCCCTTCGTTCCGTCTGTGACTGGCGTTCACCGCAAAACTGGTGTCTCTTTCTGAACTAAGAGGTAATATTATTCGTATTCATCAGCGTCTCACTGAACTTGAAGAATTTTCTAGATTTTTGTTATCTCTTAAGCAATGAGAGCTTCCTTCTTGTCAATTCTTCTGATCATAATCACTACTCCGACGCTTTCTGTACCCCTTCTACAGCTCGAAGGATCCCAACTTGTATTGGCCCTACCCAAATCGAACCCTCGTGCAAGTCTCCCCGCAGCCAACCCTACAAGATCTTTCTGGATCGATACCCCGGATGCTAATCCTTTAGGAGGCGAGGGCAGTACAGGCGTTCTAACTCAAGATGCGGATGTTTGTATCATTGGCTCAGGAATCACCGGTGTCTCTGCCGCTTATCATCTCTCCAATAACTCTGGCCTGAAAGTGATTGTACTAGAAGCGAGGGATTTCTGTTCGTTTATCATCTTTCCGTCTTTCGGTGCTTACTGTCATTGTTATAGGCTCAGGGGCTACGGGTGCGTTTGAGCCGAGAATCTTCAACTAAGTTTCTAATCCCTCATTATGCTAGGACGTAACGGTGGTCACCTTACCCCATCCACGTTCCTGGGGTTTAGTGCAAGCACTAGTCAGTACGGGATAGAGGAGGCAGTTAGGTCGCTCCAGCTGGAGAATTATACTGCAGAAGCTATCGTAAAGATTATACACCAAGAAGGTCTAGCGGACGCGGTAGACCTTGTGCGCGGGGGGCATACTACTCTTTTCCTAACGGAGAAGGAACGAGAAGAGGCGTGGAGGGACTATGTGGAGGCACGCGCAGCGGGCTTAGAACTCGATGTAAAGTGGGCAAGTACGGAAGACATGCAGACGGTAGGAATTTTGAATCATCAATAGTCTAGGCTTGATGTGACAAAATTGCAGAAATATGGAACATCGTACCCAGCCGCACAGTTCGATGGGCACAACCTATGGCCTCTCAAGTTTGTCACACACCTGTACCGGATTGCTAAGCTACGCCTCTCAGATGGTAATTTGACGCTACATACACGAACACCTGTCACCTCTGTTAGTTCATCTTCGAATTCTACTCGACGGTGGAAAGTCAATACGCCACGAGGATCAATATCTTGCTCATATGTTGTTCATGCAACGAACGGTTATGCTAGTTATCTCCTGCCACACCTCGCAGGACCGCAAGGTATCGTACCGACACGCGGTCAGATCGTTGCCATGCGCTCCTCAGCTAGGTTGGCGCCGGGAAGCTGGGACGGGAATGAGGGATTTGAATATTGGTTTCCGCGGCCTAGAGGGGAGGGTTTAGTCATATTAGGCGGTGGTAGAGAAGTGTCAGGTCCTGGGTTTGAATATTACGAAACCGATGACGGGAGCGTCAATACGGATGTAGGAAAGGCTCTGAGAGGGTTTCTGGGGGAAGTGTTTGAGGGAGATAACCAAGAGCCGGAAATGGAATGGACTGGGATCATGGGATATACGAAGATGGGAGATCCTTTTGTAAGTCCCTGGTACTTGTTTCACCCAAAAAGTGATATCTTATATTCTTGTCAGGTTGGGCCCGTTATAGATCCTTCTCATCCTGAAGGACATGAAGGGCAGTATATCTCTGCAGGCTATACGGGACATGGAATGCCGCGAGCATATGCATGGTGGGTTCAATTTCTATAAAACTTTTGTATGACCTTGTTGAAGAGCTACTACAGTGCGGAAGCTATCGCCACGATGATTTTGACCGACATGTCAAAGAAAGAATGGATAAGGCCTGAATGGTTGCCAGAGAGATATTTGACCTGGTCGCGGGTATAGTCAAGTACGATTTCAGGCAAATTTCAGGATAGCATAGAAGTCAGTCTAGCCAATGAAGGACAGTCGTCGCTAACTCTAACCCCTCCTATGCACGTGGGTTATTACGCGTTATGGGAGAATAAAGTAGATGAAGCAGTAAGCTGTAACCTATTTGCGGAATTTTCTGATGCTGGTCGGTGTTGTCAGATATTGCTTTGATGAAAGCGGCCTAGAAGTCCAGAGCCAGAAGAGCCTAGAGAAGGAACATAATTCACGAGGTACGCAATACGTAGGAGGCCGTTGCCACGAAATGGGAAGGGACGGCCGGGATTCGTTGACGAAATTCAGTGCGTGGCCTGAGACGGAGAGCACAGAGAAATAAAGTAAGGAATGCCTTGAACGTAGTACGCATCGTGACAATCTTCAACAGCCTTTACACATGGGCTCTGGATAGCAGAATATTACAGTACGGAGGTCCCCGTTGCATTAATTAAGTTAAAATTTCAGCTGACACGTCAAAGAAAATGGACAAGGGCCAGAGAATATTTAACCTGGGCGTAGCTTTGAGTATCTGAAAAAACTCCTACCACTCCGCTGCCTCTATCGCTCCGAAAAAAAGACTCGATAGGCCTGCCAAGTGTACATAAACTTCAAGGCTTGACCATTACGAATTCGAGAAACGTGAAAATTGAATTCGCCTCCAGTGTGCTGCGCTTCGCAATAACCCGAATGCTTGAATCTATGACGAACAAGAATACCTCATTTCGTAGGCGATGGCGCAATAAGGAGTGATTGCCACTGAACAGACGGTACATGAACTTGGAATAGATTGACCATCTACAGTTTTAGAGATGACAACGGACAAGCGACCAAACTTCTTACTCATCGTAGCAGATGGTAAGTACCACCACTACGAGGAAATTTGGCACTGAACGTACTCATCATCAATACAGATCTTGGTTTCAGCGATGTAGGTGCTTTCGGATCAGAGATCAGCACTCCAAATCTTGATAAGTTGGCGGAAACAGGTATCCGTATGACTGACTGTAAGTTGCGGGTCGTTTAACAAGACTGAGAACTAAGCAATAGAAATAGTTCATACTGCCGCGGCTTGCTCGCCGACGCGCTCGATGTTGTTGTCAGGAACTGACAACCATATCGCTGGCGTAGGAGTGATGGCAGAACAGAAAAGTATAGTCGAGTCGTAGTTCTATTTGAGAAAATGGCTTATAACTAAAGGGCAGGACACGACTTGGACCGATGGAACGCACCTGGACATGAAGTACACACGATTTCATCGTTAGAGGACGTGAATTAATGCGTGTTTAGGGATACTTGAACCTGCGGGTCGCGGCGCTGCCTGAGCTTCTGCAGGAGGCCGGATATCATACTCTGATGAGCGGAAAATGGCATCTTGGTTTGAAACCAGATTTCCTGCCCAGCAAGCGAGGTTTTGACCGTTCCTTCGCATTGCTTCCTGGCGCATCCAATCACTACGGATGGGAACCGCAATTTAATGATGACATGATCAGATTCTTGGAGCAATTCCCACCACTGTACGCACGCGATGGAGAAAAGGTTGACTTGTAAGTTTTGGCAAATTTGAATTGACTGGTGGTTGACGGGAATCCAGGAAACCCAATACAGATAACAATCCCGAAGGGTTCTTTTCATCCGATTTCTACACATCAAACTTGATTCAATACATCGCGGAGAGGCCGAAAGATAAACCCTTTTTCGCGTTCTTGCCCTTTTCTGCACCACATTGGCCACTGCAGGTGGACAAAAAATACCGAGACAAATACAGGGGGGTATATGACGAAGGTCCCGAAGTTCTACGACAGAATAGACTGTCGAAGTTGAAGGAAAAGGGTCTCGTACCTAAAGATGTTGTGGCTCACGATGTGATAGCACCAGAGGAGAGCGAGTGGTCGCGATTGACCGATGAAGAACGCGCCCTCTCAGCCCGAGCCATGGAGACTTACGCCGGGGTGGTAGAAAATATGGATTGGAATATCGGCCGCATTTTGGCATACTTGGATGAGATCGGAGAGACTGATAATACCTTCGTGTTATTTCAGTCTGATAACGGAAGTGAGGGCGCATCATACGAAGCCAGGCCTGTGATGGGCAGAGATCTCATGGCCGTCATAAACAAATATTATGACAATTCACTGGATAATATTGGCGAGCATAATTCGTTTGTATGGTACGGGCCGAGATGGGCTCAGGCATCGACAGGTGAGTGACCTATTCTTCATACAATGCCTACTGACATCGTGAAAGCTCCTAGCAGATTATACAAGATGTACAGCACAGAAGGCGGTATTAGGGTGCCACTAATACTTAGCTATCCGCCTTGGACCAAGTCCGAATCCGTTGGCGGGAAGATCGTGGATGCCTTTGCAACTGTTATGGATGTGACTCCCACAATCCTCGAGCTTGCCAACGTTCATCATCCAGGTACAGGGAAACTCTTTAGGGGAAGGAAAGTAGAAGAACTGCGGGGGAAGTCGTGGGTTGAATACTTCAGCCATATCAGAGATGACCCAAAAGCTATTCATGGCCCCAAAGCTATTCATGGCCCCGAAGATCCTGCGGTAGGCTGGGAATTGTTCGGGCGCGCAGCACTTCGACATGGTAAGTGGAAGATCCTTTTCATGCCGGACTGGTCACATGGGACCGGGAGATGGGAGCTGTACGACCTTAGCACGGATGGCGGAGAGACCAAAGACCTGTCGCGAGAGCAACCCGAAAAACTACAGGAGCTCCTGATTCTTTGGGACAACTATGTCAGGGAAACCGGAGTCGTGTGGGGAAGCGCATTAGGTCCGCTACCAGTCGAGACAGATACAGATCACAAAGACGTTATTGGAGGTGATCCTATAGAAGATACTCGAGCCTGGATGCCTGGACGTGGTCGAAGCACCCTTGGGCCGACCATCTAGCTGTCATTGTACCCAGACTGCTGGCAACAAAGATACATTTTCGTGACTGTACCCAAATTGCTGGCAATACAGATACATTTTCGTGCCTTCACAAGTTTTGAGTGGAGACGGCAATCTCCGAGCAACACCAAATTTGTGCGTTCTACCTTTTACTCTTGCCCTTGATGTCCTTACGATGCTGTCGACGTATTGCCGCCTGATAACGCTAGCTTTCCCTCTATTTTATGCTCAAGTGTCTGTTTCTCTAAGCGTAGCTGCCAGCACTTTAGAGTTCTCCCAGTATCATGACTTCCCCCTTCCATCACCCGAAGCACAGACTCTTACGGCTTCCCCTCTGCTTTTATCGAATATCGGTCCGACATTAAGCCTCAAAGCTCAGCCGACGGTTGTTTATCGACCGAATTCTGCGGAAGCGATCCACAGGGCACGGATGCGTTCCATGCGATACAGTGAAAGCGAGAGAGTAGAATGGATCCCCGTCGAGGTCCTTGGGCCTGACGTCCAAGACATTCACACCCTTGCCCAGCTAGCCCGCATGAGCGGTAATGCCTATGCTCTTCCTGGAAAGAAGAACTGGTACGATCTTGATGGCCCGTGGAATACTGTGAGCAGCCATACCCTTGTATTCGTCCATATTGTCATGCTGAAACTATGTTTAGAGTTTTCCTTTTGGATGGGAGGATCCTGCGGACGGGTTTCGGGGCCATGTTTTTATATCTTCCGATGACTCCACCATCATCTTGTCCATCAAGGGAACTACAGTACAAGGGCCCTCATCGAAGAAGGATAAATTCAATGACAACCTGTATGCTTTCACAGGTACATATCTGTGCAAGTCGCTGATAGTTGTCTTGTATCAGGCTGTTCTCGTGCTGTTGTGCTCGGGTAGATGTCTCATGGGTATTTCGTACAGTCTGCGACTGCTACGCGAACCACTGGCGATGTGATAATACATGCCTTTCAGAAGCACTAATCCAGGACAGCTTATTCTATTCCGTTGGCGTCGTAAGTGTCACTACTACATACGCTGTATGCTTCTGGCGTTAACAAGGGTTGCGCAGAATCTTGTAGAAGATCTACTGATCCTTTATCCCAAAGCCAACATATGGCTTGTAGGACATTCACTGGGGGGTGCTTTAGCCAGTCTTTTAGGCTCCACGTTTGGTCTACCGGCTGTTGCCTTTGAATCTCCCGGTGAACGACTAGCCGCTAAACGCTTACATCTACCTCTGCCACCACCTCTTAATGGGTCGGCTTCTCCGGTTCCGATAACACACGTATATCACACCGGTGATCCCATTCCTCAGGGAACATGCACCGGCTTTGGTTCCCCTTGTACTCAGGCTGGCTACGCCCTTGAAACTAGATGTCATCTTGGAAAGAGTATTGTATTCGATACTGTGAATGTACTAGGGTGGAAAGTAGACGTTAGGAAGCATGTCATTAAGGACGTCATCACCAAAGTCCTGGAAGCGGATGTTATTGACTGGGAAGACGGGCGGAATGTTCCTTTGCCTAGAGAGGAAGAAGACTGCGTGGTGAGTGATCACGATACTTACTTTGGCTCTTGCTTGACATGGTATCAGGACTGTTTCAAATGGGAGTTTGGCTACTATGAGAGTGATCGGTAACTATACGTGATTCTAAGCAACTAAGAATTCTATTTGTATTCTATGGTATGTTTTTGCCTGTACTTGTACTATACCCTTAGAAATATCTATAACACTGCATCCTGGAATGTAGACCGAAATTAGAATTCTGTTCCTCCAACAAGTTTGCCTTGAATGAACACCCTCGCAATGTTTCTGTCGTCTCCGCAGAAAAGCAATCTCTCCAACATGCCCTCAAGGGCCGCCTTCCCTTTCTCTTCCTCTCCTGTGCCCCAAATACAAGGGTTGCCACCCTTGTCAGAAACATTAACGATCAACGCGTCAAACGATTTTCCCGGAGCAAACGACCCAACACGTTCCTTTAGATCACAGACTTCAGCTCCACCGAGCGTCGCGAGATACAACAGTGTCGCGACGGAAAGCTGTCGATCACTGAAGTTCCCTGACGTCGGCTTCGATCCCTTTGCCTGCATGGCGACCACTTTAGCGGCGATACTGGCGGTTTGTACGCTGTTGAGGATGGATGGGGAGTATCCGCCTGAAACGTCGGTACCGAGGCCGACCTACAGAAGAAGAGATCGAGTAACCATTCACTCCCAAGAGGACAAGACACAGACCTTTATGCCTCTGTCCAAGAATTCTCCGACTGGCGCGACACCGCTACTCAAATTGAAATTGCTGGTTGGACAGTGACTGATCCCCGCTCCACGCTGTGCAATGAGGTCCATCTCATGGGGTTCAAGATGTACGGCGTGCGCCAAGATGGTGTTGGAGCGCAACAATCCGAAGGAGTCATAAACATGCGCATAAGAAGGACATTCAGGAAATAATTCTTTGGTTAATTCGATTTCAGATTCATTTTCTGATATATGTGTCTGTATTCTTAGGCTAGAATCTGACAACACGAGTTTGCCGAGAGATGCGAGCAGAGGAGGACTACACGATATTGCAAATCGCGGCGTCAGAATTGGTTGCACGAGAGGTTCCTCTGTGTGGTTAGAATCCAGGGACCGAATATGGGAAATAAGCGATTCCGTCGCGTCGATAGAGGCCTCGGCAGATGGTTCTACGTAGTAGTCGGGACAGTTTCTGTCCATGTTGCATTTCTGAAGATAAGAACATGGTCACCCACGTGGATATCTGCCGTAAACACTTGAACCTACCCCCACGAACGCACGCTGGCCTGTGAATGAAACCGCTTCATCACAATCACCGAAAGAAGTGGAAAAGAAAAGAGCGCACCATAAGATTTGATTATATCTGCCAGAAGCTTCGTAGCTTCAAGGTGCAATGTTCCGTAGTAACAACAAGTCGTAGTCTGACACCGAAATGAATGTTTCTCAATGATTACCAAGTGAAAGCGGAATAAAACATACTCCATTATTAATGATTCGACGCACAACCGAGGAGTAAGTACGTCGTGCGAAGTCAAGGTCCGCGAATTTCGTCTCCGTAGGAAAGGTGACGATGGAAAGCCAGTCTAGCAGTTCATATTGCTGTCCGCTAACAGATGTCAGTAAACGCAAACCAAGGCGACGCGCCCATGTTTACCTGCCAATGTTTCGAAACTGAGGTGCATGCTACAAACCGAATTGAGATGATAGATCGTCATGCAGACGAAATCACATACAGTATGTGTATCGATAAAGCCGGGCATGATAAATTCTGTTTCCTTCAAAGGAATGACAACGTTATCAAGGCAGCCCATACGACCCATCGTTTCGCGAACGAGGGCGTCTTCCACGTCTTCAACTAGCCATTCCACGCATCCGGTGGCTCCGACGGCAAGGAGACATCGTGGCAGCGCCTGGAACGACGTCAGATTGACAGGGTTAACAACAGAGCCGTAGTAGATGGTGGTAGACATTCAATCTAGAGCAGACACGGCAGCGGAGGGAACTTTCCTTTCTCGTCAAACTAACCCTTCTCTTTTTGACTTTCATCACCCATTCAACTTTTTTTCATCGCAATGGAATTAGGAACGAAATTTCCGGCAAGGCTAGAACCATTTCTGCTAATAGCAAAGTCGGTGAAAGGTGCAGCGGCGGCCAAACTCGTCCAAGACGCCACTTCTGCTCCGGGCGTCTTTGTGTTTGCTGAATTACTGGACCTGCCCAATATTCTAGAGGTAGCGTCTTTGCGATATAGTCTTCTGCACAAAAGACTGACTTCTAGTTCAGCTGGGGAAGAGCGAGCAGCATGCGAAGTTCCTGGGGCTATTGCAGTTATTCGCATACAAAACGTACCAAGATTATATTCGTGCGCAAACCAATAACTCAAGGAGCTCGGCTAACTGTTAATATCAGAACATACGGACGAGCTTCCACCTCTGAATCAAGCCCAGATCATCAAGCTGAAACACCTCTCAATCGTGTCAATGGCAACAGAAAAACGTGTATGTCATATATTTTGGCCTCGGACCGACATCCAACCGTCAAACTAGATTCTGCCCTACTCTGAACTTCTCAAAGCCCTCAGTATGCCAACCGTACGGGAACTCGAAGACCTGATCATCGACGCCATCTACCTTGATATTCTGCGAGGGAAGCTGGATCAGAAGGAAGGACAACTTGAAGTGGAATACACGATGGGCAGAGATCTCGAGCCAGGAAAGCTAGAATCTGTTTTGGCTGCTCTGCGTGATTGGTGAGCCAATACTTGTAAGCCATTCCACCTTTTAATATCAAAATAACAGGGCTTCTGCAACATCTTCCGTACTTTCCACTCTGGATAGCAAGATTGCGCAGATATCTTCGGAGACAACCGCAGCAAAGAAGCGTCAAGATGAGTATGATCTGGCCTTGCAGAGCAACGTCAAAGAAGTGTCAGAGAAGAATGCATCCACTAAAGGTACTGGCAGCAGCAGCAGGCGCACGCTAATGGAAAGTAATATGAGGATGGATGTAGATGCGCCACTTTATGAGCCAACAGAGAGCAAGGGCAAGAACCGCAAGTAAGTCCGACGAAGCTTCCTACCGGTCTGTGAAGCCCATCGACTGATCTTCACCGCAGAGCGCCACAGGAGATACCTAAGCCTCTAAGGAAACGCAATCGCTTTTGATTCAGTCCATTATTCACTTCATCATAATCCTCATTCAAACACACAGCCATTGTATCATGCATATCAATCAATCATCGTTCCCTTTGTCTCAACCCGCTTCTCGGGCATAAAACGACAAAGTCTCTCGCACGTACTCGTCCTCTGGCAACGGCTAACCATCAATCACATCCCAGTCATTTCTATTGCGCTTTTAGCATGTACTGTGTATCACCGATCCGAAACTTTCACGGCAGTTTATTCTAAGCCTACGACTAACTATGAAATCGCCATCTCATCCTTGCAATCGCGATCTATTCGTCTCCCTTCCAAGTCCGACGCAGCCGATTTGTATGAGGGCGGATTTGTCCTTGCTGCCCGCTGTTTCACTGAATTGGCTTCATTAGTGCCTGTCAATTTGTAATTTTTCTACTGTGGTGAATCTGATACAACCTGATAGAACTACACTAACTTACTGGTCTTCACAACGAGCTAATTATGTGCATTATAGACTGCGATTTAAACTGCACGATTCCGCGTAACTGAATGGCATGGGCCGGTCACTGTGTCCCCACAGGATGGCAAAGTAATCATTCCCAGATCCTATTCCAGGGATGATATACTGTTACGACCATCGCGGCTTCTCAAGGTGCCATTCTCACATGGAAGCCTTGAGAACAGACAGCTATTTCCAAGCTTCGCAGAGGACCAGCCCTTCAAAATTATCAAGCGACGACAGGCAAACTGCGGATACATATATTTTCCGATGAATGTCCTGTCCCCGCGGGTTGACGAATGAATGACGACCTCAATGTATGGTGATGCTTTGTACGTCAAGTTCACAGCAACGTATATCGTCATCAAATATTTCTGAACAGAAATGTTGTCATTGCTGTGCGCGGGCTCTCCATTCGAGCATTGATTTCATGTGGGAGAATGTCAGGGATGTCAGGGTTTTTTGTACTCTCCAGGGCTAATACCCGTTCATCAGCACCCTCCGCGTAGGATGCCCTAAGCCCGACCTATCATGACCACGTAGGCACGGACGCAGTAATTGACATGAGAAAGAAATGTTGTGAGCCTCGTGTGTTTCAGCGATGAGTATTAATTGACCATCATCATATGTCGTATTCTTAGGGATCTAGGTCTGTCCCTCCTTTCATAATGTGCTCATCTTTACTGACCGGTGCTATAAGATCAGTAGACCCAGGTGCTGAGCCAAGAGCTAGCTGTTCGCTGAGTGCCAAATACCGACAGATTTAATTGCTCAGGTTACATATTTCGTATGTAAAAATGAAAATTTTTGCCCGCTTCCGGGGATCGTTATAAGATTTGCAGTAGGATCTTCCTTCTTCGTACCGCGCATCCTGAAAGGACGTACAGCGATTGTCCTCGATTGTCAGACGCTGCGCTATGCTGGTGTCTGTCACAACTTATTACACGGAAACTTGTGATATCATGTGAGAACATATCACGCGTTGAACTCATAGGCTCCATTCTTCCTGTGAAATGATAGGGATCTCGCCGAAGCCTCCGATGCCTTTTTTTTCTCTTGTCTTTGAAAGGCTTGCAGCTGGGTGACTGGGTGAGCAGTCATTAATTAAGGCGGTGGCATTCTCCTTCGTCCACCCTCCGCCCGTGTTTACATACATGATGACCACTACTGTAGAGTAATTAAGACGCGCACTATCGCGCGACCAGGCAAACTGAAGGCTTCGCTTCGGTGGATGTTGACTAGCTGATTTTGATTATATGCGTCTCTGCTGGCATCCCCGGCAAGGTTGAGTAGCGCATGCAGAGAAGTGCATCGTGGTGATGTGTGTGATGGGGGCGATGCCGTGCTGATAGCCATTGTATTTGTTATGTCAAAAACGCGAGACGCGACGCGTCTTTACGCGTTTTTTTGGGTGTTAAGACGTTCTAATGGCTTTCTAGAGGGCATAAAGCAGAAAATGGTTAGTCAAGAGAATGGATGGAGGTGAGGGAAGGTACTGTTTCCCGGAGTGCCGGTGATCCGTGGATTGCGAATACCGCCACGAGTGACCCTTGCCCTGAAGTTTTTTTTTCCAGACGGGGAGCGATTCTTCAGTTTATCCCGTCTGCGCCGAAGAATGGATAGAGGAGGCAGGAATTTTATATCGCTGGATACTCTCCGGACATTTTGGCGTTTTGAGTGGACGAGGCGACCTAAATTGGAACAAGGCTGGACCTTGAAGAGGATAGGCTTGTAGCAGATATAATAACTGCGGGAATGGCAGACGGTCGTCAGGGTCTGGTAGATACTAGATAACTGGCGGGTAATAGACCGGGTGCCAAGTTGCCCAGTTGCCAACGGTGCGGCACAGCAGGATCAGTTTCCACTCGGTCTCTTTCACAGAGTCACATCGGATTGACTTTGGCATTTGAGGCGCTTACTTCATCCCACAATTCCCTGAATTATTATTTTTCTCTTTTATTTCGGTATATAAGCCGAAACCCGACTTTTCACCTGTCCTCGACTTTCCCCTTTTTCAGGACTGCACTGCGCTAGGCGCCTGCGACCTGGTCCACCAACGTCCCCCAATGCCTTCTCTTCGTCGTACCTTTTCCTCGCCGGCCGTTCGTTCTTCACCCTATCCCTCTCTCTCTGAGCATGCTGGTCCCAGCAGTCGCCTCCATGGTGGAAGTCACAGGCGCTCGTCTGGCTCAGAAACGATTGGCAGGAGAGTCTTGGCGGACATTGAGTGGTGGAGAGTCGTGGATGGCCAGTGCGACCTAGATGCTGACCAGGAGTCGGAGGACGTCAACCGTGACCAAGAGCCCGACCAGCTCCCGGGTTCCGTCCGAAATACTACTGGCAACCCTACGACGGGCGCTGAGCCTCCTCGATACACTGAGGTTGAGCGCTCATATGTCCCGTCGTCGTGGAGCCCGTTCCTAGGCTCGCCAGAGGTAAGATTATTTTTTTTTTTCTTCTTGTCATACGCGATCTTGATCGCATATATGTCAGGTGTCTTCTGTTTTCTCCGACCTGGCCCCCTTGTCTGTCGCGCCAGAAACTCCCCGTCGCCGCCGTCACGGGCAAGAGTCGTCGTCGTCGTCCTTGGAGTCTACGCCTGAGTTGCCTGAAACATCCGTGGAGGGTCTGCGTCTGGACCTTGAATATCTCGATCTTGGCGCCCATGATGCTGATCTGCCTCCGTACCCGATGACGAGACGGGCACGCAATGCCAACCTCCCCCCGTATCTTACCGTCCGTTCCCATTCATTCGCGGACTTCCTTTCCCTCCACAGCGACTCTGCAGCTCAATACGCCGACTTTGCAGTTTCCCCACTGTCTTCCCACTCGCCCAATTTCTTCAACTAGTCTTCCAAAGGGGGCAGGGCCGTGGTCTAGCATTCAAATCATTATCTATCTTTTCAAAAGTCTTCCATCTTTATTCACTCCAATCTCGCGAATCACCATCTTCACTGTTTTTCTTGCATCTCCCTCATGTCGTACATTTTCATCACCGCATTGCACTGCATTTTTTTCTCTTCACATTTCATTAGCATCGTTGCACGACACGACTTTTTACGATTTTGGAAGCTATCCATAACTAGGTCAATAGCCACCTCGCATTGTTCTGCTTGTCTTTATCGTTCTTATTCACGGACAGCCGTCTATCCAGGCCAATCTATTCACGTTTTCTCACCTTCGCCATATAAATTTGTTTTTGTTTTTGTTTTTTTCAAAATTCACGTAGCAGTGACTTTTTCTCCGTAATCATTGTAACGATTAGACTCCATGCATCTGTCTTCCTTTCACATTTCCATTTTTGTTGTGTTTGTGAATACCTCTCTTGATGACCCCCTCTCGATGATTATGACCCGTGACGATAGCTTGTGTTTCTCTTGTAATAAAAGAAACCTTGTGTGTAAAAATGGCTTCTTCCATTGAGATCAAAAATCTACAATCCAAACTCAAATCCAAATCCAAATCCAAATGACCATCCTATGGTCATCCCGGAGAAAACTCACGCAACCACCAATAAAATCGGAACCCTCCAAGTTTGATCAGCTGCGGCCTCTGAGTGACGCGCCAGTCGAAAAAGAACTCTTTCATCAAGCCCGATGATAGGAAAAGGGACGCCCAATGCCAGCAACCTGATGGTCTGATGCAAGGAACCATCCCAACGCAACAATCTGGACCAACAGTTATTCAACGACATCCAGATGACAAGCCCCACTAGCTAGAAATGAGAGGGGATTCCTTGCGGTGGCGGATCGCGATCCAAACGAGGGTTCGGAAAAACCCAAGGTAGCGCGGTTATCGTTTCATGCCGGCTATGGTCTCGGGACCTGAGACTTTGCTCCAAGGAGACGGCGCAATGGGTCCGTATCGTCGCTTGATATCCGACGGAGGGGGTCGCTGGACCTGTTTAGGCGGCTGAGCTACTGCTGGCCTAGCAGCTGGTTGGCCTTGCCGCGCCTTCCAGGCGTTCCGTATCGCATTGGAACGGGCTAAAAGCTTCGAAAAGGCTCAGTAAATGTATAGTAGGCCCATAATGACTGTCTTACAGCGTCTTTTTCCACCCCATCAGCTATACTCTGTATGATGTTCTCGACGACGCTCCGATGATTACCATTTGGCTTGTCATCTCTAAATCTCATCATGCGCCAATGTGATACTGCGGGATCCCAGTGAACTTCGATGATGCGATCGTCATATTGTTCGCCTGACGACTTCATCCTACACGACAGTGGTCATTAAAGCATAATGAAATAAAAATTAGATCACTTACTGCTCCCATTCTTCATCATCGACATACATATCATCGTACAGTTCATACTTTGCCACTCCGTGTTCATCGCCGCACCAGACTTGTAGTAAAAATACCGGTTTGGCATGAAAGTCCGGCACGGTAGGATTTGACGCCAGAGGTGGGAAGCGAAGAACTAACTTAAAGTCGATAGAGTTCTCCGAGGAGGGTTTCCATTTCATTCTGACGGAGAGGATTAAGTGACAGCTTGTATGTCGAAGGAAGATGGTCACTCACATGTTCGGGTCTGTCCCAGATGAATATGGACTGTTGACGCAGGTATAAATGAGGCCATCATTCCCATGTTGCAGGGCTGGGATGTCGACGTTGAAGACCTGCTCTACGTTGTAGGATGACTTTATCTGCTTGACCTTGATACTGGTTTTTGGCATCAGCACGCCATGGACAAGGATTGGAGTTCACCCAACATACTCGAAAGGCTGCGTATTCGCCATGTGTGGATGATCTCGCATCATCCTTGCGTACGGTTTTAGAAACCATTCGTTGAGCCTCTGCAGAGTCGATCAGTCTAGCGGTACTTTTGAAATGCGACAGACGCACCCCATAACGCTTGTCCAAAGGTCTTGACATAACATTTTGATCGTCAACAACGAGGCAGTCAAAGGCAAGGAATCGCAGTGTCTCCTACAATCAGAGGTCGGAAACGAAATTGGCGGGATCTACGAGGCTTACGTGTTTGGTCCTCGGGTCGACGTCAATGACAAGTTCGCCATCGATGATGGTACTTCGCAGTGGGAACATGGGATTCTCGTGGTGAGGGAAATATAGTCCTGTTAATGCGCGATAAGTGTTGTGGCGGTCAATCTGAGCTACACGTCAGTTGAAAACCGGGTACGCAAATACTCGACGACGCACGAGGTAGATCATCTGGTCCTTAGTGTTGTTGTTGGTGAAAACAAAGAGCAAAACGCGGATTCCATCCGACTTTTCGCAGACCCAGAAACTGTGCTGGGATGAGATAATGGAATGTCCTTGAGCAAAGGAAACGCACTCTTGTTGCTCCAACTTGTCGAGATCATTGGTGCCAAAACTTACTGGCTGGCCCCCTGGAAACCTGAAAGAAGGTGCGATGAGCGCTGCCGGATAGATGGACCCACTGGCACCCACCTGTGGTGGTCGATATTACAGAGCCGCGCAACGTTCGATTTGAGCCAGTTTTCTTGGTCAGGAGGCACAAGCGTGCCAGGGAGGTCGGGAACAGTAGGCATCCAATTGGCCCCCGACAATCGCTGGTTTGAACAGAGTTGCACTCACAGCACTTATGTAAGCACACATCACTGCCACTGATGAATTGAAGAAAAAAAAGAGACATATGTTTTTGAAAAGAAAATACAGTTCGACGACAACAACACAGTATGCAAATCTACTACAAGGATACAAGGTCAATCCATCATCGGTCCTCAGCCCATTCCTGCAAAAAAAAAATGGGGTCAGTTATCAGTACAGACGACACGAGAAAGGAACATACGTTCTCCTTCTTGATTTGAGCCTGGATAGGGGCGATGTCAGAGCAGCGGCCACGTGAAACATGACAACACTCACTTCCTCTTCCGGTGTAAAGTCGTTGACAATGTTGAACAATTTGCGGATTTCCTCCGGGGTCTTGCCCTTGATCATGTTGGCCACCGTCTTGCATCCGACATCACTGAGCGGTCTATGAGAAACGCACAGAAAAGGATGAAAAGGAGACTTACAGTAAAGATTTGATGTCGAGGTAATTTGCCGCAAGGATGATTTCGAACAACATTTCCTGGTCCACAGTGATGAATTTCTGATCCCATTCGCTGATGTCGGTCGTGCGCTTGCGTGTGTCGTCTTGACTTTGGTCGGCGTCGGCAGCAGGAAGGGGCTCGCCCCGATGATGTTCACAATATTCAAGTACCTAAAGCGTGGGCCACTCAGCAACGTCGATTGGACAAGCACGAGAAAAGGCGAGCGCACCTTCTTCAAAACGCTCGATGAAACATTGGGCAGTGGAATGGGCTGGTCTGATTCACCGACATCTACACGTGCAGATGAGCCACAGCAAAGCAGATGAAAAGCACAAAGCAGACCTTCAAGCATGTTCTTGATGAGCACGCTGCGCTCGACGATGTCCTTCTCTGTGGAGAAAGATTCGTTATCTGAGGTGACGAGGTGGACCATTTCAAAGTAGAGGAGGCGAGGAAGTATATGCTGCTGAGATGGTGGTAGAAGACCGGTTAAATAGTCGGTGACAACCCCGTGACAGTGTCTTGTGACATTCCATATCCGGACGTTGCCGACTCAAAAGTCTGAGGTAAGGTGTGAGGTGAGAGGTGCGTGCCACTCGATCCCGGGTAATGTCTATGTATTTTCTGGCGAGGTCGAGGTCCATTGACCTTGTAAATAGCCCCTTTGCTAATTTCGGTGCGCTTACCTTTCTTCTTCTTTTATCTTGCTTATCCGTACAATAGGCCTTGGGGCTGTCCGAACGGCAACTAAACGTGCTGGAGGAACAATATCCAACCATGGTGGCTCTCCAGGAAAGCGGCTAGGCGTTAAAAAGTTTTCAGGTTTGTCTTGCGTGGACCATTCAAGTCGCGTTGTCTTCATTTCTTTGCAGATCAGTATGTTATTCCGGGGAATATCATTGTTAGACAACGAGGAACGCTTTTCCATCCAGGGCCTAATGCAAGTCCCACTGCCCACTGCTATCTAAGTGTACTGACCCTGCCACAGGTCGGAATGGGCCGCGACCACACAATCTTCGCCTCAATACCAGGCTACGTACGCTTCTACAAGGAAAAACATATGCTTGGAGAACGCAGATACGTTGGAGTTGTTCAGACACGGGGCGAGAAGCTACCCCGTAACGAAGAGGAGTTTGGCCGGGATCGGTACTTTGGTCTGAAGAATCTTCGTGCACCAATACCACTGTGACACGTTTTTCCTGAGTGAATTCCAAGTTGTCTTTGTTTTGTTGGCTTTTCCCATCAGTTCTTCAAACTTCACGCCACCGTTCTATCTTTAGCGTCACTCCCACACTCAGACATGTCTTTCAAACTTACGATTGCCCCCGTTAAGCCTGCGGGTATGACTTTGTGATCCTTTTATCTTTATCGTGGCATTCACTTTTCCGTCTAGACATTCCTGCTCAACCAGTAATCCTCTCCGCAGGAGAATCCCTCCTCAAATCAACTTCGTCCTGGAAACCAGGCAAAACCTACCATAAAACGGTCAAAACCTACTCGCGGGGCAAGGAAACGGGCGACGGGGCTCCATGGCATTGCCGCGTCAGCGAACACCCCCCCGCCGAAGCTACGTTTGACCAGATGTGGAGCAAGCTAGGCACGGACAAGGCTGTGAACGAGAAAGAGTAAGCATACCGGCGATCAAGTTCGTGCTGTGTAATCGTCCCCCGCGCTGCAGATACGTCTCAGATATCAACAAGGTTGCCAAAGTCAAAGACATCTCCCCCACGCAATCGATCTGGACCTTGTATTACAAGTTTACGCCGCCCATCCAGCCACGCGTGTTTACTGTCCTTCAAGTCGTGCACTTGACTGAGACTTCGCCCCGTACTGGGTTCATCGTTTTGCTGACTATACTCATAATATTCCTGTTTTCTTACGTATCTTTAGGACGGTTGTTTCTATTCCGATTGATCTATCATCGCCGGAAGATGCTGACCTTGCGAAGCTGGAAGAAAAAGGTGTCAAGGGTCGGTATGTCAGCGTGGAACAGTTGATCGAGCTGGAAAATGGGAACACAGAGTGGCGCATGGCAACTTCGAGCACACCTGGAGGCCTCATACCCTCTTTCTTGGCAGAGGCTACGATGAATAGTACAATTGCTGAGGTTCCACCTTCCTTTTACTTTCGGAATGTGCACTAAAGGTAGTTTTCAGGATGTGCCTCATTTCATGAAATGGCTTCATAGTTTGCCCTCGGAATCCAAATGAACTCGATTAACATTCTGTCCCATTCGGTGATTTGCCTCGATCGTCATATTATCAGACCTAGCTAGCCCTTGACTTCAATATCTTTTATGCTCATCACTTTGTCTCGTTCCAAAGTATATTTACACACCCACTTTTTGGAACGAGTGAGAGTCATACCGCTGGCTGGGAAGTATGGATGGTTCGTCCCACCTTGTGCCTTCCTCACGGAGACTATACGTGTTTTCTTGATCAGAGGTCCTGGTTGTCATGTTACAGCCCTTCCTCTTACGACCAGCGCCTCCTCCGCCAGCATGGCCTCTCCGGCCCTATATAAACCTGTAAAAGGCGTTCCTCCGCTCCCCACCTTGCCGCCCACCTTCTACCGTCGGGCCGCATATCCTGAAGGGAATGCCACAAGTGTCGCCTCATGGTTGTCAATGAGACGTAAGTACCAGCAGTCTGTTGTTGATGTTAACTTCTATACCCAGATCAGTTCTGCTGCTACTAACGACTATAAATAACATGTCGACATAGCGGTACAAGAAATCCACATAACTTGGTTATTCCCCACGAGATTGTACGCGACACACCGCAACATGCATGACGTATACAATCATGACGCCGTCTTATTTCTCTGACAAGGTCACCCCTTCTTGTCTTCGTCGCCGCGCCTTGGACTCCTTCAAACGGAACCTCCCTGACGACGGAGAGAAAGCCTACCAGAGGATACTGGTCCGTGCCGACCTTGGAACTATTTTACACAAACGCGATCAAAACGCTCATATAATCAATGCCGTTGAACAGTCAACTTTCATGTCTTCAGGTCGAGATGTCAACGCACCTATTGATCTCTTCTTTGCCGGTACCCAAAAGCTATACTAGTTGCGGACAAGGAGGCCGAAGTATGCTCCTCTCCCACTTGTTGATGTTTTGCCAACCTAATTCCAGCTGAATAAATGACTGGGTCAAGAATATGAACGAATCATGAACGCTTCCGAAGAAGAAGCAGATACCATTCTCATCGACATCGATAAATGCAAGGAACTCTCAAGGACGTAAAGAAACAATACAAAAGTGCTTGGCAACGAGAATACCTCAGCGTAGTCAACAAGAGCGAGTCGAATTTTTTGATAACGCGTCAAAGCGCGAGCTTCTGGGAGAGGTCAGTGCCCTATGCTAGATCCCATTTTTTATTAACAATTCCTCAAGGCGCCTTGGAAAGCTGTACCAATGAAGCTAAGACAGGCAACTTCAACGATGGCAAATACCCTGCCCTTTGCCATTGACATGCCCATCAACGACCCTCTCAAGGCGGTTGTATCCGACTGCTCCGGTGATGTCTGACCTATCAGTCAACGAACACGTAATGACTGTCGATAAGCTATTGACCTTACCTGACCATTCCCCCTCTGCTATCTACAAGAGTCTCCTACAACAGACAACAAATTTCTTGTTTGTAAAACCGTGTTGACGTGGGCGCATCACAATTTTAAGAGTCCAGACTCAACTCGCCATTTTCTCCCTTAGCGCGGCGCGGCACACAGGCCATGGCCCCCGTGCCCATATTCACAAGTGCCTCATGAATCACTATCAGAATAATGCCAACGCTCTTGCCGACGAGCTGTACATTGAAAGTAAGTGTGCGTGGCAAGGCTGTCTTCACTCGTCGACAGTCTGGCGGCCATGTCGAGACTTTATTATCCACATCACCACCAAGCATCTATACTCGTGCAGCACAGATGGCAGGCAGCGACAGTGTCGGTGGCAACCTGACGATGTTCCTTGTGATCTTGGAAGCCAACGGGGACTGGATCTGTCATTTCGCACGAGATCACGACATCAACATCCAGATGGATATCAACGTTGACTATTGCGTCTTTCAGTCTAGCTGGTTTATGGATGAAGTCGGAGACCGCTCCGAATGGGAACACCATTGCATCACACATTATGATCAGCATTACGCTCCCTTTGAAACACTCGTCAGCACCGTACTGCCCCTCGAGCCTTCTGGCATTGTCTACATCGGCGAGACAGTCGTGTAAACACCGGGCAGTCGCGGTGACTTCGAGCAAGCGCAACCCGAATTTCATGGACATGTCGTCAAGGATGTCGCTCTGTCTCTGATGATATGCCCCTTCTGTGTCCTTGACTGCAGCTTGCCAGTTGGCGAGCGGATGGGACAGTTAGTTGCGCCTCTACTACTTTTATTTTTCTCTAGCTAATTTAAACACAGATGGATTTCACATGATCTCTTCGTTCCGCACCTTGTCCTTCACATTGACGACATTGACGATGGGAAGTTCTGTCCTGTCCCATCCTGTGGCTCGACCGTCTTTTCAAAGTACGGAATATAATGGCACTTGATCACATTTCACCGCGTCCCAACGGCCCGTGCCACCAACCACCAGAACGAACAGCAACTCTATCTCCCCATCAAGGACGGAGATAGATACAAAACTGAATCCAAGCGCAAGTGAAAAACCATTGCCAACGTCCCGCCAAAAAAGCAAAAGCCAACGATACACCAAAGAGGTGGTGGTGCTGCCGCGGATGCAAGAACAACGTTAGTAACCTTGAGACCCACTTTAATGGTGTCGGGCGCAAGTACAAGTGTCGGAAGGTGCATATCAAGAAGTATATGGTGCCCTCGTCGGAGACGTCCTTTGTTTCACGTTCTCACAGGTTAAGTTCTTCGGCTCCATTTGGACGTCATTTAAACACCTCGTTTTCCAGGGTTTCAACTTGGGCAAAGACAGACAAACTATTCTACTGCGTCAGCTGTAGGATCAAATTTACTGAAGAAGGTATCGTCGAGCACATGGATGGAAAATGTGAAAAGAAATCAAAGTCCATTCGGGTTTGGGTGGCAGGGAGCGTAGAATAGAAGAGTTCCAGTTTGAAAAGTGAGATGGGTGTTGTCGGCGCTATGGTGTAGAGGTAGCACATGGGATTTTGATGTTATGGATTCCCATAACCCAGGTTCGAACCCTGGTAGTGCCTTCTTTTTTGCCAAACACAATGCGGTATCATTAATATCATATTATTGATCAATGCCGGTTGTTCCTCGTAAATTTACAATAACATGCCGAGCAGGTGCAGGTGCAAGTTGGGCAGTTTCCCGGTAGTCGTCAGTTTACTAGAACAGGATTGGGGACAACTTTATCGTCGACACCGCTACTAGGTATGTCGCAGCAATAGAGTAGTATCTGTGAACGAATATCACAAGCTGCAATCCAAGCGTAGACCGCGGTCAAGACAGTCGAATCCTACAAATGTAGCATTCCCCATAGTGACGGCGCCGCGATAACCTCATGCAACGAAACTTGCCGTATCGCTAGTACGGTATCCCAGTATTTCATCAAGGGCCAGCGTCGAGGCCAAATCCTTCTAGTGCGTTATCGTGAATGAGCCTGGGTACGAAGTCACGCTTTGTCCAGCTCTCTTCCTTGGGAACGAAACCTTGAGGACAGATAGATATCGTCGGTGCAACGAATAAGCCTGGCCCTTGTTCGCCTCTGCAGCAGGCACCCGAGTGCAAGTGATATAGCTGGAAGCTTGGTCATCGTCGCCGCGGCGGAGTGCTCGCGCACATGGAAGTTCGTCAGAGAGGTTGATAAGAGACGATCATGTTTGCCCTAAGCGCAATTACTCTCTTTCACTCCCGGCCATCATGTCTGCAACTGCTTGTGCACCCAAGACTATGGAGGAACTCCAGCATATTTTGAAGGATGATATCAAAGTCAAGGTTGCTGGTGAGTACTGGATAAGATACGAGTTGGCATCGGGTTTAATGTTATCAAGGAATCGACGGTAGGAATTTGCTTGTTGCAACTTTAATGAACTTTGACGCGTCTAACAGTTGACGGCGTCCTTCGTGGCAAGTTCATGGTGCAATTTCTGTCCTACTTTGCCGAGGCGCGCGCTGAATGTCCCCTAGAGCAGAGATAAATTTATCAGTGCAGCATCGTCGGACGGATTTGGCTTTTGCAGCGTCATATTGTAAGTTGAACACGTCCTTCGGGTCTCGCAAACTCAACGGTGCCTGCAGTGGCTGGGACATGCACGACACTGTCTATTCACGAGAGCTACTAATATCGAACAAGGCCAATGGTTACCGGGACATCCTAGCACGTATCGATCTCTCCACGTACCGTCGCATCCCCTGGGAAGACAATGTGCCCTTCTTCTTGGTGTCTTTTTTGGATCCCGACACAAAAGAACCACTCGTAGTTGACCCAAGAGGTATTTTGAAGATCACGACTGAGCGGGCGGCATCACTAGGCTTCGAATGTTTTGCTGGCGTCGAGTACGAGGTTAGGCGTTCCCTCATTCGTGGATGTGAACTGACATATGTTTCTATTAGTTCTTCAACTTCAAAGGCTAGTTGTGCGACTAAGACCAACATTATTCTTATACACCGCCCATAGAAACACCAGGGTCATTAGCAGAGAAAAAATACCATGGCTTGAAACCGCTGACACCAGGAAGTAAGCTGTCTTGCCAAGACTTCGATTCTCTCCAGATTCATATACATTAAGTGCATGGGTACTCCCTTCTGCGTACCCAACTGAATAACGATTATTTTCACGATATTTTCAACTTGGGCACCCAATTTGGCGTTGATATTGAAGGGCACCGTAAGTTCTCCCACTGCATGTCATGTTTCCTGAAGTAAATATGTGATAGACACCGAAACCGGTCCTGGCGTCCTGGAGACCGCCTTGGCTTACACCACTGCTCTCCGAATGGCTGACAACGCAATATTATTCAAGTATCTAGCGAAAAGTATTGGTATGCAGCGAGGAGTCATTCCAAGCTTCATGGCCAAGCCTTGGAGTAACGTCAGTCATCTCGGTGTTTCAATGAAGTCCGTGGCTGACCTTACATGCAGCTTCCAGGCTGTAGCGGGTATGAATTCTCTGCATTTATCGCACTCCCGCCATTTAACGGCACTTATAGCCATATTCATATCTCTCTACGGAACAACCAGGGTCAGAATATATTCGCGCTTCCCAGATCTGACGTTGCTACAGGACGTGAGGGAGCTGCCTTCGAGGATACCAAGTACATAAGCGAAGCAGCTGAGCACTTCCTGGCCGGTATTCTTGACGGCGTTGCTGATAGTCAGTTTACTATCATTTATTTTCAATCGTTTCATGAGTACTGACAGGCACCGTGCTAGTCATGCCTTTGGCAAGTAACCGACCTCCAAATTACTATTGCTCTTCTCACTTCTTTTACAGTTGGTCCCCACTATCAACGGCTACAAGCGTCTAGTAGGCGGCGAAGCATTCTGGGCACCGAACGCCGTTACATACGGCTACGATTCCCGTGCAGCATCCATCCGTATCCTGTCACCACCTTCAGTTCCTCCCTCAGCAACGAGGTTTGAAGTCCGTATACCTGGGGCTGATATGAATCCATATTTTGCCTTGAGCGCAGTTTTCCTCCTCGGTCTGAGAGGCATCGAGAAGAACCTCAAGCTTACAACACCGCCCATCAGTCACTTTACGCCTGAGGATAAGAAGAACGGGAAGGTAAGCCGTACGGCGTCGGATTTGCTTCCTCCTAGGGTCTTGACTCCTTTATTAGGTGAAGATGCTTCCGATATCACTGGAGGCTGCGACGACACGGATGATGAAGCCAGAAAGCATCGCCAGGGAGTCAGGAATGCTAGGTGATGTTTTCGTTGAGCATTACGGAGGAACGCGAGAACACGAGGTCAAGTTGTGGAACGAAGCTGTTACTGATTGGGAGGGTGAGTTTATTGTCCTATACAGCTGACGTACAACATTCTAATTGATTTGACCATAGTGGAACGCTACATTGAGCTGGCATAAGTCTATAGAGTCATGACAAAGATCGTTGGACAGTTCAATATACACACATTTAACCATTTCGAGGTGGGCCCAGTCGTCATTGAACAGACGCAGTTGCTAGGACGTCGGCTAATTTCAGAATATCGTTACTTGGGCTCGAAGTTAGGCCACGATTGGGTACTTTTCATTCGCTTTGCCATAAAAGAAGTATGCAGGACTATATGTTCTCATAGGTGTACGGTATCTACACTCCCTTAAACACTATGATCGCTCCCTAATAAATCCCAAGGTTCCCAATGACGAAGCAATCAATTCCAGAACTCTCTCGCTTTCCTTCCGTTGTACTTCCAGAAGCTTCATCATATCTGATTGGAGCTCAGAATTTTCAATCAGCACATCCCCATGGATACGCAGGAAAACATTTTGGAGAGCTTGGATGGCTTCAAAGTCGTTATGCGAAAATAGTCGTTGCCTCAGGGAGTGAATGAAGAGCTGAAGACTATCAAGGGAGATGAGCGTGCGAATTTCCAAGTCCAAGGCAGCGGGCGATAAGGATTTTATCAAGTTGAAAAATGTCTCGTCTATTTTGAAAAGGTCAGATAGCGTTGCGAAACGGATGTAGTAACCTACAATCCCCTTCCCGAGATTCGGAAATCATTTGTCTATGGAACTGACTCTGTGAATGGCCTGCAGCGTTCTCCAATCTTCGCGTCGACTTTTTCGAAGTTTCTTTTTCGGCGGTCTTGACATCAAATCGCGTCTCCACACCTGGAAGGGTGGGCAAAAAGAAGGGCGCCTTTTCGGGGGGTTTAGGAGGCTCTATTGGTTTATTACGATGCTAGAGAGGGGTGTCAAAAAGAACGTTGTATCCAACCTAGAAAGGCGCACCTGTATCACTTCTAGGTTGAGTAGCGTTTGCCATCGAGAACGGGGAAGTAGTGTCAGCGTTATAAGCTCCCCATCCAGTTGAGGAGCAGTAATGAAAACATCGGTACTTTCTTTTTGTGCAGATAATGGTGATAGAGAGTCAAGCACTGAGAGTAAGGAACGTTAAAACGATCGGAGTGTTGATTATGTTGACCCACCTTCATCCTCCGAGGTTCCTTGCATTGAAGGAAGTGCCGTGTCGGCCAGATCGTCGTCATTGACGGTCTGGAAGGAGACATCGTCATACTGTGCACGGTTCGCCCTGTCAAAGGTCGATCAGATTGATGCAATTACTCAAGGATTTGAAGAGGTTCACCAGAGATAAATGCCAACACTATCAACATGTGACGTTGCGAGGAAGTCATTTGTAGGTGAGAACGAAACACTGGTGGCTACGCTGGGTGTCCTGAAGGCATCGATCAGCCTACCGGTCGGGACATCATATGTTCGGATGATGGAATCCAAGGAACTGGCAATTAACCATCTTGAATCGGGGGAAAACGCCTTGAAAGATTCATGAGCACTAATTCGAGAGAAGGATGAACCAGCTTCATACAATATCGAGTATTCGTCCTCTAAATCCTCCCAATTCTCGGACGACTTTCTTAGTTTCAATGTCGAGGATGCGGATTATCATATCGTCGCATATGACTGCCAGTAGCCCGTTGCCCCGATGCAACGTCATAGACACAATGGGTGAAGAAACAATCGCAGTGCGCTCCAACTGGGCAGTGTGGAAATCGAAGAACTAAATTACGACGATGTTAGTTCTACCATTGTAAAGACAGGAAATACGCACATTGATGGTTCCATCCAACGTGCTTACGATGACGGTTCTATTCAGAGCGTCCGTAGCAATCCCAGTAATGGTACGTTCGTTCCCTTTCTTGCCTGCGGTTCCTAATCTACTCGCGACGTCTGCAGGACACGGTCCAACGTCGAAGGTCTTGCGTCGTATACCCGATTGAAGGTTCCACAGATGAACATCACCTATCGATGAGCCTGCCAAACCGAAATTTCCGCATGCCGTGACACAAACAGCCTGTAAGGCAGGATGGCTAAGACAAATCTAAGTATGAGGTAAAGTATTGACAAACCTTGACCGAGCCAATAGCTTTTCCCTTGCCTTTACCCTTAACAGGCTCCGTGAAACCGAAAGTATACTTACCCACTTTTTTACTTTGCATTGTCCAAGACCGCGCAACAGACTCGTCAGTATGCGCGGTGAGAATATCATCCCAATCTTTCGCTCGAGCTGACGAATACGACAAAGAGGTGATAGCCGGAAACTTCAGAGAAGCTAACGGTATTGACAAAGTAGTAGCCTTCTTAGCAAGGGATCCTGATGAAGTTGACTAATTAATCCAATTATCTGAATGAAAGAAAAGTTGACAAACCCTGCGAAAGTTCAAATGACCGCGAATCGCGTACTACCGATGTACATCTTAGACTGCGATCCCTTGAAGTCGTCAGAAGCTGCTTTCCATCATCACCATAATATCGGATGAGATGAGGAGGGGCGTTGTGGCCGGAGCGGAACTTGAGTAAGCGGGGTGCTGCTGCGGGGGAATCGAATAGCCATTGCTAGATGGAATGATATCAGTGGTGATATCCTATACTAGAGGAGCAAATTACTTTGACACTGTTGTCTTCTCCAGAACTGACTAGGACTGGCTGTCCAGGAATCCATTCCAGAGCGCTTATAGCGCCATCATGTGCACCGCGCATCATATGCAACAACCGACCACCAGAATTAAGATCCCATAAAGCAATATGGCCTGCAGATGAAGCAGAGGCGAGAATAGGTTCCCCATCTATAATATCGAGGTTTAGACTTCGGCTTAGGGAGAGAATGAATGTCCTGCTCACCATTTCTAAAACCCAGAGCTCTTATGCTATCGCCATCCATGAACATCCGCATCAGACGTTCGTCCGTACGAACGTCATAGACAGAAATTTCTCCGGAAGTAAAACCGATTCCAACGACATCAATCGCTGGAGACTGTACCAATGCGGTTATGGATGTGCCGCGCAAGGTGGCCGGCGAAGGTGCCGAACCTATCGATAAAAGATTTTCCGGGGAAAATCTATGAACGCAGGTACTACAAAGACGGGATGAGCCCGGTTTGTAGAATATATTCCTTTAAACTCACTGCGAGCGAATATTCCATAGTTGTATACTTCCTTGACTGCTAGATACGAGCACTTTGTTGAGATATGTAGCGGGATGTAGGATGGATGTTGCGGTAAAATCTGCATCAAACTGGACTCTAGCTTGTAGATCTGATGAGGGTATTTAGCAAAGCATGTATATCAGTAGGCAGAATAATCACCTCCATCTGATGTATCCCACACAAACATTCGTTCTCCCCTCTCGTCCAATGCCAGAATGAGAGTTCCAAAAATCGTAATATATGACAGGGAGGAACCCAATGGACTTGATATTCGAAAGACCTGAGAAGTAATGAAATTGGGAGAATGCTTCCTTTTGCGCGACTTACCTCTTTGCCCCGGACATACTTGAAGATGTGGGGACCAGCAGCAGCCCAGACAGCGTCCCCATCCATCGTCAAGGAAGATATTGGATCAACCGTGTCCGGGCCTTTACATTGTCTGTAAGCAGCTTTCCATGGATATGCGTATTCCATTCGTACCAACGAAAAGTAAGGTCATCTTTCCACCTTCCCACAGAGCCCAAGATTTTCCAAGGCACGTCAGAATGTGCACTCGTGGCCCATCAGTAGCACCCTTATACGACCGAGTCTGTAGAACAAAAGGAATATGGTTGGTGACGAGACCGAGGGCCCGAAAGGGAACGAACAGACGAGGTTCGGCTCGTCGTTTTTGCACAGAGATTGAAGAGGCATTTCTGCGAATTTTCTTGCGAGGCGGCTGGGTATCGTAGGTGGCGGCCATCGCGACTTTCAGATGAGGGTAAGCGGGCAAGACGCGATCCTCCAAAATTTGCAGAATCGATCAAGAAGGCCTCTATTAGGCTACGCCACGGTAGCCAAATAATTCCCTTCTGTCCCTCCATCATGAATAGTCTGGCGGTTCTGGAAAAAATACTCATTGCGATCTTTGTATTTTTCGTCGTTGGTGCGTATAAACATTCCCCCAGACTTTTTTACTCAGACGTTTATCGTCTAGTCGTAATCGTTTCAATTGTAAAACGTCGCGGAAATGTAGTGCTCCTTGTTGGCCCCTCTGATGGTGGCAAAACAGCGATATTTTCAAAGGTCTGCCCTGCTTGTAAGTTTCATAAATATATTGACCTTTCTCCCTGCAGCTTGTATATGACCAATTGCTACCGTCGCATACATCTTTACAGGCCAACGCCTCATCCGTTAAATCGCCTTCGTTCAACTATCCTGTAGTCATTGTCGATATACCTGGTCATCCAAAGATGCGAGACCAGTTCAAAGAACATATGAAGGGGACAATTGTTATCGCTTTCGTCGTCGATGCAAGCACAGTGTCGCGTAATGCGGCCGCCGTTGCCGAGTGAGCACACTTGTCATCTTATTTCACTGTCGCAGATATTCAGCTTCCTTCTAGGCATCTTCACATCATAATGGACGCTATAAACAACTTACCATCTCATCAAAAGACACCCAGTCTGATCGTTGTCGCCCACAAGACCGACCTACTCAAGAACGTGGCCAGGTCAGCCAATTCCTCCTCTGATGCCCTCGCCATCAATCGAGTGAAGACTGTACTTGAAAGGGAGCTAGAGAAGCGCCGGGCTTCTCAGTCAGGTGGCTTGGAAGTTGAAGGCCTAGGCGAGGATGAGAAAACAGAGTTGGGTGGTCTTGAATGTGCGGGCACTGCTACAACATTCAGGTTCTCCGACTGGAAAGGTGCTGAGGTGCACTTTATTGCCACATCCGTGAAAGAGTCAACGAAAGGTGCAGACGATGAGAAGAGCGACCCACAAATTGGACTTAGTTCTCTACGAGAACTTTTGTTCACCATACAGCGATAGATCTATCTTACGGACAATATGTATTTTATTAGCGCAAAGGGTCTCGATGAAGGGTCAGTTGGAATTGGTTGCACATGGCAGTTGACGATGCATGAACATTGATGGAGAAAGCAATGGCTTAACACCTTATCGATGTGCAAAGAGAACTGGTTTTTCTCCGAGTCTTGTATCCGTTCATGATCTCAGCAAGAACCCAACAATTTCCCACAATATACACTAATCCTCGTAGCCATAGCCCCCAAAACACATTTTTTCCCAAGAACTCTAGCTTGTACGCTTCGCTGAGCCATAGGGCTTGAACACCAACCCAGATGGCAAGACAAGTGGAGGCCTTACGTATCGACATGTCGATCGAAGGAAGGAGGAGAGGAAGAAGGAGTAGGTACCAGAGGAAGTACTGAAACCGCACGGTCAGCCCATGAGGTTAAACGCGGAGGAAGATACATGCCTGTGATGTGCAGACCTTGTTGAAAATAACGAATACAGCTGTTTGAACAAACCACGCAAACGCCAGATCATCTTTTCTGCGGCCAAATGCTAGGCCAGACCCAATGACAAGCGTCATTTGAGGAAGGAAACTTGTCAAAGGGGAGCGAATAATTTGAGAGAACAATCCTCGGGAGTCCTCAGGATCCCCAACAGGATACGTCAAATACGTCAGGTAGAAATAAGGCGAGAAATTGTGTCGGTGATCGATACGGTGTAGGTGATACAGGTATGATTCATAGAGGAAAGGGTATCCCCAACTATGCAACGTTCAGCGTCTTTCCAAAAGCATACGCAGCCTACTCACACAAGATAACACCCTATACCCAAGATTCCGAATGTCGAGATGCTCAGGAGGCCAAAAGAGATCCCACGCCAATTGACAATTGAGTTTCCCTTCGCAAGGACGGCCAAACAAGGTACACCGTATATCCCTGGGTAGATCTTCCAGTGTGTGCTGACGCCGAGCATGACTGCAGCTGCATTCCAGCGATCCGTAATAGCAGCATACAGCGTGAGAAGCACTAGGAGGGATAGGACAGACTCGGAGGACCCTCTGGTCGATATTGAAAAGACCATTGGATTAAGCAAGTGAAGAGCACTATAGCGTGTCGCGGCGGTGAGCCGGTATATCAGAAACCCATTAACGATGTCGCACCCGGCGAAGAGATATTTCCCAAAGGAAGGATGGATCCATTCGTTAGGAGCCAGTAGAAGGGCGAGCAACGGGGTGTAGCGGTATGTCTCTCGGGAATACGGGCTACAGTGACACGTTTAGTATCGCCAGCGACATGACAGCGAAACAACATACTCTCCAAGCTGTATCCAGCTTTTCAAAGGACCTTGAGCGATATTTTTCTCTCCAGGATGTAAAAGAAACGACGCAGCGTCACTGAAAACGCGGTAATCGATGTCGGTGTATTTGACGAGGGAACGAACATCGTGCCACTCGCTGTAGACGATAAGAATGACGCGTATTACAATGGAGAGAATGAGGACATGGCGAAATGAAGAGAAACATGGAATTATATGGATAATAGCCATTACAGGAATGGCAACATGGGCAGAGCCAGTGTAGAGCTATCTCGGGTAATTTACGAAGGTTCCGGTAAACAAAGGTACAAAAAATCTAACCGAAGAGCAACATATTTTCCCGCCCTCAAATCTATACGGCAAGAAAAAAAAGTGAGACGAACGGAGCGCAGAAAACTGTACTCATAAAGACTCACATATTGCGAAATCCATCGGAAACCTAGAGTGTGTGATGATCAAATTACAGCAAGATAATAGAACGGCGCAGACCGACCTTCTCCGTAGCCCTGCCTCTGGACAACCGAACACATGAACAGTTCCACAGGCCTAATATCAGTAAGAGGAACCTTGCCCTGCATGAGATGTGAGAAGAGCACTGCCCAGCAGACCATGGTTAGATTACACACCTTGCCCGTTGTTTGATATAGTCCTAGGTGATGCCTCAACTCTTCTTCACTGACGGCGCCAGGGGCGTCAATCTTATTGCCGAGAACGAGGAAAGGAACCTTGGCGAGCTCTTCAATAGAAAGGAGGGCATCAAGTTCAGCCTTGGCCTCTGAGAAACGTTCGAAATCGGCACTGTCGACGAGGAAGATGATGCCGTCCACTTCTGGGAAGTAGTCGCGCCAGAGCCGACGAGCTAGGTTCTGGTGAGAATATTTTCCCCGTACAATAACGCTGGCGCCAACCTTGCATATGCCCACCTAGATCATGGGTGGTGAACTTGACGTTTCCAATGGCGAGCTCCTCAGATGCTGAAAAGAGCTTTCAGAATATGTCGACGCCAGACAAAAACAGTACCAACTCGGGTGCAACGTAGGTTGGAGGGTAGCAAGTCGGTCGTTTTTCAGCATGTGTAACAAAGTCTACCCGCCCAGAACGATCAAAGCATGTGAGAACTGGACAGCCAAAGCACATACCGTTTTTCCGGCGTTATCCAACCCAAGGAAAAGAATTTTGGCATTCTTGTGCATCAAACCTAGACGCAAGGCATAAACATGCCGTCACAGAGATAGTGGAACTAGCAATACCAAGTTGAGCAAGAATGTCGAAGAACCAGTTAACGATGAACATGGTTGGAAACTACAAAAATTCCCAGAAAAGAGAGTAGAAATACGGATCGTGGTCGAGTCGTGGAAGTCCGCTAGAGGTACGCAATCAATGCAATCCTGGTCACGTGACCATGGACGTCATCACTAAATCAACCGAACGTGTTCATAAATTGAAAGTCGTTAATGGTCGAAAAATGAAACTAATGCTTAGTATGACACGAAGCAATGGGCTGCTTGCAGGAAGCCTTCCAGCCCAACCATCCACATATAACAACTGTAATACATAAATATGATTACATGGATAAAAATATGCTTGATGCCTGGTACAGATACGCACGATAGATAGATGATCGTAAATACAGAGAAAGACAAGGAACAACGAGGATAACATGCCTCAACGCACCACCTTACATCCGTCTGCAGATTTCCAAGCCACAAACACACCAATTGACCGACTAATCCTTCCCACGGTCATCGTCGATGGACTACACGAGGATGCCGTCGATTCAGATCCTTGTGACACCGAACGCAGCATTGAACTAGGTCTGTTAGTATCTTCCTGTCCCCGAGACACAAATAGCTGCGACTCCTGCTCCGAATTCCTGGTTACTCGAACGTTTGAAAGCCTCTGCTCTTCCTCCCACTGGAGCCTTTTCTCCCACGCAGAGTCGAAATTCTTGCGTTCCGCGGTAACAGCCCCAGGGATACACATCCAATGGAACCGCCGTTCGATTTGGGTGCCAAGAGCCATGTGGTCCTGCATATCCCTAAAACAGCATGCAGTGAGAAACGGGCTTCAGTAATGGTAAATTAACGCACATATGAAAGCGAACCAATAGCGCTTCAAATTCCTCTCGTGTCATGTCTTCGATCATGGCTTTGGGATCATTCGGATCCTGTTCGACAGTCGCTTCTCTCAAATGCCGTATAGCATCGACAGACCTAGACCTTTTCTTTGAAGCAGCATCTGAATCTCGTCTTTTCCGACGTGCTTCGCGCTGAGACTCCAATACCCACTCCCACATCGCTTCGGAGCACCCCAGAATCTCGGCAGTTCGTAAAGCGACGTGAAGATTCAGCGTGCGCAAGTCAATGTGCAGCTTAGTGTTCGGCAGACGATTTGTCGGAATTTTTTTTGGAAGTACAGAGGGTGTATCTGATGATAGGGCTTTATTCATCGGTTTCGACTTTGCCGAACGGGGTGTAAGTCCAGCTGTTTTAGAGTTATCAAGAGAAACATATTTCGAGGTCTTATGGAGTAAGTTCTGAACAGAAATCCATCGGTCTTCACCGAGGACATTATTGGTGGCGCCGGATCGTCCCCGCCTTTGGTCACTTGGCGGGGGCGGCGGTCGCGCGGGGAAGGGGTTGATTGCATTACGGGCTTCTTCATCTGGGTCAGAGTCATGTTCATGTTCCGAACAGGAATCGTGGTCCTCATGTTGAGCCTGCTTCGCTGCCAATGGCGGAAAAGCAAACATGATTGGGGGGTGTGTGCGCACATCTATTTGACCATTAATGGATGCCAAAGTACCGATTGGAATGACAGGAACAATACATACCTCTGAAATAGATTCCTAGCAGGTTTGGCAATAACGAGAGTGGGGAAAGATTGATGAATCTCGATGCCTGCATTCCGTTGTATATGGTCTGTAGCAACAGGTGATCTCTGGGATTCGCGGGAGCTTTAAGCTCTGGCATCGTTAAGAATGATGAGACGTTGCTCTTCGACGCCATATTTCGGCTAGTCTGCTGAGTTGTTGAAAAGAAAGGTAGGTGCTGATAGAGGTGACCTACCGGTGATCGTAGTGCTCGAGTGCCAGACCTTGGACTATTAGTTTCTGTTGAACTTAGTGATACGGAAGACTCCGTTTGCATGCTCTGCGGAATATATTTGAAAGTACTCGAATCCAATAGGTTCTCCAGAGATCGATTCAGACGCTGCTTAAAGCGTATCGAAGAAGGTTTATTCGACATTGAGATGGACTTGGGGGTTCCATGGGAATCAGTGACTTGGATGATTGTACCGGAGAGTGTATCACGTTTCTCTCTGTCATCTTCGGCAATGGTTGTGCCGGGTACAGGGACAAGAGGAAGAGGTAAAGACGCGCTTGGAGGCGTCATAGGTGAGTTGGGACCTGTACCACCTGTACTGGCCGTTGCCAGTAGACTAGGGCAAGCCGTCGAAAGTGAGGATAGGTCTTCTGCCTTGGTACCACCTGACAACATTAGATCTGCAGCATTACTCATAAAACGGTCTGCGCTTGGACTTCGAGCAGGCAGTGAGCTTCTAGACAGCCTACGCGAATATGGTCGGTGGTGTCGGTCTTCAGATGTCTGCGGTTCTAAACCAGGGTCGCAATTATCGTCAGCCTCATCTGGGCTGTGACCGGGGAAGAACAGGTCTTCCTCTATCATCTAGTAGCGAAATGTCGGATGTCTGCGGTTGGATTGCATAAAATTTCCTACCTCAAAAGCACCGCCCGGCTTCATTACACGGACGATTTCTTCGAAAAGATTGTCCCACTGGGAGAAAGATAAGATGGGGGAGGGCTGGGAATACGATTAGGACTGACCTTGTCCTCTGGAACACCCAGGGCGATTCGCTTGATATGGCTACAAGTCTTAAGCATCAATACTACCCCGATAGAGCTAGAAAATGCAGACTAACACATAATCAAATTCATCATTAGGGAAGGGCAAAGATTCCAGACTAAACCATTTATCATATCAATAATGCATCGAGCAACTGACAGACAGCACGTACAAATTGGCCTGAGTCCATGTAATGCGCTGCGTAAGATCGCTGGAGCCAATCCTCTGAAGATCAGGATGAAGCGGGACGCAGTCCAGTCCTATGCGTTAAAGGTCAGTCTGTAACGAACCTTAATGGGTGAATCATGCGTACCAACAAAATGGCAATCTTTCCAAGATCGGGCGCAATTAAGTATCCACGCGCCAGTGCCTAACACCAGGCTCAGTTGACCATTCGGCAGTGAGGATTAAATACACGTACCGCACCCAATATCCAGGGCTTTGGATGGAGGTTTCTCGAAGACGTGCCAAGTATTGCTCTCGCATATCTGGTAGCATACCGAGGTTTCCCATATATCTCTGGAAGATACAATCAGCGTAGTGAAATAAAGGAGCAATGTCAACTCACAAATCCAATATGTCCTTTTCATAACACCGAGGATAGGGAACCTGATCTCTATTGAATGGATGATGTCTTCTCCCACCAATTGAACCGACACCATCCGCACCCCACGATTTTGTGATACCCCCTTTTACAACGAACTGCGCATCTCGTGTGCTGATGCTTCGCCTAAGCTCCTCAAGGACCGTCCGATCTGCTGTAGAGAATTTATTTTCCCTATCTGAAAGACGAGGTTTTCTGGGAGCGGCCTCGGAGGGAAGAATGTAAAAGGGAAAGTTTACATGATGGACAGAAGATGCAGGCTTGGTAGTGACTGAAGCAGAGAGCACATGAGGCAGGGTGGCTGAACGCGCCGCTGCATCTGATGAGAGTGAATAATGGGACTTGGATTCTGATGTAGCGTTCCCCATGTCGACCGGTGGCTTGACTGTCTTGCTCCCAATAGATCTATGCCTGTGAACAAATCCGCCTGCGAAGACGCGCCCGGACGAACTTGAAGGTCTTGACTGTAACGGCAAAAGAATTCAGTCAGAAAACTCATGCTAAGGACACTAAGTATAATGAAGAAAGATATGACGCTGTATATGCGGCGATTGTGGGGCAAAGAACTTGGACATTCTAGGAACGACTCACAGAGTTGCCACCCGTGCTCCTGGCAGCGCTGGGTGCTGCTGCTGGCGTCGTCAACGGTGCGCCTGTCCAAGACGAGGCATCATCGCCTGGGGCTGGATAGAGCTCCCACGGCGTCACATCCTCCGTCGTGCCAGTGATCGTTCGCGACATGCCTGCGCTCACTGTCCTGGACTGTGCAGTGACGAGGGGCGTGTCGGGGCGCGCAGCATGGCGAGGCGGCCGCGGGGACTGAAAAGGGAAAGCCGGCGACGGTGTGGAAGACAGATTTGCAGCGAGCTTGCACGGCAGAGAAATGACGGAGGAGAAGAAGGCAGGGACGGCGGTGGGACCCTGCTCGATCTTGGACCAAATGGGCCCACATACTACGCCCAGCCTCGTCTTTGCCCGTGTCCGTGTTTCACCGGCCTCTATCCTATGTTTTCTTCACATCCTATCTAAGGAAAACGGCAGTTGAGAAAAAACCAAGGCACATATCGGCCTTGCTCATCCAATGTGCCCTTCCTCGAATTTCTGTTCGTCAATGTCGTGGGGAGAGTGTAGCCACATGGAGGAGGAGGAACAGGGCTGACGGCATTGCTTCGGTACCGAATCGTTCGATGGAAGCACGTCGGCATTCAAGTAGTGGGTACACATTTTTATTCTATCATGATAATTTGCTGTCTATCACCTCCTTGGTAAGACCTTCAGGCCCGTCTCTGACTTCGACGACTTTGCTGACACTAGCCTACGATATTGATGAGCATCAGCACCACAGGCCGAAGGGAAAAGCGTACGGTGTTCTGAAAGTTGATCAACGCGCTGGCATGCAGCGTCAGCAATCCGATTTCACTCGATGTTGGCGCCCAGTTAACAAGGACAAGTGGGAACGATTTCCGTCCGTCGGAGTGATTCAGTTCGTAGCTGAGTACAACGTATCGAGGACTGTTCTCCGGAAGCTCTGCTGTCAATGAGCCAAAGCCTCAGTATTCGATCAAGCACTTACCTTCCGCCAGCTCCTCGACGCTGATATTATCAAATTGCTCTACTTCCTCCATCGCAAGTGTAGCCTTGTTGATCTTGATGATGAGCGCAGCATGGCCCTCATTGCGACGGGCAAATCTGAACTTTCGCAAGGTATCCTTGATGGATTGGGGTATGTCGACTGTTTGAGACTATATTCACCGTGGATAAACGTGAATATCAGTGGCGCAGAAGCACAAACCATTACTGCTTGTGGTGGTGGATGGAAGAGATAATTAATCACGAAGATGAGATACGCCTTATCTCGCTGACGATATATTTACTGATTGGTCATCTGTGCATCCGCGAGCTATTATGATACCGACACGACCTGTTCGCGTGGGTATTTCTGCGTATCCCACTTCCCTAGCTCGAACCTTGTGCCAATACACTCAGCAGCAAGATATCGCGCCTCTCTTTACTCCACCATCATGTCGCGTTCAACGGAACACTCGAGGCTGCGCACATCATCCCAGTCCAGGTCGCGTTCTAGGTCTTCGATGACCACCGTCGCCTCAATGCTGGCAGATCCGCAGGGTTTGGCATCCGAGGGGGCCGTCAGCGAGCGGGATGCTGAACTGCTGCACGAATTCGTTCATCCTCATCACCATGAGGTCGAGGAAACGGTTATCGGAGGACTATCCGACAACGCGGACCTCGATGAAGAGCTCAAGGCAAGGGCTCTCTTACCATGGTGGAAAAGACCCTCGCCCGTCTGGTGCGTGCTTCTCTTAGGCCTTTGTCAGTTCATCGGTCTTATTCTTATTTTTCCCAGGCTCTTGGCCTTGATGCCAATCTCCAGTATCGCTTGGTCTAGCACCGTTGCTCCTAGGGTTGAGATCTACACCAAGCTCGCATGCGCCGTACATGTCCCCGATGTATACGACGATCAGTTGGCGGGACTCATCATCACCAACGCCACTCCCTTGGAGGCGCATCTCCATGTCAGGCAACACCGCCCCCTTATTACTGTATTCTTCCGCGATATGCCAGAACTAGCGAAGAATGCTAACAGCGATAGGTGCGCTTCTGACCCCGTCGTCCAGGCGAATGTTGCAAAACTCGCAGCGGGTATGTACAGTCTATCAATGCGCCGACCGTTCCTCAATGCTTTATAGCCATGGCTGTCACTATGGGCGTGCTGGGATGCCTGACCACAGCGGTATGGGGTTCTGTGAGTATCCTCACGAGGTCCATCCGCCTATTCTAATATGTATACAGTACTCAGATCGTCACGGCCGTACAGCTGTCCTCGGAATCTCAGTCATCGGCCTTCTTAGCACAGACTTCAACTTTCTTGTCGTCAATACCTACTATGAAAGGCTTCCCGGAGGGTATTGGTTCCTCCTTCTTGGACCAATAGTCGAAGGGTGTTTAGGAGGTACCGTTGCTCTTATCTTTGTCAACCTTAGCACTGACTATGACCAGGAACATCCACGGCCATCGCGAGCATGCACGCTTATATGGCGGACACCTCCACCTCAGCCACGCGGCTCGTAGCTTTACCTTGATGACCCTTTTTGCCCACTCAACGTCCTATAGATCCCGCGTCTTCTCTTTAAGCCTTGGTCTCTTGTTCTTTGGATTCGGACTTGGTCCCACTCTTGGCAGCCTTTTGATCCGCGTTACGGGGGAGACCATCTCGGTCTTTTACGTTGCTACCTTTGTTCATCTTCTCTATGCCCTCTGGTTGTGGTTCATCGTCCCCGAATCTCTTACCCAGGCGCAGAAACGGACATCGACGATCAAACACCACGAGTCCGATCCGCAGGCGGGTGTACTTAAGCGTCTCTTTGGATTCTTGAGTCCCTTGAGCGTCTTCCTGCCGGAAATGAATGGACCAGAAAGACATCATCTGAAGCGTCGAAAACGCGACTGGAATCTAACAATCATTGCTGTCGCGTATGGACTCACGCTCTCGTTGATAGTAAGCCTTCTGGTTATCAATGATAATTGCTGGTGCTGATTCGCGTCAGGGATCCTACACGTATAAGTTCCAATACGCTGCTGCCGTATTTGGTTGGACATCAGAAAATGTGAGTAAATTCCTTGTAATTCGCTTTACGTCCTAACATGGCAATTAATCAGATCGGATATTGGCTCAGTTTAGTCGGTGCTGCGCGCGCTTTCTTCTTGACTTTGATACTTCCTTGTAAGCTGATTGGAGTTGTATGTTTTGTGCCGAAATGCCCAGCTCATTATAACAGTTGCGATCAAATTGTGCAAACCGAAACCTAAAGATATGTCTATGGGGGAGAGAGAGCCGTTCATACCCTCCGATAGCAATGATTCAGAGTCTTCTCACACTGATTCGGACCGTTCATCGAGCTTCCATCTTGAACGCCACTCATCTCGCTTTGACTTGGGACTTGCTCGCGTATCGTTGTTCATCGACATCCTATCTTACGCATTGCTTGGATTTACCACGAGTCCTTTCGTTTTCACACTCTCAAGCATACTCGGGTCAATGGCTACTGGATTTTCGCCCGCTGTCCAAAGTGTTGCATTGGAACTCTATACGCAACGAGGAGGCACTGAATCGGGGAGATTGTTCGGCGCTTTGAGTGTCATACAGGCCCTTAGGTTTCGTTGCTTCCCAATCATGAGATGGTAGTTCTGACTGGTTATGACAGTTCCCAGATATTAGGTCCTTCACTATATGCATTTGTGTACATCAAAACTGTCGCGACGTTTCCGAGGACAATGTTCTTTGTTGGTGTCGGGTCGGTGTGTATCTCCTTGGCCTGCTTGGCGCTCGTTCGTCTGCCTGATCCAGAAAAACATCCCCATATGTTGGATGCGGAAGAAGAAGTTGCCGTGGATGGGGGTGTCTGGCGGGACGACACTCTTGTTGACATCAATGAAGCGGTCGATGACCTGCATGGAAGGACAGGGTCCTCCTCATCTGGGCGGTGAGCGGGGGAGGGTATAATAATAAAGAAGCCCAGGCCGAGTGTATTCCTGATTACTCTAGTGTTACGCTTATGTTCATACCATACCATTCTCTCTTATTTTCTCTCACCAGGGTTCTTCTCGCTTATAGGAATTGTTTATGGTCTGTTGGGTGACACACAGTCCGCGTATGACCGGACGGAATATCTCGCGGCCAAACGCTATCCGTACCGGACTCGTGGCCAGGGCAGGACACGTTCATATGCCTCATGGATAGCCTGTGTGCCACCTGCAGTCGAGCACGTTATCGCGTGGTCCAAGGCCGTCTGCGCTTTGCACTGGCCTTAGCTCGAGCCTTGGCGCATATGGTATGTTGACGATATGTTGGTAACCGGAGTCATTGCTGCTATTTTTACCTAAGGGCCGTTATTCTTAGTACTTATTACTATTCAGCTTCGCTGCCGTCGCGCGGGTCAATATTGTGCACGACCCACAGGGAGATACGAGCGACCAAATGAAGGCAAATGGAACAGCGACTATCTCAGGGGAAAGAGCACGAGTTTCATCAATACAGGTCCGGAAGCGAATGAATAAAGGCAAACGAAGCTCCAGAACGAACGAGATTACGCAAGTTGCAAAATGAGGTTGGGGGGGTATCTCACGTGATTACATAACACCGGAGGATCGACCCCTTTTTGACAGTGACGTTCAACGCTGAAGCGCTGGACTTTTTTTTTTCTTCATTTCCTTGTCGGCGGTACCCTTCCCAGGCTTCCTATCCCTTCCCTTCCCTATCAGCGGACCTAACTGTACCCGGTCGGTCGTGCATTCTCCCTTTGTTGTCACCGTGATACCGTCACTGTGTTCTTCCATTCAATCGGAATACTCAATAGTCAGTTTGATACACATGTTTGCCTGTTCCTGAGCTCACCGATATAAAGACCGTTGCCGCAGCGTCTTTTTCACATCTCATTCTTCCCCACCATGTCTGAACATTCTATTATTGCAAGATTATTCGCTTCCAATGCTCAATGGGCTGCTGACGTCGACCAAGCTGAGCCAGAGTTCTTTACAGAGCTAGCTCAGGGCCAAAGCCCCCTAGTATGTTTCGACCGTCCGCCACAGGATATGTTGCTCACAGCTTTGTCTTTCTCGTAGGTTCTGTGGATAGGCTGCGCGGATTCCCGCGTTCCCGAGTCTGTGATCACTGGCTCACGTCCCGGCACGATTTTCGTCCTTAGAAACATTGCCAAGTGCGTGTCATCCGTCATAAACAATTTCCGTACTCATTTGTCGTTTAGCCAATTCCATCTCGACGATGACAGCGCTCTGTCGGCTTTGACCTATGCCGTTGATCATCTCGGCGTCGAACACGGTGCTTCTTCTCTTTCTCTGTCGTGATAGCATTATCCCAACCGATGCGTTTGCTCCTCCCACTCATCTGGGAACACAGTTGTCATTGTCGGCCATTCGGAATGTGGAGGAGCAACAGCCTGTTTCAATGCGGCGCCATCGTACACCCCAGGAGAACCATGTGCTACGGTCGCAGGGCTGTCGCCAGAGGAAGCCATCAACAAGTGGTTATGTCCGCTCACGGCCTTGGCTGAGTCGCTCCACCTGTCTTCTGCGCCAAAGGAAGAGGCGCTTCCGATACTCATCGAAGAAAACGTCAAGATGCAGGTAGACAACCTGTCGCGGGCGCCGACTATCGTAAATGCGTGGAAGAACAAGAGCGAGAAAGGCAAAGATGTGTACATTCATGGTTGGGTGTTTGATCTTGCCAGTGGACGGCTGAAGGATCTGAGGGTTACGCGGGGGCCGTCGTCCAAGTAGACCATAGAAAAGTGCTGACCGATTACATATTTGTTTCGTATACCAACGTACCTTCTTCATTCATACTGATTACGCTAAGAGAAGATAATTTGTAGTAGATACTCTTGGTGATCGAGTAGTCGATCCGATCATGATGTTCTCCGGAGTCGCTGTTCGGAAGCTTTGTCAGCCTTTGTCACTGTCATGCACCCAACTGGCCTGCCTCACGACGGCGTCCTGGTTCAAATCGCGACCTACAATACCAACCTCCAAGGAAGTCTAGGCCTTCCTCAGGACCTCGTCGACTGGCTCTCCCCTACCCTGCAAGTCTCTACTTTTCTCTCTCGCTCGCTCCGTGCACCGGACATCATCGCAGTTGGTTTCCAGGAACTTCTGCCGCTGCATCTTGGGCGTATGTTTGAACCCCAAGTTGCGACCGTGCGCAGCTGACCTCATTCAATAGTCTCCGGCTTCTCCAAGTCCGTTATCGACCACCGCAATGCCCACATTCTCGCCCAGCTCGAAGCACACGCACCCAATAAGGAACGATATGCGCTCATCGCAAAGGTCGTCAACGTCGGCGTAGCCTTGCTCGTCTACGGCAAGGACGAAGGTATCGCAAAGACGGTGTGCGACGTGCAGACCAGCTGGACGGGTTGCGGTCCACTGTACATGGGCAACAAGGGTGCAGTCGGCGTCCGTTTCCGCGCCCCAGGAGAAAATGGAAGCGTTGGCGAGGTGTACACGTGAGTTGCCTACATGTTGCGGCATTTATCCACTTCATGTTACTAGGTTCGTATGTGCCCATCTCACGGCACATACAGAAAGGCTGGCGCAGCGCGTCGACGACTACAACCATATCGTCAGCACCCTTCTCTTTCCCTCGCCGTCGTCGCCTTCAACGACCATCTACTCCACCTCTCACTTGTTCATTTTCGGGGACCTCAACTTTCGTCTTTCAATACCACCTTGTCATCCCCTGCACGCATTTCATACAGAACCAGATGTCGCAGCCGTCTTGGCCGCGCCGGAAACGCGAGAAACCCTGAAAGAATTCGACCAGCTTTTGACCGAGCGACGGAAAGGAACGACCCTTGTTGGTCTTCGAGAGGGGGAGTTTTGGAAGTTCAAGTGCAGCTACAAGTATGACCTCGGCGAGGTAGACAAGTACAGGTGGGTTCCGTCCATCCTTCGAAAGCAGCGCTGATTTCATCATTGCAGTGAGAAACGGGTACCTTCATGGACAGATAGAATTCTATATACCACGTATACGGATTCGCCAGAAACCCCCAATAATTCCTACATTACAAACTTACTGTACACTTCTGTCCCTGGATACACAACCTCTGATCATGTAGGTTTTATCTTGATTACTCTTTCTATCTCTGACTCTGCCCCAGAAACCCGTCGTATCGCTGCTGTTCATCCCTCCCCGTGCACCAGTGACGTCGCCTACGCCACCCACTCTTCGTCTCCGAAGCTACTACTCCCCGACCCCAGACCCTTTGGCGACATACAAACGCTATACAGGCCGTGTTTTCGACAGGGTTATCGGCATCATCTGGTGGATCTTCACTCTATTCGGTGCTGGCTCCGCGATTGTGGGCATTTTCAACTTTTTCTTTGGTATCGGGGCGTGGAGTTGGTGGCGGTCGACGCCTTCGAATTCTTCTGTGTGATCTTGGACTATATATGTATCGGTTAATTTATTTTGGGTCAACATGAGGTAATATTTGTTCCTTTCAGACCCTTTCGTCCAAAGTGACTATGTTGCGTGCCATAGCCATAGAATTTTGTTGGGCCACGCAGGATGAGTCACTGACATGCATAAGTATTTGTGACTTGAAGCGATACTTTGCTTGTCGATGAATGTCAGTTATGTTCAGCACGATACAAAACATGAAAGTAATGCACCGTCAACCTCTCTGTTCTTTGATGTCGACGCAAAGTGCCCGTACCTCCCGATGCCAGGTCTCGTAGAAGCAACGGAATATGGCCACCAACAAGGTATTGAGGCACGCCGTATTATGAATATACTGTGTATCCTGCCAAGTCGAAGAGGATTCGTATGACTTTGCTCATTAACGATCCCCCAATGTAATTGACATCTATGGACCGATGATATCCTTCTCATCTACCCATGCCAGACAACGATCCTTTCAACTACGACGAGCTGAGTCCCGACATTACTATTTTTCTGATCGTCTCTTGTATGTTGCGCATTTTGGACTCCTTCTATTCCTACGCCTTTGTCTTCAGATGTCAGAGTCTCCAGGCAGAAAATATCTGCTAACTTGCTCTTCGAAATGAATTTGCAAACACATCGCTTCAACCCTCAGCGTCTAGATTAACGGACCTTCTCTAAGTGTTTACCAGACTAGCGCTCGAAGTCCCTACAATGTGATCTCGTCTATATATTTTTCAGTTATGCAATGTCATATTTTGTTTGGAGCCGTTAACTTGGCATATGCTTCGCCAATTCGCAGAGAAGAAGCTTGGGCTTCGTTTCCCACTGAGTCAGTAAAGGATTTTTATAAATTTTTAACTGCACATAATCTGAGAACGCAAGGCTTTTCTTTGGGTCATCAATTCCACGGTCCAAAGTATCACAGGAGAAGCATGACCTGCGCTGATATTTTCTGTTCATTCAAAATTGCTCTAGTTCATGTAGATCAAATTATGGTGTTTTGAACAAGAGGGACAGTACAGCTGCCAGTTACGGCGTAATTATCAAGAAACGAGTAATGCAAGGTCTACGTTAACTTGAATGGTCACTATGCTCCGATTTTGTTGTTCCCGTAACTCGTTGCAAGCAACAGGCCTCGCGGAACTCTCCAGAATGATACAGAAAACTGTTCGATACCACCATTATCCGGCAGCTGTGCACAAGGATGCTGCAAATATTTGTGGAGATATTTTCAAACAAAGGAAGAATTTCTCTCGGGGGACCTGGATAGAGAGTCAGTGAGTATTTACTGCAATGCGTCTTTCCTGGAAGTGGGAGGCTGACCATGACAATCATCTGCTGCATCCTCACTTCTTGGGTTCCTCGGTCAAGCCGCCAGCATTGACTGTTAACCTGGAGTAGTTATTAGAAAAGAGAATGGCCACTCCGACGCAGAAATCGTTTGCTGAGAATCTTGGTAACACATTGTTACTTTCTGGATTCGCAAGCCTCCGTCAAGAACCTTTGGCCGATATGTCGCTCTGTCGATGAAGGAAGGCGGCACTCCAGGGTGACATACTGTTGAGGACGCAGCAGTATCCAACAGAGCGTAGGCTTCGTACCGTAGTAGACCATTCACCTCCGCATGTATCTAGAGCATAGATAATATACAAGCTTTCTTCTGTCTTACTGCCATCTATATGTTCCTGTTAAAGAGAAACTTGAAGATCGACCAATAAACCGCCTTCCTTCCTCAGAGGAAGTGATACATCCTAGACCATCTCGCGACGTTGACCGAGGAACTAAGACATAAAGAAACCGGCCGGGGAGATGACTGTATGCATTATGAAGTGAAGAACGGACCGTAGCCCGAAGCAACTCGCAGCCAAACCCAGGCAGCCGGTCTAGTATTCCCACAGTGACTTGGCGCATCATTTTGATCATTTGCCGCTGAGGAAGGGTTGGGTGCAACGCCGATTGTCTGATTTTCATTCGCTCAAGTATCAGTGGTCAGCTGTGGTCAAGCCTTGAGGTTCAGGAGTTTCCGCAAAATTGAGGGTTCGGTGTAACCCATGCTTGATGCTTCTAGCATCGACGGCAGCGTCATAGGTTTAAGAAGTTCAGAGTCGTTTCTGCGAGACTATAAGAGCTGCTTCATAGTGCGATTTGAAGGTATGGTATGTCCACATGATTACCAGAAGCAACTACAGTATTCGTAATCTTCAGGACGATTAGAGAATGGGAAAGCATACTACAAAGGCAGGCCATCATCATAATCGAAGAGGAATTAAGTAGTAGACTCAAACCATCCTCACCATCAGTTGCTGATGTCAATCAATCAGCCCGAGCAAGCAGATGCTCTTGGTTGATCGACTGTCATCAACCGAAGTGGGGACAGGCTCAAGTCTGAATTAATAGGGGGAAGGAGATTGAAAATGCGGCAAAAATTCTTTCCAAAAAGTGGGCTATTCAGGTAGCAAGTGGAGCGTTGGGGCAGTATCGATTATGCGACATAAACTCCTATAAATGACGAATATCGATAGAAGCTAGGAAGCTACCAAGGCAGAATCACCAGTTGGAGCTCTTTTGAAGGACTAGCACGCTTCCCCGGAAACTTCCTGTACTCATTGCTGAACGTTATGGGAGCCAGTTACAGAGGAAGAGTTTTCAATTGTGAACGTGTCGTTGAACTAGAGCAGTGCGGGGCCAAGAACAAGGAAAGGTAGCACACATTTTGCTTGAGTAGCACCAAGATTCAATTTTACACTTTCGTAGCGGCAGATGTGTGTTTGGAGATACCGAGGAAGACTTTTGAACCTTGTTCGAACCCCCGTTTCGTACCAGAAAGAATATTAAAGTCTTCGACTGAAAAATGGGGACTAAGATTCTGAAATGGAAGTAAAAGACAGAACGTACTGAATTTAAACATGGTAAAGGAAGGAACGATTCATAGTACGGTGGTAAACTGAAAACCAAGTCCTCGTGGAATACAGACCGGGTTTTACAAGAAATTTCTTGCTCCGCTCGGCAGAAAATTCGACGTCAGTACCGCAAGGACTCCGCTAGGCCTGCCATCGTCGGAAAAACAAGAAGGCAATCCGGGTGGCTCAGAAGAGCCGAAATTTCAAACCGCGACGAACCGAAAACAAGCATTTTGCACGGTGGCAGTTCAAAAATCGATATAGGTGATTTCTGCAAAATAAACTGCACTGGCGGACTGAACAATATGGCGGTTAGCAAGGTGATATTTATTAGAAAGAATAGACAAACGGTGAGGCATTGCGGCAATAAATTGCGATCGATAGTTCCGATAGTTTGATTTGTAAACCCTATTTCTCCAAACGCAACCAACACCAACACACACCATCCCTCCTACCACCATCGCCGACACTGTCTATACACCGCCAGCATCGTCGCTCACGGTGGAGGCATCTGGTTCTGTTTACAGCCACAGAGATGACATTTTCTCGCGTACATGGTTCACTTCGTCGATTTTGACCGTTGATTGGTCCTGCACATCGCGCCTTTTGAGGGTTCTTGATGCGATAGGTATATACAAGCCTTCGACGTTGCTCTTGAGTCATACTGGCGATGGACAAGACCTTGAGAGGCAGAAATGGCGGGGCCAATCGATGGCGAGAGCACTCAGACGCAACCTTACGGTTCAACAATCGAGATACTGGGACAGTAGATCCTTGGAACGAAGGGGGCACTCTTCTTGGTGTTTTTAGCGAGCAATGGAGATGGCCAGCAAGATAATCAATCCCAGGAGCACGTAGGTGACGTCGCGATGCCCTCAAAGCTGGTTTCTCAGAGAAAAATAGTACGGTCAGAGGGTGCGTTGCTGTATTCTTGTCTTGCTCCTTGGAGAGTAAACTTGTATCTTGCAGTCCAGGCGACTAACGCTGCGTCAAGCGGCTGATTTCCTTGAGGTCCGTGCGCATTGATGATGAGCCAAGAATGGTCTCACTGAATCTTGCAGAAGGCGAGTCTTGTCCTGAGAAATCACTCCAGTTGTGCGGCATCTGAACGACGCTGTTCATTTCAGAGGTGGTAGTACATCACTGATACAGGATAACACGACATACACACGGTTCCGAGCCTTTTATTGGTGTGACACGTAAATGACTCATTCCGTCACGTCACAATCGTGACACGCGCATTAATACCCCCCCCGACGGCAGACGCTGCAGGGTTCTGGATACAAAAGACGAGGGATTTCACAATATCAGAAGTTCGCGGAATTTTTGACAGGGTGTCTTACCTACCCGCATACCCTACCCGAAGATACCACTCTAGATTTAAAGCAAGAGCAAGGAGCATATCGGCGACAGCGTGCTTTGGATCATTGACAACGGTGTATGTTTCAAGATACGGCAGGATAAACCAAAAATCATCTGGGCATCGTATCCCCGACGTCTTCAACTGTGAGCCTGTCTTCACTGTTCGGCCTCGAGGCTGTCAGGGTGTTCTGCGACGCGCTCACTACAAATTGGATCCAATCTTCTGGACCCAATCGTATTCATCGGTGGGAACGTTCCGGACGGCATCTGCTGCTTTTATGGATACCTCCGCGTTGTGTCGATCAGTGTTCAAAAGAACATTCTTCAACGACGGCCCTCGCGACTGTGCACCGGTCTCACACATATTCAAAAGGGATAATTGAAGAATAATTTTCGGCTGTTTTACATTATCTTTTACGAAGCTAGAAAGCTAAAATTTTCCCCTATATAAACTCACTTTTCTGCAGCATTCTTTCATCTTCAAATGCCTTGCCACCGCTCCTGCAAGAAATTTGTCCCTCGTTATATGCCTGCTTACGATGGAAATGATCAAAATTCTTCGCCCTCTCTTCACTTACCGATCTGCGATTTTTCGTATGCTGCACGCTACCAGCCATACCTCCCTTCCCGTAGGTTCATGGTACAGTAGCCTTCCGCTTCTTCTAGCTTGCAGTATACTAATTCGTCTCAGTTTGAACCAGGGACTACAGACCTGCCAGTCCCGCAGACACCTGTGATTATCCCACAGGACACCCCAGTAAGTCGGTTTCAACCTCTGTTTGACGTTTACCCTCATCGTCTTAGACCACAACTTCTTTTCGTTATGATCTTGACGATGAATTTGGGCTCGATGATGGAGAAATAGAGGTCTTCGAGGGAGAGAACGACTCGGATGGCAGTGAGGACGGGGATGGGGATGAGGACGAGGAGAGGGACGAGGATGAAGAAGCGGTAGAAGCAAACCCTGCTGCTCCACCGGTGAGCATGGTAGCTTCTTCTTTGTCTCCAATCCTTACCACTATGTCCTAGGTATATGCCATTCCCATGTTCTTGGCTTTTCTTGTGTGTGTTTTCTATTTCGCTTGAATGACTTTCCTTCTGTCCTCTTCTTGCATGTACTCCCTAGTTCATTGATAATCTATTTTTTTTCTTGGGCAACAGAGCTTCGCCTAACCCAGTTACAAGTGGAGCAGATTCGGACAGACAACTACACGCAAGCTCTGCTACACAAAGACGCATCACCCGAATCACCTGGTGGAAGTAACGCGCATAGCTGGCACAGCTTTTGGAGGGGCATGATAGCAGTAGTTCTAAACTTCTAACAGCGCGAGAACACAACCTCAGCAGATTTATGGTACCAATAACGACTTAAGATCATCAGCCCTAAAAAAGGATCGACATCCTTTTGATTCCACACCGCTGTATGCATCTCACTTTCTGTCCTTTGCCATATGTTGCTTCAATGTCTTCGTCAACCAGGTTAGCGAGTTGCGTCCCCAATAATGCCACGTTGGCAACTCGACTTAGCAAATGCCCAGTGTGCCAGGCCCGTCTTCATCTTCCTCACACCTTGAAACTATGCAATGTACGCATGTACCAGGGATACCGACATCGCCAGGAAGGAGTTAATGCAGGCTACTAATACAGTGCCTATTGATAGAAATTGTCTTTTTTCGACTTGTCAATCTTTGACGTTCATGCACAATGTCCTCTTCGACTGACCGTGTGGTCAATACCGAGAATTCTCGAAGAGACACGAGTAATATGGCTATCGAAGAGAGGGACTCTAAATCAAACTTCCTGACCTAAGGAGCCACTGTCGAGGCAGAAGACGCATCGTCGCAACTGCTTTATAGATTCATACACCCTGCCAAACCGAAGAGGAGGATACATTCAGACCTGCCGCATGATCATTTTGTTCTTATTAATTATTACAGGAAACGATGCGTCCAACTATGCAGACAAGTATCACGAGGATGTGGCATACAAAGAAATGGGACCTAATGCTAGAGTGTTTCGTACTTATCTTGATGAGCGTGCATTTTCGACGCGAACGTGAAGAATAGAAGGATGTTCAATTTTCGTGCGCCGTTCGGCTTGTAGTTAGCTTATTGCATGCTGATGGCTCTTAATTATAGACGTTTTTCCTCAAACGTCGCAGTGTTCGCAGGCAGATTATGCAGAAATCTCTGCGAATCTGCTGTTCGAGAGCTCACGCTTGCAAGTAGTGCTTCTTTGAACATTAATCCTAACATTGTCTTTGAATTCCGACATGGTTGGAAGTAGAACGGCAAAAAATGCCGTTTGTTCGGATTTGGCTGTTCATCGCATGACCGTCCTTGCAGCCTTGAATGTATTGACGGAGGAAGGTGATTTTTCCCTCCACAAGCATGTGCTTCTAGAATGGACTAGGGACGCCTTTATCGACGGAAACATTGAATATCAGAAGCGATATATTCGCTTCGCAATTCAGACCTTGGATGTATTTCTCTCTGGTGATTGTGGCGGTAAGGTTTTTCTCATAATATCAGAAGGTGGGTCCCTTATTGCAATCGGCTTCCCTCCCGACTACAACATTCCGCTCTCCCGACTGCAACATCCCGCAGGCATGAACTAGTGAAATAGTTGCAGTTTCGCACGAACTTGAATGAAGCGACAACTGTACCATGTCGTCCCCTCGTTTGATATTTAACCAGGACTTGCCCTCTTCATCGTCGCATGCGTGGGAGGGATGACAAAGGGAGAGAAGGCGCTGTGAACAGCAAATGAACACACCCCAGTCACAGTTTGAGGAACGCTCCCGTGCAACAACACAACAAGAAAAAGCGTATGTACAGAATCTTGTAATTTAGCTAGTACTTGTAAATATACATTATATATAAAAGCCCATGTGCAGCATTTTACCGGCATACGGAATTGGCTACTTGCGCTCGGGTAGACTGACCGTAAAAATGTCCCGCAGACTAGAGCTTGACGCCGCCGATTCTACGATGAACAATTTTCCGCCTGCACTTCCAGCCTAGATTCAGATGAAAGCACAAGGTTTAGCCGAGAACGCTGCGATATCAACAGTCACTATAAAGAACAACTATCGTACGAAGCCATTTCAAGCCGCCTCGTCTCATGACGACAATGGTTCAAAAAGAACGAGGTAACAAAATTGGCCCTTGAGATGACTGTATGCATTGTTAACATGGCATGGGACATACAAGCATATAGTAAAAATACGACGCCGAACCGCACTCCATGAAGGACCCTTAGTTCATTTGCCGGATGAGGGAGTTGATGTTGCTCTCACGATCACCAAAGTCACCACCCTGGACGAAATGTTTGAACTTCCGTGTCCTCCAACCACCGTTGGGGTTGGAGAGCTTGAAAGGCCACAGGAAATTGGAGGCCTATATCAAGATGTCAGGCGATGAAAATGTCATTAAGGTAGTACAGACCTGCTTGAAGTTGGGGCCAGCAGTGAAGATTTCATGGACAAGGTCTTCGATGGAGAGGATGTTGTATTTGCCAAGAGCCTCCTCGATAACGGCATTGTTGGCAAGAGGGATACGTTGCTTGTCAACCTTGCCGTAGCCGCGCTTGTAGATCAGTTCACGCACGGACTTGAGGTTGGGCTCGCTGGATTGGTAGTTCAGAAACACTAACAACTTGTAGTGATATTCACACGTACCCATAGGTGATATAAGGCTCAACGAGACGGAGCATTTGCTGGGTAGCCTTCGTGACCTTGACAAAGATACCATTGTTAATCTGTAGGAGTCGGAGAAGCTGGAGAATTTTTCGGGGCTTGGGAGCAATTTCGTTGATACTGGAATAGCAATGTCAGTAGCAACCGTGTACGACCAAATTAGGGAGACGCACCCCCGAATCCTAACCACGAAGTATACTTTGGGCTGAGCAGGGACGTAAAAGTCGCCAGCCGTCCGTGCTGCCCTCTTCAGTCTGATCTCTTCCCTTTCCTTCGCTTGATACTCCTTCACATAGGTCTCAGCACGCTTGAAGATGACTGTTCGTTTGGCCTTCGATGCCTATTGACATAAGCAGTCAGCAAACCAAATCACAGCAACAGCTAGACGTTCAGTCCCGAAAGATGGTTAATTAAGGCAGCATCGCGCGATAACGCTAGCCTTATGTCGAATGGTATCGTATGCATCATAAAGCAAAGCGAAGCACAGGAGTGTCGAACCTACCTTGCGGGCAGCAACAGCGGCAGCTAGACGCTCTTCACGAGCCTTTTCATTTTGTTTCCTCTTCTTCAAGAGGGTTTCAGGTACTTCGATTGCCTAGGATAAGTTGAGTGAAAATTTTCATATATCGCGACAATGTCATACCGAAGCAGTGGGGACGCTACAATATACGGGGAAGGTCCGTAAGCAAGGCATACAGCAGCAGGGAGACAGGATACTCACGTCGTCGGGGCCATGGAAATCTTGAGGAATGTCGACGCTTTTGGACCTTGGTCGTGGTTGGGTGCAGTTCGGTGGCTACTGTACAGTCTGACCAATACTTTCCCACAGTCTGAGCCGACGGCACACCGCGTGATTTGCCCAAAAATACACTGAAATATGTAATTAAATATTTATTCAACATGGCTCTGAAATTCATTTCAACCGTACTACGAAGGTGCTGCTGCACCAATGGTCGTCTCTCACCATACATTGTTTATTGGCACACTGTATCCAGGGACAGCTGAAGATTGAATACAATTTCTTTGGGTGCTTATTCCTGGTTCGGAGCTTCTATCATCCCTTTAACATCTGGAATGGCGCGCCGAGGCTGTTTTGTGGCAATTCTAACCTTCTGGCCATCATTGGGTTCATTTCAAGCCAGGACATTTTACCGCTCGGAGCTTCCTGTATGATTAGAAATCCCGCGTTTCTCAGGCTTCTTATAAAAAGGCAGAATGGTTCTCCTTATACGGCTACCACCATGCTGTTCTTCCCATGGCATACCTGGGCTGTCTTATTTCCGCTTGTGCAATTCGTGTCGTTGGTCACTTCTCAAGTAGCGCAGGTAGCCTGCAATACATCCATTGACTCCGCTTGGGTGGGTCGCGTTGGATATTGTTTTTAACACTGCTGAGGCAACCGATATCAAGTCATTTAATTCCCTTAATCAAAGCCCATGTATGGTTGCAGCCTATCTCGGAGGCGTATGCAACTCTGGGAGTAAGTAATTCCGTATTTCATTTCTGTATCGATGTTCAGAGCATCTTGCAGACTTTACTGTTACTCCTTTGAGCGAGGGACAGCTCTACGCTGGTCCCACTCTTGAACAGGCGAATAGTTGTCGATGTAGCTCTGTGTTCTATTCGCTTATCAGCGCCTGTGCGCTTTGCCAGGGGCGTACTTATGAAAGGTGCTCATATTTGTACGTTCGGCCGGCCGCTCACATCATCTACGCGAATCCAGGTGGTCTCTTTTTGATCTCAACTGCACCGACAGTGTAAATGTCCCAGTTGGAGAGTGAGTTTGCGTGTGTTCGATCACAACGGCGGAGAGACCTTCATAGACTGATAGATTTAACAATGACATACCTGAACAAACGGCGGTCCCCCACTGGGCCTATCAAAATGTCTCGGTGTGCTACCTAATTCTCTAAAGCATGAAAGCCGGCGTTGAACTCCATATTAGCTGACTGATTCTTTTGACGAGCAAGAGGCAAAGTCGGATTTAGGCAAGTTAATTGATTTCTTGAACTCAGCAACCGACTCAAACGCTGCTAGGACAGATGCTCCTGAGTCTACCGCTCAACCTACCCCTACTCCGACAGCAGCATCCCCGTCTACATCCTCCAGTGTAGCATCCCAGAAACGTACAAACGTTGGTGCCATTGTTGGAGGTGTCATCGGAGGTGTCGCTTTTGTAGCCTTAATTGGGCTGAGTGTATGGCTCATACACCTGCAACGCTCCGAATCGAAACACGAATCGGAGCCCATTCTCGATATGGATGCTCGCCCCCGCAACTTCGTCGCTTTACCCGTAGACCAAGCCGCTCCGAAGTTATATGTAAGATTACACGATCTTTTTTTAAAAATTGCCGAGACTCATGGTATGCCCAAGGATCCTTCTGATCCGAGCACTTATCCCACATCCTCACCATCTCCCGTTCTTTTGGCCAACACGCATACACATGGAACACATCAATCCATGGGATCCGCTTCCTCCGGACCTACCTTACCCTCCAATCATACGTATTCTGGAGCTCCCGAGTTGTGATTCCATCGCGTAATCTTTTCAATTGTCTGTCATGTATGTAATAATACATCGCGCTGATTTTTCTCATGATCTACTGAGAGCTTCCACCTACTTCTATGATTCTGCTCCTTTCCCTTTTGTTCATCAAGCCTCTGAGGCTGTCCGAGACTAAGTCCTAATATATGTGACCAGTGATACCGGAATCATATACAACTATTTGGTCAGATCCACAAACGATGGCTTTGAATGTGTCCCTCTGGTCATTCCTTCTTTATGCTTTTAGCCTGCGTCTCGTGAGAGGCCAAACGACCAATGCCACCTGTGTTTCCTCATATGGTTGGGTGAGTGTAGGGTACCACAGACTCGCTCAATCTTCTCAGATTAAGGCATTCTTCTAGGCCAATAATACTCTTGGACAGTCTCCTTGCTTGGTCGCGGCATATCTGGTGACTGCATGCCTCAATACATGTAAGTGTTATTTAACCACTTTCAGGGTTAGTATACAGCTCTCATGTCCTTCGTCACGCAGCGTTTCTCGTTCCAGCACTTCCCGAAAGTAACCACTATGCAGGTCCCACTACCTCACAAGCCAATCTATGCGAATGCAACACCGTCACATACTCACTTATCAGTGCTTGTGCTGATTGTCAAAACCGCGAATACCTGAATTGGGGCAACTGGACGGCCAATTGTGCTGTAGTTGCCATAGGATTGTACGATTACTTTTCAATCGGACAGAAGCGAGGATCGATATCAGCTGTTATAGGTTCCCAAAACCGGTTCCCGCTGGAACTGTCGTTCCACAATGGGCGTATATCAATATTAATTCGGTACGGTTGCGCTTGACTTGTTGACTCGCCTCTGATAAAGGTCTCCAGACTACTGATCTTTACAACCCGGAGGAAGCTGAATCAGTTGCTGAAGAAAGCACGCCGACTGCTAGTTCAGCGACATTAACTTCGTTTTCAACAGCTTCTACCGCACCATTTATTGCTTCCTCGACATTATCTGGCGACGAAAGTGCCTCTGCAGCTGTTTCCTCAACAGCGAGATCTTCTCGCGGCTCCAATGCGGGTGCTATCGCAGGCGGTGTGGTCGGCGGAATTGTGTTTCTGATGGGGACAGCACTTGTGCTGTTCTGGTTCTTCCTGCGACGTTGCAGGCAGGCACGTCCAGCTTCAGGTCCCACGGACATGGTCGATTATATTGAAAGTAGCTGCGTTACGTCTCCTCCGATACAAGAGACCTTGACGGACCGACGAGGGCCATCTCCCTTGTCGAGCATCGTGTCGCCGTACACATATGTGCGTGGTTCCTTGAATGATTTGATCATTTGTTGTATTGATGATGCTAATTAAAAGGAACCCTCGCAAAGAAGTCTGTCTCCTCCGAGTCCGTCAATACACGCAACGTCTGCCGTACACACGACTTTTGGATCTATAATATCTCACGGATACACCGGTGCTCCCGAAATATAATGCATGTAGTCTTATCTATGCCGTGGACGCTGTATTGCAAGCATTGTCTCTACAGGGTCTGCATATCAGAACATCTTCTCTACCATGAGTTCGAGCGATTATCTAGAAAGAATTGATGAAGGGTTTTTGTCCGAGTCTTGAACGAATAGGAAACCTGATTCCACCGTCCGGTTTCATATAAGTTTATAGCCCATTTTTTTTTTACTCGGAGTTGATCAAATGACTGATTTATTTCTATATAGAATCTCTGTGCTTCAAGTGCGTCTAAAATAGCCCTTACCGAGGCAATTCCCATGATATGCTATTGACCTATCATATTATGGGCTGCACGTTCCGGTGGTTGTTTCACTCTCTCTATACGGCTTGGATCCTTAGAATCCTGATCAGAATGAGAAAGCCCTTGGAGAGCCCTCCTCATGTTCAGAATCTGTTCTTTTTGCATCTACGTGCTAAGGCTCGCCCTGGCCTTGCATTTTTTGGTCATGGGAACAAGCTCTAGCGCTGTGTCAAATGTAACTTGTTTATCTTCATATATATGGGTATGTACTACTACTATGTGATCGATTGGTTGTAAGCTGAGCTGTCACTAACTTATTGTTGCCACAGACAGAAAATGACTGTGAACAAACACCCTGCGAAGTCGCTGCTTATCTTATTTCCCAATGCACTGACGGACGTAAGTCATTGCCGTGCTAAAGCTCATCTGTTGACGGCACGTACGCCTTTCACAGCTTTTACACTCAACCCGCTACCGGCAAATACACACTACTCAGGGCCAACTTCCCCCCAAGAAGCCAACGAATGCGAATGCAGTTCTGTTGTTTATTCTCTCGTGTCAGCTTGCGCTGTATGCCAAGAGAGGAATTATCTAACGTACCTTTCATTTCCGCCTCGGAACAACTAGACTAAGATCATTGCAGATGGGACACATGGAAAGCAAACTGCTCTGCGGTATATTATTCTATGTATGTACTCTTAGCGGGGTCCGTTTCTAACTCAAAGCGTGGCTCTAGTTTTCCTAAGAATATACCGATCGAGACAACAGTTCCAGTTTGGGCGTATGCCAACTATGTAGTTGCGTAGCATCTTTTCGTGGTTTGGTCTTAACAGCCGATCTTATTGTTCAGGACCTCGACGCATTCGATGTTTCTGCCGCTCAAAGTCTAGCCAGTGAAAGTAACGTTATACACCACCCTCGAAAGCTACTTTTTACTGAGCTGTCCGCATAGAACTTCCTGACTCTTCATTTGTGCCAGAGTCCACTACATCAAATACTCTCAATGTGCCTCCCGTGACTACCACTACGAGTTCGATAATCGCAACGCCTACTCCCATGACGACGTCTGCAGATTCACCTCGCCCCACGAGTAATGCGAAGGATCTTGAGTCGACGGCACGAAGCCATACGATCGGTATCGTCATCTGGGTCATCGTAGGAATTGTAGCAACACTAGGATTAAGCATTGGGTCAGTCTTTCTCATGAAAAAGTGGCGAAGACATCGAGAAATGCGCCTCCTTACTCCGCGGTATCATGCTGTTCATTCGCGGGAGAATTCCCAACCTGAAGAGATGAAAGAAATTGTACACACCAATACAAGGTAGTTCAGCTCATTCACCGTTTGTTCAGGCGCTGATCACTACTCTTTAGCTCAAGAATATCCATTCCTAGCATAATTCCTTATGTATTTCTTTTACTGTGACTCCTTGTCTCCTTGTGCACTCACCTACTCTATTTATGTTTCTAGCCTGCGAGTGACGCTGGTTCTACATTGCAGATGTCACCTGCTGTGGAATCATCTGCCTTTTATGCTTCACTTGAAGATGGAGAGGTACTAGCCCGAGACTTTGGTCCACCCGCTCAATGGCATTACACGCCACAGCGGAAAATAGCATGAGGGAGCCGGTCTGCGCTGCACTCTGCTAACTTAAAAAGACTAAAATCTGGACTGTCAGTACTGCTATGTATGTGTGTGTAGTAATGTCCGACTTGTGATATAGACTTTGGTTGCGTATTTGCAGAGATGGACACCTTACTTGTACCTTGTATTTGACGTGTTTACTCGATCTGTGCGATGGGAAGCACTTTCCTACAAGGACGATGTCGATATCACGGTAAGCGCGTCGAGTGAAAAAAAAATTACATTGTACTGAGCTACAAACCTCAAATGCAGAGACTCTACTAGGGTATAAGGGACCACCCATTCTGACAATTAATACAAAAAATGCCGCCTATCTCAAAGCCCCGGCGGTGTTTTCTTCTAATGAAGACGAGATAAAAACATGATTTATCCACACCGCTCTCAGCTTACCCGGAGAGTAGGAAGCCCGGACACTTCCTCTACGTCATCCTTGTCCTTGGACTCGGATGCTGTTTCTTCGTCGCGACGGGCCTTGTGACGTTGACGTCTTCGGTACGTCCAGATACCGACCAAGCCAACAACCGCCATAAGACCGACGACACCGCCTGCGACACTTCCACCCACAACTTTGTCGCGGTTGGAATGACTTTCCTGAGTGGAAGTCGCCGCTGGAGACGAGGTCACCGGTGATGCGGTCGTCGAGGTAGGTTGTGGGACGAAAGTTGACTCTGTGGCATCTGTCCAAAGAGTAACTATATCAATATTTGAGATGACAGACGGGACAGCGAGCACTTACTAGCATTCTGCTTCGCTTGGTTGATGTCAAAGGTGTCCTGAGTCTATGCCGAAGACATATTAGTGATTAGTGTAAAAATGATTCAGGGATCTGAGCCGCCTTACCTTTGTGACATCGAGATATGCCCAGCCAGGAACGTGTGTGCCTTCTGGTATCGGGTCGGGAAAACTGACGTGCAAAAGTTAACATCGCGTCAAGCAACGCGTCAACGGATGCAAAATCCTACCCTCCAATATCGACCGAAGCACAGTTGACACGCCATAGGCTCCATCTATTGCGAGTGAGACTGTGTTCATGTAATAGACCGCAGCCTAACTTACTGCTCATACGTTCGATTCTGGCAAGCTGCACATGCACTGATGAGAGAATAGGACACGGTGTTACATTGGCAGGGATTAGCCCCGTCGATGCTTGGACCAAGATAGTGACTCTGATCCGGTAAAGATTGGATATCGTACGCTAGCACACAGATATTAGACGCTAGCACCATATAGAAAGCAAGGATAGACTTACTTCCACCGTCGCATACGCCTAGCAAAGAGGATGCCACAGTACATGGATCCTGGGAGACCGCGTTGAGAGTCTGAGAAAGAGAAATATCAGTTGACTTCGTGCACCTTAAAATTGCATCATTACCCAGTTAAATGAAGACAGTGTACAAGTGGCGGTCATATTTGTCTGGGCAACGACTACCAGTGGGATCAAGACGGTGAGGAACAGTACAGAGAACGACGACATCTTCACAGACAGAGACAGATCCACGTAAGTTGGAAGACGTCTGGCAATCCTTTTAAGAGACACGAAATTTAATTGTCCATTGCGAACAGGACCTGAGGAAGAGCAATAATGTCCGTCCTGGCACCGATTGAGCTGACAGTTCCCAGTACCTGCAGATGAACTTGAGAGTCCCATCCAGGTACTCGAATTTATATACTGATGAACCAATGACCGCATGTGTATATGCGTTCGCCAAGGCGAACTGACCGCTGACAAGTGATTGACCTGGCCGCATGTAAGGTCCCAACCGAAGGGGTTGGATTCGAATTATCCGACAACTCACATCATACTGTTACAAGTTTTCTGTATCGTTCCTTCTATCTAAGCTTCCCCAAATACATGGCGCATGAAAATCCGCTTGTGAAGCTTGGCTCCTGCGTCTTGGATCGCGGCGATGTCTTCCGACGTCAGATCCGCTACGTCAGGAGTCTTTAGGGTCTCTACGATTCGCGCTGGCTTCGAAGAGGTCCTGTATTTAGGTAAGTACAAACTTCCTCAAAGGGCGAAGTTCTGGCCGTACGTTACAACGAGGATGCCTTTCTGGATGAGCCACTTTGTGTAGACTTGGCCTGGAGAGATCTTCAGTCGCTCGGCGATGCGGCCAACGACGGGGTCGAGGGGACCACCGGGAGCCCGGACGATGGGAACGAGTCCACCATATGAAGCAATAAGAATCTTGTGCTCCAGGGCGTAGCTGTAGATAGGTTCGGCAGCTTTGAAGACATATGGGTGGAACTCAATCTTGCCAAATATAAGGACTGAATCTGATTGGCGAAGTGGATGCTTACCTGATTTACGGCAGGTATAACAGTCGCAACCTGGACGACCTCCTTCAAATCTTGGACTCTAAAGTTGGACACTCCAATGCTCTTTGTCAAACCTTCCTTCTTGACCTCTTCCATCTGCTTCCACCACCCCTTCAGATCGCCTTTTGCCGACGTGGGGTCGTGGATCAAGAATAGGTCAACGTATTCCAGTCCCAGCTTCTTCAGCGAGATCACCAATGTATCCTTGATAGTCTGGCCCTCCGCAAGACCCTTCAACTTGGTCGTCACATACAGCTCAGAGCGCGGCTTTCCGGATGCCTTGATCCCTGCGCCAAGTGTGTCTTCATTCTCGTACATTTGCGCACCGTCGAGATGGGTCACGCCGTTCTCGATGGCCACACGAACGGCTTCTGTAGCATCTTGCTTGTAAAGGGCAGTACCAGTGCCGAATGCGACCCAGGGAATGATGGTGCCGTCGTTGAGAGTGTAGGAGAACATATTGGTTCTAACCAAAGCGCGCATCAATGGCGACAGAAACCGTCAGCCATGGGTCATTATTTATACCACAAATAACACATCAGAATCCGCGATAAGTCGCAGACCTTAGTAATCCCATTACAACATCTACCCACCTTCGGAACGCCGCTTTCAGTTGTTTTGTCACCCCATTATCGCATCCAATGGCGAAGAACTCCTCTTTTCATCGCGATATCGAAGGGCAAAAGGTGGGGGGAGGGTTACCCACAAGCGGACCGATGGCCGCGTCATTCAACGGAACGTCTATCCGTCTCGGCCAAACGAAAGGACCGGCCCTAAAGGTTGAGCCCAAAAGCGCCACGACAACAAGTTTAACTCTCATCTTTTAACAACTACCAGGCGCTGTACATACCACATGTTAGGCTGTCTTCTTCTCGACAGCTTCTCATCGCGGCAGCCTCAGATAGACGGTGCGCTCTTTGGCTGGACATCCGTAGTTATTAGATGGATGAAATTCGGTCACCTAGCGTTCCGACACGTATAACTCAGCAGTACATCTTGTATGGTTCGGATCTTCGAGTGGATATTACGATGGATCATTTCAACTCCCAGTCCTTGTGGTGTGCGGACGTCCAAGTCCAAGTCGACGTCCCACTCGGTAACAGCGGTGAATTTCTGATGGATCTGCATGTTACCAAGGCACTGACGAACCTACTTCGCTCTTACTAAAGCTAGATTAAAGATCTGTTTTATACATACATTGATACACAAGTTCATGTCGAAAAACAATCTCTATGCCTTGTTTTCGCTAGTGCTAAAAATTCATATTCATCTTCATTCTACGGAATTCAATTGTCGCCTGAAACGCTGTATTCGGGATGTTGACAGATAAAAGACGCCTATATTAGAGAGTATACAATCTCTGACGGCCCTGGAGTGCCTCAAGTTCGCGCAGTCAACCTGTGGATGCTCGCACTGAGAAATAGGTTCGCATTGGCGCTCTGTAAAACTCACATCATGGCGCACCATACAGTTTTGCACAAGACTTACCTCACGAGTTCAAGTCATCATGCAACAATCGCCACTGGGATCTTCACGAAAGCGGCTGAATATATTCCCGTGCCAGCAGAAATGATCCCAGCGTATCATAAAATACACAGAACGTAATATCATAGTTCGGGCCGGCGTGTCACATTTCGAGCACGAGAGGATGATGCTTGGTTAGACGTTCCTCTGGAAGGCCTGGAAGACTCTTGACGCAAATCCTTGCGCCTTTGACTGCGTCGAATTTGACGAACGTGAGGCGTCGCGCGATCAGAAGAAGTCCGAGGTCTCTGAATCGGTGCCGGCATGCGCTTATGGCGTGTGTGCGGAGCCTTGTGGGTCGTCAGTCACGGACAAACAGGCGAAAAGAATAGTGTCTCACAGGCACTGTAACTAAAATCTGCGTAGTCTGAGGTATTGCTCGACGATCTACCAGGATACCACGGGTTCCTTGGCTTGGCTTTGGTTTGTGACGCCGTCTAGTTACCAACCATATAACCAATCCAACAATCGCCAGAAGGACCACGCATCCTACGACGGCTCCGATGATTATACCAGACTTTACTTTTTCAGATGCCGTGATGGTCGGAGAAGAAGTGCTCGTTGCGGTGGCACTTGGTACCGCCCCAGTAGATTCAGACGTGTCTAAGAACGAGAACTATGGTGAGTGAGTAATGCATAGAATAAAACATTATGGACCTGCCCGTGTCTGATGCAGCCAGTGTCTCGTTAAAATCATTATAGATCTAAGTATGAAGAGATTAGCAAAGTATGTCAAGGCACGTAGGATACCTACCGTAACATTCTGATAAGCCCAGTGTGGTACTGCGGTATCTTCTGGAATCTCGCCAGGATAGCTATCGGAGTGATAAGAAAACTTGCAATTCACAAGTTTAGATGATGGCTGACACGGTGACATAAACACTAGTGCAGTTTGTGCTCCAAGACGACCAGCTATGTGTGATATCAACAGAGGGTTCGAAAAGAAACGCGGCGAGCTTGCCTTGCATAACCGCGATCCTGACAGAAGGCGCATGCACTCAACAGCGAATAGTAAACAGAACTGCATAGACAAGGAGTGCTGGACCCCTTCCAAGGGCCATCATAGATTTGTCCTACTTCTAATGGTACAACAGTGTAGGCTATACAAGACAACATGAATTTGGATGACAAGACAATGAAGCGTTGTGCGCGCACTCACTTGAAGAAGTACAAGCACCCATAAGGGACGAGGCTATACTACAAGCACTCTGATTGAGAGAATTATACACCTGGGCCCCAATTACGCAACCTGGTCAGTGACTTTGAAGGAAATAGCCAATATACTGCCTACCCAGCTATCGGTGAACGACTGATTGCACGTTGCCTCTTGGGCCAGGGCCAGCTGCGTTTTGAAAAGTAAAAGCAGAATACCCCAGGCAAACACCGACCGTAACATATCTAAGAAGAAGAAAGTGGAGTCTCGCATATCTCGTTATCACCATATTTCAAAAGGGGTGAGCAAGGGGCCTGTCGACCGCCTTGTCTTTATATGCCATTGCTAGCGCCGTATGTAAGCCACCGGCCACCGAGAGTAACGTACGATCTGTGCGCAGTTCCCCCAAGGCACGATCCGATACACGGATACTTCAAATGCGTGAATAGAACAAGGTAGAGTAAGGCAATTAGTAGGCAGTTCTGGTGGACATTAGGACAAATAGGCGCCGATAGCTTGTTTGCTTCAAACAGAGCCGACTTGAAATGTCATGGGGAATATGTCATCCTCAGCCTATTAGAACGCGCTGGGCGAACAAAAGACGAAAGCGGGGGCCCAGGTGGCATGCTATACAGTATAGAAGGGTTTTCGCCAGGATTTTATTACTTGTATCGGCGAGACTGACATGAGTAAGGCGGACGCATAAGTTCTGATCAAATTCTTGGAAAGGGATAAGAATGTCAATATTACTGTTGATAAGCAGGTGAGCCATTACACCCTATCGCATCCTCATTTGACCGTCTTTTCCACAGGTAATTAAGTTCATTGACAAGGATCGAGGCGTACTACTAGAGCTTAAATCGGCCATCGACAAAGTCCATGATTAAATCGAAGGCCTTGAGAAGAAGATTGACCTGTGAGTCTGCTGCGAATGTTCTAGTACGCTTTTTCTCATGTATTATTGTAATCGAATCTGACAATATTATAGATACTTGAATCATATGCTAAATCCGCCGCTACCCTCCGCAATATCCTGTCTCTTCTATTACCACAACGCGACTCTATCGAACAGACGATGGAGGCAATCGCAGAAGCCAATGCCGAAGCTAAAGAGATAGACGATGCGGTTCACATCGGCGGAGAGATTGCGGTTGGGGCAAATGACGGGTTTGACGAAGACGAGTTGCAGGCAGAGCTCGACGGGATGATAAAGGAAAGCCAGGAAGATGAAGACATGAAGGCGCTGGCGGAGAAGCAGCGATCGAGGGAAGATGGATCGACCGGGCAAGACGTGGACAACATGATTACTGAAGAGACTATGATGGCGGTACTGCAGACATACCTTATTTCTTACACTTATGATATCAATTGCATCAACACATGTTCGCTACATATACAATGCATATTTCGGTCAAGGATATGAATTACTTCCGCTCGCTGCTGCCAGAAAGACCCATGGCATCTTTAGCCTCGCCCAACATTGATTGCTGAAGATAAGTTGGGAAATATTTACGATAAAGAACTTGGCTTGGTGACCCACATCATTCTCATTGGAGTTGCTGCCAAAAGTATCATCCATCTTCTGGGTGTTGCTCTTCTCGTCCTGTGTTGCAAATCAGCAAGAGTATGTGGAACATGAATCACGTTGACAAACCTGGGGTTGGAGCGTGGAGGCTGTAGAGTCGGCGTACCCTTTCACGGTATCGCCCATGTGCTCGGTGGCAGACTTCTGGCTATCAGGCTGCATGAAACACACCATTAAACTTTGGCCAAGAGCGAATATCAGTAGAACTGACCTTCAAAGCCGATCCAGCCTTGTCGGTGAAAGATTGACGGCCAGTGTCGGACATGATGTATTTGTTGTGGGTAAAAGGTAGTGATAAGAGTTGTTGTTGTGATTGAAGCTGAAGATTCGCTGAAGGTAATTGAACGAATCATCCCAGGCTTATATACCCTGACAGCCCCGAGGGTGGAGCGATCCAGTTAAAACAACTAACATACTTCGTGACGATGTGACTACTCGTACAGAGATTCATAAATATCCGGTCAGAGCTTAAGACCAACGTTGATGTGGACAGCCTTCACTTGTGTATACCTTGAGCCAACAGTTAGGGAAAAAGTCATGGCGGGGGGGAGAAAAGGCGCGTACATATCGATTGCGTACTCTCCCAACTCCCTTCCATTACCGGATTGTTTGTACCCACCAAACGGCATGTTTTTCTCCACAGAGTTGAAAGAGTTGACCTGGAACGCGAGTAAGCGAGTAAGGTAAGACATTTCGCCACGTCATATACGAATCATCCACTTACGAATGCCTGCCCAGCCTCGAGAGCATGGGCCACCCGAATCGCACGGCTTGAGTTCTCCGTAAAGACAGCGCTCGAGAGACCGTAGACGGTGTTATTCGCCATCTCGATGACCTCTGTTGACGTGTCAGGCTCGTCAACAGCCGACACTGGTCTCACTCACCCTCTTCGCTCTTGAATTTGATGACTGCGGCTACTGGGCCAAAGACCTCCTCCTTTACAATCTTCATGTCAGCTGTACATTCCGTTACGATCGTCGGTTGGATAAAGTAGCCCTCTGAACCATGCCTTAAACCGCCGACGTGAATATTAGCACCGTCCGTCTTTGCTGAGTCGATGTAGTCCATTACGCGCTATACTTCATCGATGAATATAATGACAGACAGCAGGGACTTCACGACTTACGTCGAATTGAGTTTGTGATACTTGGGGACCGTGTTTTGTAGATGGGTGGAAGGGATCTCCGGTGGCTGACTGAAGGGAACGAGCAGCATGGGTGAACATTGGAAGGAATTTATCATATATGCCCTCCTGTACGAATATTCGGGATCCCGCATTGCAGTTTTGACCTGAAGTTTTGTCAGAGGAGTGTCAAGAAATGCAGTCTCAACACGAACCCATATTGAAGCTAAAAGTAAATGAAAGTGAGTGTGTCGTACACCAAGAAAGTCTAAGGAAACATACAAGATGCCCCGAGTTGTCCATTTCACTGCCTGTTCGATGTCCGCGTCGTCAAAGATGATGTTTGGACTCTTTCCACCAAGCTCCAGGGTCACTGCTTTCAGATTTGAATTTGCCGACGCGATTTGAATTTTCCGTCCTGTAGCTGTACTTCCCGTAAAAGCAATTTTCTTAATAACTGGGTGTTCGCTGATAGCTTGTCCGACAGTATGGCCTAAAAAAAGAGTAAATTGGTTGTCGTAGTTCTGCGGATGGGGATGTTGATTACCGTATCCATTTACAATGTTAATGACGCCTGGCGGGAAACCGGCTTCGTTGCAGAGTCCAGCAAGTCTGAGAGCCGTCAGTGGGGTCAGTTCGGAGGGCTAATGGATCATTCAGATTCGTGGCCACAAGATCATTTAAATTTCGTCTCACCTTCAGAACGATTACGTTTCCAGTGGCTAGCGCAGGACTGACCTTCCAAGAAATCATGCTCTACGTGATGTTCAACATTTACCAAAATGATATGGTTAATAGCACGCGCACCAAGGGATAGTTCCAGGGAACAATTTGGCCCTACACTTCTCTCAGACAATAATAAGTAAAAAGGACCAAGATGCGTACGACGACACCATAAGGCTCATGTCTGGTGTACGAGAGCTTTTTTTCGTTCGTCTACCAAGGTATGAAGCAAATGAAAATCTCATGGAGATATTATGCACCTCGATAGTTTTTCCCTGAATTTTATCGGCCCATCCAGCGTAGTAGCGTATAGTATCGATGGTGGATGCGACATCAGCCATCCTTGCTGTTCCAAACGGTTTGCCTCACGCCGGGGTGAGTGTCCATATTCAATGCTATTTAGACCAATTAAATACACACCGACATTCAAAGCCTCCAAAGCCGCAAATTCATCAGCATTCTTCTCGATTAGATCGGCCAACTTGCTCAGCATTCGGCCCCGAACGCTTCCAGGTACCTTAAGACCCCAGGAGGTCTTGTACGCCTGGAAGACATCACTGAGATAGGATACGTGCCAATGATGATTGACAAACCTGCTTCGCTGCCTTGACCGCGATGTCTACATCCTTGTCTGACCCGGCGGAAACAGAGGTAATCACTTTCCCGGTCGCTGTTGTACATTCTCATGAGCTGGTAAGTCCCAGCAAAGACCTAGAAAATCGTACATGGATTTATCACCCTGAGGCAACGAGTCACGTTAGCGTTCAAGATCTGCAATAGTGATAAGGTTCGGTCGGACTGACTCAATTTTAGCATCAACGACAGGATCAACGAACTCTCCATTGATGAAGAGGCCAGTGTTGAAGGTTGATTTTCCCTTGTACAGTTGAGTGTCGAATGTGTAAGTAAAGGTAGAAGGCATCTGACTGAAAGATTTTCGTTGGAAAGGGCAGGGGGCGATATCTTGTATGCAGGGCTTGGCCTGTCTTAGTAAATGTCTTGTCAACGTAGCGCGATCTCTCGCTGTTAACGTTAAGGTCTAGATATTTTAGACTTGGGCTTCCGAGTTTGTTATTCACAACGAGAGAGCGACCGCACTGGCCGAAACTATAAGATACAGTTAAGAGACATCTGCTTTACGGTAAATTAAAATGCAACAGAAGGATAGCAATGGGCCAGAGATAGAGTAACACGAGATGATGATTGGATAAGATGAGAAGTGTAGATATGCGAATGTCAATGCTTTCAGCGAATGAAAAATCAAGGTGTCACCGAACAAGTTTATGTGAAGGTGGAGGAAAGTGCTCAAAGGAAAGAAAACTGATAAGAGAAAGAGATGAAGAATCTATGTTGGGACTTGGCCTCGTCCTCGTCCACGACCCCTCCCTCGTCCACGACCACGTCCCCGAGGCATCGCGCCTCCTCTATTCTCTGCAACGGGAACAATCTGTCCCCGGAGTTCGTTTGGACCTTCTGCCAGAGGCATCTGGGATTGTGTGTGCTTCTGCTTCTGCTTCTGCTTCTGCTGCTTGTTATGAAATGCACTTGGGGGGGTTTCTTGAGTAGGCCAGTTATCCCGCTCCTCCCGCTCACCCATGCTGGGAGTAGGAGGAGGGGTGAAGCCACCGAACCGCATGAGGAGTTTGATAATGTCGTTGAAGTGTTCCAAGCGTGCGTTACCACTAAGAGCTTTATTGACGTTATTCGGCTTCAACATCATGTTACGTCCCTCGGTGGAGGTTACCCATGACCACGCCCTGTTGATATCGTCAGAGCTGGCGAGGGATTTGTCGAGGATCATCCAAACGACTTCAGGGTCATGGGAATCAAGGGCAAGAGTGAGAAGATTGGTGGATTCGGGAGGTGTATAAATGGGTTCTGAGTCTTCGTCTTTGGGAGGGAAGGCGTCGAAGAAATACGTGACGATCTTTTGGTGACCATTTCGAAGGGCAATATGAAAGGCAGTAAGACCTTCTCCGTTGCGCTCCTCGGGGTCGGCATCTGCTTGCAAGTTTGATTAGGCGCAAAGGTAAATGGACGATGAGACTCACTATGCGCGTCAAGCCACGTAACGAGTTCATGGTCACCTTTTAAGGCGGCGATATGCAACAAGGTTTCCTGTGGATCCTTTGGTTTTTGCGAGACAAACTTCTCGCAATCACGTTTGATTTCCCCTCCCGCCGCGTCAACCTCATCCTCCCACACACCGGCCTTGACTTTGGTTGCATCGTCCGCACGAGCTGCGGCAAAGACGGCGGACCTCACCGCCTGAGCTATCTTCAGCCGGGTATGTATCGCCTGTTCAGCTTGTCTACGCTGAGCCACTGCTTCTGACTTTTTTGCTTCTACTTTTTCCTTTTGTCGCTGTTCCGCCTGACGCCGAGCTGTGCACAAGATATCCAACATGAGAATGTCCGCGAGAGTTACGGCAACAAACCTCGTTCCCTGTCTTGCTCTTGCCTTGCCTTGCGGGCGGCATCCTCTCTCTTGCGACGCTCCTGGGCTGCGACTTGCTCTTCACGAGACCTGCGCACACGCTCGGCGTATTCTTCGGGTGACTCACTCATCGGCATGAAGTGCTCACGACGATACTCTGAAAAGAAGATGAGTTCTTATCTTCTTGACAGCACAAGATATACAGACTGGTGTGCATGTAGCGATTAGTGTGTCCTCTCATAAATTGTTCGAATAAAAACCTATAAAGGTAAAGAAGTCAGCAGCCATTATGGGCAAAAACCGAGGCACCGTCGCACATGTAAAAGTCCATCTCATCATCGGAATAGTACTCATCGTCTGAGTAGTCATCATAATCATCATGACTATTGTCGAGGTACTTGATGAGTGTGTTGTAGGCGTCTCCTACTTGCTGGAACTCCCGGGTGGCATCTGGGTTGTTGGGGTTTTTGTCAGGGTGCGTGCGCAATGCAATCTAGGGTGATGAAACGACAATGAAAGTGTATACAAAGTGCAGAATACAGAAAAGCTACTCGTTTGTAAGTGTTTTTCACCACATCCAGTGATGCACCCTAGGAGAAAGTTAAATAATTAGTTATCGGTGCAAAGGACGCCAGACAAACCTCTTGCAAGCCCAGGACACCGTAGGCATCGAGTATTGAGGCATGATTCGGGGGCATCACCGCTTGGGTAGAGGCAGTGGATGTGGTCTGTGGTCAAACAACAAAATCAAAGAAAAAATGCCAATAAGACGCGACGCCCAAATAGGAAGTCATCACTTGGTCACCACCCACCACCGACAAATCGTGTCGCTCGTCGTTTTTCTATTTTTCACTCTAACGACGCGTTCTGTCCTGGTCCGCACGTTGTCATTCTCACTGAATGTCGTCAGACGGCGCGCTTGTCGGTTCTGTCACGCCTACGGTTGTCACTACTGATGTTACACCAACCTCACCGAATAACGATGGAGGAATACTTTCCCAGCTTTTCAAGGCGACAGGAATTGGTTCTGACAAGTGCGTTAAATATTTTGGAACTATGCCCGACACTGACCTATATGCCTCAAGTATAGTCCTTACTTCAACGCCGGTTTCGGTCTCATGGTAGTGCCATTCATCCCAAAAAATTTCGCCTTCCTTATACCTTGTCATTTTCAAAGGGAGTAGGTGTTGTTGTAGCTTATGCAAGTCAAGCATTGAAGCTCGGATCTATTGCTCTTCAACGGCGGTTGTTGGTCACTCTTGAAATCAGAAACAAAGATCCCTCCTATGATTGGTTCCTCACCTGGCTTGCTCTCCAAACAACCTCCTCACCAAGGCCTGATGGAAGAGTTCGCTGGGCACGAAGCAGCCAGCTCAGTGTCGAGACACGGATGAACCAGGAAGAAAACACCCGAAACGCCACCTTTGATCTTGTCGCAGGACCAGGAAACCACTATTTCAAGTATCGTGGAGCTTGGATCAAGGTCCCATCTATCGCTCCTCGAACTTCGGGCCGCTACTAACACGATTCGGCAGATGACACGACAACGTGAGACTCGCGCCGTCAATTTACGAAGTGGCGATCCATGGGAAACGGTTTCCCTCACCACACTTTCTCGTGATAGGAACATTTTCCCTGTTTTACTCTCAGAGGCCAGGGACATAGCTGCTCGGCAGCAAGAAGGAAAACTGGTAATATACACAGCTTGGGGGGTCGAGTGGAGACCTTTCGGGAAGGCACGCTCTCGAAGACCACTTCCGAGTGTGGTTTTGGCTCCTGGACAGTCCGAAAGAATCCAGCAAGATCTTAAATCTTTCATGGAACGACGTCAGTGGTACGCTGACCGTGGTATCCCTTATCGCCGAGGCTATCTTTTACATGGGCCTCCCGGCTCTGGAAAATCCTCCTTTATCCAAGCCCTCGCTGGCGCATTTTCTTACGATATATCTATCATCAGTTTGTCTGAGAGAGGCCTTGGCGATGACAAATTCAATTTCCTACTTTCAAATGCTCCAGCACGCACCTTTGTCTTAATTGAAGATATAGATGCCGCGTTTAATAGACGGGTTCAAACCTCTGAAGACGGGTAAGCATATTTTTTATTCGCTCGCATTTCAAGCACCGGATTATGACAAGTTACTCAGTTACCAGTCTTCCGTCACTTTTTCCGGATTCCTGAATGCTTTGGATGGTGTCGCCTCGGGCGAGGAACGAATAATATTCATGACGACAAACCATGTCGAACGACTCGATCCTGCACTCATACGGCCAGGGCGCGTGGACGTTTCAGAACTGCTTGACCATGCGGTGCCGGATCAAGCGTACAGCCTCTTCATAAGCTTCTATGGCGGCGACTCGTTAGTGAGTAAAGAGACGTTAGAAGCTATCGGTACAAACTTGAAGAACCTTGTTTCTGAGGAGATGGACGTGGGGCGGAGAATCAGTATGGCAGAGCTGCAAGGTCTCTTCATTCGTACAGATGTTCAGCAAGTAATGAAAGCTTGCGAAGACATCTTTACCCAAAAACACCGACAATAGGTCTGGAAATGGCAATACCCTACTCAAAAGTATATATCTTATAATTCACAACCATAATAAAGATGCAAGAAAGCTATCAGCCATGGCTAAGTACGTATACACCCAATGCAAAAGGATATGAATGTCAGAATACAGGCTTCCGTTTGCGGCCTGTAAACTTCGAGTCGCGAGGAACGCTTTCTTTGCCCCGTTTTCGATATAGCTAAAATGAAGGGCATTAGAAATTAAACACCTGAATGACACGCAAACCTACCTCCTTCTTTTTCAATATCCAATCCCTGCCCTTGATGGGTTTTCTCTTTCCACTGTTCGACCTCGTCCGTTCTCGCTCCCTTCGCCGTTCAAACCGTGCTTTGCCATCTTCCTCTACCTCACCATCGAGTCCTTGCGGTACCTGCTGCGCCCCACCTCCACCGACGAACAGACATAAAAAGACTTTTTTGGCTTTCTTTGAGTTTGGGTAGTCTACAACTATACCACCACCAAATCCAGCCTTTTGGGCTATTGACGAGATGAGTTGAATTTGGTCATCAGAGGAAGGGTAAAATTGAAACACCGCGCGTGAAGGATTCCGCAGAGCTGAATGGAGTGTGGTGAAGAACCTATTGAGACGATGGGGTGGGGAGGATGTCGGATGGGATGTTTCTGCGTTTAATAACCATTGCAAGACAGAGACACTGAAAAAGTATATCTAAGAATAAATTTGAATGATACTGCTGTTAGTAACCTGATAGCGCCGTCAAAGCTCCCTGGTCGGAATCCAAAGCCCTGACCAATGTCCTGCAAAAAGAGGTCACCTTCAACTTCCCGTTCAAGTGCGACCTCTTGACCATGCATTTAGTATAAATTGATGTATCATGCGCAAGCGACGTACCAAGCATACTGGGAGCGATATCGACACCTGTCCATATATATCCTTCTTCGTCAAGAATCTCACCAGACAGCCCGGATCCACATCCGATATCCAGCAACATGGCCGGCTCGTCGGGCAGTAGATTCAGTAGTTCCAGCGCTCGATATGTCATGTCAGCCTGGATCTGCTGATTCCGTGTACTGAGTGGTCGAGGTCATTGTCGTGACACGGTGAATGGCTCATATACGCACTTTTTTGTGTACTTTTTTGCTTCCACGTCGCCATAGTACTGCAAATTATCAAACTCGTTCCACGGAATAGAGAAAGCACCTTACAATTTCTGGCGGGGCTTGTAGTTCTGGCCGCGACATGACGATGGAAAAAACGAGGGCCAAACCGTGGGAGGTTTGGAAATTTCATGCGGGTCTACGGTCCGATGGTCCGCTTGCTACACCTGATTGAATACAGTCTGGAACTGTATGTCTTGCTTTACTTCCGAGGAATCTGGTGTAGAGGCGGCGAGCTTACCGATTTTGGTCAGGGGGGTTTGTTCTCTGTTGCTCCAGCTCTTCAACTTGCTATATTCAATAGCCCCTTGCGCGTTTTTAGCCTAGAATCTTGTGTCTTGACCTTGCCCTGTCATCTTTACAGTGAACCCGTAAATTCTCCACGAGGCTCGGCGTTTAAATTTTTTTTTTTCCGATTTTTAGCCACACAGGAATTCCTCATATCCTGTCTATAGCTTGCGTGTAACCTCTGTGATTCCTGCTTACTTCTTTGCTCGGACAATATTGCCCCATAAGCAGAGGCATTCTGGAACGGGGAAACTCTGCTTTGTCAAGGTTTCCTAGGGCTGCGGAAACGGTTGTGATCATATGGAGTCAAGCACAGCGCCTACTGTCAAACTTACGCTAGAACTCCCAGCTCCACCACGAGCTTGATTGACCCCAATGACAAGGTAAGCATACTTGCGGGAAATGCCGGTCAAGAAAGGTCCATGGATGTCTATCAAGGTCAAAATTCACCTTATTTTCCTGCCGACCATGATGTTATCGTCCCAACGGAGGGATTGAATTCCCTTCCGCTGTTTTTACTTAACGACGTATGTCAAATGGTCATTCTCAAAACCGGCCAGCTCATTGTTCTCCGAGGCACTAGTTTGGTGCTATCATGCGATGTTTCTCGTCTTCTGACTGTTATTTTGCGACCCACTATTGGCGATTTAATTATACGACATCCAAAGCGACATGAGGCCCCAGAGTGTCTCTTTTTATGCTTGATTCTGTCCGACCCACCGGGTGTGCAGAATATGCCAACTAAGGTTCAAGCAATATTCATATCGATAGCCAATCCCGAATATCCAAACACTCAATGCCTTCAAAGAAGATTATTTGCGCGTCTTCCGCTAAAGGTTTCTCTCTAGACCAATACGTCACACTGCCGGCTTTCAACCAGATGTTGGTCCTGTTTTCCGAACCGACGTTTGGGAAAAATCGCCTGATATACCTATTCCTCACGAGGTTTGACAAAAAAAATCGTTCACGGAAGGTAGTCTGTATGTTTTCCTGTGACCAATCTCGACATCTACAACAGCCGACTGCATAATAATCGCCTTCTGAACATCATACGTATGATAGGAATCTCCAGGAGTAATTACCATAATCGGTGATAGCCCTGGGCTATTTTCATGCGGAAGAAATGTTGTGTAGATGGAATAAGGCCGACTCGGAGTGCTTGCGCGGGTCCAATCCTTCTCATCAAACTCAGAAGTGGTGGATGACCTCACATACGCAGATAGTAGAGAGCTAGGAACCCGGGCCGATACTCTTCATGCCGTACTTACATTCTGAGTCCCATCCAGGATCCGGAATCGGATTGTCGAGCTTCCTGAAAAGCACCGTGTCATCTTGTCTTCAGTTGTTTTAATTGCTGCACAAATTTGTCCAAATGATTATTGTGAGGAGGCGTCAGAGTGTGCTCATCGTCCACCAGCAGGAAATCTTCGTCGCTAGTTTGATGCTGCGGGGTTCCCAGCGGCGTAAGCAACGTGGATATAATACAATTGTGCTAAAGGACATGCATATGAATAATCTGTGGCGGTATGACGAGATTGGTGAACTTTGCCTATGTCGAGTCCAACTCGGCAAATCGGTCACTGATGATTGTTTGGTGAAAGGGTGAAAAGACGATATTCTGGTTTTGTAACATTGCCTGAGAACAGAGCGATGAGGTTATTGGCCAATTATACAGCAATGATCACAGCTGGGACATTGGAAACGGATCCTAAAAATATTGAAAACAAACGGTCACAGAATCATGTGTGGAAATTTCCGCGGCTGAGTTGGCCGTTGGACGAATTGAACGTGGGACAAGTCAAGCGCTAGATTCATATGCAAAAAAGTGCTGTGAGTGGCCTTCCATCAAATTGAAGGGAATCCGGTTCTTGGTTGAAAGTTAAAGCGAGACATTCACCTATCGGAGAGCGTCGTGATCTCAAAGTGTTATTCATTAAGAGACCGGGCCAGGGAGGCACCGGGATTTTTACAGAGTACATTCTAACTGTCACCATGAAATGATTCGATCCTCACTGGTAGAGATGTCAAGAGTCCGAAACCTTCAAACAGGTAAGTTACCGAAGAAGCGTACCGCATGGTAAGGCTGTATAAAACAAACAGCCAAGTAGGGCGATAAGATGCACGGACGCGTAAACAAAGATCCCAAATGCTACCAAGGCTTGTCCGACGATGTTAATGGTTCAGGGCAGGTTCAACGTTTGGTTTTTTGGTTCACACAGTGCAACGTCGGTCCGGGTGTGCCGATATGCGACGCGATGTGACACACGTGACATATCCATCTATGGCCACAACGAGCAAACAGTATAAGGGGATCGGGGAGGATTTGTGGAAAGGCCGTTCAGAAAAAGTGGTAAATGAAGATTTATGTTCGTGATACTTCCATTATACTCATTACCTCAGAATGCAGAGCTTTTCGCGTTAACATACGGTGCACTGGTCGTGCAGCTGATACAAGACTATGAAGACTACGGCGAGGTGAACAAGCAGCTGGAGAAGATGGGGTACAACATTGGTACGCGGTTGATAGAAGATTTCCTGGCGAAGAGTAGTCTGGGCCGATGCTCAGACTTTCGAGAGGTCGGAGAGGTCGTTGCAAAGGTGTGTTGGCTGTGCGTTGTGATGGCCGTCGCTGATCCCTTCTCTTCTCCTGCTATTAGGTCGGCTTCAAGTCGTTCCTCAACATTTCACCATCCGTCACACATGGCACTGCTGCCCCTCCATTGTCGCCGGGGCGTCCGAATAGCGTGGGCTCAGTACCGGGATCGTATTTCACATTAGCTCTCGACGAGAACCCTCTGGCGGAGTTCGTTGAGCTCCCAGAACAAGTCCTCGAGGGAGGTCTCTGGTTCAGCAATGTGCTGTGTGGGGTTATTCGAGGAGCGTTAGAAATGGTGAGTGCCTGATATCCGTTCTGTGCTGTCTTTGCTGGACAATACACTTGTAGGTGCAGATGCAAGTACAGGCCGAATTTATATCTGACATACTACGGGGTGACGAGACAACAGAGATTCGGGTGAAGCTAATAAAATATTTAGAAGAAGAGGTTCCCGTTGGCGATGATTAGGTGATTTACCTTCCGTTGTACTATATAGTATTTTAAGCTTTGGGCACTAGTTATATAATGAATGCAAGAGAATATTTTTATGAATAACGGCCAATATGGTTAAGTTTCTTCGCGTTCTTCGCATTCGATTTGGTCCTCTGGCCTCTAACGGGCAGCCGCATTGCGTGTCTCTTTCCAACCCAGCTACCAATCATCCTGTGATGTTGGATGTTTTCTCTGATCTCCCTCCTCAGCTCTGACTCGATCTTCAAGCTGTTGAGCGGATCTCGGGGCTCCTCTCGCACTTTTCCATACCTCTCTGCCCAGTACCGTTGTTTAGCTGGCTGCTGCTCTCTCCTGGCCTTGAACTCGGCCTGCAGCGTTTGCAGAGGTGTCGAGGTGGATGGAGGGACAAAGCCAGGAGAGGCTAATGGGAAATGAGGCACTGGAGGGGCAGTATGTGGTGACGATAAGAACGATGCCAAAGAAGTGACTTGGAAGGGTGTAAGGTCGCCAATTTTCATTTGGTCATGGATTTGGAATCTCGCACAGAGGCGATGAGCGATGTCGTGGCCGACGCCATAGATTTTTGTTAGGGCAAACTGGAAAGAGACAGATCAAAAGGCAAATATATGTTAGTAAATGGACGTACCCTGGCGCGATGGGCGTCGTTGAGCTTGATACCCAAAATGTGCACCATCGCACGGGCTGACTGTAAGGAAAGACGTGAAAGGTCACGGGACACGGCGGCATTTTCACTCTCCGCCAATAGCCGCCAACTTCATCGTCAGCCACGACCACCGACACGAATCATGGCCTCAAGCAAGGCAGAGGGTCGTCGCGAGGATGCTCTCGTCAAGCAACGAGACCAAATGCGTGAGGATTTCGAACGACAGAAGAAAAACCTCATCAACGAAACCGAAAAGGCCCGCCCCTCTGCCAATCGTTTCGTTGGACAGCACGATTCCATGGAAGATACTCTCAAGCATAATACCGTTGGTCTTGTTCATTTGGAGGAGTTCCAGCAAAAAAGAAAAGAATTAGAAGAAGCGAAGGCTAGAGAGGCAGCGAAAACGAATGAACTAAAGTATGTCTTTCGTTCACTTTACCCTTCTTTCCCTTTGGAACGAGTCCAGATGGCTTATAGATTGTGGAGAATCTGTTTAGAGAGGAAACAAAGAAGGTGAAGAAAAGGAAGAAAGTCTCCAAAGCTACACTCTCTTTTGCTATGGACGACGAAAACGAGGACGGCGATTCAGTAGTGGATAGCTCTGGTGCCGCCAAGGACAAGGATAGCAACGGTGAAGATGTCCCACCTGCTAAACGCAGCAAGTTCCGCAAAAACCCCAACGTCGACACCTCATTCCTTCCTGATAGGGAACGAGAAGAGGCTGAGAGAAGAGAGCGAGAGCGCTTAAGGCAAGAGTGGCTTCGACGACAAGAAGAAATCAAGCACGAGGATATTGAAGTGACGTATTCTTACTGGGACGGTAGCGGACACAGAAAGAGCGTCATTGTGGGTTACCCTCTAACCCCTGTCTTCACCGTATTTGATTAAGGTTCTTTCAGTGTAAGAAAGGCGACGATATCGCTAGTTTCCTAGAGAAGTGTCGCTCTCAACATTCCGAGCTGCGTGGGGTTAGCGTTGATAACCTCATGTATGTCAAGGTATGTATCTCTTCAGCTTACCAAGGCGCCGCGCTTCCTCACCATTCCTCGCAGGAGGATCTTATAATACCCCAGGTTTGCGTTATCTCTGCCTTCTGCTCTTGTTCTCATGCATTAGGACCGCAGCATTATACCTTCTATGATTTCATCATTAACAAGGCGCGGGGCAAGTCAGGACCTCTGTTTAACTTCGACATTCATGATGATGTTCGCCTTCTGGCCGATGCCACCAAGGAGAAGGACGAATCTCATGCTGGGAAAGTTGTTGAGAGAAGTTATTATCAGCGGAACAAACACATCTTCCCTGCGTCGCGGTGGGAGGTGCATATCTTATTTCTCCTCCGTCATTCATCATACTGAATTCTCTCAGGTATTTGATCCGGAAAAGAACTACGGAAAATACACTATTGCCTGAGGCTTTACTCTGTGTATCGTCTTGAGAGCGGACATTACCATATGCGATGCTGTATTTGTTGAAATTGATTAGGCCGTTCAGAATCAGATCCATAGGCCTCTTCATAGCCGCAGATAACATGCATTACATCGCTTCGATCAGTTGGTTGAAAATCCAGCGTCCACGATGTGTATATTTCCATTCTATTCCCACAGAATATTGATTGGCAGCGTATCCTAGTCTTCATTCTCCACGGGGAACTTTCGTAGGCAATATTCGGTTCAAAGTGGCTGACGTTCTCCGGAGATCGTAAGTCAGGAATATCTTCGAATGACTGTTCCTCGTCAAGTGGCCTTCATACATGTTTCATGGCGACCCGTTCGTTGTGCCGAATATCTGGAAAAGATATTTACGCCGCCCCCGTTAAGTCATTGACAGATCTCCGGCTGTTGGATCTACGTCTCTGATACCTCCAGGCCAAGTGTAGGTCTTTATCAAGCGCTATACAATGACGTGTCGGATACACGCCTCGCGCAATATCTGGGCACTTCCGACCAGATTCGTAAAAAACGTCAATAGGGAATTGTAATTCGTGAGCCAGCACATTCGGATATGCACACGGAGTAAGTAAAAGGACGCCCATTCGATAAACAACACGATCATCGGGATAGAGAACCACCAATTGAGAAACAGAGTTTGGCCGCTACTCGAGAACTCCGTGTACCGTGGATTCGATGCAGAGTCTAGAGATAAGTTACTGTCGGACTCGCTTGAAAATGCCAAATTGTAGCACCTTCTTCTCCACCATGCGGGCCGCTCGCGCGAGTCGTATTCACGCAAGTACACATGGTGTCTTCGAGCCTCTTTGGTTCCGACAGTTGCAACGTTATTCATGAAATGTGTTCGCAACAAGCCGACAAGGCGGTCGGATCGGCTACTGCGCCTATAACGTATTAATATCTCTGGAGTAAGTATAGGCAACCGTGCCGTCCACGGTTGTTGTTCTCGGTAATTTGTATTCGAAGGATATCGTCGTCAGCGGAGTGGGTCCCGGTATAGCGCCATCTGGTGATGGTGATATCGCAGGTGATGTAATGGCTTTGTTTACTTCTGAGGGTAATGATCAATAAACTCTCTTGTTCTCGACGTTCATCTCGTTGGCTCAACTGTATTGCTTTTACCGTGAAGCAACATGGGCAGGTTAGCTGAAATGCAGCGCAAGCTCTTGGAGGTGCGTATTCTGCTTGAAAAAAGCTGAGCATATGCTTAGCACTGTTACAGCAAATGATGGGCCCAGAAGCCATGGGTGTCGCAAATGCCAATCTCGTCTGGTCGGATGATAAAGTTTGCAGAAATTTTCTCTGCGGGACATGTCCGCATGCACTCTTCACGAATACTGTGCGTCTGAAATCATGGGACCATCTGATTTCATTGTTTGTAACAGGGAAAACCAGAAAATGGACTTGGGAGCCTGCCCCAAGTCGCACACGGAGCGGCTCAAGACCGAGTACAATGCGGCCAAAGAAGCCAATCCAAATGACCCCATATTCAATAGGTTCCAGATGGAGTACGAGTCGAACATATTTGCGTTCGTTGATGAATGTGACCGAAGAATTCGAGCTGCACATCGTAGGTTGGAAAAGACGCCGGAAGAGAATGCAAAGACAACGAATTTGGTATGGTATCAAATTCCCTGTCCATTCGGCGTTTCTGAGTTGTAGTGTCTCGCAGATGAAGGAAATTGCTGAAATCGAACTGGCCATACAAGGAGGGACAGAGAAAATCGAGACGCTTGGTGAGACTTCCTTCTCTGTTACCTGCATTCCGCAGCCTAACATGATGCACTGGTAGGTGAACAAGGTCAAGTTGATGAATCCATGCGCGAAATGCAGGCCATAGAAGCGCTGAAAAGTGAAAAGGGCGAAAAAGAGGTATGCAGTCTGATGATCGTCCCAGAATGCAGATTGAATGAAAGATGTTTTAGAGGGAGTTACAACAACTAACAGACACCTCTGGTGCTTCTGGTCACCAAAAGCTGCGAGTTTGTGATGTCTGCGGCGCATACCTTTCAGTACTTGATTCCGATCGTCGACTTGCCGATCATTTTGGGGGTAAAGTAGGTGTTTCCCAGGATCTTGCAGAGTTTAATGTTTATGTGCCTTGTGTAGATGCATTTAGGTTACCATGAGTTGCGGAACATGTTGGCCAAGTTCCGTGAAGAACGAGAGAAACGCAAAGCTGCGCCACCATCGTTAGCTCCTGCATCGGGCGCCAACGGACCATCTGGTGCAGCGTCTGGACGCTCTGGTGGAGATTATCGTTCCTCTCGAGGTGGCGACGAGTATCGTGACCGGGATAGGGATCGTGGATACAGTGACCGACACTCATCGTCGCGCTACGAGTAAGTGATGGAATTGAATCTCGTAGCCTTCATTACTGATCGGTGCGTTACATTGCGCTGTAGTGACCGCAGACGCGATCGGGCAAGATCACGCAGCCCAAGGAGAAGTCGATATGATTGAAGTTGCGTATGTTCCCTTCAGGACGTACTGTGCCTCGTTGTGATACTCCGAAGTAAAGTATATATCTTTGTTATGTTGTGTTAAGAAGGATCAGATTGTTTTGCCGTCCCGATCTAACGTTTTGATTAGAGTCGCCTGTGGGTCAGCCACTTGTATGTACAAGAAGAGCAACCCGAAGGCACCGAGTTTGGCTACTGTCCCTGGCATCAAGCATTCTATTGGATGGGTGAAATTCACACCCGGTTCATTTCAAGCGTTCGTTTCTTCGCTGATCCCTGCGCACATGTAAAGCATTTTATCTCCGCGACTGTCTCCGGAAGAGTCATAGTACCGTGGCAAAAGAAATGCAATAACATCTGCCTGTTTTCGGATATCACATCGAGACGAAATGCTGTACATGCAGGCTCGGTTCGATCTATGATGTCCTGTCTTCTAAAGAGCGTGATTGAGATAGAATGCTATACAGGAAGAATGAATAACAATTGAGCGAGAAAGAGCCCGACGACTTACTCGGAATAGCGATCCACTCCCCGCCAGAACCACGTGACAATGGCCACTTTCCAATTGCGAAGGCAGCTTGCAACGGACCTTTTGGATTTTACCTTCATCTCTCTCCTTCCTTTACGCTTCCTTCACACTGTAACGCCGCTGTCGCCTCTCCTTGCCTACTTGCTTTCCTACCATCATCATCCTCTCTTCCTTTAAATCTGGGCTATCTCTGCCTGCAACCGCTGGCGCAGTCATTCCTCATTGTTCACCCCGTCTTCACGCACTGCTTACCACGTCGTTTCGCGCTGGACAATATTCTGACTATTGTATTTCTACAACGGGCTCGTTGCAGTTGCGACGGCAGGGAAACAACATCGATCCCTCTTTTTACGGCCTTGCAGCCACAAGAAATTTCATTGGACCAGTAGCCACATCCTGTCTGCAACACGTCTCCATTACACATTACACGTCCATTAACGACCAGTGTCGCCGGTTTCCTGCACTATACCCAGTCGGTGTTTCGGTCCGTACATCGCAGCTCCCAATTCTACAATGAGCCCAATGGACACGACAGTATCGCTGCCGCCTTCGTCCGATGGTTCGCCTGTGTTCGTGCCAGCCATATCCGGAACTATCTTGCCTGCTGCCGTGCACAGCTCTTCTTCTCACCTCATACCAGACTCTCCTGCAGTCTTTCCCAATAAAGCGGAGCTCAACGGCCCACTGCACGTGTCAACAAATCAACCCAATCTTCCTCCGCCTGCATATTTGGAACCGGATGCTATCGACCCTTCAGCTGTCACTCATTCCACTTCCAGTACCATTTCGGATTTTGCATCCGGATGTTCGCTCTATGTTCCTACTTCCAACTTTGAAAACGACATGCCTATAGCGGCCACCGCTACCGCTCATGCACCTTCCCTTTCCCCTCCTACTCTCACCCGGACACCTCCCCGCATTCATACCACTGCTCCTGCCTTCAGTGCCACCCCTACATCCTCTTTACAGTCTGCTCTTGAGCCAGTGACGCCGGCTCGAAGTCGTGCAAATACCATTGGCTCCTTTGCTCCCAGTGCCATGATGAACTTAGCCACTCACCAACCCCCCATCGATCTATTCCCTTCTGCGAACAAGAATGGCAATTCACTGCTTGCAGGAAGTATTATGTTACAAGAGTGCGTCTTTCTCCCCTTCTTTCGATTTGTCATCATGAGTTGATCCAAACGTTTGCAGAATCGCCCAGAACGCAGAAACGGCTGGTCAAGCTTGCCGGATGCTGCAGCCCCAGCGCGCTCATACACTTCTCGAAGGCCTTCGAAACAAGCTTTCGGTCGTGTCAGACTTGATCTCTAGCCTCACTGACGTTTCTTTGTCGGATTCGAAGGTCGGAACACCGTATGGCAACGAAACCAAGGTCGACTACTTTTCTCCGCCACCATCATTACCGTCTAGCGGCGATCCGGTCCTTTCATTCCCAATAATTTCTTCGCCATTATTGCCATCATTGGTTGGTGCAGAGGAGCGGCGCAAACGATGTGCCTCCACTCTGGAAGAGGAACGGCCTGTCAAGACTCTCAAGGCCGAGCCTCAAGACAACACTCCTTTGTTTACTACGCCGTCGGCTTCTCTTCCTTACCATGTCAACAGCCTTCCCCAGTCTCCCCCACCTTCTCGGCCGGCATCCCCACCCTTCACGTTCACTGCTGGAAAACCGCAGCCCTTACCGCCAAACTACAATGTGTATACCGGTTCTGGGGATCTGTTCTTGGGTAGCCCTACCCAACTGTCCCTGCCTCCCCATCGTACATCCTGGTCAGAAAGTATCGTGCCGACACGACACTCACATTCTTTATCTGCGAGTGCTATCGGCGGCCTTGGTACACCCGCGGGTGATGCCGGCATTCCGAGGGTACCTCCGTATCCCGGTGCCAGTGCTCCCGTCGGTCGGATGACCCGCTCAGGCTCAATTGGCGGCGCGTTCGGTACTCCCTTCCCTTCCTTTGATTATGCGAAGCACTTCGGTGGTGATACATGGCCTACTGCTCCGGTCCAGGATGCTTTTCCTGTTTTGCCCCCTTTGAAACGGTCGGGCAACAGCTATGACAGTTCTCTGCCGACGACTTCGCATTTCGCTAGACGTGGCTCTCACGGGTCCCATACTCGGGAATATGATGAAGCACCTGAAGACGAAGATGGTGATGACGATGACAGTGAAGAATTATCTCCCCCGAGTAATAATCATCATCTGGTTGGCACTTCTCTCCGGATTTCAAATTCTGACAACTAAACAGTTTTCCTTTGCAGACATCGCCAGATCACACAACTTCATCAGATGTCCCTCAGGAGTATCGTTCCGAGGTTGACCGCATTTTCTTCGAATACCTGAATAGGATATGCTCTAATCGTAAGTTTGTTTGAAATTTGTGTGGTTCGTTCACTATTGACTGCTATTTTCAGTCGACGCTACTGATTCGAAAGGTGAAGCAATCCATCAAACTCTCATGGCGAAGAAAATGCAGCGGTTAGATGAATCGCCTGATTTCCGACCATTTAAGTTCCGCATCCAGGCCTTCACTTCGGCGTTCTTGGATGAGGTGAGTCCGCTCATCTCCTTCTACTATCGTTATACTGAATCCGGTATAGCTGGCAAGGCAAGGATATCCCGAAGACAAAATACCGATGAAAAAAGTTTGTATCCATTGATCGCGCTGTTTTTCCATCGACTTATAATGCGTCCGCCAGGTACGAAATTACCTTTGGCGGCAACCCCATATCTTGCGGTTTAACGAAGATGGGAAAAAAGCAAAGTCTAAAGGGAACCACATTTGGAACGTTGAGGCGAAGAAGATCGGAGATGGGAGATGGGACTTCCGCCCATTCTACCGTAAGCTGGCGGGCACGCCTCCCAGTGTCGCATATTGTGGTCTCCGCTGGCAGTGGACGCCGAGAGTATGGGACCCCCAAGCATCTTGGCAGAATGTTCCGGTACATTATAGCTCCCCGTATCTTCCTTCTTGGTTATCGTGGAAGGACGATACACTAAGCGGAATTCCACCTCCTGACGCTCAGAGTTGTGAAGTCACTGTCAATGCAACGGTAAGCTCTCTCCTTGATTTGACGCTGTTATCTGGATGATTATACGGCGGATATAGTTCAATCTAGACGGTCAAGAGGGACATCTGTCTCATAGATTTACCTTGAATATTGCTCCCGTAGCCTCGATCGACTCATCATTTGGACGTTCATCGATCGTTCATGATCTGTCCGGCGTAAATGACCTATGCGTGGGCGGTCAACGGTATGTACTCTTCTTGTGCCATAGAGCTTCCATGTCATGACAACGATCCCTAGTGTTTCCGCACGTACAAACACAAGTGGATCAGACGATACTCCAGCTCGTGTTGTCACCGTGCTCCAAAATGTTGCGCAACGTGTGGCCGATGAAACAACGCATATACAACGTTCCAGCCCTCCTTCAAAACAACAGGACTTGGGGGACCTTATGAGGCAGCAGCGTGTTCTTGAGCACACGATGAATGCGTACGACAAAGCCATGGCAGGTCCTACTCATTCTGACACTAAACGCTTGGCTCGGGCTGCCGCGCAGATCGTGGCCGAAGCCGCACAAACAGCTGTCGCTCCTATGGCTGCAGCTGCTGGCATGATCCCCACTGATGCCATGGCCATCCAGTCCGCGTCTGTCAGTGATATGTCAGATGGAGTGCAAAGCGCTCTTGCTGCAGCAGTGAAAATGGCGGGGCACGGCTCTAACGAAGTTGATGTCGTGATGACAACACAGTCCCTTCTTGCTCATTCACGGCGAGGTGACAGGCTCGAACCGCGTCATAATATGGTTGTAAGTCATGGTGGCGTGTCTCTACCGACCCCTCAGACTGTGTCTGTGTATCCGTCGGCGCTTCCCATTTAAGATGATTATTTCTAGGGTATATATTGGAGAACAAGTTGTTTTCTCTTTTTGTCTTTTCCTAGGGTTTCACGCTTGTTTCTTGGTTTTCGGCGGGACTAAACATCGTACGTCCGTAACAAAAGGTTTTTTTAGATCACGACCCCCACGATACTGATTACGTCCAAAATAAAATGTTTGTAAAAGTATCAAATTCAATGAAAAGGTGTATCACACATGGTACAGGTTAGAGCACCAGAGTCATTTAACAATGTACACATTCCGCAAGATTTTTGTTCAACTCCACTGCTCTTTGGCGGAGTCTCGCTCCGCTCCCGAGAAGTCGACAGATTGTTTGATCCTCCTAGTAAAGTCCCTCCGAAGCCACTTCCTTCTTCTCTTCGTGGCCGCTTACTGGGAACCTCGTCACCGTCCGAAGAAAGCTCGTAAAGCTCGTTCTGTTCTCGAAGTTCCAGAATATCGTTTGCAAAAATGTTCAACGACGCTGCCGTCGCCGTGTTATCCTCTAGTTCTTGTCCGTGATAAAAGATGCGTTGACATATGGGCAAGATATTGAATATCTTTTGAAGCTATATTCCGTTCAAATAACAGCCGTAAGGTGCGCAAATCTCCGCACCATAACTTTGATATCTTTGACGGTCGTGGACTTGGATATCGTTACTTTTCGTCTTTCGCCGTGTTCCTTTACCTGCCGTAATCGCTTGGATTGTCGTGCACCCGACATCTTTGGCGCAGGGTCTTGGGAAATGGAGTCGCCACCCGCATCAGGCTTCGATCCCTTACCAAACCGAATAGTTATGTCGGTACTTTCCCAATCACGCTTTCTAGGAACAAAAACTCAGTGGCAATGCGCATCATCGCGGGGAGATTTGTGGTTACCGTTTCTGCCGACATGGATTACAAACAGGTATGTCGTGAACGAACCGCGCCGAACTTCCACTTTCTTTTACCAGCGTAATCAAAGGCCCAGCTGAGTAACTATAATTGTATGGTTGGTCCTCGGATCAGTGTAAACTCGTGCGAGTACTTACTAAGTTTCTAGAATATCCCAGTCGCTTCGTTTGACAACGGCCAAAGCGGAATCCATATCTGTGGCACAGTTGGGATCGAAGATGAGGAGACGGTGATGACAAAAGAAAGGCTCGTTGTCAATAATATCTGGCCTTGGGAAATCACCAGGTCGAGTCAACCAACGCCTCCAGGAGCGCAGAAATTGCGTTGGGAGAATCACGCATGGGATTTCCTCAAGCAGTACTACGCCCCTGACAAGTTCGTTATCATTCAGGTGCTTTAGTCTGGCCTGTAAGTATACCGTTAGGTACCCATGGTAACCTTGGTGAATCATACACGCACCTTCTCATCCTCTGCACGTTTTCGTAGCTCCAAGCGATCAGCCTTCGTCATATCTATGCTAGCTTCGCACACCGCACATGGTTCCATCTCGGTGGAGAAGGCCTCCCAGGTCGGAAACAATCTTGCCAATATTTCCAATCCCTATTCAGGGCGATGAGAATGGTCCGCAGCGTGTAAACTTTAACCCACCTTCACTGAAATTCGTGTCCGTGACGTCGTATTGAGCACCAATCCCCCATGCTCACAACGAACATGCTTGTCGTACTCCGGTGCGTCTGGAGAAGGATCGCCTTCAGAGGTTGTATGCATTTTCGGCTTCGCCAGTTTCCAATCTAGAGGTTGTCGGCAATCATAGATCATTATTGTCGGCTTGGGATTGGGCCGCTAGGATACAACGTACCTTTTAGCCAAGGTTTGGAAATCCAATAGCCGAAGGAATTAGTCCCAACTTCTGAAACCTGTTCAAAGTCTCGCACTACTCGTGGATGTTCAATCTGATATATTCGCTCTGGTTATTTAAACAGTAAGTATTCATACGTACAACTCTCACTTCGACGTACCTGTGAAAGATCTCTGCACGCATTCTCTGCAGACATCGCTAGGTACTAGTCTCGGTTTGAAAACACAATAAGTCTTAATATCTATCTGGTCATATGCACGCTTCAGATATTAGTGCACAGCGAAAGAGTGAACAAGCCGGATTCTTACTCTTGTTATCCGTTTCATATACTGGGATCTCTTGTAATCTAAGCGTCCATGAGGACAGACAATCTCATCGTTTGGAATTTCAGTTTGCCGCAGTTGGTCAGTATGTTCGGCCGTCTGTGATTTACTCGTGGTCTTAACGGCAGCCGCTATTGAATCCGTCAAGAGCCACTTCTTCAGAGCCTGTTGACTGACTATCACAGAATCCTGTTTCACGTCAAGCGATGAAAAAAAATGTGGACAGAAATAATCCAGACTTCACTGAGAGAGGCTCCACTCCAAGAACGATAGATGTCCACGACCCGATGCCTCGTTTCATCGAAATGAGCAACAGCGGCTTTTTGCCTACAGATCAGCAGTTAATACGCGAATAATGTGTTAGCAAGTTGAAGTAGGCGTATACTTAATGGAGAATGTCTCGCATTCTTCATCATGCGTTGCGTTCAGTGTGTTAACAACCTCCAATACATCAGAAGAAGGTAAAAGGTCCAATGGCGTATTATCAGAGGCGCCTTGTTCGGATTTTGAAGCCTCACGCTTAGCATATATCAACATATAAGCGTCTTTGGAAGAGATTTCGCTGCATTGACATATCATCAGTCAAGTACGCATGCGATGTAGAGCTATTTACCTGAGAGCCAGTGCATTCGAGCTATTGGTCTCATCGGGGGTCCTGAGAATGTCCGGTTTTCAATAACAACAAAACGGTGCAAAGGCGCAATTACCTGTCGATTTCTTCGTCACTGGCATCAACCACACGCTTTCGTCTAGCAGCCTTCGCACGCTTCTTCTTCCCTTGCGGCGAATCTTGTCTGTATTGCTTTAGTTAAAGGCATCTCTCACGGTTAGAAGAAGACTCACTTTACTTCAGAATCCGACTCCAGATCAACAGTTTGCTTGCCTGAAGCGGGGTTTCCTAACTTGTCAATCTTTGTAACCACGTCATCGTTAAACTGATACCAGGATCGAGTTCTATGACAAGGATTAGGATACCGCTCATGGAGTTGCAAGGCCAACAAACGTGATGTCGAAAACCTGCGCTTCATAGTGACCATGGTAGGCGCTAGCACCCTTGTGCAACAACACCCCGCGCAGCTCGTAAACGCCCTCATCGTTTTCATCGTGAACCGCACTTTTGCGCGATTCGGCATTTCCTAGGAATTTATTCATGTTGAGAACACCAGGAAATATAATTGCGTTTTTGGACTTCTTTCTCTCCATGGTGGATACGTCGTAAACAAAACGCAGCAGGGAAAAATGGAGAACAGGCGGCAATTCGCGCAATTCAACATAGCGTGTAGCGTCACGATGACTATCACATTGACAACAGAAGTATCTATGACTCTATGAGATCATCAGAATACGTCACAGTTGAAAGGGATTACTTGTTGTCTCCCGTTAATTTCTCTGGTTGCAGGGTTGCTGCAATGCAATCGCCAAGTTTTGCGTTGTTCTATTTGCCCTTGTTCCAATAAAGAATGGAAATATGACAGTAGACACACCTTGAAACTGAGCTCAATTTCCAAAAAGTCAGACGACCGTTCAGATTTGTAACCACAGGTATCACAGACAGTCCCATAGACCTGATTTCCTTGAAACTGCAGCAATCAACGAGGAGTTACATCATCCAGGCAGAGATTTTGCACACTTGATCGGTAAGAAGCGACCGTAGCGAGGGACTGATTTGTTTCTTGAATTCTGCATCAAGATGAGACATAAAGAGCTTAGAGAACTCTTGGGCATCTTGCTGTTCTGATGTTCGCAACTGCAGACTCTCTACAAGTTTGACGGGGTTAAAGACGGACTGGGTGCCCTCTTGTAGGGCGGCGAAAGTTACTTGTAGCTGAAATATGGGGGATTCCTATAGGCCTTGTTCAACTAAGTCGTGTAATAAGGAGCCATGGTTGTTACCTTGAACTTGTCCTTGGAGCCTTCCGCCGGTCGACACTCGTACACACCTTTTCGAAAAGCCAGATCACGAAACCATACTTGCAACGATGCATTTGCATAGCAGGTGGCTCCAAGGTTCTAAGGTACTATATAAGAAAGTCATTCAGCATGGATACTAGGCAATGAGTTCACTTTCAGCCCCACAGGGATGTCTGGATCCCGACTGCTCAGTAAAGGATCGTCGCCAATGCTGGCGGCCTTGAGAAATGCCTCTCTAGCGCGATCTATTACGATGTCATCTACCGTTCGCACCCACAGCAAGCGTACAAGACTCACCTTCATCCTCCCATAGTTCTTGACCAAGATAATTGAGGCAGTTGGGATTGTATTTGCAAGATTGTTTGCTGCACGTAAATTCCTCGTCGTCGGAAATGACGATAACGCCGTCCTCTGCATCGTCAGGTGCTGGCGGTGAAGGTCGACGGTAGCCTGGTGTGTATCTATTCCGACAGAACGCGCAATTGTTTCTTCGAGAGAGCCCACAGGTTGCGAGAAGATGTTCTTGGGTAATCTCTGAGGAAGTCGCCACCTCGGTGCCCACCCAAGCCCACGGCGTTGGCATATTGCCTGGAAGCGTGTTTCTCTTGAGCAACTGTCCTGGAGCAAGGCCATTGAGTGACGAGGCGCGTAGTTTTCGTTTCGGTGGCATGAGTGGACGTGAATGGAGGTAGTGATTAAGTAAAAGGGTCAGCAAGCGAGACCAAACTTTTCTTTACTACTTCCATGACATCACAATCTGGCGGCGACGAAGACTTTTGTTACGATATTCACGACTCTGTAGTTATCATGTTGCGCCATTAAATATCAGAAACCATCGTCAAAGACAGATGCTGGAAACGAGTCTAGGATACCAAGACGGTATATGGGGTATGGGTTGGGTGGATGAGCGCCCATACAAGACCATTGTTGCATATCCTAATAGCAAGACACCAATACATATCGATTTACTTGACAATCCAGCGCGATGAAGGCTGAGTACTGAACGTTTAACTGAACATTGAACATTGTCACAGCGGGCCGGCAAACATTCCTCTTTCCTGCTTCCATGTCGTCGGATTCACCATTCTGGCTGCGTAAACTGACTGCAATAAACTCGCGTCTGTTTCCTAGAGGTGATGCCAACTTGACTCGACTAAAGAGGAGACAAGCTCTTTTCGCTGCTATCGGTCGCAGGTTACCCCTTCTCCGGTGCGTCACCATGGATTGCAGGAAAAGAACCATTTTTGTGATGTCCGATATCAGGACTCTCCTCTTCGTCGCTGGATATCTTTGGATCCTTGCAATACCCACTCTTCCCGGTCAAGGAACATACATTGACGAGAATGCCTTGCTACCCGGCCAGGTACATACGTCGTTCTACAAAGGGTCCTCGTCGATTCATTATCATCATAATCCTAGGTCAACACAAATTGGAATTGGGCCGAAGTGCATGCTGCTGATCGTTACTTGGACCACATAGAAAAACTGCGAGACGACAATGCCACGAGTGAGCAGTGAGATAAAAACCTATCATCGCCTAGTGCTGCCTTTTCACTTTCACCCACCCAGACGCGCGAAATACTTTGCGGAGGAGTTCAAGAAGTTAGGGATACCTGCATCCACACAGAATTACACGTTTTCAACCGTGTTTGGCGTATGTCAGACGCTCATCATGCTTCATAAGAGTCTGACCATCTCACGTAGGACTCGAGTGGAACCAATGCCTACGCCACAATGTCTGCCCCACGTTCTCCAGGTGTTGAAGCCATGGTCATCAGTGCTTCTTGGCTGAGTCGTACTGGTGAGGGTGCTGGGTCTCTGAACTTGCGTGGTGTATCTACTGTTTTGGCACTTGCTGGGTTCTTACGCCGTGCGTCTCAAGTGCTTTGTGCCATTGTACTCGGCTTTGATTAGTTGATATCTACTTGCAGGATATTCGTTCTGGGCCAAAGACTTGGTCTTTGTAATAAGTGATGACTACCTCGAAGGAATGCAGGCTTGGCTAAGTGCTTACCATGGCATTTCCCAGTCAAGTGAGGTCCTGCTCCATACTATTATCTCATGATTTGATTCCATTCTTGCAGACCTGCATACCAATGATCTAGATCTCTCCTCTGGTGTAATATGGACAGCCCTCAGCATCGATTACCCAGGTCATTCGTTCTCTCATCTGGGCATGTTCCACGGTGTGTATGATGTCTTGGTTTATTTAACCATACAACACAGTAATACAGTTTGAATAGAGGGTCTCAACGGCCGACTCCCTAACCAAGATCTTCTCAATTCTTTCATACATATCTCAAAATATTCTGGTGGCGTTCCTGTCATTCTTTACGACTACGTGGATCATCAAGAATACCCCGATCAATACGACTTGTTGCCCTCATGGATTCCTGCTTCAGTACGGCAGCATCCGGACGTGAAGGGATATTTGTATCGTTTCAAAAATGTATTGCGCCATGGAAGATATCAAGCGCGCGGAATAGGTAGTGGCGTACATGCACTCTTTCATCAGTAAGAATTTTCTCCTCGCAGTCACACGGTCCACCAACCGACGCATCTCAGATTTCGCATTGATGCCTTCACCATATTCGCTCTGCCTGCGACTGGGCCTCATGGGTTCCATGCAATTGGACGGTACGTAGCTAGCGCCGGTTTCTGTTTCGTTACTAACTATATTTCTGTGAAGTATCATTGAATCCACGTTGAGAACTACGAATAATCTGCTGGAACGCTTACATGCGTCCTTTTTCTTTTATATTTTGACTGACCCGGATAATTTCCTCAAGATTGGACTCTATCTTCCTAGTGCAATTCTCATCAGTGTTGCCATGATGTTGACCGGCCTGAGTCTATGGGTTGAAGCTGGCTGGACGACATCAGGAGATAAGAAGTCAACTGACAAGAAATGGACGAGGAGGAAGCGACCTATTCTTCACGTACTTGCAATCATGATATCGACGCACCTCTTAGGCGTCACGATGTTTTATCTGGTGAATAACAAACTCTTTTTCAGGAGTCGGGTCAGTTTTTCTTATATTGGTTCAAAACCCGATGTGACTGATGTTCTTCGACAGATTTGCCCTGTAGCCGTCATGCTCATAACGGCAGTCCCACCAATATACGCTATCTTTATTCCTGCAGCCTCTCCGTCAGACGCACCTTTGTCTGTCGTGCTGAAGGCATTAAATCTCTGTTTCGCCTCCACTGTTATTTCCATTACGACAGTATTGAACTTCTCCTTGGCTGCCTCGATGGCAATTCTTTTAGGCATTCCGCTTTCTGTATCACCTACGTCGTCTCGGAGAGCTAGACCAAAAACTGTATATTACATCGCCTATGCTTTGTTCGGCTTGGGTTGGTTGGTTCTCTGTCCTGAAGGAGTTCGTAAGGCGGTCTTGGATTGGGAAACCCTAGGAGTGTGGTTCGGGCCTTTCCTCTGTATAGTAATCGCCCCTTTGGTTCTCCAAGCCGGCGTAGTATGCATATTAGTCTGATTTAATATACATGGCTCGTTGGCTAGCACACAAACTATAGGAAACTTTACGTCTCAGTATAAATCATACAAGAAAAGGCACTTTTGACATGTACAATGTGGCGCCACCGACAGCAAGACCAAACCACAACCAGGTGTAAGAATCGAAACTAGACTCTGCTCCAGCTTTCGATGATCGCCCGAGATTGAAACGCGGAACTAACGACATCAGGGAGTGCTTCCGTCGTGAAATGAGCACGACGGAATCAGGCGATGGAAACGCTAGCGAAATAATGCGGTCCGCGTGTGAAACTAATGAAGGATAAGTGTTTTTGAGAAGTTCCTTCAAAAGGGAATCAGGGAAGGGTGCTTGTGTCAGAATCCAAATATGTGCAGCAACCAGGATGTCCAAGCTTGTGGGACTGTCTTCCGAGTCAGTGGATCAAGTTACGACACAAAAATGATTATCCAGTACCTATCGCCGTAGAAATATACCTTCGTATCCAGCAACCGGGCATATATGTCAAATATGGCGCGCGCCTTCTCCGCAACCTTCGATGCGTCGCTCAGGTCGATGTCTGATGAAACGAATGGGGTGACATACCTTTTCGCGTTCGAAAACACGCAGGAAGCGATCCTTGTGTTTTTCCGGCTGTTCGGTCTCAGGCTTGGAACGATCTGCGAAGGATTTCTTTTCTGGTTCTTCGCCAGGCAATGTCCATAAATCTGACGCCTCCAGCCGCTTCCGATACACGTCACGGATTCTGAGCGGAACATAGTATCGCTGAGGTATGGGATACATTTGCGCCAGTGCTGGATACACCAGCTCGTTCCAGTTCGCGTGCTGAGCGTAAAAGACGTGCGACTAAGAAGTTCCTTGATTAGGTTCATGCCTCAAATGAGAGACACGCACCACCAAGTCTCCAATGCTAGACACACAGTGCTCATACCATGCAGTGCTCTGGGCTTTTTGGAATGCCGTCAACGATACAATGATGGGTGAGTTTTTCTCATGCAGTCCCATAACGTACTTCATTATAGCCGACAGAGTCGCCACGACGTGTTGTTGGTGGGAAATAAAGGGTAGAGTTCCTTAGAAACAAGTAATTATTGCTTTTGGATGATCTTTATCCTGGGCACTGACCTACCGGTCGGTGACAGCTCCGGGTTCGTGCATTCGACGACAGAGAATTTTCCAGGAATGGAGAGCTGCAAAAAGATAACCGCCGCAAGACATATGGGTTCGAACGAATGGAGACTCCATTGTCCAGGCCAGATGTAAAGGATGACTTCCGACTTGGTCATAGCCAGTGAGAGTACTGGAAAAACATGTACGCGATGACCATTGTTTGCACAGCACACCCGTCGACAAACTCGCGACCACATTTGGAAATCACCTCTTTGACGGCGGCCACCATCATTCTACATCCGGCAACGCGCATCGGATACAATGTCTGATTTCTGGAGACACCTTATCTTTTCTCGTAAAATTCCATGAAATTATGACATTAAAGTTCATGCTGTTGGCCTCCATGTGATCCTGTTCCGAGTCAACCAGCGGCCTGGCAGCTCTGGACACCAGAGCAAGTCCAAGTCTGTTATTTAGCCGACAAATACCTGGACAGTAGCTCTGGGGAAATTTCGGTTTCTCATAGCTTCCTTGTGTCTTCGTGGGCGGTATAATCAATGTGCATTGAGCCATCCGGTGACCATTTGAGCAGAAGTTGCAAGTCATCTGAAGCACGGTTTTACCTGGGACATAAATTGCCCCAAGTCTTCTATCTATCTGCTTCTCAGCAGCGATGAACCTCTCTGTGGTCTTAACCTTCTTGGCTCTAGTCGTAACCAGAGTATATTCCATTCTCGCATTTCCTGGTGCGGAAGGTACGCATGTTTTCTCCCTGCAACGTCCATATTCATCATGTTCCTACGCAGGTCTGGTGCGCAAGCGACCGGAGGCCGAGGGGGTAGCGTCTACGTCGTGATAAACTTAAACGACTTTGGCGAAGGCAGCCTCCGTGATGCCGTATCAGAGTCGAATCGAGTGTGTGTTCCTGAAAGCCCACTGGTTAATCTGATTTTTCCCACAGATTGTCGTGTTCGCAGTTGGCGGCTTCATTACAATTAGTGACCGTATCGTTGTTTCCAATCACGTTACCATTGCTGAGCAGACAAGTCTAATAAATTGCAAGTACATCTTGAATATTTTTCAATAAATAACGTACTTAACGAAGACTCTCGGTCCCGCAGGCGACTCCGGGAAAGACGCCATAACCATAGCCAACGGCGAAAACATGATTTTCGGTCACGTCAGTGTCTCCTGGGGCCGAGCTCCATCAACGGCAACGTAACCAATGTCACGATTTCCGACAGTATCATAGCACAAGGCCTGGAAACACATTCCTGCGGCGGTCTGATTCAAACAGACGGAGGTGTCAGTATTCTCCGTTCACTGTACATCGACAATCAGACGCGGAACCCAAAAGTGAAAGGCGTCAATGACTTCGTCAACAACGTCGTAAGTATCCCGAAGCCCGAGCCTGTTCATTTGGTCGCTTTGTGTTCTGATCGATAACGCGTTGCGCAGGTGTACAATTGGGGTGGCGGTGGCGGTACGGGTTGCCACCCGGTACCAAACTTTATTGACAGTCACTTATTCAAGGTTACATTGCTGGAGACTCGGCCGGACAATCATACACGAATATTATCGGAAATGTCTTCATCAGGTCCGGCGTGATTTTTCAGCTCCTCAACATTTCCGCTCATCATTCCTGTCGTGCAGTGGACCATCAACATCTATACATCCTTGTACGTCTACTTCATTTACCCTGCTGACGCCTGAAATATACCTTACCAGTCACTAGCGGTAACGAGAACTTCCACGCCTATATGTCCGACAACTATTACGATCCCGACCAGGGCAGTATACTGTCAACCTCTGACTGCAGCGCGCCTAGGCTCATTCTGATGTAAGACGGCACCTCGAACGGGTGGGTTCTGTCAGCGATCACTGACAACTATTCCGACATCGATTTCCAAACATCCCGGTACAACTATCCGACTGTCGTTACCCTGTTAAGTTCTTCTCAGGTTCTAGCTTCCGTCAGTGCATCCGCTGGCGCAAGCAAGGTTAGAGATCGCGTCGATACGTACCTGATTGGGACAGAACTTGGATTACTGGGCACCCAGGGTGCGCTAATATCAGACCCAACGACCTCACCGATCAATGGTCCGGGGCCTATTGACGGAGGAACAGTAAGTCCCTGGGAAAGTGTGTAGAACATGCCTAAAGTCGTTTGACCTCTCTATTCCAGGCGCTGACAGATTCAGATGGCGATGGTATTCCGGATGTCTATGAGTCTGCCCTTGGTACAAATCCCAATGTTGCCGACTCCGCGACCATCGCATCTAATGGTTATGCCAGTGAGTGCTGTGTTACTGCTCAAAAAATTTGAGAGAGCACATATCGATGTCGCAGATATCAAGAACTACTTTAACTCCTTGGCGTAATAATCAAAACATGCATATTGAAGTGACTAGTTAGATGACACTGTTAACAGATCGAAAACATCGGAAGCAGATAGCCAGTAGGTGTAAGAGGTGGCAACGATAACGGGATAAAGCAACGATAAGCAAGCAGTAAGGGGGAGAGCAGATATGACAGATAGCAAAAACAATGGCGAGGAAATACATAACAAAATCACTAACATCGGAAGTATGCTATCAAAGCAATTATAGCGGAAATTGAGATATGGTCTATTATCCTGGGGACACTCCCTGGTTTTGTTCGTTCTAGTCATCATTGGCGTCGGGTCGATTATTGTTGCCTTCTTGGTTTTGAGGCTGCAGCGGCGTCCTGCTGATTCCAATCGTTCCTGGACCCGGTAATCTAGTTGACGTGTATGGGATCGGCCTCATACTGACTGATCTACGAGTATCTGTACTCGGCATACGATTACCGCTCTGTCGAGGTCATCAGTACCAGCACAATGCAACAAATGTCAACTTACATTATACAACCTTGCCTTGGCTGAAGATGACCTCCTTGAGGATGGTTTCACTGTAGGCGACGAAGCTGAGCTAGTCGGTCCAGACGGTATTGCGGGTGAAGGTGCGGGAGTGATGAACGCAGGCGGAGAAGTGGCAGATCCTGGACTTGTGACCGGTGCACTCGCAATCCGACGGTTGGGGACACCGGCATGAGCGCTTGAGCTTGCTTGACTGCTTGAGCTAGCTTGGGGACTTGGAGTCGAAACGGGAGACGGCTCTTTCTCAGGCAGGATTCCTTGAGCGCGTAAGAACACTGTCGCAACAATTGAGTATCCATTAGCAAGATCCAGATAGTGGTAATATTTACCTCGCGACCGATAGCGGAATACAAAGGTTACATAGGTGCTAGGCGTTCTGCTAGTCGATTCTGGCTGGAACGGTCGGACTCCCCAAGTGAAACCATGCTGCTCGAAGGACGATACCTCGTCGCCGAACCTATGAAGCATGATTTCAGGAAAGAAGGAAACGGAAATGTCTAGCATGAACGCACCCGACACGGATGTCGCCAGGCTGTGATACACCCTGTCTTGAGGTTGGCAGCGTCAAGTGGGGATTCGGTGGTCGACTGGAAACGCGATTTACTCTCTTGATACGCAAAGTAATCATTCCAACGTCTCTCTGGGAGGTTCCGGAAGATGATCTGCCTACAGAGATGCTGAGTATCAATGAAGGTCCTAGATAGAAATTAGTACTCACCCGCTTCCGACTCGGTTATCTGCTGGAAGATAAAAGGCCTCTCGGTCCTCTTTGATGTCCTGACTCCAGATCTATAAGCAGTTCCACAGCCGTAGAGGAACCTTCCGGGGACAGTGAATCCGTCCAGAGTTATAAAAGAGCATGTATCAATCTTGCCGCCATGGTCCTGCCAGTGCACTGCAAAGGACTATAGCAGAAGGTAAGAAATATTAGCACAAAATATACACTCAACACTCTCCTGACCATCTTCACTTGGGATCCAACACGATACACGGTGATTAGTCGCGTCAACTGCCACCAGGTATTCTGGAAGCGGCTTCCCATTAGCCACAATCGATGCTGAGAAACCACGATGAGTGATCATAACAACGAGAAGTTCATTCAATATGAAGAGAAGGAGAGAAAACGTCCTCGAAGGGGGGGGGGGGGGAGAGTGAGAGTGGAAATCAAGTCGGAGTGGTCAACTTGGAACTTTTTTGTTCGATCGCGTTTACTGTCCACGTGATGCTGGATGTCACCTTTTGTAGTGTGCTGATTTTCAAATTAACATTGTCTTTCGTTTTCCTCTCGTTGTCTCTCATTCATTATGGCAGAGTTGTCAAAGCGTACCATTGACCTCTACAAGGATATTGCATCTTCCACCAAGGTGATCCAGACTTTTAGCTTTTAGAAGGACTTTGTACTCAGTTCTGGTTAGAACAACCGGCTCAAGCTTTCAAGCACATCGCCTTTCACGCCCAGGTTTATCACATCCAGTGTATCACAATCCTCAGATCCAGCCGAAATATATGCTACCAGAGTGCACGGACGGAAGATGGTGCTTGAAAATCCAGTCAAGGAAAGTAGGGAAAAAAAAGAACGTCTCGAGCGAAAGGCGAAGCACAAGGCTCACAAAGCTCGGAAACGCCTCGGCGTGGTAGGAAAGCGGGAAGCAAGGGAGAAAGCTGTGTGGAAGCTGGATGAGCATCAGGCCAGGTGAGTGTATTGTCAAATTATCTCTCACCTCTTATCTGTTCCACTAGGTTTAATATTTTCTTGCCTTTGCATCATCTCTGGATGGGATACATGTCTGAACTGCTTGGGCTCAACCAAAGATCTACATCTACAGGTATTCCGACAATCAAGGACATGCCATCCACTGGGTCCATGCATGCTAAGCTTCTGAAGGCCGATTTGCATGGATCTCTTATATCAGGTGCGTTCATTCGTCTCATCGTTACTTTATATAGGCTCACAGCTCTTTAAAGTGCGACGTTGCAAGAATCCGTGCTTGCTTACTCTATCGGGTATTGTAATCCACGAATCCGAAAATGCGTTCAAAATTATCACCAAAGAAGACCGAGTAAAACGTTCGTTGTCGGGGTCGTCTGATTCTGCCTTGTTCTAATTATTTTTTAGTTGTACCGAAAGCGAATGCAGTCTTTGCCTTTGCAGTTCCTCTGTTCTCTACACTTCCATCAAATTACGATTCCTCAACGTCCCTCCCTGTTCCATTGGCAGAGGAATCAAAAGACACGGTCTTGGATCGACCACACATCGAATTTGAGCTTTACGGGAACCAATTCAGATTCCGCTCTGCTGATCGTGCGGGTCGCAAATTCAAGCACAAGGAGACTATGGAGCTCTAACTTTGACGTTTGACGGTAGTGAATTATCACGACCAAGGACATTGCATTCATCGCAAGTTCAGGAGGGTCGATGATATCGAACCTTGCCAGTCATATGGAACGATCTACGTTGAAGCAAGGAGCCTCTGAAACGCCCTATGTAGGTGCATGCTTTTGCAGGGGGGAAGTACTCATGGGTTCTAGTGCAGATATGAACCCTCAGTGTAGTACAAGAAAATCCCTCATTTATAAGTATGGTAGACTGGTGGTGGAGTTGTTAATAGAAGTAGAGCGGTTAGTGAGCCACCATTTTGACTTTGAAGGTGGTGTTGCCAAGCAAACATAAATACTATTATAAAAGCCTCTTTTTCACTTTTTTCTTCATCCACCGCAACCTTTTAGACAGTGCCCGCCCTGCGACCTTTTTACACGCAGAGCGAGGCGATTAGGTATAGCGTAGACGAAAGCTGGTCGGGTATAAGAGCTTGCTAGCCTGTTCAGTGGTGCCGTGAGCGTCAGACCTTTCCTACATGTATCGTTTGCAATATACGCGTTTTTCCACAGTATACCTTCAGAATATCTTCATTCCGAGGAGGACACCATCTTTTTTCTCGTTCCTTCTTACACGATCTCTCTCATCAATGCCACCGAAACGCGCTGGCACGTCGAAACGCAAGCCCGTCGCGGACAGCGACGACGACGACGCGACAAGCATCAAAAAGGCCAGGGTTGAAACCCCTATCGAAGGGGCGCAACCGACCAACAAGGTCCTGCCTGTGAATATCTCATTTCCGCCACGAAAAGGGCTGAGGATTACAGCATGGAATGTATGTGGACTGGCAGCAAGTCAGAAGAAAGTGCGTCAGCCATTCGTCTGATTGGCCTGTTCTCATTCTTGAAGGGCTTTAAATTCTATGTCGAAGCTGAGGATCCTGATGTTCTTGTGTTGACTGAAACCAAAGTGCGCGACAGCGTCTGCTTCTCCTTGTCTTTCTGATCTCTGTTCAGGTCAACGACGAGTCGGCCGACCCCGCACTGAAAAGCCGGTTTCCTCATTCCTACTGGTCAATCTCTTCAAAAAAGACGTATTGTATGGATGCTGCTCAATCTTCTCATGCCAATTCTGAGATACATGTTACAGCTGGGACAGCCGTTCTCTCAAAGCAAAAGGCCCTGTCTGTTGATAAAAGCCTCCCAGGACATCCCGACCCGGAGGGCATCAAAGGACGCATCATCACCCTTGAGTTCGAGACCTGTTACCTCGTCGCGACTTATGTTCCCAATGCTGGCGCCGAACTCAAGGTATGTTCGCATTCACTCGTCAACCTGGGAAACAGGTAAACCCAATCCTCTCACAGACTCTTGGCGTTAAAAAGGAATGGAACGTCCACTTCACGCGATACATCCGGGACCTGGACAAGAAAAAGCCTGTTATCTGGACGGGAGACCTGAACGTCGCTCCGACGGAGATAGGCTCGTGGTCTACTCATCTTCCAAATCGCTCTCCTTAACCTCTAGCAGACCTTTGCAACGCGAAAAAGAATTGGAACAAAACTGCAGGGTACACTGAAACTGAAACAACAGCATACAAAGATATCCTTTCGCCTCCGGAAGATTCACCAGATGCAGAACATAAATTCGTTGATGTCTGGAGGAAACTACATCCAGAAGATAAGCATTATACCTATTTCTCCTATCGGTTCAACTGTAGAGCAAAAGGCATCGGCTGGCGGTTGGATATGTGTACGATTTCGCATGCCTTCTTTTGCGCATTTGCTCACGGAAATCTATCTAGTCGTCTTAAGCGAACGCATGGTCGATCGCGTCCAGATGGTAAAATATCTCACACCAGCAACCGTCGCTTACTAACTAATCGACTCAGTGTGAAATCCGAAGCGAGATATACGGCGCATCCGACCACTGTCCTCTGACTTTGGAAATAGACAGAGAACTTTGATTTTTCGCTCGCAACATGTCCAATTCATGCATCCATCCTTACATACCAGTATAAAGTTGTTTCTTTGGAAGAGACCACGAGAAATGCGTGTTCCCAAGCTTCCTTCCGAGCGACGGGCTTCTGACAACAGTAAAGGTGCCATAAATTTGTTTAATATTCTCCAAATCGTACATGTCCGGTCTCTTCTGCATGAGCCCGAGCGCCTTTCTCACCTTTTAAACCTTGGCCACATTGCTGTTGCGCTTTCAGCACACGGAGCTTTGAAGAAGATGATATCAACGTACTTCGCACTTCAGGTCAAAGGTAGACGTATTGGTAAAGGCCTTTTTTGCCCGCAAAGAATCTGTCAACTTTTTGGCAGCAACCAATATACTATCGGAGTCATCTGCACTTGACTTTATAGAACCCATATTTTAGCGATCTGTAAATAAAATTCACAGAAACAACTCACCACGGAAAACACGGTCTGATGCCATTCAGTCGGTGCCTCCAACATGGGTGCCAAAGTCACTGCGTCGTAGTGAATTCCTGAGTAAATGAGTATGCACCTCATTCCGCTACCATGCGGGCCTGGAGGAAAATGATCGACTCGGCCGGTCTCTACATCGATAGAGCATATCTCTGTTTTATAATGGGCTGCAAGGATGCCTAACTCAATGGCACCTCCCCACGTTGAGGGTTTGAGAATCTTGGATATATAATCGGCAGGAGGCTGTCTAGACTCGCGATGTAAGATAACAGAACGGAAGACAGTGAAAGCAATTGCGCACCCTAGAATGGCATCATTGTAGGTGTCCCCATCTGCTCGAATACCAGCGGCGACGACTGCGAGCCAATATCAGATACCATCTGAATGACGATTCAATCGCTGTACACACTTTGCCGCATTTGGGGAGCTTTGGCGATGTCTTGCTCAAAAATAAGAGCAACTGAAGAAAACAGACAGGAGTTATCATCGGGAACGACCTGAAATCGGGAGTCGTCAACTCGGTCGTTTTGTAATCCAGAAGGAAACTTACACGATGTATAAGAACGCCTCCCTCTGTCGGTACGTGTTCTGAAGTGTTTGCAGCAGCTAATGATGACGCAGGTATTGCAGGAATAGATGCAATTCTGGCAGACGTTGCTGGTCGAAACGCAAGATTCGCTGATGGGGATGGCCGCGGTGGATCGGGTGCATGTCCCGGTTCTTCACTGACAATAAGCTGATCGCCACGGGTGAGCCCCAGACTAGAAATCGGTAATTCTCCAATCAATGCTAGACTCTGGGGTGGATACCCGTGCTTCACTTGAACAGAGATCTAAACACCGTAGAATTTGAAGAGGGCCGACATACATATTTGACGGGACGGAAGGATGTCGGTAAGCTTTCGTATTTCTTGCTGGAGGTCCTGAACGGTGTAGGATTCGTCGTCGAAAGGGACGGATATGGTGGATGTGCCTTTAGGGTGACGGAGTCGAACGGGAGTCATGGTAGTGAGAGGAAGAGAAACGACATATCAAGGTAAAAAAATATACGTCATTTCAGGATCTAATTCACTAAAATGCCCTGAAATTGCAAAAATAATGAAAGACTACCTTTTTCAGTTTCGTCTCAATCTCTGCGTCATCACATCATGTCCGGCACAGGTGCTCGTGAAAATATCTTCGCAACGCGAATGGCCCTCACCAACACAAAGCTACGACTCAAGGGCGCACAGACAGGACACTCTCTTCTTGCCAAGAAACGAGACGCTCTCACCACGAGGTTCAGAGCTATCCTCAAAAAGGTCGACGAGGTCTGTTGTATCCGACTCTCTGCGTAGGATCGCTACTTAGTCCGACTTCAGGCAAAGAGAAAGATGGGCAGAGTCATGCAGTTGGCGTCGTTCTCAATGGCAGAGGTTACCTATGCGACAGGAGACATATCGTATCTCGTGCAGGAGCAAGCTAAGTCGGCTACGTTCAGGGTAAAAGCAAAGCAGGAGAACGTGTCTGGTGTCGTCCTTCCCACATTTGAGGTTGATCGTGTCGCTGGATCCGGTCTGTCTGCTCCGAGTCGATGTTATGTATGACTGGTGATGACAGGTGCTGTCTAGATTTCAACCTCACTGGACTGGGAAGGGGCGGTCAGCAAGTTTTGCGCGCAAAAGAGGTGTATGCTAAGGCAATTGAAACACTCGTTGAGCTGGCGTCTCTCCAGACAGCGTTCACTATCCTTGACGAAGTCATCCGAGCAACGAATCGACGAGTCAACGCCATCGAGCACGTTGTCATTCCCCGGCTGGAGAACACTATCAAGTACATTTTGAGTGAACTAGATGAGATGGATCGGGAGGAATTCTTTAGGCACGTAATTCTCTTCCCCCCGTCGCTACATCTTATACTCTATTACAGGCTGAAGAAAGTACAAGGGAAGAAAAAGCGGACCAATGCACCTCCGGAGCGGCCGTTTGAGTTCGATGAACCTCCAATAAACCCAGAGGAAGGCCAAGAATCTATTGACTTGCTGAGCAGCAAAGATAGTGATGTTATCTTTTGATTAATACGGTGACGGACGGACTGGTATACATATGTCTGGTTTTGTATCTGTTCCTCCATTGTTTAATTCCCCTACGTAGCAATGAATACCCTTCGTAATTTAACAAGTCCAGCAAGATAACAAAAACATCTCCTAGTCCCTTGGTTCAAGTTTCCTGAAAGCCAGCTTCAAAAGAAACTTGTGCAAAGGTGTTAACTTGACAGACTTGTCTTGCTCGACAATCGCCCCAACTTGGACATCGTCCATTTGGATCATTTTCAAAAAGTCCTCGTCGCTCCTGATACCAAGAAGAACGGCTGCTGGAATGAGTTCTTCAATGCCCAATGTCTTGAAATGTACACGGAGCATGATCGATATGGGATAGCTATCCAGTGCGGGTACCATGTGCAATGGGCAGTAAAAAACCTTGGCTATTTTGGTCTGGAATACTGATGGAGACCAGGAAGACCGTTTCTGTGCGTTGCTAGGTCAAAACGAGGGTAAATGCTGAAGGTAGGTGCTTACCTGTTGAGGTGTAGGAATCTGAGCGAGGTGCCGTCGAATGTAGACCTCGATGGGCCAGCGATCTTCATAATTTAACAACACGGGTCTTTCGTTACAGACCTACCAAGAGAATGACAATGTTGAAATTCAAATTGATGGACGGGACATACCACTCGTTGAAATTCATCCCACTTGTGAGTATGTTGGTTTTTGATCTCATCCAGGAACATGGTCTGGGGAAAGGGTTCAACGATGCTCTTGAATTCTGTCAGGAGCACATTCTTAGCATGAATAATCAGTATTGTCTTGTCAACTATCTTAGACAGTGGAGATGCCCACCGTTATATCCCAATATAAATCCATAGATATCTTCATCGACTCCCCTAATTTCTCGTGCTTTGTTGCAGGCTTAGAAAGCTCATCCAGGACCTCCTCGGTTGGCTGAGGGACGATCTGCCCAGGCAGTGGGAAAGGAACTTTATATTCCTTCCTCCTGAATCCCAGTCGTTCCCCATACTTCTCCATATCCTCCCTCAGACCCAGGGCTCGGAACGCACTGATCGACGTGCTATCGAAGAATCCGGTCCGCTGCTCAGGAGTCATTTGCATCACCAAGTGGAGATGATGGTTCGTAAAAATCCCGTTCGCGGCGAGAATATTGAGCAGGTCATCGTTTCGGTCCAAGTTGAGGAACACGGGGAGCTCAGAGGTGTCGGCTCTTTCGAGTTTGGGTAGGGCGCCGCATGAGAGACAAGCTTCGGGCCAGATCCGCTGGGTAGCAGTTATAGGTTCTGGAGTATTGGATCCGCACGCTGTGGCCATGTTGGAGAACGGAGGCATGCATGCTGGAGAGTTGGAAGGCCAAATGCTTACGCCTGATGGTGAAAGACTCGCAGTTGTATATTCATTACTCGGAGTCCCTGTGGCACTCACAAGCGATGCAGGCAAACTGTGGTAGAGACCGAAAGCGGGTGGGGTGGACAACAGCACAGATCTTTGAATGCGAGGACTTGGAGTACGGAGATCTATGGGACTAGAAGGTGATGCACTGCTGATGATAGGTTCAATGACTTGTACGGAAGGTGACTGAGCAGGAAGAATCTTGGAAGATAGATATATCAGAACCCCATGGAGATATGGAGATAAAGGCTTACATTGTGAATATCTTGGAATACTCTACGAGAAGAGGAGGGTTCTCTACCAATATTGCGGTATTCTGGGAGCGGTCGGCCGACATACTTGACCTTTCGCGCCGCGTCCAGAGAAACGCTCCTTACCGGTATCGTCTCGCGAGCCAATCTGGCACTTGTAGGACTGAAGGATGCATGTCTATTTTTGATGCATCTTGATGTGGTAGACCTATGATTGTGGTATGCGAGGGATTTGCAGGAGTAGGTGTCCCAGTACACCTGCACAGGCCAAAAGTCATGAAATTTATCTAGAACTTGATATTTATCATGAATCTGATGTATGTGTTAGAGAAAGACGCAGAGTATTCTATGCTAGCGTCATCGTACCTTGGCAATTAATAAATCCCACAGATGCTTTGGTTGGTCTTCCTGAAGTCTGTCAAGGGACAGACCCCAGTGCTGAGCATCCTGTATGCATTTCTGTAGACAATGAGACTAGTTAATATAAGTTGAACATCTGGCAAAGTACCTTAAATCCCTTGAACTGAGAGGAGGTCATGCCGACCGTGCTTTTAAGATATTCGGCGAGCTTCTTTACATTCGCCTTGTTCGGAGAGACACGAAACTCTTTGATTTTCTCCATGTCTATCTATAAATGCGAAGACGTTGAGAGATTTTGACGACGAATGAAAGTAACACTCACTTGGAATGCTTGTGAAAAGAAAAGGTAACAGAGAAAAGTTCAACATGATCACATGTTTTTAGAGATCTTCGCGCCTATGAAACGAATGTAGTCTTCGAATTACATACTTGGAAGCGTCGTTGCACTAAGCTCTGGTGGGAAACTTGGAACGAACGCCGATCCCACTGTACGTATAGTATATGTGTACTTTATGTTCCATGATACCCTTACCTTTAAGCTCTTTTGAGTGATGGACGACTACCGAGGCCTGAGGCCTGAGGATTCATCGAACCACTAGTAGGTTGAACGACTGGGATATTTTGGTCGGCATGTCGGCATGTTTTGGAACAAAAATGTAGCGACATGCAGTGACCTGCCGAATAATATGAACAATATGCAATAAATTAGGTCTCGTCAGACATTCGTGTGTTTTACTATCAGCTAGAAGGTAAAATAAGCTGGGTAATGCGCCAAAGGAAACACGGAGGTCGGCACCGGCAATCCGGCAACGGGGTGAACCGGAAGGTGTGATTTCCCCGGACCCCGCATCGTGATTATGGACAGCGACGACGAGTCGGAGGCCCGCGCGGAATCAAATATGATAGTCTATATACAGTCACATGCTGAGCCACTCGACCCGTACACCCCTGACTACCCGTCCTCTTCGTCCTTTCCTTTCTCTTCGCTGCCAGCCACGACGAGCTCGACCATCCCGCCTTTCCCAGTATCATGTCGCGAAACGGTAACAAGAAGCCCGTTGGCTTTGCAACCCATATCACTGCAGGCGGCATCGCAGGTGCTTGTGAAGCGGTACGAGCCTTCTCGCCATTGTGTCGCGCGATGTGCTCACTCTCTTCATAGCTAACATGTCAACCTTTGGACACCATAAAGGTCCGGATGCAGCTTTCCAAGTCTGGGCGTGCACCAGGGGTGAGTCTTGTCGTCGTGTGTCAGTCCTTCATTGTGTTCATAGACTAGCCAGACAAAACCAAGAGGTTTCTTCGCTACTGGCGCGTATATCGTACGCAGGGAGACCCCTTTGGCTCTGTACAAGGGTCTAGGTGCTGTTTTGTCTGGTATCGTCCCCAAAATGGCCATCCGGTTCGCTAGTTTTGAGGCCTACAAGGGCTGGCTGGCGGACAAGGAGACAGGGAAGACAAGCCTTGGCAACATATTCCTTGGTATGTGGTCCTCCCATTATGATTGGATGCCGTCTCTAACGAATTTCTTCCCACAGCGGGTCTTGGCGCTGGAACTACGGAGGCGGTCGCTGTCGTAACGCCCATGGAGGTTGTGAAAATACGGTTACAAGCTCAACAGCACTCCTTGGCCGATCCTCTCGAGACGCCGCGGTATCGAAATGCCGCTCATGCGGTATATACTATTGTGCGAGAAGAAGGCTTCTCTGCGTTGTATCGTGGTGTCTCTCTTACTGCACTTCGACAAGCGACCAACCAGGGAGCCAACTTTACCGTCTACCAGGAGCTGAAGAAGGCCGCGCAGCGGTGGCAGCCTGACCTCCCCGAGCTCCCTTCATACCAGCACATGATTATTGGTCTCATTTCTGGTGCGGCCGGTCCTATGTCGAATGCACCTATAGACACTATCAAGACTCGTAAGCACTGCATTTCGTTCTCCTATGAGGAGCTAAACCCATCCCGCAACAGGTCTACAGAAAAGTACCGCCGTTCCAGGTCAATCGGCGTTCCGTCGTATCTATGGTATCGCTGAGGACATGTGGAAGGCTGAGGGAGTAAGATCGTTCTACAAGGGTATAACTCCGCGTATTTTACGCGTGGCCCCTGGTCAGGCGATCGTGTTTGCGGTGTATGAGAGAGTCAGCACGGTGATTGAGCGGATTAATCCCACAGTGTATGAGGACGATACCTATGCGGAGTAGTCTGGCTTCTTTTCAGGTCTATTTCTATACCTATATACTAGGGAATTCATGTGCACATTCTACTGCAACGACGAAATGGCCAGCTAGTTGTTCCACCTTTTGGTTTCAGATAATGCCCACTGCGCGGGGTTGCATATCGCCCGTTGCCCCATGGTTTCATCATGATTACTTGGGAATCTTGGACTCATATGTACCTACAGTCTTCAATAATGATGTCATTAGACACGATTCTACGTCTAGAAATGATTGAATAGGCTCGTGTATTTCAAGAGATGTAGACGAAAAAAATCTAAAAGCTACGGTACCGGTTTCTTAAAAGCCATCTGCAACAAGTAGCGATAAAGTAAGGACAGCTTCACAGACTTTGTATTGACAAGGAGCATCTCAACGAACTCATTATCCATCTCAATCATCCTCACGAAGTCTTCGTTGCTTCATTCCTGCTGCATTGCTGATAGGAATACGAGCTCCTCGATTCAGCGCAAGCGGAAATGATGTTGGAGCATTGTAGAAATGGGATAACTGCTGAAGCCCGGAATCATGTGTTGACGACCAGGACATGCGAACATCTGTGCGACCTTGGCTTGAAAAGAGAACCATAAATCGGACTTTCCAATCTAAAAGCAAACAGTCAGAGGAGCGGAGTATGGCACAATAATGAGTACCGGGGATGTGCTAGTTGCCTTCATTTGACTCCTGATATAGATCTCGAGGGACCACAATTTGGCATATTGAGTTAAAAATGGACGCACTTGGGAAACCTAGGAAAGAAAGATAAGTGTCCTGATTTCCCGTATATCGGTACATGGAATACCTCCGAAGTGAAGGTATCCCACTGGCCTTCCGGGATGTCATGGAAGTATAGTTTTTCAGGGATTTCCGTGATAGTTCGTTTGAAGCAGACAGATTGTTTTCTAGTAGAGTAACATGTCTGTCCAAGATGCTCAGGTACTAAGAGTGATAAATACTCGCAGTAAGCTCATCATACTTATCCCTAGAGATCTGCATGACTTGAGCAAATCTATCAGGCAAACACGTCTGATCTACGAGTACATCCTTAACATCTTCAGACGGCTCGGGTATCGTGTCTTCCGTAGGCAAGCTCGACCTGTGTGATGCCGACTGCAGCACATATTCTCTCAGCCTTTTCTTCAGCTTCATCGTAGTAACCTCGTTAAGGTACTCGGGCGAAAGAAGATGAAGGAACCCATCCAGTTCGCTCTCACTTATGTGGATCAGTGAGCGGAGGTGCTGACTGGTAAAGATTCTCGCCATACTGAGAACGCATAGGAGGTGGATCTCTTTGTCAAAGTCCAGGAAAGCCAGGAACTTGGACTTGTAAACTTGATCTACGATCCACTTCTAGCTTAATTCTTTTGGTATCAGGTTCACTAATGCTTCGCGATGGCATTCCGTCGCCAGTTTTGGTTTTATTGGGAAAGGTCCCCTTGTATTTGTCGTTGCAAACCCACATAGTAGACCTCGACAGGCCAAGCATGCTCGAACTTGTCAAGACGGGGGTGTTTTTGAAGAACCTTGAAAAACCATGTTATTCAAGGCAAGTGCACCCTTGATCAGCATGACATACAGCTGCTTCAAACTTTCGCCAAGCATGCAGCGGCTGTCCATTTCGAAACTTGAAGGGAACAAGTCCCCAACGACACTACTGGAAAGACGAGATGTGAATGTATGCCTATAGCATATGAGTGAAGTCGATAATAAGACGATGTAATGGCTACCTTGATGGCTTCGAACTCCGACTTTCCGATACCTGCTGGTTTCATATGGTGAAACAGCTCATGTATCAGCATTTTGAGTGGAAACTTGGACGATTTTTGATCTTGATGCTACGAGACGGTGCTTCAGCAGAGTAAACAGAAACTCGAACACAAATCTCACGGTGAATCCATAGCGAGGAATCGAATGTGACAGCCTGAGAAAAAGGGAGCGAAGGCAAAAAATTAAACAAGCATCATATGCTCGCGATCTGCGCATAATCTTCTTTGGGGTAATGATGTGCAACAAGTCGGGTTCTCTCAGAATAGTACGGCATGTTTCCATTAGAGCATACTATATACATGTAGAACAGAGTCAACAAAACCTGTCACTAGAAGGACGTGAGAGACGGAGCAAAGGGACAAAGTCGAACGCACCTCTTCAGCTTAGCTCGACGATCTAACATAGCTTCTGCTAAACGTCCTTCCTTGCGAGCACGCTTCAGCTACAAAAAAAAAAGTCAACATGGCCATCGTTCATGACATAATCTTGAAAAGTACCTCTTTCCTGTCTTCCTTGGATACGACACTCCGTCCGGCACCCCAAGCCTGGAACATCCGACTACACGACAATCGTGAGTCCAAGAACCCACACACAGAAGTCCACACTCACTTGGAACCAGGCTCATCAATTGTTGGAGGGCCCGCGACACCCTCTGTCTTCTTTTTCTCTTCCTCGTTTGCTTCCTTCTTGTACTTGTTCTGAATTTTGAGCCAAAACCTTTCTTTGAATCCGACGTCTTCACTGTCTCCACGCAGCTGCAGTGCACCTCCAGCGACCTCGTCGATACCCAAGTACTTCTCATAGACATTCATGAATGCTACCATCCCGTCTGGCATGAGCACTGGCGTCCATTCCTCCTGCGGGCCCCGCGCATCTCGGTCCGAGGTGACGATACCGTGCATGTCGCAAGAAAGGAATTTGCCTTCGCCCGTACCTGTTCGCAGATTGATGGTCGGCGAGCCTGCAACGCGAGTGATGACCCATACCTGGGAAACATCCGTCGGCGTGCGCTCGAGAAGACTGGGGACCAGCTCATTATCATCTTCGGATTTCTCCTTGTCTAGGACGTGCAAGACGACGCGGTTGGAGGTAGAGTTGAAATTTATAGATATTGGAGAAGGGTCGGAGGGGTGAATCAGGAATGCAGGACCACGAATTTCGATGTCATTTTCAGGGAATACCCAAGTATCAGGATCGTCGTCGTCCTTGTGCCGACTGCTGCTGGCTCGACCTTCATCATCAACATCTCTTTTGCGTTTCTTCTTGGTTTTGTCGCCTTTGAACTTCAACTTTGTGGAGCGAATGGTATCTGTAGACATGACCGCGCTGGTATGTGGTCAAGTGGGTTTGCTTAGCAGTTATTTAATCTAATATTTTACATAAGATCAAACAATAATAATGCGATTTCCTATTTCGTTCAAAACCAGGGAAGCTCGTCGACGGATTTCTTGATTTCCTTCAGCGTCATCAATCGATCATAGTTTACCGCACCACAGCCTGCCTTTTCACATCTCGCCGCCCAGCACCTCTCCGCCACCGCCCACGACATGCAGCCAATACCAACTTGCTCTCCACTCCTTATTCCTCCCACTGCCAATCCGCTCACTCCGTCGCCCAGCGGCCTTTGGTCGATTTCCAACGTCAGCGCCTCTCTGAATGCCCTCCATGTCCGGTTATCCATCTTCGTCACCCCACACCGTCCGCAAACATACCCATCATCATTCCCTGCTGAGAACCGTCCCACGTCGTTAATGAGCGCTCTGAATGTCATTGTTCTTCTGCGACGAAGGTGCAGAAGCGGAAGGAAATCCTTCGATGATATCTTGGCGACCACTTCTTCCTGTTCGTCGGATAGATTGAACATGTCAATCCGCAGCGTAAATTTGGCCGCCAGTCTCATCTCCTCTTCCCAACCAAAGTGCGCTGCGATCGCATAGAATCTCAAAGGGTCTGTTTCCGTAAAGCGAGGGCACGAAACCGCCCCGCGGATGAAGGATATCGGGCCCTGCGCATCCCAGTTTTCTGCCAGGGTCAGGATTCGCTCCAAGTCGTCGTAGGACCAGCTGGATATTGACTTGGGGAGAGGTAGACCGAAGAGAAGGAGGAGTAAAGGTGTGAGTGTAGCCGCAGGTTCATATGTGGGAATAGGTTCACGCCCGGAACCGTCATCACCTCCCTTCGACTCCTCATCTTCGGCATGACTCCTCTGTGGTCGTGGAAGTGAGAACATCGTTCTGAAAAGTCCACAAGTGGTGCGCAAGGTATACGCATCTACCTGATACAGGGTGTCGTCCGAGGAGCTAAGCACGACGTCTGCATCTGGGGAAGAGAATAGTGGATGATATCTGGATTGCGATAAGCAAGATGATGTACTGGCGACAACAGCCATTGTCGGTGGGAACGATGGCGTAAATTCGTAGGAGGGAGCATATAATATGTCGCACACGTGCGGTACACAATGTAAAGGTGCGTTCGGTTGTTCATCCAAGAAATGCTGCTGAGGCATATCAGAAACGAGGGCGTTTCATTCACCTAGCAGGGTGGTAAGACTCGTTGTAAGGGCGTGCTGCAAGATCCAACGGTAAGTCTCCGCATCCTTGTCCCTGGTTGAATTCCGAATAGGCATTCATATGGTCCTTGGTGAACCTACTATCCTCATGCGTTCCCTTCCCTTATTTTCATCGTGACAGTTCCGACACCATTCTACGGGTCTTCCTAACCACCTGTCAAACACCCTTATCGTCGAGGTGCAAAGATCTCGTACAAGTCCTTCTGTCGGCTCGTCATGAACTTTGAGCCTCAAACCATCTGATTCGCAAGGAATTTTACTGGGCGAACATTCTTTGAGGCAGCGATGCCATTGGGCAAAAAGTGCAGTATCCTCTAGTCCAGCTCCGACACTCTGTCACAACATCACTGTTGATGATCATTTCTTTGAGTCCGACAGGATTCGCAGCATTTCCAGTTGACTTCACTCCGAATCGGTGTCATTCATATTTCGACGAATCGAGGAGCCATCAAAATAAGGCAACACCACTCATCTATTCAATGACCGCTGCACGCTGAAACCTTCTCTGCGGACGCCACTTGGCGCGTGATCATATCACCTCTTAAGAGTTACGACGACGTAACAAAGCCGAAGCCTCATTCATTCGTTGAGTTGTCATCGCACATAGCGTAATGACGACGGGTAATGCACTAGGAGAAGGCGTTCACGTTGAAGGCCTCCGCAAGTTCTGATGGCCACCTTTCCTTTTGCCGTTTAAACGCATCAGCTGCGTAGTTGCCTGATACCTAACACCCTATTCTTCACGGTTTAGGTGTGGCGGTGGAGGAAGGGATAAAGCGTTGGAACACAATGAAACGGAGTTGGCAGATTATGTCGTTAGGTTCCACGATACTATGGTGTTGGACTGTCGAATCTTATGTGTATGTGTGAATCTCTGATATGAATCAATCAAAGGAAATGACCATCGGAAAGCATGAAAGGGTACTATGGTGATGAATTATGACCGGTCTAGAACTACAACATATAGATACAGTACGAAATGGCAACATTCATGCGATTGTCCGGTTGGCGTTCACATACCCAGTCCCATAACACGAATATAACAGCTGTGAACAGTCAGGGTCTGTAGGATCTGTAGGGACGATTTTAAACGATGTGCCAAAGAAATCACGGATGTCTCGCAGAAATTGTATCCTAGACAAGGTCAGTCTTTCATCGACGTACAAGTGCGGGGGTCAACGTACGTCCGGGGTGTTGGTTCACTCATCCGGCAGCGCCCAACATCTTCACTACCGAGCACCATCATCATTAGGACGAACGTCTGGTGCTTTTGGTCGACACAACCTCCCCTTTCAATCTCTGCTAAGAGGGAACGAGAAGCTTCCAGTGCTATCTCCTCTGGTGTTACTCCTGGTCGAGAGATCGCCTCCGAACAATGGATTGCCGAAGTCGTCGACTCAGCCAAAAGCGTCAACGCATAACCTGGAGATCTAGAAGAGTCGCGTAAAGAATGAAAACGCCTATGGCGGCAACGACTTACTTTCCACTCTCGTCGCCTTTGTAGACGTCTGAATAGAGATATATATCAGGAATATATCGATTTATGACAGAGCGGCACGCCTCTATCATTCGATTGGAAAATTGTGGGCTCACGCGGACAGCGTGTCTATTCTAATCGGGTTAGAACTTTTGCTTCGATAATAGGCAGTACACTGACGCTATACCGCGTATTCGTTTTATTTTTCCCGGCTCCACGAAGTCAAGAGTCTTAACCTGCTTGACTATTGGGCACAGAAATTGAACCTCGCCGCCACCAGCGGGAGCCGCACCTCGCTTTTTAATCTGAAGAGCATGAATCCAATAACCCTGAATGCAAGCCAGTAAGCTTACCCGTAATTCCACGCCATCAGTGAGACCAAAGAGCTGCAAATGAGGCAGCGTCACCGTCCGTATCAGATCTGCCTAGTAAAATGAGCATCAATTTGCGTTTGGTATCTGCTGACGTACGGAAAGGTCGTGTTCGTCGGTCGTTATTCCTCTCAAAGTGAGCTGGAGAGGTTTTTTGGAAAAGGGCGCCAACATGATGATGGGCTCAAGGAAATAGCCAATGGATCGTGACAGAGGGCAATCATGAACCAATGGACCTCCAGATATAATACCGGGCTTCAGTAAGATAGCAGTACCTGTGATTTGTTCAGTCTCTGGCTGCTTTTAGCACTTTCATGCGTACCGGTTATTGATATTTCGATTATGGTCCCATTAGTGACCTTCTCCAGTAACCTGAGAAGACTTATTTCGAAATCTAAAAACAATAAGCGGAGAAAACAGGACGTAGGCAGTACATACCCCGAAGACCAGGATTTTTGTCGTCTGAGCGTATTTTGTCGATTCGCACTGGCTTCCCGCTCAATATCGACAGTACCAACCGATTTCTGAAGTGTTGGTGACTTCTATAATGCAGCAAAGAGCCTGTTTGTGCCATTTGACGACAAAGGAAAAAGGAAAGAACGCCGGACACGATGACGAAAAAGGAAACCGATCTCTGAACCTTGGATTATCAATATCCGTTCCCTTCTTACCTTTCCTTACACGCAACTGGTATCTTATGGCGACAATGGCAGGCTCTAATGGCATCGCAAGCCAGGACTGGGCAGGGCGTTACGACCATATTGACCAGATACTCAACACGCCGGGTCCCCGTACTAGTCCCGCATTCATGGCAGGGGACGGGGTGCGCGCGTTTTCTTTCTCGAACGGGCCGATACGACGCTGACTGACGCCTGGCGCAGGTCAAGGACTTCCTTCGCAATCAGGCCAAAATCCTCGTCATCGGTGCAGGCGGTCTGGGCTGCGAGATTCTTGCCAATCTTGCGCTCACAGGGTTCAAGGACATCCATGTCATTGACATGGATACAATTGATATTAGTAATCTCAATCGACAGTTTTTGTTTAGGTAGGCGCTGCTACGTCTCGTATGTCTCGCGTTTCTCACTTGTCCCAGACCGAAAGACGTTGGGCAACCCAAAGCCACGGTGGCGGCAGAATTCATCATGAAGAGGGTACCGGGAATCAAGGTCACGCCGTGAGTATATCTAGAACATTGCACATAACAAAATTAACTATTTTCCAGATACTTTGGCAAGATACAGGATAAAGATGACGAATATTACATGCAATTCAATCTCGTCATCTGTGGCCTTGATTCTGTCGAAGCACGGAGATGGATAAACGCGACACTAGTCAATCTCGTCGACCCAGAGAACCTAGAGAGTCTGAAGCCTCTCATTGATGGCGGCACAGAAGGTCTGTACGCAAATTATTGGTGCATATTCCCCGGCTGAGGCGTACCTAGGTTTCAAGGGTCAAGCCCGCGTCATCCTGCCAACGATTACATCGTGTTACGAATGCTCCCTAGATATGTTGAACAAACCTACTGCTTTCCCCATCTGTACCATCGCCAACACACCACGTCTCCCGGAACACTGCATAGAGTGGGCATCGGTGCTCGAATGGCCGCGTGTGCACAGAGGTGAGCCGTCCGCCCATGAGTACGATGGGATCCTTAACGGTTTCCGACAGACAAGAAGATGGATACTGACGATCCAGACCATATCAATTGGCTGTACACGGTCGCGTCTGCGCGCGCGAGAGAATTCAAAATAGAGGGTGTGACGTGGTCACTCACCCAAGGAGTGGTCAAAAACATCATCCCTGCTATTGCCTCTACCAATGCCATCATTGCAGGTTTGCTTTCATGTCCTTATCCCAAAGAGCCGAGCTTATCATGGTCGATAGCGGCTTGCTGTAATGAAGCCTTCAAGATTGCCACCAGTTCTGCTGCTTTCCTGAACAACTATTTCATGCTCATCGGTACCGAGGGTGTCTATTCGTATACGTTTGAACACGAAAAGCGAGACGACTGTCCCGTATGTGGTGGGGAGTCTTTAGAGATGTCCATCGGCCCGGAGATTACTGTTGAAGAGTTGATCGACATGCTGACAGAAAAGCAGGATATGTATGTTCTGCCTGGTGGATCGCATTTCGAAACGCTAACACCTTCTACAGCCAGATCAAGAAGCCTTCGTTGTCATCTGGATCAATACAAATTTATCTTCAGGCTCCTCCTCAACTGGAAGCTATTACCCGCCCCAATTTGCAGAAGAAGGTATCAGAGCTTCTCCCCACAGGAGGGGAAGTTACTGTTACTGCCAGCACATTACCTTTTAATCTGTCGTTAAACATCACTTACAAGTGATAATTGTATAACATCCTGTCCTGTCATATTGCTGTCGCATTGTTGTAACAAAGCAGAAATACAAACAAAATCTAACATCAAGTCTCCATTGGAAGATTTTCCTTCAATGCCCCTTCCATTATGATGTATGAATTGCTGGAAGGGCTGCAGCATCGCCCTCTTGGTGTTATTCAGAAATCGTCCGAATGCCGACTTGGAATATTCCTCCGGTGTAGCACCAAGGGAAACGCAGGTACGTCCGACATGGGAACGTGTCTATACAAGGCCCGTAAGGCCTTTGTTCGCCAAATCAGTGTTCTGTAGCGTTACGCATAAGTGAAGAGAGTGTTCCTACGAGTCGACAGCGTATAGGGACTGAGGATGTGATATGGGCAGACTTCATTATGAGCTAGAATGAGACTCAGATCTTCCTGCGCTGTAATATCACTCCAAACGTCGGAGAACGCGCAGAAGAATGCTCAGAGCCTTAATATATGATACCAACAAAGCATATCTCACGAGCACGGAGCGGTGGGTGATGTTACAGCCGTCGTAAGAGCCGGTGTAGGACCAACAGGCCAACAAGAGACGCTTCGATATAAAGAGCAAAATTCCCTCTAAACGCTGAATGATTCAAACTAGTTCTTCCCCGAGCAAAATACACTTGTTGGAAGACGAATATTTAAACTTCTGACAATCGTGTGGGTCTTCCACGATCCCATCACTTCAACGAGTCTTCTGGAGTCCCCACTAACAGAAAGTGGTTGTCATGTGGCATATCTTCGCAAGTGCATAGATACATGGATGATTTTTGTACGTCGATGTAAAGATATGAAAGAGACAACAGCTAAGGAATGAATTACTGGATGGGCGTAAATATGAGGTACAGATGAAAAGTAAAGGGCAACGCACATCGACCATCTCAATATCCGTTGATGTGTTCTTCTTCCTATCCTTGCGATCCAAGATTGCGCGCCTGACAAAATTATTAGTGCAGTCAAGGAGATTCTATGTCAGCACAACACACCTGTCCTTATCCATCTTGATGGTCGTGATGACCACATTGCTGGGGTGAATGCCGATGGGGGCAGAGGCGCCGTTGGACTTGTCCCGTTGCACACGGTCAACGTGGATAACCCACTTTTTGCGGTACACCTGCGTCACCTTTCCCTCCCGCCCCTTGTACTTGCCACGAACAATGCGAACTTCGTCATCCTTGCGAACGGGTAGGGAGCGAGCCTAAACACATTAAATGAGGAAATATTCCGGTCAATGAGATGGAAGTAGATGTACGTTGTGCTTGCCGCGGAGCTCCTTGGAGAGCGCAGAAGACATGATCTTTCGGCGGACAGATGAGGGAGCATCGAAGTGAGCCTTGCGGGCTTTGCGCCGCGAGGAAGAGACGTCTACCAAAATATAGTCTCAGCGTCATCCAGTTTCAAAGTCGCGAATCCAGCCATATTCCTGGCCAAAATCTCCCGGAAAAAGACAGAGAGGCAGCTGTTGAGCACAAAACCCACCTGCGGAGAATTTCATGGAGGGCGACGACGGCGTTCTTGAGGTCTTGAGGTCGAAGGCGGCGTTGAGTAGAGCTCTTTACCTTTCAAGACTTTGTTCCCACGCCAAATTCCCGCGCCACGTGATAGGATTTACCACGGTGAAAGAAAAACTTTGACAATGACTCTTTGCAGAAAGTGAACGCGTAACGTGCAATGTCGATTTTTTTTTGACATCTGTATACAAAGCAGACCGTGCTGCGACTATCTATATATGAACCCTTTCGCCTTGTCATGACCTTGAGACAGTATCATGGAGAACTTGAACTTGAGAAAAGGATACGAGAAAGTGTCTCCTCGCAAGGTCCAAGAAAGAGGAAGTCGGCTTGTTCGTCGCTCCTCGGAGCGATTCAAGTTGAATACTGCAACCTTTCCTCCGTGCTGGTTACAGAAGTCCCAATGACAAGGCACATATCAGCTTCGTCCACAGCATACCAAATTTCCCGCAAGTGTCGAGAATTCGCCAATCAGAGATGATAAAGCAGGACAAGATTTCAAGATTTCAGGCATGTTAGCCACTGCCAGGCTAAGTGGCAGTGGCGGTATGTTAAAATATTGTCAAACTCGTATACAATATTCCTGGCATTTCTTGATTTTATACCATGGCGCGGTGAGCTCGCTACAGACGTCTCTCCCTCCTTGGCCCGATTCGCGCAGTTTGTTCACCTCTTTGCCTTCTTCCCCACGTTCCTTGCCTACCATCACCATATCTCACGAATGGTCCCGTAGAGAACCGTTCCTGCCCGCCCGCGCGTCAATTTGCGAACGATATTTTGAGTGGGGTGGATGTTGCGGTTCGTGAAGCGTTTTAGGACGATATTCCCCGCGGTACGGTCCATTTGAAAAATCCGGTCTCGATGCTGAGCGTTTGCAAAACCGTGTTCCTCGTGTGAGTTGTGTTGTCAGTGTGGTGGGGATTGAAGCTGGCTAAATGTCACAAGGTCTTCGACATCTCTCTTAGTATCAGGTTGGTGTTGACCTGCACCGTTTTTATGGCCACACAACTCTGCGTATTCTTCCATATTTTCACAGAATCCATATTGACATATAAGCAACCTTTTTATAGCCAAGGGCCGTTCGTGTCAACGGCTAGCCGTAAAGGAGTCAGCCATTGACACGGACAAGATATTCCTGCTGGAGCGAGGACCTGGTTCTTCCACTTGGAGTCACAGGAGCAAGGCGTCGGGGTAGTCGCTCGTGCGAAGCTATGAGACCGCCGCAGTTAGCTTTCAAGTCTAGCTTCAGTTTCGGCCAATTACCCTGACGGTAGCTAACGAGCTATATGCGCCCCGACGGACTGGATGATTATCGACTAGGTACGGTGGTCTAACAATAGAGCCTCCTGTACCTTGTTCATGACAAGAAATTTACAAACTGATTTTTTTGGTGGAAGCGCGCATGACTACTGCGTTGAGTGACTCGCAGAACTGCAAGCGTTGTTTTTGCCTTGGGTAGACTGGGGTCCTGTATATGCTGACTAGCGCTGATTGATGGTGATGCTATCTACCTATATCAGTGCCTTTCACAAGCTTATCGGCGGGATATTTCTGGACCCCAAACAATGTGAGTTACCCGATGGTTCTATTCCTTTAAGGATTCCTTATCTTTATAGCCATGCATGACCTTTTTTCGACTGCCGCGGCGTTGCAGGTATATCATAGAGCCTGTCATTGAGCGCCTCTAACAGCTGTTAACCCACAACTTCCGCCATGGGTTCGAGGGAGGCTGTACAGCGAGCTGACGAAGAGCTTCTAGCGTCGCTGGGGTACAAGCAAGAATTTCGGCGCGCGTTTACACCCATTGAAGTACGTACTGCTGCCGGTGCTCTCAAGGTGGTTGGAGTTGGAGTTCAAACAACATTTTCTAGGTATTCGGCATTGCATTCTCTATTATCGGTCTCCTACCCTCAATATCGTCGGTTCTGTTCTACGCGATACCGAATGGTGGTGGACCTGCTATGACATGGGGGGTACGTTCTATTCTCGAAATCCTGTGGGCCGTGACTGAGTCGATGTTGCAGTGGGCCGTCGCTAGTGTTTTTATTCTCTTCGTGGGTATGTCAATGGCGGAACTTGCCAGTGCTGCACCTACATCGGGAGGGCTTTACTTCTGGACGCATTCCCTTTCGTCGCCCCGCTGGCGCAATTTACTGTCGTGGATAGTGGGATGTCAGTTTCCTAACCTAACGGCTTTTGTGTCCGCTAAATTCACACATCCTCATAACAGACATGAACACCATCGGATCGATTGCATCCGTGGCCTCCATCGACTGGGGTTGTGCTGTTCAAGTGATGGCCGCTGCAAAGATTGGTTCGACAGGCCAGAGCTTCGAGCCTACGAATGGTCAACTATAGTCCGTGATTTACCTTATCCTTCCGGCACCGTGTGTTGAATATGCTTTCATAACAGCGGTGTTTATGCGGCAGTTGTCCTCAGTCATGGGGTTGTTTGTTGTCTGGGCACAACGGTCCTAGCACGACTACAATCAGCATATGTGACACTCAATGTACTGTGCGTGCTGTATTTTCTCCGAGTTTTTTCTTGTCCTGAGACGCGACAGGTTATGCCTTGCTGTCATCATCGCCTTACCCATCGTGACTCCAGCGGAGTATAAGAATACCGCGCGCTTTGCTTTATGGGAATTCGTCAATCGTTAGTACTCCTGACTTTAAGTTTAGCACAGTTCTCATCGGCCCCGTGACAGTTGATGGCTGGCCTAAGGGCTACGCATTTATCATGAGCTTCTTGGCGCCTCTTTGGACCATCTGTACGCTCGCAGTTTTTTCACCTGTCCTATCCCGCAAATAACCGTGGTCCAGGCTCTTTCGATTCAAGCGTTCACATTAGTGAAGAGGCTGCAAATGCTGCGACTGCTGTTCCTTGGGCAATTGTCATGGCAATTGCGATAGCTGGAGTTCTTGGCTGGGGTGGGTTTGAAGATCCTTTCTCATGAACACGAAGAGCTGATACCAAAGTCCTATTACCAGCGATCAATGTGGCGCTGGCGTTCTGCATGGGCACTGATCTGCAGGCACTCTATGATAGCGACCAGCCCATGGCCCAAATTTTCCTCAACGGGTTCGGGCAAAAGGGGACCTTGGGAATCTGGGCCATCGTCGTTCTGGTGCAGTGGGTCGTTTGTATAGTCGAATAGTGCACGTTATTCATGAGTCTTCATTTTTGCTAGGTACATGATGGGTTCCAGTATGGTAAGTTCATTCCAGATATTGCGCGCTTTATTCTGAGATTATCTTCCAGTTACTGGCTGCAAGTAGACAGACATACGCCTTTAGCAGGGATAAGGGTATGTTTTTCATATTTTACTGTGAGCCTCTTAAATACTGATGCTGCATAACAGCGCTCCCCCTCTCAAACTGGCTTTACCAAATGAACACATTCACTGGAACTCCCGTGAATACGGTCTGGTTCGATGCTGGCTGGGCCTTGATACTCGGACTCTTAGCTTTCGCAGGAACTGAGGCCATCGATGCCGTATTCTCTATATCTGTCATCGCACTGTACGTCGCTTACAGTATCCCGATCGCCGCCCGTTTCCTAGGCGACAATGACTTTGCCCCGGGTCCGTTCACTTTGGGTGTTTTCGTTAGTAGTTTGTGTTCGCTTCGAACATGCACCATCTGACAACCTCTGTAGAGTTTACCGGTTGCCATCATAGCCGTCTCGTTCATGGTGTTCATGAGCATTGTCTTCATGTTCCCTTCGACACCGGTAACGAGTGTTCAAGATATGAACTATGCCGTTGTGGTTCTTGGCGGGATATTTATCCTTTCATTGGTGTGGTACTACTTCCCAAAGTACGGCGGAGTTCACTGGTTTACGGGCCCTGTTGCTACTGTCTCCGATATTTCGGGTATGGATTCACAAGAGTCGGATCCTGAAGACTTAAAAAAGGTGGCGTCTCAGGTGCATACAGAGCCAGTAGAGGATCCTTAAGTTGGAACGATTTGCTTATGAAAAAGTTCAAGGCGGTAAAGTTTGACCTCAGTAACTATAATAATGTACATGTAGATAGAATAGAAGTGTGGTTTTAACACAAATCCTTCTAATACAGAGATTACCTTCGATCCCACTTCCCTACAGTACGGAAGTTGATAGACTAATGATGGGGCTGTGACACTGATGAAGAAATAGACCGTGATAACCAACACAATAACAGCCCATAACTTTTACAGCGTTTAACTTGCTCTCTACTTGTTGCACCCTCTTCTCTCCAAACCTGCTTCAATATTGGTGGAACGCCGCCTTCACAAGCATACGTCACAGAAGAAGAACTTGAATATAATCAACCACGCCTCTTCAGTCAATATTAGATGAAACCGTAATTCCAACCTGTGAACATCTTCAAAGCGGCGACCATCCATAGGACGTCTGAGTCTACCCTCAAAGGCCCACAGGCTTACTGGTATTTTCGTCAAAGGGTCGTCCACGCTGAAGTAATTGGCGCCCCATCTTCCGAGCAGAGCACCTGGCGCAACCCTCCCGGAAGCAATAGAATCTTCGAAGCAAGAACAAGGGTCTACTAGCAGAATTGGGGATATGATGAACGATATTGACGGGCAATCTTGAGCTCACGAAGACGTTTTTTTTTTAGGTGGTAAAATATACAGTCTCGGACAAAGATCACTGTCGGCCCGTTCACCGCGTCTCATCGAGTGAATCCGATAATCATTACAAGTTACGTTTCCAACTCCGCGAATGTCACCAGTTCCCACTCTGTGCTACTCCTTGACACTGAAACTTTCTCGGGCGTCATGAGGCTGTTCTGAGTTTTCGCGCCCAGGATCGTCATCGCGCGCCCAGTTGCTTAGATTACTTTTTGATTCATCACTGTACCTAACCGCCGATTCCGAGGTGGGGCTTACTTTCAATTGGTCTTAATGGGAAGGCAATACATCAATGATACTCTTTTCGCGACGATTGTATTGAATTCAGCCTCACATCACCTTTCCTTATGGACATGGACTCCGCTCTGCTAAATATATAAACATGAGATTGGATCCTATGCTCATTTCTTCAATGATTGTACCTTGACGCACTAGAATATCAGGACACCGACACCAACGAAGCCATTCCAGGTCCTGTTTCAGCAGTCAGTACTCACCATATAAAGGCTCTAAAAACTTACAGCCTCGTTGAAAATCTCATTCTTTCTTATCTTTTCCGCGAAATGGCATCACAGCCCGCAATTCCGGACCTCACAGACACAGATCTTGCAATGATATTCCAAGTGCTCGATGCCTATCTGAATACGATGATACTTCAGGCTTTGTTACTCGGTACGTTCTCATTTCCACTTTCCTCCATCCTCGATCTAAAGCTCTACTAGGCGCGTATAGCTGTATACTAGGTGGTACATTGTGGTACATGTGTAAGCACGTCCCTCCCCTTCTCCTCTTCTGCATACAAGTCAAATACCTTCCGTTGCAGTCCACGGAAACGACCACAGATACAGGGGGTTCATGCTGTTCACAGTCCTATCACTCTACGTCCTCGCTGTGGTCGACTTTGCCTTTAATTGGTCCTTCACGCGTACCGCATTCATCACCGATGGGCAGAATTTCTGGAGCGTATTCATGGCGATGTTCGGATCTACTTCCTCCTTACGACCGCCTCATTATCTGGTTTCTGGTATTACCGGGCTGATCAGTACGGCTCTCGCTGACACTGCGCTGGTGTGTTGCTTGGCGTGCTCTTTTACTCGTCAATCTAATCTAGGGTCTCTCGTAGATATGGCGTTGCTGGGTAGTCTGGGGTCATCGCTGGTTAATTGTTTTGATCCCTATTTTGTGTACCATAACCAGTGCCAGTAAGTCGAGTTCTCGCTTCTCTACAGTAAGCGTATTGAATTCTTTTTTAGCGATCAAAAGCATACAAACTTATCGTGGTTTACGAGACATGGTAGACTCCGTAAGCCAAGAATCTGCTCAGGGAACGTCAATCGACTTGACAACCGTCTACATCGCAATGGCGCTTACTACAACGCTATTGTGTACTATTCTAATTGTGTATCGTATCGTCAGCATTGGGGGAGCACGTTATGCATCGGGGATTCGCACATATCGGGGTGCCATTGAGGTCGTTGTGGAGTCGGCAGCTCTCTTCTCCGCATCTTTAATCGTTTACGTGGCCTTGGTCGCCAGAAACAACGTCGCGGATGACTACTTGGATGTCATCGCCGCAGCGTTCAGGGTAAGCATAATATACTACTGAGCGTCAGACTGAATCCGGTTGATTATATTTTGTGCAGGGAATCGCGCCCACCCTCATGGTTGGCAGAGTAGCTTCTGGGCATGCCCGCCCAGACGATTCTTGGAAGGAAACGGCACTGACTGCCACGCCCTTTGGTTCTATTCGCTTTGCTCGTTCTCGTCACGAGAACATGGCGAGTACGCAGCTCACACTTGGTGCTCAAAGTGGTATTCTCGTGGATTCGCATTCCGTTGCAAGTGAGAATGGTCAAAAATCGAACGTCTGATGATGCCAGAGTCTTCAAGTCAGAACCGCTACTTTTGACATGTCACTTCCTCCTTACCTATATATATAAGATCGCACATTTCTTCGGTGTCATCCAGCTTGTGAATGGCATAGCGCGGTAGATTTTCCAGCTTCAGCTCTGAGTCCACCAGCCCAACTGCTATTTTCTCTAAGATTCTTACTTCTCGCAGACTATACTACTATCGGTGCACGAAGTTCAAGCTATCCTCTCCGTTCACATCTCTGTCACGTTTGACTTTGGTTCCTGTAGGACTTCCATAGGTAAACTTGTAGGCAGAATTCCCGGGTGTCGAATTTGTTAGTATCGTCAGGCTGGAAAGTGCAATACTGGCCAATGTCGCTATTAATATGTCTGAACTTGTTGGTTACTACAAGGTTACTATGGGGATTGCTGAGGTTAGCGGGACATCATCCTATTTCGCGGCGATGGCAGGCTGTAAGACAAAACAGAACCTTTAGCTTCTTGCACACATCAGCAGCTGTGTTACATGCCAATATTGAACGACTCGAGGTGGTAAATATACTGAACATATAAGCATATTTATTTACAAAATAAATAATTCCCCATCAAACCCAAATATAGTCTCCTTTTGTTATCACCACCGGACGATGAGCTCAGTGTTTTCATCACGATCGTCGCCCTTCCATGTCAGCAACCGTCGCGTCGCCCTCATCATGGACAGCATATTCGCCATAGGATTAGGTCTTTCCCTTCGTTTCGTTGTCGACACCGTCGGCCGCAACAACCTCAAGCTCACTGGTACTATCATTGGCCTCTGGGAGGGCATCATCCTTCTACATTTCCTCCAGAAAATGCCATACTCGTTTGATCCATATGTTGGATATGCAGTCCGTCTTTTTATCGATTTTTTGGTCACCGAGAGCATCACCCGCTTGCTTCTCGTCGTCGTCTGGACCGGCCTGGGGATAGTGCTGGCAGATATTGCACCAGGAATTTGGCAGGAGACGGGCATGCGCAAGGCATGGCACCGCCTCCGACGGGAGCTCTTTTTGCTGACGAGGTCGGTGCCCACTTTGACGCCATTCACGAAGCCTCGCATTGTCCGATTTTCGCCATCCCGGGCGGCCTCTGTCATTTCCTCAGCAGTTGGCTCACGAACGCCATCTGTGCTCACTGTTACTCCGACAATTTCTCAATCCTCTCTAGATGTCCCACCTGTACCCCGTCCACCTAAGAGACCTGTACCAGGTTTTTTCCCAGGTGAAGTGTCGGAGGCAGAGACCCAGAGTTCTTTATCAGCCAGCTCACCCGCATCCCCTCCCGTATCTCTTTCTGTTCCAATCCAGGGGGCGGATACAGAAAGTCTGCTATCAGGCCAGGGTACGTCGAGAGAATTCACATTCCCTTCTATGCCTCCTCGGGACAATGATGATCTATACGCCTCTTCCTCCTCCTCCTCCTCCTCCGACACGAAAGAGCATATGGACCCAACTACCGTGGATCTCCCAGAGATTGTTGTGGCGGAAGAGGAACCCAATACGCTGAAGCAAGATCCCACTGTCTTCCCCCCCACTCCTGAACACTCTCCCTATGAACATCCCCAGGAAGAACGTGTCGTTACTCCGCCTGCCTCGGAGGTTCCGATCATTCCTGATCTCCCAGAAACAGCTCTTGACACTGACTGGGAGAACGTAGAGATGGAGGACGGTGCGCCAACGCCTCCACCTAAGGATGACCCTATGCGTCCCCTGAAGATGTTCTCTTCTTCGTCTCGCGCTCCGTCACAGGTTCGCTCTGAAACAATAGCTCCGACTTCATCACAACCATTAGGTAAACACAAAGCTTGGTCCGAAGTCGATGCATCGTTTTCAACGTCTCCATTTGATTTCAAGACAGACAATGGATCTCCGCCAGCAATGCCCATTCCCGTCCATTATTCTCAAGCAGAGATTCCTACTCATGCCACTTCTGCTGCAGTAGAATCCCCAATAATCGTTTCTCCTGCAACAGATTCATCGGTAGACGATTCACCCGATAATCCTGAATCATCTACAGCCGCGGGTGCCCTCCAGCATTCACATTCAATGATAGCGTCAACATCAGAATTCACGGATATGACCAGTAGCCTTGCGCGCGCATCCTCTATCAACAAAGATATCCTAAATATCACGGCAGAGGACCAAACGAACCCTCCCCCTCCCTATCCGGACGTACTTTCTACCAATGATGAAGTCGACTCCCCCGAAGCTGAATCGGGCGCAAAATCACCCTCGCCCTCTAGCGACACGAGCGTCACTTCTACAACTTCTCTCCTTCAAGACGCTAGAGATTCCCAAGCCAAAATGGCTGGGTACAGCAGCCAGGAGAGGGAGTTGGAGCGGCAGATAGATGCGCTCGAAGCCGATGGCGCGGCTGGTGTAGGCCTGAAGTCCTTAAAGATCAAGGAGTTGGAAGCCCTGAGGCGAAAGATGGCAAAAACTAGAGAAAGAGCGGAGAAGAAATTCTATTACGGTGGGTGTTTGTGTTCTTCTGTCTTTCTTGTTGCTAATCATTTCGTACAAGACAACAATTTGGATGAGCAATCTAACGAGATCGATTTGAGCGGGCTGACAGCGCAGAAGGCGGTGGACTTTACAGAAAAGCGGCTGGCGTATCTTCTGAGTACAGGAAAAGTCGACAAGCCACTGGTTGTAACCGTGGCAAAGGCAACGAAGAGACGTGACGTCAAGGCGAAATTGAATACCGCAATGAAGTCGTGCGTCTCCAGCCCTTTTCTTTACGTGGGCACTGACTGACTTTGTCTCAGGCATGGCATGACTACTGTAGATGACACGACAAATTCACGCGTACTGAGGATAATGCTACCCCAAACAATCTGACTTACGACTCACGAACCGACATGTATAAGTCTCACACCTACGAAAGTCGTTGCTGTTGCCATATTCTTTTCTAAATTTGCCAGTGCTCTTACATACCACCTATTACCCAGGATGTATTCATTGTACAATCATTTTTTTGGACGGAAGGTTACGGCTTCTTAACTGGAGAGAAGGGGAGGTATGATAGTACGTCCTTTTAATGCATACTTTGTTTCTCGCTACCTCAGGCTTGGGCAATTGGGGGACCCGATGATATCCCTGAAGTAGGTCTAGTGGGAGAAGGTTTCTTGAAAATACTCATCGAAGGTTGTAAACCATATACAAGAGACGATCCGAATTTTTCTTGGATACGGAAATTCTCCAAGTCAATCAAATTATGAGAACCTACTCGATCCCTTACGCCTTCAAATCCACCATGTTTGGAGGCATGCAATGGAATTATTCACTTCCAAATCCTCGAAGCAAAGGTATCCCAAGATATTTCAATCCAGCTTCTCAAGAACCCGCCGACCCGCAATATTTTTTACGTCTGTAAATCCAAAACCTCCCCCGGCACCCAATGCCTAGTCGAACAATGTTTCCGTCATGTATCCTTGCTGATATACCTCGGGGAGCATAGCGAATCCCACGTCGGGCACGGAATGCAACTCTTCGAGTGAATTGCCTTTCATTAGGCTCGAAATCCCAACAGGCCTTGAGGTCTCTTTGGGTGAGGCTAAGTACTGGCCGCCCATGTTGGGCCTGAGGAGCTACGAAGCGTTTGCCGATGGTTGCTTTGGCATGTTCTGCGGTCATGATGCCGGTGTTAGTGCAGACAATAATAAGGAGGCAGAGTTGTAGAGTTCAACGAAGTGCAGACGTGGGAACTTGACGGCAGTGTGAGATGTAGAAGACGGCTAGTTTCGATGCGATAGTTGAGGTCAGTCACGATCATGGTGGATCGTTATCAGTGATTTGCAGGACCGTGTGCTCTTTGATTGATATTAGAACAGAAACGAAATAGATGGTGAAAAAGAGACAGAGATAAACTGACACTTTACAAGAAACTACCACCTTTCCCGGCGCCGAACCGGTCGCTGAGGCCCTTTGCGTCTCGTAGCATCTTCTGTCGTGTACTGTCGTCCAACAACCGGCCGCCAACGGACATATCTCGGGTGTGGTCCCAAATAGCCTTAGATGGATCCTCTTCGTCATCTTTCTTTCCCACTGACTTTGCGTGAGAGTCGACCAATGCCGAGCCTCGAACTTTGCGCTACAATACAAATCAGTCGAGGAAGAGTAAATGAAACCACGACACACAGTGTGCTCGTCCACACCCTTCCGGATGCTCTCATCCATTTTCTGCCTCTTCCTCGCTTCTAATGCCTCTTCAGCGCTCAAACTGTTATCAGTGTTCACAGCACGCCGTCGTTTTCCAGACACCTCATCGGCGAGTCGTTGCTGCCTCTCAGCAGGTGTCTCTGTCCATAGATTATTTTCCGTCTCCTTCGCTGGCGCGGCGGACCTAGCGAATTGTCGAGGTCTGTTGAGTTTTGTAGGGTCCAAAGCTATGATGGTGATGATCAACGATAACATTATTATAAAAGAGGAGAAGTAGGCTCACTCCCAAGTAAATCAGAGGACGAAGGGGGCACTAACATCCATTCGTCTCTTTTGGGTGCTTTAGGCCGAGATGCTTCCTGCGTCTACATTTAGGAGCTGAACTCAGCAGAGTAAAACATCAGCGTACCTCAATCTTCTTCCTTCGTTTTTCTTCTTGTTCCATGAATTGCTTGACACCGTCTGTGTCGTAAGTGCCGGTTCGCCCTGCAGATAGAGGTTTCGGACCTATATCATCATCCGACTCGTCATCGTAGGTCGGTAAAGCTGGGCCTTGGACTCGTTTTGGCGGACCTACTTGACGTGCAGCGAGGAGCTCTGGTGGCAAAGCAGGTACATAATCATCTTCATCGTCATCATCACCTTGTTGCTGTCGATTCACCAGTTCTGAAGGTAGTTGAGGACCCACGACCGAAGGGCCAGGACGTTCTTCATCATCTTCGTCGGCGCGCTCACTTTGGCCGAGAAGGTGCGGAGGGATTGCGGGGCCTATTGAGGACATCGTGGTCTAAGATCGAGAAAGTCACGGTCACGTGGAAAGGAACAAACAACAACAGTAGCTAGCCTGGCAAGCGGCTTTAAGGTTAGACAAAAACTGTTTTTCCATACATATATGCATAATAATATGTACGATTTCCTAACTAGAGACATTGACTTGAGCCACATGTTGACTAACCTGGGTCTATCAACCACAGGCTACCAACCATAAAAGTCAGTTTGCAGATACATTTCTTTACACGTCGTCCTTTGTTTGAGTATATCAATCTGTACTTGGGAAACGGTGTTGCTAACATCGGATATCATCGATTCGGAACCGCATGCTGAGTGAGTACATCAGAGAAACACAGTAAGAAGAGACGATATAAAAACTCACCAGTTACTGCGACACGTCCTTCCCATGTCTGTGATCTTTCTCGAATTATATCAAGAAAATTTGGGCGTCCAGCGTGCCAATACCCCTCGGAGTGAGATGTTTCTTTGATGTTGCTCACAAGGTCATCATCCGAACTGATCTTCGACTCCATGCCCGTCGCTCCAGCATCTTTTCCGGTGACGAAGAAACTGACAGAAATCCCAGCGTCGCTGATTCCATTAATGGTATCAGAGACGTATTGCTCCATCTCCTGATGTTGATCCGTAGGGCAGTTAGCAACCATGGGTGAGAAGGAGGACAACATAATATTTACCTCTAGAACGAACAACCCAAATCAACTCAATTTTGTTGCACCGTGTCTTCTCGCCCCCTTCGCCTTTATGGCATCGAACGAGATCCTGGAAGATAGAGAGAATATATGAAATACCACTGCCTCCGGCTATGAGCAAAGCATTGTCAAAAGCCCGGAGTTCTGGTGTTGAATGTCCGAAGGGCCCATCAAGGAGAACAAATAGGTCCCGGTGACCGCCAGCTCTGTTACAGTAGTCTTTGAGGGAGCTGGTGAAACCCTTCATCGGTACGATGGTGAAAGACATGCTATTTGGTTGGTCGTTGCTGTTCGGGATGCTCGCGATGGAGAAGGGGTGGGACTCTAGTGGGCGTACACTGAGGAAACGAAGGAATACATGCTGGCCGGGGGACCACCGGAGTTTTGTGGAAATGCTGAGGTTCAACATGCCAGATGGTGTTACACGAACACGCGCGACATGGATATGCAGGTTGACATAAACCATATAAGCAATACGGAGCACAATGCCCCAGCCAAAAACTGCAAATGTTGCATACATATAGTATCTGGTACCTTATCATAAGCGGACGATTCTCGCAATTTCATAAGTAAGACTGACGCTCCGTCCAGCTCTTGAAAGCAGTGGAGCCACAAGTATCCAAAGTAAACTAGATGAGACGTGAAAGATAGCTGGCACGTTCAAAGATACGGTACCCACTTGCAATAGCCAGGAGATGGAAAAGCCAGAAAAACTCGTACCCCGCCTTTCGGAAGATGGGAAGGCTAGCGCAGCAAAGCCAGATCAATGGTGCGAGGGCAATGAAACCGGTCCGATAGGAACTCTGAATCAAGATTTAGATCCAGGTCAACAAATCTGCTTGGACTCACATTGTTTCGGAAGTCATAGCGGATTCCTTGTTGTCTAAGAAGGTATTGGTCTATTGCCCTAACCCCAAAACCATGCAAGCTCACCGAATTGAGCGTATAGTCATGGAAATGGTGTGTACCAGAGACATGTACAAATGTAGGCCCGCCACTCCTTGATGGAAGACCTGCATCTTTTCGTGGGAGCTACCTGATTAGCCATAACGAACGTAAGAGTATGCTCAATAAGGGAAAAGTTAGACCCACCTATTAAAGTACCAATGAAGTTGATTTTGTGTCCGAATACTATGAGAAATGGAAGCATCGCCATCGCCAGCCATTCGCTTCGCAATCCCAGAGGGGAAGATCCATCTAGCAAAATAGGTCAAGGACTATCGAAACATAAAGGACCGACGTCATACAAAACGGAGGCCTGTAGTAATATGTGTCCGCGAAGCAGTAAAGAGTAGTAAAAAGGAAACCCGCGCCAAGAAGCAAAGTTTGGCCTTGATTTCCGGCGGTGTACCATGGAGAGATGAATCTATTGACTGAGGTAGGAACTCGTGGGTACGCAAGTAGTCGAAAGAGAGCATAGAATTTATCTTGCAAGGTCAGAGACTGCGACATCGGCGCAGCTGTGAGACTGTGGTACGATATATCAGTATATTATTTACAAAAGGAAAGGAATACTAGGGTACTCACCTGCGTCGCTGAAGAATCCTGAAGTGAACATTAAACAAGATCGCAATGAAGATAGTGACGGCGAAGAAATATAATCCGTAATAGCCGTATTTTACAGACTTAGCCCAAGGTTCGTGGGTAGATTGGTACTCTGTGACTTGCGCATCCGTTGGGACGTAATGGCCATGGTAATATGTCCCCGCCTCTGGATCTGAGGACATTCGAGTAAGTAGAAGTGAATCCATGGCAGCTGAAACCCAGGAAAAGACGGTGAGGCCGACAGTAAAGTAGGCCGCACGCGTCTGCAACTACATGGTCTGAATTTATACATCTAGATAAATTAGGCGAAGCCTCGGTCTCGGTACAACTTGTAAAGCTAGCCAGTTGGAGATCTGCGCCCCTGCCAGTGCCCAAATGCGGCCATCATCGGGACCCGAAGAGATTAGAAAATAATGGCGTGACTGTGACGCAGGTCGGCAGGACGAGGCCGAAGGGATTCCCCATAGACTTGCTAGTAGAAACGTTATGGGGAATCCCAAGAGTACGATATGATGAAGGCAGGTAGTAGGGAGGCTCTGCGATGTCTGTAGGAGGAGGAGGAGGAGGAGGAGGAGAAGTGTAGTGTAGTCCAGCACGTTGTGGCCGAAAATACTTTGCCGACGAAGATTTGTAGTGGAAGTGGAGCAGAATGAGGCAATTTATGGCTGAGTCAGCGACGCTAAGCCAATCGCAAAAAGGCGGAGGGCGAAAATTGCTCACGTCACGCAACCGTGTTCTTATATAAAGCTTGCGCATAATTACGATTCTTCTTCCGTTCCCCCAGTATCGCGTCTGTTGTCTTTCTTCCCTCATACCCTGTATGTCGTTAACGCTGCTTTCATCGTCTGGAGCATCATGATTGTTGAGTTACCTTCTCATACATGATTTCGTCGAGCACTCTTTCGTCTAGCGCTTTGATACAAAGGCAGCTGTTCTACTGTGCTTTCCCTGCTCTTACCGATTGCTAGCTGATCATCGCCGTCTTCAGGATGTATGAAAGGTCGCCCTCCATAACGCTGACTGTTCATTGCTCTTGCCGTCATCAGCTTATTACTGTACCCTACTGATATCCTTATGGACCTTCATGCGTACCTTGTGTGTCGTCGTTCCTGATGGCGTACTTGACCATGCTTTATCTGTTGAACCCGTTTCTCCACGTCAGGATTCCTCATGCTCCTGTCATGATAAACCGTGACGCCATAATTGATGGGCTTGATGGGCGATATCGGATGATAGTTATGGGAACGTGTCGCTGGTAGCGAGTTTCCGTTCCCATCGAGTTTCACCCTCATTGTGGGCACAGGGTTTTTCTCAATTTGGACCTACGCGTTCCTCCGGGCGGCACCCGCTGCCAAGGCTGTCGGATGGGCCCGGAATTTTAAGTTTGCCCGAGTGTAATTTCGACATCGGCAATCCGCAGTGCTCCACTTCGGAGCGTTTCTAACTGGTTTGGACCCTTTGGATCGAAGAATCTGGATTTACTGTTTACAAATTCATTCCCGTAATTTTTAGGAACTCGGAAACGTTGTTTAGCCTATAAAATGTCGAGCACATGTTTTTCTTGCCGTGATGGTTGGTGAAATCTGATAAGTTTGGGCCAGTTCTAAATCGCGAATCTGGGAGCGTCGAGGTATGATGCTAAAGATTAAAATTCCTCTATTTCCGAATTCCTTTGCTAGGGCATTTCAATGTCCGGGCCTATTTTATCGTAGATAAGGGATGGTACAAGAATATGAACATCCCTCTGTTCAGCGATAAACTGTGCTTAAAGAGTCAAGTGTACTGGCCTTTTCTGCGCAGTCATCGGGGGTAGAGCTTGTCTGGAAAGATTTCAACTCAGCTTGTGGTAAATGCCATCTACTTAATGTAAATCCGAATTGTTGGAACGAGATTTATTGTTCTAACATTATAGAAAATCTCCCGTTGTCATATTTTTCCACCTTTCAACTGTTACATCAAGTGATCGCTAAATGATATCAATGGAATGAATGAATGGACGGACACACCTCTCATTGTCGGTGATACATAAATAACATAGCGACGGACACGCCGCCCGCTAAGAACCCCAACGCAGCTGGCAGTACTGTAGAACCACCGTATGGGATTGCCTGAAAATCCTGAAAGGTCGACTGGAAAACATCCTTCGATAATCTCCCCCGCCTGAGTTTCGACTTTCCACCAACGTCATGCACAGAGGGTACACGGTTCTGCTCCCATCCTTCATCAAGCAGCTTTACAATCATTGAGTCATCCAGTTGAGTCAATTCTTCCATGTCCCACTCATTGCATAGCTGAGACATCCACTTCATCCTGCGTCGACTGACCGCTCCTCCAATGCCAGGTGCACGGTCCTTGAGGCGATCCCTCAACTCTCCAACTCGTCTGATAGACTCGCCTTCATACCCGCCTAACGCGCTACTGAGTTTCGCCTTGAGTAACGCTGCTATCCTGGGACTAGACCCGTTGGTCGATATCATGATTTGCAAGGGACCATCGCGTATCTGAGCACCAAAATAGAAGTCACATAGATCAGGTATGTCTGCAGCATTGACGGGAATTCTTTGCTCGCGGCACAGCTCGACGATTTGGCGGGAGCTGTTAGGATCATCGAGAGCAGTAAGGACCATGTCCATCTTGTGGAGTTCTGCGGGCCCAGAGAAATGACGATCATAATATGTGATATGATCCAGACAGAGTTCTATGAATCGCTTGGTTCGAGGGTGAAGACCCTTGGCGGGAGCAAGAACGACGACCTTTGCATCCGCGGAAAGAACGGCTTCAATACGTCCTGACGCGACTTCTCCTCCGCCGACAATGAGAACAGTCTTGCCCTTGAGCTGCCAGGCGACGAGCAGAGACGACCCATCAAGATTCGAAGAGATAGGTGGATTTGAGAGAGAGGTGGACATGTCTGCTAAAGGACAAAGCGTAACGATAGCAACGCTGATGTTATATATTTGTACGTACTTGGCATCATCTTCCCCTATTCTTGCTCATCCAGCACAGCTGTGTCCTTCAAGAGAGGGAATATAATATAACGACATGAAGGAAATACATTTATTCTACGTTTTCCTTGTCATTTCTTGGGCTGCGTCCTTTCTTTCGGGAGAAGATGCAGTGGAAACAAGGAAACAAGGATGCTCGCAGCTGCCGAGGCTGTGCATCGGCATTAGGTGAGTGCACCACAGCGCAGGCCCCAGTCTTTCTACCTTTTACTCCCACTTTCCCCCTTCTTCATATCTGTTTTATTCTTTTTCGTCGATTTTTTTCTGTATCAGCCATATAATTGTTCCTCATGGCCTATCGAGACCCGTATGCTGCGCAGTACGGCCGGTACGAGCACGACGCCCAGTACACACAGCCCGACTTCAATCCTTACAGTCACCAGCAGCCCCATGCCACCTACGATGAGGGCGCTTACGACAACTACGGCTCTGGCTATAGAGACGATCCCACAGACGCTCGCGGTCCGCAACGGCAGGCCACCACGAGAAGTCACATCAGCACGGGTTCCGTTGATGCACCCATGGGTGTCAGAACCCGAGACACTGACACTGTTAGTGGCTTTGACCATGGCGAATTTCCGCCCAAGGAAAAGTGTGTCTCCATGGTCCTTTTTCCCCTTGGTTACTCAATTCCAACCAGAGTTCCTCAAACCTTGAAGAGCTATCGACACGAAACGCAAGGAAATCTATGGACAAGAGTAACTAGGTTTATTTCTATATGACACTTTATTGATGTCAAATAGGGAGGACGTCCAAGGTGTATTGGAAGGTTCTGCTGCTGCACCCTTCTGATTGCCGTTTTTCTAATTCTCAGCATAATCTTGTCCCTTGCTCTGGTTAGTCTCTTATCGACATTTCACGCTGGTATTAACATGTATGTAGTGGATTCGGCCCCCGAACGTCACCATTGGTGATATTGAGTTAGTGTCTTCGGGTGGTAGCGAGTTCGAACTCACGAATGACGGTGTTAACATAAACCTTGGCGTAAATATAACGTACGTATTCTACCAGTGAATCATATGTCATTTATTAACCTTGTCATAGGGTGGACAATCCGAATTACTTTTCACTCGATCTGAAAAAAGTAACAGCCGAGGTAACTACGTCTCAATTTCTGTTTCCGATTCACTGCTCACCGCTATACGTCAGTTGTTCTACCCTCTTAATAGTACGAGCACTGGTACGGACATTGGAGGTGGTAATTCTAGCAACATCAATTTCGCCGCGCACTCGCAGACCAATTTTACCTTCCCGTTCGAGATCGAATACACCCAATCCAATGACCCCAGCAACGCCATCCTCATAAGTATTCTTGAAAAATGTGGAATTCTTGGTACATCGAGCAATCTAGATATTAATTACAAGATAACAGTGAGCCCGGCCTTTCTCTTGCATTGCGGCGCCTCATAATCGTTCATCAGCTCGGCATACGCATTCTTATGGTGACAGTTTCACCAGTCATTTCCAATTCGTTCAGCTTTGCATGTCCACTCAACTCAACATCGCTTTCGGTGCGCACGACGTATGAGTTCTCTGTATTTCAGGAGCTAACTGCTTTTTAGGATCTCATGAGCAGTTCCGGCCTGAATCTAACCAGTATAGCCGGTTTATTGGGAGAGTAGCTTTCCATTTTCTTTCTATTGTCAATGTATCATTTACATCAAAATTTGGACTATCTTCGCCTACTTATCTGTATGAATCTAGCGCTGTTCTAAGAAGCGCTCCTTTTAGTTGGGCGTACCAACGATTTTGAACATTCATCAAATCATGCAACAAATAAACATACCGGGATTATACCAATAAACAGCAGTCCACCGCCAATTAACCATCAAGCCTGCAGTAGCTTCAGATGGGCCATCCCACAAGCTCCCATATCCCAGTTTCTAACGAGCCTATACTTTCTATTGAGTTTGCAACCCTCCACATTGCATTTCGGTATTGGCCTTGGCGGTGCCGGAGGGCGAGGTGCGCCCTCCGGCAGTAAAGACGGCGGAACTGAGAACGTCAAGATCATCTTCCCTTCTTCATTACCATCATTTTTCTCCCTCCCTACCACACCATCAATATCCATCTTCTCCTCTGATACAGTGTCGTCGACGTCCACTTTATCTTCGGCTCCAGGACTAGAATCAACTTGGAGAGGCCAGGATGAGGATATCCATCGGTACATGACGGGTATTATAGGCGCAGGTGGAGGCTCCTCTGTACTTCCCTCCACCTCCATGGCCTCTTCATCACTGTCGTTCTGGGCCTTGACTCCGGAGGGAGTACCTGTGCCAGTAGTGGTTCCGTTGCGTTTACCCCCCCGTGGACGTGTTTGTTTTTTGAGCAGTCGGTTAATAGTTTCAACCTTTGTGAAGACATGAGACAACAAATTACAGCGTCGAACAGAACGCACCTTTTCATCCTCTAGCTTTTTCTCAGAAAGATTCTTCCTCTTCCTGGCTGTCTCTTCCCGACGCAAGGCTAACTCGGTCTCATTGAGTTGCTTTTTTCTACCCTTGCCTACGGATATTGCAGTGTCACCATCTGCAACTTGCAAGTGAATTTATGAGATAAGACGACAAAGAAAACATGCCGCGCACCCAAAGAAACATGCGAAGAGTCAACTACGTTGGCTAAAACGGCCTGCCTTGACGTGAGACGCTTCTTCGAAGGAATAACTTGAGGTGTCGACTCAGATTCAGGTGACATAGACCTCTCATCATCGTCATCGTTATTATCTTCATCTTCTGAGCTTTCAAGGTAGGAATCTGGGCAGACAAATAGGCATTGTGTTTGAGTGAGGGAGAGACAAGCAATATACCTGGTACTATCCTCCTTGTTCGTGCAGAGGATCGTTTGGGTGGATGATGATATTCTTCCGGTGCTGGTGTAGCTGTGTTGGACGTTGAGCTCGGCACAGTGGGAAGCTTCAACTTGATCTTGAGCCGCGATGATTGTGCCGGCTGCGACGAAGTATTGCTAAGCTGGTCATCCTCCTCTTCTTCTACAATGACGTCGTCATCGTTCTGGAAGACTGCTGAGATTTCAGCATGGCATGAAGGGACATGGCACGTACGGATTGAACGTCCTCATCTAGAACAGTAACACCGACTTGGTCGTCTTCATCTTCCTCCTCCGGCTCATCGCCATCCTCTTCCTCGGGAGAATCGGCTTCGTAGCGCTCAGCGTCGTAGTCAGCACCTTCCATGTCGACCTCATCCTCAACCTCATTGCGCCGCATGGTGGGAAATTTCAAGTCTTAGAATTCGGCAATGACATCATGAGATCAGGCTCGCTTCTTGACCGTCACGATGTCAGCCATTTCTCTCCAACACCACCATGTCTGGCAACCTCGCTCAGCTCACACCACCCAAACAACTGACCCAACAAGAGCGACAAACCGTTTTCCAGCATATATTTCGTCGCCTGGCAGCATATAGAAACACTGCTGAGCTCTACGCATTGACAGAGTACTCTTTGTCATCCTTGCCAGAAAGTACGAAATCCGATAGAAGAAATTCCTTCAATAAAGGGCTGAATGCGTGGGCGCAGCAGTTACTAGAACATGCGTGGGTTGTATGTGGAGAGCCTGAAGGAGGTACGGTTGTCAATGTCATCTGTATTTATGTTATCATCGCTGACGACAACTTCAGAAAGATGTCCTGAACTAGATCCCTATGCTGATACTTCCACCGGTCAGCTACCTAAACTACTGTCCGAGCAGGGTCTTAAACGAGTCCTTAACTCCATCCTTTTCCTCCATATCACAACGTCCAAGGAGTATTCTGCTAGGACACGGTCATTTCTGAACAAATTTGGCAGCCTGGACGAGGATATCATTGTTTCTACTCTTAGACATCCAGACCGTGCCGTCGAAGAAGCACAGCGACATACCATGACGACTACTCAAGATCACGCCCAGAAAAATAAAGTGTTGAGGATGGTCGGGATGGGCCTTGGCGCGGTTGTTGGTGGTGTGTTGGTCGGTGTCACCGGGGGATTAGCTGCGCCGCTTGTAGGTGCTGGCGTTACAACTGTTCTCGGATGGCTCGGCATCGGTGGGACAGTTGCGGGTTTGTTGGCTAGCGGACTAGCTGGATCATCTGTCGTCTGTGGGGCACTATTTGGCGTGTACGGTGCCAAGTCCACGGCAGATATGGTTCAGAGGCACACGAGGGAAATACGAGATTTAGCTGTTTTGCCGATTGGCGTTCAGTCCGAAGAAACCCTTGGGGTTCGGCTCTGTGTTAGTGGATGGATATCGTCGCCTATCGATTTCTCGGTTCCTTGGACTGTATTCGGAGGTGACAACACATTTGCTTTGCAATGGGTACCTTCTTCATCTCATGGTTGATTGGGTTTCTAATGCGTACTAGGAAGTCCAAGCATTGCAAGAACTTTCAGATGCGCTTCTCACTCTTGTTAAATCTCATACCATGAAATACATCAAAGTGGAAATCGTCAAGCGCACCGTCTTCGCGAGTTTGATGAGCTCTTTAGCGCCTATTGCGTGGCTGAAGATAGGACAGATAATAGGTGAGGTACAAGACATCAGGCCGTCAGACCGATGGGCTCACTTCGATACTTCTGTTTGCAGACAATCCTTGGATGAACTCCAAGGCACTAGCCATCAAAGCCGGAGCAGTCTTAGGAGACCTGCTAGCCAAACGCGCGTTCGGAAATCGACCTGCCACTCTGGTTGGTTATTCGTTAGGATCCTTGGTTATCTTCGAAGCGCTCAAGTTCCTCGCCGCTCTTCCGCCATTGGATACTGGACATCTAATCGAAGACGTCTTTCTTTATGGGACGCCTGTCTCAACAGACCAAGCAACGTGGGCCAGTGTAAGAAGATTAGTATCAGGCCGACTCGTCAACGGTTATTCCACGAACGATTATGTCCTTGCTGTGCTTTCACGCGTGTCGAGCGTAACCTGGAACGTAGCAGGTCTTCATTCAGTTGATGTCGTGGGCGTAGAGAATGTCCATTGCGATTTTGTTGATGGCCATACCATGTGGAGAGGAATGATAGGGAAATCGTTGCAGCTTGTCGATGCTCCAGGACTGGTTGATTCTGAAATCTATCTTCAAATGGAGAACATTGGCAGGCGGACAGAAGAGTTGGATCTGGGATCAAGTCAAGAAGACTGGCTTCAGAAGGATGCGAATTAAGGCTGCATGGGACATTATGGACTAGATTGCTGTTAGAGCTGTATGCTATCTCGTGAGTCTTGACACATATTACACGACCAGGAATCAGTAATAATCATGAAATTATCAAAGGGAGTACGGGGACGCAATGGAATTTTTTATACGAGAAATGATGGCATCAGTTAACCTTGTAAACCAGAGTCGACGATCCGTATGAAGTTAAGTCGTTCAATCGATGCGGATCTCAGTTGGACATCAGCTTAGAGCTAGGCAGATCCTTGGAAAAAGCTGGTCCAGCATTCGCTTTAATTCTTGTGTGTCCGCATCATCGCTACCATTCTAGAGATTTACTCCGAGCGGTTATGGATGCTAAGCTCCTGCTGCGCGGTTGGTGGTTGATACGGTGGAATTCCGACTAGCCAACCGTGCAAAGCCTTCAGCATCGAATTTACAAACTTATCCCAAGTGTATTAGCCCTTGCGAGAGTATATAATGCTCGATGAATATTGGTGCGTAAGATATATGTCAATGTCGTTTAGCAGGCTGGTTGAATATAACATTTCAAGGGACCATTAACTTGGACAATCCTGTAACCCCCAAAGCGCCAGAAAGGTGCTGCGGCAAAGACAAGGACGTGCCTTTGACAGTGGTCCCGACCACTTAGGCTTTGATTATTTTTGAACGGTTATAGGATTCGCTTCGCTTCCGGCAGCCCCTGAGGATTCGGAGGACGTCTTGCATTCTACTTACGACGAGGACAAACGTGCAGTCTAGTCAACTACCGCCATTCGTCCATGTCGTCTGTTTTGCTTAGACAGGTGTCGTCGGTACCAGTCTCAACGACCTGATTTTGCCTGCCAACGTCTACGTTGTGCAAAAAGTTGTTTTTTATATACCAAGGCTGAGGCTGCAAAGAGATGGGTAAGTGCTTATTACCAACATCTCTGTAATACTCTTACGGATCCTGCGTGACCTTGGAGTTGCATTCGGAATTCAGCTAAAACTTAGTAATTACTAAGCCTAGAACTGGTATTGTCTCTCGTTGCACGAGCTAAACGGTTCTGAATGAGCAATGTTCGATTATCTCAACAGATACAGATTATCGTGGAGAATTCATGCTGCGAACTTGGCGCGGCGTATCCCAGGACATATCCTGCCACCTCCATCCCGCTCTCGTTCTCGCTGTCAGACCTGCGGGTCGGAACTCGGCTGACTGTTCCAATCACGTGCAAGTTGATCGTCATATGTCATTATCTTAGAGAAGGTATATAACTAACGAGATGCGCCTCAAATTTCCCAAGGTCACAGCTTAAAATTTTCCCTCAGCCAGATGTTCTAGCAGCTAATATGTCAACGCCTACACCCTTCAGATCCTTCATTGGCGGTTTGGGTCTCTCTTTCCCAGTGCATGCTTTGCTGCTTTTGAACGGAAATGTCTTTGGAATTTCGGGTTTCTTTCATCGCGCAGTACAAGGGAATTTAGAGGCGCTGGCGGGTATTTCCGGGCTAATCGCTGGAGGCCTCGTCATTGGAACTCTCGAAGGCACAGACAGGACAGGACTCGGTCTCGAAATGCGACAAGTTCTGCTGTCTGGTTTCCTTGTGGGATTGGGAACCAAGGTATTTCACTTGGAAAGTGCTTGTATTTGACTATCTGAAAGCTTTCCTCGCAGCTGTCTAATGGATGCACATCCGGGTCAGTAACTCTGATTTTCGCTTATGCCTTCGATTTACCGATTAATTTAGACACATGATTTGCGGTATTTCCAGACTATCCAAGAGGTAAAAATTCGTTCGAATGCGAATATATGCATGTCAATCTGACATCTTTCAAGGTCAATCGCCGCCACCGTGACTTTTTTTTCCACGGTAGCGGTAACGGCGCGTTTGTTGCACGGTTCAATGTTAGGCGCCTCAAATGCATCTTGGGATTGGACTTTGGGGCCGACAGGACAAAATCTCATTGCCCTACAATCAATCCCCTCAATTATTTCAACGCTTCTTTATTTTTACAATGTTTGTTTCCTTGACTTCATGCCCCCTCAGTCATGACTGAATATAGGACGGGTAGAAATCAAAGTCAAACGATACTGCTCCGAAAGGGCCGCATATCTTAGCTCGACGCGCTACTTACTTTACCACCGGGTTCAGCTTCGCCCTTGCCCTTTCTCTATCTAATCTCACTGACCCGATCAAAGTATTGACGTTCTTACTCCTACCCATCCATTCAGCTTTTGATTCATCGCTCGCTTTTCTCGCTCTTGGAGCTTTACCCACTTCTATCATCTTATACACTTTCTTCCGCGGAACGCAAAGACCTATTCTCGGTGGCTCATGGGCGATTCCGACAGGAGGAGAGATTGATTTGAAGCTCTTGACAGGAGCTGGGCTGTTCGGGGCGGGCTGGGGAATATCGGGCATCTGTCGTACGTTAACCCTTTTCTGCCAGCCGTCTCATATCTGATAACGTTCTTATCTTTCAGCTGGACCAGGCCTGGTGAACTTTGGTCGCGATATTACGTCAGGTTCTGACTTTTGGCCTCTGGTTGGTTGGTTAAGCGCTGTCGCCGTGGGAGGCATACTTGGTTAGAGGTTGAAGTCAAGTCTAGCTTAGGATAATTGCTATAATACGATAACGTGGAACATGGATTAATACCTCCTTAGATAAGCAATGATAATGGATATTTAATCAGACAAGGTCATTTACTTCGAAGGAAAGCATACTGATGCTCGTGCAAATATTCGTCTAACAATACATGACAACGGAATGAAGTCTATGATATGGTAGACACCGCGGTCGAGGCAGGCGGCTTTGCTTTGCTCCGGCCCCATTTTATTGCTATTCGTTCTCCGTCAATTTCAAGGCCGTTGGCCCATGTCTCAGCAGCACGTTCAGCGGTACTTCGTTCCTTGAAGTTGACGAAAGCACATCTAAATTGTGAACAATAAGTTGTTATACTGCCAAGTTAGTGTAAGGAATGACTAACCGTGACTTAGCTACATGAACAACAGATCGTAGTTGCGTCGGCTCAACACTGGGTAGCGACTTGAGAACGGTTGTGCGTATACTCAGTTCCGTAGATTCGGGAGAAAGTAAGGATAAAAAAATTGAAGTCTGAAATTTGGTGTCAGCAACGCTGCAAGGAGATGGTGGCAAAGTATACAATAGTCTCATCATCAGGAGGCTTCAAGCCTTGATTTGCGGCGTGTGTGGCCATAATTTTACGAGCGACGGGGTCATTCTGCCCATGATATCGATCTTGCAAATTCTGGTGTGACAGCGCGCTTTCTACAGGATTCTCATGTCGATATGGGCATTCAGATCCGCGCTTGCACTCCCCCTTGACAAAAAATGAGCACACATGCGGACGATTGCGCTTATAATAAGGGTCTGTCCGCGCTAGTTGCTTCAACATATCCTTCCCCGCAGACTGGGTTCGCCCGCTCCCAAGGCCGGACTTGTCGCCTTCTAACTAACAATAAAATAATCTGAGGCGACAGACTCAATGCAAATGGTGGTAACGCACCTTGGCCTCCATGTTCTGTGCATAGTACTCCCGGTTAATATCACTTGTAGGTGCGTCCTTCTCCAAAGCCAAAGCGGTATCACGGACTTGTGTAGGTAGCCCATATTCAAGATCAAGAAGGCATGTTTGGCAGACATTCTTCACTTTGGCGCACGTTTGGCAAATGACGGTGGTTTTGAAGCGCATGCCAGAACCTGGATTCCAACGGAATACTGTGAACGGTCTTGCACAAGTGCCACAAGAGCGTCCATACTCTTGCTTGGACTTCGAGAAAATCAGTAAATGTAATTCAGATTGCCGCAGAAGCGCTGACCATACGAATAAACGGATTATCACCCAAACCTAGAAAGCTGTTGAATAAGCAAAGTACTGTTTCCGACCACCAGCACGCACATGTTTCGCAAAGAATAGGGAATTCACTCTGCTCCCATCCGGCTTTGTTGATATCGGCTTTGGGAGGCATTGTAAGTATAGTACTGAGTGATGGTTTGTCGTCAGTTTTTGAGTCCGATGGTAGTTGTCAGCAATCCGTAAAGTTTGGCAGATGCTCCCGACTCAAATACATACACATGATCATAATAGGGGCTAATTTATCATAGAGGTATCTGACGGAAAACACAACGAGAAACGCCATCCTCCTGCAGAACCCAAGTTCTTTCTAATCTATAACCTTTCTTTCGAGGTAGCGAAACACACCAGACATACCAGTATCCAACACCGATGAGAGATACAGCAAAAGCGACAACAGCATGAGACTGACGAAGATAATTCTTTCATAAAGCACTTGCATAGGTGTGGACGGACTCACCCAATAAGGCAAATGCTCATACGTTCTTGATCCAGGCGCGGGTGGTATTAGAGGAACGAGTATCAGGAATACATTAGATAAAAAGAACAAGACGATTGCAATCTTGGGAGCTCGGAATGGAGGGTCCCAACTCCATGCCCTGTACGCAGAAGTGTACAGCAGCAGAAGGCCCACGGAAACGAGAGCATTTATGATAGCAAGACAGTAGGATGACACTGATGGAAAGTTGAAAGATTTTGTAGGTTCTGAATCTGCTGAAAACTCACGACTAATCATGAACAAGTAGGCATCACCAGGTGGGGGAAGAACCATGAACATAGTAGAAAAGAACCAGTTCGTAGCAAGACCTGCCAAGGGCGCGTTGAATGGCATGTTGCTGGCAAAGAACCACGATAATGGTATCACCCCTTCTCGGCCCAATTCCTGTATGACTAGAAACGATGACTGAGAGAAGTTGTAAGTTTATTCTGGAAAATAGCCTACTGCGCCCTTGACTGAACTGGCCGGTAAGCAAATTTCCTAGCGTCGATAAGGCAATAAAAACGCTGAGAACCTATCAACTATTAGGAGGTCTGAGGTGATATGAGGAAATATCGGCTCACTCGTTCCAAGTTTGGTCCAAATAGGTTTCGGAAGAACAAAGCTCTACAAAGTAACTTTGTAAATGTGAAGGAGTTATGAGCAAATTCACCTACGCAACGATCCGCCGGCTTCCTATTATATCGCCTTTGGAAACCACAGCGAAGTAACCAACGTTGACTAGCAGGTAGACTGCGGTTACAGAAATAAGGGCCAGAGGTGCTGCCCTCTTTATCGTCCGAACAGGGTTTCTGACCTCGGACAATGCATAATTGGCAGTAGAATAGCCAACGAAAGACCTATAATCAAGAGAATTAGGTATTAAATGACGAATTGCAACAGTCTACCTCACCAAATAATGTTGTACAAACCAGATATCAAAGCATTTGCATCGGAGTTACTACCTTGCCACAGCTTATCCCACCGGAGATTATCGGGAGCCTCATATTCGCCTCTAATGCGAAATCCGGGGACACCAGCCAGACAAAACAAACCCGCGGTACCTATCGATGAAAGGAGGAAGAGCTTGAAAAGACCTAGCGTATTCTGAAGGCGGAGTCCCCACTTGAATGTGGTGCCATGGAGCAGACAGCAAAAGGATATACACAAGAATGCTACAAAACGAGTATTCCATCTAGCAGGTTCGATGCTCAGAGCATGAAGAACATCTGAGAAGGTCAGCTTAGATAACGATACGGAAAGAAAATACAAACATTCTCCAAAAACAAGACTGTTAGCAGCCGATGAGCCCTGAAACACCTGTAAGCGGGTCCTAGCAACATCTGCAGACGAGGACTCGCCGTGATAATCGCATAAACAGAAAATGCGCATGTTGCTAGGAACTTGGGACGTCTATATATGAATTCGAGGTAATTCTTCTCTCCACCACTTCGAGGCAGTCCCTACATGAATGCATCAGTATTTCATTTGGATAGATACGAAACATAGAACATACGGTGCCAAGTTCAATGTAAACAGCTGTTCCTACCGCTGCAATACTTGCTCCAACTAACCACATAACTAGTGCAAGGCCCGGACTTCCAGACGAGCGTAAGATGACGCTTGGCGTCGCATATATACTTCAATTTGAACATCAGATATCGCAGGTTGAAGACATAGCAAGGAAATTGTCTCACCCAGTTCCAATGATTCGATTGAATATTAAAAAGGTGGCGCTGAATAGACCTGGCAATGGACAGCTGAATAACTGATATATTTCGAGCGATAGGATGAACGTACCTAGCCGTCGCTTTGCCTGAGGTACATCGTCATAGGATTCCCCGTTGCGCGCTGGCAGTTATTGAGCAGTATTCTTCGAGCCAAGTCCTTATCGCTGCTCACAATCACTTTCATTCCTATGTATTGCAACGCCGTCGATACCACTAGCGACGACGACTGTCTTGGTCGAGTCATAATGGGATCCAGAATGGGTATTCAGAAGATATTGCTGCTCATCGTCGTTGCCGGTACTAGAAGTCATACGGGTACTCAGGTGGTCCAGAGATAGGCGTTGCACGTGGCCTGCTATAGAACGAAGTTTTCAAATTTTTTCACGGTTATCATCGACCATGATGTCCACGAAGGACGATCCTAGAGATGCTGCCCTCGCAACAAAATTCACTCTGCCTCCGACATGGTATAGAGAAAGTGGTCTGTCCTTGTGGTATTCATTCAGTTGTCTCTTTTTATTGTGATGTAGAGGGTCTTGGATCGTCTGGCATGTTCCTCTCCGGCTTAATCATGGTGACGCGGAATAGGTAAGCATCTCCTTTTTCGACCGAGAATTCACTATCTTATCCTTTGAGAGGTATCTTGCTTGGCCTTCGGTCCTGTTCGGCCTGAACCAGTACTTCAACCAGCATCCCATGCGTGCCAAGGAGGGAACTGGCGGCTTGTCGAATCTTCTGTGTGTAGTAGCAGTCTTGTCCACAAGATATGGAACTGACATGTCCTCAGTTTATGTATCAGCGCCTTGTTTGCCTCTTACATGCCTCTCTTCGTCATCAACACTCCCCCTAACGCCCCTGCATCATAATAATGTCTCGAACCTTTGTATTGCGGCTCCCTAATGCAGCGCTGTTGGATGGATACATCATTATATGACTTTCGAAGCAAAATTGTGTAAATATTTCTAGGCACAGGTAGTTCCGAGCTTAGCAACAACCGATATAAGGAAACGACAGCCACAGAGGAGCAAGTCTTCCTTCACCTGAATCCTTGTCCAGGTACAAAAGGCATCCTTTGGCTTCCACCTCCAACAGTATTTGGTACAGCCGTTCCAGCACGAGGCACTGCCCTAGTCGAAGGCCCCGCAAGAGAAGCATTACGAGCAGAGTCGAAGTGTTCAGGACCTGTCGTCGGATTTGGAGGTAGGAACCGTTTTCCACCAGTATCTGCTGATGACGGCGGAGCGAACCTTTCTCCTGGAGGAAGGAATCGATTTGAGGTGGGTGCTCCGGGGTTGGACGGACGAGAAGGAATGGCATTCGTTGGCGCATTGACAGATTGCCGTTGTTGCGTTCGTGCATGCGACGGCGTGGGCGGCGGACCCATATTCCGTGGTTTGTTGTTACCTTGCACTTGAGCGGGTTTGAACTTGGCGAGGGCAGGAACAACAGCTGGTGGCAGCCCAGTATGGTTCTGTGAAGTATCTTGATTCGCTCTCGCTCCTGGTACATTTCGAGGTGCCTGCATGTGCGGTAACTGAGGTGGAGGCATGTGCGGTGTCGAGGGCGGGACATAAGCGTATTGCCTAGCAGAATTAAGATTATAGCATCATGGATAATTGAAGGAACCGCACTGCGTAAGATTGCGAGATGCTGGCCTCTGTTGTCGCTGTCGAACATTGTTGACGGCTTGCGGTGCTATGCCGTTTGCACGGTTGTATGACAAACTGGGAGGCTGTTGGCCAGGTGGTAGGGTGAGCCTATCGGGACCTATCAAAGAGGAATGGGGACTAGAAGTAGTCATTGGTCTGTGATGCACTGGTATATTGGAAATTATAGAAAGAAGCTGAAGGTAGGGCATACCGCTGATCCATGGGGCGTTTCCCGTGGGCATTCATATTCTCCGACGGTTCTTGGTCATCTCTGCGATGGTAGATCTGCTGCTGTGAAGGATGGACACCTTGCTGGTATGATGATATTTCCTCCGTTAAATACTGATTCGCTCTGAAAACGGAAGATATCGAGCTTTGTATCTTGGCAAGCAGGCGGCCTTTCGCACCTTTTCAGTTCCACCATATCGCGCTTGAGTTTCTCTATATATGCCCGCTGTTGTTGATGTCTAGCCCTGTAGTACCGTATCTGAGTAGCCATGGAATCTTGCTGGAACTGGACAACAATCAAGAGACGCAGGGCAAAAAAGCGATCGAAAACACTTTGGCTGTATATGCAATGGAGTCCAGTGCATACGGTATCGAACGAAACCACTCAGACATTGGTGGTTCCATCTTTTGGTGATCCCTATTTAACAAACAGGAATGTGCTTGAAAACTGGTGACGCACCTCGCGTTGAAGGGGCACTAGCTGAATGCCGGGCGACCTGCATACAGCACAACTCTGGTCAGCGTCTGCCGTATAAGGTCATGAATATCCTTTTCAATGCCAAGATACAACCATCCGACTGACTGAGATGGTTGTTGCAGACTATATGCCCGCACTCCGTCAACCAGAATGGAATGGTCGCGCCAGCGTCGGAGGCGACAGGTAACTGACATCTTGCACAATTGACGAATTCCCAGAAGTCGAATTCTTGTTGGGATGCCGATACGGTCGACATTGCTAGTGACGATGGGAAGGGTGGTGGGGGACGCGAACGAAGAGACAATCGATAATGGACGCGACGCGCAATAATTCTCATCACGTGACTTTCACATGATGTGCTACAGGACGCGCTAAAAGTTCATTATTATAATTCCTTTCCTGTCTTTTAGGAAATTGCAGGTGTTACCCCGAAGTTTTACATGCCTTGACTGATAAGCGTCATCTGAACATAGCCGACTCTAACGCACTTTCTGATCTTCGACTGAGAACCTTCGGGCCACGTTTAAGTGCCTCCGAACTGTTGGGTGAAGCTGGCAGCGCAGTTGGGCCATGCAGAACCCATGTGCTGTGCTTCGTTGCAAGGAGAAGTTCGCTGAAACTGGACTACCTCTTCATGAAGAATGAGACTCTCTTGGGTATTGGATCCGGCACGCAGTCTTGGTTGCCGTCTCATGAAAAACCGTTCAGTCTACAGTGAATTTGAGAGATCTCATATGTTAGCCTGAGACCGATGGGGTTCTGCGTACTGTTCGCTCAGCTTTCAGCAGGTGAGGTAACAGAATGATCTGGTGGTGTCACAACACGTTGCAAGGCTTCTCCTGTGCTGTTTGTAATTCTGCCGCCTCCAGGCTGCTATCGTATGAATCAGATAAACTGTCAAGTTTAGTCACAATTGTATGAGTATTCTGCTTGAATGTAAGCATCGCAGCTGTAGTTCGGTTGCTGTACTGTACCTATTACGCATGAATCCAATGCTTTATGCAAAGGGCCCGGATGACATTGCAGAAGAAGAGTATTTTTGTTCTGAGTATGGGAACGTGGGATTCTGCTGATGTCCGAGGATAAGGAGTCTAAGCGCCCAGGGATGCTTTCTAACAACATCCCCCAGCATCTGTCATGGGCAATTTCGAAGAATTTCGTCGACGAGCGATGGCCAGTCAGCCTGAGTGGGGGGACGTTCCCTCTAAACGTTGCTGGGATGGATCGCCCAAATCGAGTATGCCACGTGCTCGCGCTTGCTCGGATTGCGACGCGTCTACCACCAGTATCAAAATGGGTACAATCACCAAGATACAGCCTGATTGTCAGAATACTTCTTTGACCAAAGAATGGTCACTGGAAGGTCTCTTACAAAAGGGAAAACGATTCTTTCCAGTGCCTCGAGTGTCTGCAGTCGCCGGTGGACAGTCTTTAGAGGGTACGTTAGAGCAATATGACAGAAATACGACACCCTTGGTCATTGAGGACTGGCATAAGCACGTTGGCTGGCTGGGGCAAAAATTCAACCTCGAATGGTTCAGAGAGCATGGCCAAAAAGGTGGGTAGTATATCTTTTCATCTCTGACGCGTCTAATGGCAACAGACATTGCGGTCCGTAACGTCCATGATTGGTCAGATCACACAGTCCCTCTAGAGGAATTCACGAAATACTGTCGCTCAGCACCGCATTTTGTTATACCAGGAGGTTCGCTCGCATCGTGCTTCACGTTATATTTCGTCTTATGACAAGCGTTATGCAGAAACAGTCCGGTGGTACGGAAAGGATGCGCAATGTCCAGCAGACTGGGACCAGTGGCTACACAAATCTGGAGTTATCCCATCTCGTCTCCTCCCAGATGATTCAAGAAACTGTTTAACGAATCTGCCAAAATCTGTCAGTAATTCTGCCTCTCGTGTCTATATATGCAGTTCTCAAGTCTAACAGGCCGCTGTGGAAACTCTAATGTGCTACCTTGGTATAGGTGATACGTTCACGCCGTGTCACAAGGATCTCTGTGCTTCCTCAGGTCACAATCTTATGTGCTACACCGAGAATGACGGTTCTTCTTTCTGGTTTATGACCAAGGGTTCTGATGCTCTGGAGGTGGCGAAATACTTCCGCACCCTTAAACAAGAGCTGGATCACGAGATGCATGTCGTTACTATTGAAGAGCTCGCCAGAGCGCCATTCGACGTTTACGTCACTCAACAAAAATTGGGTGATCTAGTCTTGGTGCCTCCGAGAAGCTGTCATCAGGTCGTCAACTATGGCGGGATAACCATCAAAACATCATGGTCCAGGATGACCCTCAATAGTTTGGCAGTCGCTCTTCATCATGAGCTGCCCATGTATCAGAGGTAGGACAATTTTGCCATTTCAGGCGTTCAGTAACTGCAGTTTCTGTAGGGTATGCCGCCGTGAGACATACCGCATCAAGTCGACAATATATCATACTCTGCATCGGTTCCGCGTCGAGCTTGAGGTCCTTATACTAGAGAAGAGATCTCGTCATACCAAGGACGTCGTAGACTGTCTCTTGAAACTAGTACCTCTTTTCGATTATATTTTGACGAGCGAATGTCCACCAGAAAATATCAACAATCGGATACCCACAATTTCGGAGACGTCTGGATGTGACGAAGAGGACGAGGATGTTCACATAGTGTGTGACTTCTGTGGCGCCGATGCGTTTCAAAGCTTCTTCGAATGTCGCACTTGCGTGCCTTCAGATCCTGAGCCTTCCGCCAGTGTGACTCCCGGCAATGGCTATGCCCTCTGTCCCGCCTGTTATTCCGAAGGACGAAGTTGTCGCTGCGAGACCATGGAGGCCGTGCAATGTCGGCCTTTCAGGACCCTGGTTGCTGAACGACGGAAGACGATCAAAGTGTTGAAGAAATGTGAGGCCTTACACTCCTCGCTGCGCTTTGAAGTCGAAGAAGAACAGTTAGCTTCTTCCCTTCTTGCACTGTACCGTTCTAATCGTAGTCGAAGGAACCTATTCTCAGATGACCGATCGGGGGTGTTTCGGGCTGCTTGCGTTTTGGCACATCAACGAGGAAAGGTATGTTCATGGCAGCTCTGAACCGTACTATGTTTTTTTTTTTTACCTCACTGTGTTAACAGAAAGCTCGTACATGCACGATCCCCGGCAATGGCTCTCACCTCGTACCTCTAACCTGGGCACTTTTTTGCAGAAAATGCCATTCATCGAAGTGCTATCTTCATCTTTCTACAAATTACCACATGCATTCAGTGGAGGCCCTGTTACTTCATGGCAAAGACAAGGAAAATTTATCTTATCACCAGAGGCACGTTGCCCTCAAGTTGGGTTACGAGAAGGAGTTCCCCACTTTCCTTCGAGCTATCGAAAATGGGACAGTCCCCGATGCGAGTATGAGATCGGTGTACAACGCGATTACTTTTGATAAGTGCAAACCTATAAATCCTACGTTCATGAAATTAGGATGGTATGACAGACATGCGGACATCATCAAGGTGAGCTCTTGTTTAGTTCGCAGAATCATAATGATCAGTGACACTTTGTCATTCAGACAAACGAAGGTCCCGTTGAAAAGGGAGCTGATGCACTAGAACGCATCGACGACTCCCCTTTATCACCGTTGTCTTCAGCTTCAAGTTCAACACCCAATGCACCTTCAATCTGTGGGACATCGCATCTGTCTTCAAGCAATGAACTCTCGCCATCGACCTGCAAAAATGATGAGACGATACAATCTAGGAAGCGGAAACGCGTCGTCAGTGTCATGATTCCGACGTTGTCTTCACTCCAGCTGCAGCCTCATATGTTTGTTACCATTTCGTCGTCATCAAAGTCGACGAGTACTAGTGGGCGAGAGGAAGATCATCAACCACTGAATGATGTGCGTACAAACATCCATTTCTCCCTTGTACACTCATCCTATTTTCGTATTAGCATCCAACCGATATACAAATTTCTCGGTCCGTATTGTCAAAGCCATCGACCAAACGTAATACCAACCCCGCCCAGACTGACCCAAGATCGTCATCTTCCGGTAATCAGTCGGCTAGTAGCACTCTTCCAGCACGGAAAGGAGATCAACAAAGGCATACCGATGTATGTAGGAGTTATTTTCACCTTATAGCAGACTTACGTTGTCTTAGGGTCGGCCGCCCAAGAAACCTTCCGCGACGTTAATATCTTCGCCGTCATCCAACCACCTCCGCAACATTGTACCTGCGAAGACCGGAGCTAAATCATCACCTTCTGTTGCTCGGTTATTGTCTCGTGGTAATGGTCCAAAGCCTTCAGGCTCCAAGCCACAGCGACTTGGGTTCCTGTCGAAAGAAACAGTTCCTAGAACGCCATCTTTTGAATCAGAGGACGAGGATAGGTCTCTGAAGAAGGCTCGTTCGGGCTTTTCAAGTCTTTCACGAACAACTGTCCTCAAATCCCTTTCGTTTAAGAAGAAATCCAATCCCATATCTGAAAACAAGGAAAAAACTCTTTACTCCAGTGGTATAGAGCAAAAACTTAGGCATGAATCATTGGTTGATGCCTATAATTCTTTAGGCACTTCGGAAAGGCCTGAAGCTCAAAGCTCGCTTTTGACTCGTAGGGATTCCATATCTCAGGCAAGCATCAATCCTCAACGGTCAGACGCTGAAGCCTCTTCGAACCCGGCTGACTCGGATAAGACACCCATGCAAACTAGCACTCAGCAAGCAAATGCGAATGCTAGTACTCTCACGCTCTCCTCTAACATACCGTCCTTTGACAATGATGTGCCAATGGCGGATGATGCGCGTTCTCAAATCGGTTTTCAACAGGATGGTGCAAGCGCTCCCAGGATCTCTTCTGATGCACCGGCCCCTTACAATGACATACAATCATCTAGCGCAATGAATACTCCCGAAGGAATAACGCAAATTGTCGTTGCGGTACTTCAGGTGAGTCAGATTCACTTATCTCAATCGTCGCCTAATGTACATTTTAGCAAGCGGGGGTTGTTCCAGCAAACGGACCTATTTCTCGATTCGAGCCTCCGTTAAACATCCAGGAAGGTTAGTTTGCTACACCATTCTCAGAACTATGTTCTGAATTATTGTGATACAGAAAGTTCCCATCCACACTTCAATCCCCACCACCAGTATCATCCTTCCGCCCGAGGCCGCGGAAGACCTTGGGCCGCCTATTCTCAAAATATCCACAGCCGTCCACAATATAATCCTCGGTTTGATCAGCATGACGTAAATCCAAATTTCTTTCCCCCTAGTCCTCGCTATCGACATCGCGGCGGTTTCCAAATGACCACACACAGTCAACACTACCATTGGTATCATCCGTACGATGAGTTTCCGCGGTACAATGTGGCGGACTATGATGAGACTAGGGAAGCCTACGTCGACAACACAGATCTTTTTGTTATCTCCAGCGAACCTTTCTTACCTGTATCAATATCATCTACCGCAAGTGGAACCCGTCCTCCTTCCAAAGTAACAGTGACATCTCCACCTGCAACGCAGAACGTTCTTCCTGCTCAACCACCACCTTCATCACTACCTCCACCAATCCAAGGTAAGTTCTTTATTCGTTCAGCTGTAAGAATCTTCCAAAGGTTCATCATCCATTAGTACGGCCCGCTTCTCCGACCCAAGACTGGGAAGACAACTATGCAAGCATCATGGGAGACCTGTAATGCCCATATCACTCTTCATAGACCATATCGGTCCTTTCTCATACCAGTTCATTGCCACGCATCCATATTTCTTCTAATCAAGCCAAATAACTCCACGTCGGGAACTGTCTCGAGCAAGGAATGTACAATGTTTGAGAAATCAACTGGGCGTTCCATATAACGGTAACAAGAATGTAGGGTGTTGTAATTGTTTAAAAAAGAAGTTGGGGAACACAGGTACAAAATGCGTCAGCGTACAAATTACAGGTCATCGTCTTCTTCGGGCAAGGGCACGGCTCCGGCCTAGACAGTGTGTGAGTCATTGCAAAGGGTTTGCAATGCATAGGCGTACCTGTTCCAATTCCTTGTTGTATTGCTCCATAAGAGCCGTGTCAATAGCCACCTCGGCAGGTGCAAGAGCAGGTGCAGCAACGAACTCTAGAGTTGGGTTACTGTGTGATTGATGGTACATCAGCAAACGATCTCATGCGGCAGAGACAACAACATACCCAACCAACTTCCTCGCAAGCCACAAGAAAGGCTTCTCAAAGTTGTAGTTGGATTTGGCGGAGATTTCAAAGTACTGGAGGTTCTTCTTGCGGTGAAAGGTGACAGCACCAGTTTTCACTTTTCGCTCCTGCGCGTTATCGATGAGATCAGAAAAGACCGATTGACAACGGACGAGACAAACCTTGACATCGACTTTGTTGCCACAAAGCACAATAGGGATATTTTCACAGACTCGCTCGAGATCGCGATGCCAGTTGGGAACGTTCTTGTATGTGATTCGCGAAGTGACGTCGAACATGATGATTCCACACTGCCCCTGGATGTAATATCCATCTCGGAGGCCACCGAACTTTTCCTGGCCGGCAGTATCCCAGACGTTAAAGCATATGGTGCCAAAGTTGGTGGAGAAAGACAAGGGGTGGACTTCGACACCGAGGGTGGCTGAAAAAACGGGTTGTTAGACCGAAAAGGCAGCAAGATATGGTAGGAAAGACGCAATAAAGGGGTAGAGACGCACCGATGTACTTCTTTTCGAATTCACCAGTTAAGTGGCGCTGTAGAATGGACATGATCAGGACGCAATCTAAAAAAACGATGGTGGGGCAACGAACCTTGACAAAGGTGGTCTTGCCAGTACCTCCATCACCAACTGAAGAGCAGGATGACCGTGAGTCGGAAGCGAGAGGGTGAAGACGTCGATATAGAGATAGGATTGGCGACAAATGAAAGGAAATCGGAACATCGATGAAGGAGAGACAGGCAAAGGCGCATCAGAAATGCAAAAAGGGCAGCTAAAAGAAAGCGAACGCACCGAGAACGAGTTTGAAGGTAGGGATAGTGCCTTCAGCAGACATGATAGAAAATGGAGAATTGAGGACGAGGAAGTGAAGAAAAGGTGAAAGAACTGGAAGAGGCAACAAGTCAAATGGGAGCCGCCTTTTCCAGATAGGGTTTCCGGCATACCGGCATCCACCCACTATGCCCAGCCACCGCCTGCTTCCGAATAGATTTCTTCGACAATGCGACCATGAGCTCCTTGCACCGTCTTTCAACTGCACAAAACTCCCTGAAAATCCTACGAATGGACCCCAGGTTTCTCGCTTCGACACCGATCCAAATTAATCAGGAATTCTGGTGTTTTTCGGCCGCAATTCCTGGCCCCTTTTTGCACTGGTAGCCCAACAGAAATCTTGCGTACCTTGGCCTCTGGTTTGGAGATGTTTCTATATTCTACCTGGATCAAAAAACCAAAATGAAGATCTTCATTTTTTTCCTTGCAATAGGGAGGACATTTTACCCCAGAAAACTGCCGGCGGCACATCGGATCTCGGCTAAAAAAAATTCACTTTGCAAAGTGACCAACCGGGGATTTATAAGTAAAATCGATGACTCCTGCACTTGGGACTTCTCTTCTCATACACTGATGACGACCACGATGCCGCCCAGTCCCACGCTCGACCCTGTTCCCAATGCAACTGCCCCTGCCCCACCTAAGAAAGGGAAACCTGGAGAGTCCTGGAAAGCTCAAGAAACCCAAGTTCTCCCAAGAAATCGTCTTCCTATTGTGCGCCCTACGTTATCGCTTCCTGTTCGTTTTCGAAATAGTAGTCCAGGTCTTTTTTGGATTCATGGCGTGTGTATTTCTGGCAGCCCTAGACCAGGTGTGTCTTCTATCCATGGCCGCATATTTTCAATATTGATGTTCTCGCGCTTTTTCAGACAATTGTCGCGACCGCTTTGCCAACTATTGTCGAGGAACTTGGTGACGGCAACAACTACAGTTGGGTTGGAAGGTCAGTCATTTCAAGTCCGCTTTCGATTCCCAATACCCAACAGCCATAATAGCGCGTATCTCCTTGCCGCAGCTACATTGTCACCGCTGTACGGGAAACTATCAGACATCATTGGTTAGGCTGCTCCCCCCAGGGTATGCTCATCACTCATGCTATCTGCAGGCCGTAAACCCATTTTATACTCTTCTATCCTAACCTTCCTGGCAAGTCATCTTATCAAATCTCCTTGCCCTTCGGTCTGAATGCTACGATAGATTGGGTCCGCACTGTGCGGTGCTGCTCAAAACCTCACCTGGCTCATCATATGTCGCGCCGTACAAGGTATAGGAGGAGGAGGCATCATGCAACTAGCGAGTTCCAGGCGTCTTTTCGTAATATGCACACCTGACCACACTACCAGGTGAATATCACGATCAGTGATATAGTTCCCCTGCAAGAGTAAGCAACAATTGTCATAATTTTTCCGGGATCCTGACTAGACGCGTATTCGTAGGCGAGGGAAATACGGGGGCCTCATTGGGTCTACCTGGGGTATTGCTAGGTATGTTTACGGCTATCTTCCTTGTAGGCCTTTCTAAATATCTTATAGTGTCGTCGGACCCCTCCTTGGTGGTGTAAGTCATCATATTTTTCATGTCCGGCTTCCTGACCATTTGGTTTAGGTATTCACTGACCATGTTTCATGGAGATGGTGAAACACAGACTTCTCTCACCTCTCGTAACAGAGTACTAATGACCGATTTTCAGGTGCTTCTGGATAAATCTGTACGTCTAGGATGCAGGAAAAACAGGCTCACCCAGGTTAATCAATTATCTTTTCTCTTGTAGGCCTACAGGCGGCATCGCTGCCCTTATATTGTTCTTCTTTCTCAACCTAAACGCTCACCCAGGACGAACTCTCCGCGAACACGCTCGAGACTTCGATTTTGTCGGCTTGGGCTTGATCGTGGCAGGAGTGGTTTGTCTCTTGATTGGTTTCAACTTCAGTGAAGCGAGCTGTGAGTGGATCTTTGTATGTGATAGCGATGATCTACAAGTTCGTTTCAGGGCAAGCTCCGAAAACGATCGTGTTGATTGTGCTTGGGGGTGTGCTTCTTGTATGTGCTGGAATCTTTGAGGGTTACACAAAGAGGTCGCCGATCATTCCGCCGCGTCTATTCAAAGCAAGTTCCAGGTCTTTGAGCTTCGGAAACAAAGATCTAATGAATGATTAGACTCGGACCACAGCGATCATCCTCGTATCGACGTTCCTTCATGCTCTATCCTTCTTCGTGGGTAAGTGCACAACTTGGCCAGCAACGATTAGCGCTGCAGCTGATTCTCATCGTTGCTAGGTGCATATTATGTACGCCGTCCATCTCAGTGGCGTTTTCTTCTCCTCTGACATCTTCCTAGTTGCCGGTATACTTCCAAATTTTAGGATCCTCAGCTACCGGTGCCGGAGTCAGGTTGGACAGACAACTGCCCTACTTTATAATGATCCGTTAACCGCGTTTTTGACAGGATGCTTCCCTTCTCCCTTGGCTCCTCCATCGCATCAGCCAGTATGGGGTACCTTGTCTCTCACACGGGGGAATACCGTCCAGTTCTATGGATATCTTGGACTCTGTTTACCCTTGGCTACGGGTTAATGATCATGTTGGACAGCTACTCTAATACGTGCGACAATCATTTTCGTGCTATTCTCACCATTCACATTTTTTTCCAGCGCCGAGAAAATCTTGTTCCCGCTTATCGCAGCTTTGGGTCTAGGAACGATGTTCCAGGTAAGAAGAATTCGGATGCTTCCGATTCGAGTTGATTGGCGCTCGGTATTTGTAGGTCCCGTTGATCGCTCTACAGGCAGCGATGCCTCTCAAGGATATGGCGACTAGTACGGCGGCATTTGGGTTCATCAGGTTAGTCTGCTCTCACGCATTTATGACATACTTTGACTGAAAATTTTCTCAATGTGATTAGGACGTTAGGCGGAACCGTTGGCATCTCCGTGGGAGAGGTTGTGTTTTCAAGTGTATGTTTCATCTCAGGTGCCTATCACGACCCTGTGTCGACGCCCATTTCACAGACACTTACGAAACGGCTGGCCAAGATACCCAACGCAGAGAGCGCCCTGCCTAGTGGGTCTTTAAGTGAAAGCGTACGGCAATTGAAGGACATAGCGGTATGTCCGTTGGGTTTTTTTTAATGCACATCGGGAACTACCCTATTCTTTTGACAGAATACTCAGCTGCGGGCGGAAATCATCCAAGCTTACTCACGTTCTATCAGCTCAATATGGTTAGTCCACACCCCGATCTGTGGTGTCGGCTTCCTGCTAGGTGTGTACATATGTTGTCTTTACACGAACTCACGCTGATGGGTTCTTGTACAGCATTTGGTATACGAAAGTACAGCTTGAAGCGAGCGACGGTAAAAGGCGCCCCGCAAGGTGAGAAGGAAACTAAGAAGAACGGGGACTCGGATACGGAAAAGGCAGAGAACGTTTCCACGGGTAACGATGATAATATTCTGAGCCACGGAGCGCATCATGACATGGACATAGACGGGGAGGAAGAAAGGACGGTGAGAGAGGAACCAAGCAGACGAAACAGTGAAGAAAACGTTTAAACTGCCTTTATCAAGTGCAATACCAGAATGCTATACCAGTGTGACACATATCAACTATTTGCCAGAATAACACATTACAAGAGACCCTGAGGTATCGAGAACGCAAAGGCCACTCCGAGGCTCACCAGCAACGAGACGAGTCCCATAATGGCACCCTGACCGTAGTGCCTATGAAGATCCTCCGTCTTAGCACCCACCACATTCCAATGATCCCATCGCGGCCTGCGTGTCATCCACCAAAAGAGCGACACAGGACCGGGGAACACAGCAGAGATCTTCGAGTGGTCGTCTCTGTTAACGTGGTAATACGAACGGCAGTCCGTCCAGACGGAGGAGGCAAGCCGAAGCTGGAGCCACGAGTTGTATGTGCTGCAGACGTCCTCTTTGATATCGAAGGACTTCACTCGACCGTCGATGATGGGTTTGATCATCTGTATAGCGTACTGCACCTGCGCCTCTTCGGAGAACACAACTGACGCGTGTCCGACAGCAGTGTTGGGACCCAGTAGGACGAAGACGTTGGGAAAGCCGGGGATAGACATGCCGTACACAGCTGTAGGACCGCCATGCGTCTTGAAGTACTGATGTATCGTCGTCGATCGACCTCTGACCCGTAGATCGGTCGGCTCCTGCGATATTTTAAGCACCAGTACAAAACCCAAGGGAGCCTCGGTAAGAACTGACCAGAGAGTACCCCGTCCCGAAAATCAGGACGTCCAATGGAATCACTTCTCCGTTCTTCAGCTTGACGCCTTCCTCGACAACGGATTCGATGGTGCCCCAGTTGAGTGACACATTGGGTTGCTTGAGACACGTAAGATAGTCGGAATCGACGATGACTCTCTTGCACCCGGGTAAGTATTTCGGTATGAGCTTCTCGAGCTCGTCCTTCGGGGCTTTGTGGGTTATGTATTTTTCCAGTCGCTTGTAGGGCATAAGCCATGGATGGAGGGGAAGGAAAAGACGAATTTACCTGTCGTGCAAAACTGACAATCCGGGTGTTCTGCTTGTTGAAAATGAGGAAGCTGGTATCTGCCTGTGATAGCGTCTCAAAGTCGGGTATCGCTCGAACGGCGATAGAGCTTACTCTAGCCATGATATAATTTCTGTACCATCTCATGACAAAAGGTATATTCGCGAATGTCCATTTCACCCACTCGGGATATTGCAGGTGTCTCTACGCAGGGATGTCAGCGAGGAAAAGAGAAGAAACAAGCACATACTCTAGGAACGAACCAATTCGGTGTCCTACAAAAGTTGACGACTTCCACAGATGGGTCCCTAGATATTTCAGGGATAAACTGAACGCTGCAGATAACAAGTCGAGTTGAGCACCGCAATTAGCAGGAAAAAGTACATACGCAGAAGCACCATTCCCGATAACGCCCACTCGTTTCCCTCGCAATTCGACGTCGTGCCTCCATTCTGCGGAATGCCACAGCTGGCCTTTGAAGGTGTCCCTGCCGGAGATATCCTTCGGATATAGAGGCGCGGAAAATCCGCCCATGGCGCAGAACAGGACGTCGGCGGTGGAATGGCTCTCTTCACCTGTATGCATGTCCTTGAGGATGATATTATACTGCTGTCGTTCCTCATTCCAGGTCGCAGAATGGAGTTTTGTGCGGAACTTGGTGTTGGCGCCGAGGTTGTGCTTAGAAAAGACCCGTTTCCAGTAAAGATGGATTTCGATCTGAGGGACGTAATATGTAGGCCAGTTGGGATTCAGTTCCGTCGACAGGCTGTACCAGTGCGCGGCTATATCGCATGAACAACCCTTTTTTTTGGAGGTTCGTTGCGTGTTATTCATGATTAAACAAAAATTACGCACAGGGTAAGTGTTGTCCTGCAACGAGTCTCAGTCAATGAATATTTGCTTCTTGAGAATACACCTACTCTCCAGGTGCCCCCTACATCCTCTCCCTGTTCATAAATCTACCTCTCCGCTCAGAAGCATCATAAAATGAAAGATCAGAACGGCACTAACAGTAAAATTGGTGAAGCCGAGCTGCTCCTTTAGCGCAACCGCGGCTGAAATTCCAGCGATACTGTGTTTGTGTTCAGTGAGTCATTTCTGAGGGGCAGCAGGTAAACTGGCCATACCCAGCACCAGCGATAACGACACGCACGGCGCCTTGAGCACGATTGTTCATCAGAGTTAAATGTTTTGGTTTGATCGGCTGTACAGGTGCCGAATCCGACATACGACTCGCAAAATGAATTATATCACATGGCTGAAGATCATTGTACAGAGAGCAATACACAAGAAACGAAGGAGGTGGGAGAAAAGAAAAAAAAGGTATAAGACACGTAAATCGGTAAGTACTGGCGGGGGATGTTTTTCCGCACTTGATTCAGCGAAATTCAAAGCTAGAGCTGGCCCGCTCGGGAACGTGAACCAACGTGAGCTGCTGGTACCTGCAACAGCAATAAGGACGAGGATAGGATAAGGAAAAATGGAGAGACCCACGGCTCGGAGTTTTGGTGATAGTAAAACCCACTCATCGTTGCTGCTGGTGGAGCGGTTAGACGCGGGCCGGCAGAAGGAGATCGACGGGCACTTGACTCGCGTCGCTCGCGGGACTCTGGTTTTGTCACGATCGATGTTGGCTCTTCATTTTGAGAGGACTGGGTGGGGTTGAAATCGACACAAACATAATAGAAACCTGGCGGTATCTATAAGAACAGGAGGCAGAGAACACAAGGCAGCTGCTTACCGGCAAAACTTGCGCCATTGATATCCTGTACGCGGTGATCCGGAACCAAGAAACGCTCCTTCCATCGCATGAACACAGCCCCTCGGTCGCGGTCAGGGATGGTGTAGTGGGGTCTTTTGAGATCATGCTTGACGTGACGGAAGGCGGGAAAGCGGGACCAGTGCACCATGTCGTCATTTTCATTGGCGCCCCAGTTTTGAGTGCGGAAGCCGTAGCGACTGCCAATGACTTCGGCGTCAAAGTAGGTGGTGAGCTCGGGATAATCTTCGGTAAGACCTCGGATGCAAAGATAACCGCATAGGAACGACGACGAAAAGTCGACGTCCTGCCATTGTCGGTGAGCAGACGCAGGAAAGGCGCAGGGACATACGCACGACGATGGTTACCGTGACATCATAGCTATTCCGGCCACTCTTCTGTGTTCCTTGGAAGGAGGCGCCCGGGTAGAGACAGTGGTGAGCTCGGGTGCGAACCCGCAGACGAGTGATATCGGTGAGAGGATTGGGAGAAAATGAAACGGCCGTATGCCTGCGGTTGTTGTTTGCGACCGAGAGAGTGGGAGCATGCGACTGTAGTGGCTGCGATGATGAGACGGTCGTCGCCGGGGCATGTACCGGTAGAGATAATAAGAGCTTGCTAGCGAAGGCCGGGGGCGGCGGCGGCGCTGGTCGCTGGGTATCTGATGGCTCTTGGTCGTGTGTAGGGCGTCCGATTCGCAGAAAGGCGTTATCGACGTCGATGCACGACGTCCGGGTGTCTATCTGTGAGGCATGAACGGGACCACATGCTGCACAGACGATGGCGTCGGCGGCGAGGAGAAAGAGGTGACTTGCGGGGTCGACTGGACGATGGCAGGACGAGCAGACCTTGGCCTGGACATGTTCGAGAGGGGGTTGGTCGTCGAGGGTGGTGTAGAACTCTGAGGGCATTGGTGGAAGAAAGGGAGTAAGGGAGGTCGCCGATAGTAGCGACGACGACTAGAAGACGCAGCCTAGCTAAGCCTGAGAACGAATCTGGGCGCACGTGGTCTGGCCTCGATCCCTTACTTTTAGTTAGTATTTTTCCAGAGTCGAAGATTGAAAGTTGAAGTATTACTACTTTACTACTCTCTATGTATTTACACTGTTTGTCTCCGAGTCTCGCGGTGACCACCTAACATCCATCTCCATCTATGTCTCCTTCTGCCTTGCTCGTGCGTCAGATGCTACTTCTTCTGGTGCTCACCTGCTGCCGTATCCCTTTCTGGCCTCGTATATGATGTCCTATCGTCAAGGTTACCTCTCTGTGCAGCCACCGTCATGCACTAAAAATGTATCACTGTCGCTCCTGCTGTAGCTCACACCGGGGGTGATCCAGATGATTCCATATCACCGCCAGGAACATACCCTCAACTTGGATCTCGTCCATTCACCATCGGCTCCTCACCGCTGTCGTATCCAAGCTTCAGAATGCAGTGCCGTGATATCAATGAACGCCACCACATACCTAGGCCACTTCCCGTGCATCTTGGCAAGAACCTGACAATCGGCCGCAGATAAAGCAAGCGCTACCAATGCACAGAGTATCACGTACACATCAGGCGCGGATATCAACCTTTGAGCCAATGGAGCTGGAGAGCTGTGTACATATCGTCATAGGCAGAAACAAACAATGCGAAACGTGTTGCCAAGTATCGCACAAGTAGTTCGATGCTGTTAAGAACTGAGGGAGCGACCCACAGATGCCTGCATGACTTCGGTACACCTGTATAAGCACATTGGTTACTGTGGATCTCTTACGGCTCTAACGGACATCAGGCTCGAAGAGTCACATTAACAAGTCCTGTGCACGTCAGAGCAAACCCAAAACACCAACGCAGAACCGTGTGCAGAATATCATTGCCAAAAAAGTAACGGTCTGTCCTGGATACTCGGAGTGCACCTACATGGATGGAGCGTTCAGCGGTACAGCAAAGACAAGAATATCTACATACCGTCCACTAACGGAATCGAAGACCAACGGCCCTGCAACCCTGAGTGCAAAACGAACAGACGTGCTTCTTGTGGAGGTGGTCCACATTTGCAATGTCCAATTTGCTATAATTTCAAGGGGATTTGAGTATGATTCTAGGGAGAAATGCCAGTAGGAAAAGTTGGGCTCTAGGCCAGGACAGAGCTGCATTATAAGAGGATCGTGGAGGTCGCTGAGGGATTCCATCTCACGGTCCGAAGCTGGATCAGAATGTCCCCCAATTCCTCAGGCAAAGGAAACGAACAGGAAGCCAGAGAGATCTCCCAAGGATCTTTTGAAAGCGAATTTCTGCGTGAGGTTACCGAAAGCAGGCAAATGGACCGCAGGAGGTACGATCAGGAGGGACCTGAAGGTAGCCGATAGCGTAGAATACGAACAGAACAAAAAAGTATTTATTTACGGGACGGGGAGAATCAGAAAAAGCAAAGATTCAGAACAGTGACGATATGTACCATCCGTGACACCGAGACCCTGAGCGACCTTGCTCCTTCCTTCCTTGTACTCCGCCACCTTAATAGGCCATCCGGCCCTATTTTCACTCCTTTTCCTTCCCCAAACGTCGACGATGTCCTCTCATACCCACTCGTCCTCCACCGCCAACGTCGTCGGCGTCCACTATCGCGTTGGCAAGAAAATCGGGGAAGGCTCCTTCGGTGTCATCTTCGAGGGTACGCTATGCTCTCTGTTCCTGCGCAGCATCCCGTACCGACGGATCCCTACCATCTTTCTCTGCAGGGACCAACTTGCTCAATTCTCAGACCGTCGCCATCAAATTCGTGCGTTCAGCTCCTCCGTCTTTGGCCCCTTGACCCGACTGTTTCTAGGAACCCCGGAAAGCTGAAGCGCCTCAGCTCCGTGATGAATGTCGGTCGTATCGTATACTGTCGGGCTGCAGTGAGTCGACTGTCATGCTCTGGTACTACCCCTGTCGTCACCGCCAACTCATTATTTTGCTCTAGCTGGAATCCCTCAAATATATCATTTCGGTCAGGAAGGTCTCCATAATATCTTGGTGATAGACCTTCTTGGTCCAAGTCTAGAGGATCTCTTTGACATGTGCGGTCGCAAATTCTCAATCAAGACCGTATGTATGGCTGCCCGGCAAATGGTGCGTCTGAATCAACAGTGGTCTCGGTAGCGCCGCAACTCATTCGCACGCCTCCACAGCTTACAAGAGTGCAGACGATCCATGAAAAGAATCTCATATATCGTGATATTAAACCAGATAATTTTTTGATTGGCCGACCTGGCACCAAAGGAGCAAACGGTACGTTTTCTGCCACACTATCACGAAAATTTCATTAATCTTAGGTACTCAAGTCATACATGTTGTCGACTTTGGCATGGCTAAACAATACCGCGATCCCAAGACGAAACAGCACATACCGTATCGGGAACGGAAGAGTTTGAGCGGAACTGCGCGATACATGAGCATCAACACCCATCTGGGCAGAGGTGCGTTCTCCAGAAATGTTCCCTGATTTCCTGTAGCCTCATCAGAAATAGAACAATCACGACGAGACGATCTAGAAGCCTTGGGCCATGTCTTCATGTACTTCCTAAGAGGAAGCTTACCATGGCAGGGGCTTAAGGCCGCGACGAATAAGCAAAAGTACGAGAAGATTGGAGAGAAGAAGCAGACGACACCCATCAAAGAGTTGTGCGAAGGCTTCCCCGGTGTGTAACACCTGTATTTGTTATCGCAGCAAACTTACGTTTCTTTAGAGGAGTTCGGAATATATCTGAACTATGTCCGCAAGCTGGGATTTGAGGAAGCGCCTGATTATGAATTCCTTCGCGAACTTTTTTCCAAAGTTATCAAGACCAATAACGACACTGATGATGGAGTCTTTGATTGGAACTTACTAAATGGTGTGTACATTACTCCCCTGTTAAAGCCTACCGATCGAACTTTACCTTCGTTCTCCAGCTGGAAAGGGCTGGGAAGCATCAGCGGCAAGTCTATTCTTTAATCTCGGATGGTTCAGCACTCATCTGCTGCATTTTCAGCAGGGCCAGCAAACCCAAATATTGACGCAAATGCAAAACGCCGGCCTTAGCCCGGACCGTCGACGCGAGCACCGCGACTCCGACCGACGGAGAGTTTCGCAGGGTGGAAACATCGCACCTCCCTCACCGGCCCTTGTCAGACACGGTTCGAAGCAGCGCAAAATACCCACCGCCCTTACACCTGGCGGAAATAACACGGGCCAGATCACACCCCACTCTGCTGCCGCCCAGGTTAACATACCTGTGGGCTCAGGCCGAGGCGCACAACATCCCTACGCCAATGTTTCGGGTGGTGGCTATGATTATGGGCGGGAAGCAGATGAGGGTTATATGGGGCAGTATGGACGAGCGTCGCCGATGCTGTCAAGCGTAGGTGCTGCTCCGCCGGTGGTGAGTAATGCACGAGCAAGGGGAGGCGACGTTGGTGTATCAGGGGAGTATGGCCAGGAAGTGGACGAACCACCGCACAAGATGACTTTACTTAGGATTCTAACGTGTCGGTGTGGTTAAGGACCTTCATAATGATTGTTGTTCTTTTTTTCCCTTTCTCCTTGCATTGCTCTCATACCTTTGGCATATCATCAGTCCATTCCTTTCTTTATACCCATTTTATCTGACTTGCCTAATTTCATGCTCTACGTAGGTTTTATGGTGCTGTTGCTGGCACGGTATCAGGGATTATTTTTTACGAGGCAGGATAATTGAATGACGCATCTAGCCATGATTCCGTAGAGCGAGATCTCAAACGCCACACTAACAATGAAGGAGGAACATACGACATAAGATAGGCGATTGAGATTCATAGGTCATTTAGGAGATGAATGAAAGCTTCGAAGTGATTTTTGTGCATCGGTGCCTTGTCGGTACCTATTCGAACTCGTACCCATAAACATTTTCAGCGTGTAACACCCGTGCAGTCAACTGACATGAGCAGTCAACGAAGTGACATCTGCATCATCTCGGACGAATCGAAACTTTCAATAACGCAGGCCCTAGTATATCGACTTGAAACGAAATACCCTTATTATGGATTCTCAACGTCCGCTCGTGCAGAACTAGGGTTGTGATTGTAACGGGTCCGGCGGGTCCGATGAGCGACAAAGCCAAAGAAGAAGAAAACAACCAGCATTCACCATTTGGAGATCACGCAGCTGACAGGAGAAGTAAGTCTCGACGTGCAGTTGTAAGTACGAGAACGAGCTCTTGAGAATTGAGCGAATCTCCATGGACATAGCAATGCCCATGAGAAGCCCGTGACGGATCATTGAAGGTGTTCACAAGGACTCCTACACAGTCTGAGGACCATGAGACTTACAGCGGCCTTAAGAGAAATGTCATGCCTTGCGGAGGGAGGATGAGAAGGCAGGCTGAGTCATCTGAAAGGCCCCATGGTAAGAAAGCGTCAACGAAGCAACACCTATAAGCTTCATTCAACTGACATGGACCAGATTTCATTATACGGATAGCTCACCTATCATATGACGTCATAGTCGGTCTTGCCGAAGAACTGATCACTTGTACAAGGAGGTCAAGAGGGAGAGGATACTGGTTATTCAGCATACGCGTCCTATCGCGACAGCCACAAAATCAGGTGCAACATCTGAGGTATTGTGAGGATGCCAGAACTTCATTCGTCATGCCAATCATTGTGACGATGTCGCCAAAAAAAATAGGAATTATTGGAAAGAAATGTCCAATTGTATTGAAGGCGAGCAGGACTCGAAAAAATGTAGACAATTGACTCCGCATACAGGAGGATGCATCAGAGCATTTGGGGCAAACCGCTTTCATTTGCGTCTCAGCCTCTTCATTCTGTCGGCCAAACCAGCTGATTTATCTGAAGACTCGGGTGGACTCGCGGAAGCCTTCCTCTTCAATGGAGAGGGCGACGGAGTCGTTGGGGGCGTTGGGAGTAATGATTCTAGATTCGATCGTTTGCTGCTTTTCACAGGTGCCGATGGGGTAGGATTTTGGACACTGTACGATGCAAATGATTTCAGATCCGAAGTGAATAAGACCTGTCATTTTGATATATATCGAGAAGTAGGATGATAAATTTGAGAATATTCATACCGAGTGGGCCCAGCCAGCATAATCACCCCAGATCCTTACCAATTTGCTGTTTACTTCTTCATAAAGCTTGGGAGTCATAGGAGATTTGCCCTTCAGTAAACCCTTGAAACCATAGTGTTTGATGGCAATTTGATGCACATGAGTGTCGACCGGGATGACTTCTTTCTAAAGTAACAAATCACGTTTAGGATATTAATGTAGGCCAGGAAAGCTCACAGACCTTGTCAAGGCTCATCAAAAGGACACAATCAGCAACTTTCCTGCCGACTCCTATGAATTTTAAAAGTTCTGTACGGGCCTCAGCAGTGGCTAAACCACGAAGACTCTCAAGCCAAAGTTCTGAAGGCTCGCGGCCTTCCTCAATGGTGCCATGAACATCCACGAGCATCTTCGCAGTTTTCTGGATGTATTCTGCGCGATATCCGAATCCCAGAGACCGTAAGGTCACGGTTACAGACGGCGCGGCAAGGGAGGAAGGCGGAGGAAACGGGTGATAAGAGTGAGTCTCGTGTCCTGATAGATCGGGAAGAGAGAGCAACGCGGGAGAGTATTGCGTGCAGAGCGACTGCACCATTTTGGTTATACGGGAAATGTTGTTATTGGATGAACATATGAATCTTGGACGCGTCAGTACAGTAAAAACACCTGTAAGCAAGTCACACACGAGATTAGATTCTCCCAAGGATCCTGTCTGAGCATTCGAATGCCACCAAAACGTTCTTTCACGCCAGAAAACACACTATCGCGAGCGGCCCATTCATCGTACAGTTTTGGCAAATCAATATTTAGCTGGAAATAGTCGTTGAGCCACAAAAGTGTTTCTGCTTCTCTAAGCTGCAGTTGAGTAGGCGATGGCTGAGGTTCTGGAAATGCTGAGCGGTAAAATAACGCAGTTTGTGATTGTTGTAAACAAACGACGCGGTCTCGAAGACAGAGCCGGTATTCTTGCGCAGGTATAGTAGGATCACTGGGTTTAGGAAGTGGAAGAATGGACCACCTAAATGACTGCCCGCATTTAAGCACGGCAGCGAGCGAGAGCTGGACGAGAGGGAGAGGAAGAGCCTGGAATCCTGCAGGAGTGGCCATGATGGGTGAAGACGAAAAAGCCGGCCCGGATCCGGTTGTACGAAGGGTTTGTGTGTTACACTTTGGCTCCAGTTCTCCCTCAAAGTTCGCATGGATTCATTTTTACCCCGAATCCAATCCGTATTCTATTCCATTTTTGATAACCAACACGGTCCAAAAATTGTTTACCAAGTACCAGAGGCCCTCATCGCGACTACACCATCGCCCTCGTCGATTTCGACACTACCCTCCCTGCCTCCCACACCAGCTACCGATGTCCCACCGTCGCCACGTCTGAGTTCGCGGAATTCGAGCTCATCCTTAATATCTCCAGTTGAAAACCGCGCTTCTCTATACCTGAATTCACCCAACAAACGTTCTACTTCATCCAACCGCGTCCTCTTCAATTTCGACGACATCTCCAAATACATTATCCCACCGAGCCCTCTCTGTGGAAGGCTAGTCATTTGCTCTACCAAACACCATCGCATAATAGGGTTTCCTGTCGAGCTTCGGGGTCCCTATGAGCGAAATTACTTTAGGTACAACCTCTGCTTTGTTTTTGACCGGGGCGCGGATTTGAGCTGCTACGAACCTATTGTTCGCAAAGTCAGTCGGGTTCTCACAGCCTGTGAGGTGTGTACTCTGTGTACATCTACTCCGACGGATATTGAATTTTCTGCACAGGAGGAATCTGCGTTTCTGTCTTCCTCGGAAACTTCCCATACCGTTCACGCGATTTTAGAACAACTATACGAGGATCTCAATTCTTATGCTGAAACGTCCATTCCGATTGACCAGTTCAACTCCATCGAGCTCAAAATCTTCCCCTTCTACCCCAATCCTCCTACTGTCACAGACTGGATGGTCCCAGTCGCTCTCATCAATCTCTCGAAGCAGATAGAGGAAAATTGGGATCTGACTATGGTCAGAGTCAGTTGTCCTTGGTAGCTTTCTATTAGGATTATTTTTCATGCCCTCCTTAGATTTGTCAGTTTATAGACGGCACGAACCATGTCGGTCGGATTGCTCGTCTAGCTGATTGTGACATTAGCTTTGCTCGGCAAGCTATCGCACATCTCCTGTGAGTACTCCTGCCTAGCTATACTCCAAACTTATGTTGAGAGCAGATATTATCAGGTCATCATGACTATTGACATATTCCAGTACTCAAATATGTACACCCTCCATAAGAGTATTCAATGGCTGGCCGATGAGCCCCATGTTAAAGAAGAGTGTGGTCCCTATGTCACTAAACCAGGTTAGTGAACCTTTACTGCTATTCAATCAGGTCCGTTCATAAGGCCCGCGAACCCAGGACGAATGATACTGGACTGGCCTCAACTTCTGCATTTGTATTCAAGAATGAAACCAGGCATAACTGTCTTTAACTGGATGGTCGCTCATGGTGTCGACAAATTGGGAATTGACGTTCGCCGCTTTACTAGTTTTGGTGTCATAAAGGTGAAACACCTGCTGAGTGAATTTACACGTACTTAATCTAGCTACAGGGATACCTTCGAAGAGTCCATCGGTGGCCCATACTCCTTCCCAGCACATCGGAGCTCCCTCGTACCCCAGCACGCCCAAAGATGAAGAGCTTCTCAGGGACCTCGCAACGGTTCCCACTGTCGCCTATCCCGTCTGAAACTTCTGCTTCAACGAATCTCCTCCGGGGGAGATTTCCGTACACTGCACCTATAAATGCTTCTGTCAGTCCTGATGTCGCTACAAGCGGACCGCCAACACCAAGGGGGGTCTCGTACCGCCCTCGCCGCCCCAGTGCGGCCGAGAAGGTACTCGAACAACTCAAGAGTCGCGACCAACAACAGCTTTCCAGTAGTCCTAGGACTTTGTGGATCCATCAGCCGTCCAGTTCGCCTTCCAATCTCCATCCAGGGATTACAGCGACATCCAGCACACCCCAGGATAGCAGTCCCTCGTCGAGTAAATTTGGAAGTATCGAATCGCGGCGGCAATCAGCGGTATTGGTGCCGCCTGCTGCACCTCCGAGCTCGCCTAATTTGCCCAAGGCTACACTTGCGATTCCTGGCCCGGTAAAACCTCGGTTATCACGATCTCCTTCTGAGGGTCAGATGCCTATTAATCATACCACTGAGCATCTGTCATTGATCTACCCGCCACAATTGTTGCCTCTCCTGAATGGAGGACATCATACGGATGAACTGGCGGTCCGGTTTGAGGCCGGCTGGGCGCGTTTGGAACAGTGGCTGATCGCTGCTGGAGGAGGACGGGGAGACGGGGATTATGGACGGATTCAGATGATCTTCCGATGAATAACACTGAGGTTCTATGAGATTAATATATTGGAATATAATCGACCAAATAACGAGAATCCCTCTCCGTGAATTGCTCGTCGTCACCCGTCCGCATATTATACTCTTGCCGAAAGCCTTCACCTGAGGAAGTGCGGACACGAGCCATTTTGATATTCCCCTCGATTAGATATTGAATCGGCCACGCGCTCTGAAGATCATAGCGCGAAGAATCTATCATTGAAGTCTTCGAGGCCCGTTGCCACTATGAAGATAGTATCACGGTGGTTGCCGTTAAACTTACCTTTTCACCACGATATTATACATTGCACTTAGGCCTCTCAATGCAACCACTGATTCAGCCTCTTGAATGTTAGAAACCTGCACACAACTTGTATACATTCGTGGCCTGTAATGCTGTGCTTAAAACAAAGGAGGGTTTGATTGTCGTGCGACACCAAATGTTAAACGGCTGTGATATTCTCTAAATTACATCTTTATATTAAGCTTCATGAGCTAATAAATGGACTGACGAATTTCAGCTTGAAAGATCCTCAGGATAAAGATGTGATATCGAAATGCGCGGAGCGCCTGAGAGGAAATACGTGCCTGGCGCGATGTGAACGGTAACATTTATAGAGTGTGTTTGACTACTTCTGAAGCTTGTATGACACACTCCTGGTAAGCAACTTTCGGGTCAGGCAAAGCCGGGGAACATGGGTGGATAACTGGTCGAATTCCGATCCATGCTTTTGACAACAGCAAAACGAGCTGGGATTCCTATTAATGGCAAAGCCGACGTGGTCAAAAGGCTGGGTCAAACTTTAATCTGCACTCCTATTATTTCCCTTGCATTTTGACGGCCGCGAGTTAGTTGCCTGCTAGAAAGTTTGATCAGACCTTCGAAGGACGTATGTTCGGATCGAATAGAAGCGATGACATGGGACACGGCCTTGTGCCATCGTTTGTGTAGCGAGACTAAGACGTCTGACAGGATACCAGTCATCAACTGCGAGCGATAACGCTAGCCTTTCCGATAGGCAGGGCACTGGTGCGGGCGGAGATGAACAGGATGGGAAATTACAGATAGTGTGAAACCTCATTGGACACGCGGTGCGCAGCATGGACAACGAAGTGGAAGCAATTCTTCTGGTCTGATTGCCTGGGAACGAAAAGTCGGACAAGGTGGTACTTTGAATCGGCGCTCATCTACGATGAAATGCAGGTCTTCGTCCCTATCCCCGGCCGGGTTTCTACCTGTGCCCCGAGGAGAGGATGCATCTGCTTTGCGAATACTCAAGTCTTGCTCACGGTCTCTTTGGTAATTGTTCGTCTTCCACTACCTTGAAACACACTGAGTGCGCACATTATCTGTGGTACCATGAAGAACTCGGCCACCCAAATAGAAATGCAGTCCATTAAGATGCAAAGTTGACCCAAAGAGTTCATATACGATATGGAGAAGATGAGCACAACTTCCACAGGGAGTGCATAAAAAAAAGAAACCAGAAGGCATGAAGACATTTTAATGGCCTGCCCTTATTGGATTTGACAAATGCTCAATAACCTGGCATTGCCAAGTGGCTGTACAGAACATGCTCATCATGTGCATTTGTTTTGAAAGCTTCATACCATCAGATGTACTTAGAACAGTTCACACTACAGCACTCAAGTCTTAGTTTTTAGGAGATGTCATGATTCTGTAATACCTATATTCACCATTGCCATCATATGGATCCATCTACAGTTGACTATCTCACAATGCATATGGTTGGGAGACACAAAACCATGTGCATTTATAGATTTATGCAGAACCAAAATAGCATGTGTTGTGACATGTGACATATGTGACAACATTGTTGCATAGCATTGGTCATGGTCTCAGCTTGGAGTTGCATGTTCTGATACCAGGATGCAACAGCATGCTCCACATCAGGTTGGGTGACAATGTGAGACTTTTTGGATGACAGTGCATTAGGGTTCTTGTTTGTATGCTGTTTGATTTTTGTATGAGATGCCAGTTTCTATGAAAGGATTGGTTGTGTAAAGAGCAGTGCACCTCTCTTTCAGTTTGTGAAATGTGCCACAATGTCAGCATGTCAATGGGAAGGATGGTCATCAACATGTTTGAATACTACAAGCCAGTCTCCTGTTGTGAGGTGTGGGTGGGAGATCTGCTTTGGAGGCTGAGCTGATGATGTGTACATTGGGACTTTCTCCTTTGGTTTTGTGTGCTTATATGGATTCTCAGGTTTAGCATGTGGTTTTTGTGTTAATTCAGGAGGCATGTTTATAGAGATATAGGCTTGCCACTTTACAATAATTTTTTTTGTGTTTGTCATAGTCCATACAAACAAATTATGTTCATTGTTCTAATACATGCACAATGTCATATTGGCTTACTACAATTTTGGATCTGACAATGCATATTCCTAACTAGAGCCATATGCATTTCTAGCCCATTTCCTGCTCCCTGACTGCATTCCAGCCCAATCTGTATGCAAAGTCAGATTTACACATTTCAATATCATGCATTGTGAGATAGCCAACTATACTTTAATACAGGCATTCCTTACTTTCCAACTGCCATCATGTTACCAGAAACTACCTCAGTTCTTATTATTGGCACAGGCCCTACCGGGCTTACTGCTGCCATTGCACTTGTCAAACAAGGTATTCAGGACATCATCATTGTTGATGCTCAACTACAGGGCCAGAACTCATCTCGCGCTGTTGTCGTTCACGCAGCAACCCTGGAGGTACGTCGTCCACAGAAATCCATCCCTACGATCCGCTAAGACTTTCATTATGTAGGCGCTGGAGAGTATAGGATGCGTAGAAGCCGTCATCGCCCAAGGCGTGAAGGGCAGGGGGATGATGTTCAACAGGAACTCCGCTACATTTATTTCTGCAGAGTTTCAGGGCTTGTTGACACCGTACACTCGCTATGACTTTGTGTTGCTCGTACCCCAGACGGTGGTTGAAGATGTCCTGCATGCTGAGCTCGTTCATCAGGGCGTGCAAGTCCTGCGTCCCCAGCGCGTTGTTGGTATGGCAGGCAGCAAGGACCACAAAGGTCTGAACGTGACTTTCGAGTCTGGAGAAGCTATCAGGGCTGACTACGTCATTGGTGCTGATGGGAAGAACTCCGTCGTAAGTCTCTTATTTTCCAATGGCATGTAAGATGAGGGCTTAGTACATTCCCCAGGTTCGAGAACTTGCCGGTATATCCTACATCGATCCCGACGACACTCCTATCGATGATTCCATTTCTCAATTGGTACTTGCAGACGTTGTATTCTCCCCTCGACATACTTCCCTCTCTGACGACTGCTTAATGGCCCATGTCTCACCCTCGGGCGTGTTCTTGACACTCCCACTGCCTTCATATCACCCTGATTTATTGTCAGACGACATGGTTCACAGAATTATGTTCAACATTCCAGCGTCGTTGGGCCCTCCACCCTCCAGCCCATCGACAGAGTACCTCCAGAACCTACTAAACACTCAGGGACCCGCCCATATGTCTTCGGATCCAGCCGTGAACCAGCAGCCTATTCACATCACAAAGACTGTTTGGTCGTCAAGGTACAGGACAAGTTCCGCCATTGCTGGTACGTTCTTCAAGCCTTTGTATAATGAGGAAGGGTTTTTGAGTGGCAGAGTTGCAATTATCGGTGATGCAGCACACACTCATTCACCCTTGGGAGGCCAGGGTATGAATCTTGGTATTCGAGACGCGGTCTTCTTGGCGCTGGCACTCAAAAACAGTCTTCTGGAGAACACGGATGACGAATTGGAAACCTGGGCTTTGACGAGACGCACACGTGCTTTGACGACCGTACAGATGACAAAACAAATCGCAGCTTCAGCGAGCCATATCCTTTCTCCGAACAGATTCGTAGCGTTTGTGTCGTTTTGGATATTTAGGTTTCTGACAAGATTTGCATTCTTGAGACGGTAAGTCATTCCATTATTCATCCGTTACCCAAAAATTCATCGATGACAACAGTATGGCCGCTTGGAGACTAAGTGGGCTAGGAAATCGCTGACATCACGAACTACTTTCTATAGCTGAAGAAATGAAACATGAAAAATCTAAAATTTTCTCCACCCTTCCTCTAAGTAATATTTCACTGATCAATAATGTAAGCCCACGCCAAATATTAATAGTGCAAGTTACCACGACGCTCAAGCCATGGAGTCGAAGAATGAAAATATCTTGTTTCCCCATCAATGATTTTCTCACTTTTCATCATCAATGCGGGATCAAGCTTGGTTCTGGTCCCTGAGCTCATAGCCTTAACAATGCTGTCCATTACCCGGACCTCCAGCCTGGAAGGGTGAGACGGGACTTCAACATGGAAATCCGCTGTGTGTCGTTACATTCCTGTTTGTGTCCAGAAAGATACAGAGACTGGTTTTAATAACCCCGAGATCCCCGTCGACTTGAAGGAGGCGGGAAACTGAAGATCGAAGGAAATTCGCCGGAGAAAGGCGAAGCCCGGAATCCAATAAAATTGGGCAAATCGGTGATCATAACAGACCTCCTTTGAAGTCTCTTTGTCCATCTGAGTCAAATCGACGTAACATGTCATTGTGCGAACAGGTCAAGGAAGGCGGTTGCCATAGATGGCTGACTGTTGTGACTGTATGGTGGCATAGAGATGAGATTGGATATACTTGACCCTCGGGATGTAGACGTGTCGAGAAGAGTGTGTAGGGTAGACGCCCTGCCAGACACCGTTTATTAGTGAACAAGTGATCACGAAGTGGACCCGATCTTTGGAGGGCAATATTGAGCCCCAGAATTCGGAGACTATGAGATCTACAATCTGGAGGAAACGTTAGCCTTTCAGATACATCAGACAAGTCGTCGCAAGACCTAAGAGGAGTAGAGATGTTCAAGTAGGGGCTGCGAAAGAAAGATTATTTAGGAGGCACTCCATTTCGGACTGGAGTCACCAGCCCCATTGATGGATTTTTCTGCTGGATTGTCATTTTTAGTATCTTCGCGCTATCTATAACATGACTACTCCAACACCTTTACCGGCACTGGTATCTTCGGTGGCTGTCATACCAGCCAAGGGCGTCGTCCGCCAATTGTACAGGTAGAAATTCAAAAATCCATCGCCTTTCCCAAACTGTTCAGATATCATCAAACAAGTGAGACGCAGCATGTAGTATTCAACACACCTTTAGATCCGTCAAAAAATTCATGTTATCCATCAACGTCAGAGCGTTGAAGACATCAAACTTTGCATTGTTTGCGATTACCAACGCATCGGTAATGAGTTGTTGGAGCCTCTTCTTGAACCTGCCATCTGATTCAGCACCTGGTTCGAAAGCTGTGGCACTGGCATAGTAGTATAGATAGGCTGCTTGCAGTACCCCAGGGCCAGGTGTATTAATCACGGTCGAAGGGAGACAGTAGAATGAAAAGAAGTCAGTGACTTGGTGAGTACGTGGATCCTGAGGCATGGGCTGTTAAATATATCACTGAATACTGACTTCTAGAGGAGCATTACCTCGACAACATAGCACCAAGTGACTTGCCTCTCCCGCCTTCCTGGTCCCCCATCTCCAGGTTTCCCCGTACCACTGCCACTCAAAAATTGATGACGGGCGTCATCAAAGTTCATAGCCGGGACCATGTCGTACCGTAGCATGAATCTTGCGAATAAGTCTGCCACTTGCTTCACATCTTTCTCCTCCATTTCTCTGACAGGAAGTGTGGTTTTGTCAGAGACTTTATTGTAGTTGATAAGTCGGGCAAGTGACATATGTCGAGGAACAGACGTGAAATGGATATCGACCAACTTTGTGGTATTCAAAGCGCGATGATGGTACTGGCAAGTTGACACGGGGGTGGGAATGACAACTCCAGCCGTGTATATCGCCTGGAAAATTCCTTCGAGGTGTACTCGACGTGTCACTTCCTTGATCAGGACTGGCGCTAATCGCTTGGAGCGCAGCTTCTTATGGACACAAAGGTAGTTGATTTCGCATGCCACGAAGACGCTGGTTCACGCGTTAATAAACGCCTTGATTACGCTAGTAAAACTCACTTCTTTCGCACGCGGAGGGTTAAAGGCACACCAGAGATGAAGGCCACTAATTTTTTGTTTGACGATACGCGGACACCGACGTGCCATTCTTTGAAATATCCGGGTGGTTGAAGAGCCCTACCATGAGATAAGACAGATGCGAAGATCAGCGACTGCACACGCACCATTGCAGGAACTCAGCACTGTACTGGAATCGGAACGAGGCCTCGTCGTCTTCGACATAGTTCAGTGACAAAAGGTCGTACACCTCTTTCGCCTGCAGACAGGTAAGCTGATACACCGATGAGGCCGCAACACGCACCTGATTAGGATCACTCATGTCAAGCGTCGACCACTCGAAGCTACTGGGCAGAGAGTAGGGCTCTTGACGGACTTGGTCTTGGGGGACGGAAGGTTCGATGTATCCGTCTTCAATGGGTGGCCCCTCGTCTGGTTGAGGCACTGGTTGTGTCGCCCAGAACTAAAGGCATAGTCGTGAGCCAGAAATGCAGGAAATCAGGGAACAGCACAGACCTTGTGCTCTCCCATATCCTTCCTGTTGATGCCCCCAATGCCGGCCTTGCCCTTCACCACGTCCATGATCTTCATCGCCTCCAGAGCCTCCCTCACATCGGCCGCCGTTGCTTCATCGCTGCCAGCTCCTCCATCTTCCCGAACTCTAACCAAGACGCGATCAACAAGTTCCTGGGGTATCTCAGACTTTCCGGTGAGCGCCCTGAGGGCTCTCGCCGCCTTGGACTTTTTCTTCTTTTTCTTCTTCGTGGAGGGCGCGGTCGATGTAGATTCTATTGGAGGTGCTTCATCTTCGCTACCGGAAGAGTTTTCCTCCTCTTCGTGATGGCTGTCGACGGCGTCGACTGCTTGACCAATCCCGGACGACGGAGATGAGGCCATAAACAAGGATGAACAGGGTACGGGCCGATGGCCGATGTTACTGGTCAATCACAAGGGCCATTTTACATAAATCTTGATCATTTTCTCTTCATTTCTTCTCTCTAGCATGGTCTAGACGCGACAAGAAATAGGCTCTTATACATACAAATTCAGTCTAGTCACTGTCAATCATGATAACATCGTCATCATCCACACCCCAATCAGGAGATGGACTCCTGGCTTTCTGCTGCTCCGGCGCCGCATTATTTCTCCGTGGTATACGAGATACTCTCACGCCTCCAGCACCGACAACACCCGGCTCCCTGGGGGCTTGATTGGCCAAAGTTTGACCAGATCCTAGGGCGCTCCAAGACGTCGACGAAGACTTTTCTTCCCTGGCCTTTTCTTTACCCTTGGACGTTGGAGCCGAAGACTGCCCAGCAGCTCTACCTGTTAGCGTCTGCCCAGAACCGCGGAAAGATGTATCCTGAAAGTAAATTGAATAACAGACGCATCTCGCATACAGTTTGACTTGCCTGGGACCTCGCTACAGAGGAATTCGAGGATGGCGGAACTGCTGGAGGAACATATGGTGTTACATTGAACCCGAAGAACAGCTTGCCGAAAGGCAGATTCAAAGCGGCCGGGACTTTAATATCAGAGTCCAGAGTGCTATTCGACACGATACGGTGTTTACTAGGGTGTCGTGTCAGGCAGATAGTATAAGGAAGCAAATGAACTTACTCTGATCTTATGATCTTGCTTCCTTCTGCTACTTCTTCAATTTTTCGGTGACTGATACCTCTTCCCTTCGTCTTCCGTCCACCCAGAGTTTCACCTTTACCCTTAAAACTCTCCCATTGGTCACCATCCTTGCTGACCGCAGTGGATCCAGCACCCGTACCAGCAAACCCACCACTCAATGACGATCCAGGTCGCGAAGAACCTGGGGAAGCGGAGTCGAGATCGATTTTGAGCTTCGACGCCATGGTGGAGGGAGGGGCTGCCTTTGGTCTCTCGGGCTCAACATATCCCACAGGTGCAGCAAAATCAACCTCAAGATCGGTATCTAGAACGCTGATTCCTTCGCCACCTGGGTTGGTTTCCATGACAAGAAGCCCAAATATTATAGAGTTATAGCATATTTCAATGATATCGCCTTGTGTCAATGCTGAGAAATTGCGTAGGGCTTGCTCAAGTCTGACCGCCGAGCAATGAGCTTGTCGTACGCGGAGGATTGAGAAACTTACACGGCTTTAGGGTCAGAAATCTCCAAAAAGTGGACGGTCTGTGCTTGCAGCTTCACAAACTTGCCCTTAGGTAGTTCTGCCCCAGTAATTCGAATAGGGTCACCTTCACTCAAATGCAAAGTCTTCATCATCCAATAAGGCAAATGAACGACGCCTTCTTGTGCTATGAATTCGAGCACACCTGCGTGGGTGGAGGCGGCGGGGTTAGTGGGATTACGCAGTTGGAACATCCAAGGCGATTCTAGATCCATATTTGTAAGGTTTGCAAGAGCCGACGGGGGCATTATGACTGTGTACTTTCGATTGGTGGTGATTTCGAAGAGGAGAACTAGACATGAAACGCACTCTTGCCACCGTAAGAGACATTCTCTCGTTCTCGTCCTGGCAGCATCGCCACGCTATATGCTCTAAGGTACTCATCGTAGGCGGATGGTGGATTATGACCGGGCTGGGCATAAGGAAGGCCTCTGCGATGGATCAATGTCGATTCAGTTGAATGGTAATGGGACATACCCGGCCAGCTGAGCAAATAATTGGGCAGGATTGTTCTGTGAGGAAGTCAGTGAAAAGGAGCATCTAACATCGAGGCAAACGTACAAAATTCATGATGAAGAATGAGAATGGTGGTGGAGGTGAGGAAAAGGATGAATCACTGAACCAGCGGCTGAATCGACGCGCGTCATTTCAAGGGCCCGTGTCACGTTACCCTCGATTCTTCCGACTCCTCTGACCACCATGGCCTCAAAATCTCCTTCTGCAGGGCAACAGGGAATAACAAAAAATCTTTCTGGTGCCAATGCTGCCTTCAATGACAAGGCATGCGTCTATCTGGCATATTTAACTGCACTACCTGACTCGCTGTCTAATAGGGAAAACCTATGGAACTTCGGCTATCGAACATGGTTGCCGCAAAAGGTTTTTTTATCACTGGAATTAAGGATTGTTTCCTTTTCCTAATACATATACAGCTATCAGTGATGCGGTGCGAACGTCTTTGGGGCCAAGAGGAATGGATAAAATGGTGCGTCGCAGTAATTTCTGCCGTGGCTAACCATAACGTGTTTTATCAGATCCAAACTGCAAAAGGCGAAGTCATCGTGACGAACGATGGGGCGACCATTTTGAAGAGCATTCAGGCTCTCCATCCTGCCGCGAAGATGGCAAGTCTTTGTTGGTGTTTAGCTTCGAGTCTGCTCTGATTTTGAGCACAGCTTGTCGATTTGTCTGCTGCTCAGGATGTTGAAGCCGGTGATGGTACGACAACCGTGGTCGTTCTTGCTGGAAGCCTGCTGGGTGCAGCAGAGAGGATGCTTCAAAAAGGCATCCACCCCACCATCATTGCCGAATCGTTCCTCAAGGCTTCGATAAAGGCCGTCGAATATCTGACGGAAATGTCAACGCCCGTTGATTTGAACGACAGGGCTAGCTTATTGCGTGCAGCAAGCACTTCGTTGAACTCAAAGGTTCGTCCGCTATCCTCTGTTTTCAATCAATCTTCATCGTCCCGGTTCTAAAGATCGTCTCGCAATACTCGTCGACCCTTGCCCCCATCGCCGTAGCAGCAGTAACGCGCCTTGTCACTCCTACATCCTCTAATGTCGATTTACGCGATATACGCGTTGTGAAAAAGGTCGGAGGCACGATAGAAGACACGGAACTGGTAGAGGGCGTTGTGCTGAACCAAAATGTCGTCGTCGCAGCAGGTGGCCCTACGCGGATAGAGAGAGCTAAAATTGCCATTATCCAATTCCAGCTCAGTGCGCCAAAACCTGACGTGTGTTTTCGTGTTTGCTTGTTCTAGGGTTTGATTACTCACCATGATATAGATGGATAACACAGTTGTGATCAACGATTACCGACAGATGGATAAGGTACTGAAAGAGGGGCGTCAATATCTCCTAAATATCTGCAAAAAGATCAAAAAAGCAGGATGCAATGTTCTCTTGATCCAAAAATCTATTCTACGGGACGCAGTCGATGACATTTCCCTCAACTTCCTCAAAAAACTTGGGATTCTCGCCGTCAAAGATGTGGAGCGAGACGAGATCGAATTCTTGTCGAAGAGCTTAGGTTGTAAACCGGTGGCGGACATTGAAGCTTTTGCCGAAGACAAACTAGGATATGCTGACCTTGTGGAGGAATCCTCGAATTCTGGTGCGAAAGTGGTCAAGATTACCGGAATCAAGAATCGGGGGCGGACCGTCAGTATCCTGGCCATGGGAGCAAATAATCTCGTCGTGGAGGAGTGCGAGCGCAGTTTGCACGATGCTTTGTGCGTTGTGAGGTGTCTGGTAAAGAAACGGTAAGTATTTCGATGACTACTTGTGTACTTTTTGTTCAGATGGTTGCTAGGGCCTTGATTGGTGGGGGCGGTGCGCCAGAAATACATGTCTCCCGACTTCTTTCTCAACACTCGCAATCACTGAAAGGCATGGAAGCCTTCTGCTTCCAGGCATATGCCGATGCCCTTGAAGTGATACCAACAACGCTAGCTGAGAATGCTGGCCTCAACCCCATTGCTATCGTCACTGAGCTGCGTAACCGACATGCACTAGGAGAACGGAACGCTGGAATTAACGTCCGAAAGGTATGTTTTGAAGGATTTACAACTAGCCAACAGTCCTTAATTTTGCGTTAGGGACTTATATCAAATATCCTTGAGGAGGATGTTGTCCAGCCCTTGCTGGTGTCAACGAGTGCTGTAGAGCTCTCAACGGAGACCGTTTGTTTGCTACTGAAGATCGACGATTATGTTCAAGCTCGATGATAAAGACACGTGGTAGAAACAAAGTAGTGCTATTGTTCTTAATGTCTGACAGTGCTGATCCGTTCATGTAATATGCTAAACTGCGCAGAAGGACGTTAAGCTTTTATACTAATGTGACAAGCCAAGCATATTGCTCTCAGGTTATTTGAACATTGCGAAATCGCGAAATTGCTTTGTACTGTGACTGCTAGCCGCAAGAAGTGATCGCAACTCATCAAACGGATGATTAATCCTACCATTTGACTTGACGAGGTGTCCATTGATTGCATGTTGTAGCATCAAAAGAGATGCTACGGAGCTGTGAAACAGAGTGAGGATATAGGAGTTATATTCGTTGGGTCGCTGCATCGATTCTGGCGGAGCACAAGAGCGCATCGGATATACATACACTATACTTGATACATGAAGCCGTAGTTTGCAACAATAGTTTATAGACGCCGAGAGAACCAGTCACGGTAGATGGTCAATGTAGTTCGAGACGAGGTCGAAGAAGGTCCAAAGCAGGCCGTGGGTAGTGATACTCCGCACTGCGCTGACACCGAGACCACGATAAATCCTGGTGATACCTGCCAATAACGGCTTGGGATTGTTCGGATCGGGACCTGGACACAGGTGTCAGTCAGATCTTCACGAATGAAGTCAAAACTGACCTCTGATAAGACGATATAACGTCTCCCAAGGTCCCCGGTATCTCTCACCAGCCAATGATCGCTGCTGGATTTTCGTCTTTACACTAAGAGAGACATGAATCATGCAACGAGAAACACTGATGAATTGACCTACACATCGAGAGGATAAATCAATGCCCACGAAGATACCTACAGACATCGTCATATCACGGCCTGATGTATTCAGAGCAAACTTACACCGGACAGTGAACCGCAGAAGAATGGAACAATAGAAGCAGGAATAGGCAGCCAGGTAGGAGTTGGTCCTTGATCTCCTGATCTGTCCCGTCCAAGCAGATGCCGCATTCCGTCATATTCGAGGAAGTACAGTGCAGTTCCCGTAGTATCTCGCACTGATGTTACCACCTTAAGCTGCAGCGAGGTTTTGTAAAGGATCGGACCCACCAAAATGCATACGGAAACCAGTGTACAGTCCAGTGATACCATTGCTCCGAAAAATTTCTTTTACTGCTTCCCATGTCTTTGGCGCCTTGGTAAGTTGTATACCTTTACTGGCGGCGATTGCAAACTCCAGTTGCCGTCGGACCTGCGAACAAATTTTATGATGATGAAGGCTGGGCGAAGGAGCTTTTTATGTACCTTGACGAGCTCAAACGCTATTATGTGGTGATGAGCTGCAGAGAGCAGCAACGGAACAGGTTACTCACGAGCACTTCCAAATGATATCAAAGCCCCAGACATCGCCCCACTGATACCACCAACAACTGAGGCATCGATTATGGAATTACGAGATAGATAATTATGATCCCGACAGAATTCCTTGGTACGAGTATAGATAGTGAAGCTTGCGGCGCCTGCAAACGTTAAAAAACAGGAAGCGGATGGTTAAAAGTGCACTCACGGACAAAGGAAATCGTTATGAGAGGTATCCAAAGGCCACGATAGAATCCGACGACTCCTTCATCCCGATACACGACGGCAGCAAGCCTCGAAACACTAATGGGCGTTTTTGTTGTCTGTAGCCTTGACTTGAGAGAGTCAAGCTATTAAAAAAAAAATTAACCGTGAATAAAAATTACAAGACCTGAGACACACTGGATAGCCCGCAAAGGTGGAAATGTAGCTCGCGGACAGCGCGCATACAACAGCTTTATTCCCTGCACCACAGACATAAGCGACCTCGCCATTCAATACGACGGCGACATACGGCGAAGGAAGTCGTTGTATGCGGCCGAGTCATACGGAAGATTCGATGTGCTGCAGGATCATGATGAGGTCGCAATGAGGCGAAAAAAACGAAGAAATACATGCCTTTTTCCATCCATAGGGCGGGCTGACTGGGCTGGCCGTCAGTCCAGTTTCACTTGCATGCCCTACGCGACAGCAAAAAAACTATGAGGTGGATCGATGTGATACCGTCGGGCGCAGGGATCAAGGAAGGAGCGAAGGATTAGATGTCGACACCGGCAAATTCAGAACACGGTCACCGCAACTCGATCACCAGATCACTTGACATTCCTTCTTGGTGCTTCCCCGGCCTCTTTCGTCGTTCCAGTGAATCGCTGTTTCTCGACTTGCGGAAAATTCATACAGGCAAAGAAGAAAGATATTCATGTACTACATGTGCTACACTGTATAATGAACGTAAATGAAACTCTAGGCTTGCCCATTGAATCTTGGCTCAAAAACCACCCAGCCTCTTCTTTGCAGGTTTTTTCTTTCCGGCGGGTGGCGGGCGACCTCCATGTGGCCCAGGAAGAATCTGTGTGCTGGTCATTAACTCTTGAGAACCTGCGGCTGGGAATGCAATAGATGCTTGAGACTCGGTGGCAGACCTGAGAACGGGAGCAACGGCTGGCTGCGACTGAGGGAAAAAGGACCCTCGGCTTGACGCCGGCTGCACGGGCGGAACCATGGCACTGGATGCTACGACGATTGGGGGTCGCTGGAGTGGTGTCGATTTCGGCAGGCTGGATTTAGGTTTTGGGAGCTGAATCCTGGTGGGTTGCTCCGTCGGACCGCCGTAAGGATCCACGTAAACGTAATTGTCTGGGTCTGTCCCAGCATCCCATTCCTTCAGCAACAATCGAACGCCAAGGGGATACGACATTTCTGGATCATCATCTCCTCCTTCTCTCATCGCTTCTGCTGTCCTTCGCAGCATGGGCTGCAAGTACCTGAAATCCACCGGAGGTGGTTTGTTGCCAATAGAAAGTGCTTCTGTCATGCTCTCGAGGTCATCAGGCACAGAGGCTGGTGGTTTCAGTGGCTGGACAGAAAAAACGTCCTGCGAAAGCAACAAATCAAGAGCCAGTTGCTCTCGAGCTTTGCCTTCTCTTCTTAAAGACTGGGCTGTGCCATCTGGGCAGTGGGCGACGTCATACTTCCGTAGGTCTTCAAGTATGTCCTCCACGTTGTGACGCACAGTCGAATCAAGAGCATGTAAGGTAGGACCGATATTATGATGCCATGCAGAACCTTTACTCAAGGTAGCCGGCGACAAGCGCCCCTCCTGTAGTGCACGATACCCTCTGGTCGAGTTAATAATGCTGCCCGTCAGAAAATCGGCTCGAGAAGCCCCATCTGGGTCGTCTCCTGCTCGAAAAATGATGTCGTAGCTGGTGGGAACACAAAGTCAGAGAGAGTCAGGTCTTGCTATTGATGAACCTCACGTAGTCAACATATGCTCTATGGGAGCATTCGTATATTGCCAAAAGAGGGGAAGACGATTCACAAGGCCGTACACGTCTTCCGCATGTTTCTCTTCGTGTTCTTCATCCAGTCTAGGCCTCTCCACGAAAACATCTTTATACACATCATTCATTAACTATCTGGCTTTCACGAATGATTACGACTCACGACGATACACCCCAGAAAAGTCCACTTCCATGTGTTCCCTGTTACCAAGGAGTCCTTCATCTGGTCGAAGTGTCGAGGCTTTGAGGTCCAGATCTTTGACATCATCCGACCACTCAAATTGAGGGGTCAGTGTTCCTATCTCATTCGAGCAGTGGAGTTCAATCATTTGAATGGCCCCGCGCCTAGACAGTCTTAATAGACTGAAGGATTGGTCCCCATTTAGGTATGGGTGATGAACAAATGACTGCCCGGTCAGAGAATCCTCAAAACCGGTAGCCGATGTCAAACAGTACGGGAGCGCGTTAGCATGAACGAGTCCGTTCTCACTTGAGCGAGAAACATTATACACATCAACCAACCCATTCTTTCGTGATGTCAAGAAAGTGAGAGGTGCTGGATTACCGTCAGATCAAGAAACATGCTAAATATCAACTTACCGCTTTGAAAAGAGACGGTCTCAGTTTTGAGTGTCCTATCGAACGATCGGTTATGGTGATATCCAAGGAGTGGTTTCCCCGGTTTTCTATCATCGATCCACAAGAGCTGAGAAGTGGTACATAGACGGATTAGATGACCATCCTGGTCTTCGACTGCTGTAATCACATCTTTCTCGCTTGTGACAGAAAAGATTGAACTGTAGACATGATTGTCCTGCAGAAATACATGAACATAATGAACAGTATGATTCACAATGTAATGGAGGGACCTACACGAGAGTCAAGCCGCCTTAAAACTTTGACCGAAGTTAAAAGACATGTGCCAACGTTCGCACCCAGCGCGAGTCTCCAAAAATCATCAGACATAATTTCAGACATGGATGACAGAGTAGAATAATCAAATATACTAAAAGAAGCTTGTGTATCCTGTTAATTTTGATAGACAAGAATAAAAACTCACGGGAAAGGTTTGCAACCGGTGAAGTTGTAGCTGAATACCATACCGTGATCACTGACAGCCAGCAGATCATGAACCGAAGGGAACTTGACATCAATCATTTGATGACCGCCCACATCAGACGAGGCAATGGTCGCGACATCGACCACTTTTACTTTCTTCGGTGTGTCCCCAGAACACATTTCCAGTACAGATGTGATACCATAAGTCCTCACAGCCAGCAATGCACCTAAAAGAATCAGTATAAGACCGGGTAGACCGCGGCAGATGCCTTGCCTTGTGTCAGGTTTGAGAGGTCATATCTAGGTGAAGCAATCTGAGATATGGGCGTATCGAACGACCTTACTGGAGTAGCCGTCGGGGTAAAAACACTCCCATTATCAGAAGGAAGAAATGGTGATATATCTATTGATGAGGAAGTTAAACAAGTGACTCTTGATGGAGAGCACAACAGCTTACTTAGGTCTCGACCTAATTCACCCATTGGAAACGCAAGATGCGACGACGTCGGCCTTAAAGAGTCATATGAGATGACAGTTTCAAGTAAATTCCCATCATAGGGATTGTATACGTCTTGATCACGCAAGACTTTCGCGTCTGTCTCTATTTCCTCCCTGATGAGTTCAGCAGCAATTTCGACCTCAGGAAAATGTGTCCTCAGAAAATTTGCCTAAAGCGGAGGTCAAATATAGTCCATTTTACTGAGATAAGACGTACTCCTCGCTCTGCCCTGCGCCTCAATGTCATATGCGGAAGCGTGATGGAAGGCGGACGTGTCGCTGGGAATACTTTGACAGGTTCCTTTGCATGAAGTTTGAATAGGTCGGGATCTATTGATGCTGCCTTGTAAGTAGCCCCATTACAGAAATCGAGTATAGCGTACCATAACTTTTCACCAAGGAAGACCATTCAAGACCATTCCCCTTCTCAACCAGGGTCAGAGCTTCGACTAATCCGTGATCTAGGTTGGGATATTGGAATATCTCTTTCTTTTTGCCTTTACCCTCCTTTCTTGGTATATCCTCGCTTTTTCGGTCATCTGTAGGCCACGATTCCATTCCATTAGAGTGTAAATTTGTCTGCCAGGAGGGTGGATGTAGTGGAGAAGGTAGAACTTTAGCAAGTTTATTTAAATAATAAAAGCAAATTTTAAAATAATTAATTCCAAAAAATTCCTTGCAGCATCTGTTCTCAACAAAGCATAACAACGCCTTCCTCACCCGACATGTTTAAAGTCGGTCGAAAGTTTCCTTCTTTCGCGTCTTTTCGGCGGATACACTCCAGTTCATCACTTTCAACGACTCAAGAAGCATCCACGTCGTCGGCACCACCAGCAAAATGGACGCCAATGTCAATACGGACCGGTCTCATAGCACGTAAACGAGGGATGTCTGCTCTATGGAATGACCAAGGGGTTCGTATTCCTGTAACAATTCTTCAGGTCCTGCCGTTCCAATTTAGGTGATACAATTTACTGATGTGTGCTTAGCTGGACCATTGCCAAGTCACCGCAAATATCCGCACAGTCCGAAGGGACAGCTCGGTCTACCATGCTGTTCAGGTCGCGGCTTCCGATAAACCTTACAAGACAGCTACCGCGCAGATGAAAGGTCATTTTAGAAAGGCTGGTGTTGTTCCCAAGTATATCGTGAAAGAGTTTCCTGTTTCTGAAGACGCGCATCTCCCTGTTGGTATGTTGTGGCTCAATTTCTTTCTCGTCAGTGTTTAATTATCTTTAGGGACGACATTGTCCGCAATACATTTTGTACCAGGCCAATACGTTGATGTAATAGCTACTTCGTGCGTCCTAAGAGAATCGCCATTGTTGTAAGGGGCTAACATACAACAGAATAGGAAAAGGCTTTCAAGGTGCAATGAAGCGATGGGGGTTTAAGGGTCTGAGGGCTAGTCACGGTGTTTCAAAAGCTCATCGGTCTGCGGGTTCTACTGGTCAGCATCAAGTGCGTACCATTCGTCTCAACGTCTCGAATAGAACCGTTTACGTTCGCCTTTAGGATCCCGGCCGTGTGTTTCCTGGAAAGAAAATGGCTGCTCGAATGGGTGGCCAGCGAATAACAACCCAGAACCTTCCCGTTATACGCGTCGACACGAATCTCAACCTCATCTTTGTGCAAGGGTCAGTCCCAGGCGTCGACAATGCCCACGTTATGGTTCGGGATGCAAAAAAGAAGATGTTGACTCTGAGTCAACATAACCAGCTTAAAGGTCTATATGAGAAGGTGTTACCTCGAGGCGTGGATGACCTCCCTTTTCCTGCCGGGACCGATGTGATGGCTAAGGAACTTCCAACAATCATAGAAGCTCCTGCCTATCGTAGAAGTCCGTTCATTCCTCAGGAATAAGTCTGTTATAGCATTACATTAAATATCCGGAGTCTTAGTATCATTTTCATTCAAAGAAACCCCACCCTACGCCAGTAGGTCAACCATCTTTCCGCATCTTCTCTACCAATCTGTGGAAACCCCATGTCCCGAACTGTGATTTTGGGCAAACCAAATGCCTCTCGGTTGTTGAAATTTACAACCCTTGCATTACGACGGTAGTACGGAAGTATGCGGATGGCAGGCAATGCTGCAGCATCTAGAGTTGATTTCTCCAGTTCATCCAACCACTGAATATATGGGACCAGCTTGACGTTCAACTCGGCTGAGATGACACTGGCTATGCCGGACCATAGAACAGGTTTGGGATGTACCAAATGGATGAAGTATTCAGGTCGATCAACATAGTCAACGATTGCCTGAGCTGCTACGTGAACAGGGACCCAAGAGATAGTCTGTACATCATCGTGTTGAACGATCATTATATCCCCTTCACCAAGGAACACTCACCCTATCACCACCAGGGAAACATCCAAGCTTGAGAGAGCTCTGGACCATCGCTGGAACCCATTCATTAACGTTCCAAGTCCCATTTGCAGCACCACACAATTGACCAGCGCGGATGATCAGATAGTGTAAGTCTTTCGCAGTGCGCAGAAGCTCCTCTGAGACCCATTTAGACTCTCCGTATCCAGTTCCCAGTGCCATTTCTGGGACGATTGGACATTCGGATAGTGAATCCTCTTCAGAAGCATCTGCCCAGAAACATAGTAAGCTGCCTGTTTTTAATGAAAGGCAATACATACTGAGAAAGATTCCAATAGAGCTCAAAAATATCAGTCGGGCCCGCGTTTTAATAGCAAGGGCAATCAAGTTACATAGTCCACGGATATTGAATTCGTAAGAGAACAAGCTCAGGTTGAAATCAACTCGCCAGGCTATTGAAAAAATGAGATAAGGATGGAAGTGACGAGTGTTATCATACCATTGTGAATAATGTGTGTTATCGGGCCCGACAACTGTTTTGCAACATGGAGTCAACAACGGTGGAGTGAGTATAAGAATTCGCCCAACCTCATCGAAAAAATCAATTCCCTCTGATATCTCCGCTTGCACTAGCACCACTTTATCTGAATCTAGCAGGCCAACATTGAGTCCCCGCGAAACAAATGCTCCCCGCTGCCTCTCTGATAGTGTGAGTTTTCCCGGCCGGTTCACAGCGTAGATGCGGTGTACACTCGTATCCAAAATCAGGCTTGCCAGTATATGACTTCCTAATGAGCCCGTCGTGCCCGTTACCAGAACAATTTTGCCTGATGTTGCCGCTATAGGTGTGTCGCTAGTCCTAGTAGGTAAGCCCTTTGAGTACTTCTTCACCATAGCATGCATGGCCTTGACTCGTGAGTCAGGTTCAGAATTAACGGAATCAAGCATTCCATGAGCTAATGAATAGAAGAATACAGCAAGTTGCGAGATCGTCGGGTGCGTATAAACGAAATTATCGGTTGCCTGACGAGTGTCGAATTGGACCGTATCTCGAAGGGCGCGAAGCAACGAATTTCGAATCCACGTAGATTGCAAGCTAGTGGAGTCAATACCAATCCTGAGAAATGAACTCAATGGGTTTTACTCACCTGTCGCAACCATGTTGAAACAGGTCATCGTCATCAAGAATGGAATGGGAAAGAACTTGTAGAACTACAGTCCGTATAAAAGACTTCGTGGACTTGGCGTTCCATTCGAAAGGCAACGAAATGTTGGCTTGTGTACTGTCCTCAACGGATTGATAGAGGTCTGAGATCTCCTCGATGTAATCATTAAGTATCGCTTGACGCCTACCAATGATCATGAGAGGTTGATATTATCGTAACCAGCGTTGAATTGCGCACCGTGCCGTATGTTTCGCAGTGTATGTGAAAGGCTTGACTGGTTTAGCAACAAGAATCATCTGGACTCGATGAGCGACACGTAAGAATGCCCGAGAATAAGCTAAGAACCTCTTTGAATAGACGCGAATGCTGAGGGGCGAATGTATTCATTCTTTCAACAGTAGGCCTGCAGCGAGAGTGAAAAAAAAGACATATACACTTAGGAACACAAATACCATATCTTGTTGCGATATTGGCCTAGCAGGACTGTGTCAACAGGATCGAAGCTGAATTCACGCTTTGGTTCAACGAGTACACCAGCCTGAAACTTTCCGCGACCAAACATGACTGAGGCAAGAACATGAGGGTCTTGATTAAGCATATTCTCTGCAAAGAGTCGGTAAGTAGTCGGGACTATATATGAATATCCTGCGACATACCCAGAGGTCCCGGATTGGTCTGTTTTGAGGAAGCAGACGAAATCAGGCTGCAGGTAACAGGGGGATAGCTAATGATGTACCTTCTCTCCTGTGTTGTGTATGATCTGATCATCAGTTCGTCCGAAAACCTTCCAAAATCCTGGTTTCGTTGCGTGTGGAACGAAGAGATCCGATGTTGCATAGGCATCAACGCCATTGACCTTGGTATTAAGGACACTCGGCTGGCAAAAAGAATTCGACTAAGAGGGTGTCGTAAGATGAAAACGGAGGCCTATCAGTGAAGAAAACGCATACCATCATTACAAGCTCATACGAATTATTTCCATTGGGAACCATTTCTGGTTTGACAAGCCCAGGAAATTGGAAGTAGTCCCAGTCGTAATCTACCTGGGCTACGTAGATAAGTACCGTCAATGCCAAAATGTGTAGTCAAGGACTCACCAGGTAAGACAAGGCTCATGATCCCACCTTCGGTTCTTTGAATCAGTTAGGTCTCTATTCAATTATATATGATGGACCCGATGAGGCTTACGACCCGTAACTAATGAAAACAGAGACGCCTTTGGACGTCATATAGTCTCCGGCTTCCTTGTTCAAAGGCCCACCACCGTAAAGCTAACGTTGGAATGTCTTGACTAAGTTCAAGGATAAGTTTCTGGACATACCACACCTGACCGAGTAGAGAGCCATTCAACATATTCTGGCCGTCGCGACCACGCCTGTCGAACCGTGTAAACCGGGGGATAACTGACAAATCGCGCATGTCGTACCTCAATGAAGGATGGAACGCAGAAGATAACGTCACTCTGGACTGTCCTCGCAGAGTCAAACAGGTTTTCCGGCGTTGGGAGAATGGCAGGTGATTTGGGTTCGAAAGCACCGACGACCAAGCCGGATGATGCCTAATAAAATCTCAGAAGAATTTAGGTAGTTTGGAACAAGGATGCATACCGTCCACAAGAGCTGTAAGACGCCCATACCGTGGTACATGGGCATAACATGCAAAGAGAAAAGAACGTCACACAAATCTCTTTCTCCGAACCATGGTACTAAGCTCAATTGAACGAGTCGATGATGTGTCCAAGCGATTGGCTTTGGGTATGCCGTTGAGCCTAGAATATAAAGCACATGTGTTATGACGCACGGAGGTAAATAACTCAGAATTACCAGAGGAATGCAAATAGAAAGCAAGCGAATCTGGATCTATAGGCGGCAAAGGAAGATTCTCCTCATGAGTGTTTTGTTCCCATTGAGATTGAAAGTAGTCCTCGAAGATCGGGATCGGAATGGAGGATAGTTCTGGGAACGTATCTGACGAATATTGCGATTTCAAGATTTCAAGAGCTTGGTTAGCGAGGTCCTGCATTGATGCATCTCGGCCAATAAGAACATGCTGTACGCCGACCTTGTGAAGAAGATGTGCAACTGCAACTGCCGAATTTCGGGGCGAGATAGGGAAGAAGACGTAGTTTGCACGCAAAAGACTCATCATCGTGACGAAATATGTTATGGTGTCTGCAAAAATCCATGATCATGAGGGCGCCGCACTGGATGGAAGAGAAGACGGACCGGATAAAGAGAGGATGGCCACCACTGGTGATTCTGTCGCAGATTGAATCCGCCTTCTGAGAAGTCGTGCGCCAGTGTATATCGCTGCTACGGCTTCTGCCCAGCTTATTGTCCGGATGCTACCGTCTTCGCGGGCATACACGAACATCCGGTGACTAGGGGAATGCTGAAGATGCCACGCGTAGATTTCCTGGATAGTAAGCGACCCATCAAGTGGAGGAGCTCGGAAAGTAGCACTTGAAAGTCCTTGAGGTCGGGGCAGCGGAGGAATCGCTCGTCGTGTGGAGAAAGACATGGACCCAATAATAATTTCTGTTATGGATTGAATGCAACTTCTTGTAGGGCCTTTCGGAAGTTCTATCAACAGTTTTTGGGACATGTGACCAAAAGCATGTGCAGATTGTTCGCTAATGAATTTGTTCGTGCTCTTTCGTGCTCCATATGGAATTCATATCCCAGCAACAGCATCCTGGGTAATGAGAAAGGTCTGTGATCCACTTATCTGTTACTCTAAGCTGCGGTGGCGTCAACTCCCTTGGGCACCAACACACGAGAATACGAGAAAATTATACTCCTTGGGGGTTAGCGTCAGTATCTCTTTACGTAGATTACCGGTCGCGGTTAGATTCAACAAGAAAACTATAGACTCAAAAGTCAGTGACTGTTTATCAGAAGGGCCAAGCACGTGCCCGTGTCGACCACCCACGACGACGACCACACCGCATATCAAGACCACGCCATGAACCTTCTTGTACTGCGTGTGCCACTGGTATGTACAATTACCTTCAAGGAGGCTCGCAATGACAAAATAAAGGGAGACATCAGCAAATATGAATCCGAGTGACTCTGGAAAAGTCAACACGATCCTACATAATCTGAGGTACAACACCCATTCATCCCGTATGAAATGAAATAAATTTTGGCTAGGGGCGAACAGTTCAGACACTCTCAGAATATCCAAGGATCACGCATCCAGGTGCATCTTCGAGCAGGGTTGATTCACAACTCTCCAACGCTGCCTTTCAAGCTGCACGACCATGGCATTGCTGCTACAGAAGCCGAGAGCACTGCAGAGATGCCTCAGACGTGGTCGGGTCCGAAACCGCCAAAGAGCTGGCGCATGGAAATCACCAGTGCCATGCGAGCAAACATGCTTTCGCTTCTGCTCTCGGTATCATCGCAGGCCTCGGTGCCTTCGCTCACCCTCTTATGTCTGAGGCGAATTTCTTCTATGCCCACAAACGAGTTCATACACGACATCATACCCTTTGTTCCTCCCCATTTGCGTTGCCAGCTTCTTCGCGATACCGCGCTGCACTTCCCTCTGCCCAATCCCAAGCTTTATGCTCTGTGCGAACCTGAAGGAACCGCAGACGGAGAGCTGATAATCGTTGGTCCTACCCAGTCGCTGCACAATGGCTTCTTTCTACACTCAGCCAGGGAAGGAGCTTATCAGACGGCTTGGGATGAAGAGGAATGGAGTCCCAGTCCTTTGCACACATTCATTCTTCTCTCTACCCCTTTATCAACCTCCACTTTACTCACCCTCTCGCCAACCATAACACATATGGCACTGATAAACCTGCCCAACGCCTTGCCTCTGCACCGTCTGCCTGGTATCTGCCCCTTGCTTGTTGTGTTGGACCTATCATACAATGTCTGGCTGCACCTTGCATCCAAGGAGGCTACCAAAATATTAGATCGCGTGCAGTGGAATCGCTGGACACACTTACGGAAACTCGGGTTCAGGGACTGCTACGTTTATGACGGTCTGCTAGCGAAACTGAACCAAGGTAAGTGGGATGATGTACAAGTCGTATTAACCTAGTATAGCTCCATTTCAACCATGCTCCGTTATCAGGATGAGAGTATTCATGAATATATATGATGCGTGATACAATGCAGAATGAAGAATGTGATGGGAAAATGCAACGTCGTAAAAGGTCATGCTCTCGAATCTAAGAATTGCGAAAGATCAAACACTGGCACGGGCTGTAACGCGATCATGAGCATATCAGCTTGAGAAGCACAGACAAAGCATCCTACCTCCTGGCCCTTGTCGGAGTTATTCGACACCAAGGACGCCTTGGCGCCTGGCGGCAGGATTGTACTCGAATGCGACGGAATATGCAGGTCACGAGCAAGGGACCAAACAGTAGAGGTCTGCCGTACTATCAGTTCCACTCGTGATATAGCGTTGAGACCCGTCCTATCTGGAAGTTTGTGAGGGAATCAATAACCCGTTTTGCTGACATACTACGCGACTTACAGAGTACTGCGCTGTTAATCTGCTCGGCGACTGCGTCTCGCCTCTCCTGACTGAGATATTTGGCCACCGAGCTTTCTTCTGGGACAATGTATGCAAGAATGCTAAGTACATTCTGCAGCTCCTTGACGTACTTTTCCCGATCTTCGATGCATGGAAGATGGTTCGCCAGGGCATACAGCTTTTGAGCACTCTTCAGCAGTGCCGTTTGCTGGTCGCGGGATTCGGGATCGTCTTCCTGAAGAGCTTGAGAACTTCGTTTTTGCGATTTAGGAGGCGGGGATTCGGTTTGGGCGGGAGGATGCTCCAAAGGTACTGTTCTACATGATTCAATGAAAGCTTGTATGCGCAAATTCAAAAGAAGATGGGCGGGATCGACAGAGGTAGGAGCCACGTATGTCAGGCTATTCGACATTGGCGGTTCGACATTAGTAGACTCTGCTAGTATGTTAAGAACGGCGGGAAAACGGGTGTTGAGTAGATCCGTAGCCTCATCCACCTTTCCTGAAAGCAGCAGTCGTCGTATATCTGTCGACTTGTCAGAAATGTGGGGGTTCCGATATGTACAGGGTCGTACCTGCTCGTTGGTCCGCCTGCTTCCATGCCTCCCCCGACAGCTCAGGTAGACTGGAACTCCCGTCAGCCGGTTGCATCACTTCGTCGCCGTCTGCGTCAAGGTGCCGGACGGAACTGTCCTCCGCGAAGGCAAGCGCGGTACGGGTATAGCATTGATGAGATAGATAATCGAGTACGAGCGAGCGCTGAGAATGAAGAGTTGATGAACATGGACGACGCCACGGCAAAGAGAAAAGATACCAGCTGGAATGGGGTCGGTTCAGATATCGCTGGAGTTGGATGAGGCTTTCGAGAGGATGATGGCTGCGACATACTCGATGCAAACTCGATGACGGTCAATTACAATAACGGCTCCTTCCAAAGTGGGTTCAAGGCCCAAGTACCTCAACGTCCACGTGGTGAAATCTTTCCAACTTTAACCATTATAATTATAATTCGTACAACTAGGTAAATGATCTCCTAACCATGGGTAGCTGATATACTTCTTCTCAACGTCCGTTCTGGTGGCGTTCCCAGCTCATTACTATTATATCGCACATGTGTTAGTGCATCTCCATCCAGCAACCTTCTGTCCTCTTCAATGCTAACCGAAGAGCTCCTACGACGTGACTTTGGTGCGTAGACGAAGGATTGCATCACGATGGTGATATCGAAAAGGAGTGTACCGCCGCTGCCCAAAAGATATCTATCCATTATATTCACTTGGACCATATCTCTCGCACAAAAGGACAAATGAGGCTTACGGTATACTCTCTTTGATAAAGTCTGTTGAGGCAGGCGGCGGGAGCCTGGCATTAGGGGAGGTGGCGATAGATGCAACATAAAAACAATTCCCGAGGAAAGCGAAAACAAAAAGATACATCGATAAACCCTGGAAGCAAAGTTAACCTCGCGAACATGATAGCGAGTACGGATATCGAAATACCTGAACAGATTTCCTGACATACTGAATAGAGTAGAATCAGCCTATAAATCCTCAAAACAGAGCATAGAACGCACGTTCTTCCAGATCTGCGGCAACCGGGAAGTCAGATACAAAGTGGTGCATAACCACGCAAAGATGCGACCCAGAACACGTTCGTTAGACGGCTGAAAGAGGATCTGATGATATGGCGGCTCAGAGGTTGAGACGTATACGTCAGTATCAATGTGCACGGGGTCGAACGTTGTGGGAACATCAGAAGCCATTAAAGGTGTGTAGGTTTGAGGATCACGAATACGGAACCCCCGTGCAGCGACCACGTTTCCTATATGACTCGTAGTGGTACTGGTAAGTGGCAAATGCCGTTCACTTCCAGCAAGTGCACCCACACTGAACAAAGCCCAGACACCGAAGAACACCATGCTGGTGCCTCGTCGGGAGCTTCTGCGTCGAGGTTCAGGATCTTGTGAGAGGTCTAGATCCACCTCTGCCTCTCGCTGTAGACTTCGGCCCCGGATGAGAGACTCAGCGACTTCGGAAGGGACAGACATATGCAATGTTGCAGGGAGAGCACCCCGCGAGGGTATTCGGCCAATGCTACCACCTCGAGTTCTGTGTCGTTCGGAGCTCCAGGAAATACGTGTACGACGGCCACCTTCGGAGTGAAAACTATCTGCTAAAGCTGCCAAGGTGGAGTCATCTATTTCATCGTCTGATTCTCTCGACACTCGACTGTGTGAAGTATCGGGGTATCCGTCCTGGCTGGTGTGTAGGCGCGCCACCGATCGACTTCGTGGAAGGCCAGTGTGGTCGTCGCGTTGCGCAGCTAGTGCAGCTGCTTTGGCTACACTGGTGGCTACGACAGACAAGGTGCGGTAGCGAGAGGCTGGTCTGTCGACGGACATCCGACGGCTTAAACTGCGTGCCCGGACGTGTGAAGGTGGGTTCCGGATAGTGTAGTAAATGTATTGGCCAACAAGGGTGCAGTCCACGAAGACAAAATAAGTGGCCAGATAAGTCTAGGTGAGGATTGTTTAAAACAGGATACCAGGATTGCCGCGGTGATTAATTACCCACCTGGAATGGAAGCTGATGGGTGAGGATGCAGCCAACCAAGTTGGAGATGTCACCTGTCGCACGAGCATTGTAAGTTGGCAGAATTCAAAATCTGCGCCTACATACCCATGAGCCAATTCGCAAGAAAGGGGAGAGCTAGCCCTTCGCACGAATTGCTTCTGATATTCTCAAGAACCTGGCTTTAATTGCAAGAGTCATGTCACATGTCGCCATCGTGGTCAGATATGAGACTTACGGAAACTGTGCCCCTAGCCAGCAGGCAATCGATGAATATCCGAGAAATTCACTCAACACTGCCTGCGACGGCGACAGCATCGTGATAAGAGCCTCAAGGCTTTGGAAAGTGAGATAGCTCTCGTGCACCTGATAAGATAGAGGACGAAGACAAATATGCACAAATCATTCTCATCACATCATGCCTCCACAAGTAGGCCAAAAGCGCGCTGCCGGTGAATCGTCTGGCTCCCAAGGCGGGCGAACGAAAAAGACCCGCTTCGTTGAGCCCTCGGAGGACCCTGTCAATTTTGCGGAAGAAGTCGACTCGGCTCTTGAGACGAAGAATAGAAAAGGTCGCGTCAAAAATGAGGGCTACGAGTCAGACTCGAGTGACGATGGTGAGGGTGTCGTTCTGAGCCGTAAGAACAAGGCGGATGATGACGAAGACGACGATATGTTCACTATGGGAGACAAGGATGAGAAGAAGGATGAGACGCCAGCGAAGAAGAAAAAGGCAAACTACCTGCGTCTCGGAGATATCGAAGGACAGGAGTTTGGGGGGTCTGGTTCGGACGCTGAGTCATCGGGCGACGATGAGCCAGAAGACGAAGATGAAGTGGAACGGAGAAAGAAGGCTGGAATGGGGTACGAACTGTCGTCCTTCAACATGCGAGAAGAGATGGAAGAGGGCAAGTTCACCGAGGACGGTAGCTACGTACGTTCATTCGATCCGCATGGCGTACACGACCGCTGGATGGAAGGGGTTGATGAGAAGGAAATAAAAAGGGCGAGACGTCGGAAACGGCACATGGAGAAGATACAGAAGGAGAGGATGAAGGCAGAGGAGCAAGAGCTAGAGCATTCAGGTGGCGTCCCCGCTATGGAAATGGATCTTTTGTCTTATCTCAAAAGAGGTGAGACTGTACTCGAAGCTTTACAGCGGTTGGGCGTACAAGCAAAGAAGTCAAAGCAAAGGTGTGACTTCTTCCAAATCCTAGGTATCCTTATGCTCAACTTACAATAGCACTAAATCTAAGGCAACTGTGAATGATGCTATGCATATTGACAAGAAGCCTTCAGCACGTTCTGATATTGAACTTATCACCCATCTTGCGTCGAACATCATGACGCTTGGCGATGTAGACATTTACTCCAAATCGTACGAAGAGCTCGTTCGCACAGTTCGGTCTTCAGGCTCTGTCGACGCCTCTTGGGAGCCCCCGTCGGCAGATAAGAAGTTCGAGTACAAATGGAACATGCCAGCTTCGGGTCAGACAGTCCAGACGTTTGGTCCTTTTGGTGAGGAAGAGATGCGGTCATGGTACAAGGCATCATACTTTGGGGCCGCAGGGGAGAAGGTGAAGGTACGGGAGGTCGGCAGCGAGTGGAAAGATTGGGACGACGCTCTTTCTTGAACAGGTTCTGGTTGTGCTACCAATGTAAGTTATGTACCCATGTATATCTAGCCTTTGGCAGACACAGCATTCTACTGCTCATAATTGTACGATTTTTCAATGAACAGGTATACATCAACTGGAAATACTCATGGATGAAGGAACCGGAATTTAATCGATTCAGTTATAGGTGCGTTCTTTTGCGACTAAGAATATTCCTCTGACGCAAGGTTGACTTTAGATACTGCACTCGTATCCTTGAGCGCCGAAACACCGCCGGACAGGAATACAAATCGGAAAAAGGCCATCACAGAGTGCGTCGCCTTGTGCGGTAAAACTTGATAACTCGCTATATTCCAACGAGTCCCGGTTCCTTAGGTGACTTGGCCTGTGGAGTTGGTTGCAATGATATGCTATTAATAAGGCAGATACGGGTCTATCATGAAGTCACAACTTCACGAGAATCTCCCGGCTGTAAAGTAGTGTCCGTTTCCTAAAGATGAATAGCAAGTATTCAGTTTTTTTTCAATCTCCCATGTACACATGAAAGATTGATCCCTCCAAAGCTTTGTAGAGCAGCAGGATTGTTAGCGTTCCAATGTTCACATATACTCGCGATAAATTGACGACGTACCAGTAAGATTGTGGTCGCTATGATGCTCAGAACATGGAGGCCGGAAAAAATGCGCGGTTTCTTTCCCCGCAGCCCAGGGTTGGAAGCGGATCCGTAATAGTGCCCACTAAGCTGAGGATATCTCCAGCTGTAGGTGTCTTTCATTCGCAATTGAAGATGGTACAATTTTCTGATAAGTATCCCAGCGTCGCACTTATAAAATTTGAAGGTACTTATGGGCCTCGGGATTAGATGGTTCCTTTATAAAGATACCGGTCTCTGCTCTTTCTCGTTACACGTTACGATTTCCACGCGTCTGAGCCCATGGCAACCGATGAATCGTCCCGCCCTGACCCGGCCTCGTCGTGCTTTCTGGAATATTTTCTTTGGTGATCGCGGTTCATCCTAGAGTATAAAACAGGTCTTTCCAAACCCTACATGAGTATCAGATTCCCTTCCTCTCTTTGATTCTTCGTTCTTTTTACGTTCTGTGGAAATGTTCAAGTACGCTCTCTTTCAAGCCCTGGTGTCGGCCGCCGTGCTTGTATCGGCTGTGCCGATTGCCAAGCCCGGCGCAAAGAGGGCGCCTCGCCCTGCAAAGCGCGCCAGTTGCACTGTTGACTCTGTCGACGCTGCTTCGTCAATTTCGGATTGTTCTTCGGTCACTATCTCTGCTTTCACCGTCGCAAGCGGAGGTGAGAACTAATTGATCTTCTACATGATCCCTACTTACGTTTATCCTATTAGATACTTTGGTGCTTTCGGTGAGATCTTTACCAAGATCAGAGATGACTTTGTATCGCTCATGGGAACCTGGAAAGCCAGCTGATGGAGCTACTGTCACGATGGCCGGAGACATTACTTTTGCACAGACCTCTAGTAAGTGTCAGCCCTAGTTTTCTCAGCCATGATTGACTTGGATCGGTCGCATTGTCTAGCCGATGGCCCTCTGTTCACTATTGACGGTTCTGACATTACTTTCAATGGCGCCGGATACAAATTTGACGTACCTGAGATGCCTTTTTTCTATTTCGTCATTTTGATATGCTACCTCCAGGGAAACGGTGCTGACTACTGGGATGGCGAAGGCACTAACGGGGGTGTTGACAAACCCCATCCTCTTCTGAAGTAGGTTTCATTCTGTTTACGCAGCTACTCGTTCGTCTGATGGGTCGTTAGGTTTAAGGGCTCCGGCACGTACTCTGACTTCACAGTGAGCGAGGTTCTGTTCATCGCGACGAGGTCAAAGAGTGATCCGACTCCATAGGTCCTGAACACTCCCGCGCAAGCTATCTCAATCGGTAACAGCGATGGTCTAACTTTTGACAGCATTACCGTACGTCTCTGCAGTTTTACTCACTTCATAAATCTATTCCTGACAACAATCCAGGTTGACAACAGTGCTGGAGATACGGATGACTTGGGACACAATACTGATGTGTGTTCAACATGATTACCCTGAACTTCAAACTAGCTAACAGACGTTATGCAGGGTTTCGACGTCTCTGCTGATGACGTGACTATCCAAAATTCGGTCGTCAAAAACCAGGACGACTGCATCGCTATCAACGATGGCAGCAATATCCAGCACGTTATTGAAAACTCTTCACCTTGAGGAAGGTATTCATCTTTGGAAACAGATTCTTGAACAACCAGTGTTCTGGCGGTCACGGCATTTCTATCGGTTCCATCGCAAGCGACGACTCTGTGTCCGGCATAACAATCTCTGGAAACACTGTCACTGACTCTATGTATGGATTCCGGTAGGTCTTACTCGACTTACTCTGCCAGAATGAATCTCTGAAACATTAGTAGTATTAAAGTCCAAGCTTCAGCAACAAGCGCCTCTGTCTCTAATATTACTTACTCTGGGTGGGTGTACTCTTCCATTCGAAGGTCAAATATACTAACAAGATATGGTATGTAGTAACACAGTCAGTGGAATTGACGAGTACGGCGTCTTGATTACCCAATCTTACCCTGACGATGATGGTACACCGGGAACTGGAGGTCCTATCTCGTGAGTCTCGTTGATGGCACAGGAACATACACGTCTGAAAATTCGAATACTAGGGATGTGAGCTTTACAGGGGATGCCACTACCATAACGTGAGCTGTGTTCCTCACTGTGATGTTGTTGGACTGGTACTTAAGGGGCTCGTAGCGTTGGCGACGATGCAGAACGACTCACTGTCGACTGTGGTGCCTGCTCAGGGTACGAGGTCTTCTTCTTTATTCTGCATTGGAGGGTCCCATACTTTTTCTTATCAGTACATGGGACTTCTCTGCACTAACCATCACCGGCGGCTCAGAGGGTACAGTCGATAGCGATAGTGCCACCGTAAGTATTGCCTTTGTCGTTCACATCGCTATTTTTTTTATGTGTGTAGATTTCAGGTGGCTCGTACTGATTTGAAATGCTGGGAGACAAAAGCAATCATCTACCCCAATGATTGTAAAACTCTACTATCAAATTATCCAGTTTATGATGCAGTGCGTCTTGTGAGCTTCTATTTCTGGCCCCTTGAGTCTTCAATTATTTTGTTTATCTCGGTGAAGCCAAAGTTAACGGCGTTCTTGAGTAGATAGAGGTGTAGCAAACAAGGTATATCTCTCTTGACTAGAGATACTACTGGGTTATCTTCTAAGCTGGGTTACAAGCAACGTTTCAATGATGTCACTTTCCATAGTACAATAATTTACCGTCCATGAAGCTAGAATGATAGACTAATGGCTGATGTATTGAAATACAAATGAGATCTCGGGTAGTCCAACTTCAGCTCGTAAAAGATCATCATGGTTGTTCTTGAGCTCTTCATTAGTGAAATGATTCCATCTGTAACGACGACAATCAGGCATTATTAGACGTATGGGATAAGAGACGTACGTGCTGGCATCGCCATACAGTAAAGCCGGAGCCTTGATCATTTGCTTGCCATTTTTGCAACGTTTGCACTTGAAAGTTTCATGCGTCTCACAGATTGTATTCTCATTGAACAAAAACAGTTGCCGCAGTGCGTCAATTGAGAAATGGCGTTCGGTATTTTCGTTTTCGTCCACAACCGCAGACGAAAGGGCCTGTTTGTTGGCTTGTCGTTGAAAGATTTTTTCTTCGATCGTTCCCGTTGAGATAAATCGGTACACAAAGCCTTCGATTCCATTATTAATACAAGAATTACGAAAGGAGTTGAAACTCACATTCTTTCTTCTGACCATCTCGCCATACTCGGGCAAGAGCTTGTTGATCAGCGGCGGGATTCCAATCTAAAGCAGTGTTAGTGAGAGACAGGTCAAGGGTACGGGTACGAAGTTTTTTTTTTGCTTACCGGGGTCGAAGAGAATGAGACGGTTAGCTCCAATAAGATTTATGCCGCATCCACCAGCTTTGCTGCTGAGTAAAAAGATGAATTCCTTCCCTTCAGGGTTGTTGAATTGATCAACCAGCTTCTGGCGTTTAGTTATGGTCATGGTTCCGTCTAAACGGAAAAATCCATATCTACAAGGAATGAAGATAGATTAACGACCTTGAAGGTATATAACGTACTTCTTGCTTCGGCAGAGTTTCTCAAACAGGTCGAGCGTCTGTGTGTAATTGCTGATGAGAACAATCTTGTCATTCGTCGTTGCTCGTAATTGATGCAAAAACCTATTTTCGGATGTTTAGTAGGAAAGCTTCATAATTTAACGGTACTCCCCTTTCTAGAACGAGGAACTTGCCACCCCAATCGCAGCGAACAGTTTGGTTTCTTCCGCCGCCGACTCTGCTGCTGCCACCTGCCGCCCCGGCACCGACGAAACCTTCCGGTATCAGATGCTCGGATCCCTGAAGATCTTCGGGGAGGTTCAGGAGTTCTGGGTGATTACATAGTTTCTTCAGAATATTAATAGCTTTGAGTGGCTGAGAATCAGCGCCTCGCAGTAATGCCTTGATCTCTGGCGAAGAGATGAACAATCGATATAGTGACAGCTGGAAATCCGAAAGACCACAGAACACGACATGTTCATATTTGACCGGCACTGTAACAGAAATGGTGAGTCCCAACACCTTGGAGGTAAAGAGAAGATACGAACGGTATTTCGAAAGGAGATCATTAGTCCTTCGAATGATAAACTTAGTAACAAGACCACCAAGCTCCTTTAGTTTCTTTTCACTTTCAGCCTTCACCGCGTCGCTTGCCATGGCATCCCGGCCGCGAATGATAAAGTTCTCGAAATTCTTTCGGAAATCATTCTTAGATCCCAGGAAGTTGGGATTCGCAAAGTTGAGCAGAGAGAAATATTCAGACAAGTCGTTCTTCAAGGTGAATTTGTAAGTTGAATTCTCCGGGAAGGCGATGAGGTTACCTGGATAGGCGTTCCTGTAAGTATAACGCGACGTTTGACATCGAGGGCATTAAGCGCAGTGAAGGTCAGGGATTCTGTACGGCTTAGGTCAGAATAACTTTTCCGAAAAGAATCAAAAAGTAGCACCTGAATTCTTCAGTCTATGCCCCTCGTCACAGAGCAGGAGACCAATAGCGCAATTCGCCAGGTACACGGATAATGTTCGTAACGTTTCGTATGAGACGATCATAACTAACAAAAAAAATTAATGGTATAGTTCACGTGTGAAACGATGCATACCTGGCTGCGTCACATTGCGGCCGCACGCTGCCACCCACTGAGCAACCTTCTCAAGAAGGACGGTTTTGCCACCTTTGCCATCGACCGCCAAAACGTTAATGGCGTCCTTGCCGAGCCATTTTACTGTCGGAAGTGTCATTGAAGAGCCAGAGAGTACATGGAAAGCATACTTACCTAGCTCATTAGCCCAGTTTTTGACAAGACTAGAAGGGCAGGCGATAATGCACTTTTCGATGGATGGTTTACCAGCATGAGGCGATTGTTTAATCAAGGTCCATAGTAGAGCGATGCATTGTAGCGTTTTCCCGAGTCCCATCTCGTCAGCCATAATGCAGCCGTACTGGTTCTCGACGACCTTGCCCGTTGTACATTTGTATAGAAACTTCCTATCATTAAATATTACTCCTGCTCCCATGAAAGATGCGCTCACCTTCACGCCTTCAACTTGATGTGGTCGAAGAATCTTGCTAAGCCGTGGGTCAATGACCACTGGAACCTTTGCTATAGCCTCCTTGTTCTTGTCTTCACCTAACATGACTTTCAGGCTCTTGTGAGGGTTGAACATTCCTGCGGTCTTCTCTTGCCCCTCTAACAAAGCTTTCACCTTCTCTTCCTCTTTCCTCCTCTCTCTCCGCTCCTCGTCGGTCTCCTGATCATCTATGGTAGGATCGTACAGGACAATGGCGTGGTCTTCCATAGGATCGTGTAACGGTCGCGGAATAAATCTCGCCTGCGGTCGGGTGCCAAGAGAGACATTTGAGGGAACAAGAAGGATATTTTCTCCATCTTTGTCCGTCATCGAAGGCATGGAGAACCTGCGGCATTGATTGAACGGTTTTGGCTTGAAGACCGGATATTTCTTCACGGTAGCCAAGAGCTCCGCTTTATTGTGGTATGCGTCCTTATCGTCCTTCTTTCTTTTCTTTTTGTGGCCATCCCCATCAGAGTCCAAATCATCTTCCTGCTGCTCCTTGTAGGATACTCGTTTTCGTTTACGGATTGCTTGGGCGCGGTCAGCGACAGCTGTGAAACTCGGAGGCTTGAATGGGCTATTGATTCTGACGCTCCCTTGGAGTCGATCAAGTACTTTTCCGTCCTTGAGAGTGGGCGCGCGCCGTAGCATAAGAAAAAATGGTTACGACGTCAAGGACGGTGCGGCAGTGAATAGTCAGCAATATAGCCAAACAGACGCGACACGGTCATTAATATATCACGTGCTCGAGCCGTAAAAGACACCTGGCAACCAATTCAATGTACACGACATAGAAATCCTAGCCTTCCGACAGCGACTCATATTTATCTATATCAGCCAAGTACCTTGCGATTTTTGCCCCAGCCCTAACATAAGCATCCTTTGCTAGCGAAAGCCACAGTGGAGGATCTTCCATATTTACTACTTTCTTATCAGGGTCACGTCTGATAAAAAGGGTGTTCTCCGGGTCGAAGTTGACAAACGCTTGACGAATAGCCACTCTTTCGACAGCCGGATTAGATGTGCGTGAACCTTGAAAATTGTCAGCTTCATAGCATCAGTCTGGTAATAACCTGCTTCTATCAAGGTAGGCTGGAAGAAATAAATTATTGACATTCGTCCTAGCAATGTAGCTTTTTGCACCCACTTTGATATTCCATGTCGGATCAAGTTCTTTCATGAATGCTTCTGTTGGTGCATTCATGCATCATGGCTAATGAAGGGGTAAGCAACACGGAGAATGTCATATAAATTGGGTTGACCATATTTGCCAAGATTGCAGTCTGAGAACGATTCACAAAAAATCGAATTGAAGCGAACTTACGTGCCAGAATAGTATCCTACGCAACCATCGGTTTACAATCTGCATGAGGGTTATTCGGGCATCAAAGAGTGTCGCTGGTCTCACGGATTCAGCATACATGGAAGAAACTTGCAGGAGTCGTCCTCCTTAAGGCTGATTGACCTCGTGAAAACTTGAAAATGCAAGTGCTGCACGTGTAACATATACCGAACCTCAGAAATTGTTAGTCTAACGGCACCCCTTCCACTTCTCCTACGATTGCGTACCCGGTATTATTATACACTGCATCGATTCGTCTAAATGATTTCTTGACCAAACGCAGCATTGACTTCATCCGGTTTGGATACATTGACTTTGACCACGAGCAGTCTATCTTCAGTGTACTCTGCTTGAAGCTTCGTCATGGTTTCGGGCGTCGGACGGCAGCGACGACTGTCCCCTTGCTGATGGCACACAGTATTGGCCCCAGTGTCTGGATTAGATTCGTCAGCACTACATAAAGTCCCATGACTGTGCGTACGCACTAAGCCACACTTTGTGAGCAGACATGATCCCGGAACTTGTGATATATACTTATGCTGGAAAGTTATGGCCCCGAATCATTAATCGTGTTCCTGAAAGTCTTCCAAGGGCTACAGACTGAACATGCAAGTGTTGAAAACGCCAAGATTTTTCTTACACAGTTCGGCGGCCTTGATTCATTCGAGGTATGAAAAAGACTGATTGCTTCTCAGACAAGAAAAGTCCTCAATACTTTTCATCGGGAAATGTAATCCGGATGGCTCATTCAAGATGATTCGCTATCAGCTCTGATAATGCAACTAGACTTTAAGGCCTTCACAGTCTTTGGAACGATATACTCGAACCTATTGATCATAACGGTGACAGAAACTCGGGTACATGGCCAGTCGGAGTTTGAGGCATTTGAGGCGGATGTGTTGTGACGCGAACACGAGGGCAGGACTGGGCAGAGTTACTGAAGTAGCGAATGGGACTTGTGCTTGATAGTTGCAGTCTGTTGAGAAGAGGCTTCCGGAATATTACCATGCGCACTTTCCTGCTTTGGCACGCCCCAGATTTCCCAGGCACGGGCGTGATTTGATGAACGAACGACCCCAGTGAATCACTGAAATCTGAGCTATGTTAAGCGGATAACGAAGAGCAAACCGTGCAGAAAACAAAAGAGAAGATCACACTCTCCATTGAAAGGCATCAACAGGAACAGCCACATCCGCATAGGCCGAAATATTCTCCACCGTAACTCGAGTCAGTAAGACACTTCTTTTCAAACACGAAAGTGCAGGAGGGATATTCAGACGCTGACAGAATAGTGCATTTTCCGAGGAGCAGAGTGCCAACACTTCTTTGCCAACAGGCAGGATGAACTGGGAACAGTGGAAATTGAATGACGCAACCTATGGATTTGATTAATTGACACCTACCAGAGCGCCATCATCCAATCGGGTGTGAAACCGCTCAAATTGAGATTTCTGCTCCTCCGTAATGCTCGATGCTGGGACAACTTTTGCCGCGGAGCTGCCTGTGCGCAATGTATTGAAGATCTGGAGCGCTGTTTTATTATCATAAAATTTTCCTGGAAGACCTTTGTTCTCAGCGATGAACACCCAGCTTGACGATGATGCCGACGTGGACATGATGTCCATGAGCACCACGGGAATCTTCACTGAAATATCCAGGTCGAGGGGGAAAGTTGGATATTGTGACCTAGTTCTGTCAGTTGACGGTGTAGACCGAGGACGATATACGCACAGATCAGAAGCGATTGGTGTTGGTGGCACATCGGAGGCTAAGCCACTACAATTGAAGATATGAGAAAACTGCCTACGACAGAATAGGAAAAAACGGGAGGCGAACAGGGGTCCAAATATTGTGTTTGATATCGTAGATTTCCATGGCGCGCTTGCATTATTAGAAGCGATGGATCCTGTGGGTAAAAGCTTTTCTTTGGCAAGAGCGAAGCTGGGAATTGCGGAGGATTAACATTCAGGAGCATCAATAAAGACTACACACACCTGGACTGGGCGATAGTGGGTTCGTTTCTCTCTGATTTATCCTCATAGTCGTCCAGGTTTTTTGCAGCCTCAGCATTAAGACCAGCCAGGTTCAGCAGCTCTTCCCCAGTTGGTGGAGGTAGAGGAGGATTGGTTTCACCCGTTTCAGTCGCCGCCATCTCGATGTCGGCATGGGCGTGGTCATCCCTCCTCTCAGACACGTATTTCCCCTTCACCGACTGTAACCCACCCTTGGTGAAGGTCAATAGCGAGCTCTTCGATTTGGTGAGGATCCCAGCCGAAGATCGTCCTGGCCCGGGCTTGGCCTTCTTGGGGGATGAACGGCCTCCTGAGCGAGCTTTGGTAGAGATTCCGCCATCCATGCCATCGTGATTATCTATCATTTTTACGAGGGGATTGGTAGCGCGAGCCCGATGCGAAAGAATAGAAGCGGAAGATGAAGCCACTGGAGGATCTTCGGCTAACTTGGACGACAAGGGAAGGGAAAGGGCAGGGGAAGAAGCGGAGATACTCTCTGGAGGATCTTGCACAGAAAGCACTCTTGTGCCCTTGACTGGAGCTGAATTGAACGCATAGTCGCTATACTCCTCCTCTTCTGAGGGAGGTACAATCTCTGGTGAATCTCGACGAACACGGTCGCGCTTTAGCGTCGACGACAGAGTTGATGCATCCAAACTGTGTTTGCCGGTAGACTTGTCTTTGGAGTGGCGTGACAAAGGCGCTGAATTTTTCCCTGGCTTTGAAGGGGCAGGTGATGAATGACCCCCTCTGGCGCGTTTTAGTTGAGGTCCTGTTTCCATAATTTCGACAGAAGGGCTATGTTTCCGTTTGGTTGATCTTGACTGTGCGCGTGTCGATTTAGGTTTGGGCTCGGCTTGTTGCTTAGCTTTGGTTCGTATCTCTGGAGACGGTCGGTGGGCAACCGCGCCTGTAGGTTTTGGCTTGCCTGCACGTCCTGTGTAAAAGATTTCAGTGATCTCAGCGATGCGACGGGGGGCAAACATACGCGGTGGCCCGGTCGGATAAAAACTCTCATCAACATGAAACAGACTGAGATCTTCGATATCACGCCCATTGGTACTCGATCGTGCCCAGAATTGGTCAAGGATGTCTTCGGATCCCTCGAAGGATTCTTTTGGCTCCCATCTTGAATGCGAGTAAGAATATGAATGCACGGAAAGGGAACGGGACGCATACGTGCTCTCCTCGCTGCTATACCCTTTCCACTGAACAGTACCTTAAACATCCATTGAAACAGATGAAGGCGATACACGAACCTTGACGCGATATTGCTATGGCGAAAGTCCTGTTAGCCAACGGGAGCTCAATCAACGGCGTATCTGCGCACCCATATCAATTGCTTGCTGCGGACAGATTTTTTCGCGACTCGCGCCAGCAAAACTGACTCTAAAAATACTATGAGAGCGACGCCGCGCCTCGGAGATGCATGGGGACTCACCAACTTCATACTCCTGCTCGTCGGCAGTCATGGCAATGAAGAGAGAGTGGCGGTGCAGTAACCATCGGAAGCTAATAGGCACAAATAGAATGTGTATTGATTAGGGGCTCTAGATGGGACCAAGATCACCGGCATCATCGTAGTTGGAGCTATATAAAACTTGAATGGGCATTAACAGTGTGTCTTAACTACCATGAGTGAGACAAATCCGCCCCTTCAGCCTGAGCCCCAGCATCAGTCGAGTCCTCCACAGCCGCCGCCCGTGTATTCGGGGCAGCAGCCACCCCCACCACAACAACCACTTCCACCACCACAACAAGCGGCCTTCAACCTGCAACCTCCGCCGCAACCTCCTTCAAAAACACCGGCACAGATTGGTGACGAGTATCGCTCAGCACGTTCGTTTTCATTTCGGTGGATCTCCCGTTGTCTCATGCTTCTATTATTGTCAGTGTATGCCCAGTGTGCCGCTGGTGTGCACGACCCAACAACGAAGTTTGGGATCTGTGGTATCATAACAGCTGTAGTCTGTTTTCCCATTGGCCTAATATGTTTATTGTACGTACGCTTGGATTCTGCACGTCCGTACCACCGCTCACTTCCTGAATTAACAGCGTTGATACTGAGCAGAAATGCAGCAGATGCGGCATTAAACTACGCTAGATCAGTGTACATCACGACGTACCAGTGTAACTGAAGGGACAAACATATTTATACGATTTGTAGTATTACGAAGGTACCGTCGTTGACCAGTAGGTGTCGGGTTGTAGACACAAAGGACTCCATCAAAGAAATTGCAAGATATGTGCGATATGTACTGCAAGATCAACAAAAATGCACCGTAAAAACTCCGTTAAACCATCCTCTCCAAGATTTTGCCCGCAATCAAACACTGCTTCATCCACTGCCAGTCTACTACATTCGTCGAACCCTTCAAGTTCGGATCGTTCGGCTTTTGATCCTTGTAAACCACGTAATCCGCCAGTCGCAACGCGTCATTGCTAATCTGGCAACGAGGATTCTTCCTGTACGCTTCCACACGTTGGGCACCCATGGCCAGCATGATCAATGGACAAAAAGTTAGCGCTTTACGATCCTTCTCCCGATCACTCTGAGTAAACGTCAGCAAGCACGAACTGCATTAAGAATGAAAAGACCACCTTACCCGCGTTTGCTTTGGGGGGAAAAAATCCTCGCTGTAGCAGATGACTCTCTTTCTTTCCAGCAACTTCATAGCGACAGGGTTCGCCATAATGTTCTCCATTTTAACACTGTGATCTGTTCCCCATTCCAGATTGATCATCTGGGATACAAGTGGTCCGTCAAAACGATATCTTCCTGCCTCAAGCAAATGAGAACTCCAATCCAGCACTTCGTTGGCCTCGAGCGATTCCTCAATCCATCGGAATCTGACACAGGGGACACCGAGAGCTAAAGCAAACAGATACTTGGGCTTCTCGCTGTGCTGATCCGCAAGAAGGAATACCCGTTCGACAGACGACAGTCTCCACTTCGCATCGCTATCCTTGATGACCCATTTGTTCGTCGTGATATGCGTTCCATCAAGTTCTATAGCGTTAGTCCAGTCAGGGATAACCTTCCCGCCTGCGTTCTTGATGCGGCTGGAGAAAGAATCCCTTTTCGATTGATCCTCGGAGCAACTCAGGACGAAGCCGTAACCGGAAAAGATCCCGACTGTACGCTCATTCCATGAATTCTTGAGGACTGTCGGGCTGATTCGAAGCGCAGTCATAGCTACCTCCCTCACTTCCCCTTCTTTATCATCAACAAACTCGATGCACTCCCGTTCCTCGAATATCGTACGAACATTTCCTCCAATAAGAACATCTGGAATGGTATCATGGACGATAGAAACACAGTCGCCAGCACGAAGCTCGGCAAATGACCGTACGAGCTTGGATCGAATGCTTTTATTTTCGCCATCAAACCGAACCCATAGATCCTCACCAACCTCCTCCTCGAAGGTCGCGGGATAACAAAGGTTGTCGTGAACAGCGAAGACGCGATCCCCAAGATTAAATCCTGAATGGGTCACAGTTGATATAACTGAACGACTGCGCTTGGACTTTGATAAATCTCCGCATCTCGATGACAGAGAGACGGCTCTCGATAAATCAGTGTCTCCCCGCTTACGCTTGCGGTTCAAAGTACCTGACAATGCGCTGTCATCAGGTTCGACTTCGGGTTTGGTTTCATCGACATCCATTTCATCACCGCTCAACTCCGAATAATCGCGCTTCCGAAGGCCCCGAAGATTGCGTATTCGAGATGTTGATTGAAGCTCTACAGATTTACCTTTGCCTTTATTACGCATAGCATGTGGCTCCATAGAAGCAGTCATCTCTTCAGGGATGGAAGATGGAACTTCCCCCTCTTTATATGATAAGTGCGGTCCGGCCTTGGCTTTACCTCGAGCCCGTGCAGCGGGAGTGGCAGTGGCCGGAGGAGTCAGTGTACCATGTGTGTTGTTACGCAAAGGTCTCTGGCAAAATAATCAGTATTTTGTAAAACGAAGGAAGTAACACAAACCTTGGATGCCGGAGTGACGTCGGCCCGTCCTTTCCCTTTGTCCTTGATGTCAGATTTCAGTGCGAGGGGAACATCATCCGATGAGTCCTCTTCTTCCTCTTCTTCACGCCTCAAATCAATCCGAGTTTGCGCCAACGGCACTTGGGCCAAGTCTACAGCTAACGAATCGGGCACTACCTCGCCAAAATCGTCCTTCGCAATGGCCTTCGTTCGCAGAATATGTGTTGGAACCTTCAGAAAGGGGCGACACTCGCCTTGAAGCTCTGAGTCGGGGACTACATCCATAGAGTCATCCACGATGTCAGTTTGAAATGCTTTTCTACGAGTATTGGCTAGCATAGCAGCTCGACGGCGTATTTCTTCTTCGTCCTTGTTGGACGGTTGGGTCTCCACGATATCATCCATAGTGCCTACAGCTGAAGACATTGTCGGATTGAGGGTAGAAGGGGGTAGGCTGGATTTGTAATCGTCAGGATCAAAGTTGTTCAGATCAAGTCCTGGAATATCCATGTGTACCAAATAACGACGACATTTTTCTGGACCTGCAGATTGGATGATGAGGTGAATTTTACCGTAGAGGTGTGGATCTGTCACAACGGATGAGTAACCGGTAGCGACAGTGCCCAGTGCCAAGCTGTCGTCAACCTGGGTAGAAGGTTGGGTAGCAACCTGAGTCGCGGGTTGGGTTTGCTCCTCCAACTGGGTGGTCCAATCTGCCGAGGTGCCATACGGACTAGGCGAAGAATGAAGAGCATCTGAAACAGGTGGAAGATCGATGTCCATATCAACGTTATGGCGATTCCGGGTCCTGAGTGGCTCCTCATTGACATCCTCATCTATATTTTCATACTCATCTTCTGGACGAGGCTGAGCTCCTACTATGAACGCGTCACTGCTATCCTCGGATCGTTGACTTGAATCCAGTGAGTGCTGAGGCTGCTGAGAAGGCGACCGTGAACCGCCCGAGAGTGAGGGGGTAGCTTCTACCAAGACTTTAGCGACGCGCTCCGGATTGTACGACACGTAGGCTGAAGGATGCGCTGCGAACATCTTAGATGATTCTCCTGGTGCTGAAGTTGCAGGTGGCTGAGGAACCTTGGATTCCGTTGGTTTGTGCCAAGCCCCGGTATCAGGTAGAAAAGTCAAGAAAGAGTCTTCCTGGACGACTTTGCTACGTGATTTACGAGGAGAAGTGGCTGGAACAGAGTGCGACGCTCTAGGTGGAGTGAGTCCAAGTGAACGTCGATTGGGAGTGGCATGGCCTGAGATAGTGGCAGCGTGAGGGGATCTGAAGGTAATGCCCCTTGTCTACATACAAAGGCGTCGTTAAAAAGAGATGATTCATCGCTTTATTCGTACCTTCGTCATATCTGGAGAGGTGCCTACGTAGGATGCCTTTGTTCCCCTTGCTTCTACGCTATTCATAGACGTCGGTGAGGGGCTCAATGCCTGTACGAGGACTGTTTTAGGCTCCATGATGGCTTCGGGTACACTTAGGTTCTCTTTCTGTGACCCATCGTTGAAATCGTAGAAGTCATTGTTTACTTGACTTTCTGATTGCGTCTGCGTGTTTCCCAGGCCATGTAAATGATAGGTTGGGGTGGGGTAGGGTGAAGTTCGAGAACAGTCGGAGGACATTTCCTTGCCGGAGGCATGAGTGTCATCATGGTTGGAGGATGTGTTGATGTCTTGGCAGCCATCGAGGACGTTAAAGGCCAAGTTGGCCTCAACATTGTCGCTGCTTGAAGACCGGTCCGAAATTAGACCTGGTGAGCCAGTTATACCAGAGTGAACGCACCTGTTACCGCCCATGCTGCACGTGAGGTTGAGTTACGCGTCGAATCACACAGGAACAGCGGTGAAAACGAATACAAAGGCCGGTCTAGATGAAAAAGAACTGGTCAGTCTTGGGTGCCGTAACTTGGTGAGTTGCGGTCCGTACTGAAAGCAACGGAATGACGGCACCTAGTTCCAGACCAAATCGATGATACAGCAAGACGGTAGCGTTGAATGGTTAGAGTAATATGAAGTATGAGTAAATGGTGCAAGAACAAGATGTCTGAACAGTTTTAGGAGGAGCGAATATTGACTTTGCACCTGTTTGCTCACATGATAGACGCGTCGGGAACACAGCCACAGCGCCATCACTTGTTGGGTCAGTTTAATATCTTTCCTTCCTTAGAGTCGCTCTTTTTGCCGCGCTGGTCGTTATGCTCGTCATTATCAATACTTCAATGACACCTTTTGGAAATTCGCCCAAGCAGCGACTTCGTTCTTCTCGCAGGTCTCGCACGCAGGTCTCTACTCCTCTTCCGTCCTTCTCCAATGTCAATCGCAGAAGCCGCCTACTCAAGGTACGCGAAAGAAACGAACCAGACGATCCTACTCCTACAAAGAAGAACCATGACAATGATGAGAAGGATAAAGACGAGAAGAAGCCGTCTGAGAAACCAACAAAAAGCACGGATAAGGCTGCGCACGAGTCTGCCGAAGTTCTTGCAGAAGAGGCTACCACTGTACCCATTCCTATCCCTGTCACAGGAACTCATGCTTCCGTTTACTCCATTGGATATAACCCTGACTATACGTTCTCTTCTACCCCCCAGCCTCGTCCTAGTTAACCGACTGCCAGTCCCAAAATAACTCTTCCTGCCTTTGTTCCCCTACTGCCGCTTCCAATTGCCCTGCTGGAAAAGACTTCTTCTGTGTCTTGCACCACTTTTCCGGTGTCGAGACTGTGGGGACGTCTCCTCAATCACAACCTGCAGCGCAGTTGCACAAAGGTCTTCTTATTGCCATCATTGCTACTCTTGCCGTTGGTTCTGCATTCGTACTTGTTGGTATCTTCATCATCGTCAGGGCTTGTTTACGCCCTAGGCGACGAACAAGACCGAAACCTTCCCTTCCTATCTTGGCTGACCCCTACGCAGACGATCAATCTTTTGATATCAAGGAGAAGGATTCTCCTGTCTTTGGTGGAAAAGAGAGATTCTCATCGCAGAACGGTATCTGGACGCTAGCAATCTATCCTCTGACTGATACGTTACCTACACCGGCTCAAGCAGCAGGGATGACGAGAAAACTAGACGACGACAATCCTCTATATGATCACAATGCACTCTCATCTCATTCACAATGGCCACAACTTTCTAATGCCATTCACCGGTCCCAGCTTCCTTCTTCTCATCCTATGCATTCTCAGACTGTGCCTATGCTAGTCCTTCCCAAAGCAGCACCGCCTTATCAGGCAGTTCGCAGATTCTTCACAGCTCGTTATCACTGTACTCTCAGTCGCCTATCAATGCCCAAGATATCGGCATAGCATCGGCAGCAGCAAAGCGTTTACTGCGGATGGCTACGCCGTTATGAAACGCACCCCAAAAGCTGCGCTACGATGAAGTAAAAGTGATGTACTAGTCAAGATGGAGCTATGATGATGCTGATGTGACCTCTCCCAAGTTCACCCCGCATTTCTTAGAGGCGCCATCGGCGCCGGTCGCTGTAGGTCGCAGTCGAATCCTATTACACGCCAGGCTCTTATCCTCGCATCTCTACTATTCCCTCCACCTCTTCAAAGATTCGCGCAGAGGACGTGGACTCTTTTGCATCCCAGAAGCTGCCACCTCTTTGTAGGTCTGATTCTTGTTGGAACCGTGATACGAAAGCATTAGCATCTGCTGCCGGGCTGACGTCACCATTTCTGGACCGCATGCCTCGATCTCCACAGCCAACGATATACCCAGATGATTCGCTCAGTGTGGTTGACGCAAAAGCAAACGAGCCTCCAAAAAGTCCAAGCATTCGTTGGGAGGCGATGAGTTCCAACTTCAACCTGTAGGCGGGTTCCAGACGTCAAAGGAAGTGGATACAAGCGCACTGGGGACTATGATGCTCAATATGGACTTTGGAGCCACGAGAAAGTCTTTGGCGACGCTTGCGGGATGAGTTGGGGAAATATGCTGATACTATGTCGGGTTCCAGCGGAACGCTCTTGGGAGCGCAGTCAAGAGGAGCACCAGACAAGCCGTCTCGGGTGCGGTCCCCGCCGCCACTACCTTCCCTGACACAACACGCAAATCCGGAGACTTATGCGAATTACCGGAGCCCGACTTACAGTATCTTTGGGCTGTACGAGGACGAGAAAAAAAGTATTATTACCAGTAAATACTATAGTTTTATAATCCCAATGAGGTTATAGTTTGATAATTTAATTTCCTGAATTCATTTCCATGGAGTAACCGTTGATACGAAGCTATGCATGTAGATAGGGGTCTCGTAAATTTGAGGCTGCAGCCAAATACGACAGAGGCTGTCCTGATTGCAACCCTCTTCTTCTCCTGCACAGTGGACTTGCTCTCCCTTCACCTTTTCTTCCTACTCTCTGGTGGGGTCGTCGTCATCATCATCATCATCATCATCGCTGGACGTGTTTCCTCCATTTCCAACTATCCGATAATGTCCCAGCACCCCAATGCCCTCAAAATCAACATTGACACCGATTCTAAGCACGACCACGACACCGAGAACCAAGTCGTCGCCAGTGATGCTGCGGCGCCGTCTGTGCCCTCTTTGTGGGGTGTCCCTCTAAAATATATCTCGTACGACTTCTCTCCTTTTAATGCCGCTGATGCTCACTGTCAGGCGTCGCGTGCAGCCTGGTGACGCTGGCCGTCCAGAATTCCGCGTTAACGATTATCATGCACTACTCGAGAGTGTCTACACCTCCATCCCAGGTCTATTCAGCTGCCACCGCCGTACTGATGAATGAAATCCTGAAGGGCGTGATCTCCCTCATCTTCGCGTTTTCGCGCATTGACGCCTCCTCACCTCTCTCAATCCCCGTACCCTTCAACCCAGAGCCCCCAAAGCCCCGTTTCTTACGTTCCTGTACACCTTCTTTGCTTCTCGTCCGTGTCAAGAAGCTTTGTGCAGAGTTGTTCAGTCCGGATTGCTGGAAGCTTTCCATTCCTGCTATCCTATATGGTTCGTTGCGTGCTTTTGTTACTGTGCCTTCCATTCTGAATGAGCCCCTAGTCATCCAAAATAATTTGCAATACGTAGCAGCCTCGAATTTGGAAGCAGCCACATTTCAAGTTAGCTACCAGATGAAAATCCTTACAACAGCCGCGTTTTCCGTTATGATGCTCCGGAAAAGGCTGCTATCCACTCAATGGATTGCCCTCCTTTTCTTGGCCATTGGCGTCGGCATCGTTCAAATTCAGACCGGTGCATGCAAAGATGACGCCTCCGCTGTTGACGCTCACTCCATGAATGCTACCAAGGGCTTCCTAGCGGTCGTAGCCGCCTGTTTCACTTCGGGGCTTGCTGGCGTATATTTTGAGATGGTTCTCAAAAACTCTCAGGGTGACCTTTGGGTCAGGAACGTCCAATTATCATTATTCTCCTTGCTTCCATGCATCGCGCCCATCATTGTTTCCAGCTCCGGCTCCGGCTCGAACTTCGGCTCTGTGTCTGCCCTTTTCCACAACTTTGGTCCGTGGGCGTGGGCGACTGTAGGCGTCCAGGTTCTTGGTGGCCTAGTCACCGCTATGGTCATCAAATACTCGGACAATATTCTAAAAGGATTTGCGACCAGCCTCAGCATTGTCCTCTCTTTCCTCGCGTCGGTGGCTTTATTCGATTTCCACATCACATTTACCTTCATGTTGGGTTCAGCTATTGTCCTGAATGCGACATGGCTGTACAACCAACAACCGCGGAGGGTCGGGTTGGGTGTGTCTAGAGATACTAAGACATGGTCAGCATTGGGCTGGAATGAAAAGCGGCTGATAGTTTATCGCTCGCCTTCCGTTCCGACCCTCGGGTCTGGGATGTTTTCTTCGACAACGTCTCGGTGTTCCTCCGTTGCCTCACTTTCGTCATTATCAGTCAATAATGTTCCGTTGGCGGAATCGGACCTCTAGGATGATGGCATCCCACAGTATATACTTCGCATTCACATACAATACATATACACATACACCTTGCATACACCCGGAAATTTCGACTTTCTTGCCAATTCTGGCGTGTTCATGATCTTATACCCGGAACTTTACCTTTATCTATGGCGACTAGTAACTTATACAGTACTTGGATTTGTAATAACGGACACTACTTATTCTTAAATCTTCATTTTTCGGACTCATTGGACTAGTCAAAAATAGTTGTGATTCAAAACATGGGACCCTTCCGACTGCTCCTACTGCTCCTACCTGTTGACGATGGTGGTCGGACTGGAGCACCACCATCTATATACGACGAGAAAGTAGAACTCAATTCACTTTTCGATTTGTATTTTTTCGGCCTCGGAGTGGTCAAGGTTTCTCCAGACATACTCGATGATGAATCGTCTTCTTCAGCTCTCCTCATCAATTCAGGGGAAGGAATCACTGGTCCAGAATTAGGCCTCGGAGTGTTACTTCGATCGCCATAGTCGCCTGGCATGTTGCGATATGTTTGCGTCGAACCAGAAGGCAAAGGCGCAAAGCTGGAGGGTAGGGGCGTGAAAGTCTGGGCAACGAAACCCGGTGGAAGATCTGACACAGGCTGCGGATTGTTAATAATGGGAGTCTTACTTTGAGGAATGAAACCCGGTGGAAGACCCGTGCCTGGTAAATCAATCACGGGGGTAGCGCTCCGAGAAACAGAATGAGGTGGCGACAGTGGTTGCGGTGTAGACGATCGCGAGGCCACGTTGGAGAGTGTGGTTCCATGAGAAACCAAGATGGGAGGGAAAACCTGTGCAGGCGGAGGAATAGGGCTAGACCTAAGTGCGTCGTCAGCACTGAGGAAGTTGCCCTCTGACTGGGCATCCGGGGGGCTCCCAGAAGGCGACCGGGACTTGTTTAGAGGTGAGAATTGCCAAAAAAAAAAGATACACATATATTTAAACGCACCGGGCTTCGGAAATCAAAAGTAAAAGTACCACCCTCACTCCCACTTTCACTCTGGTCCTCCTCGTCGTTATCGTCGTCATCTTCCAATGAGAGGGTTTTTCGTGTAGGCGAATCAGGGTCGAAACCCGCCGCCCATGAAGACACTGGTATGTTCAGAGGAGTATGTGAACTTTGCAGGTAGATATTCTGTGTCGGGTGAGGGGGTGGTACTTGATATATTGATCCCCCTGGACCGTGTCTCTTACTGCTTAGTATGTCCAATTCGGATATAGCAGTCGGCGTAGAGTCCTGAGACCGACGTCGGAGTATCATTGGTTCGGGTAATGGAGCAGGAGTGGGTCCAGCCACAAAGCCGGGCAGAGGAACGACAACAGGTTCTTCACTATCTTCTGGGATGACCGGAAGTGGCGGCACAAATGCAGTCCCTGGAGTAGGGGGTCGGGGTGCAAGCTCATGAGGAGAAGGGAGCCTAATGACAGAATCCCGACTTGTCTCTGGAATAAATCCTTCGGGTGGGACATCAACGTAGGGTTGAGGTGAGGGCATAGCAGGATGAACTTGCGTCGCGTCTACCAGTTCACTGGGTTGGGCTGGCTCGGGGAGAGGGAAAGGAATAGGCGGTGATGGTTGTTTCGTAGAAGGTCCTGGGAAATTTGAGCTGGACTGTTGTCTCGAAGAAGACTGATACCGGAGGTCGTCATAGATCGAAGTACTGCTTGAAGAAGACTCTGATCTGTCAGAATCATCTTCACTGGAGCGAGTAGCATCTTGAGCAAACAGACGGGCCCTCTGTATTCCTTCGACGAAACCTCTTTGACGGCCCTCTTCAGTAGCCTTCAATATTTCTTTCTCCAAATGCAGCTTATGGGCGATTGCTCTGATTTCTTGAGCATCCTCTTCGGCCTGGTTACGCTGTCTTTCAACGGCCTTCAGGAGTTCTTGAGCATTTGCTATCTCCACTTGAGCCATTTCTAGTGCATTCTTATGTAGTCTAGACTCTGATCAGTGGATGTGTGTTGATAATTAGAAAAAGACACACTGTAATTCCTGCTTAGCCTTGGCAGCCTCTTGAACTGCAGCCACCTTTTCCTGGTACAAAGCCTTGAAACGGACAACAACCTCTTTCAAATCTCGGTCGGCATCATCTGCGCGCGTGCGCTCTGCGTGCAATTCATTCCGCAATGCTTCAATCTCGAGTTTTTGACTGTTGTAAAGCTCCAAGACGTCGCAAGACACACGAGCTGCACGCTCCGCACGTTCCCGTCGACTATCCGTAGATCGTCTGGAATTCCGACGCGTATAATTTACAGAGAAGTCTTCTGGAACTGGCAGCGACTGGAGCTTCGGCTGTGGTAGAGGAATCAGAGATGCTGTAACGCTGCTGTTTTCCCCGGCCTGAGAGAAGGGCATAATCTTAAAGGAATGTTAGAAGAAATGCATGTATTAACAGATAATAAAGGAGAAAAACATACCAGCTCGTTACAGGTTCATGAAGGAACGTGGATAACATGAGTTTGGTTGAAGTTGGGATCCCGGCTCACATAGCAGCCGATACGCGTCGTTTACATAACTCGGAAAATCGGTCCGGACACCGAAGTGGTCAATAATTTCAGCGAAATCCAAATAATTATCAGTACAAATTGTAGGTGTCAAATCAATGTACCGAGTGGCACATCCTATTCGTTGTCATAGCCTAGGTTCTACTGGCCAATTCTGTTTGTCACATCACTACCCCCTTGCTTCGAGACCCCGTTTTATAGCTGGAATTCAATCGTTGATATCAAATCACCTACCGTTCAAATCAGGAAGATCTCTCACCTTCACATGTATCCTTGGCGTCGCCGAAAAGCATCTTCGTTCCAGGCATGAAGAACATTGGGTTTGGAACGTCAGCTAAAAGTAGTTAATACAAGTATATAACACAGACACAGTATCGGCTCACCGTAACCACTGGACATTCCCCTCTTCATGACGATGACCTGCTTGCTCTTCCAAGCATGCAAGACGGGCATACCCTATCAAGTGTCATTTTATCGGTCTATTGCAACATTTCGGCTACTTCGCTTACCGCAATAGCTGAACCGGGCTCAAGTGCGATCGGATTTACAGTGTCATTGGCGCCTATCACCAAAGTAACATCGGTATCCTTGAAGTCGTCGTTGATCTCGTCCATTTCCAAGACAACTAACCTGTAGATCAGAGACTGGCTTCGGGTCAAAAGGTTGCATTAGCTTACTATCGTAGGGAACAGCTGCCTCTGCAAGGAGGACGTTACACTGCCCCGGCATTCTTCCTGAGGACAGTAAGCAATAGTCAAGATTTTCGATTTCAATGGATTACACTCACCGGCCACGGGATGGATCGCAAACTCAAAAAAGTATCAGATATCAACTCGGCCATACCACAAGAGCACTCTCACCCGAACATTAACTCCTTTCGCCCGAAGCAATGAACAAATCTCGGAGATGGCATATTGTGCTTTGGCTACAGCCATTCCATAACCAACCACCTACAACTATAAGCTTTGGAATCAACCAATTTATGGATGAGTTACCAATATCACGTTGTCGGCATTATTCAATGCCTCCACCGTATCATCGACGTTAGTTTTGGTTATCACGCCTTCGATCTTTTGAGCTTCGAACGATGGCGCAGTAGAGCCAATACCGCCAAACAGAACATTCGTTAACGAACGATTCATCGCAACGCACTGCCAGAAGTTTAACACTTTGACAACAGAGATAAACGCTATCCGTACCATGATGTATGAAAGAATAGAACCGCTGACGCCAATAAGCGATCCTACCGTCGTCAGGAGTGAATTATCCAACATAAAGCCTACCCTGGTGTTCAGAAAAGGAAGTGCGGACAGGTATCAACGAAACTAACCCTCTGCAACTAGCGCGAATCCAGAATATGAATTGAGTACGCAAATGACGACGGCTACAATGCCTGATGTCAGTCTTTGATTCATCCATGAACGAAGACGTACGTACGCATATCGGCACCACCGATGGCGGCAGTGGTTGTAAACCCTTGAACAAAACTAAGTAGCGTACTTAATCCGAGATATGAGGCGGCTACGACGGGTGCAGCAGGAGCCATGGTAACAAAACCTGCCTAGGAACATCGTTAGTTTCATTGGATCATATTGGACCAGCGAAGCCCCACCATAGTCAGCGCATTGGCACCAAGAATGCCACTGTTAATCAGGTGCTTTTTAGGCAGAGCCAGCGGTTTCGAACCCATCCGTCCTGCCAGCTTCATGAAGGCGACAATAGATCCAGTGAACGTAATTCCACCTAATGAAATAGTCAGCGTAGACACGTCTAACATGAAACAACTACCATACCAATGACGACACCCAAGTAAGCAGTCACAAGATGAAGGGTTGATACATCAGTGAGGTCGGCCATTACACTGGCAATACTCGTCATGACTGCGGCGAGACCAACTACACTATGGAGCATAGCGACCTGTGCCGATCTATAGTAAGCACAAGATATTGGTAAAGAAGAGATAATTACCATCTGCGGCAGCTCAGTAGCAGTTATTCTCTTGCCAATGAGCGTACCGATAGTTCCACCGATCGCAGCCACGGTGGTAAATTGCGCCAACACCTCAAGAGGAAAGCCGACTGCAGCCAACGACGCGAGAATTCCGGAACCAACACCTAACATTCCAAGAGCATTGCCTTGACGAGCTGTGGCTTGGGAGCCGAGACCAGAAAGAGATCCTAAAATATTTGTCAGTAAATGCATTCTATATATAAGGAGGGAAATACCTATGCACAGAACGCTGCTAGCCAGATACCCAGCTTGAACAAGACCGCCCATTCCGGTGCTTGCAGCAGTCAAAAATCCTCCTGTAAACACGACAGCAGGGATGCCATAGAGCCAAGAGTATTCCGGTGGGTCGGTCGGCCCTAAAGAGACGTGAAATATTTGCATCACGCTACAAGTACCACTTCTGACTTACGTTTAAACATATCCAGCATGCGCTTTGTTATGATAAAACCACCTGCGACATTGACACTAGCCAAAAGCACAGACAAGGCACCAAGTGCTTGAGGAATAGTGCCAGGGAAATATCCTCCACCCATCACAAAAAGTCCACCGATACCGACCATTCCGGATATAGCGTTCGTCACGGACATCAATGGAGAGTGCAGTGCGGGGGCAACGTTCCAAACGGTTCTGAGATATTCACTCAGTTTGTGCGACAGAACATCAGGGAAGTCACCAAACCTGTATCCAACCAATCCAGCCAGTCCGAATGTGAAGAAATTGTCCATAAAGGAAACACCTGTGGCCTTGCCGAGCGCGACAACACCTCCCATTCCAGCAGTTACTGTTGCAACCTCACGAGCTGCTTTCTGGAACGGGGTGATAGCCTTTGTAGCGGCAATTTCTTCAGCTTTTTCATTTGTAGGTGGGGCCACAGGAGGAGGCAGTGTTCGAGGAACGGGAGGCAAGATTTTTCCACCGTGCACTATAATAGACCCACGTACGACTTCGTCTTCAAGGTCAATCGCAAATTTCCCATCACCAGGACCAAGAGAGAGCAGGAACTTAGTGATGTTATTAGAGTAAAGAGTTGAAGACTGTGTCGGTAACCTGGAGGGTAAATCCGTGTAGCCTAACGGAAAGCTAAGGATGAAGAAATGGCAATTCGAGATGCTAGACTCACCGATGATTTTGACGCCGTTTTGAACCATCAATTCACCAGGTTTCGTCGCCTCGCAGTTACCTCCAGCTTCGGCTGCAAGGTCAACAATCACCGACCCTTGCTTCATGGCAGCAATCATTTCGTGGGTTATCAGTTTGGGTGCAGGCTTCCCAGGAATTAAGGCCTAGGCAGAATAATAACATCTCAGCATTTAAAATGGATGGGTTTGAGGATATCGTCCTACCGTCGTGATTACGATGTCGACATCTTTACATTGCTCCATGAAGAGAGCCATTTCCGCTTCGATGAATTCCTTCGACATGACTTTTGCGTAGCCGCCACCGCCACCGCCCTCCTCATTCACTGGCACTTCGATGAACTCCGCGCCAAGTGACTGAACTTGTTCTCTTGCTGCAGAACGCGTGTCGAAGCCTCTAACAATAGCACCCAGACGTCTAGCCTTTCATCATCGGCAAAGAACAGGTCAGACTATCTGTGTACTATATCAATGAACTCACAACGTACAGTTGCGATCGCACTTAATCCTGCAACTCCGGCGCCGATTACAAGAACCTTTCCTGGGGGTATCTATGGCTCTATGAATTATGTCAATGCGTAATTGAATCCAGGGTCGATTTACCTTCCTGTTGACGCATAAGCGAAAGGTGACAAATGGAGTAAAATGACTCCTACCCAGCCGCAGTGACTTGCCCAGTCAAAAATCTACCAAAGTGATTGGAAGCCTCTAAAACAGCCTTATAACCAGCGATGTTTGCCATAGAACTAAGTCACGTCCGTCGAGTACGAGGGGACGCAGTCTTGACGATAACATACCTCAAAGCATCGAAAACCTGAGCGCGAGAAATACGAGGTACCATATCCATCTACGCCACGTATGAATAATAAGACGGCTCTGAAATGTGGTGACTCACAGCGAAAGCATTTACTTTCCGAGAAGCAAGCAAATCCACAATGTCTTTATTTTGTGTCGGATATAAGAAAGAAATGACCGAGCTTCCTTCTTTGAGAAGATTTGCCTCTTGATCTAGCAAGGGTGGCCTCACTTTGAGCATTATGTCCGAAGCTTTAAACACTTCCTCCCGTGAAACCAGCGTAGCTCCAGCAGAAGAGTATTGTTCATCGAGGAACTGGGCTTCTGCTCCTGCATTTCGCTCCACAAGCACATTTGAAAATCCTTTCTTCTTGAGCAAAGCAGCATTTTGTGGCGTAAGAGCGACCCGTCGTTCACCAGGATAAATCTCACGTGGGACGCCGACGAAGAGTGATCCATATGGTGTCAATGACGATGAGCGGGTGAGGGATGAGTGAAAATAGCGGTAATCTGACCAGGACCGTGATTATCAAGAGCATCAGAGCGAGCAACAACCTGCACCGTGGCACGCACCATTAACCTGCTTGAGCTGTCTGGAGAGACAACAGCGCACAAGGTGCCAATTAGCCGTCGAGGGCGTCGAGTAGAGCATCGTTCGCGCGCCCTTCGTCGTTAAGGGCGTCGAGTGTCAAGGAGCAATCAGACGACGTGGATGGTAACTGGAATGCTCGAGAACTCGAATCGTGACTCTGCTTCGACGCGACTCGGCCTTTGAAGCCGAACGGATACTCGGCCCGAAAATCAGAGCTATTTCCCCGCGTTCGCTTGTATATATATACCATCATGGTACCTACGGCTGGCGGTAATTTAAAAGAATTTAAAAGGAAAATGCCAACGGCCTGCTACATTGACGGTCCATGTGTGTAACATTGATTCAACATACATACCGTGTGATATTGGGACTTTAAATTTCGGAACAGAACAACGCAGGAATCTCGACTTGTAACTGTCACATGGTGCCTCCCCGATGAACTCTACTGCCTATCGACGATTTGTTCCTTGAAGGTAAGTAATAAGTAATGAATGCTCTGCTCTCGTTCAAGATCCCGGACCTTGAAGAATGGAAGTGCATGTAGTCACACGACGCTTATCCGTTGAACTGCTGATCACTAGTCATGCTAACGCAAATCCAAAAATACGCAAGTGCACTCTTCAAGATATAACGATAACAGCAATAGTACCGTCGACGTCTCTACGTAGATAGATGGTGCCACGTAATAGTCGTCAAATCCGTCAGCTCACTGTTCCCGTAAAATGTAAGGGATGCAGAAAATCAGCCTCATAACTACGCCTTGGCTTTACCACTAATCTCGCGTTCCAGCCTCACGATGTCTTGGGTATGAGGGTGGTCCCACAATGCTTGTGCAGCGCCGGCTTCCATGGGAGGAAGAGGCTTGCGAGGCACTCCACCATATCCATAAAGTTTCTCAATCAAGAACTTTGTACCAGCGATTGAAGCCTTCGCGATGGTGAAGTCAGCCCGAGCAATGATTCCTTGCAATCGCAGCGCTTCAGGAAGTAGCGACGAATCCTGCTTAGACGCTACTGTTACCGACCAGAGCTTCGCTATGGCGTGCTAAATCTGCGTTGAGTATATGTCCCGTGATGGGAGGGTGAACGGATCTACCGGAGCAACGTTTGCTAGGCCAGTAATGGCGCCGTGTCCGTCGGCGTAAAAGGAAGGGACAAGGAAGTCGGTAAATCCTCCCAACACAAGGAAAGGTGCCGCAGCATTCTTGCGAGGATGGTTCAATGAGAACTCTGGCCCTGACACAGATGCAGCAATTCTAGTCAGTTTGCCAACGTTTCCGCAGCTAGAATTTATCAATGATCAGTTGACGAATGCTGCTGACAAGGTAGAAAACCTACGTCAATTTGACTCCACAGAGGTTGGGAGACTCTTCTGCGAGTTCTGTTATCAAGTCTGAATCGACATCAATTCCGCCACTAGCACCAGGATCTAGGTAAAAACCCGTTGGACAGGTGGACGATACCAAACATCGATGACTTACAATTGTATATCATCACCGGAATAGGACTCTTTGCAGCGACTTCCGTCCAGAAAGCCTTCAAAGCCTTCTTGTTATTTCCATAAGCTCCAGCAAAGTAACCGCTTGCGATAACGATTGAGTAATCCGCGCCGGCAGCAGCAGCTTCGTTCGTGAGTTCAACAGTCTCCCTCGTGCTTCCAGCGCCTGCTCCAACGATTATCGGGACCTGAGTGAAGCCTGCAGCATCCAAAGCACTACGAGCGGCCTTAACGATTCTGACGCGCTCAGCATGGGATAGATGAATGGCTTCACCCATGGAACCAGCAATGAGAGGGCCAACTCCGGCAGTAGCGACCCGAACGACATGTGCCTCAAGGGAGGGTATATCTAGGAGAATAGATGACGAAGATAATCGCTGCTGTAAAACAACGCTGCCCACCAAGATCCTCGGAATCAGGAAGAAAAAAGGTAGGAACGGGAGCGTAAATCCCCGGGGTCAGAGGTCGAGTAGCACTGATGTAGATGCCATTGGAACCGTTTGCAGCCATTGAAGCGGGAACCAGTAGGGAGGTGTAATCGCATCCTGGAAAGACGTACTATATAAACCACAGCCGGCAAATAAGGGGAGCGCCCCACTTCAAATCGGACCGGAATTACCGGCCCGGTTTTTCGCCGGCCCGCTCTCGGGGAGACTTGCCGCTTCCAGCGGGACGGCCTGCAACAGTTCGAACAAGAAACTTTGTTCCAGTTCAGTCCATATCTAAGTGGGCATTATCAGGACGTCATCAGGGTGCGTCTTCTCGACGTTCCGGTCCTTCTTACTACCCTTTCAGACTCGTGAAATTCCAACCTGTCATGACCCATCAAACACGGGGACACCCCAATTCACATTACATGTCGCTCAAACCGAGATATTCCCCGGATTGTATATAGGGGGGACTTTAAAAGATACGCTATACAGTCTCCATGGAATGACTGTGTCGCCGAGTCAGGGAGTTCCTGGTACCTCCAATCGTATCGCTGGCATCTCGAGCCTGTTCAAATGAAAGTTCTAAAACGTGCAGGGACGAGGGAGTAATACTCGCTTACCTACGGGTACGACAACACCCTGACGGCGGGGCATGTGACGATCCGAGCAAGGGTTCAAGTTGAAACGATCTGTAAGTGGTTGATTACTTCTTTCTCCCATCGCGTCCAGCCATCTTCATCTACGTCCTTGCTATTTTCTGCTGCAAACACCTCGAACGGCATACAGACGTGGTCTTCTTCTTCTTCCTGATCCAGAACAAAATTCCCTTGCCGACTCCGTGTCAATGTAACTACATGTCCCGCTGAACCCACAGCGTGTGCCAAATCATGAACAATTGATCGAACGTATGTGCCACCCGAGACCTTCATTTTCAGAACGAAAGCAGAGGGCCTCTCCAAGTCTGAAGGCGTCGATTCCGGTGCATCCTTCAGATCCACATTCTCGTCAATGCCCTGAACGGCCTTCTCAAGGGAGAGCTTTTCTTCATCAGACATTTTCTTTGCGGGCCAAGAGAAGGGATGATCACTTCCAAGCCATTCGACTAGCTCAAGACTGTGTATGGTCACGGCTCGGGATTCGATGGACCTGGGAAGAGGTATGCCCTTACGGGCGTATTCGTATAATGGCTTTCCGTCCATCTTCAGGGCAGAAAATCTGATAGGTTGTGTTCGAACTGCGTGTCATCATGGTGGAGAGAACTCTTACATGGGAGGTACTTGCTCGATCTGGCCTGTGAACTGACCAAGCTTTCTTTCAACCGCTTCTCGTGTTATATGTTTCCACGATGCTGTCCGAACTATAGCACCTTCGCCATCGTAGCTATCAGTTTCACATCCCAATAAACACGTCGTGATGTACTCCTGGAGTAGCAGCCAGCCATGTAAGTAACGGATAAACTAGAAACAAATGAACATTATACCTTTGTACAATCAAGAAAAGACGACAGTTGTTTTGTACCCTTTCCGACACCAATCACTGTCACGATATATGAGGAAAGCAAAGAAGACAGCTTGGGTATTCACCAAGGACGCCATCTGCTAATGGATCAAGTGTACCGCCTTGTCCTATCTTGACATTTCCCTTGAATCGGTTGCGACCTCTGGCCTTTTTACCAGCAGCCTGTTCTAGCTTCGATGCTTCTACAAAAAGTCTTGATTTTTGGACGAGAACTTGTATATCATTTACGACAGACATTGACGTCGGTCCAGAAGGCTTCCTGACTCCAAAGAGACAAGAAACGGGCAAAGGCGGCAGGTTGATTTTGGGCATCGTTGAAGTGCACGAATCGATTGCCAAACGTGTGTCAAGAAATAAGTGGGTGTCCGTGACGTTACGATCGTGACACGGAAATCGGAAACATCGGGCCGTGGCTTCCCCCCGGCACTTGCCTTGTGGCCTCGTCAATGTTCTCCCATTCAGAGTTAGGATACGGGCGCTACATATTGAAAATGGATATTCATACTCTCCCATGCGCGCCCCGTGGAAGTTGCGTTTGTCTTCTCCATATCCAGTATATGAGCGCTCTCTGGGTCTTAACGAACTGCATTTTTACTTGCGCGGTCGAGTTCTTCACGGGGCCACAGATAATGCACACTCAGTATGTTTTGAGGTACTAGACGACGGAACACCCTTAATTACCGAAGAAACCGTGTGCAAGGCTTGGGTGTTTGCAAAGCAGATGCACCCTCTCCTGGGGGCACAAGTAGAAACTGTCGGGGATAGGGACGAAGACGTGCATTTCATCGTGGATGAGCATCGACTCAAAGCACACATTCCTGGCGAGGTGATCTTCATGAAGATCTTATCCTTCAGCGACGCAGATGCCACCGTAGAAAACATTCTCAATCAAGAACGAATCCTTGACGATAATCACCTCGTCCGACTTTTCGTTCTTAGGCAATCGGATCAGAAGAATTGGTTTCACTTCGTTGTCCATGCCGCCCACTGCGTAATCGACGGGGTTTCGCACTACACTGTTGTACGGACATTGCTTGCTTTTCTGTCATCCCCACCCGTAGCAGCGCCACGCCTATCGGAGAGGCTAGCGTTATCGCTCGCAGTTAATGACTTGTATCCTGTTAGACGTCTCAGTCCCGCTACACAACGATGGCACAAGGCCATGGCCCATGTCATCGCTTCTATTCGATCCGGAAAGATCATCGTGCGTCCTTCGACTTACCCCAGGGTCTAATCAAACTTTCTGATATATAAGGTTTCAGAGCGGTGGTCACACATTGCCTGGAAATGTCACCGTTCACATGAACGAGAACCCTGCTGACTCTCGCAGGACGACGCTTTCTTTCACTGTCGAAGAGACTCTTAGAATTATGAAAATATGCCGGGACCACGGATTGACGTTTGGGAACGTTTATGTTGTGCTTGGTCAGATTGCCATGGGCCGTCTGCTTTGTAGGAGGTACGCTCAGGGTTTGATAACAGAGGAGGAATGGGAGTTCAGGAAAAGAGAACCTACGTACACGGCAGGCCCAGTTAACGTCAGGCCATACTTGGATCGCGAGTGGTATACCCACGGAGGAGCCGAGAATCCGATGCTTTCAATAGGATTCTATCTCTACCCACTGTCCTTCGTTCCACTATACCCAGAGGGAGGTCATTCGACATTTGGCGCCCTCTTGTCATGTCGACGCTTTTGGTATAGGTGTAGGAATATGAAGAAACGCGCCGATGACTTTCTGAAGCACCCTTTGTTTCTCGACATCGGGTCAGTTCGCTATCCCCCAATGATCAACACGTTGAAAGAGTTAGAGTTCAAAGCGCACTCATCACATACAGAGAAAGATCTCTCTATCCCCGCTATTGAGCAGGCAAAGCTTGGCGTGGTGCCTTCGTTCGGTGGCTCTAGCTTCGGAAGTGTGCGTGTCTTTCGGTGATTATCATCGCTCTTTTCCTAACCAAGCAGTAGGTTGACAAGCTTCTCCCGCGCGAGTTTCCAGTAGGCGGGAAAACCCCAAAAATCTACCTACATTGGTCCGGTACACGTCTTCGATGTCGTCCCGGGGAAATTTACCTCGGAGCTTCGACGTTTCGAGATGAGCTCGAACTGGTTGTCCTGTGGGATAACAACGTCACTGAGGAAGCCATTATCGAAGAGTGGTTACAAGAAGTGAAAAGGGCCACATCATATTATCTCTTAGAGAACGACCGTGAGGAGGCGAAGCTGTAAAAGAAACTGTAGGTTATATTGTATAAATATGCATCTAACATGAGAATGACAGCAATTCCATTCATGTTTTTGCTGTTACCCATAAACCGCCGCAAACACAGCCAGGTACCCATTTCCTTTCCCAGGCTCTCCAACGAAGAGACAACGAACCTGCTCCAGACCTCGGCCCATCCTTAGCAGCTTCTGAACGGCCATCGCATCGAAGGCATCGCACACAAAGTTGCTTCTTCATAAGCACACCTTTTGAGACCACATCTTTATCCTGCTCTTTCCGCGGACCTTCAAGGCTGAGGTTCTCAAAACCGTCTATTAACTCATGAGGCTTGATGTATAGACGCGATTTTGAGATAACCCCTGATTCGCACAACCGTCTGATATTTTCTTGCAATTGAAGCTCCATAGAAGTCGTGGGCTCGCATGAAGCTAAACTCCGCCGTGCTTCTTCAACTGTGAGTGCACGGTCACCTTTCTGTAGACTATGACTGCTCCGGAATCCTCACCTTCAATATCTTTTGACTTCAATATGAACTCATCCAATAAAGGATCCAAAGCATTGAGATCAACGCCAGAACAATCGACCAGATCAACCAAGACATCTTTGGCGATCTGGGAGTTCTCTCCCCGTGTCGTTAATGAACCAAGGCTGCTCCGGAAATTACGGACATTGATTAACGCCTTTTTCAAATTGACAAGAGCACGAGGGTGTACGATATGAAGCAGGCAGGGAACCTCATAATGGTCGGTTGAAGCAGCTGTAGGCAGAAAAACATGAATAGTTTTCATGAACTTGGGTCAAAAGCTTACTGGATTCGGCGCCGAAGAGATCATCGGTTTCGCTTGCTGACGGAGGTTTGTTTGTGGCATTGATCAACATGGCTTCTTTCATGACTTTTTCAATGAAATTCACCAGCCATCCACAGATCCCGATGAATTGCCAGACAGCGTCTGCCAATAGGTATCATGATGAGGTCACTAGAACATAATGACTACGCACGAAAATCAGCCCCTTCGCTGTCCTTGCAGTCTTCAAATGCGATATTACAGGCTGCCAGTGAACATAAGTCGTGCGCAGTTTGCCACCGCGCGGTCAAGTTATCCTTGTAGTTTTCGTCCTTCACCCGCAAACTTCGGAGTCTGCAAAGTATTGAGCAGAGGCTACATAGCATGACCTGCTTCACAGACCTATAAACCTCCAAAGCAACACCCAAAGTCTGCCAAGTCAGCGTGCCCAGCTTTCCACGCGATTGCGTTTCTACAATGGTCAACACTTGAAATAAGATGTGACCAACCTCTTCCATCGACATCGTCGAAAGAGAGAGTAAGTGTGTGAAATCGGCCGTGCTTTTTCCCGATAGAATCGCCGAAGCAAGGCCGGAAGACAGAGGAAGAATGGATGGAAGTCCAGCTTTGAATGCTCTGGATGCGCGACGCATCGGGACCGTATGTACAGACGTTTGTGTTGCCCTTACCGTCGATGAAACGGTACAGAGCAGCATCTCGTTTGGCGAGAAGACGGCATGGATTGGGACTAAACAGCAATCAATGAGTGAAAAGAACAGCTCAATACGAACGGACCTTCTTTTCCAACCCTGGTAGCTGATGTATAAATGGGAGAAGGTTCCCATTCTTTGTCATATTCAAACAACGTCGGTCTATTGACGTTCATGGCTCAGGAATGGATAAACCCAGAAAGATAAATGACGTACACCTCCAGAATTGTGGTCAGACCGACTCGCACCTCTTTGTCCTTAGTCTTCCCAGCCTGGAACGATCCTGACGAATCTAGTATGCCAACGAGCAGACTAGCATCGACACCTTGTAATGGCTTGGTAGGAACGAGAAATCCCAGAACGCCGTCCGTATACGTCCTTGTACCGGCCTGGTGATATGACTTGCCAAAACGTCAGTACCAACACCCATGATCAAAGCATAGACCATTACCCATGCAGATTGGTTGGTATCGGAAGCAGCATGCCGCAACATGGAGTAACACACTATTTTAGACTGAGGCAAATTTGAGTCTGGCAAGAAAACGTCAATGAAAGACGCACTCGAACTAAAACGACGCTTACAGTCACCAAAATCCAAAAAAGTAGCCACCAAGTACATAGAAGCCTTAGTTTCTTCATTTTGGACAACTCCGAGCTCAGGAACAGACGAGGTTTTGCACACGAAGACAAGATTGGTGAGCTGTGCTTCCCAGTTCCGTACAGGAGGCAGTGGCTGACTCGAGAGGCCTAAAGACAATTTAAGCCATGGTGGTGAAAAAAAATAACGGCAGTCAACTTACACATCGTGATACCGTCAAACTGGAGACGGACTTCAGAAACTTCAATGATGGACTCTTCGCCATATATCTCTTCAGAACGCGTAGTGGATTCAGAATTTGACTGGCCAAAATCAAGGGACATATTCATATCAAAATGATCGGTATCCGGGTTTCCAGGAGGTAAGGGTATAATGTGTGAACGAGTCGCGACGAGAATTGAGGATTCTGAAGATATCTACACTTTAAAACAATGAAAGGTAGAAAACTTAAGAACGTACCATCATATCCGAGGCCAATAGCCGCTGTGACGCACAGTCGCAGAAGGCTGCCGTTGTCAGTAGCTTCAGGCGTTGGCACGGAAGAATTCTCATGGACCACGGTATACTGATTCAGAGGAGCGGAAAACATCCTGAGAGATGGAATATAATTCCGTACATAACATAGAGTCAACCGATGGTTCTGCGTGACGAGGGCCAAAGTGGGATAGGATACTGGAGTTCGTGGCCCACGGGTAGGAAGACGAATAAAAGATCCTTTTTCGTCAGCCGTCCACTAAATACCATCGTTTATCAGCGTTGGTCCGCTAGCGCAGTACATGCATCACATACTTGACGTGGTGCGGCCAGCCAACTTGCTGTAACAACCCCAGCACCCAGTGGCAGCGTCCAATAGTCCTTGAGTGTCCAATTGTCGATCTCAGCACCACGATACCAGAGGCATCCAGCGCCAGGGACGCTTCGTCCTGGAAAATACGCAAACAGCCAGTCGTCGTTGGGAGATACCGAGATGATGGTTGGGGGGTCGAAGTCAGTCAGGGATGAGAGTATCGGTGCCGGCGAGGGAATGCTGAACTGCTTGGACGACGAGAAATGACGCGCGAGGATGGTTGGTTGAGTTGGGTGCGGGGTGAAAATGACAGAGGAATTCGACCATTCCGCGCGTCTATCGACTAGTTCAAGTATGCAAATTGATGCTTATGCAGGATATACTAACCTGGGCTTAAGCTGCTCAACGAGCGGCTGAAAATCCCACCAGCCCATGTGCCATTCTTCCTTGTTTTTCCCTTTGGGCGGCGATTTTGCAGCGAACATGGGGGTCGGGAGTAAGGCACGAAAGGCCACGCGGCAACAATTGTCATGGAGCGATCTTCCTCCGGTCCGACCTCCATGACTGATCCTGACTGATCCTGACTTAGTCTCGTGAAGTACATACTTACTGGATCAGCACCCGCATGAGACCACCGGAAGAATGATAAAGATCTTCCTTTCGAACATAAATACTGGAGCAGCACATTCCATCTTTCGCAGGACTCATTCTTCCCCATGGTTGACAGTACTATTATCGGTGTCGTGCTTTTGGCTCGACACGGCGATCGACAGGGTTCGTTGAATCCTGATTCATGTCATAAATATCTCTGATATCGTATCTTAAGGGTTCTATCAGGATCCTTCTTCGTACACCGCATCGTCGACTACAATAACGCCCCTGGGAAATGTAAGTCCACCGTTAAGAAACAATTTCAGTGCCCGATTCTATTTCTTTGCAGCAACAAGAGTACCAGCTTGGGCAGTTGTTGCGCTCTCTGTATCTAAACTCGTCGTCAGAATCGTATATTCCAGGAATTAACAGTACTATCGTTGACTTGGACCAGGTCAAAGGCAGGTCTTTATCTTTGCAATTGGATCCGTACTATCTGAACTCACTCGCCGTCTGTTAGTCCGTGCAGATGGCGGTGATGAGGGAGGTGTCATCTTCAATTCAGCAACAAGTTTGCTACAAGGCCTTTTCCCGGCCAACTCCAGCTATACCGTGACTCTGGCCAATGGAACTACTGTCGAGGGCCCTCTTGGCGGCTATCAGGTGGGCTGGTATCACATCATCACTGTCAAGAGAATAAATGTTCATCATTCCTCATTTAGTACATACCAAGTCAGTCATGGGATTTCACAGGATTTGTGCTCTCATCTGACAATCTGTCTAGTCGAATCTGTGGACCCAGACAATGATGTTTCTCTCGAAGGATGGGCTTCTTGTGGTGTAAGCTACAGTCTTACTGTACCGCCGTTTATCCTTCACACCAACTCAGGCCTTTGAAACGTCCAATAGCGCGTTCTACAACTCGACAGCATTTCAGGCAAAGGCAAACGAGAGTGCCTCATTTCTGAGTCTTCTCTCGCCATATCTTGACGGCAGACCAGTTACTTTGGAGAACATGGTAACATATGTATTATTTCACGTCATTTGCGTGGCTAATTGCCTGCCTTAGTGGAACGTAAGCTGCCTCTCGGCATTGGTCCCAGCATTGTCTAATTCCAGTAGATTTATGATTACATGAACGTCGAAAACATTCACGACGCATCCTTTGCCGCTAGCATCCCGGATACATTCATGGAACAAGCTCGTGATCTAGCGAACTGGCATGAATATGGCGTCTTCTCATCCCCCGAACTTGCGGGGATAGGAAATAGTATGTTCTCCTTTAGTATCCATGGGAGCGATTCAACTCATGTGGTTATGTTAGTTGCTGCCCGTACCATGCTACCCTCCATCTTCGAAAGCTTCACCAGTATCACGGACTCTGATGACCCCCTCAAGTTTTCCTATTTGGCTCTCGCTTACAAACCGTTCCTGTCCCTGTTCAACATGACCGGTGTAGCCCAGATGAATCCGCAACTCCAAGGAATCGGTAAGAAGACCACGATGTAGGTTTACCTGGGAAATCAGCTGACTTTCCGACGTGCAGTAAATTATGCCGCGGCCCTTGCCTTCGAGATCAGGAATTCCTCTTCCAGTGACGAACCCGTTTTACGTTTTAATTTTAAGAACGGGACGGACGACAATGGTTTCACGATGTACAATATTCTCAACAGCACCGGGGACGTTCCATTGTCGACATTTGTAAATTATCTATCGGTGAGTTGACCTTTTCGTTATTTAGAGACAAGACGATCAATTCTTTCAGCCTGCTGCTATCAACGCCACAGCTGATTGGTGTACAGCATGCGGGAATACGGAGGACAGGGGGTGCGGTGCATTGGCACTAGCGGCTTCGGAAGCAAGCGCCGCCGCGCAAGTGCACCAGCGAATTGGTCCTGTTGGCGCGGGATTCCTCGGCGCAGGTCTGACCTTGGCCGTGTGTCTAGCGATGTTAGGTGTTCTTGTCTTCCTAGGTTTCCTCACTGTCGGTAAGGGCAGGTCGCGGAAGAAGATCAACAAAGTAAGGCCTTCTCCTGTCTTCCCGGCCATATATATACTCACATAACGCAGTCCACAGAGAAGGCATGAGAACACATAGTTGCTAAATTGTGGGAAATGTACAGTTTATGGCTACATGAAATGCTGTGAGGTATACATGAAAAGTATGCCAAGATGCACATGGAAAGTTGTCTATACATGAGCTGATAGTAAAGTTTCTTGGGTCTGAAGCCTTAGTCTGAATCATACTGATAAAGTTGGTCATTATCCGAGTGTTCATGGAAGTCGTCTGCCAGGATAAAATGCTAGTATCAAGCAAACGAAGTGTTACTAAACATACCGCTACTGCCGCTCCAGTCTGATAATTCTTCTTCGTCAGGATAATCGTTTTTGTAATATTCCTCCGCTACAGATGGATCAGGCCGTAATCGTCAATACGACAAGAAATTACGCAAACCATTTGAATCCTCGTCCGCTTCATCCTCTTCTTCAGAGTCGGAGTCAAGGTCATAACGATCCATGAGAGAGTGTGGAAGACCCGTTCTACGTATGAAAATGAGAAAACATAGTGGACAGATGCGTTGAATAAACATACAGTGTCCCAATGGTGGCAGCCTCGTTCCATTCACTCAGAGTCGAGGGTCTATGATAGAAGACGTCCCAAACATAGTCCTCCGACTCGGGAGCTGGTTCTGAGGCTACAACATCGTCAACTGAGCTAGAAGTTAGTCGCAGAAAAGTAAGAGATAGTATCCAAGGTCGCACTGTTGAGATATGCTTTAAGCATAGGCATGATCTTTTCCATCTCTAGATCCATCACATGAGAACTCTGACCGTCTTCCGGTATAGCATCGAACACGCGTAAATTCGGATTTGTGGCCTTAGGAGGCAGGTCTTTGGTAGAGATGACCTTGGGTCTATACGAATACACGGGAAGAGTGGGTTGTTTGAAGCACGTCAGGCTGAAGAAGCTTACGGGCTAGTTGGAGGCATACTTTCGCATTCTTGGTCTATAATCGTATACCTCCGATTGAAGTCGGTCGACAGACGCCGGCTACTGGTAGGCGACGACGCAGGCTGGGGAACAGACGGCTGGTTCGTTTCTGGCGTCAGAACCGGTGCCTCTCGAGACAACCGAGAAACTTTGTCCTGCAAAAAAATAAGCGATAAAACGAGAGAGAAAAAGGATCCATACTTGTATTTGTTGGTGCAACTTCTGATCACTCCAAGCCCTATCTTCTACAGTCTGCGCGAACTTGAACACCCCCATGCCACCGCGAGATTTCTTGCGACGAATGCCCGACTCGACGACAAGGGCATCAAGAGGTTCTTCATGTCGTTTACGCTTGATGCGCAGAATCGTGTACGGCTGGGTAGGGTTTTGAGCATCGGTGTCCATCGTGGAAGTCATAAGTCAAGAGAGGCAAGCGTCCAAGAGGCTTACGTCATCCCATGTGCCTGGCCTTGGTAGAAATTTACTTATTTATACATTTCGACTTCAACTTTCTTCGACTTTACGCCATGGGTTCTCGCCAGACAGCGAAAGAATTGGCTGGGAATTTGACAGAAGTCGTTATTCAGACGTTCTCTGATCGCATTCTTGTTCTTGTAACTCAGCTCGGGAAAATAGGAAATCTGGTGAATTCAGTTTTCTTATTGCGTCAACCGACGAAGTGTTGAAGTAAATTCTAAGATTCAAGCGACGCTGCCACCGACTACGTCCTTAGTAGCAGCACCAGCCATTGATCCTGCAGATCCTATTGCAATATCTCTTCCTCCGCCACCTCCCGCCATCCAGTTAACGCCGTTACTGGGTAATGCCCCGTCCGAACATCTACAAACCCTTCATAACCTCTTCGCATCACAAATCGCAACCTTGGTGTGGGCGGCCGAAGAAGAGTCGATAATACGGCCATCCCGTCAAAGCGTCATCGTCGGGATCGCCCTGCAGAAATCCGATGTAAATGAAGGGGTGGGACTGAGTGACACGGAACGAGCTACCTTTTTAGGCGTTATGGATATGGTCCAACGATTGCTGGTACAAAAACTATGATGACTAACTTATACAATATCAAGGCTCGCGCCACTCTCATTGTGCAGAATCTTGACTGCCTCAGAGAGCCCTGAACAGTGTAATTGTCCCATAAATGTAACACTTGGATGATATCATTACTATCTAAGATACATGTATTGAATGGAACAAGGGTGCGAGCAAAAGAACATACTAAGTTAAGGAGGACAATTAAGTACACCCTTTATTGTATGTAGTGATGATGTTTCAAAGTGGTCTTCAGTACTAGTGGGACCTTGACCAAAATACTAGTTGCACAGTGGAGACCTCTAGTAGCAAAATAGTCATTTAGATCAGGTTGTCTAGGGAATGATAGTCACCTAGATTGGGACATGTAGCTAAATAGTCATTACTGAAATAGTATTACACTCTGGAGTGAAATATTACCACATAGAGGAACATTGAAGGATTGAAATATGTTCTAGAGAATATGGAAAGTTACCATTATAGTTCTATTGTTGCAGGAAGCATAAAATTTCTGAGCTTCTTGCCTCTTGGTGGATCATACCATCAGTCTTGAGGTACTTAATGCTAGGTAGAGCTGAGGTTGGCATATTGCAAGACATACTGTTACTTTGATTCTAGTGTGCACATTTTGATGACCTGCTTAATTTTCAGCCTTCAATAGTAGCTATGCTCTCTCAGGCATATTTAACTATTCTATGAGCCATTGTAATGGAATATTATAGTGACAAAAAATGATATGTTTATATCTGCCTAATTATTCTGGGTATGGCTTAAGTGATATTAAGGATGTAGACATAATAGGCTTATCAGTGCTATTTCAGTCTCAGAAAAATGTTACAATTTTTCCTTTTTCTTTTGTTATTAACTGCTATTTATGCTTAGTCAGGGCACCTATACCAGTACTTGAGATTGTGAGATCAGCTTAGTCATCACAACAAGCTGAGTCTGTCATTGTCTTTTGACATGACAACAACACTTGACAATGCACAACAGCCCTTTTGTAGATAGTAACAATGCTCAAGGACAACAAGCATAATGACTGGGACAGACACAATAAGTAGTAGTATATTTATCTTGATGGACAAGCAGTATATAAGTAGAATAGCTCTCACTGTATAACCTCAGCTTTGAGCTAAAGTTTATTCATATCACTTCACTCTTGAGCTTTCTTGTAAAGGTCTTGAAGCACATTGGTCAATAGAACACAACAAGTGGATTCTAGCATGACTGTATGAATATAATACAGTGCTAGTTTATCATGTGTTCTGATCATATGTGATTTGAGTCTAATGATTAGCTTGAAGCTTCCTGCTTCTCTTTTCTTATGCACAATAAGTGTAAAGAAAACCAAATGCCACCATCATCAGCTACAACCCCTGATCTTACAGACAACTTTTTTAGGCTTTTAGCCTTCATCATCAGAACATTACTTGAGCTTCTTGCTATTATCCAACTTTGTCAAGAACATCAATCAGTCACTGCTTGGATAGTCAGACACTACCAAGTATTCCAACAAGTACAGCAGATTTTACAAAATGTCACCCCAGACCTCTCCTTCTACAATATCCCTCTCTCTGCCAAATCTCCTTCTAGCCCCAGGTCAAAGCTGTACTAGAAGCCCAGCCTAGCAGCTTGAGTACATGAGATGATTAGCAGGAAATGAGATACACCTACCCACCTGGAAGAACTAACATCAGAAACAGCAACAATCACCTCACAGGCTTCAGAACCTATGAGTCTTGCTGAGCTTCTCTCTAGTTCTGAACTATAAGAGTCAGGATCTCTCCAATGACTTCTTTGATGATAAACCATCTCTCAATGCTTCCATCACTCTAAGAGAGCCAGGCATTGGAGACTATGCTAAGGACTCTCTTGATACCTCTAGGGTGGCTTCAAGATTCCAAAGCATTTTATTAAACTCAGGATATGACTTGCTCTATGCTATATTAGATAGAAGCTCTATCTCATCAGTCCACACTGACTACAGTAGTCATAGAGCCACCAACCTCTGATTTAATAATGAGAAGTCACATGAGCCATGGAGAAAAAAGATTACAGTTAAAATTGACAAGAGTAACAGACTTTATGCCTAGCTTGCTCTGAGAGGAAGCCTCTAAAATCACACAGTCAGTACACCAGGAAGCTATATATCTCCTGCCACCCAAACAGAGTGAGCTAGAGTGAAAGAAAAAGAATGACAACAAGCCTGAAAGGCTATTCAGAAAGTGGCCAATTGAGCTTTTACTCAGTATGAAAAAAACATCTACAATGAGCAGTGTCAATATGAGCAGTGCCACCAGAAAGCAGTCATCTGGAAATCTAATTCCTCAGTCCAGTATGGCCAAGAAACCCCAAGCTCCCTCTTTAGAGAGTCCAGTACTCTGACAAGAAGTGAAACTGATCTTTGGATAGGGTCAGCAGAGGCAGTCTCTCTCAGTGAGGCTGTCAGATGCACTGCATATCCCTCTCATTCTGGAACTTCCAGCATCACCAACACTGATACTATCTCCTTCCATGCTGACTCTATATTAAATGCCTATAGACTCTGAGTCCCCAGCAATGCTCATGTCTCTGACTACAGTCTCTAACAGTTTTTGGGAGAAAGAGTTGCAGCACTCTTTTTTAACCCCTGATATTACTGAAACTTCTGCATCTATCACTAAGAACTGGAGGAACATCAAGCATGTGGCAGCCATTGAGAAAACATCAAGATCAGCACTGATAGATCTGTTAACTAGTCTCCTCTTTGAACTATTTTTCTCAAAGCTAGACCTAGTATATAGATCAATGACCAGTTTGCTGGTGTTACGATTTTTCCTATTTTCTTTTCTTTTTCCTCGGAAGTGACCCCTACCTTTGCTTAGTCAGAGCGCTTAGGCCAGCACTTATGACCATGGAAAAGCTTGGTCAGCAACCCAATTGGGACCGTGGGAAGGATTGGGTCAGCAACCCAGTCGGTCCGACTCATATCACATAGCTGTGCGCTGTGAAGAGAGAGACAATACTCGTTTTGTCCTCCAACTGCGGCGCAGCAGTAACGAAACACAGCGGCACAGTAATCTCTCGTGAAGAGACTGACAAAGGAGGGGTAACAGCACACAGCACGACCACAGCTTTCTGTAAGCACTTACTTATAGCACGATAACAGAACAGTATTTAAGTAGCTTAGTCCTCGCTGTAATACCCCAGTCTTGAACTAAAGTTTATCTTCACCAAACTACTCTCGAGCTCTAACTACTTGTGAAAGCCTTGTCCCACACTGACAAACATTGACATTTGGTGAACTCTGATTGTTTAACCCGAAGGCGAGGTTCAATCGGTTTATCATCACGTGTTGATAGTCACATGGGGTTTGAGTCTAACAATTAGTTCGAGACTCACATTCCCTTTCTCAAGCCCAATTGTGCTGAGAAACTGAATGCCCCCTGCGCTTAATCCTTCAAACCCAAACTTCACTCAAGAGTTCTTTATACTCTTTGTGTCAATTATCAGAATTCTGGTCATTCTTTTGGTGCTCGTACAGCTGTGCCGTAGACACCAATCAATTATCGCCTGGTCTATCCGTCATTACCATGAATTTCAGCGCATTCATACCATTCTATGCAATGTTACACCAGATCTACCTCTTCATGACATCCCTGTTTCAGCTCGACCTTCGACATCCCGACAGCCCCACCAGCCAGAAGGAGTTGACTCCGAAGACGTCTCTGGGAGAACGTCTTCGGAACAGCATATGGAAGAAGAGCAACAACCTCAGCAGCATGCATACCCCCCACGTCCCCTGCCGGCGGTTATCAGGGATCCTGGAAACCCATGGGCAACAGGATTCCGACGACCCAGGCCAGATACCCCCATCCGATCCCCCCAGCACAGTACCCGAGCAACAAGGATACCGACTCCCGCCTCTGACATCGGCATTGGGCGCCATACCAGAGGCTCCTTGGACAGCTCACAGGTGGCTCACAGGACTAGTACTAGGACACGGGGATCCCATCATACAACGTCAGTACAAGGTAACAGTATTGACGACAGCACACAGGTCAGAAACGATGCCAACCGGAACCACGACGATGGCGAACGACAACCCACTGCCGTCGAGGTCAACCGGTTGGAACAACGACCTATCAGGAACTTCGCCGGACTCTTCGCCAATCAAACCAGGAGCGATAATGAGATCTACCGAGAGAATGCCCTCTTCGGTAGATATCTCTGGGTGCGAGAGGCGGAACAGCGGCGAAGAGAAAACGGAAGTGTCAGCAGCGACACTTTATTCAACACCAGCATCCTCGACTCCCCCTTTCAGCAGCCCACCCCTTCCCCCACCGAATCAGACCCATGGGCAGCACCTGTCGACAGAATCATCCATGGCGACAATATCCCAAGACCAGAGGAGCTCGACACTGGCACTGACGAGCTCAATGACAGCCGCCCCCTATCATACGGAACGGATACCATCGCAGACACCGACAGTATCTCGTCGCATGGCAACCCAATATCGGCAGACCAGGGATCGATCGGAGGGGACAGCCAGCACATCGACCCCACAGGAGACCTTAAACGGTTTCTTGATGGGCCAGTCGCTGCCCTCTTCCTTCAACCCTGATTTTACAGGAATTTCCGTCGATATAGCCGAGTAGTGGCGGTGAACACAGCAGAGGGAGAGGCCGAGCAGGAGCAACAGCAGCCTGGGTGGGAGCCTTCTCCTCGCCCCGGACCAGAGGATGCTGGACCAAGTACCCAACCCCAGATCTGCCAAACCGACAATATACGACCTGGCCGACATTTCTCTCCTCGGGGGGGAAATATGGGACGAGGACAGCAAAGTGGGCGACGGGGAGGAGGGTTCAATCGGGGAGGTCGGAGACCTTCCCATTGAATCCGGAGAAAGTATCGAAGGACAGGGAGCAGGAGAGGTTTTACAGCATGCAGCCCCAGGAGGGGCCATTTTTAAATATAGCGAACACTTTTTGCAGTATGACATGGGGCTGACACAGCCGAATAATGGCAAACAGACGACAATCAAGCCGTGGAAGCCGAATGCACAATCCTCAGGATCGGCATCCACGACAACAACGGCACCATCTCGGCACTCACATAACACCCACCCCACCCCTGGCACGGCATCTCGGCCTGACAGGAGCCGATCCCAGGCAACCCAGCAACACACAGGACAAAGGAAGCTGCCAACGGTGCCACAACTACCTGCCGAACCGCCGCCACCATACAGCGCCATCCAGGGGTGGGAACAACCACCCGATGGCAGGATCCCGACCCCAATCACACAGCCACCCCGCTCACAACTCGCCATCTATAGACAACAGATGATGGAACACAAGCTGGCCAGAAAAACAGCCATAGAGTACTTCGACAGACTGGAACAACTCAGTACACTCGCCGGAGTACAGGATGACACCACCGATACTGGATACATGGTTGAATGTATCAAAATGGGACTACCACCGATCTATCACACGACGATGCTAAACCAAGAATGGTATGTGCCAAAAGGTTACAATGAATGGAAGGGCCGAACCATCGACATATACAAAGAACGACAATGACAAAGGGCTGAGGCAATTGCCTTAGCATATGGTCACACGATTCAGGAACCAACGAATCACCGACCAGGGAAGGGCATCTGAATACAGATTGCCAAGCAGAATTGACCGGACCCAGGAACTCGGCCACAGACTAAATCAAACTGACTCTTTCTCTTCTATAGTAACTCTTACATTATGCATACTTTAATCGACAAAATTGATGACTGCCTAATACTGAATGTCCAGTAACGACATAACGCAACAACCCGCTCTTCAAACAAAACGAACCTTGTTTGAACTGACGGGACATAGCACACCGCACCAATGAACGATTACCAACTACGAATCACGAATTGGCAAAAGGAACCACACACAAAGAAGGCACTACAATCACTCCCCAGATTGATCAACTTTTAACAGCGGATCATGCAACAACACGATTTGTCGGGTAACACAGCCACATCAAGAAATTCTCCAAGGGAATGGGGAATTTCTGAACGAGAACAACATTCCTGCTACACCAAGCCGGGAAGGGAAACAGCGCTTCAAATAACAAAGTGCAAGAACGAGATCGCTAAAAAAAAAACTCCTCACCATACTACTCACACTCTTTTAGGGATGGGATTATCTCATTGGAGTAACAGCGATCTCAGATCAGAAGCATTGCCAAAACATCACGGTTTGGCAATAACAGGATATTGATGGCCCAAGAAGGACCATAATATCACCAAATAAGGAACCTCCCAAAGTAATTCATCCGGGATGAATTGCAAACAGCTTCTCTTCATCACCAGAGAACCACGCCGGAACCATCCTGAAAGCAATGGCTATGACAGATGCACATGTCATCAGTTGATCACTTCTTGACGGCCATCAAAGATACGACACAAACTTCCCAGAAATCACATCCATGACTCAACGCTCTCGCAGTTTGAGATCCTGTGAGATACAGAACAGGATCTATCAGTCAATGAATCTGCAACCCGACGGACAGGTCCAGCAGATCAGCCATCTCCTAATGGTCATGTTCACTCGTTCCGACTTAAACATCGAAAGATGACTGATAAAACTCCTGGCTTCTTGGAAGATCCAAACAGATCAGGGATCTACCGGATCAACCAGGAAAACCATTCCCTACCAGGATATTCGTGACCCATGAGGAACTATAACGTCATGATTTGCAGGGGGAAAGCCGGAACGGCAGCACCCCACCAAGACACAGACCCTTCATCAACAGGGCCCCTTATTTCAACCGACTGGCCGACGACGAGAGAATGTTACAGGGGACCAATACCAACAACACCTGTAACGAAGCAAACTATGGCTATGACAGACATACATATCATTAGTCGATCACCTCTCGACGGCCATCAACGGAGGCAGGACACAAACTTCCCAGAAATCACACCATCATCATCACCATTCATCGCTTCGTAAAGACGATCAGTGTGATCAAGGGCCCCAAATGATTAACTACAGGGCGAGATTTATGCTACGGATGGCATATCTCAAGTAGTAAGGGAGGGGCAGATCCAGGATAATCAACAACAGGGGATTGATGAAGATGATACGATGGGACATACAATGAGAAGCAATGTGGCTCACGTATGCGATGGATCTACAGGCAGCCTGCAACGGATCGAAAGTCACAACATAACAGAACTCAAGAAGGATGGAACACCCTCGCAGTTCGAGATCCTGCAAGGCACAGGAAAAACAACTACCGGTCAATGTCTTTATGAATCTGCAGACCAACGAACGGGTCCAGCAGACCGACCACCTCCTAATGGTCGTGGCCACTCATTCCGACTTAACCATCGAAAGAAGACTTACGAAACTCTTCATAACAAGATCCGAACAGATCAGGGATCTGCTGGATCAACCAGAAGAACCATTCGTGACGGAATATTCGTGACACATGACGAACTATGACATCACGACATTTGCAGGGGAACGCCGGAATGGCACTACCCCACCAAGATACAGACCCTTGGTCAAGGAGTCCAGCAGATCTACCACCTCCTGCCGAGGGAGGGGGTGTACCCTAAATTAACCATCGGGACGATGGTCTTAACGAGGGGGTAATGTTACAATTTTTCCTATTTTCTTTTCTTTTTCCTCAGAAGTGACCCCTATCCTTGCTTAGTCAGGGCGCTTAGGCCAGTGCTTATGACCATGGGAAAGCTTGGTCAGCAACCCAATTGGGACCATAGAAAGGATTGGGTCAGCAACCCAGTCGGTCCAACTCATATCGCATAGCTGTGCGCTGTGAAGGGAGAGACAATACTCGTTTTGTCCTCTAACTGCGGCGCAGCAGTAACGAAACACAGCGGCACAGTAATCTCTCGTGAAGAGACTGACAAAGGAGGGGTAACAGCACACAGCACGACCACAGCTTTCTGTAAGCACTTACTTATAGCACGATAACAGAACAGTATTTAAGTAGCTTAGTCCTCGCTGTAATACCCCAGTCTCGAACTAAAGTTTATCTTCACTAAACTACTCTCGAGCTCTAACTACTTGTGAAAGCCTTGTCCCACACTGACAAACATTGACATTTGGTGAACTCTGATTGTTTAACCTGAAGGCGAGGTTTAATCGGTTTATCATCATGTGTTGATAGTCATGTGGGGTTTGAGTCTAACAGCTGGCAACTGTCAAAGCTCTTGCTCCATCCATCTATGACCAGCCTGAGAGCTTCCATAAAGAGGACAGCAAGGGTGAGAAGAGTGAGAAGAGTGACAAAAAAGGCCTTTATAGGCTGAAAAACTTTATGATATATGCAAAGGACAAAAAAGATAAAGAAGCACTAGAGAAAGAGATACAGCCAAGCAGAGAGAAAGAGTATCAGAACTTATATGAGGAGAAGGTAATGTTTCTATAGTGAGATGTTAAGTGGTTAGCCTTAGATATAGGATAACAGTATATTTATGCAGATTCATTGAAACAGCAGGATATTTTATAATATTCTACTATTAAACATATGTTAGGCCCAGGTGACATGTGACCACTAGCACATAATAAACAACTGCTGTATTGAGTTTGTACAGTTATAGTTGAGTCCACTAAGTGTAGCAGCATTATATCTCAAGGTCAATATAAGTCAACTCAAGAATAAGTGGTAAGGATAAAGAATAGATTGAGATTAGAGATACATGATATTGATTATGCTACTTATATACTATTCATTAACTAGATAAATATAGTACTTTTAATTATGAGTGTCTGTGCTATGCTGCCTATTGTCCTAGGGCATTGTGGTTACCTACAAAAGAAGAATTGTCTTGTTGTTAGAGCATCACTATATGTCACAAAACAATAGTTGTGTGCTAACCAAGATTATTTCATGGTCCTAAGTGCTGGTCTAGACACTCTGACTAAGTATGAATAAAGGTAAAAGTAAGAAAAAGTAGTAGAAATCATAACATTATCTCCTCCTTAAGACCACCATCCTAATGATTTAATTTAGGGATAATTCATACTTATGAATTATAGTGTTTGCATTTATTCACTTCTCATTGACCCATTGATTTGATTCCAGTCCATAACTCTTCCAACTAATGAGATAGTTGATTGTCATTATCATACTCTCTCATCATGCTTTGACTCAATGTATTTTGTGATTGAGTATTTGGTCAATCTTATAGTGTTCTTCATCATCAATGAGTTTGAGTGGTGGTGGTGGAGGTCATTCTTGGTTTGGAAAGATGGAGGCAATGTATGGTGTCAGTAGGAATTTATTAAACATGTTGTGGATGTGCCAAGATGCTGGTAATTGTAATTTATATGCTGATATACTGACTTTTGCTAGGATTGAGAAGAGGCCTGTTCATTTATCAGCAAGTTTATATTTTAGGTGTGAGAGATACAGGTTGGTCATGTTGAGCCATACCTTATCATTTATCTCATAGATATATGGATTGCAACAGTGTTTATCATATTGGGACTTTATAGTAGTGGTTGCTTTTTCAAAGGCTATTTGTGTTTTGAGATGGATTTTCATCATCTCTATGGTGAAGTCAAGTGAAGTGAGGGTAGTTGTATGTGATTTTGTTGTGACTGCAACCTTGGAGTGTCATTCATAGTTTATGAAGAATAGAGTCTTTTTAGTGGCTAAATAGGTATGGTTATTATGTTGAAAAGCAGCAAGGGCTAATCATTCTGTCCAGTTGTCCTGCCAGTGATTGATGAACATGCATAAGTATTTTTTCAGTTCTTGATTGACCTGTTCCATCTGCCCATCAGTCTGAGGATGATAAGCAGTGGATACATTGCTCTGAATCTCAAGAAGTTGATATAGGTTATCAAGGAATTTAGAGATGAACTGTGGGCTCTGATCAGATATTACTATCTATGGTATGCCATACTTGGAATAGACTTCATCTCTGAGAATTTTAGCCCATCCTTCTGATGATAATTCCATAGTACAGGTGATTGGAATGATGACTTTTGAGAAGCAATTGACTATCATGATGATTGCATTATAACTGTTGCAATCCAATAGTCCAATGATTATGTTGACTGAAATATACATCTAAGGGGTTGTCAGGACTTTATTTGGGTGAAGTGATGCTAGTCACATGCATATTGATGATTTAGTTCTTTGACAGGTTTCACACTCCTTTATGTATTTGTCAATGTTCTGTCTCAGCTTTGGCCATCAATACTCCCTTAATACTAGCTTCTTCATCTTCACAATATCTGGATGATTAGTGGTTGCATAGTCATATGATATAGCAATAATCTCTCCTTGTAAGGCTGCTTATTGGAGAATGTAGATTTGTCTATTGTAGTAAAGTAGGTCATCACATTTCATGATGCCTCTTTCATGGTTTAACAACATTGCAATTCCTTGATCTCATAGACTTGGCTGTCAGATCATGCTACAGATCTTTGTGTGGATCTCCTCCTCTAATAGTATAATTATTGCATGGAAGTGTTCTGGTCATAGTATCACAACTCTCTTATTGCTTTCTTCTCTCTGGTTATAGTCCACTTGTCAGCTTAAAAGATCAGCCTTCTTATTAGCTATGTCAGATTTGTGATGGAGTATGTAGCTATACTCTATGAGCTTCATGATCCATCAGGCCTGTTATCAGTTCAGCTTCTGAGAGAGACAGAAATAGCAGAGATTTTGATGATCCATCTATACTTTGAAGGTCTGTGCCATCCTGATCAGATAGTAATGCCACTCTATCAATATCAGTATGATGGCTAGCAGTTTCTTGTCATAAATCTCATAATTCCTTTCTATGACTGATAAAGCCTTAAAAAGGAATGCCACTGGTCACCATCTTCTCTTCTGCTTCTCAGAGAAGATAGTGCCAATAGCTCCTTCACTCACATCTGCTTCCACTCAAAACTTTTCTTCTTGCATGGGAATTGCCAAAATAACATCCTTAGTGAGCCTTCTCTTGAGGTCATTGAATGCTGCAGCTTGAGCTATCCTCTATGTCCATGAGATATTACCAGTGAGTTGTGTCATTGGTTGGATGATCTTGCTGTAGTCACAGATGAATCTCTGGTAGAAATTAGTGAATCTCAGGAATGATTGGAGTTCTTTTTTCTTCATCAGTTCTGGCCATTCCATCACTCCAGCCACCTTGACTGGATCTATCCAGATACTTTCTTCATTGATGATTACCCTTAGATACTCTGTTTCCAGCACCTTGAACTCACACTTCTCAGTCTTGAGGAATAGCTTATGCTTCCTCATCAGCTCAAGTACTTGTTGCATCAATCATTGGTGTTCTTCTCTATTCCTGGATATGATAAGTATGTCATCCAAGTAAATGGTTATCTTTCTGGTGGTGATTAGATCTTTGAAAATATTATTTATCATCCACTGAAAAGTTGCAGGAGAGTTCATTAATCCAAAGAACATGACAGTTGGTTCAAACAATCTTTGGTTGATCCAGAAGATAGCCTTCCACTCATCTCTCTCTTTGATCCTTATGTTGTTATATCCTCATCAGATGTCAAGTTTGGTGTAGTATCAGACTCCACATAGTTTGTCCATGAGCTCTGATATCAATGGTAGTGGATATCAATTCTTGATGGTCATTTTGTTCAGCTTTCTGTAGTCCTGCACAGATTGGAGTTTGCTGTCCTTCTTCTTGATAAAGAAGAAGGGAGAGGCCATCAGTGACTTGGATGGTCAAATCCATCTGCTAGTTAAGTTCTCATCAAGAAACTTGTTGAGTTCTTATTGCTTCTGATATCTCAGAGAATACATCTTGCAATTGAGATTTGCACTTGCATTAGAGACTAGTTTGATTGCATGGTTCTATGGCTTGGAATTCAGTAGTTCATTGAAGCTCTCCTTGATAAATAGATCATGATAGTCACATGCTCATTCAGAGACTATTTCTTTGAATGTCTTCTTCTCCTTTTCTTGGTTAGCCTTGGCAGTTAGATTGTTGGTATGATAAGTGGCATGCAGATGCAACACATCATTCATGTCAACAGTGAGGATTGTTTCTTCATCCTCTATCTCCTCATCCTACTTATCCTCAGGATCACTATCTGGAAGTATAAATAGCATTTTTCAGCAATAACATCAGGCAAATATGAGGCATTCAGTTTTCCGGTTGATAAGAGAGTTATGCTGTATCAGCCAGTCATACCCAAGAAATAGTTTTTTTGTTCCTAACTCTGTGATGGCAAGATTGATCCTCTCTGAATGATCTCTGATAGTGAGTCAAAGTTCTATAAACTCCATGATTGAACTAGCTTGGTTCTTGATCCTGTTAGCATTATAAACTGAGATTGGAGCCACTATAGTTTTGGTGGAAAGGCAGTGCCTGTTAATGAAGGCCCAATTGATAGAGCTTCCAGTACAGCCACTGTTGATCAGTGCTATAACTGAGAAGATGCTCTAGTTTATGAGTAAGAAATGATGAAGAAGGGCAGAATGATCTGCTATGACAGGCAGATCTACATTCTAAGGGATCAACAACTTCATGGTGAAATCATTGCCACCTGTCATGATCATGCAATGATAGGCTATCCAGGAATTGCTAAGACCAAGGAATTGGTATTACAAGAGTACTGGTGGCTGAAGATAAGCCAAGACATTGAGCATTACATCAAGGAATGTGAGACATGCTAATAAGAGAAGTCATCAATCCAACTATAGGCTGCACCACTTCATCCAAATAAGGTCTCAGCATTACTATAGACCCATATCTTAGTAAATATGATTACTGGACTGCCAGATTATAATGGCTATGATACTATTATAGTCATTGTTAACTGCTTCCCAAAGGTGATCATTCCAATCACATACTCGATGGAGTTGATGTTAGAAGGATGAGTGAAGATCTTGCATGACAAAGTCTATGCTAAATGTGGGATACCACAAGTTGTCATCTCAGACTGAAGCTCACAATTTGTCTCTAAATTCCTTGATGATCTATATAAGCTTCTAAACATCTAACAAAATGCCTTTATGGCTTACCATTTCCAAACCAATGATTAGACTGAACATGCCAACTAGAAGATTGAGAAATACCTCTATCTTTTTATTAATTACTGGCAAGATGACTGAGTAGAATAGCTTGCACTTGCTGCATTTTAATATAACAATTGCATTCACTCAGCTATCAGCAAAACTCTATTTTTTGTCAACCATGACCAGCATCTAAATATATCCTAAACTGCATGTGCTCATACTACAACTCCTGCATCCTCTGACTTTGCCTACACTATGTCCACAATTCATGATAAAACCCATATTGCTCTTAAAAAGATGGCTAGCACTATGAAAAAATAGTACAACAAATATTATCATCCCAAACATTTCTACAACATCAATGATAAAGTATAGTTGGATACTACTAACCTTTATCTTCCATGCCCAAAACAAAAACTGGCAGACAAATGAATGAGACTCTTTCCTGTTCTAGCAAAAGTTAGCATGTCTGCCTATAAACTCTGACTTCTATTTATCTGGAAGATCCACAATATCTTTAACAAATCTCTCCTTACACCTTTTATTACTCTGACATTCCCAAATCAAGAACATTCACCACCACCACCGCCACCAGACCTCATTGACAACAAGAAACACTACAAAATAGACTAAGTTTTAAACTATCAATTATGTAAAGTCAAAGCCAGAGGTGAAGAAACAACAACAACAGTGGATTATTTGGTTATTTGGAAGGGCTACAGCTCTGAGTCTAACCAATGGGTAAATAAAAAATAGATGAACACTGACAATGCTATACACAACCATAAATTATCCTTAAATTAAGCTATCAGGATGATAGTCTTAAAGAGGAGGTAATATTACAATTTTTTCTTTTTCTTTCATTATTAACCTCTATTTATGCTTAGTCAGAGCATCTATACCAGTACTTGAGATCATGAGACTGGCTTAGTCATTACAACAAGCTGAGTCTGTCATTGTCTTTTGATATAATAATAACACTTGACAATATACAACAGCCTTTTTGTAGATAGTAATGACACTCAAGGATAACAAGCACAATGACTTGAACAGACATAATAAGTAGTAGTATATTTATCTCAATAGACAAGCAGTATATAAGTAGAATAGTTCTCACTGTATAACTCCAGCTTTGAGCTAAAGTTTATTTATATCACTTCACTCTTGAGCTTTCTTGCAAAGGCCTTGAAGCACATTGGTCAACAGAACACAACAAGTGGACTCTAGCATGGCTGTACAAATATGATACAGTGCTAGTTTATCACATGTTCTGATTATGTGCAACTTGAGTCTAACAAAAAAGTTGATTTTACTCCAATTATTGCAAGTAATGAGAGTAGATTGAGCACTTGAGAGGAGACCTTGTTTTTCCAATAGTTTATGAGACTGTGTGAACCTCTCTCAGCAATCATTATCATTTCTCAGGCAGCCCAGTTCTTACTATTGAACTTCTCATCAGCTTCAAGTTTGAAGAGTAAGATTTGAGATATCATTGTCATTGATATTTCTTGGTGAAAAAAATTTTATAAAGGTCTTAGGTTTTTGAGTAACATGATACAAGAGCTAAAATCCATGATTCCAATCTTTGCTTTCTAGTTTAGAGTTCTGTAATATTCTTAAGTCTTTAGTAAATTTCAAGTGCTGTTGTTTAGATCAAGATAAATGAGATTAAGTATAGTAAAGCCATATAACCTATCAAAGAACAATAATCTATGCAGTTGTAAATACTATAGTAATATGTAAAGTAATAAAAATATATCTCAGTCTTCACTCAACATGAGTGTAAAAGACTGAGGTACATCAGAAAAAGAAAAAGTCTAAAATAAGACAATGATCATGTTATTGAATACTGATCATGCAGCTATAAATAAAGGTCACCCAAATATGCTGATAATAGGCATAGACTGAGTCTCTTGACATAAATAGCAGTTGATTGCTCTTCTCATCTGTTAACTGTGACAGCTGAGCTTACTTTGACTATATCTAGTTATCCTCATACTAAAATTCTTTTAGATTATGGGCTCCATCATTAACTGAACTTGAAGTGATCAATACCATTCCATATCTTATTGCTCTCTACACAAATGTCTATTGTTACAAGTGTATCAACTGATTCTACCAATCTTTCTGTCTCCATGCTGTGGCTTAAGATAAACAGAGTAAATTGGTCTATTTTTGCTACTCACTTTGAAATAGCTGTGGCAGCCAAAGATAAGTGGGATCATTTTACTGATACTACTCTTCATCTAAGCTATAATATATATCCTATTACCAAGGACCAAGCTGTCAAGATTCATCAATGAGATAAGGACAAAGCTATCTCTCAATTCTTATTGTCTCAGTGAGTTCATGATAGTATTTTATATTTGGTTCATCATATAACTATCATCAATGAACAGTCAGCTGAAATAGTGAAGTATTACACAGAAAAAGGAGTATATGCTCAAATCAGCCTTTGACAATCTTTCTTTGTCTCAAAATATCCTGATGAAGCTAATATACATCAGTTTCTGAAAGAGCTACAAGTACAAAGAGAGAAAGTAGCTTCATATAGAGTTGAGATTGACAATGATGATTATCATTCAATAATACTCTCATCTATTCCATTCTTGATGGCTGAGTTTGCAGCAAACATGATAGAATCAGCAAAGGCTAATGAGAGAGTTATATCATCAATGGTCACTTCAATAATGACAATGACATTACTGTTCACTCTCATTCTCTGCTGCAAGCAAGATATCAATCTCAACCTTCTGATAAATATAATTTTAGAAGAGTATGATCATTACCAATGTTTTAAGACCAATCAATATCTGCAGAGTGGTGGAAAATAGAAGAAAGTATGAGAGAAAGATGAAGCATTAGTAGCTGTATCTGACAAAGCTAAAGGCAAGTCCAAGAGGCATTATCCAAATTGTGGTTGCTTCAATTGTGGAAGTTACAATCATTAGAAAAAAGACTGTCTTAAGTCTGCAAAACAAGACTTGATTGATGGCAAGAAAAGCAGTGGCAAGACACTGAGTGCTGCAAATATTGCTATAAGTCTTAATAGTGATTCAGAAGTAGAGTGTGTATTCATTGCTTGAAGTGACAAAGATGATAAAGAATCCATTTGGAATTTGAATGTCAATGCTAATTCTATATCAGCTGATGATGTTTCAAATCTATCACTCTACTCATCAACTGGTTCATCAAATACAAGTGATAATTCAAGAACTCATTTTTCTATACCTGCACTGAAGACTGTATTCTCTTCAAATATTGATGAGGATGAGAAAGATTTCAATGGTGAAGATGATAAGGATTAGTTTTTTGACTTGAGAGAAGACCAAGACAATCTATGAGGTTACAGTTAAGACTCTGATCAGTCAGTTAGCAGTGATATGGATCTTAATATTGATCAAGCAGATGATATTGAGATGTGGAATGCCATATCTATCACATCTGAATCAGCTGCAGCAGCACACCAACCCATGATAAACTTACCTTGTAGTGAGTTATATGACTCTGGTATCACCAAACATCTTTCACTATATTATAAAGGATTTGAAAACTTTATTGAAACTCCTTCTAGAAAGTTCACAGCAGTGAACATGCAGCATTTTACTGTGTAGAGTATTGAAGATGTTATAGTTGAAGTCTCAAATGGGAAAGCCATGTCAAAGCTTCAGCTTACTGAGGTTTTATATTCTCTAGAAGCTGGCTATACTTTGATTTCAATAAACCAACTTAATGATTTGAACTACATTTTTATCTTCAAAGATGGCACATATATGCTTAATGAGCCAAGTGAAAACTGAATTGAAACTATTTCAAAGATTAAAGGTGATTTGTATTGAGTTGTCCATTCACAAAATCATGATGTGACAGCTAATACCATTGAAGAAATGATTTCTTTAATGGATTTTCATCACTGCATAGGTTATATTTCTCCAAAGATAGTCTGCCATCTAGTTGAGAAGAGATTCATCACTGGAGTAAAGCTGAACATGAATAAAAAAGAATCTACCTTTTGCAAGTCATGTATTTATGACAAAGCTATCTGTAAACCTCATGGAAAGATATGAGAGGGACAGAGAGCTGCAGAAGTAGATAGTGAGATTTATTCAGATGTATAAGGACCAGCACCAGTTACCATACTTTGAGGTCATCAGTATTATATCACTTTTATCAATGACAAGATGAGATACACTAATATTTGCTTCTTACACTGCAAATCCAAGGTTTTCAAAGCTTATACAAATTTTAAAGCCTGGCTTTACATTCAACACAATAAATCTGTAAAAATTTTACATTCAAATTGTGAAAATGAATATCAAAGCAATGAATTTATACTGTATCTCAAAAAAGCTGATATAGACTAAAAGTTGATGGTACATGGTTCTCCTTGGCAGAATAGTGTGGCTAAACATTATAACAGAACACTGGTAGAGTGAATTCAAGCACTTTTATATACTAGCGAACTACTTCAGGCTTTATGGATAGAGGCTGTTCACTATATTATTTGGCTGATGAATAGGACAACAATAAAAGCTTTGAATGATAGTATACTACATAAAGCTTTAATAAGCAAGAAACCAAATATTTATGATATATATGAGTGGAGCTCTGATGTATGGATTCAAACTAAAGAAAAAGTGAAGCTAAGAGGAAATTGAATTTGTAAGGCAAAATACATTGATGTAAATGACTATAGTCAAAGTATCCATGTCTATTGGCTGAATTCTCATATGATTATCATTGAATAAAACATATACTATAATCAAAATAAACTATCAGCATAAGATCTTGAAGGAGAGGACTTAGACATTCAAATTAAGACTTCTGCAAAAAGTACACACTTTAACACTATCTCAGTAGTTCCACTTATATCTATAATAATCTTACAACAACCTTCAGTTATCTCTTCACCTTTCTCACTTTCATCTGAACCTATATCTCATGAAAAACAAGCCAGATAGCCTTCTCAATACATTCATGATATCATTTAGAATATAGTATTATGTCTAGTTGTCCATCAGATTCACATTTTGCAAAAGGAATACAACTGCCATCAGAAAATATTGCCAAATTTACATCCAGTATTATATCCAAAGAATCTAAGGAAGCAGAGAGTTTTGAAGGAGAAGATCAGACACACTGGATGATGGAAATTAATGATAAAGAAGAGTATGCACTGACAGCTATAGTAAGCAAAATAGAGAGATTAGACTCATGTAATTTAGCTGAAGCATGAAGTTATTCTAATTGGCCACAATAGAAAGCCAGAATAGCTGAGGAACTCACAAGTCTCAATAATGCCAGTATCTGAAAACTTATTGAATTACCTTTTAGATCAAATGTTAGAGATTCAAAATAGGTTTTTCATAGCAAAAAGGATCAATCTGATCATATTATTCATATTAGACCCAAGTTGCATGTGACTATAAACATGTGATAAACTGATGTCACTTCACACTTCGAGTGGAATATCAGAGTTCACTTATTATGAATATTAGTCATTGTGTATTAAGATCTTAAGACTAGCTTGAGGATAAAATAATATGAAGATAAACTTTAGCTTGAAGCTGAGTTTACCAGCAAGAGTGAGCTATCTTATATACTGTATATGTGGAGGCTAAATATACTCCTACTTATTGTGTCTCATCGAGTCCTTTATGCCTATTGTCCTTGAGCATTACTATCATATATAAAAAGTTCATTGTGCATCATCAGACAATACTGTTGCATCAAAAGACGATGACTGACTGAGCTTGTTGTAATGACTAAGCCCCATCTCACAGTTCTAAGCACTGGTCTAGATGCTCTGACTAAGTATAAATAGGGGTTAACCTGTCAAAAGAAAGAAATAAAGTGAGATAATCATAATATTATCCTCTCCTTAAGACCATCATTCTGATGGCTTAATTTAGAGATAGTTCATAGTCCTGTATGATATCTGTAGCATTTATCTATTTTTCATTGACCCACTGGTTTGATTCTGAACCATAGCCTTTTTAGCTGATTAAATAGTCAACAGTTGTAGTCATCCCACTGCCCTTTGCTCTGACTTTTTGTAACTTGTGGTTTAAGACTTGATCAACCTTGTAGTGTTCCTCATTATCAATCAGGTCTGGTGGTGGAGGTGGAGGCTGTTCCTGGTTGGAGAACACCAGAGCAATATAGAGAAAAAGTAATGCCTCATTAAAGACATTGTGAATCTTCCAATGCACTGGTAGGAGCAATCAGTAGGCTGCAGCCCCAACCTTTACTTGGATAGGGAATGGGCCTGTCTATTTGTCTGATAGTTTCTGTTTAGGGTGAGGGAGATGGAGATTTGTGGTGTCCAGCCAGACTTTGTTGCTGACATCATAGACATAGGCTGGCCACTGATGTTTGTTATAGTGTTTTTTCATAGTCATAGCTGCTTTTTTGAGAGCCATATAGGTTTCATTATAGATGTTTATCATTGTAGTAGTGAAATCAGTGGATGCAGAGGTAGTAGTATGAAGTTGGATTACTTGTGTGATATTAGGATGTCACCTATAGTTGATGAAGAATGGGGTTTTTCCTATAGCAGAATGAATGCAATTTTTATATTAGAATGCAGTGAGCATGAGCCATTCAACTCAATCATCTTGTCAGTAGTTGATAAAGAGTCATAGATATTTCTTGACTTCCTAGTTTGCTCATTCCATTTGCCCATCAGTTTGAGGATGATAGGCTGTGAAAGTATTATGCTTGATATTGAGGAGTCTGTAGAGATCATCCAGAAACTTTGAGATGAATTGTGATCCTTGGTCTGAGATGACCATCTGAGGCATGCCATACTTGGCATAGACTTCATCATGCAGGATCTTTGCTCACTCTTCCAACATTAATTTTATAGAGCAGGTGATTAGAATGATTGCTTTTGAGAAGTGATCTACTATGATGATTATAGTGTCATAGCTGTTACAATCAGGAAGTCCAGTAATCATGTTGACTGAGATATATGTTCAGGGCATCTGAGGGATTTCATTGGGATAGAGTGGTGCAGCCTTAGCCTGTGTGGTGGCCTTTCTCTGTTGACAGGTTTTGCATCCTTTGATGTAGTGCTCAATGTCTTGTTCTATCTTTGGCCATCAGTATTCACATAATATCAGTTTTTTGGTTTTAGTGATTCTCAGATATCCCTGAGTTGCATGATCATAACACATAGTGATGACCTCACCATACAGCATCTGATCTCTGAGGATATAAATCTGTCTGTCATAATGGATCATCCTGTCTTTCTTCATCATCCCCTGTTTGTGATTCAAAGATGAGGCTATCTGTTGGTTCC